ACGACCGACAGACGAGAGAGAGAGAGAGAGAGAGAGAGAGGGAAAAGGGCGCTACAGAGCTAAGGTAAGGGTAAGGTAAACGGAAAAGTTCCGGACGACGGGGAGGTACAGCTCAAAGAACGCGTGTCACACACTACCACCCAAACTCTTGTCGAGCGGGTCTCTCTCTTCATCCGACGGAACGTAAGGTAGCGGGATCTCACAGGCGTTTTGTGCTACTTTATGTACCTCCTGCTAGATGTAACATGTAGGTAAGGTATAGGCATAGGCGACATTACCAAATGGAAAAGATTCTCTCACATGCCTTTTCTCCTTTTCAATCAAATCAAACAACAAAAAGGTTCTCTGGCATGGAAATGCAGATGCAATACAGTGCGTTTGTTTGTTTATTTGTTTTCAAAACTTCTACATAAGTTATTCAAGCTTGCTTGGCACAATCTGAACCATTCTAGGTAGGGGGAAAGCGGCAAGGGGGTACAGGTAGGACAAAACATGCCTTTGGGAATCTCAACAATTTGTTTCAAAAAGGAGCCCCTCTCCCTTGCGCCAAAAACACCATCGCTCAACGCAGAAAGAAAAAAGTTCGTCTCAAAAGGGCAGATTTCCCCTCTCATCGTTTTGCGTGCAACGTGTTACGGCGGCTGAAACGCATCTCTCTCGTCACACCTGCAGCCCTGTGAAGAGCTCCTCTCCGGCAGCTGGTCAGGCTCCTCACTGTCCGGCAGCGCCTGCTTGGTGAGGGATTGCCAGAGCGCCATCCTTTCCGCTGGTGTCGAAAGTCTTGACGTTACCATGAGCATCCACAATCGGATACCGGGCCCTCCGCTCCAAGTCATCAAGGTCCATGTGACTTCGAATGTACTTGTCTTGGCTGTTGTCGGGCACACTGTAATCCCAGCTGGTCCACTTGCCTTGCTTCAGCGCCGAGAAGCAGAAGCGTCGTTGACGCTGTCGCGTTATAACATCGGCAGTGATGGCTTCCATGTTCCACTTCGCCTTGGCCTCAGCAACAAAGGCGTTGTACATCTTCTTCGTGGCCGCATCCGAAGAAGTAGCAAGATTGGTGAGCTCCTTGGGGTCTTCCGCCAGATTGTACAGCTGGTCTGGATCTGCGGGACAAGTGATGTATTTCCAGGCTCCACGGCGGATCATCATCATCGGTGCGATGGTTCCTTCGCCCATGTACTCGGCAAAGACGGTGTCATGAGTCGACTTGCCCTTGAGATGCGGAACGATTGATACTCCGTCCATGGGCAAACCAGGGACCAGCTTGGATCCTACAATGTCGACCAGCGTGGGCAGGATGTCCAGTGTGCTGACGTTCTGCGGAACGCGGTGTGGCGCCCACTGCTTGGGATAGCTGAACAGCATGGGAACGCGAACAGAAGACTCAAAGTACGACATTTTGTACCACAGGCCACGCTCGCCCAGCATGTCGCCGTGGTCACCAGAAAAGATGACGATGGTGTTGTCATCGAGCTTGCAGTCTTTCAGAGTCTGCATCAGAATGCCAATGTTGTGGTCGACATAGCTGACAGCTCCGTAATAGGCTCGTCTCGCATTCTTGATCTGCTCGGGCGTGAAGTCATAATCTTCGAGGTCGCAGACGTGCTGCAGGCGCTTGCTATGCGGATCCAGCTGATCCTTGGGAATTTCCACATCGGGCATAGCAATGTCGACATCCTTGTACATATCCCAGTACTTGTGCTCGATCGTATACGGATCGTGAGGATGGGTGAGAGATACGGTCAGGCAGAACGGGCGCTTATTCTGAGGCTTTCGCACGTGGTCATACAAGTACTGCTTGGCCTTGAACATGACCTCCTCGTCATAATCGAGTTGATTGCTTCGAATGCAAGGACCAGCCTGGAGGATGGACGAGCTATTGTGATACCACTCCAGTCGCGTGTCTGGTTCGTCCCAATTCACTGACCAGCCCAGGTCGGCTGGATAAATGTCGGCGGTCAGGCGATACTCATATCCGTGAAGCTGGTCACCGATAAAGTGCATTTTCCCGCCTAAAACACACTCGTAGCCGGCGTTTCGCAGATAGTGCGCGTAGGTTGGCGTATCCTCGGATATGGGAGAAGCGTTGTCGTAGGCACCGATTTTGGAGGGGAGCTGACCGGTGATCATAGCCATGCGTGAAGGGGCGCACAGTGGCGAGTTACAGTAGGCAGAATCGAAGACGACCGACTTGGCCGCAAGTTGATCGAGATGGGGAGTTTTGATCTGCGACTTTTCGTTGTACATCTTGAGCTGAGGTGCGGCCAGCTGGTCGGCCATGATGTATAGGATGTTTGGCTGCTGCGGGAACAGCGGAGTGCTGAAGCCATTCTGGCCCGCGAAGCCCACTGGAGGAGAGGTGGGAGGCGTATCTGGCAACTTGCGAAGACGCTGTAGGGGATCCATACTGGCGGCCAGGCCACGCCAGTTCCGGTGATGCAGAAGTAGTTGCAGATACCAACGTAGGTGGGAGGTTGGAGATGGAGGTGGTGGTTGTGGTTGTGGTGGTGATGGTGGTGGTGGAAGCGAAGATGGAAGATGGAAGATGGAAGATGGGAGGGTGGCAACGATGATGATGACGGCGGGAGCGACAAACGATGTAAACGACGGCGAACACGAGGGTAAGCGTGTTGTCTTATATAATTGGCGATGTGCAATAATAAGGCGTCCGTGTTGTCCGTGTCGTTTCGCCCGATTGCGTGCTCCGAAGATGCAATGTCGACGCGTGAGCGATACCTTTGCGGACTAGTCCCGCCTAAGGATTTCCTGGGGTAAAGTGTCACACAATGGAACAGGGGTCGCGCTGCTGGCTCCGTCACTCTCAGTCTCAGAATCGGAGGTGAGTCGGAGATAAATGAGACGTCGCAGGGCCAACTTGCCCTCAGTCGCTGCGCACAACTTTTGAACTCGCCATTCTACGCCCCCAATACAAGCCTGAGTGCACTTTTCGCGCCATTCGCTCGACAACTTGCAGTCACGTCGCGTCGTCGTTCCGCGCCAAGCCTTCGATCTGGAAGGCACGCGACAGCAGATATTTAAACTTTGGAAAGGTATTTCGACTCGCCAAGCCCGCCAGACAGCCTGACACACCCCAACACCTCGATTGCCAGACCCCCAAGCTACACACCGCCCTCTGCCCTGCTTCTGCTTCTGCTTCTGCTTCTGCTCGTCACGGCCTCACCCACCGCACCCCCGGCAGCCTCGCCCGACGCCTCCGTCTCCGCCTCCGCTGCCAACTCGTCGTCGCCATGGCTCAGCCTCCGCTCGATCGGCCTCCGCCGTCTGCTGCAAGCTATGCCATTGCAGCCGCCATTGTCGCCTTCACCACTGGCTACTTCATCGGCAAGGCCCGCTCCATCGGACTGTTCGGCCAGTCACCCGTGGACTATACTATGGCAGCCGGCGGTGCGAGCGACGACGACGACGATGAAGACGGTGACGACTCGGGATCCGAGGAGTCGGCCCAGGACCTGGGAGAACTTCAGACTTTTGAGGGTAGCACAGAGGAATGCAAGCTCGTGCTGGTCGTCAGAACTGACCTAGGCATGACCAAAGGTAGGTCTGACAGACTTCTCGCCTCCATGTATACATAGGTAGTACCAGTGCCGCGTGTCTGCCGTGACGTCGCTTCCATCAACAGTGCTTCTACCATATGTAGCTGACAAACATCGCCTCTCGGACCTCGTGTCATGCCGTGGATGGTGAGTCCGGATATCCACAAATGCTTATTGACCATATCACAGGCAAAATAGCTGCGCAGTGCGGGCATGCAACTCTTGCGTGCTACAAATCGTTCTTACGTATCAACCCCAAGCATCCCATCCTCCAGCGCTGGGAATCTCAAGGCCAAGCCAAGGTGGCACTCAAGGTTGACAGTGAAGACGAAATGCTCATGCTTCAGGCCACAGCTGTCAGTTTGGGCTTATGTGCCCAAGTCATCCATGATGCCGGTCGAACGCAGATTGCGAGCGGGTCTGCCACTGTCCTTGGCATAGGACCTGCACCAAAGAGCAAAATCAATGAAGTGACCGGGCATCTCAAGCTATTGTGATCACCCAATACCTCAACACTGGTTGCCGCAACTGCGGAAAGTCGATCGTCAACGCTTGCGACTGCTTACCAACACTCCCGCAGCACGTCAATGAAAATGACTCAGGGTTGCCTAGTGTGTACATGTTGCTTGCCTAGCAATGGTCACAGATCTGCAGAGTTACAATTGACACCACGATAGATCAGTGAACGTCAATTGTTTCTACGGTCAATTGCTGGTACGAAGGCTCAAATACGTGATGTGGTGTCATGCAGTACACTTTTCGAGGCAGCGAGGAACGTATCGCTTTGACGCAGTCTCGTATATTTGCGTAGCATCGACTTTTCTCTGGTGCTGGTCTTGAATCGCTCGACGGTATGCTGGGCACAACCACAATCACCATGGGCTTCTCCTTTGCACGAACCTTCTACGCACAGTGTGCAAATGCCAAACCATTACCAGTGGCGAGACAATCAATCTATTCCGAGCTATATATCGATTCGGTGATGGTCGCCTCGGATAATGACAGAGAATGTGACTTCAAACGAGAAGGCTGATATTAATTGCAAATCTTTTCGAGGATGAGAAAGAAGTGTTGCCCTGGAATGACTGTATGACACTCGTTGAAAGTGAAAGATTGGTTCGGTGAACGTTGAATTTCCGTCCCAGTACCACGAGAGAGACACACATGGTACGGAGGTAGGAGGTGTTGACCGAGAAACATTGAAGAACATGCTTCTAGGGCCGGCCGGCCGGCTAGCCGGGCTGTCACGCTCGCGCTGTTGATCACCCACAAAAGTCAGTAGGAGATAATGGTCTAGAATCTTGAGAGGAACAACGGACGACATCTCCACCACCTAGTCTACCCTAAGTCAAACAATCCTTGCGGCGTGGTAATTTTCTCACGTCACGTCACGTCTTTGACCAGTTCAGTTCAGTCAAATCATCGCGCGTTGATTTCCCACACATCACATCACGTCACGTCACGTCTCGACCAAGTGCGACCATCCAGTCGCGCGTCACTCGGAGGTAATGTACCTAGGTACCGGATGATGATGATGATGATTCTCATGCTCTCGTCCAAGTGCGAGATGTCTGCCTGCCCACCCATCATCATCTTTGCGCGCACGGAATTTCCAACAGAAGAGATATATGTCTGGCTGTAGCAAACATCTAATGAGGAAAAAAGTATCCATCACATCATGAAAAGGGAGTAGGTAGAGAGAGAGAGAGGTTATACACAAAACACAAAAGATTGCTTTTATTTTCTTTTCGAAAGATACGAATGTACGGGGGAATCTCTATCGCTGATCGCCAACTCTCTGGGGGTGAACACCTGTATATTTCCACCGATGTCCTCCTAAGCAATATGTGTACTCTGCCATTTGCTCGTGTGATCGTAGCCATTCAATTCGTTTCCGCGGCGGCAGCAACACCAGTTGCGCACGTCTCCGGGGACCAATGTGTAACAAAGCTTCTTTTTATACAGTCTGCCGTAGCGAAGACTGGGATCGAAGAAGAGAACAAAGATCTCCAAACCGGGGGGGATATATATACACATATATAATCTCTTGCGGCATGGAAGGGGAAAAAGGGGGGCCGAGCTGGTTGGCATCGACAAAGAAACATGCCAAAAAAATGCCTTCACAGCGGGTGCGAACGAGTGAAGCAATCTGCCCGGTGAGGATGTAGGGAGAATTGAATGGTCATAAAGCTGCTGCCTTGTTCTTTGCAAAGCAGGTGTAGATCGGTGCACATCTTAAGCGTTGTGCTGGTGGCTGCCGTGGCCGTGTTCGTGTCTTCGGAAGCGGTTCGGGTACGCCGTGGCTTCTGCAGTCGTCCACACAGTCACAAAATCGGTGATGATGACAACGCCAGAATCATCGGTTGAAGTGGCTTCGGTGGTGGCAGATGTAAGGAAGGTGGTTGGCGTGACCGGAGCATTCTCGGTCGTGGAAGTAGTATCCTCGTTAGGGGGGTTGTACCCAATAGGGGTGTATTCCGGGGCAGGCGTAGAGCTCGAAGCTGGGGCTTCGTAGGAAGGTGCCGCTGGTTCGGTGTTGTTCGATGGGGTCGAATAGGAAGGTGCCGTTGATCCTGTAGTGTTGTTGGAAGGAGAGTTCACGGCCGAACCGTCATCGACCGAGGTGCCTGTGCAGAGGGTCACAGTAATCTCTGTGTCTTGACTGCAGGACTGCATGCCATAGGCGTCATCGGTAGAGTAGCGATAAGCTTGCTGCTTGGGGCTGCAGTCTGAGCCGTTGGCTGTGATCTGCCAGTCCTGGTCCCACGGATTGCCGTCGACGCAGCTCAGGTCATACCAGATAATACCATCGTTGTGAAACGTGTACTCGTATTGCAGGATGTGATCCAGGTTATCGGTCTTGGAAAGCTTGATTGACCAACCGTTGCCATTCGTCAACTCCGTCCAGGGCTGGGACCAGGACTCGCCAGCAGCGAGGATCTTATCTTCTTGCTCCTGACCACCACCACTGGAGGGAACACTGCAAAGCTTGACTGGGTAATTGCATTGATTCTGCCAAAAATGCCGGTTAGATGCGATATGGACTGCACGCAGAGCGAGGACTTACGATGACATGTGCGTTGCCCACAGCTGTTGCGCTGTAGCCATATGCGCCGGCCAAGGCAGAGGTGCCAAAAAGGGCAACGGATGCGATAGCGGTGTTCATCATGATGGCGCGAGGATGAAGAGACTATGCGATGCGATCGTGTCGGGTCGTGTCGTGACTTGGTCGTCAAGTGGTCGTTGTCGGGCTGGCAAAAAGTCTGTGCGCACACACAAGTGAATGATGAAGAAGTATGATCGGGCCTCAAGGAGAGAGTAGTGCAGTAGACGCGAGCAGCGAACGAGTGATACTACTGCACAGCAGTGAAGCGACCAAATGCGCAGGCGAAGGGTGGATGATGATAGTGGTATAAACAACGGGAGCGAGGGAAACCAGCAACGAGCTGCGCAATGCTGCGACCTGTGTTTTATTATCCGTCGGTCAGGGAGGGAGGTGTCTCCACCACGCAGAACCAGCATCGGGCCCCATCCATCGACGGTTGACGGGGCGCAATGCGGTTTGGCGCAGGCTTTTGCCCGTTCGGGAATGACGCTGACTGCGATCCCGATCCATATCAGCGCCCAGCCCTATAGCCTGAGCGGAATCGACAGGGGAGGCGCGAACTGCGGCACGACAGGTACCGCCGCGTGCTGCTGTGAATGGTTGCAGTGCCGGGCCACAGAGCCACTTGGAGCATTGCGATTCGCTGGTCCCCCCCCGGCGGCAGTTCAATGTCCCTGGCACTCTCACACTGGCTCCTGCAGGCTCCACCCGCAGAACCCGCGCAAGAGATTTTTTATTGCAGAGAATTCCTTCTCGACCAAAAGACTGCAGCGACCTCGGCGCGCCGGCTCGAGGACCTCGATCCCCCAGAAGCGTCTGGAAACGGTCCAGCAGCCCGGATCTCCACCGCACTGTCGAAAACCTTGTTTCCTCACCCTATCCTTCTGCTCTTTGCTTGACATTGCTAGGCTGTATTGGCAGATTCTTGACTCAATTCAGGGTTCGATAGAGCCCACCCATAGTGTCGCAGATGGCCGCAACGTAATATAAAATCATGGCACCTTAATCATCGTCTGGCCCGCGAGACATGGCTGCCACTTAGGCGACACTGGGCGACAGCCGACAAGGTTGCTGGCCACGTTTTGCGCTGCTGTGAATAGTATACACATCATCTTCTTGACACATTGGAAGCCAACGCCCGTTACGCCATCTTCGCAGTGGTGTCAACAGCTGCTGCAAGACAGGTCAATAATAACACAGCTCCATGTGTCGTGCAACCCTCGGCTGCGTGGTCGCCGGGAGTGGTCCAGCTCTGCAGCGCCCTGTGGACAAATGGCATGGTCGAAGAGGTAGTTGGGTCTAATGTTTGGTCGCGGGCCTCGGACGACCCGCAGAGTGTCGTCAGCTCGCCGAGGTGGATCGTCGCGAGAAGCCATTCCCCGTTGTCATAATAAAAATCTTTTTACGCCTCCGCCAATGTAGACTCACTAGACGACGCCCACGTTCTGCCGCGCCTACCAGGTACCAAAACTTGAATGTCTCGGACTCGGGCAAGATTTTAACCCAGGCACCACAGGCACCCTGCTCATGTCAGCAGCCTCAGCCCTTAGGTCCCACACGCACACGTGGCACACCTCCCACCAACGCCGCACGCGTATCATGATATTCTATTACACAGCAGCACTCTGGACTGATGTAGATTGTGGAGGATCGACTTTTCCGAGGAGGAATGAGACATCCATGCTGACTTTGTTGTTCATGATCATTGCTTTGAGTCAATCTAATAAAGCCAGATCTTTGCGCACTGAACGGGCATCCGTCATGCTCCATTGGGCTTTCGTCGTCTGCTTCTGTCGTGATGTGGTTGAGAGCAACCGAAACTGCTACCTCCTACCGTGGCATGCTTGGTGAACGTACAGTCTTCCGCATCTTTCCAGAGGTGGGTTTCGATGATGAAGAGACGAAGAAATGTTCCAGAGTGCGTTGTCATTATTGGCAGATGATGCGGCGAGCACAAACGCCGATGTGATGACACGCTCGAAATGAGGAGGACAGCCACATCATTCCTGTGAGCCTGTGAGCAGCCACAACATGTGGTCAGCACAACCAAAACATGGTGCGACTTGCTCCGTAGCAACAACAGGTTCTGAGACCCGGAGCTACACCTAGTGATAGCGTGTTAGTAGCCGGCTATGGGCGGACGTCGTGTGGTCGTCGGACCAGTACCAGATCTCGACAGTTGTATAGATGTCGTCGAGCATTCAGAAGGTGCCGAGAATCGCGCTGATGGCGCTGATGGGCGGTCACGCGTGCGTGGATGCAAGGACTTGTGGTGTACTGGGCATAATTTTGCCTGCAAGTAGCGTCTGGTCGTCCATCAGTTCCTTGGCTTGGCCTGGAGGTATTAGATCTTGGTACATCTATTAGGCGGTAATGGAACGCCTTCAAACACCACAGCTATGTGCCTATGTGAGCATCCAGTAAGCGGTTCATAACACAGATAAAAATAACAAGGTGAACGGGTTCATCGCGCATGAGAAGCCCGGGGAAGGCACGAATCAGCAAAACAAGGCGCGCTACCCAAAAACGGTCTTGAATATCGACAAGATATGAGGAAGCCCGTGGAGGTTAAGAATTTCACTCTCGCTCGGCCGCGGCGCACCAGACATGTCACAAGCAACTCCTGCAGAGCCTACATCGTCTTCGACTCCTCGACAGTCTCACCGTTGAAAAACAAATCAATATACCAAACGTTCTCCACGACCAAGCGACAAACGCTAGGATAGCAGTGCCATAGTGCCCTTTCCCCAACACATGTATTATTCCGATAGCCAATATCCAAGTTCAGCTTTGTGGAAATGGATGTCTGCGAGCAGGTATCAGTGCCGATGTGGAGTCTTGATATATACACCGTGTATATATACACCTACCTAGTACCTATAGGTATTGCAACAACGATACCAGAGACAACGTCCAGGCCTATCGGGCCACATGCTTCGCCGTTGATGGCTACCTCCTACATGTACCTTATGACAAAGCTGGTAGGTACAAATAGCAATGGTCCTTGCGCACCAGTGCTTGGAGACCACGCACCTGAACATGCTGCAACCTGCAACCTTCATGACTTTGGCAGTGCTTGATCCATGACACGGCGCTCTCCTCAGGGAGGGTGGTAGGCACGCGCAGGTACATTGTACCTTACATGTAGTAGGTACCTTACCTTAGGTATACATGACACGGCACTTTCCTCAGTGTAAGGATACGGCTGAGTTGGGCTGGTTCGTGGAGTAACTGGCTTTCTCACTGACCAAACGACCCTGAAGGTTTTAGTCAGGGCTTTTTGGTATTGACATGCCGACTACCTACGCTACAGGATGCTGCATCCCTCGCATCACTCAATCGCTCCGCCTGCGGTCAGCACATCATTGGTCGACGCGATGAGGTTGTTTGAACGCACCCATGCGCGCACGACAAACCCGTTGTCTAACTCATGTAAGACTTTTGGATTATCCATTGCAGTCGTCGAATGTGTAATGTGCGACGTGAGACGTTTTTGCTTGCGTGTAGAGAGTAAGCTAATACGAGGCACGGTAAGAGTAAGTAGAGTAAGGTGGTAGAGAAGATTCGGTAGGCACGACTGTAAGTCTGTAAGCATGCATGCATGACCTTCGCGCCTCGCCTGCTGGGAGAGTGAATTGAATACATCAGGAGGTTGGAGGTAGAGAGCAGGGCAGGAAGCTGGATCCCCTCTAGGAGGTACCGCTGCTGGGTTGCTCGGTAAAAGCTCATAGTTCGTGCCCAGAGATGTGGAATCAGCGATAGCAAGGTCTAAGAGGTACATCGTCCGCCTTTTGGCAAGACAAGTTGCTGAGGGTGGCGGGCGACCATCATGACAGGGGATGCTGCATTTCATGTCGGTATGATCACGCTGCAGCGCGCACTGTCCGCATCTACCGCCTGCACCGCTGCCAACGTGTGTGTACCTCATTCTTGTGTTTTCGCCCTCATCGCCAGCACCCTCTGCGCTCATTCCCTCATTTTCGAGCCAGCGCACGTGCTCGACGTGTGATGATAACATGCTGTAGGCAAGCTATGGTTTGTCCCAACCTTCAAGGCCCGACGGGCTCAGGAACGCTTTGGAATATAGCGCCCGGACGACACATCGAGCTCACGGAGAGCTCAAGATGTGCGCCGCAATTGCTCTCAGATCTGTCAACCGGATGTGCTCCATTGCATAGAAGGTTCCATGGGTCGTCGAACTGTCGCAGCAGTCGACCAACAGCACCCGAAGGCGCGTCAGGACCGCTGGACACAGATCTTTGTGATTGTAAGAAGGGAGAAGGAAGAGAGTCGCGAAAATAAATTTGAGGCAGCCGCGAGTGGACCCCCGCTAGCCTCACTTGGCGGTGCCCTACATGACTCAGCTGGAGCCTGGAGGTCGCATCTGCTAATCGCTGTGCTCGTCTTGTAAAGAGGCTCATTGTCTTCAGAACACGAGTACTAAGGTAAGTACTTATTTCTTTCCTTGTATCGCCATCGGGCTTAAATCTGACCACCGGTTCTCGAACCGCCTCCAAGATGGCTTCCGCTGTAGATATTGAGCAAATGAACAAGGTCCGCGTGTCCTTGGGCATGGCACCGCTGCCAGTGCCTGGCGGCGGACCTCAATTCAAAGACGATGGCGACAGTGACAGTGATGGTGAAGACAGTAGTGACGATCTGAGCACACTGGACAAGCGCGCTGCAGCTGCGGGTAAAAACTGGGAAAAGCATGAAGCGGAGCGGCGAGAAAAAGAAGAGCGCCAGAAGCGCAAGGCCGCTATGAAGAAGGCTCGAGACCAGGCAGCTCGATTTGCAAAGCTGGAGGGCAAGGGCCTGGGGGAGCCTAGCGACGAGGAAGTCGACACGCGGACATGGCTGTTGCAGCAGAAGAGACGACAAAAGAAGATCGACAAGGCTCGTAAGCTGGAAGAAGAACTGGCTGCTCGTGAGCAGCAGGCCGAGTACACTGCGCAAGACTTAGCCGGCGTAAAAGTTGGCCATGAGGCTGCTGAGTTTGACGAATTCACTGGCGAGCAGGTCCTCACATTAAAGGACCAAGAAATCGGCGAAGACAGTGAAGATGATGAGCTGGAGAACATGGAACTGAAGGCGAAGGAAAAGCTCGAAGAGAAGCTGCGACTGCTGAAGAAGCGACCGGACTACGACCCAACCGAGCAGGACGGAACCCAGAATCTGCTGTCCAAGTACGACGAAGAGATCGATGGCAAGCTGCAGAAGCGCTTTACGTTGGACGGACGAGGGAGCACTGTGGAGGCCAAGCGTAAGGCAGCAGAGACGGCGCAGAACCCGAACAAAGGTGTGCAGATCAGCCTCGACTTGTTAAAGGATGACTTGCCAGTCTCCGATTACGTCGATCCATCCACGATCAAAGTCAAGAAAGCGAAGAAAAGCAAAAAGGAGAAGAAAACAAGGCAAAAGGCCATTGATGAAGACATTATCACACCAGAACGACCGCAAAATACTCACCCAGACTCGATGGACCTAGAAGATGCTCGAAACGACGCCGCAGATGCTGTCACGAAGAAGCGAGCTTTCGACTTTGACGACGATGACGATTTGCAAGCGAGGCTTGCAGCTGCACGTAGGGAAGCGTTGAAGAAGCGGAAGAAGACGGACGCGACCGAAATTGCGCGGCGACTGCGAGAAGAAATGCCTATCGACGAAGTAGACCTAGAAGAGGGTGGCCTCGTCATTGATGAGACGTCTGAGTTCGTGGCCAACCTGAAGAGGCCTGAAGAGACTGAGCATGCGACAGCACGACGAGACTCTGCACCACGGGCGAGCACTTTCGATGACGATCAGGATGACGATGGCGACACTGCAATGGGCCAGGAGTCATACGCAAACGTTGAGGAGGCACAGGAGCACGCAGGCCGAGCCAATGCCGAGTCTTCTAACTCCGTGAATCGCACGGCCACAGGTCTCGAAGAAGAAGAGAACATGGTCGGCCAAGGCATTGCCTCCTCGTTGGCTATGCTCCGGAAGCGTGGCCTGGTCGATAATTCCGAATCCGACAAGAAGGCTGAGAGCGAACGTAAGCGTGCACAATTCTTGGCGGACAAGCAGCACTTGATCGCAGAATACGACCACAAGGCCAGGGAGCAACGCGAGGCCGATCGTCGCAGCGGACGCTTTGACAAGATGAGCAACAGAGAGCGGGATGCGCTCGCTCGTCAACAGAACGAGCAACGTGAGCAATTCATCTCGCGTTTGCTGGCTGACAAATTCAACAAAGAGTACAAACCAGATGTGAAGCTACAGTATCATGACGAGTTCGGTCGGGAGATGAACCAGAAGGAAGCGTTCAAGCATCTCAGCCATGCATTCCACGGCAAAGGCTCTGGCAAGCAAAAGACTGAAAAGAAGCTCAAGAAGATGGAAGATGAGAAGAAAAATGTGTCCAAGAATATTCTTAACATTGGCGATGAGGCCGGATTCTCTAACGTGGGGCAAGCTCAAGGAAAGCGGCAAAAGACTGCTGGTGTGCGTCTTCAATAGCGCACTACGCATTTGGACAGGTTAGTACACACCGCAAATTACGAGATCAGCCAAATGTTCATCAGAGAATCACAGCAACCGGACGTTCTACGTAATCGACATAGGGAAGTAAGTGCTGACCATCTTTGCTCGGTTTGATACGACAAGGCTGGCGCAGTGTAGTGGTGACCCGTGATATCCAATTGTGTTGACTGAGAGGTCCATTGACTACGTGAGTTTGCACGAGGAGAATCCTGTCTGGGATTTCTTTTCCAACAGCGCCATAGGGGCCTCCTCCGAATGTGGCAGCTCGGGTTCCGGCCCGTGGGTGGAAGTCGGTTGAGTCTCCGCACGCGAGACTCCCGACATTTGCTTTCGCGAAGCTCGGTTTGGATATAGAATTTTCTGCTCATTTTCAGCAGACGCCGAATTGGTGGTCTTCGGCTTCCAACGTGCTGCAGACTGCCGGAATTCGGACTGTTGCAGCGTAGATGGCATAACAGTACTCTGTAGGCATATTGAAGATCCGTTATACGTGTATTAACCGTGAGGTTGCCGGTGGAAGTCATCAGTAAGGTGCTCAATGTATTGTGGCAGTGAGAACAGGATACATCTTCCATAGTCCATACCTTAGTCCCTTACATACTGTATATATCGTGTTATATCTTACGCCGACGCGTGACACGAGCCAAAATCGCGTCTTAACGCACGGACGCATCGTGACTTCACTGGACATCGCAAACGAGACCTACAACATCTCCCTTTTTATACAACATTGTCAATTTTTTTTCCCAACACTTGACATTACACCCAACCCCGCGACATGGCGCCAGCTCCGGGGACCCAAGCCATGTACGCCAAAGAGGAGCGTGTACTCTGTTTCCACGGAGAATTACTCTACGAGGCCAAAGTGCTCGAAGCCCGGCCAAAAGACCCCGACGACAAGAATGCAGGCCACAAGTATCGCGTCCACTACAAGGGCTGGAAGAATACGTGAGTTCAAGATCCTCTGTCTCGGTAGATGTGGAAGTTTCTACGGCTTCGCGCTGCCTCTCCCTGGCATCTTCGTGCACGCCATGGCGACGAAATGTTTGCACCAAGTGCCATGGTGTTCAACGCATCGCGAGGCCGCACCAAAGTCGAGGGTACTGCAGCCAAGCTGGTACTAGACTCTGGATACGGTTGACCACCGGCGAGGAAAAGCATCAAACAAAGTGCTAACTTCGTCTGTTACATAGTTGGGACGACTGGGTCCCGCAGGAGCGATTACGGAAACTCTCGGAAGAAAACAAGGAGCTCGCACAGAACCTCAAGAAGGACATGGAGGCTCAGAGACGAGCAGCGGCCGGTAAGCATTCCCGGTGTCCATGTCAGACATTTCTGCTAACAAGATGCGATAGGTATCTCAGCACGTGGGAGCGAAGATCGAAGTTCTGTCGCGCCGCCACCTCCACCACGAGGAGTGAAGCGTTCGAGAGATATGGAGGGAATTGAAAAGGTAATTCATCCTGTCATGCCTACGGATTCCATCATGACTGTTGGAAGACGAGGGCTTGAACAATGTCTGTTCAAAGCGGGCCATCCATGCATGCAGTACGCTGGACGAAGACCATTTTCAAGTCGCTTCGTCACGACGTCTGACGGCTTGAAAATGCTCGGGCTGAGCAACAGCATCAGTGCGGTCTCATGAGAGACTGCGACCTCTGGAAGAAAGCTTGCTGACTGCCGGTTGCAGGAAGAGGAGTTTGTGCGTCGTCCTGCTGTGCGGCTTTTCATTCCTGATACTCTGAAGTCTATTCTCGTGGACGACTGGGAAAAAGTGACCAAGGACCAAAAACTGGTGCAGATGCCAGCACCTACGCCTATCAATCAGTTCTTGGAAGAGTACTACCGATTCGAGAGCAAGCATCGCAGAGCTGGATCTGCAGACGCAGAGATCTTGGAAGAAGTCATTGCCGGTGTTCGAGAGTACTTCAACAAGTGCCTTGGTCGCATCCTCTTGTACCGATTCGAGCGCCCTCAATACTACAAAGTTCACAAGGAGCTCGAGGCGGGGTCTGGAGATCATGCCGGCAAGACTCTGTGCGACATGTACGGCTGCGAGCATCTTCTCAGACTCTTCGGTAAGTCTACAAAGGGGCGACGTGTAACCCCAGGCAAAAGATAGATACTGACCATGCTCTATTAGTGTCCATGCCAGACCTCATTGTTCACACCAACATGGACACACAGTCGGTCAGCCGTCTCCGAGAGGAATTAGCAAAGATGACGCAGTGGCTGGCCAAGCATATCGAGACCTATCTTGCCGCCGAATACGAGCATGCTGGGCAGGAGTATGTCGACGAGGGCAAAAATGGCGCCTGAGGCTACTTGGCGCTCCAACTGTAACTACAACAACACTATGGCGTTTGGCGTTTGGCGTTTGGTGCATTGCGCGCAAGCTTACATGTAGTTGAAAAAGCAGAGCAGAAACTTGATTGTTCATTTGTGTCAAGTTTCCACCTGGATACATGAGCCCTCTTTCCAATTTGCACGCCGTACCTTATCTTGTTAGTCCGCGGGTCTCTCCCCCCGCCCCTTCCATCCCGCCTCCATCCATGAGCAATGAATGAATGAATGCATGATACATAAGGTAGAGTCTGTCTCTTGTGACGTCTAATGCATAGCGCGCCACATCACATACATGTACATGTATCTGCTCAAAGACCCCGCCGTACCTCAGCAACCAACTCGCAATCTGCTCGCAATTGGAACGGTCCCCCCCTACCTACTGGCAAGCTCTCGCGGAAAGAGTGGTGGCAAGGAGCGCTTCTTGCATCCTCCCATCCATGCCCTTCTTCTGCCTTTTGCGCACAGAACTCGCACAGTCTCGAACTACAGCCCCGAACCACCTGTAGCAGTGACTGTCGTGCTGTCCCGCGCCGCCGCTAATTCATGCACTGCCGGTTTAGAGACAGAGGGAGCATAATATCTAAGGTAGGTACCTGTACTCTCAGCTCCCCCATACTTTGAATCATGCCCGTCCATCTTTTTCTTTTTCTTGTTGTTGTTGTTGTTGTTGTTGTTATTACTATCATTCGGTCTACTATATACCTTGGCAGGGCCGGCGATACAGTGTCTCTCAACGGCTGCGCATTGTTGGCATGGTGTGCTATGATACCTACGGTACTTGCCGTGGTGTATGAGGAACCCGACTACGGTGCTTACGCATGTCAGCCGGACGGGTCAGGTAATAAGTTGGCAGTCGCTCTTGTCGTCCACGCGGCAATGCTGGCAATGGAAGTGACAGCTACGAGCGACAGGGTAGGTTGCGGAGATTGGCAACTACCTTACCCTGAGGTCGCTCCTGCCAAACTCACTGATCAATCTCAAGATGACGACCAGTCTGTCTGTCGATATGCGTAGCATCTGTGCTAGCGGACATTTTCAGCGCTTCATACCTTAGTTATCTGTCGGTTCGGACCTCCCAAGCTGTCTCTACATCATTTTTTGTGTAATGGTCAGTATCGATTGACCTGCTGCTGGCGAGGTCTCCTCCTAGCCCACCGTTGTCTCGGCTTACTGTGCGGATCGTAAGTTTTGTCGGTCGGATCAAGATCAGATCGAGGCAATGCGAACGACTCTGTCATCCTACCCCGACGACGAAGCTTTCTCTTCTACGGTCCATAACTGTCGCACCTTAGTCTTCGTGGTCTTTGGAGTCGGGGTTAGCTTTGCTGCTTCCGAGTTCGCTTCTTTGTGATTTGCTGAAACTCTGATCAGCCGCATGATCGCCTAGGACAGGCGAGTTGATCTTGTGCTCCCTCAGATTCTACGGTTGTCGTAACAAATCGTCTGAGTCGGCAAGCTTGCAAGGTAGTGAAACAGCAGTAGAGTCAGACAATATCACATCGTCTGTATCTTCCATGGGGATCTCGTTGATGTGATCTTGATTATGATGTTGAGTACTCTCAGCAGCACTCTCACGTTGACTGCATGGCGCTCTCGAGGTAGCCTCAGCATCGAGAGTTTGTGCTGCTACCTAGGAGCACTACACCCTGGGAAGAGTCGACCATGTTGTCCGTTGCTGCAAGCAGCTCTGCAGGCATACATTTGAGGAAAGAAGCCATCCTGACCGTGAGAAAGTGCGAATGGTCGGCGACATTGCGCACATGTGGACGTGCTGAAGTTCAAGGGGCATAGATGGACCGGACAGCTATATGCGAGGAAAGGGGCGAACTTCACTTCACATGGATCCATCCATGGTAGCCAAAGCACACCACTTCGCACATGGCAGATTACAAGCTGCGTACCTACGTTTCTGACGCATTAAGATCTACCGCTCGGGGCGGGTGCTTGAATGTTGCTTCGCTATGCTTGATGACTGCCGTCTCTAGGACTTCTCGGCTGCTTCGGAGCTGTGATGAGGAGTTGATGCTATCGTGGCCCAGAACATACAAACACTACGACAGGAGTGAGTACGCACACCGGTTCGGCTTAATGGGCAAGACTGGGAGTACAACCATCTCCCATATCCCTTTCGTGGGATTTCATATGATCGTGTCTGTCGGACCGTCCTAGACACAGAGTGGCGGGGCCACGCCCCTCAGGTTGCTTTGGACCTACGTTTAGGAACACTCTACCTTGAGCTCGAGCATAAGCGATTACAGTGGAACGAGGAGATATTTGGTCAGGTCCGATCGGGTGTATTGTATGCGTGTGGGAGTAAGCTGGCTTGGCAGAGATTATTGAGCGAATGCCGACCACTGAATTTCAGTCTTGGCCGCGTCCCTCTTCCCAGGGGCTTCCTTCATGCTTCAGTGTCATCTTGACCACCATCTATGAGCAAGCACACGGCGACCAACATGACGATCGGCGGCCTGGATGGACCTCTATCTCATTCGTCATGGAGAGACAGTAGATAATGTAGCGGGTGCGCGCTCGCCCTGCCCACTCATGCGTTGCTGCTACTGACAACAAGCAGGTCTCTATGCAGGCGTGACAGACTCTGCCCTCACCAACCATGGTGTTGAGCAAACCAAGCGACTGGGCGCGCATTTCGCAAAGGATGGCATCATAGCCACCCATGTGTTCGCAAGCCCTCTTTCGCGTGCCTTCAAGACTGCACAGGCGATTCTGGAAGCGCAGCCTCCCGCAGAGCCTGCCATTGAGATCACGAAAGTCCCAGAGCTGATAGAGCAAGACTTTGGCTACTACGAAAAGAAGGCGTTCCAAGCACGTACAGTCGCTCGAAAGAGTGGAAGAGAAGCTCACCGCGAGCGCCATCTGAATGATCCCGGCTTCGTGGATGTAGAGAGTAAAGAGGCGATGAATAACAGGGCAGACATCTTCTTGGACCAGCATCTCCTGCCACTGGTGGGAAAGATGGATCCACATGGCAAATCAGTTGTCGTCGTCGTGTCCCACGGCATCATACTTTCGCACTTGTGGAGAAGGCTCCTGTTGAAACTCCCACCAAGAAGCGTGACAGTCGCGCCTGAAGTAACATCTGCGAAAGGTAGCATCGTCCTTCAGCATCTCGGAGGGTGGTCCAATACTGGCTACCTTGAGCTTCACTTGACAGAAGAGCCAGAGTATGCACGAGGCGAAAGTGCTCCTGCAACTGCAACTCCATTGCATCCTCCTTCGAGCGGAGACGTGACTAACATAGAAGAATCGGCCTCCGACGTGATGAAGTTGCACAAACACAAGCTGCTTATCGTGTCCGTCGATCGCAAAGATCACCTTGTCGGTCTGAAAAGACAGCGTGGCGGCATCGGCCGTTCCAAACACGACGAGGGGCAGCAGAAGCTCGATGGATTCTTCAAGCGTCAAAGGAAAGGCTGAGCTGTTCAAGAAGCTCTCAAACGGATCCGACCGCTCTCCATAGCCGCGCCTCTCTGGTAAGCACGCATCACCCCTCTTTTTTTCCTTGCCGAATGATGAAAAATCAAAAACACAGACCTGTTCTGAATACCACGTGTGGAGCATCTTTTGATCCAACTGCTGTCTGAAACTCTTCCCACAGTCCCATTAACACTCGAGACGCAACATCAAGCACATACACTAACCGCTGTGTCAGGACCTTTGGCAATATGCTTGCCCAACCAATGGCTTCCACCACATCTAGTAGCATATGCAGACGGCATTGAGCTTGCGAACAGATTGCTACAGAGGAAGCACCAAGGCACAAGCACCATATTTTGCGCCGCCTATGGGAGGAGAAGAGCGTCACTTCATGGAGCGTAGCAGGGTATTGGACGCTCGTGAGAGGCACACTTGCCACTTGCCACTTGTTCACACCTTGATACGTGCTCCGTGATGCCACATGATGTTCATCGATGGCACAGGTCGGCAGCGGTCAGCCTTTCGTACCTACCATCAACGTGCTGCGAATGCGCGCGCGTGGCACACATTGGTGAAGCTACTACTACTACCTAGGTAAGGTAGGTAGGTATACATGTATCGAGAAGCCATGTAGATAGGTACCGTACATGTATACCTATGTAGTCTGTCTGTGTACATGAAACAATGTCGTCAGATGGACTAAGGTACAGCTCAGCATGTTTGTGGCGCTACCAAGGTGAGGAGCGGCTTGTTTGGTGTGTGTTGTACTGTAAACATACCTTACCTCCTAAGGTACCTATGCATGTCTGTGTGGCGCAAGCAGATTAAGTTTATACAAGTGGCTGGGCTGGGTTGGCTGGTCAGCCAGGGACTCAGATAAGGTTTTGGTGGTCGTCTCCACCTCCCACCTCACTTGGACGTCTTTTCTGTCTGTTACCGCCAAGTCCTCACTCTCTGTCCAAGAATTATGGGACTCGCGCTCTGCGGAGGAGAAGAGCAGAGCAGAGAAGAGAAGAGAAGCGAAGCGAAGCGGAGAGAAGGGGAGAGAAGAAACGAGAAGAGATGAGAAGAGAACAGAAGAGAAGCGGCTGTAGCTCCCCGAGAGCAAGCGCGACCCATCACACGTGCGCGACCTGTTTCTTTCACACAGACGCGACGCGACAGTAACTAATGGGAGATAGACCTGCCTCCGCTCCTTGTGCGCCTTGCATCAGTATAATGAAAATGTTGTGCAACGACACACACGCTGCTGGCGGTGAAACCCCGTGTGGCAGGGCAGGCGCGGGTGTAGGCAGCCAGCCACCTCATATTTCCCTCCCTCCACTCTAGCCACCTCCAACTTTTCTTCACATCTCCGTCTTCCACCAACAAACACCTCCTGCTCGTCTATCTTCATCAGCATACCGTCCGTCGCTTCATCATCTCACCGTCGCTGCATCATCACCAGACACCTCCGCCAACATGCGTTACGCCGTTGCCGCTGGCGCCCTCGCGCTCTTCCACCTCGCTGCCGCCGATGCCACCGGTCAGTCTCCCTTCCACCACCACGAACCACTCCTCATCCATCATACTGACATCTCATCACAGTGACCATCACTGAGGTCTCCATCCTCATTCCGTCCGACTGCGTGGCTAGTGAGTGTGATCCGGACACATCTGCCTCCACCTCTCCCTACCCAAGTCTCAATGCCCTCTCGGTGCTGGAATCGGCCTCCCCATATTCATATCCCTCCTCTCCTCCCAATGCCCTCTCCGTCCTACTAAGTGCCCTCACTGTGCCAATCTTAACCACATATCCTGCCTCCGCGTTTCCCCCGTTCACCACCCCTGGCTCCGTGAGCACGGAAAGCTCACAGTTATCCCCTACAGGCCCCACCGTGGCGCCGGTGCCCTTTCCGAGCAGTGGGACTGCTACGACTACCGCCCAGTCTACCTCCGTCGTGGAATCGACTGCAACTGTCACTGGCAGCACCAGCACCAGCACCAGCGTCGCATCGACTGCCGCCACCACCGAAGTGGTACCAACTGCTCCAGGTCCAGTAACCTCCGAGACTCCGTCGCCATCTGCTCCCAGCACCGAGGCCGGTCCAGCGCAGACCACCTTGTCCACCAGCTCCACCGCTGCTACGGGAGGCACCGCTGCCACGACCACGACCACTGGTCCCGCGAGCAGCAACGAAGTCAGCCCAACACAGGCCACTTCCACCAAGGCTCCGCCTGCGACTCAGACCGGAGCCGCCGACGTCAAGAAGCCAGGCGTCGTTGGTCTTGCTGCCATCATGGCGGCCCTCGTCTACATCTGAGCGCATGCGATTGAGGATCGGAGACCCACCCACTCCTTGTCCTTCTTTTCAACGACATTCACGGCTGGACACGAATTTGCATGAGGAACCACACACACACGCAGCGTTGGTGCTAGGGGCGTCACAGGGCGAATGGACGAATGGTATACCCCATTTCGTGCATGGTTAATTAATCACAGGGCAGGGAGCCCAAAAATTTGCATTAAGCGAGGAACAGCAGCAGCCCGGCGAGGCGATGGATGTGTAACTGTAGCTTTGAAAGTAAGGATTGTCCCAACCAAATCGGACACTTCTCGCTTTACATCGTGTCCCCATCGTTTCACAGTGATATCATGTTGTGGTGAGAGCTCTTATTCACAATGCTATCTATACAAATCTGTCGATGTTGAGGATTAGAAAAACAACCGCAGCCGGTGCGGGTCCACACTGCCCGTTGCGTGTATGTGGATCAGGTCAGATCAATATGTACTCTCCATCCACGCGATCCATGGCCTTGCGCCATCGAAAGGCCTGTCCATAACGTCCCGTACGTCCTGCTGCAGAATCTCTCCTGCGAGCCTTGATCTCAGCAGCCTCCATGCCTTGCACGTTGTTGCCCACCTCTTTCCACACCTTTTCCAGCACATCCAAGCCCGAGATGTTATTCCAGAATCCACTTTCCTTTTGCACTTCGACACAGCGTGCACGAATGATGTTGCGATGGCCCTCATCCACACACTCGGTGCCCACGATGAACAGGGGCCACAGCAGGAATTTGTTGACGCAGGACGTGATTTCCAGCGCGGTGATGTGAAAGAGCGCATTGGACACGTACTTTTGAAAGTTGGGGTGGGAGGAAGGCAGGAGAGGGGAGCCCAGACGCTCCGTGTACAGGAGTGCAGAGTAGCGGAATGATTCGTTGATGTGCAGCATGTCTCGCTGACCGAGCTCGACTTCACGACTGTTGGTGCCGTCCGGTGGCGCTGTGGCCCGAGCACCCGTCGGGTCCATTTGCCACGCTTGGAGACGAGCGCGAACGTCGTTCCATTCGGCCCAGAACTCGGCGCGTCCATCAAGCTGCGCAGTCGGTCCGTGGTAATTGCCCTCATCGGGCGATCCAGACATCTCGTCGTCAGACGACATGGTCGGCGTCGCCCATCCATTGCCATCGAGAGAGTCGTAATTGATCATATCAACGGACTGGGAGGCTCCGTGCCTCCTGCGTAGTGGCGCATGGCGCGCATTGTGTGAGGTATGTGGCCATGGCATGTTACTCTGAGGACGGACCGGCCGGCCTTGTGAAAGAAGATTGAGCCGGCCCAGCCTGGCAATGAGCTTGAAGAGACGGCCGTCACAGCCGGAGAAGTGCTCGAGCGCTCCCAGGTTGGAAGAGAAGTCCAGCATGTCCAGGGACTCGCCCGTGATCTGCATCTCGCGATCGTTCACGGCCGAAGTCATGACATCGAACCAAATGAAGAACATCTCCACCCAGTTGGTGAAGTCGGACTGACCACTTGGGCTTCGCAATGATAGCAGCTTCTGTACGCCAGCCAGCTGGGTTTTGAACTTGCTGAAGCCGGAATCGCACACGTGGAACAGACAGAGGATGAGTAGTGTCGCAATCACCGAGTCATCCTGTGCCGCTCGCGAATCGGTCAATTGCATGTTGAGCATATCGATGGACATTTGCTTGTAGCAGGTCTCTTCTGCACTGGCTTCATTCTGTTCCCTTGGCTTGGCACTGCCATCGAATGCGTCCGTGATCTCGTCAAAAAAAGCCATTTGCTTTGGAGGAGGTTGCTTCCTCATTCTGATGTTGTTCATGGCGAGGGCAGCAATGGCATTCTGCAGTCCCTCATTGTGCACTGCCAGCTGTAGTATATGCTTCCTATAGGGATTCTCTGGTCCATCGAAAGCGATCAAGTAGGGACAGATATGACGATCATAGTACTCCATCAAGCATTGCATGCGAGGACTCATGGCGAAGAAGGGGCTGCTCCATCGCGCATCAAAGATGGATAGCTGAGTATGGTTGGTGTCTTCCTCTTCTTCATGGAGGTTGAAGTCGAGTGAGTCAAAGGGGTTGTGCTTTGTGAATAGAGGATCCGCCATGGGACTGAACAGGGTCTCATCCTGGTAGACAGGGCTTGTGCTGTACTGTGGCGTCTCCGTCGGCGTAATATTCATCTGACCATAAGAGTCTGTGCTCTGTATGGATTCCATGCTAGAACTCATGTAATCTCCATATGATCCCACAGACGAAGTGTTGAAGTTCGAGCCCAGACTCTCAATGGAACTGCTGAGAGGCTGACTCGTGTAGGATGCAGATGTCCCTGGTGGATAAGAGTCGCTGTAGGCGATCGATCCCGGGGTGACCGGGTACTCCATGCCCCAATTGAAACCATGATCCATGTACGAATCGCAGGAACTGGCAGAGTTGGGAGTGCCAAGCGCATCGTACTGCGGCCCCAACCCGGCGGTGGGGATGCGCTGAAGAGAGTGCTGACGGAGCGGGGTTGGTCTGTGGTTGCCGTAGTCATTGAACTGCCAGCCCTGCTGTCCGGCGTTGATGGTGGGCAGCGATGGCTGGAAGGCAGGAAGCGATGTCGTCGTCGCTGGCGGCATCGAAGTCACCGTGGACTGCTGATAACTCGGGTGCTGGCCCGCGCCAGTATTGGTTCGAGGAATGTCCACAGCGCCAGCAGTCTTGGCCTGCCTGACGGGACTCTTGCGCAGGAGAAGGTCATCGTGATGCTGATGAGCAGCAGTAGTCGTGGCGATGGAGGTCGTCGTGGTTGATTTGTTGTTGTTGTTGTTGGTGTTATTGTTATTGCTGTGATCCCCAGTTCTGCCGGTGACTGGGCACGAAAGGCCCCGAAGCTTGCCTCGACTGGCCACGCCCACGCCCCATGTCAGCGTGGTTTTATAGCCCGAACACTCCTTGCCAATCTCTATACAAGAGGTGCAATAGGGTCTCTTGCGATCGCAGGGGACGGCCCTTTTGCGGCACGTGAAGCAATCATCGGTCGCGCCACTGGTCGCCGTCCTACGCCGTCTCTTTCTGGGGGGCGGAGGAGATCGTGTGGCGCTGAGGACAGGATCATGGGGGGACGTCATCTTCGCTGCTGTCTTGGTGGCACACGGATTCGCGTCGTACGCGTCGGCTTCGGAGAGACACACTCGGTAAACCACACGCTCTCCCGTATGCAACCACGCACCGTCTTCAGATATGGGAAAGAGATGGGGAGGGAGGTGGGAGGGAGGGAGAGTCGAGTGGAGGCGGAAGCAGGAGAGTGATGGGGAGGGGGGAGAGGAAGAGGAAGTGGGCGTGCGGTGGAGGGACAGCAGGTTTCTTTTAGACGGACGGAATAATAGCAGCAGAAGAAGCAAAAGAGCAACTCAGTAGCGATACATAAGGCTATACTGCTGCTGCCGAAGGTACACTATGTATGCTACGCTCGCTACGCTACGGTCGCTACCTTTACCCACCCACCACCCTACGCTACCCCTACAGTACCCTCCGCGCGCTACTCTGCCCTGCGCTGCGCTGCTATATGAGAAAGGCGATCACCGCCCGCTCGCCCAGCGCCATATTCGCAGGCAATGTCTCCTGAGCGTGCTGCTACCTGAGCGCCGGACTCTCGAGAATGGCGGTACTGTATACAGTAGGGGTAAGGTACATGTGCCTGCCCGTGTGTCCAATTCTTGGCTCGACTGCGGCTTGTGAGTAGCGGAGGCGTGGGCAGTGGACAGTGGGCAGAGTGGGCAGCATGACGGCGATCCCGACCCCTGTCCGGCCAATGATGGATTGATAATGCTATGCACCAGATGCGCGAGCGGGCGCGCGCGCTCGAACGGCCATCACTTCACTTCCGTCGTTGCTTATCTCTGTCTCTGTGTCTCTCTCTCCATCTCCATCTCCCTCCCGCCCGCTCCCTCTCTTTCTGGCTGTGGGTGTGTCTGTGCCGCGGCTTCTGCAGTCCCTCTCCAGGAGCGCCCTTTCGGAGACCCGCCCAGTAGTCCCAGCCTCAGCCGCGCACTAGTGACGCCTGGCTAAGGTAGATAGTTTCTACTGATACTGTATACAGTACTATACCGCATATACAGACGTGGGCAATAGGACAGATGATGCAGACGCAGCCGGCCGGCCTGAGACCTAGCTGTGTCAATCATCGTGGCTGAGTATTGTGTGTGTATGTGTGTGTGTGAGTGTGAGTGAGTGAGGGTGTGAGTGAGGGAGGTAGGAAGGGAGAGTGTGTGTGTGTGTGTATTGTGCGTCGGTGGATGCACAACAGCCACGCCCTGCCGCCCTCCCGCCCGCACGCCCGCACCACTCCCCTTCCTTTTGCTAGTGAGGGAGGGAGTGAGAGCCTGAGAGGGAGAGAGAGCACCGAGCACCGCCACGCTTTGCACATGTGAGGTAGTCATGGATAGGCACTAGTGCAGTGATGCGACCTCCACCGACATGAAGTACTACTATACAGCAAACTAAAAGGTATAGCTGTAGTATTGAAGTAGGTAATGCTCGTGGTCAACTCCCGTCCCGCGTCACGTCACGTCACGAGACGAGCGCATGATGGGTACAATTACCTTAGTCCCAATAAAGGTCATGTACACATTGTATACAGTGTACAGTAAGTCGAGTCGAGCCTAAAGAGAACCACAGTCGACATACCCCGCAGACCCGCAGGCTATTCCTGTATCACATGCAGGTTGGCGCGGCTGGTCGCCAACGCCAGCCACGAAGCGCTCATAGGTGCCACGGAGCACCGCTCGAAGGGCGATGGCCTGTGCCGAGTGAGCCGACCATCCAAGAGACATCTCCGTGCCTGCAGTTGGCCTTACAGTAGTCGCTGCAGAACCAAGATTCTTCCGTCCAGGGGGAAGGCTTCGAGTCCGAGAGCTAGAGGTGCACGCCCCTGTATATTAAATAATTCGAGAAGGTAGGTAGGTGCCAACCTGCCAACGGACACTTTTAATAAGCCACTGATAAGGCTAACGTACGTACCTGTACCTGTAGGAGGTAGTCGAAGAGGGTGACCCACGCTTGAAGTACCCCCCATAGTGATGAGCGAGCGAGCGAGCGAGCGACGAACACCCCATTCCACGTTCAGTCCAATGTCTCGGGGCTAGAACAATGCCTAATGGACACCATCCCATTGCAATCGGTATGCGCCGAGCGGATCCAGATCCATTTCTTGCGAAGCTAAGGTCGACAAGTCCCGCTCGTGAACTGCTGGCAACCACTACCATGTACTGGCCAGGAGTGACGACTGACAATTCCTCCACAAATCACACCTGAAGCTGCTGATAACATTGCGCTCGACGCAAGACATGGTGACGATCATCCCACCTGCTAGAGACGCAAAGCTGGAACACTGCACCTCTAGCTGAAAGTGATAGGCGAAGTCCAGGACTCCAGGTATTGCACAGGTCTCTTTAATTCCTGCACACAATAAATACCTACCCAAGATGTGCAAGGGAGGTGAATAAAGCGGTGTGGTATGTAGGTAGGTAGCGAGAGATACAATGTACAGCAAAGAGGTACCATCTACATTGTACATACAGCTCGGGAGTTCGTTATCGGAGAAGAAATCAAGTGCCGCGTCCTGCAGGCGGAAATCTATCACAGATGTCTTCTAGAAGAAAATGGAAGGCACAGTGAGGGTAGTATACATGTAGTAGTGGGAGATGGATGCGTGTATATCCCAGGAGGTACAGCAGTAGTAGCAGCAGCACAAAGTCGACAATCCACATTGCCAAGATACATCTTATGCCTAAATTCTACCTTCTACCTACCTGTAGGTACCTAGAGGTCAGGTAGGTAGGGTACTGCCGGGTGTAGGTATTCCAGGTGAACTTCCAACTGGCAGTCTGGAACTCACTGGGCAGTCAGATAGCATTAATGACATCGAAATTACGCAACTGTTCTTCTAGCTATCAAGAGCGGTAAGTGTCCTGCTGTTGTCTGTTGTTCCTGCCAACTGCTATCTACTTACATTAGTAACATTACTTCACCGACCCACTGCACAAAAGAGAAAAGAGTACCCACGCACCCACCCTATTTATAGTCCCAGGTTGCCGAATGCTGAGCAATGGCTCAATCTGGATAGTAAGCTCAGGTATGTACGTAGATCAATCATCAACTCGGCCTTTTGTCTTCTTTACCTCCAAGGTATGTACCGTGTACCTACGAACCTAACAACCAACCTACCAACTAACCTACCAACTAACCTACCAACTAACCAACCTGTACATCTCCCTCTCTCCCTCTATATTTCCCCCCTACAGGCATTGAATGTCCGTCTGTCCGTCCGTCCGACCGACCGACCGACCAAGCCCCCCCGGCTAGTAGTCCTCCGGAGCCTTTCCCGCGGGCAATGACTAGAACGAAAATACTCTAACCGAAAAGGAGAAAAAAGAAGAAAAAGAAACCCCCCTCTCAAAAAAAAAGACCTCAACAAAAGACAAAAAGAAAATCAAAAACAAAAAGAAAAAGAAAAAGAAAAAGTGGCGAATTAATCCGGCCGAAAAGGATTCCGAAGTTTTTGCTCTCACTGTCACACTTACACATTTGGGAAATGGACATGGGAAAAAAAGGAACTGGAAAAATGAGAAACGCCGTCTGCGGAAGACCAAGGAAAATTCCTCCGGCACCTCAAGGAAAGAATTGAGCAAGGGAGGGAGGTACCTACTGGGTAATAGGTACCTGAGTCACTATGATTTGGAGAACAAAAGGGAAAAGGAGAAAAACATACACGATACCTAGGTAGGTATTGTCTTCTTCTGCAGGGGTCCAATAACAATAAAAATCAATCAGTCCGGTAGCTACATGTAGAAAATGTGGCAATTTGTTTTCCACATCTAGAACTTCTCCTGTGCTGGTCGCATGTCAAGCTCGTGAGTCCTAAGCCAGGGTGTTAGTGCAAGGAAAGCACGAGAGAGAAAGAAAGAACTTACCACAACGTCGGATGTTGATTATGAAGATACAGATAAGTCTCTCCCACCGCCTCAGCAGCAATATGTTTCCCACTCTGAACCTCGGGAGTATCGGCAGAAGCGTCTAGACAGATTTGCGTAAGCGAACACATCACATGAGTATGTGGTATGAGTGATGAGTGATGAGTGATGAGTGTAAGAGTAGCAGACAGACATACCTGCAATACGGCCATTGGCTATCGTATGAACGACGTGCACGCCTCGAGCGCTCATCTCTCGTGCGAGAGCTTGGGCGAGTTGTCTCACACTACCACGAGATGCGCCATAGCTGCCATATTCGGCGTTGCATCGTAGAGCACCCTTTGGACACCCCAGTCATTACTTGGTAATTCGCTCAAGATGATCATCATCATCTGGAAGTGGACTTACGAGCGTTCCAGTAAAGATCAACGTTCCCTTCTTCTCGCCTCCTTCCGCCAACGTCTTTTCCCCATGGTGTTCAAACATGAGCTTGAGGGCTTCTTGGGAAAACACCACAGCACCTCCAACATCTGTCGAACATTTTTTGTTAGCGACTCATACATCACACCCACCATGAAAGTCACGCAAGTCACAAACTTACAATCCTCCAAAGTCTCCATAAACCCCTCCACCGTCTCCTCCATAAACGGCTTCTTGGCACTATTCTTAATCGAAAACACCGCCAAATCCAACTTCAACCCTTGAAAAGACTTGTGATTTCGAATCTCCCCAAACGTCTTTCGAAGCTGCTCAGGAGAAGTATCCGTGGGAAAAGTCTCCAACACGGCTCCCGGGTTCGACGATCGCAGAGAAGTGGCCAGCTCCGTCAAGGGCTCTGGGCGGCGAGCGAGGAGGGCCACGGCCATGTTGCCCTGGCTGCGAGAGGAGAGGACGCGGGCGATGCCTGCGCCTGTGGTCGGTCCGGCTCCGAGGATGATGGCGAGGCCTGTGAATTTCCGGAAGAGCGAGAGAGAGAGAGAATTGATTAGCTTTGTTGTTTTTACTTTATTTTAATGTTTTTTTATTCTCATCGAGAGGAGAGAGGATCTCTCGATACAGTGATCTTCTTGCAGAACATGTCGGTCGAGTGAGATTCATACCTTTGGGTGCCATGATGATTGATGTGATGTTGGGAAGTGAATGCTAGAAAGGTCGTGCGTGGTAGAAAAGAGTTCATGTACTCATCTCCTACCTCCACTGTGCCTCCTAGGTAGGTAATGTACCTCCTAGGTACATGTAGTTGACGTCAGATCTGTAGCGGTCGCGTTTTTCGTTTAAACGGCTTGACATCACTGCCATATGATCAGCAGAGGTAGGAGGTAGGAGGCAGAAACATACGCCATAGCAGCATACCATGCGGCTCCAAGTCGAGCGGGCAGCACTCGGCTTATTCCTGCTTGCTCTACCTCCTACAGTCCCATATCCTTGCCCACAAAGACCACATAGAAAATATCCGCGAGAAGCCAAGGAGCTCCTCGCCTTCAGGAAGCGTGTACGTTGATGAAACAGGAAATGTGTGTGTGTGCAAATGATGTGCTCAGAGGCATGGAATATTTAGTATAGGATCTGTGTACATAGGTACGGACTGAGAGATGCTTCCCACAGCGTCATCTCTATTGCGTGGGACCTGAGCGATCTTACTCCTTTTGTACCATATTCGTGATTTCGTCAACTCTTGCGTTGGTGTTTCGCTTGGAATTCCCTTGCTTCCGTGGCGTTACCGTCCTAAGCTTTTTGCTCACCATTCGTGACTGCAGGCGCGGAGATGCCATTGGGAGGCTTCGGACTGTTTCTTCGGCTCTCCTGTTTCGTGACCGATCGCTTCTCTTCGTCGCCGCTATCATCGTAGTTCTCGTCCACATCCATCTTTCGTGCCGCAGGCTCCAGAGGCTGGGCAGGCGCAGACACAGGTGGTGGCGGAGGTGGAGGAGGGGCCCGATGCTCTTCTTGAGGGGGCGCAGAAGTGCGTGGCGATCTTTGGGTGATCGATTGCATTGGAGGCAAAGAGGGAGGATGGTGCGCGGCTTCTGATGGATTGTATGCAGACATGGGCCGCGGCTCATCAATGCGGCGCAGCTCAGAAGGACTTCGATGTGGCGGAGTGGCCATTTTGGCAGGTGGCGAAGGCCGATGCATCTTGATCTCATCCAGCCGTGACCTACTGTCTTCTGCCATGGGCTTCTTAGCCGCGCCAGGGTTCGGGTCATCCTCCCACTCTCGGAGTCGTTTCGGGGCCGTGCTTCCCGGTCTATCTTCGCGTTCACGCGCGGCAGCGTCAGCAGCGGTCTGCGCTGATGATGGTGGGGGCGCGCCATTAGCGATGCTAGGGGTCGCAGCACTCGGATTGTGCTCGAATGGCGTCCTTGGTGGACCAAAGTGACTGGCGCTGGGCGATGGCGCAGGATTGTTGATGAGAGGCCTAATCTCTGGTTGCACTTCTTGCTGGCGAGCGTATGGTGGCAAATTGTGAAGCGTAGACGTAGGTGGCATACCGTTAGAGTGTGGCGGCAGTGGGCCATTCGATGGATGGGACATGAATGGTGGTCGCTGAGGTTCCTGTGGCTGCGAGAGTGGCCCATGATGTGCAGAAGGACCATGCTGCTGCTGCTGCTGCTGCTGCTGATGTTGTTGTTGTTGTTGTTGCTGCTGCTGCTGCTGCTGTTGTTGCTGCTGCTGCTGTTGCTGCTGCTGGGCCTGGTGCGAGAGGCCTGGCTGAAATGGTGCTGGAGTGGGGTGCTGGACCTTCGGTGATGGCGACAAGCCTCGGTGTGCAGGTGGTGGTGGCCGCTGCGGCTGCAGCTGAGGCTGCTGGTCTTGATACTGCCTGGAAGGAGGCGGGCTTTGCTGCCGGAGGGGCTGAGGTTGCTGCTGCTGTTGCTGCTGTGGACCATTCGGAAGGCCTTGCGGAAGACCCTGTGGAGGAGGGCCCTGCATAGGACCTTGTTGTGAGCCTTGCTGCTGTGGCTGCTGTGGTGGGAGGCGGTCCCGCTGTTCATATGGATTCAATGGCTGAGGCTGCATCTGAGGATTTTGCAAATCTGCCAAGCGATTGCCTCCCCAATTGTTCCCTGCGGCGAGAGGAGGCGGTGCAGGACCGGGAGGCGGAGGGTTCTGCGAGTGTGCACCCCATTGGGGACCAGGGGGCCCACCTCCTAGGGCGCCAGGCTGATAGGCTTGTGGGTGGACGTCTTGGGGCAGGGGCGCACCTCCCTGGTTAGGTAGGCCGTTGGTTGGCTGGCCCTTGAGGAGAGCAAGTCGAGCTTTGATATGCACGTTGGTTGGATCAAGATCGGCTGCTCGGGTGTACGCGTCTAGAGCATCGCTTGTTTGGTTGTTGCAAGACTCATACTAGCAAGGCGTCAGCTTCATATATCGCCAGAACAGCACGACACGCGCAGGCTTACCAAAGTTCCGAGATCGTACCAGACTTCGGAGATGTTCGGATTCAGTCTGATAGCCCGAGAGTACGCATCAAGGGCATCTCGGTATTGGTTGATCTGATAGTAGAGAACACCAATCGAGCACCAGAAGGTTGGGTTGCGACCATCACGATAGACAGCTTGTTGATAAGCTTCGTAGGCCTTGGGGTATTTCTGCTGCGACATGTAACATCTGCCCAACAAGTACCAGCTTTGTGCATCGGTTTGGTCTGCATCGTGTCAGCCGTGTAATGCGACAGGCACAAGCGAATGTTACCACTTACCAGATGCGACTGATTTTTCGAGATACTCTATAGCCTGCTCTTGGCTGGTGAAGCTGCTGCTCTGTTGATGATGCAGCCAACCTAGTTGTTGCAAAACCTTGGCATGGTTGGGGTCACGCTCGAGCACTCGAGTATAAGCAGCTTTGGCCGAGTCGTACTGTGTTTGTATGTATCAGCAAACAGATATACACGATCATCGCGAAGCCCCACTTACATCTTTCTGTTGTTCGTGGACATGACCAATCTGGAACCAGATGTCTTCCTCACTCAAAGGACGAGGAGGATCGTCGACAATGTACCGGAAGCACTTGGGGGCTAGTCAGCATGAGAAACAGAAGCATGCAGCGTTTCACGCTTACCTCCAAGCTCTGGGAGAACTTCTGCTGCTGCTTGTATATAATTCCCAGTCTGAAATAGATCTCATTTGCTTTTTCGAACCCCGGCTCCATTCGCATGACCTGGGAGAAAGCCTCCTCTGCGTGCTCCAAGCTACCGTATCGATCATAGAGGATTCCTATGCCATACCACAATTTGGGTTCCTTGGGATCTGGCAAATGATACAACGCTTGCTGATATGCAGAATATGCCTGCTGGAGGTCGTCCATCATAAGATAGCAATGACCCAGACTGGACCAGACCTCACCATTAGTGGGCTCTACCTTGAGGATCGTTCTAAGATACTCGACGGCAGCGGTGAACTGATCCTTTGAGCGCAGGATGCATGAGATGGCCAACATGGCCGGCACAGACCATTGGTTGAAGTTCATGGCACGCTCATACGCCTGTGTCGCACCGTCGAGCTCACCCATGACCTCCGACAGGTTGCCCAGTTGCAACCATACCGACTCGTTGGTTAACCGCAGGTATTCGGCAGCCGTCTTGCCCGGCGGGATCTGCTGCTGGACGATGGGCCCAGAAGGGGGAGCAGGCGGAGGAGGCGGAGCTCGCGCAGGGCCACCGCCTCCATAGTGATGTTGTTGATGCGGCAATGGGCCCGTCGGGGATTGTTGAGCAGCCATCGTGGCAGGCGGAGGAGGGAGCTGAGAGAACAGGAGCAAGGTCAGCGGGTAAATGGGAGCGGTGCGGAGAAACAGAGCGGTTCTACGAACATGTGACGTTCAGCTCCGCGAACGGGCAGTCGCGCAGTCGCGCAGTCCGTCGGCTGTGGACGGACGAATGGTTATGAGGAGAGTAGGAGCGCTGTCCCGCAACGACGGTGGTGCATGCACGATCGAAGTGGAAATGCTTATGTGCACGGCGGTGAGAGCCACGGGCCCGACGCAGCGCGTAGAGGACTACCACCGATAGACCGAGCGTGAGCTGCGGAGGGCGCTTCAGTGGAGGAGAGCGGAGCGGAGCGGAGGGGAGGGGAGGGGAGGGGTGGGTGGTGAGAGGAGAGAGAGAGAGGGTGAGAGGGAGAGATGGGGAGAGAGAGAGAGTGAGAGGAGAGAGGCGGAGGGAAAGGCAGCAGGAGAGAGAGAACGAGCGAGGAAGCGACAGCGAAGAGGAATCGCGACAGCGAAGAGGCGAGGCGGATGCCGATGCGACGTGTGCTCTGCCCGTGGGTAAGGGTTGGTTTACAGAGAACAGACAAGGGAGGAGACACTCAGAGATGCGGGTCGCCTGTGGCGCTGGGCGCTAATGCAGCGCGTGCATGGCGGGATCGGGCCCACCCATGTCGCTCCACTGCGATGTGCTCGATACCTAAGATAGAGGGCTGAGACCGAGGGCTGGGGCAGAGACGCTGGCCACAGGCAGAAGAATCATGTGCCGTGTGTGCCTGTCCTCGCGCATCGCCAGCACTGTCTTTCGTAGGAGTACATAATATTAGGTATTATTCTTCTTCTTACTACAGGTACCTTATGATAATGATGATGATGATGATCATTTGTGATGTCTTGTTCCTATTCGGAATAAAGTACTGATACAACTGAAAGAGACCCAAGGGGGCACAGACACTACTCACGGTGTGCTGGCACAGGAGCGTTTTACCGAACCAGACTTTGTCCATGATCCCGGCTCTAGATACTGTATGAGATGAGAGGGAGAGAGAGAGAAGGGGAGCGAGAAGGGGAGAGGGAGAGAGGTCGGGCATGGTCATGGCACTCCGCAGACTGCCAGTCTGCATGTCGGAACCACGCTAATGCCGTGAGACCGACACCGAAAAAAGCCAGACGTGGTTCCACGAGCTGGGTGACTGCAGGAGTGTGTGTCTGTGTGTGTGTGTGTGTGTGTCTGCACCACCATTGTTTCTTGCTCTGATGACAGCGTATGTACCTTGTTATATAGGTAGGCAGATACATGTATCGTGCGGTGGCAGTGTGAGACTGCGAGAGGAGAGACAAGACGTCGTTCATGTGTGATTATATACAGCACGCGGAGTGTCCTGCGAACGTACCTGACCTACCTAGCCCTCCCTGCAGGTGTCTCGTCCCGTCGCCGTCGCCGACGGGGTCGCCGCTGGGCGCTGGCCCACGATCTGTCTGGCCGGGGTCCCAAACTGATTGACAGGAGCGGCGGGAATGATGAGATACGGTACCTCTGATATTTGTTGTTGGTCAAGGTAGTCGGGTTCAGCCTTCAGGTACATGTACTGTACCTGTGCTGCCCTGCCCCAGACGAGGATGTGCACCTAGGCTTCCAAGAAAAACGAGCAGATGACAGCCACAAGCGCCGAGCATGGCGACGTACGTGACGGCTGTGCAACTGTCTCAGAACGCGTCCAACGTCAACAATCCCCTGACAGGTTGTGCATCCATCATCGCATCGTGCGGGCTAGCGGGCGTGCGTGTGGGCGTGCGTGCGCGCGCTACCTGAGGGATGGTTGAACCTTCGGCCGGACCGTCGCTGCAACACAAAAAAGAAAAGAAAAAGCAGTGCGCCCGCGGGATTCTCATCAGAGCCACGCGCGCGCGAGAGGGAGAGTCATCAGAGGCAGTCGATTGGAGGTAGTGAGGGAGAGAGAGAGACAGAAAGAAGGTAGACGGATGGATCCATCCATTCTGCATCCCGTCGGATGCAGATCTACGCCTGGACCCGCACTGTATACCTAGGTAGACTAGTAGACTCTAGAGAAAGTAGGTAGTGGAGACTCCGACTGGAGAGAGTATGTAGCTCCCAGAGCGAGAGAGAGAGAGGGCGCGCGCGCTAAGACTTTCGTTAGCCGAAAAAGATTGCGCTCCGGCCTTAGCCTGTGTGTGGAGAGAGGACGATTACGGTTACGGTTACGGTTGCGGTTGCGGTTGCGGGTCCATTATTTGCCGCGACACCACGGGCGGGTACATACATGACTGGGCTTGCACGATCGCGTGAGTCTCGTGAGAAATCTACCTCCGTACCTCTACCTCCTACCTTACTCTACTACATGTACCTACCTCCTACTACCTACCTAGTACTGTCCTTCCCCTTTGTACTGTGGTACTGGCTGGATGGGTCGATCATGACCTACCTACCTACCAGGTATACAGTCTATACTCTCCTATATGTACCTTTTTGCTACGGAGGTACATGACAGCACAAGGTACATGTATATGTACAGTACCTTTTATGTACCGCACCGGCCTGACGTGACGTGTTCCCCGCAAGCCCGCTGCGGCAGGTACTCGAAGATCTTGTAGCGACGGCCTGTACTTATCACATGATCCTCAGCGGCTACCTACCTACCTACCTTACCTACCTACCTAGGTACTGACCTTACCTCCTAACTCCATCGCTTTATTATTCTCGAATACCCGTACGTCCATGGTCATGCCCGTCTTCCATACCTATGATTACATGTATCCGAGGTATTTAGCATATCCCCAGAAGGCAGGGCAAGAGTAGGACAGGGACAGAGCAGCAACAGGGCAGGCCAGGCAAATGCATGTCAGCAATACATACATACATACATCGGTACAGTACATACATGATTTTTAAGGTTGATGCCGATTTTCCGGGTAGAATGATGATTCCAATGTGATCAAGAGGTTGGCTTTCTTTCCCAAACTCTGTATTTGATTACGTCTACAACCCCCCCCCCCCTTCCAGCCCCCGGCCCAACCCACTGAGCCCAGCCACACACCATGCACTCCCGTCCCGTCCTTCCAACATGGAAGTTCCAATGCCAACGTGGAAGTTCAAGGCCAAAAACACTATCGACGTCGGCAAATGAAAAACCTACTGTAGTCTGTCCATCTGTTTAACATCCCCGTCGGACATGCAGCTGCTGGATCGGGGATGTTTGTGGGAGGTATTTTTGGCGCTTTGGTCCTTGGACAGCCTCATCTTTTATTGCGACGGATTTCCATTTTCTATACACCGATTGATTAAAATGCCCGCAAAGGTCCAAGCACGGCACGGTTCGTTCGTATTCTCATGCTCTGTACCTACTACCTGTTCGAAGGTAATTCATCTGTTGTCTCACAGCCCTCGGCCGAACACTTTTGGACACTGTGCAGCTGCCAGACACGTGGGAATTTTAAGCCACTGTTTCATCTTGCCTAGACTTTCCTGCGGGAGGGGCTTACGGGCATCGCATTTCGATGAAAAAGCTTCCACGCGCACGCAACATCACGGAGACTACCTGGTAGCTTATACAACGCTCTAATTTGTCCGCTGTGTGTGAAGCTAGTACTAGTGTTCTGCACTCGCTCCCGTTCATTTGTTGTTATTGTTGTTGTTATTGTGGTTCCCCTCCCCTCGTGCTACAGGATCAAGAGGCTTTCGTTGTGGCCTTGCCAATCGCGATCAGACGCTTGACACCAACCTACATCACACACAATTAGCGACTGTACCGTAGAGCGAATAAGCATGCAACTCACCATCCAGTGTGTTCCCTCGGTCTCCAGCTTGGTCTGCTGCATCTCGTTGAAGCGTGCTTGCGCCTGATCAAAGTCTTTCTGCTGAACAAGCTGTGCGATTTGTACCATCTGTTGCACAGTATCGGGCTGAAGCAGATCTTCATTGTTCAAGTGATCAAACAGGATGTTGATTCGCTTTTCCATGTCGTCAACTTGAGGCTTGAACGTCTGCGGCGCAACCGCCTTGATGCGGCTCACTTCCGGCGTGAGCAAGTCCACGATGGGCTGTGCGCTCGCTGGTATATGCGATCGGTCGCCACGAGGATATTTTGGCTGTGCTGGCGTCGATGGTACTTGTGGTTGAGGAGTCACAGCTGGCGGTTCCTCTTGCTGCGGAGTGGGGAGCTGTTGCGCAGCAGGACGAGCCGGAGGTGGTCCACTTGACATTTTGGGCATACCACGCGGAGGGCCACTTGGTGGCGGGCCGACGGGCGCTCGAGGTGCTGCTGCTGCCTGTGGAGGTTGGCCATATGGTGCCTGTTGTGGAGGCGGCTGTGGCGCGTACGGCCCTTGAGGCTGACCCTGGGCTTGATATGGATTGGGCGCAACATTACGATGCTGTGGCGCTTGGCCGGGTAAAGCAGATGGCTGCGCTCCGGGGGCGGGTGCATACCTGTTCGAGGGAGTCGCACTCGATATTGAAGGTGGTGGCTGGTAGGGTGAAGCACCTCGTTGGACAGGAGGAGCAGCTGGCATGGGTAGAGTAGAACCTTGACTCTGTGACGGCATTTGCGGCGAGTAGGCGTTGGCGGCAGAAGACGGGCGCTGGATTGGGGGTGGCATAGGCGCAGCAAGTGGGGAGGTCACACGTGGCGGCCCCTCACCAGCTTTTGGTGGCGGCGGTAATGGCGGCGTCGGTTTTTGATAGCCGTAGGCAGTTGGAGGGCCTGGTGGGGGCGACATCACGTTCTGAGCGCCGGGGAAAGGAGCAGCCACTGGTTGCGGACCAGGCGTATTTCGTCGAGGTGTTGGCTGGCGCTTGTCAAGGAAGCCTTCTGGCATATCGTTCCAGTCTCCCGTCTTCTTCGACAGAGCTGCGGGAAGGACTGCGGGAGAAGCAGTGGAGCCTCGAGGCGGTGGTGGTAGAGCAGCCTGTTGCTGAGGTGCCTGGTATCCCCCATACGCTGGTTGGCCATACGAGAGGGGTGTCTGCGCGGGCGTGTAGCCAGACGGAGCGTACGCATTGCTGGAAGGAGCATACGGGTTCGTTGACTGTTGGGCAGTTGCATTCATGCCAACGGGAGCATATGGCGACGCTGTTGGGTTGCGAGCCTGGTTGATGAGAGGTGCAGGCTGTGCTTGGGCCGGCTGTACAGTTGGTATTGGCTGGAATGTGCCCACTGCTGGCTGCATACGGCCACCACGCTGCGCTGCGGCAGGCTGTCGTGCTGCAGCAGTGGCCTTTTTCGTCGCTTGCTTGATACGTTGCTGAGAAGTTTCCGCACCTGCAAATTTGGAGGGCAGCAAGTCAAGATACCGCTCTGCAGCAGCGAGTTGGCCGTGAGATGCGAGTATGTCGGCGTACTCCGCATAGAGACTATAGAGTGGTGCCAGTTTCCAATCCGCCGAGGCTTGCAACTCGGTATCACTAAATTTGGTAACCTTGCGGAAGACCGAGACCTTTTCAATGAACTCTTGCAAACATTTGGCGTGCACCGAAAAGCTGCTGTCAGACTCGGACTTCTCCTGCGCATCCTTCTCTTGTTCCTCAAACTCGGCGACCCAGTTGATAACGACCTTCTCAAGTTTAGCACCGGCAAGATAGCAGAACGAGGCGTCGCGTCGTAGCGTCTTTGGGCCATCGCCGCTCTGAAAGGCTTCCTCCAAACGATCACCTAAAGTTTCACAAAGGTCCGGGAACTCTTTCTCGTCTGCATAGGTGCACAGTGTGGCCATCACTTCCTTCCAATCGTTTAGCTCAGCATTGTGTACGACATCCCACAAGTTCTTGCCGACAATGCTCGCAAGCAGCCGCAAGTAGTTCGGCCCATCCGTCTTCTTCTTTAGGTACGCGGTCTGTGCTTTATCAATGCATTGTTGACCACCACACACCGCAATCATAAATGCGTCCGACATGCGATCTTCCTTCAGGCAGACGTCCAATGCCTTTTCAAACTCGCCCAGCATTAATGCTTGTGTAATGCTCTTGTCTGCATCAGACTCTGATCCGGTGTATATCTTGAACGGGTTGTTGACCTTGGCGCCCTTCGAACCTGCTAGATTAGCAAGGAAATTGTCCTCGCCAGCCCCACCGCCAAAGAAATCGTCGTCCGCAGTGCCATTCGTTTGATTGTCTCCGTTGACTGCAAGCTTCTCTGTGGCCTCGGACAGGTCGTTGGAGGAGCTGTCCTCGAAGCCAAGGTACTGCCTGAGCTGTTTTCTCGAGCTCCCTGCGTTGAGTGTGTCAATCACCTGCCAATCAGACTTTTCTTCGTCAGTTTTTGCGTCCGCGATCTTAGTAGCGAGAATATCCTTGAGATCGCTCGAGCCGAGCTTCTCCTCAAACTTGACTGTAGCTTCTCCGATGGTGCTGTCGACTTCGTATGTGTCAATTGAAACCTTGCTTTTCCGCGATGCATCTGCGCCAACGCGTATGAGCTTGCCGCCAAAACCAAAGGAGACAGCAGCAGGTCTCTCGGCCCACTTGGGCGCTTTTGGCAGATTGAAGGAAATCCCCTGTGGCTGTGATTGTGCCTTGGCGAAGAAGTCCTCGCCATCAAGGACTTGGTTGGTTGATCCTTGGTCTTCTGACTTGGAGTTGGTGCTCTGTGTGGAAGTGATCAGAATCTTGCCATCAAATGAGGCGCTAGCGATCAAGCTCGGATTATGCGGATTCCACGTAGATTGAAACGCCCAATTGGACCCAGCCGCGAAGTCACCATATCGCTCGCCCGTCTTGGGATTCCAACAAATGGTCCGGTTATCCTTGCCGCACGAGAGGAGCAGTTCTGGGTCCTGCACACACCACGAGAGGCCCAAGACACCCAGCTCATGACCCTTCAACGTTCGTTCGGGCGCGCTGCTGTTCCGCAGACTCCACAAGAATATCAGCGGCTCCTGGTCATTGGACGTGGCTGTTGCCAGCTTTGTGCTCTCTTGCGGGTCCCAGGCTACTGCGCTTACAGCCTTGCGACCTTGATTATTCAGGGTCAGAATGTCCCGCTTTTGCTTAACATCCCAGACCGTGACGAAGCCACCGCTGCTACCAGTAGCGAGGATGTGTGCCGTCTTCTCTTGCTTATTCCAGTCAAGACACTCAATGTCGTCGGCTCGTGCCACACTCGCTCCCAATCGAGAAGCGTTGGCCATGTTGTTCAGATCATAAATGTAGATCTCGCCCTTTGCGCCAACAGAGGCCAGCATGTTGTGTCTGTAGGGGTTCCACTGGAGAGCTCGAGCGCTTCCGCTGTGCTTCGTCGTTCGCGAGATGAAGGCATCCGCAGAGCCATTGCGGAGCTTCTGGGCATCCCACAGATCCACGCTGCCATTCTCGAGGGCACCGGCAATCACACCCAATGGATGGTTGTCGTCCGGAGCGCTCCAGGCGATATCGTTAAAGCCCGAGTCCGTGGTGATGCTGCCAGCTGGCGTCAATTCGCCGTCGGCGTGCAGCTCATTGAGACGCAGATCCCACAGTTCCAGCTTGATTTCGCTGGAGAAGTCATCGCCGACAGCGCCCGCCCTCGTTCCCGTGACCACGAGCGGGGCTCCGCTGCCGGGCAACCAGGCGAAGACGGCGGTGCGTGGAATCTCACGCAGTCGAACCATGGTGAGAGGGGCGGTGGAGGTAGAGGTAGAGGTAGAGGTGGAGGTGGAGAAGGTCGAGGGAACAGTCGTCGCGCAATCAGATGTGTTCGCACATGTGCACAAGACAAGGAGAGAGACTGTGGACAAATAGATCCCCTGAAGGGTACGTGAGGCAAGGTCGGTCAGTGGTGAGTGAATATAAGCTGCTGGGCTGTGGGAGACGTTTCCATCTACACGTATCCTGTGCCGGACCCTGAACGCCGGTTTCCTCCCCACTAGTGACAAGACAACCTACGTGTGCCTTACCTACCTTATACATCCATACCTTACAGGTACATGAAGTTATGCTAGAAGGCTTCTCATACCTGTACCTAAGGTATTTGCCAACAGCATCCATCACACGCCCGCTGCCCTCGCAGACCAAGTCCAGACATTGAAGCCCTTCGCCATGACCGACGTCACCAAACAGATCAAGACCGTATTCGTCGGTGGTCTCGATCAACAAGTCACACAGCAAACTCTCCACGACGCCTTCATCCCCTTTGGCGACATTACGGACGTGTCATTACCCAAACCAGAACTGCAAGTACCCATAGTTTCGATCATACATAAAAAGAACAAAAAAAACGAGAAAAAAAAACACCCCCTCCCCACTAGAACTAACCCTCCATGAACATTCACACAGAGCATCAAACAAAGACCCCCACCGCGGTTTCGGCTACGTCGAATTCTCTCTCGCAGAAGATGCTCGCGAAGCAATCGACAACATGGACCAATCCGAACTCTACGGCCGCGTGATCAAAGTCAATCAAGCCAAACCACAGAAGAACCGTGACGAAGGCCTGGGGAGTCGGACTGCAGTGTGGGAGCAGGTATGTATTTTTCTTTCTTCTTTCATTTCTTTTTTTTTTTTTTTTTTGCGTTAAAAACAAACATCAATATGATGGTTCTTGCTGTGACTTGGATAAGTACATAAGGAATAACAAGTATGTGCCTCAACACAGGAAGGTTATGCCGCCAAATACAACGTCGATGACAACGACAACGACAACGACGTTGGTGCTGGTGACAATGCACAGGGAGGACGGAGTGGTACGGACGATGCGATGCAAGGACTCGAAGGTCTCGCTGAAGCTGGACCGAGAATGCAATGAAATTATTATTCTTGCCACGGGTTGCCAGGCAAAATTTCAGGTATTGAAAAGAAAGTTCCTCTTTTTTTTTAGCGCGGCGCTCGGGCTGGTCTTATTAAAGCTGTTGATATGCTCTTTTGTGCCACAAGTCGTACTGTCGCACTTGGTGGGTATGGGTGGATATGGCCCAGCAGGATTGCTACCGTACTGTCTCGGAGAACTGGAGTAGTATGTGAGGTACAGGAAGAAGTCTTCACCCCGGGCTACGAAGGCTTAAGTATCTAAGATAATAGAGCCATCTTGCCTTTCCGCTTGCATTTCAACGAAGACGCATGCAGATGAGGTATCTTGCAACAATATCCAATGTGTCAGACGCGCCAATTTCACAAAATTCACTGGGTATCCTGCCTCCAATACATCGACAAATCTTTATTGTGTTCACATTATTACTCGTTGCTCTATTGCGCAGCTGCAGCTGCAGGTCCAGCATTTGCTTGTGGAGCGGCAGGTGTCATTCGTCGGCCCACTACAGCAGAACATAAATTAGTAGGCATAGACATAATACAGTTCTGTTTGACGTACTGATACTGCGGCTGAAGAAGCTGATGCCAATCATGAAAGCCCACGATGGGATCATCGAGAAGTAGTGCACAGCATATCCCAGAGGTATTTGCAGACCATATTCCGCGAGGGGTCCATCAAAGGGGTGGAAGTAGCCCTCGTATGGCTCAGTCTCGAGGTATTTTTCTTCGAGATGGAGAGCAGCAATCTGAGGAGCGGTCACAGTCGTGCTGTTTAGCCTGATGGATCGCACAGTCGATGCTGGAGTCGATTGATCGGCCAAAGGCTGCGGCAGCTGGAGGTGAAGGATGCTCGGCGGCGATACAGCCCATGCGTGGCAGAGAACGCCATCGGACTCACAATCCAACAGCGCAAGACGCGGCGGCGGCGGGTTGGTCGACGCTGCGAGCAGTAGAACGGACTCATTAAAGGCAGTCTCGGCACGAGTGCACCTGCCATAGCACGTTTTGTTGCCTCCAGTCACGAACACCTCCCAGGTCTCGATGCCGGGCGCCGCGGTCGATGCACCGGGCTGGATCAGGTCCTTGTGATTTTCGAGCGTGAGGCGCTCCACTTTGAGATCGACGACCGTTGCAGCAGCGGCCGCGACAGGATCGGCGACAGAAGCTTGTGTCGATGCCTTTTCAACCACAGCGCTCACACTAGCAGTAGCTCTTGACAGCCAGCCCTTGACGCGGTCTGCGACTTGGTCGAGGATGGGAATCTGCTGTTGGGCTGCAGCGAGCGCAGGAAGCGCGAGAATGAGAGTGGAGGCGCGCATCGTGAGTGGTGGTGTCGCGTCGAGCGTACGCGGAGCGAAGGGTGAGGTGAGGTGAGGTGAGATGAGATGAGATGAGATGAGGTGAGCGGAGCGGAGCAGAGCGGTGGGCAGGATACAGTAGGTAAGGTGGGTATCCGTCTGTCTGTCGGAGGTCCGGGGAGGTGGGAGTTGGAGAAGGGAGCTGTTGTGGATACGCGTCAGGATGGGACAAGCCAGCAAGCGAGCAGGCAACCGTCGAGCAAGGAACGCGAACATGATGCACTTACCGTAGCGGTGCAGAGTCGGCTCTGGCACGCGAAGGGGGAGGGGGTTCGTGAAGGAGATGGGAGATGGGAGTTGGGCGGTGGGCGATGGGCGGAGGGTGCTGAGAAGGAGGAGGACGACGACGAGGACGACGAGGTGGAAGACGGAGCTGCTGGGGAGAGTCGCGCGCGGAGTGGAAAAGTGAACGAGCGCGACCTCCGAACGTCTGCAGGGTTCAGAAAGAGAGTTCCACAGTTCTAGAACTAACACCAGGCGCTGTTCGTTCTAGCGCAAGGCATATACAACCAACCATACGCTTCCAAGATACGCTTCATTGCTCGGTGCAGCACGACTGTTCTTGGGGCCAATTTACAATCATTATTACCTTATTGCCTTAGGTATTCACAGCATCGCTTTCATGCAGCCATCAATCATACCTGCCCTGGGTACATATCCCGCGCATCACTCACTCACTCACTGCTCAAAAACGCCGGTTTCCTCAACTCCCGTGAAAGTGGAACGGCAGCAGCCGCTCTTATGCCATGTTTCGAGCCTCATCATCACCCGTCTCCGTCACATCGCCCTCCACTGCTCCGCCTTGGCCTTCGCCTTCTCTCAAAGTCTTAGGCATGCCCAGATTGGCTTGGAAGCTCCACCAACAGTTGGGGGACTGCAGAACATACTGCATCATGGATACCCTGAACCTGTTTCTGTAGTCCTTCGGACTGGTGATGGTCGGCTTGTTCTTGCCCCGATCTTTGATCCAGCTCTCCAGTTTCTTGTCCCATGTATAAGTGCGTATACAATCAATGATGCCAACCACGAGCTCCTTGCGTGTGTCGTCAAACCCGGCCATGAGACTGTAGTCCATCACGTTTTGCTTGCAGAGCCAAAGGGTGTCGTTGAAGACGGATGCCTGCAGGAGCTTTCGACTGTGCTCGCGAACAAACAAAGGGGATTCGAAGATCGTTTCGACCAAGTTTTCATCCAAAAGAACTTCGTCTGCTTGACCTGTAGACTCAATTTTGCGATTGCGCATGCTGCCTTTCAGATCAAAACGGCGGTTGGGGCTCCGCTCGTAAAAGAGATTCTCCATGACTAGCAAATAGTACGAGAAGTCGACCCCTGTGGCAGGATTGCGAATATTGACCTGGAATAGACCAAACATCTTGGCAATCACACTGGGGACTCCATGAAACAAAGTGTAGCTCATGAAGTTGAAGTAGTCTGGCGCAAATTTGGTGAAGGCTTTCAGCTCCACTTCCTGCAAGCTCTTGATGATGAAGCGCCCGTCCAAAGTGCGGAGGAAGAGAGATTTGGTCTTGCCACCTTTGGAGTCGAACTTCAGACAGCGTGACATGGACTCCATGAAGCGGTCTGCGACACCACATCTGCGTCGCAATGCATCGAATGATTCAGCATAGAAGATCTTGCAGCTGGCCTTGACCTGCCCATGCGCGAACGAATACTTCATGTGCGTGGCCGTATCGCCCAGCAGACTTGCTTCGATATCCGCCCTCTGCCCTTCCTCTTTCGACAGATTTCCTGTGCTCGCCGTGCTCGCCGAATGCGCATGCGTATGTCCATGCTTTGCGAGTGGTTGACGGCTAGGCGCACTCCGGAATCCTTTCTCCTTTGCTCTGTAATCGGCACAAGCTAAAGACAGCGCAATGACAGAAGAAGGTTCATCTTCGCGTACGATGATATCAGAGTCTTCGAAGACGTGCTCAGTCGCATGAAGAGGATATTCCAGATTGGCCCAACCAGAAGCAGACCGTTTCGACCAGAATTCCGCCAAATATTTGAACCACTGGTTCTTTCTTTGCTCACCAATCTGTATATCCGCTCCAATGTCATGTAGATCAGGTCCCGAGGGCGATGGCGATAAGATGGACGAGGAAGGGTCAGAAGCATCTCTTGATTGCTGATACGTGTTCTCGCCATCGCTTGTTTCATCGTCAGCGTCGATAGCACTGTCGGAAGCCAATGCGGACTGTGCGCCAGGTTTGTCGATTCTGTTCCCGCTATCCACAGCATGCCTTTCGATCTCAGTATGAGTAGTTCCTACGGGCTGTTTGTCCGCAACGACCTCATCCATGTCGCGACGCGCAGCCTCTCCGCGATCCAGCTCCTGTTTCACGTCTTGTTGGGTGGGTCCCTTCTCGCCAACAGCATCAACGGCGCTCTGATAAACCTCGACGACAGGTCTACTGCTGGCGAGGGGGTTCGCCCTCGCCTGGCGGCTTCTCATCGCCCTCTGCCGTCGCTCCTTCAAGCGTTCCTTCTCAAACTCGCGAGACATTTGTTCGAAGTGCTTCGCTAGAGCCGAAACTGTGGTCGGCAGATTATCTTCTTGTTTGATAGGTATGGAGCGCGGAATAAGGGAGGGTGTGGCCTTTCCAGCCTTGCTTGGAAGTCGCGCAGCAACAAGTCTTTCACCGATACGTTTGTCGATTCCATGTAAACCTCTGCCACCGGGCCGTTCCAGACCAGTGGCCACAGAGTCAATACTGTGGCTATTGTTCGCTTCACCAACACCTGGCCGTTGCGCATGCCCTGGATGTCCAGGTTGCGACTTCGCTCTAAGAAGTGGCGGAGGCACCGGCCCAGCGTGGGGCGTAGGACTAGGACTAGGATCTCGGTTCTTGTGCTGCAGATCAGCCAGCCTAGGTATCTTGGTCTCGGGCACTTCTTCCAAGCCGCTGATTCCTTTGTTGTTCCTAATCTGCTCAATTCTCTCCAAAAGCCCGGAACTCAATGGCTTGGGCTGGATGGCAAAAGCTTCTTCTTGCGGTTGGCCTTCTTCGGGAGTTGGGGCTGGACTCTTTCTCGGAGACAGTTCATCCAGCGTGTCGCCAACAAGGACAGGTGGGGGCGACTGACTGGGCACGGCGAGATCCAGATGCTTTACGTCGTCGCGTTGTACTGCGTCTTCCAGATCTTTCCTCGGCGTGCTCGTTCTGGTGAGCTCATCGCCCAGCAATAGACCAGGATCATGGCTTTTGACCGGCCGCAGCGATTCACTGTCGTCAGCAGCAGCTTTGTGCTCCTCCATAGCGCTAGAAAGCACATCTTGGGCCTTTTCATTGAGCAGTTCGTCTTTATTGCGGGTTTTGTTCCTGACACACGTCGTCTCAGTCCCATCTTCGATGTCACTATCAACTTCAGAACCGATGACGTTGCGTGCAGGTTGTGATTCCAGGAACATTTTTCTCATCTGGTCGACTGCGATCTTGCGGATGTCTGCTTCGGAAGGAAAGTATTTTTCCTCAAATCTCGCGAACTCATCGTCCCAAGCGATGGCTTTCTCATCCATAAACCGCAGGGCCCTATTCAGCGGAATGAGCTCATAGTACCGGGACTTGGCGTATTTGAGGCGCAGTTTCTCTTTGAGCTCCTGTTCGTCGGAATCCAGTTTGGCTCGTAGCTCTTCGACGAGTGCGTAAGCAGCTTCTGCGGTCTTTTCATTCAGGTTGTCCACAGTGATGGTATCCAATCGTTGGCGTACAGAATTGGTAAAGGCTTCCATGCGCTCCTCGAAGTGCAGATACTGTTCATTTTTCACAGTCAAGTCTGCTTCCACCTTCCACGTCACCTGTGCTGTGGGCACTATCACGTCGTAGATAATGATCGGGTCATACTGAACACGGACAACCGTGTCCTGATATCCAAAACATCGCAAGAAGTCCCGATGAATGTCGTGCTTACAGAGACCAGCACGCGGATGAAGGTGACTACTCCAGAAGCTCAGCTCGAGATATTTGGCGAAAGAGTATTTCCATGTTTGCGAGCTCATCTGGGTGACTGTCGTCTCATGGTCGCAAATGCGACAAATGGACCACATGAGGATTGAGTCTCGCATTCCCTGCACCTTCGTCTGCTGCCGCGTTGTCGAGACCGTAAGCTGCCCGTACCCATGCACATACTGTCGGTTGTGGTCTGACATGTTCTTGCTGCAGTGCAAGCAGGTCTTGCCAGCTGAGAAGCACATCTCCTGGACATATTGTCCCAGAGTCAAGTCCTCGTCATAGTCAGGATCTGCCCGGTTGTATGATGCATAGAATCCCAGCCCCAGCAGCTCCGGACCTGTGCATGGCGCACTGGTGATACTGGATACAGTGGAATACAAGACCACAATCTTCTGATGCGAAAATGGGTCGAAGGGGTTGACTTCACCATTCTGGAAGGTCTCCCATTGCCGTTCCTGGATGTCAAAAGTGTGCTGTGCCTTTTGCAACTGAGCTTCATGTACTGCGTGCAAGTACTCACGGACGGCTTTCGGTTGATCTTTCGATGCTCGTGCGTTGACCATATCAGGCCTGACCAAGCTGAAGTTTTCCACGACTTCAAGCTCATCGTCTTTGTCAGTGAGCTCATCGCCCTCCTCGTCCGCAGCAGCATATTGATCGCGCAACATCTTGTATGTGGCAAGCTTGCGTTCCAGATCTCGTAGCTGGGTCAGTAAATATGGCTGCATGAATACGACAAATGGGGATGCCGACAGGATTTTCTTGCGCGATTCCTTCTCCTGTTCTTCATACTTGAAGTGCAGATCTGCATTGCCATCCTCAATCTCTTGCTGCAAATGCCGTTCTTCGGCAGGCACAGTCCCATCACTTCGATTCTCGCGCGCCACAACTTGTCCTGCGACAGAGCGCGGGATGGACACGAACTCGTCCCGCATCAGGAAATTCTCGAGCTTCAGGTTGTACGCCACATAACACATGAACTCTGCTATTCGCTTGACTTTGCGCAGAACTTTAGTGTCCGCGCCTCGCAACACCACTGTGCAGCCGAGGTCGGGCTGGCAGCCAGAAAGATAGATGTAAGTCTTGCGAACGCCCTCAGTCATGTACGTTTTGACATCAAAGCTGTCGCACCGTCCAAGATCGTCCGGGCTGAGCATGGTCAGTCTGTCTACCGACTTGACTGGGCTAGTCATAGTCACACGGGCAATTGCCGCCAGGACCGATTCCTTGATGTTGAAGGCGACGGTGATGTTGGCTTCTTCCAGCATAAGCAGAGCCTTGCCAGATACGTGCTTCTGCACCAGCAACACATTCGGTTTCAGCTCAGCAATGCGCTTGACAAGGTTGGCGAGATATTCTGTCTCTTGTGCAAGGATTGGCTCGAGGCTCATGAAGTGAGCTTCGTGTCTAGCATACTCAATCGAGAAGTTGACGATGAGGATTTTCGGATCGGTGAGTGTGCGAGCCATCGATTTTAAGGCGATATTCTTGCTAAACACAATACCAGATACATAGCCAGTATCTCTTGGCCTGCCGCCCGGTATCTTCTTCAGCTTGATGTAGTGCCTAATGTCCATGTCGTCACCCGCCTGTACATCTGGCTCCACATCATTGGTGCATTGCAGCAATACTGGAAGTAGAGCTTGATGCCATGTATGCGCGTGCGGGACCCGGGCATCTCTCAGCAATTGTGCCAGTAAATTCCTCACATGCTCCTCGCTCGCAGGATACAACTCAAGGTCATCGGTAGGCCGGTTCTGCTGCAAAGCAGGACTGTAAGTAACCTTGGCGTGGGTAGTCTGACCGGAGGGTGTTCTTGGTCCCGGGCCTAATTGTGTCGCGTCGTTGGTAACGGCGTTCCTATTATGGCTCCCCCACGGAGGCGCGTGAGCTATGGATCCACCACTAAAATGTCGACTGCGCGGTCGTATAACCTCACCCTTGACACCCTGTATGCTCGAGCCTGGCGCGACGCGCCGTTCAGTGCCTCTTGAGCGGCCTTTCCTGACGCCAGGAGTCAATAATGCAGCAAAGGCTAGCTTGTCACGCTCTCCAGGCGATGCTGCAGGGCCATCCAGGGCGGCCATAATGCTTTGATGCTGGCCATCTTCAGAACCATCGTCTGACAAATAGTCTGCCAGATCGGGATCGATTATGTTGTCCTTGTGAAAATTTGGAAGCTGTCGCTTCTCAGCTCCCTCGATACTGACTTGGTGGAAGGGCCCTCGTTCGATGTCTGCACTGGAACGAACCGGATGACTGCTAGGGTGGTGTTTAGAATGCCGCCGACGATGGCTCGAAGAGCGAGGCCTGCGACTGAGCGACAACAAGGAATGTGATGAGCTAGGACGAGCCAATGTGCGCGAATCATCAAATTCGAGTACAGCAGAGCGGCGCTTTGCTTCACGATTCCGTCGAGACACTGGGATCCCTATGGTTGGTGTCATGACCGCAGTGTCCATTCTACTGATTGCCGGCCCACCAAATCTTTCGCTCATCTCGTCCTTAGCTGCAGGACGAGCTTGCAGAAGTGAAGTTTTTGCGTAATCGTCGCGATCTTCGTCTGTTTCCTCCGATGAGTCATCGCTGCCAATCATCATACTCTCGCATGGCTTGCATAGTCGGACTTCACTTGCTTGTCCGAATTGTCGGCCAGGATGAAGCGATGTACATTTGGCGTCAAAGATCTGACCACACGTTCGACAATGATGCTTGCGACGGAACGTCGAGAAGCTTTGGCCGCAAGAGAAGCACACTTTGGCACCCTCATCCTGCATCCAGAATTTCTTGTCGAGGACTCGGCGCTTCCCATGTTGAGGCTGGGACTGGGACGATCCAGGTGCGGACTTCATGGTTGACCTTTTGCGTCCAAGGGCGGTATTCAGGTTCGCAGCCGGATCTAAGCTTGCTTTTCTGAACGATGGAGCTCGGGAACTCGGCGCTGAGCTGCCTTCACTGCCATCCATAGTCGACGAAGCACGTGATGGATCAAAACCGGGCAGATGGGATACGCCCACTCGCAGCATGGGTGGCCTTTGCGGTGGTGGCTGATCGAAGGCGGCAGTTGTGAGCTCGGGCTTTCGCGCAGCATTTGCAGGCAGCGAGCGAGAACCGGTCTGCAACACAGTCTCCGGTTCGTCTCCGTATTCGGAGCCCTCGATGGCCTCTTCCAGGTCTCCTCGGGGTCGCACTGGGTGAAGCGATTTTGCCTGGTCTGTGAGTGACACTTTGTGATGTGACAGGACACGGGCCAAGGCCTCTGTACCTTCGGCGCTCCGATCGCCATTCTCCCAGGCGCTTCTTGCCTTCTCAACATCTTCCTTGGTCAGTGAATCGGTATCTATTCGGCTCTTGGCCAACGACGGTTGGATAGGAGCCTTGGTCAGGTCGAAGGATGGCTCACGCGAGCGTTTCGCGCCCACAGACGGTATCAGCTGTCCATCTGCAGTGTGCAGCTGTGGTGTATTGGCCCTACCTAGATGGGACTCGTCACCCGAGAAGCTGCGCATGTTTGGCGATGGCGGCACGGTAGGGTTGACGAGAGATAGCTGGTCTGGCACTGGCTTGCTGACACTGAGTCTATGGGTCGTCGCTCGAGCAACCAGAGGGGACGAGCCAGACTGCATCGAGCCCGTGTCGAGCGACTCTCGAGACTCGATGCTCTTCCGCCTTCTTCTGCCGCTTTCCTTGATGCTGCTGCTGCCGCTGCCGCCACCGCTGCCACCACCGCCACCGTCTTCCTTGCTACCATGCGCACCGCCGGCCACGGACTGGCGCAGCCTGTTGTACATGCCCGCGATGCCATTACTGACCAGCTCCTTGGCGCCGCTGCTCCTGCCTTCGCCATCGAAGTCGTGAAAAGAGGTTAGGCCGTCGGTTTTGGACTCGGCGGTGTGGATCTCGTCGAGTACCTGGGAGATGATCTCCTTGTCGGCGCCCTTCTTGGACGAGATGGATGCCAGCGAGCCGCGTCGAGATTTACGCCCACCAAGAAAGGGCACCAGTGGGTGTGACGGGGACTCGTTGGGGGCCATACTGCGTGCGGTCGGGGCATCTCGAGTGAAGACGACTGGATGTGATTGTTCACGGCACAAGCATCAGTAGAGGAGGAGTAGGGCGTTACGCATCTCCCTCATCATACCTCTACTATGACCTCTTCTTACTAGGAGGTAGGAGGTAATGTAGTACTCGGACAGGATCTCCCCGCCAGACAGCCACAGCTTGGAAGTTGACTTGAGACTTGAGACGCGATGATGCAGTTGCGACCGGCCCGCGTCGCCGAAGGCTTAATCACGTCGCGCTTGCCCTTGCGCTTGCGCTTGCCCTTGCTGTGTGCTTTCTCCAGTGTGGAAGCAACTGGAAGCCGCCAGCACCTGCCACACGCAAATGCACAACGGCACGCGACACGCCTGCCATCATCAACAATACCTCCGCCACGCGTCCGCACCGCATCCGTGTCCGCACTTCGACCGCGTCTGCCCGTACAGCTACTCTCACGGCGATGCTCCGGACGCCTTCACGTGACATCGATTATGGCGCCGAAGTCACTTGAGCCGTGGCTCGCGCACTTTCTGAGAGACGAGATTGCCGCTGTGATCGACTGGCAACGCCAAGCCGTCCCCGGTATCAAGCCTGACCCGGAGTGCCGCTTCAGCGACGACGGCAGCAATTTTCGGTGCGAAATCGAGACGCCGCCAGGAGCAGCGGAAGTGCAGCTCATCGAGGTCCTCACTGTCGGCAACGTGGTCACGGTATACGTGTCCGACGGCAATATCAAAGTGAAGGCCCGCTTGTCCCCAGACGCCGTTGCGACGTTCGAAGAAGAAACCGGCGACACCATCGCCCTCGAAGTCAGCGGTGATGTTCTGCAACTGAAGAAGTTCACCATCATCAGCACGCCCTTCGGACCCCCAGACGGCTTCGTGCAGTTACACATTGACGAACTGGAACACCGCACGCTGCTGCGGAGGACGTTCGGCAACCCTTCGCCTGTCGAAGAGAACTATAGCGTTCGCGTGCTTGTTGAGAGCATCAAGCAGTTGCGGATCCCTGAGGCGTCATCACAGCATGACCCGGACCGCCTACATCCTGAAGCTGATCTGCCGAAAGCAGCCAAGCCCAGCGTATCGGCCACCACCGTGAGTCCTCCTCCGCTAGCTATACAAACGCAGGCGCCTGCAGAGCCAAAGTCTCGAGGCCCCACTCTGCGTAGAGATGGATATGAAGTTGAGAGCGGACTCAACTTACAGGGGCCGGTGGGGCCCAATTTTCAAGGTAAACCAAACGCTGCTTCCAAGAAGCTGGAAGACGATTCACACTTGCTAGGATTATTCCGGAAAGTGAAAGCTCCCGCCAGTGTACCCAATGCCCATGCGGTCAATGTCAAGGCCCGGCGAACGTCGCCTGCACCGCAAAAGGCGGCGTCCGTAGTGAGCATCAGCTCTGCTACCCCTGCGAATGCACTGGATTCCGCGGCGTTGGTGCTACAGGATTCTTCCGCAGCCTCACCAAGACCTGCTGTATCTCCAGTGCGCTCTACCAACAGCGTGGCTGCAGTTATTGCTTCTCAACATGAGCCATCATCTGGTCAGCCATCCATTGAACCGCGACGAGGTGCCGTGCTCAAGGACGGTAAATCATTCTTCGCATATGCAAGGATAAAGGTGCCTGATAGTCAACGCAGACTGCTCGATAGCAACTCGTGGTTGCCTGCGTTGCCAGGAAAGCAGTTTCCGAGTCCTAATGTCCCTCGCGAGCTGTTAATACGGTGGAATGTCGAGGCTGCTGCTAGCGATACCGATCTCGCCGTATCCCAGCGCTCTGCTGCATCCCAAAAATCTGCACCTCTGCAAGAAGCGATGTCCGTCTCGGATTCTGACTCAGAAGGATCTGACACCGCCTCGCAAGAACCCACGCCTTCTCCGTCGCAGCATTGGCGCCCGAAATTAGCTGCTATTCCCCATTCGAGTGCTATCAATAGCACTATAGAAAGTGACGGATCTATGGCAGATGTCTCGAGGCCGTCATCCGCATCTCCTTTGCAGCGTGTAAAGCCTGTTCGTCCAGATCTCCCACCATCAAGCACCTTGGGAAGCGTTGTTCGCGCTACTCCGACCGATGGCGAATTGGAAGTGACCACGCCCCGTCCTTTGCCAAGCGGACGGCTGCCATACAAGAGAGGAGCTAATGAGCTGGTGGCACCTTCATCGAAGCGTCAAGCATTCACTCCCAGACATGCTGCGGTGACATCGGGTCCAGTGGCGGGCCTTCGCCACCCTCTGCCGAGTCGTCCTATGCTGCCACCGAGCCCCTCACCTGCGAGCGGACAGAGATCACCACAACATGCATCAAGCATCGGCATGCTCTCGCAATGTGTTCATGACACCCCAGCAAGGTCTTTCCAACAAGACTCCCCACGGGCTGCCACGAATTCTGTGGGACTGGTGGGCACTGAGCCGTCGCTTGCGAGATCTCATCCATCCCAGCATCCGTCCTCACGATCCTCTCAGCCCACGCCTGCTTTTCGAGAATCGGCACAGATGACCAAGCCGTCTTCTCTATCTGCAGGAAGGTATGCAACTACACAGCCGAAGCAGGATGGCAGGCGAGCCACTACGCCACCTGAACGGTTCAGTCATCCCGTAATGGAACAGCAGCAGGCACGAAAGAATTTTATGAACCAAGAGAGGCGAAAGAACTGGATGAAAACTCTATACATACCAGGAACTGATGACACAGTACGGCTCGGCACAGTGCAGCTTGCCACAGTGCTGGCCGAATACAAGAAAGAGCACCCCGGAGACTCTGGCGTGAAGCTAGATGACCTTCTTTGGGCAGCACAAGAAGTTTATGGTAGGACGGACCTGAGTGGGCCTGGCATCACAGCTACCACATTCTATGTGCGCAAGCCACCGACCCCGAATTTTTCCATTCAAGCAGAAGATGGAAGCGCTGTGCTTTTCAGGCGTCGCATTATGGACTGGTAAGAGTTGTGGCCTGTAAAGCACATTGAATATCGAATAACAGATAGAACAGGATCAGAAGTCGTTACGAGTGGGATGCCAAAGGAGACTGCCATGTAGCGGACATGTGGACAGCATACGCACAACATCTTGCATCGAAGCCAGATGCGGCCCTTCAAGCAGCCCACGGCATATTTCACAGCGCAGTCAAGTCCGCTTTCACAATGGAGGATAAGAAGAAGTATAATCTATGGAAGTTCACTGAGCTCCGAGATGATTCCAAAGCCGCAATGCAAGGGGCGGTGAAAACGTCGTCTAGCATGGCGACCAGCTCTGTCGTACCGACCAAAAACGGCCTTGCTCAATCGATCGGGCCGGCGAAAGTTTCCACCTCACCTACATGCGAACATGAGTAAGTATAACTCGCTCGCCATGGCTCGATCGATTAAGAAGCTGATCAGCTACAACCATGATCTTCAAGCATTGCGGACACTACACGATCTTCCAAGGAAGTGTCGGCCCCTGGAACGGTTGACGAAGGGAGTACTGATAGGAGGCATGGTCGTCCAAACCCTGTTTGGGGAGGGTCATAACATACTGACGTGTGCGGCAGACGGAGGCCTGGATTGAGTAGTAACGTGAGTATGGCGACCGAAGACGGATTCTCGGATTGTACAGACTCGATGGCCACATTTTGCGCTTCCTACCTTGAACTAGGATCTGGAAAGAGCAACGCCTTTGGCAGCGCTGTACCCGGCAAGAACACGAAGAACAATCTTGTTGATGTTCTCCGCTGGAATCTGTGAGAGAGAGAGTGTGTGTTAGTATAGTACTACGCCCTAATCCTGGTGGAGCGAGTACATGTCTCGATCGATACATTTCGGGTGTTGTTTTTGTTTAGCATGCCCACGGCACCATGGTCTTGACGACGTTCAAGATTGCTCGGGAGAGAGCGGACTTAATGTACTCGATTGATTGCGAGGTGACTTCCAGTCAGTGTTGCTGCTCAAACCCCTTCTCGAGTGCTCCTTTTCTCTCTCGCATACTGGCAATGGTTCCAGCCATTCTGCATACCTTGTTCCTCACTGGGTACCTTCTTCCTCACTAGGTACCTTCAGCATCATGTCTGAATCCGCAACCCATGTAGATTGGGCTTTGTAGGCGCAGAATACCGCTAGAGAAGCCAAGAAAAAAAGGGGAAAAAAGAAAAGAGCTTGATCACAGGCAGCAGCGCTGTATCGTCTGGTGAGTGGACATGCCACAATGCTTACTATAGTCAGACACTAGTACCCCCTACAACGCCATGCTATGCTCTCTCTAAGACGTCAAATAAAGATGAAGCCAAACCCTCAATCATACTACAAATTGCTTGAACCCCTCCAAGAGGCCGTCAGCCGTCTTCGTCACAACACTCCATGTAGGTTCGTTACGGTGCAGCTCATCGTATGCGGGAATCGCACCAGCCTGATTGACATCCGCCCAGCTGCACCATGCCCTTCCCGTCTGTCCTTTCGCGACACCCTTTGCGCTACTTGTCGAAGCTGCAGGCCAGGTCACATTGACCCGGAAGTTCTTGTCCCAGTCGCGACTGAAGAGCTTCACTTGATAGCTGCCGTCGTCGCCAACAGCCCGCTGTAATGGTGACGAAGCACCGCCTTCTACCGAGATAGACTCGACAGCATTATCAAAGGCCAGCCTGCAGATCTTTGTATTCAGTCCCCGCAGACTGAACAGGGCGGTGTCGCCGTCATGCGTGACATTGAGACTGAGCCACCGCTGATACGGCTTTTCCGTCTTGTTTCCCTTCTTCACAGACTCTAGCGCCTCATATCCCCTCGGCACCACATTAGGCGGAAGGCCATGCCATGAACAACTAACAAGCCCGTTTCTGTTCACCATGGAAGTGTCTCCACAATGAAAGGGCTGTCCAGCTGCACTTGGCATCTCCGCAATAACATCCTGGATGTAGCCGTCAAGCCCTGCCAGTGTCACGTTGTTCACACCCGAGTCCAAATCCATATGCTGCACAAAGTAGTACTTCATTCTCGCCTCCCGGGAAAAGGGAAAGGCGAGTAAGTTGTAAGCCAGGCATCCGATAAAGACGAGGAAGAGGAACGTCGGAATTTGGTATTTGAACCGATGGAGGAAGGGTGTCAGAGGCAGCAGAAGCAGCACTGTTATACTCGCCAGCAGAAGGTATATTGTCAGAACCGAATTGCCGTCTGCAGGTGTCTGATGAGTGGACGAAATGATGACCAGTCCGATTTGCCCGATAATGATGATGTTGATTGGCACGAGGATCAGGAACTGGAGAGTCCACGTCCAAGCAGGGAGTGAAGAGGACCAGGCCTGCTCGTCCAGGTACGCTCTACTGAGCAAGGGCTGGTCGGTATCGTCTGGTACCTCATCTCGATCTGCCCGGCGATGACCAAATGCAAAGGTCTGCTTACTAGCGCGATCATCTGCATGACTGAGCAGAGACGACCTTTCGGTCGGCTCGCCTGCATCGTCCGCAGCGGTACTGTCAAGCAATCTTCGCGAAGCCCTACTAGCTGGGCGAATGGATGCGGAGTCCGCTTGTGCAGCGAGCGCAATCTCGACGTACTTCTGCTTCGTCGGCAGTGCAAACAACTCAAGGTAGGAGATGAGGAGCGCGAGGTGTGCCGAGAAATTGAAGAAGACGAAATAGTAACCGCTCGCAATATGGAAGTTGTTCTCGCCCACCGTGGTGATGACCAGTGCGATCCAAGAGAATATGTAAAGCCAGAGTAGGCAGAATGCTCGTTGGAGTGCTGTGGGTCTGATGTTCGCAGCACCAGCCAATAGTAGCCAGGCAATCGCGAACCATGCTGAAGAGAACATCGCCCAGACTGCGTACTCCGAGGAGTAAACAATGTATGGGTTGATTTTAGTCACGAGATACGCGAGAAGTATTGTGATGCCAGTGGCAACGACACACCCAAACAGCCAACGGGACCAGCCCCGGCGGCCATGAAGACGAATGGCTTCATCGTCATCCGAGGAGCGCAAGTAGCGTCTTCCGGCGAAGAGGTACCACTTGTCGGCTTTGATCAGAAGAACCTCGAGCAGTATCAAGATGATCGGTCCCGCTACAAGCAGAGTGACCGATAGTGCGAACAGCGTGTGCAGTTTACCCACGAGGAACACCAGCCCGAGCAAGTCAAAATAGAACGAACTACTGCCTTTGCCAGTATCCAGCTTTCCATTTCTGTCGGCGCGGCCTTCGAAGTTGCTGCCGTGGTGGGAGGCCAGCTGCCGCACAGTCGCTATGCTTGCACTCAGCATATGCCACACGCTGTCTCTGCTGGTTTCCCTGGCTCCATCCTGGTCGGTATGGTATCTCGCTCTCGGCTCGTAGAAGGCTACGTCCAGTCCTCTCATGCCTTTGACTTGTTAGTCCACATTTGTAGTGCGAGATATTGCCGATTGTCGCATCAAGTGTTTCCCCACTCACCGAGTTCTTCTGTGAATACTGAGTAATCTGTGCCCTGAATTTGGTAGAGGTAAGCATGGTATCTCTGAAATTCCCGCATCGCTAAGCAGATGTTGTCTCGAGGCGCTCGAATGTAACATCGAGAACAGGCCATGCAGGCGATAAACTCACCGATCGAATGAAGCCACGTTTGAAGCCATCTCCGCTCACCACAGAACCGAATGGATGCGGGCTGCTTTTGTATGCCTTAGTCACTTCCGCATCAGTGCTTCGAAACCTAGAAGCAGTCGTCCGAAGGTCAGCAAAGGTTTATTGTAAATCTCTCGTTCCCACACAATACAGACATGCCTGGCTTGGAGCGTGAACGCATCCTGCCATAAGCGAGGAGGGTAGAGAATGCCGTGCCTCGTGGATCACTTACAAGGTGGCCCTTCCCCCAGCTCCAGCTCCCTCGAGGTTGAGAAAAGTATGGGCAAACTGTGCGACCGGGTGGTTCACGTAGTTACGGGCACCTACAGAAGCAATCACTCGAGGGTAAGCAGGTATGTCTGGAAACGCGAACCCGCCTCAACAGGTCTTCAGCTCCTTTGAGCTTGTCTCCTTGCCGAGCTCGAGCTTAGCAAGACATTGGGGAAAGGTAATGCTCCCGGACTGCTACAACTTACCGAACAATCCATTTTCTTCCGCGTTATTGAGGAGCGCGACAATGCCTCGTTTGGGTCGATTGCTCTCTGTCGTGAAGTGACTAATCAGCTGCAAAATGCTCACGACGCCCACTCCGTCGTCGGTCGCCCCAAATCCACTGGCCACACTGTCGTAGTGTGCATTCACCAGTACCCCGCTTTGTCCGTCGTAGCGTGTCGTGCCGTTCCACCAGTCGCCTTCCTCGTCTTGCTCGCCGCGGATGTACACAATCAGATTCGTGCTCTCGCCGTAGAGAGTGACAGGAGCGTGAGTCCAGTCATCCTGACTGGTGAAATTGGACGTGTCATTCGCAAAGACTGTCACCAGCTGCGGGCTTTCGTCCTCTGATGCGAAGCCTCGATCAGTGGCATACACCGTCTTGTGGCCGACTTTGTTCTTCACCAGGATGCTCTCCACTCGCTCTAGCAGATAGTCGCGCACGACGTCGTTTCTTCGCGAGCCCCATGGATGATAGCCATCGGAGATGAACTCGAGGTCGAGCCAGGCTTCGGTGAGATTGATGCCCGCGAGGGGTGTTGGAGAAGTCGGGGCGCTTGGCACCGTGGTGTGGACGACGAGAAGGACGGCAAAAAGGGCAATGTAGACGGCAGATGCCCAGAAGGTGACCTCTACAAGAAGTACACGGTAAGTAGGTCGAAGGGTGAGTGGTAGTTTCTAGGTATCTCTATGCACACGCAGGCTGGACTTACGCGTGGGGAGAAAGGCGATCGGATTCAACGAGCGAGTCTGTCCCATACCGACTGCTCCTTCGCCCGCTCAGGTCAGGCACCTTTGGGCAAGTGGGACGGCGATGCGGGCAGTAGGTAACATTGGAACGAACGGGAATGGGTGCTGAGCTGGGGTCTATCAGATCACGGTAACGCGGGTAGCTCCGACTAACCGAGCTTGCTTGCGGGAAGCTTGATCTGGATCCGCCGATAAAGTATTTGAAGAAAACGACATCATCCCTGCTCGCATACGACATCACGGGACTGCATTACTGCGGTATCCACGTCGGACGCCGCAGCCATCAACCTTGGCTGTGTACCGATGTACATCTCAATTGGATACCTATCAGATGTCGACAGTCATCACAGGCAGAACACAGTCAAGAACCTTGAAGGCTGATCTCTCCCTTTCTGTGCTATCGCTGAATGAACGCTGGGCTGAAAACACTGGGTATCGTTTCCCGGACTACAACATCAACTCCGCGCTTGCTACGCATACTGGCAAGGAACATCACCTCTCTTCTACTGTTGCTGATTCTGGTAGTTCGTCGTCTGCATCATGTTCATGTTCATGGGGTTCCACGTCGACTCCACACCTCCAAAGAGGCCTTGAATGTCGACGATGTCGGCCAGTGGCTGTTGAAATCCCTGCTGCCATTGTCCATTGACTGGCTGTTGCAACAACCCCGCCGTGCTTGCAGATGTGCCATTTGTGTATGGGATTGCCTGCGGCGGCGGCGGCGGCTGCTGCTGTGAGAACCCGCCGCCGAGCTGAGGCATGCTGCGCATCTGGTACTGCTGCTGCTGCTGTTGCTGCTCCAGGTATGGCGGCAACGTGTAGAATTGGGCTTCAATATTCTCGGTTGCATCCCGCCCAGATCCAGCAGGGCTCGAATTTCCGATGCTGTTGCTATAGGGCTGCTGGTTGGCATATCCCGCGTTCTTGCCGAATTGTTGATTGTTCTCAAACGTCGTCAGCGGCTGATTCGGGTATACGAATGGCTCATCTGCAGTCGGGAACATCATCGACGATAGCTCAGAAAGCTGAGGATTGGCGAAGTTGGGTGGCAATGAATACTGCTGCATCGCGCTGCCCATTGCATGTGATACACCTCTCTGGCCCATGGTGGAGAATCCGTTTGTGTCGTATGGTCCTGAGGTAGGCGTTTGTGGAGCATATGACGATCCGCCGCCCGACGGTGGCCAGGCAGCTTCATATGGTGACCCAATGGGAGGCGTGCAGCCGTTTGGTAAACTTGAGAAAGGCGATCTCTTGGCGTCCTGGGTGGTCATCGAGATTTCTGGGTGGCTGCGCGACGCTGGCGGCCCTGGTTGTTGAGGGCCTTGCTCGAATGTCCTCTTCTTGCTCGTGCTAGGATTCTGCTGGCCCTCCCGCAGCCACGCTGGCAGCTTTTGAAAGACGATGTTGAGCGTCGCTGTGCAGCGGTCGGCGGCCATGCTTCTCGACGACAACGAAGCGAGAACATCTCTTCCCTCTATGGCATCCTTCATTACTGCTTCGGTAGTAGGGTTGTCTGGATTCTCGGCGGCAAAATACACCAGGGCAAGGATTGAAAAGAAGGTGGTGTACATGATGAACCAGAAGGCACCATTCAGCAGACCTTTCTGCTTCATTTGCGATGCAATGTGAATGATGTTGCGTGATACATTGACAAAAGAAGCAGCGCACGCATATGCTCTCTGATCGACTGGTTTTGATCTTCTCTCCATGGCCGTGTAGTGGAGGAACGGGCGGTAGAGCAGCACTTGCGCATGTGCGTACGACAGCCGAAGCAGCTGCTGTACTCGAGCGTATCTGGGTGGTGCTTCACAAGGAGCCAGAATTGGTGGCAGACTCTTCTTCCACTCTTCCAATTCGCTCTCGATCTCGCGAATGCTGGAGAATGAGATAGAGTACGACTTATTCCCAACTCGTTGTGGCTCCGGGATCTTGATGGGGTAAATTTTACGCACGATCTTTTGCAGTATCTGCACCAGTCGAGTATGCGCATTGAACGCTGTCATTAGTGAGACCACTCCTTCGGGTTGCGGCAGTATTGCATCTCTGGTAATGAACTCGTCATCGACCTCAATGGGGAACTCTTGATCGACATCATCATCGCTCAGCGTCTGCGGCAGGCCCAGCATTGCACCGACATAGATATCCATCTTCCGAACGATCCAAAACACTCTCTTCCTGCTTTCCGCCTCAATAGGGTTGAAGTTGCCAGTAGCAGCGCGATGCAAACCCAGCCTCAGCGCTGATCGCAGGGCTACCCCAACGTAAGCATAGCATTGCGACATTTTGGCAGAAGACTGCAAGAACAAGATCATGAAGACTACCGCTTGGATCGATGAAAGATCTCTGCAGTCGGCGATATCCATGAGTCCACGAGCAGTCTTGAAGTATGTGAAGCCCTGTTGAATCGCGCTCTCATATCCGTCAAGGTCAATGACTGTTTCATCATCTTTGCCGAATAGACTGCCAAGGGCAATGGCACTATAGAAGAGAGGGAGGAACGAATTGTCATCGTTGGTGTAATTTTCAGCTGGAGTCGCATAGATACGCTCGAAGGCCTGCCAGTAGGTAGGTCCATGCACCATTCTCAATAGTGCGGCAGCATCATTGATCGCGTATACGCTCAGCTGCCTCGCCATCTCCTTCGGTGGGAGATCGACACTTGTCACAGGCGACAACTCGCCTCCGGGCGAGTCAAAAGCTGACCTGGGCGAATCCAGCACCTGTGACATCGGCCTGGTTTTGACAAACGGCGTTGCCAATGTCTCTGGGCCCATGAGGTCCCCTAGCTGCTCTCGCATTCGTCGAACGAAACTGAGACCAGACGAGTGGCCATGGTAGTCCCAGTGTCCGGACTCATCCATATCTAGCTGTGCTACAGCGCGAACCATGGACTCCAGGTTAGTGTCTGGTTTCTTATCAGCAGAATCCGGGGGTGCTGGCGGTGGCACTGCTGGCGGCAGTTTCGGTAGTGCTACTTCTGGCGCAATAGTGGTCGGATTGCCTTTTCCTGGAGCTCCTGGAATCCATCCCTGGGCCACTGCAGCATCGATCCCGGGGTCGTTCAAGTCGAGGTTGGGAATGAGGATATGCAACAGCGTCTCCGCGCGGTGCACTCGGTGTTCAAGATTCTCTACGTATTGTGGTGCGGGGTTCCTCCGTCGATTGGAAGGTTGATCATATGTGCACTCTGCAATAGGCGTCAGTTGGTTGCCCAGTTCGCGTACCAAGCGTGAGGTTCGATCCGGGCAACTTACCATAGCTGTACACGGTGCAATGGGTGCATGGCTGCTTGCCATCACACTTGATCTTCTTGCGCCGACACTCGTCGCAAGCTCGAGTCACACGCCGCCGTTTCTGCGAAGTGCCAGCAGCGTTCACAGCTGGGGCGCTCTTGCCACCGCCGAGGTCCGACGGAGAGGCCTGACCAGACTCCGTCTTGACTTCATGAGGGTCGTCGCCAGCAGATTCGGCGCCGCTGGCATAGTCGTCGGGGTCTTCCGGAGAGGCCTGGGCCATCGTCACCGCCTCCGCACGAGAGTGATTGTGTAGTGTCCGGAAGCGCGCAGAGGGCCAAAGGTGGTCAGAAGGAGCAAGCACTCGGGACAGATAAGCAGACAGGCATTGAGAACGGGCGCAGCCAGCAGCGAGTGATACCGTCGTACTTTACGAAGTACTGGTACTTGGTACTACCTTATACCTTAGGTAATATATACCTGAGGATCTAGGTACCTTAGCCAGAATGGTTGTTGGTTGACGGCAGAGTGACGTGACGTACAGCGGACAGAAGCCGGTCGGTGTTTGATGCGAGATGGGTTGGTGTATGGAGAAGCTGAAGAGAAGCGTTAGGTAAGGTAGGTGGTGGTGAAGCTCTCGAGACGAGACGAGACGAGACGAGACGAGAGACGAGACGAGACCAGACACAGACGATGTGAGTGGAGTGTGACGCACCAACGCTTTCCTGCGCTTTCTCACTCCACACACAGACCTGTGGACCTTCTTTTTTTTTTCTCCTCTGCAGACGGGACAGGCTTTGCGTTCAGCCTTGTCGGTGATCTGCAAGGCAGAAATGTGGAGCGTCGGGCATGCGTATAATAATACCTCCTAAGTGCGTGCGTGCGTGGGCGTGAGCGTGAGCGTGTTGCGGGAGCGTGACTGCAGTGTGGCAAAAGTGGACAAGATCTGCTGGTGCCCAGAGCGAAGTGTGTGTGTGAGCGGGCGCGAGAGTAATAAGGATGTTGGGATGAACCAGAGCCAGAGCCAGAGCCAGAGCCAGAGCCAGAACCAGAATCACAATCAGCAGACGCTTTGGCCTAGGAGGGGAGGTGGTAGGTGGCTTCGGAGTCTGCGCACTCGACGACGCCGAACCGCTGCTAATTATTGATGAATACTCAGCAAGCCGCCGACGGTGGTCCCAGGTCGTTGATGTGGATCGGCCAAGAGGACGTCATCGAGTCAGCGCAGAAGTCGGTTGTCGGCGGCTCTGCCCTACATGTGCGTACAGACCTTATATATAGGGTAAATATATTTTTATATATAAAAAAAAATCTATTCATTATTTATATATCCATAGGGTATATCTGGCGCTTATATACCTTACACTGCCTTCTCCATGTGTGCAGATACGCTGCGTATGGACAGTGCATGCATGCATGCATTGTTGCGCGGACGGCAAGAAAAGAAGACAAAATACCGTTAACCGCGCCGTCTGCGCTCCCCCATCCAGTCATGTCAGACTCAGCGTGTGATCGCAATGCCACAGTAGTAAGGTAGTACCTGATTAATGCGCCAATAGTATAGAGGCACAGTCGAGGCCGGGGCCGGTGTCGCTGGACTTAAGCGCATACCTCCGACGTCCCCATTCATACAGTTCACATCGTCTTCACCAAGCTCGCGAAACAGCCATGACCCTGCCATGTCTGTCTCTCGGCGTGGCCAATGGTAGTCGCAAAACAGTCCCTGCGTCGCTGTGCACGCACACTGCATGGGCCATGGGGGGCCTTGGGGCTCGCATCGGCCTCGTTTTTGCGGCGTCAAGGCGTCGATAACGAAGTCCAAGAGCGCACTACATGGACAGACTTCTCAGGGATGCAGCGGGTATGAGAGCCTCCACTGCGGGGAGTCCGCCATCTCGCAGGGGGGCAAAATGCTTGGCTAGACGACTCCAGTCTCTAGATCTGGTCCTACGAGGAAAAAAGTCGAACCTTTTTTTTTCTCTCACTGGGCACCCACTTGATATTGACTGGGATCAACAGATTGCCCAGAATGGGAACTCGAATCGGGTGAGCCAGAGACGTTACAATGCCCAGAAGTGTAAAAGCTTCGATACCTGAGGTAGTACCTACTCGTTTTTTTTCCCAGCCTGTCCTGTAAGCGTCGCAGGATTCACTAGGTCCTGATAAAGTGCTGGACCGGGAGGACTTCGCCTGCATTATGAGAAATGACGCCTTGTGACTAATTTCCGGTACCCTCCTGCTTCGATAAGTCGCGTTGCGCTCGCGTGCTGCTGCTGTTGCTGTTGCTGCTACCGGTGGTAGCCTGGTAGCTACTACAGATACCTTTACTGTACCTAGTAACTTTTCTGCAAAGTCGATTACTAAGGTAAGGTAGGTACAAACCGCCTGCTGTGGAACTTGATGTAAGCAACGACATATCATACACACATCTGCATTACATGTAGGATTGTAGGTAGCAGCAGAGCGCCTAGCCCCTTACATGTTCTACCTTCCAAGCCTTCGAGCTTGGCTGTCACTTTTTTATATTATAATTGGAAACAGCTGGAATGCTCTCGTGACGCAGCTAAAGAAACTCTGACCCATGAACGCCTGCCTGTGAGGCTGTACGAGATAGAGGAGATCCAGGGAATGAAACGAGTGCTTTGCGATCCCTTCTCACAATCATCTCACCTTGAATCTTGTCCGTTTCACATGCTCGAGGGTCCCAGTTTTGGTTCCTTCGACTTCACTGTTTATACACATTCCTCCGCTACCGCGACGGCTATGAGACTATCTCTGTCAAAGGCCAACCCTCGTCACTCGAATACACTTGCAGGCCGCTCTAAGCCAAGCACAGTCCCTCGTCCTCAAAGCATTGAACGCACGCTGGGAAAAGCCACGCTATGCAACCCAGAAACAACAGCAGAGATACAAAGCTCGCTTTTCCGCCTTTGCCGCCCTCATGAAAAGAATGCTTTTCCTCCCCCAATATAGCTAATGACACATGACAAGTCCTGTTCCGTTGATTTCACGTGGCAGTCTTGTGTATTGGCGGTAGTCAGAAATGGTGGTGGTGGTGGCAGTAGTAGTAGTACATGGAGTGTATAGAACATCGTTTTGTCGACGAGGTGTTCTAATCGTTACGTCCAAAGGTGTTCGAGGAGCCCACGGACGAGGTGCTTCGCCCGCGGCTCGAACAGCTGCGATCTGTTCGAGCTCGATTTCGATCTGGAGGAGATTGAGTCACATGTTTCTAAGCCTGGACGCCGCCTCTGCCACCACGTTGACCGGCTGCAGCATATCCTCCACGGCCCCGAGGCGCTCCTTGTCCACCTGGGGCACCTCGGCCATTCTGGAAGTTACCTCGAGGAGGACCTTGGTTGGCGCCACCGCGAGGTCCGCCACGACCACCCTGGTACTGCCCTCTTGGAACGTACGGAGTAGAACCGGGGCGGAACTTACGCTCCTCTACGAAGAGAGGAACGTCGTTGCCCTCAACCTCGAACTGGGTAGCCTTGGCCTTGTTGTACGCATCGGCAGTCTTAAAGTCGACGAAAGCACAGTTCTGCCGGAGAGTCAGTGGGTGCTCGGCGATAAATGAATATGTTCACAGAGCGTTGGGCAGGAATTTACCTTTTGACGTGCAATGTCGAAGTAGGTCACCTCACCGAACTTCTCAAGCTCAGCTCTGAGCTTAGCGCCCTCGACGTTATCGGCGACGTTCTTGATATACCCTCGATATTGTGGCTCTTGCTGCTGGGGAACAACGTTCGCCTGCTTGGAGGCATTGCGGTTGTGGCTGCCCCCAACGGCAGTCCATTCGTCCTGCGAGTCGTTGCCTTTGGCATCTTGTGAGGATGGTGCAGACGGTGTGTTTGGTGTGATGGCGTTAGCAATGGCGGCAGCAGGAGCGGTCGGAACGGCGGCCGCAGCCTTTTGTTGGATTGACTTGGCAGCCTGTGCGACTGGCTGTGGGATCACTGGCGTGACAGTCTTGGCGGCGGATGCTGCCAGGCTCGCCCAGGTCTTTGGCACAGCTGGTGCTGCGGGCTTAGGGGCTGGGGCCGTTTTTGGAGCATCTTGCTTCGAAGGCGTAGCAATGCGAGTAGGTTCTGGGTCTTTTGGCGTCTCTGGCTCGGCAACAGCCTCAGTAGCGGTTTCCTTCTCGACGTCCTTTGTAGGCTCGCTTTCCGACTCGGATTGCGCTGCTGGCGTCTCCTCAACTGCCTTTTCTTCCTCAACAGCGGCAGGCTCCTCCTCGGCCTCGGGCTTTGTGCCGTTCGCTAGCTTTTCCTCGATCTTCTGGTCAACCTCCTCAGCATCGTGTTCGACGGCAGCTGGGTCAGAGGAGCTGGTCAGGGCGGCCGAGTGTGCTGCCACTGGCGCTGGCTCTTGCACGCCGCTCTGAGTGCCAGACACTTGCTGCACCTCCTCTTGTGGTGGCTGGACTTCAGGCTCGGCCTCGGCCTCCTCCTCGTCTTCAACCAGGTAACGGAAGATGTCATTCAGCACAAAGTAGCCATTGGTTTGTGTGGCGAGCACGAATGTCTGAGTAAACTTCTTATGTGGCTGACCGCGGTTGCTCAGCTCTCCGATGACCTGAATCACAATGTTGCTGTCGGATGCCTGCGAGTCGACGTTGGTGACGCGCACCTTGCAGTCGTTGAAGTCGAGATCTCGGATCTTGTCGTTGATGGCACGTTGGCCCACACACACGGCAACCTTGTCAGTCTCTTCTCCCGACACGAACTGCGAGCGCTTGTTGTAGAACAAGTAGAGTTTCTCAGGAGTCCGCGACAGGGTGGTGTAGTACTGCTCGACAAAGTACCAGCCAACCTCGTCCTTGGGGATATCAGGCTGCGGAGGCTGTTGGGGGTTGGCGCTGGCATTGGAGGGCGTGGACGAAGATGGCGGAGCGTTACTGGTGGTGGCGGGCGGCTGCGAGTTCTGGTTGTTGCTGGCATAGCCAAAGCTGTTCTGGTCTCCGCCGCCGTACGACTGATGCATGCCGTAGTTGCCGTTAGGCAGGCCTGTCACCTCCGCAGCCATGCTTTCAGGTAGAGAGAGATGAGGTGGTGAGTGGTGGCGGCGTCGGCGCGTGGAGGAGAGGTGACTGGATGGATGCGACGAGGATGGGAGGCAGCAGCACTGAGACCGTCAAGCCGCGACGTCGAATCGTATTGGGAGATGGTAGAGCAGTCGAGTTGATGATTCGTACGTGGTAGGTGGGTGGTGCGCACTGCAGAGGAAAAAACCCGGAAGACGCGCTGGGCGGCCCGTTGTTATTGCTGAATGATTGAAGCGATGAGATGAGCACAAAGCTATTGGGAAGCAACGACTCGAAGAAGTGCAAGTGCAAACGGCCGACAGTAAGGTGTAAGGTACCTAGTATCGGTAAGGTAAGGTCAGGTAGGTAGCGTAGGTAAGGTAGAAGTGCGTGCGGAATTAACAAGTGAACAGCGATGGAAGATGAAGAACACTGGGTGCACGAGCCACTTCGGTAGACCACAGAATTAACTAGCTTGTAATAGAATAATCCGCGCCGTACGCACGTGCCTCAATGCCGAGACGAGGTCTTCACGGCCTTCACCACGAGGCCTCGAGACACAACGTCAGCTGTGGCGCCAACGAGCACCAAGATGAACCGGCCTCGCAATCGCCAGCCTCATGGTGATGGTCAGCAGCAGACGCGAGCTCGAGGCCGAGGAGGCCATCGTGGTGGCAGAGGCCACTATTCAAGCCCGGACTACAAGTCGGTGCCCTCAATACAAGAAGTCGTACCCGGTGCTGAGGTTTCGATCGTATTAAAGGAAGAGTAAGTCCAGTCGTCGCCGAAAAGCATCCAATGACAGAAAGGTGTACTTGAACTCTGCACGCATACTGGTATCCAGTATGCCGACACAAATGCCTGAGTTGTGAGTGCAGATGGACGGCGTATGCTTACCTTTCATCGATCCTTTCTAGTCAACCCACTGGCAAAGAAGTTCAAGGCATAGTCCAGGACCTGTTGACACGCGGGAACCACCCGAGAGGAATCAAGGTACGGCTGCGTGACGGTAGAGTAGGCAGAGTGCAACGAATGTCCACGGTGCCTCCGCCGGCAGTTACCTCTCGAGCTGTCGGAGCCAGTTCAACAGTTTTCAAGCATGCGACAGATGCTCGCGACTATGCGGACGGGCCGCCACCGAGGACGTTCGCTGATTTCATGCCGGACCTCCGCAATGAGCATGAAATTGAAGCTCAAACGACAGAACCGACACTGACCACGGCTACTGCCAAGTGCCCGATCTGTGAAGAATTCGAAGGAGATGAGATCGCAGTGAGCCGGCACGTTGAAGATCACTTTTCTTCTGCTCCTTGTGCTTAGCCGAGAAGCAAAGCCTCGCACTCGCAACAAGATTATTGTGCCTCCACTCTCAATTTGCAAAGACAACGATAGCAGCAACTGCAGTCTTGTCGCAGCATTTCTCATCTTACAACCCTGCTATTGCCAGGAACGAAGTAGCCGTCGCAATGATGGATCATCTACTTTCCACAGTGAAAGTGTGCTTTGGTCTCTATTATTCTTTCGCTACATGGCTATAATCTACGCGTATGTGCAGATAACACTGAAGTAACACAGGTCAGCACTATCACAATCGTGAGATGAATCCGCTTTTATCAATCTGTCAAGATGTGTCAGCCTTCTAACCCCCAATTGAGCGCGTGAAATGCTCACCTTGACTAGATATTCCTTGGTAATATCCGCCACTTTAACGGTTCCAGCAAGAGCCATACATAGCCTGATTTCATCGCTCAGGAGCTTCAGGCACAGCTCGACGCCGGTTTGGCCTTTGTATGCAAGACCCCAGAGCACAGGTCTGCCAATCCAGACAAAATCAGCGCCTAGGGCCAATGCCTTGAAGACATCCGTGCCATGGCGAATGCCGCCATCAACGTGGACAGGAATCTTTCCGCCTACTGCGTCAACGATTTCAGGCAGAGCATCGAGCGTGGCGAGAGCGCCGTTCAGCTGACGACCTCCATGATTGCTGACAACAATTCCATCGACTTGGTGGTGCAGGGCCAAGATGGCGTCTTCGGCTGTGGCGACGCCTTTCACCCACACCTGCATATCATTGCCGCACTCTTTCTTGAGCCAGTCGATATCACGCTCCCAAGATAGTGTTGGGTTTGGTGCATGAGAATGGAAAGTGACTGTTGCACATCAGTATATGGATGCATTACAAAGACGACCATTGCTTTGGGAGACTCACTAGGACCTGTTGGCGCCACACGCTTACCATCATCGTCAAGATATCCCGCTTCCGATTTCTTTCTCTCGAGCTGTGGCCGTTTTGGTGTATTTCCCTCATTCTCAGGTTGCATCGGATCGTCGTCTGCAAAATTTGCAATCTTGAAGTGCGCAGGCAGCTTGAACTGGTTTCTAATCTCAAGGTTACGCCGTCCAAGAAACGGAGTGTCAACTGTGAGAAAGACAGCTTTGAAGCCAGCTTTCTTCGCACGTTGGATTAGTTTGATGCTGTGTTCCTTCTCCTCAAACAAGTATAACTGAAGGACATTCGGAATATGGCCACTTGCTTGTGCGACCTCTTCTAGCGTCTTGGTCGCAAAGGAGGACAACCCCATAGCAACATTGGCTTTCCTGCAGGCGCCTGCAGTGCCTAGCTCGCCGTCCGAGTGAGCGAGACATTGCATTGCTGTGGGTGCGACACCCAGGGGTATGCTGCTTCTGAAGCCGAAGATATTGACAGAGGTATCTACAGATCCAGGTAAGCAGGTGTCGGTAACAAGGTGAGTAAGGCTGAAAAGTGATCGTGCACTTCGCGTAAGTCCTGGCACGACGTACCAATATTGGAGACATCTCGGAGGACACGAGGACGAATGCGGTACTTCTCATAAGCCGTGATGCTGCTGATGATCAGTATTCGGACCTAGGAGGAGATGGCATGTGAAGGAGATACGCACTTCTCACGAAGAGTGGAGCCAGAATCTGCGCCTTCGTTGTAATAGTCACGGGTCTGCTTGTCCATACGTTCATGGGCAAGTAATTCGAGCTCTTTTATGTTCAAACAGTTGAGGTCATGCTGGCTGCTCATCGTGGCGGCGTCACTACGGGCGGACGTGCTATGTCTATCAGTATCGTGCGTGAACAGAGGAAGAGTACAGGTCTGAGAGGATGTGGCGGTTTGCAATGGTGTAGTTGGAGTATATGGACGATTATATACTCCACTGGACTAGCTGCGTCTATCCTCGGATTGTAGCGGTGCAGCAAAAGCATCTACGCACATGCCTCCGCAGATGCGAGAGGCGATTGTGGCGTGCAATCGTACCTCCATGTAATGAGGAGCCGCTCTTCAATGATGTCGTGAGCAAAGCCTAAAGAAAGCCCAAGGACGTGGAGGTAGACACGGAGCGACGACCCGCTTGCCGAGGGCAGCGGGATCCGGGAGGCGGCTGTCGTCCCGGACGACCGCTTATCAACATCACTTCAGGCAAGCACGTGTACGATTGTTCTCTCTTCGCAACTACACATACATCCACATCCAATATGGTTTCAACTCGAGGAGGGGCGCGGACTGACATTGAAGGAGCCGATATGGCGCTCAAGAAGAGACCGGGGCGCAAGGTTACTGCGAAGCCCGCCGCAACAGCAGCACCAAAGGCCAAAGCTACGCGAGCGAAAAAGGCCGCACCGGAGCCTGAAGCTGAGATGGTGGAAGACGACGAGGACGAACTGGCACAACCTGCTCCTGCACCGGTCAAGCTCGCGGCGCGACGAGGGCGTCCACCATTTCGCAAGGACGAGGAGCCCGCCAAGAGAGAGACTACACTCAAAACCACAACCAAGGCTACGTCGGCGCCGAAGGCAGCAGTCAAGACGACGCGTGCCGCCAACACGCGAAAGGCGAAAGCAAAGGGCTCAGAGGAAGAGCAGGCTGAGTCGGCAAATTCCCAGGCGCCCGAACTAAAGCCCCCGCAACCACGAGCGACGCGGCCGACACGAGCGACTGCAGCGAAGGAGAAAGCCGCGCCTCTTTCGCCCAAGAAGATCACACAAGTCTCGAAAGCACCAGTCAGAAAGGCTACTAATGCAAAACCGACGATGCTGAAGAGTGCTCCTGCGAAGCCAGCGAAGCCGGTAGCGAGAGGGCGACCCGCGTTACGGAAGCGGAATGTATCAGATGAAAATGCTGGCATACCACCACTCAAGCCGGGCGTGGGAGCAGACGAGGAGCAGAACTATGCGAAATTCATGGAGAGTACGAACGCGAAAACGTCCAGGAAACCCAGTTCTTCACCAGCTCTGCTTGAAGGGGAGCCGCCCATGTCGACGAGACCGACAACGCCAACAGACTTAGCTCAGCAGACCATGGACGAACCAGAACTCGAGACGAATGAAGCACAAGATGAAGAGAGTGAGGCTGAGCTCCAGGAAGAGGCGGAGGACTCATCGGATGACGAGCTGTGTGCCCCCAAGACACCTATGCGGAGGTGTGATCCACGTGAACAGGCAAGATACAGTCCTGCAAAGGGCATCCAACAACCCGATGTCGAAATATCATTGAAGACACCAATGAGGCGTTTCCACGTGCTGGGAACGCAGCAAGGAACTCCACAAACACAAATGCCATACTGCAAACCAACTCTGCCAATCTCAGAGGTTCGCCCGACAACAGTAGCTCGAGCACATAGTAGAGCCATGGTTTTCCCAAAGCTACAGGCTCTGCGGGCTGCGGATAATCCTTCTGGCGAAGGTGCTCATGCTACACAACGCGAGCATAAATCTTTGCCAGGCGACCGACCAGACATGACCGTGGATGATGCTGAGGCTTTGGAAGAGCAGGATAGTGACATGAGCCTGCTTGTGGACGAATCGATTCGAAACATTTCTACCGCAGACGTTGATGTAACAGTAGTAACTCATGATGACACGCCGAAAGAGCACCCCGCTCCCGATCCAGAGGAGACTATCGTGGACGAGCAGATCGACGAGGAAGAATTCATGTCGCCGCGAGATGCATCCGTTGACAATGTGCTCATCACCGGTTGGGAGACCGAGGGCGAATCGGAAGATGAATCTGTGGAGGCTACTGGGATCCGTGGCACACCAAGAGCAGAAACCGTGGCATGGGAACCTCTTCAAGATGACATCGCCATTCCTTTCAATTTCGACGGTGACGCCAGCCCGATCCGTACTCTGCCGAAGGTAGAGGCAACTCAGCATTTCGAAATTGCTGCGATATCCACAAACGGAGAGGCTTCAAATGATACTGCCCGGGCTGGGGCCACACGACAATCGTCCATTGTCGAGATAGCATTCAACCCGAGCTTATCTATGCCACGACTGAGCATTAATGATGTCCGGGAATCTTTGGACGCTACAGTCAATATCAGCGACTTCGTGCACGCGTCTTCGTTCGCAGAGCGCGATCTAGAGCAAATCGAGAATGGTGTGGACGCTGTAGAGGCGGATGTCGACAATATTATGGTTAAGAAATCAACAGTGGAGGACATTGCCGACGATGCCAACTCCGTCGTTGATGGCGATATGACCCTTGCATGCGACGAGCCTTCTACTCCGTTGCCTGTAATGAGAACACCCATCAGGTTAACCACAGTTGAGGATATCTCTGAGGAGAGTGCAACAATGGATGGGGATGTGACGCTCATACTCGCTGAGCCAACCTGCCCTACAACTGTCAAGCGCTCGCCTGTCAAGTTAGCCACTGCCGAAGAAGTTTTCGAGGACGATGAGAGCATGGAAGGAGACGTCACACTAGCTATCGATGAGCCAACATGCCCACGCACCGTCAAGCGGTCCCCAATAAGGCTGACCAGTGCTGAAGATGTCCCAGAAGAGATCGAGACAGTCGAGGGTAACTTGACGCTCATGCTGGATTCGCCTTTACCCCAGCAGCCGGAAACGCCAGTGCTACTTGATGATTCGCGAGACTCCAATGTTACACCGCTCGATCTGGAAGCAGTCGCTACACCACGCTACGCGCGATCAACCATATCTTCTCGTCGCAAATCAGTGTCAGAAAGCTCCAGGCCGAGGACAGCGGATGGAGAAAGAATGCCGCTGAATACACAGCCTGCTGCTGAAGCTTGGTTCGACAAGACCGCTTCTCCTGCGAAAGGGGCCAACCGCGTTTCAAGCAACAGCACAGATCGAAGCTCTCGAAGTCGATCTCGATCATTGTCGAGACCACGAACGCCTGCTGCTCGGACACCCGCAGCTGTTAGATCAGCGACGAAGGAACGATTTCCAGGAATGCCGCCGGCAGAGTCGTACGAAGAGCTACTCAACAGTCCGACTGCCAAGAACTCGTCGGCAGTACAGACGCCATCTAAGAAACCTTCTGTGACCCGCCCAGCCTCGCACAAGAGGAAGTCAACCCATGGCGAGGAAGAGGATGAGATGCCAGATATGGCGACCCCACAACGAGCACTTCCAGAGCGCTTCCCTGGTATGCCATCTCGCTCGGTGTACGAAGCGCACACTGCAATGCCAATGACTCGGTTTCGCACTCCGACACGAAAGTCTCCTGCGAAACGGCCAGCGACAACACACAAGCCAACATCTCTGCGCAAGATCGCGCTGAAAGCGGCATCGACTCCAATGAAAGCACCGCTCAAGGCGCCAGCGGAGACCCCCGGACAGGTTCCCATGACTCCACATCCAGCAGCGCCGTTGCGTAACGTGGTTGCTTTAGTTGATGTTTACACCCACGACGGCATATGTGCATCTCAGTCCTTTGCCGTACTTCTGAAACGCCTTGGTGCAAAGACAACGAAGACATTCAACGAGAATGTCACTCACGTCGTCTACAAAGAGGGAGGACCAAAGGTGCTGCAGGCCCTGAAGATTCACAATAAGCAGATTGCAGAATCTGGCAAGGGCCAGGAGATATTCTGCGTCAACAGTCGATGGGTGAATGATTGTGATGCCCAAGGCCGTCGCATGCCAGAATTCGACGAGGAGTATGCCGTGGAGCTCGACGATTACCAACGCACAGCCAAGCGGCGTCGAAAGAGCATGGAGCCTATGGGACTTTTGAAAACCAACGGGGGCAATATCATCCGAGATCGGAAAAGTGGCGCGGGGCGGGTCTCGATTGGTCGCGCGAGCATGAAAGGCGTGTTCGATAGTCCCGAGGAGTCTTCGATGATGTTCGATTCTGCGGATAAGGAGAACACTGAGGATGAGCCTGCTACACCGGACTACCTGAAAGACCCTAGCGCTCTCCTCCAACAGACTGTCCCTGCAAACAAAGTACGCAAGTTGGATCTCGGTCATGATAGCAAAAGGAGGAGGTTGACTTATGCGGACGGACTAGAATTTTGAGCATTATCAGTCTAGTGGAATACCTGTTCGTTTCCGAGTCGGCAGTGAGGGGAAGCTGGAGAAACAGAACAGCTAGACAGACTGAGGTTGTGCTGGGCGTTGCAGTCCGAGAATTGAAGTGTTTCGTATCTCATAGGCGATTGTCGTTTATAGCGACGTCCATTACTGATCATTCATACGCGTCGAATCTGGGCCGAGAGTGTTGCTGCCTCTTGGTGCATTTCCTCGTCCCACGATGATAATCATCAGAGCTTGCGTATTGTCTCCATTTCTTTCATTGAGCGAGGCGCCGGCATATTGGACCGCTTCACGCAAGTCACCGTATGTCCTTACCACGTTTCGAGACGAATATATGCTGCTCTCAGCTGGACGCAGTCACCCAGGCCATGATCGCTTTCAACGCGTTTGCATCGTGCGCACGGAGAAGTTCCGTAGCCTTTGTCTTACTCATATCCAATTGATCCGCCTGTATCCCGTCAATCAGCAGCTACCAGGTATTTTATTACTACTTCGCCTATCCTGCGGGCCAGGCAGGCTACCGAGTATTCAGGGAGGTAGAACTCATACCAGCATCGCCACGTCCGCCGCATCGACCTTGACGAGCTTCTTGGGTGCCTCCTCCTTCTTAGTGGCCGTGGTTGAAGTGGCAGAAGTGTTGTTGTTGGGCTTCTTCGCGGCATTCATGTCCAAGTTCTTCATGGCCTCATTCAACGCTTTCAGATCTGCCTCTTTCTTGGGTTTCGCATCTTCGGATGGGTTGGCGTCTAAGCTGCTCAGGGCTGCAGCGGTTTTGCGGTCTTCTTTGGATGCCGGGAGGACGTCGGGCGCGTCGGCGCCTTCTTGGACGTTTTCGGGTTGCCGTTCCTCGGCCATGATGTGGACGGGAGGAAGGGGAAGAAGAAAGAAGAAGGGGAAGAAGAAGAAGAAAGTCGAGGGAGGTTGGTTTCTGAAGGTCCTACCCGTCCGTACTTAGCTCCAATGCAAATGGTACAGTACCAGGTACGTGTAGTTCTATTGCTTGGCGTGGTACTATAGTTTGGTTACACCGCAAGCGAATTGTAATACGGCTAGGTACATAAAGTCTGTAATTGATTGACTCACATCCAGGGAGGGAGTATATAACTATAATATAATAGCATACCTGACCTTCCCTTCTACAAAATCTCACTCTTCTCTTCTTCCATCCACATCGCCGTTCCTTCGCCTAGTTCCAGTCTAGCATCTCATCTCCAAACCCAACCATCATGGCCTCTCTCGCAGGATCTACTTCTGCCGGCAAGATGACAGAACATTCCCAAGAAAACACCATCACCTCTCTACCCACCATCAGTGGTAACAGAGCATCGACCTGGACGCCCGACTCGTGGAGATCGAAGCCGATTGTACAAGCTGTCGACTACGAAGACACTCAGGCGGTGGCGGCAGCGACTGCAAAGCTCGAACATCTGCCTCCACTCGTCACGCCCCGGGAAATCTGGAAGCTGCGAAACTCACTCCGAGACGTCGCCTTGGGTAAGGCGTTCTTGTTGCAAGGCGGTGACTGCGCTGAACTCTTCGATTATTGCCATGATGGTTCCATCGATTCGAAGATTAAATTGTTGCTGCAGATGTCGCTGGTGCTGATTTGGGGTGGGAACAAACCAATTGTGCGCATCGCCAGGATGGCGGGTACGGACTCTCCTTTTGACAAGAACAATCTTCCGCCGTCAGATCAGATGCTGACCTCTCCTAGGCCAATATGCAAAGCCGAGAAGCAAACCTACAGAGATGCACGAAGGCAAGGAGATTCCGAGCTATCGTGGCGATATATTGAACAGCTACCACCCTGATGATCGCAGAATCGATCCCGACAGACTCGTACAGGTTAGTATACCGATATGTGACTTACTGTGGGCGCTTTTGCCCTTGTCTTGCACCGATTTGGTTGAGCCCAGCGGAAATGGAATGTTAACGTGCTTTTGCAGGCCTACTTCCACTCCGCAGCAACTTTGAACTATGTTCGTGCACAACTCGCCTCCGGCATTGCAGACCTGCACAATCCAATGGACTGGTCTCTGGGACACGTCGGTGATCAGGCTTTGCTAGAGAAATACAGCAAGATTGTCAACACGATTCGAGAGAGCTTACGCTTCATGAGAACCGTGGGTGCCGATGCTGGAAGCGATTTGAGCAGCGTGGACTTGTTCACATCCCATGAAGCTTTACTACTCGTATACGAAGAAGCTCTGACTCGGAAGCTCAAGCGACCTAGCAACTCCGATCGACCTCCCGTTCGTCGGCAGTCGGTCATCGATCCCATGAAACCACAGACGGAACCCACTGGCTACTACAACACCAGCGCACACCTGATCTGGATCGGAGACCGGACCCGCCAGCCCGATCACGCACACATCGAATACGCTCGGGGAATTGAGAACCCCATTGGCATCAAAGTCGGCCCATCGACCAAAACAGAGGATCTCCAGCTCCTACTCGACACCGTCAACCCCAATCGCGACGTTGGAAAAGTCATGCTCATCACACGATATGGCAAAGACAAAATCGCAGAGATGCTTCCCCAACACATCGAAGCCGTGCAAAAGACGGGCCACACGGTCGTATGGCAATGTGATCCCATGCACGGCAACACCCGATCCACCGCCGACGGGACCAAAACACGTTCCTTCCAGCATGTCTTCGACGAGCTCGCTGCTGCGATTCGGATTCATCAACGCCAGGGAACTTATCTGGGTGGAGTCCATTTGGAGCTCACGGGTGATGCTGTGACGGAATGTACTGGCGGCAGTCAAGGTATCGATGATACCGACTTGAGTAAAGCCTATCGCACATTCTGCGATCCTCGACTGAATGAGAAACAGGCCCTGGAGTTGGCATTCTTAGTCGCTGATAGTCTCAGAGACTCTGTCGCGCCCGCTGATGTTAAGCAGACTTGAGCAGCGAGCGACACAAGTGTATGTTGTTGTTGACAGGCAACATCAAGAGCCCTCTGGAAGGGGGCAAAAAACAATATTTTACCCTGTAGCATTATGTTTCATCAATGTATGAGGTACATGAAAAAGGAAAAGACCCGCCCAGTCAGAGCTTCGAAGTACCTGTACTCGTCGGCGGCATTTCGTGTGATTGTGACACTTCCAGAATCAACTCTAGCGCCTCAATTACTTTCTCATCCTCATACCTCCTTCCCACCAATTGCAGCGAAATCGGCGCATCACGGAATTTCTCAGCATCATCTAGAACATATCGAAATTCGATGGTCAGTCAAATACCTACCCCCGTTTTCTCTAAAGAAAAAGAAAAGAAAAAAAAAGAACGAGCGAGGTGCAAAAATACTCACATAAATCATAATTATACTTATCCTTCTCATTTCTCGGCTGATAACCCTCTTCCATCCCATCTTCTTCCGGAAGACATTTCAAACCCGTGGGAAACACGAGAGAAGGATAGTCGAGCAAATTCCATTGACTGGTGTAATTCCAATATTTGGCCGTGTGGAACCTAGGTATAAAACCATTACATGGCACTTGGGATTAGTCTTTTCGGTCTGTCGTTGTCTCAAGCGTCACATGAGTCTTGTTTTTTCCTTTAGTGTGACTTACAAAGGTGCGACACCAGGTCCGACAGGGCACAAAATCACATCGACCATTTTCTCCGCAACATCTTGAGCGTCTTCCCCTTGCAAGAGCATCGTCGACGAGTCTTCGTCATCTGGTCCTGCAAGGTGAGTATTCACACTATTCCAATGTCGAGTATACGCCGTCTTATACGCATCTCGCTCGCACGTCAATTTCCACACCTCGGCGATAGTCAAGGGTTGCTGATGAGGACTCTGCTCCAGTATCCACTGACTCATCGGACGCAGAGGTTCGCCTGAGGCGGACATGGCGGCGAGTTCTTCCTGGCCGGCATCGGCGAAGTAGAGAGAGGAGATGATGCGCCAGGCTTCGTCATGCTTGTATGCTGGGAAGGGGACGATTTCGATGTCAGGATGGTGTTGGATTCGGGAGATGAGAGTGGTAATGCCGCGGAGAATGGGAGGATGAGGTCGGACGATACCGTCGTCTGCGAGGACGCCGATGCGGAGTTTGCGACTGCCATTGGCCCCACATCGGAGGAGAGTGCCTGATGGGTGTGACGATGGCTGCTTCCAGGGAAGGGGGTTGAGGCTGGGATCATATAACCAGGGTTTCTGATCGATGAGTGTCTTCATGAATACCTTGATACCTTCCAGACTTGTGCTCATAGGGCCCTGGTTGTAGCAGTATCACAGGGTTAGCAAACTGCTCGATCATGACGTGGTACCTATCACGCGAAAGAGATCTCTCACACATACAACAACGGGAACAATCTGTTCTTGTCCGAGCATTGTAGCCGCGAAGCCATCTAAAGGCAGTCGGAAGCTCGTGGGACGCAAGCCAAACACGCCGTTGTTGGCTGCAGGGGATCTTATGCTTCCACCTATGTCGGTGCCAATTCCTAGGCAAGACCCTTTGAGACCAAGCAATGCCCCTTCGCCTCCCGATGAGCCCCCTGAAGTGAGATTACGATTGTGCGGGTTCGTTGTCACCCCGAATATGTTCGATGAGCACTCCAGATGCATGAGGGTTTGAGGCTCAGTGGTTCTAGCATAGAAGACTGCTCCTGCGTTGAACAGTAGCTTTACAATCAATGCATCGTCGATACCAAGCTGGCCAACCCAAGAAACAAACCCAGCGTTCAGATCAAGACCCTTCATTGAGATGTGCTCCTTGACAGAGATAGGCAGGCCATGTAATGGACCGATGGGCTTTTGATTTTCCAGGTAGTACTTGTCGAGGAATTCGGCGCGGTCCCGGGCTTGCTGAGGCAGAAGTTCAGTAATGCAATTGGTGAGCTTCTGTGCTAATCCGGCTCGCTGCAGAAATGCTTGGGCCACCGCTGCGCTCGACAACCTTCCGGATGCGAGCTCTTGCAGTAAGACCTCCGTGGGGAGTTCCGTGATCTTCAGAGTGTCGGCAGCGAGTAGGCGATGCGGCACACCAGTGACATTTAGCGGCAAGTTGCGAGCTATCTCTGGCAAAGCTGGAGAGACTGCGTCGATGGTCTTTTGTCTGTGATCTCGACATGTCTTTGCAATAGCATGCCAGTCGGACTTTGTTGCTCGCTCGTGTGTAGTCATGACCCTGTGTTATCAGCCCTGCAGTACTATAATGAGTTTCCGCTGTGTAAAATGTCAGTGGATCTGTTCCGTCAGTGATACCTGTTAAATAGTGACACTATTATCTTCCAAGTCAGATGCTCATTCAATGCTAGAAGATGAGATCAGGAAATACGCGGCAATACCACCTTATCGTTACCCGATCATGTTGCTATCTTAGCAGAAGTACTGATAGGCATTCGGTGGAACTATAGCTCTTGGATAAGCGAGCGAAGTGGGTTTCCGCTTAGCATTGCCTGTCGAGGAATCGGCCCACATCTCTTACCTCCTACTCGGTGTCTTCATCACGCTGTGCCGCTGTCATGTCGCCAGAGTGTGCGTTGCAAGGCTTGGGGTTTCCCCTTCTAGTCATTACCTGATATACGCACTCGAGATTGACGAACCGTCCAGGAACAACGGGCACGAGATGGTTGAGCCATCTCTGTTCTATATCAGCGTCACTTCTGATACAGATTGTTCGCGCATTCTCGTTGTGGTCCCCGGCACAGTACTGTTGCTATTGCTCTTGCTCTTTCTCCCTGAACATCATCTCCAAGAAAGTCGCCTGAAAGTCTATAGGCAAGACAAGACGACATTCGTCCTCGAGTGGTGCGTGGGATCTATCGGCGTCAGCGACGTCTCCTTGAGCTTCCCACCCGGGGACTTCCTCCTGGCATTGCTGTCGAGAAACAAGGGGTATCGAATAGGGGAAGGGGGTAGGTTCTGGGGGGTAGGTTCTGTTGTTGTCGCTGAGCTGATGCTGCTGCTGTTTATGGAACTCACACACTTCTCCCTTTGCGGGAGTCGGGTCGGGCCTCGGGCTATGTGGAGATGCGCGGAGCGAAGTGAAGGGGAGTAAAGTGGGGCACCCGCGGATGTAAGTGTGGACATGGACCGGCGAGCAATGCCGAGCCTCGGCTGGATTTGGCGAGCTTCCAACTTTTCTACGCTGGTAGAGTGAGTCGCGGACCACGCACGTCGCACGCCAACAAGCGCAACTCGAGTAGGAGGTAAGCCCTAAGAGGTAATGTAGCATGTGTTTCTCTCTGTCTGCCTTTCTCTCTCTCTATTCCTCTCTCCCTCCCCTCTCCCTCTCCCTCTCCCTCCCTCCGCCACCACCCACACGACTCGCGGCAGAGCCCAGTCAGTCAGCGCTACCTCCTACTTGGGAGCCGCGTGTACCTCACTTGCACCCGTCGTATACATGTCCTGTCATGTTGTGTCGAGTCTACTAACTAGTTACTACTACTACCACTGCTCTATACTCCTCTCTGCTGCCGCCCTCCGATTGTGGTAGTCTGTAGGCTGTCCCGGTGATATCCGCAGTAGAAGAGAGCAGCAGAGCGAACGACGAAAGAGAAGAGACGAGAGGCAAGAGACCGGAGAGACGGCGAGAAGAGGGGAAAGAGACGAGGGGGAGACGATAGAGCCAGAAGGGAAGAGAAGAGAGCGAGAGAGAGAGAAGAGTCAACATGGCCCCTATGAAATTATCTCGACCGACTGCCTCCACTGCCATCCCCGCCGCCGCAGCAACCGCTGTTGCCGCCTACCTCAACGGCCGCTATAGCTTCACCTCCGACCTGTGGGCCATCTCGAATGCCGTGTGGTATGGCGTACTCTTGGGCAAGCTGGAGAAGCAGGGCAGGATCAATGTCTTCTACCGCTTGGAAGAGCTAGCGACCACTCCGGCCCACGCAAACAATATCTTCCTGGTCGTGCCATCCGCAGACGCGCAGTCCCCCACTGCGCAGACGGAATGGACATATGCCGAAGCATACGAGTTGATCTTGAGATATGCCAGATGGCTCAACGAAACGCACCGCGTCACCAAGGGGGAAATCATCGCGATGGACTTCAAGAACAAGCCGCAGTTTGTGTGGTTGTGGTTTGCCCTGTGGTCGCTGGGTGCAGTGCCAGCCTTCCTCAACAGCAACTTGCGAGACAATGCATTTATACACTGCGCCAAGGTCTCGACCACGCGCCTGCTGATTATTGATCCCGAAATCACAGATGCCCTCACGGAAGAGGCTCTTGCTGCCTTTCGGCCTGATAGCAAGGGGAAAGCGATCGACACTGTTGTCCTCGATGCGCAGGTCGAGGCCACAATCGCCTCACTCGACCCATATCGTGCCCCAGACTCCGAGCGCTCGGGTATCACTCGGGCGTCGACGTCGCTCCTCATCTACACCTCGGGGACCACAGGCCTGCCAAAGGCGGCCAACGTGGCCTGGAACAAACCAGCGTCCGGTGCCTACTTTTTCCCGAAATTGCTGGGCATGAAGCCAGATGATCGGTACTATACTGCTATGCCATTGTATCACTCTTCCGCTTCTGTACTGGGCCTTTGCCAAGTTCTAGGTCCTGGTAGCACCATGGTTGTCTCCCAGAAATTTTCTCCCAGAACGCAGATGAAGCAGATCTCCGAGACGGGCGCGACCATCATGCAGTACATCGGAGAGATGTGTAGATATATGGTCTCCAGTCCTTCCACGCCGTATGACAAGGCCCACAAGCTACGTCTGGCATTCGGGAATGGCATGCGACCCGATGTATGGCAAAACTTCAAGGATCGATTCGATATCGGGACCATTGTAGAGTTTTACGGTGCCACCGAGGGACCAGGCGCATCCTTTGTCTATTCTAACAACGACTTCTTGAGAGGTGCCATTGGGAAGTCTGGCCTGCTGGCTCGTACTTTATTCGGCGGCAATCAGACCATCTTGAGACACGACCACGAGACGGACCTTCCATATCGGAATCCCAAGACTGGTTTCTGCGAGAAGGTCGAAACGAACACGCCGGGAGAGTTGTGTTATTGGTTGGACCCCGAGAACGTGAACGACAAATTTCAAGGTTACTTGTAAGTGAATCTCAATTCAGTCAAAGGGTACATGTGTATCTAGTGGTGTTATACTTGCTTACCGGGGTACGTGTTGAAAATTGTAGGGGTAACGACAAAGCCAGCGGGAGCAAAATCATCCGCAACGTCTTCAAAAAAGGCGACGCATATTACAGATCCGGTGACCTGCAAAGAATCGACAGTGACGGCAGATGGTGGTTCGTCGACCGCATCGGCGACACGTATCGATGGAAAGCCGAAAACGTCAGCACTGCCGAAGTCTCCGAAGCACTAGGCACTCATGCCGCGCTACAAGAAGCCAACGTCTATGGTGTGCAGCTGCCCCATCACGACGGTCGAGCGGGTTGTGCTGCAATTAGCTTGGCAGCAGGCCAGAAGCTCGACGACAGTCTCTGCGCCGACCTCGCAGCCCACGTCCGCAAACGACTTCCCAAATATGCAGTCCCGCTGTTCCTGCGACTGACACAGGAGTTGGAGGTGACGGGCACGATGAAGCACCAAAAGGTCACCTTGAGAAATGAAGGCGTAGACCCTGCACAGACAGGAGAGGATCAGATCTACTGGCTCCCGCCGGGCAGTACCAAGTATGAGAAATTTTCGAAAGCGGATTGGAAGAGGCTCGAGGGCGGCGATGCAAAGCTTTGATCACAAATAGAACGCGGCAAACGAACATGACACATGGCAGACGGATATTTTCTCAGCTACTATCGAAACGGGATTACACCAGGGAGCGCTCGAGCTATGGGAACAGTTGATACCAGAAGATATTTTTAACGATGACGTAGCTAATAGCAAGTGAAGGGAATCCAGTCCAATTATGCAATTTGTGTGGAACTCGATTTCGATTCTATGCCCCATGTTATTATATATGATGTCTAACAGCCTAGTTCCTTCTCATGCCACCGTCACCCCGAGGAATCATGTTCCTGCGAGAAGGGTGAATGTGCGATTGGTCATCTTCACGCCTCGCGACTGCGGGGACCGCTGCAGCTTCACGTCGGGGTGGAGATCTGGACCTCGAAGTCTCGGGAGAACTGGTGTTCCTCCTTCGTCTCGCAATAGGAACCCGTCTGGGTGGCGAGCGCGATCTGCTGGTGTCTCGTCTAGGCGGCGAGGAGTGGGAGAAGGAACGACGGTTCCTGGATCTGTTACGACGGGGCGGAGAAACAGATCGGCTCTGTGTCCTGCCTCTGCGACGTGGCGATGGAGAAGGAGATTCTGACGGAGCACGGCCTTTTCCGTTGGCTCTGCGCGGAGGTGAGCGTGAACGAGATGACACATCACGTCTCCTGCGTGGTGGACTGCGCGAGCGTGAGATCGATCGGTCGCTGTAGCTGTCTCTCCGCCCTCGTCGCGGTGGACTGCGAGACAAGCTATCGGAGTCACGTCGCCGTCGACGTGGTGGAGACCGGGAATCAAAAGAAGCAGACCTTCGCCTTCTGGGAGTAGGTGAACGAGAGAGCGACATTGCTCTCTTGCCATTGCTTCTGGGCGTTGGTGAGCGAGAATAGCTGCGATCTCTGCCACGTCGTGGTGGGGTACGGGATCGAGATCTGGATCTGGATCGCAAGTCGGAGCGCGAGGAATAGCTGGAGTAGCTGCTGTAGCTGCTGTAGCTGCTGACACTCGCACTTCTGCCTCTTGTTGGCGACTGACTCCTTGCCGCCGGTAATGGTGCAGGAATGGATTTTGGCATGTTCTTCAGCCATTCTCTCATGCCCTCTGTGAGCGGTCCCTTGCCAATCGCAGTGAAAAAATTGATGCTGAAGCGAGTGTTCTTCGGATCGTCGGTTGGGAACATGCCGGTGAGAGCAGTCTGCAACCCATCGTCCTGGAAGCGCGCAACCAGTTTCTTCATGCCAAGACCAGCTTCGAGCTCTTCGATCAAGATCTTGACAAAGATACGACTTGAGCTCGTGGTGTCTTCCTCATTCAGCTTGATGACTTGGAACACTGTCCAGTCAATGGCATCTGTCGACAAGAGATGGCCAAAGAATTGGGCAATGATTCTCAGTCGATTCGTCTCGAAGCGGTGTATCGTCTCGTAGTACTTCAAGAATTGTTCCTGGAACAGCTCCTTCCATAAACGATTTAGTTTGCAGAAGCGTTCGCCGATCAATCCAAAGAATTTGTTAAAGGTCCGCTCTTGACTGCAGCACTCGATGATCATTGATGGTAGCTCATCTTCACGCCCGGTAGGCAAATTGATCCGCATGAGTTTATGGCAGGCCTCTTCGAACGTACCAGATGACATGATTGTCAGATAGATCGATCGACGAAGGTTGACGAGATCAGTATTGGACTGATCCTTGATCTCCAGCGCCTTTTCTTCGGCGTCGTCGTCATCCTCCTCGCTGCTTGAGGCCGAACTCTGCTCGTCCTCGTCGTCACTGCCTTCCACCTCTCCTAAGATCTCTGCCTTTAGCTTCTTATATGCCTCCTCATTGGCCTCAAACTCTGGGTCAACCTTGAATATGTTCAGACCGTCTTCCGTCTTCAGCTTATCGTCATCAAGCGAAGGCCGATGAGTAATCTGGTCCTCTTCTTCCACAAGATCTAGCTCCTCCTTGATAGCTTGGTGGTCCTTGTATTTGTCCTTCCTGATCTGGAACAGCACTTCGATCATGTACTGCACCCGCTTGTCGATGTCGGCCTCGTGCAGAATTCCTCTGAACTGGTCATACACAGCAAGTGCAATCGAAGAGTTCATCTCCTCAATGTGGTGTCCGACCTCCTTCATCAGACCAACCGCGATCTCCACGCTATCGTCTGTTGGCTTGTGTAAAAGCAGTAGCAGCATCTGCGCTGCAAGCATTTCATGTGCGACCTGCTGATTGATCAAGTGCGCGATGAAGGTCGTGCTGCTGTGGCACACGCTTTTATCATTTCTCTTATAGGCCTTGCGAAATTGTATGATCAATCTGTTGATCAAGAGTTCCCCCACCTGGGGCAATTTGGTATTCACAATAGCTACCATTGCTGCATAAATGGGTGTGAAGGGCAGACTGGCTGCCTGCGCCTTCATGATGCTCCGGCAAAACAGTCCTCGCCCTCGCACCAGATTCTCGTTGAACAATTCCGGCACAATATGCTTGATGTTGGAAACGTTGACTTTGTTGATCAGACCATTGATCGACTTCTTCAGGGCCTCCCAGGCCATACGCTGGTACTCCTTCGACGTCTTGTCGGTAATCTGTGCCTGTAGCGCCTTCAGTCTGGCAGGCGGGATATATGTGCCACCAGAGCGCATATTCAACAGCTTGTCGTACTCTGCCTTGGCAACAGCCTGTTTCTCTTCGTCCGTCAGAGGCTTTGCTGGCTTTTCGTCGTCCTCCTTCTGGCGCATCTCCAGCTGCCGCGCTCGTTCTTTCGCTCGCGCTCGATCCACGTCTCGTGGCAGTGGTCCAGTGTTGCGTGGGAGCGGAGATCGCGACAGGGAGCGTCTTCGCAGGGCTGGCGCATCTCGTCGTGGTGACGGCGATCGGGATATCGACGTGCGCTTGCGCGAGACGCTCTCTGCGGCTGCCGTGTCATCGCCCGGGCCTGGTGTGGGCAGCCGCACTGCAGATTCGACGGCGGCCATGTTGGCGTTGGTCGAAGGTGGCGAATGGTTTGTTCAAGATGCAAAGGTCGAAAGGAAAGCAATAAGAGTGGAGTGGTAGGAAGTAGTAAGCTGTGGAAAAAGTGGAGTCATTCGCGCGAGTCAGGCGCTCAGCTCTTCCCCATATAGGTACCTATTATTACAGCATGCATGCGGTGTTCTACCTTTGGAGAAGGGGAAAATTGAACACTGGGAAGATACATGTACACATCAATCAGCTCAACTTCTTCAACTGCATCTCCAGCTGACTCTCTGTCCACTCCCACAGCTCGTTTGCGAGCTCTGGCTTTTGCGCATACCAAAAGCTTCCGCCGCTCTTGATCCCAACAGGCTTCCAGTAATGTGAAGAGCCGACTTCTTTCTTGTCCGCTGTAGCAGCCCACAGCGTGTTTTTGGCACCACCGGGAACATCCAACAGAATGTGGCTCATCAGTGGCATGACAATTCTGCTGATTAGGCTCGTCTCCATCTGACTCGCGTAGAGGTCAGTAAAGATCACGCCGGGATGCAATGCGGTCGATGTGATTTGCGGGTAACGTCGTTGGAGCTCGCCAGCATGGAGGATATTAGCCAGCTTGGATTGGCCGTATCGACGCATGGTTTGGTAGTGAGCCAACAGGTCTTGGTCGTAAATGATGCCTGGTGCCAGATAGTGTCCTTCCGAGGCGACATTGACAATCCGTACATCGGCATCGCGTTGCTCGGCAGTTTGGAGGAGCGTTGGCAGAAGCAGTTTCGTGAGCAAAGCATGGCCAACGTGGTTTGTGCTGGCAAGGCCGTGTATCAGTGGATTTGTCCCTGTTGGATGCCCTGAAGCCGACTTGCAGGTACTCACCCAAACTGAATCTCATAGCCGTCCTTTGTCTTGGAGTATGGCGTGGCCATAATTCCCGCATTGCTGTCACCGCATCAACCTAAGCAGCACTACCTAGTCAAGCAGGGACACGTACTTGATCAGGATATCAAGGCGATCAGCTTTGGACTTGAACTCATCCGCGGCCTCTTTGACAGACAGCAGAGACGTGAGGTCTAGCTTCATATAAGACACATTGCAATCAGGCACCTGTCTCTTGATGTCACTGATAGCATCCTCGGCCTTGGATTGCGTGCGAGCAGCCAGAAAGATCTCTTTGGGATGATGTTTGGCCAGTCTGAGCACGGTTTCTTTGCCCAACCCGGTATTCCCTGCCAATCATCAGTCGGTTATTGCTGTGTAGTAGTGTATCGTAGCACCGCCTAACCCACCGCCGGTGATCAAGATGACTTTGCCTGACAAGTCTTGAATGTCCTGGTCAGGATTGAAGTTCTTGCCCAAGAGCCACTCTAGCATCGTAGCGGCGATGGTATCTACCTTGACCTTCACGCTTCAGGTAGGCTAACTTAGCTGTTCCTTGTGGGACGGCAAGGTACTTGCAGTAGGTACATGTATTGCCCGGAAGAAAAGCTTATAAATACAGAAGACGAATCTGGACAAGTGCTCCCCGACAACGTTAAACGTTTGTGTACTCCCGCCCGAGGTTGATTTCCTCGTGGAACAGGCTCGCGATGACGTTTCTGTCCAAAGAGAATTGTTCATTAGCGTTCAGGTAATGGCTATGGAACTGCCTCCTACTGGGCTGATCAATTAAACGTCCTTTACACTAGGAGGTCGAAGAAGTACGAGGATTCGCAAGGGTTGAGAATTTGAGAGACGATCTGCAATACTCCTCTCAGGACTACTATTGATCATCCTCCTGTGATCAAGCCCGTCTTCGCGATTCCAACTGTGGACGCCCTCTCCCTCTCGACGAAGTTTCGCTGCTACCTCCTACGACCATAGTCCTACACGTCGACCTTCGCGGCAATCCTGGACTGGCGTCTGGCGCGTACCTGAGGTGTCGAGCTATCCTGTTCCACTTCCACCATGTGCAGCATCTCCTGGGCTTCGAAACCGACTCGTTAGATAGCAGCCACTCGTGGGTGGTAAGGTCATGTCCAGTGAGGTTGAATCTCTCGATGCCGCCGACTCAGCTGCCTCGACATCGCTGCCTGCTGCCGTTCAATATGGTGAGTCGAGCTCCGAAGCGCAGTCGCGCAGCTCGAGCGCTATACGGAGCCTCCACAGCACCGCAGAAAACTCGCATGACTTGGGACAGAAGCAACGGAGCCGAGATCGCCTATCGAACGCATCAGAGACCTCGAGTCACAGCAAAATACCGCGTCGGATTAGGAAGCCTGGCGGCTTCTTGCTAGGCTCGGTAATTGGCAATGGACAACTGCGAGCATCACACGATTTGCCGCACTCAGGCGCCAAACAGGAGCAAAAGGGACAGATTGGCGGGGTCTACATGGAAAAGAGGCGAAATACTGCTGCTCGAGGCCCTGGAGAGTCCTCCCCCAGAGGCTCCCCGTCCACGAGTGAGCGCTCGAGCGATCGCCCTGCCCATGCCAGCTCTGGCAAGCAGTCGGAGTTGAGACAGCCGAGTCTGGATGCAGCACAATTGGTACAAATGGCCCTCAAATTGAGCGAGAGCCGAAAGCGGCACGTAAGCAACACATTGCCGTTGCCTATCCTGCCCGCTGGAGGCCGGAGATATGTGTCCGCACTGGACTCTGGCTATGGCCCCATACGATCAGCCTCGTCTGGATCAAAGCGGGCTAGCTATGCAAATGACAGTCGTATTCCTACGCCCACTTCGCAACGACATAGCCACCCCCGATCTGAGCGCCACGGAAGTCCCTTGGATGTGGAGCAGAACGTGGTCTACACGTTCTCGCCTGCCACGTTGTCTCGTGCAGAAAAGGCGCGGACGTACTTCGAGCTTGCAAGCGAGCATAGGCGCTTGCTGGAGCATTTGCCTCCACTCAGGCCTGACGCCACTGCTCCTGGTAACTACAGTATGCATGCTACAAGTAGCCCCGGCAGCGCACACTATCAATTGACAAGAATCACGTCTTCTGAAAGTGTTGTAAAGCAAAAGCTTGGGAGGGCATACAACCCTCTCCAAGCGTTGCGAGATCGACGGTTACGAAATCGGGAGCGCCGGCCGTTGACTGTGCCTATTGAGGCTTTCCACGAGACCGACAGGATTAGACGTTGGATTGACGAAGTTGACGCCGTGGCTAAGGACGGCTCTTATAGACCGGGTGAAGATCAGGTCAGACTGCCACCATTTTCAGGAGAGCTTGAAGCCGATCAAAGCACACGTTTCGGGATGGCTCACGGTCATCGCAGAACAGACACTGCGAGCTCTGTTATCACAAGACCCGAGACCGGCTGGACAATTGAGCCGGCAGAACTCCTTGCGGATGCCTATTGGGTCGAAAGGGGTGACAACAAGACCATTGTCGAGGACCGGCATGGCAATCGCATATTCCCACCACGTCCACGAGCCAGTCTGGAGGTGCCACGACGCAGCAAGGAAGTCAGCCGTCGTAGTGCAGAAACGGGCCGTCGCGATGGATCCATTGCTGATACGCACAGCGATTCTGACCAGTCTTGGGATGAGCATCGATCCAGAGCGCGGCACAAACATAAGCACATACTTCCGTTGCCACGACTCGGTCGCAATCGCGTTAGCCGATCTGGGAGCGTCACAAGCGCGTCGAGCGACGAAGGTCGTAAACCACCCCCGCTAAGATATGGCGATGACGAGGGCGGCGACGAGAACATTGGTCCACTCGAGAGGCACATGCGGGAAATGATTGCCAAGGACGAGAAAGGGGAGTTGTCCTCGCCGGAAATGGTGTCGCCAGATCACTGGGATTCACGAAATACGCCTTTCCCTGCCTCCCGTGCCGGCGCGGAGAAGTCGCGTCAAGACCCTTATGCTACAGTGACTGGCAGGCCATCTACGGACTTCCAGCGACCTCCACGGTCAAGGTCTGTGGAAAGCAGAATTTCGGAGGACCATCGACTAGCATCTTTGAACGAAATGGTAGTCGACAGCCCGACTTCTCCCGCGAGACCAACACTCTCAAGAAAGAACACTGCAGAATCGATTACAAGCAAGCAGACTTCACCTATCAAACAGAAGACAAAAGGTCTGAAGCTGTCCATGTTTCACTCACGCAGTAAGAGCAAGGAGCACAACAACATCGAGGCAACCGACTTTGCCGCGAACAACATCAATGGGGCTCCCCTCTCACCAGTACTAAGTGCAGGCTCTAGCACTGGTCTACCCAGGTCGAGCGTTGACTCTGTACGCCCACCTCAAATCCGACGGCACAAGACTTATGACAGCATTGAAAGCGACCTGCGACGTGCAGACACGACAAATACTGCGACTGGAATGTCGATGAAAGAGTCTAAGCTGTCATCAAATCGCTTCTTCAAGGGAGGCCGCGTTCGAGATCTCGTGCGCATTGAAGGCTCGCGACTCAGCGATAGGCTTCGTGGCAGTCGTGAAGGAGGTCACACGGCCGCCTCTGTTCCTCAATCCGAAGCCTCAGATGCCGAATTTGAGCCCTCTCTACAGCGACGGAGAACTGCTGACTTGTATACAGTCGATGATGGCATCAGTTCATACGCGTCCATTGAAAGTGAGCAACCCAAGTCGAAGTACTTCATGTCGGGCCTACCATCGTTCAAGTCCCCTGGTGGACGGGAAAAAACGGCTCCCGCCAGTCCATTGTCAGAAGACAGCGATCCATTCGAAAAGCTACAGAAGAGAGCACAGTCTAATCGAAAGGATCTGCCGAAGATCAATCTGCCTGATAATGGCGACACACGAGAACCCGAAATGTCACCGAGCAAATCCAGGGATGGTGCGAGTACGGTGGAGGACTCCAAGCGCCGCAAGTCCGTCTCTCAGAACGACCTCGTCCTTGATGAGGCCAGGCCGAGTGATTTACACATGAAAACTAGAGGCACCAGCACACCAGTGCCTGGCAAATGGAATTGGAGCATTTCAGACCATCTGCATCGTGAACAACTAGCCAAACCCCAAGCCGAGAACGAATTCTCGAGCAAAGTGACAACACGAGACATTGCGCGTGTGCGAGCATTGTTGCTGGCTTCGGGAATCAAGGCGCACGAAATTCGCAGTCTGGCAGACAACACCCGCGATCCACCGCTCCCGTGTATTATTAAGGCTGCAGAGACTGCGGGACGGAAGTTTGAGCCGGTAGCTCGGAAAGAAGAGCATGTAGTGGCAGCAAAGATACTGTCAAGCACGCTAGATGGCACCGTTTCCGGATTTGAAAAACTTCTCGAGCACTTTCAGGGTGGCGCCATCCGGACCTTGAGCATGCGTCTTGAAGAACTTACTCACAAATCCGGAGACCAGCTCACAAAACTGGTTCACGAGACATCGGATGAAGCAGACGCTTTCAATGTCGAGCTCACGACCAAAATGCCTCAGGACTTGAAACGCATGGACGAGACCATCGACAGCATGTTTCGTGCACGTAGAAAGAACCTAAAGCTTCTCATCAATGTCGGCTCCAAGATCTTCGAGTGGCTTTTATTGGGGATCATGTGGTCCGTCTGGTTCGTTGTTGTCATCATCAACAGTTTGAAAAGGGCGGTGGTTTTGCTGGGAAGGATGTTCAAGTGGCTTTTGTGGTGGTGAATAAGTATTTGGTTTTAATCAATTTTTAGTGATACCCTGGTCTGGTGAAGAGCGAGGCATTCCGGGCGAGCATTAATATATAAGTTAGCTGGACATAGAGACAACAGGCTATTTGACTCAGGAATACATGTAAGCACCCATGTCTGACGTCCAGCACTTCACGCTCAATTAGTAAGCCGGGCCGCCGTCATGATGTAGCTCTATATGTACCTCTTACCTAAGGTAGATACTCTAACGTCGTACCTACCCAGTAAACACCAACACCACAAACGCCTGCAAACTTGCCGCTCACGATCGCCCTTTCTCTATCCCACACACACACACACCCACTCATAAACATCGCCACAACCACCACCGCCGCCACCGCGTGTGTCATCTCTTGGTACATCGACACACTGTTCTTGTGAACCGCGCTCGCCACTGAGGTACGCAGGAAACGAGGACAAGATGGCGGAAATCGCCATAAAGGTCAAGCACCAAGGCAAGGTCCATGACCTGGAGGTGGACGTAGAGAATGGTACCGGCGAGGATCTGAAGGTTCAATTATACTCTCTCACCGGTGTCGAGCCCGACTACCAGAAGATTGTGGCGAAAAAGATGGTCAAAGACGACACGCTGCTCAAGTCACTGGGCCTCAAGCCCGGACAGACCATCACCCTCATTGGCAATCCTTCGGACAAGGTCGTGATCGATGCGCCAACGGAGAAGATGAAGTTTGCGGAAGACATGACCGAAGCCGAACTTGCACAGCAGGAGGGCGCTATACCTGCTGGCCTGCAGAATATGGGCAACACGTGCTATGCGAACGCCACGCTCCAGACGCTACGCGCTGTGCCGGAGCTGATCGAAGAGTTGAAGGTCTATAAACCCGCTGCGCCGACTGCTGGTCCATCCTCGTCACTCTTCTCAGCGGAGCAGCTGGCACAGCACGGGTTGGGAGGTCTCAGCGGCGGCTCGGACCTGACTTCTGCGTTGGGAGACCTTTTCCAGCAGATGAACGAGACTCAGCAAGGTTTTCCGCCTCTCATGTTCCTGACGGCACTCCGGCAGAAGCACCCACAGTTCGCGGAAAGGGCAAAGAATGGACATGGCTACGCGCAGCAGGATGCCGAAGAAGTCTGGTCGCAGCTAGTACAGAACCTGAGAGACACACTCAAGCTGAAGGATGACCCAAATGGCTACAAAACTTGGGTGGATAAATACATGGGCGGCAAATTTGATGTCACCACCACCTGCAAGGAAGCACCGGACGAGGGAGTCTCTACTAACAGTGAGGACTTCAACGACTTGAAGTGCAACATCAATGTGGAGGTCAACCACATGCGGGAAGGTATCAGCATCGCTCTGAACGAAGAACTGGAGAAGAATTCGCCTTCACTAGGTCGCACCGCTATCTATGCCCGCCAATCTGATATCTCGCGATTGCCGAAATACCTGCCCATTCACTTTGTACGCTTTTTCTGGCGCAAAGACACCGGCAAGAAGGCCAAGATCTTGCGAAAAGTCACTTTCCAGCACGAGATTGATGTTACGGAATTCTGCACAGACGAGCTTCGCAAGAAGCTTATCCCAGTCCGCGACCATATCCGCGAGGTGCGTAAAGAGGAGGAAGACGTAGTGCGTGCGAAGAAGAGACAAAAGCGCATCAACCAGCAGATTGAGGATGCATCCAAAGACGCAAAGGTGCGTGGCGATGAGCCCCTCCAGAAGAAACTGCAAAAGGAGAAGGAGCGTGAGTCAAAGGCCACGGGGCCTGACTCTGAAGCTGAGTTGGCCCAGCAGAAGAAGTCGAATAGTGCTCAGAAGGATACAGCAATGGGAGGTACTGAGGAGGAAGAGGTGTATAAGACAGATGAGCAGATTGAGCAGGAACGTGCGGCGTCGATCCTCGCATCGAAGAAGGAGCTCCTCAAACTTGTGCATCCAGACTTGGCGAAGGATCCTGCCTCAAACCAGACTGGACTGTATGAGCTTCGAGGTGTGGTCACCCATCAAGGGTCCTCTGCAGATTCTGGACATTACACAGCCTACGTGAAGAAGACTGCTGCACCGGGGAAGGAGGAGGATGGCAAATGGTGGTGGTTCAACGACGACAAGGTGCAGGAGGTGGACAGTGAGAAGATTGAGACACTCTCTGGCGGTGGCGAAACGCATAGCGCTCTAATCTTGCTCTACAGGGCTGTGCCATTGCCGGAGGTTTAGAGTATGCCATCACGATGCCATGATTCAGCGATGCATACATGTATGCACCATGATTGAATGCATTGCGAATAATAGAGTTTCAACAAAGATTCCGAATGTCCTTCGGTATACAACGTGTAGTCATGTATATTCATGTTACGCTCGAACGCTCAAATGCCCACAGTCCGGGTATCTTCTTCATCGCTAAACTCTACCCTGTCTGGACAAACTGTTTGTCGACTTTCTCTTGATATTGAACAGATTCTTCAACTTCCTCAATCTGCTTTCCCGCTCTTGATCCTGTTGCGCCAGCTCCGCCCGTGTGAGTGTCTGCGTCACCTCTGGCAGCTGCTCACCCGCACTACTCGTCTGGTCGTTGGGGTCAGCAACAGTGACGACATGTTCATGTGATCTCCTTCTGTGATCTCGCGCTGCAGTTGCCACGACCCTCTGCAGAATTTGAGAAGCGTTCAAGCCTGCCAAGCTGCCGGTAGCGTGTTGTGTCGCTGGGTTTCGCCACGGGCAATGCTCTCGATGCATTTCCACAAGATCGATGCTCGCTTCATCATCCTGCTCCTCGTCGCTGGTCGTCGAGGGGCGCCGCCGTGCGGCAACGTAGTCTGGTTGGTACATCCACAGTCCTATACGTTGAAAACACGCATCACAATGTAAAAGATCGTTGCCCGATTCTGAAGAGCCTCGCCAGCCGTGAAGGGCGATTTCGAATGCTGTTATCGAGCTGTGCAGTGTCGTGTCGGACGGATCGATGACTTCCCGTGGGAGGTCCTTGAAAAGTTTCTGGTTCACAGATGTAGGTTCCAAAGTTCTGATGGTGACCTTGTCGATGGAGCTCCCTATGCTCAGTAGGCTTCGAAAGCGTTTGGACAATTCAGGCTGCCAGACAGTGGGGCGCACGACCGGAAGACGGTAGATGTCGTCTTTGCAGCCGGCTTTGTGCCACATGCAAGAGCCGGAATGGCCATTAATAATCTCGTCCTTGAAGCGCTCTGCGAGGGCTTCTTCCAAGGCAGCAGCTTCCTCGTCCTCATCACTCCTATCCGCGTCCATGCCCACGCTGTCTTCATCTGTACGTCGCCTGCTCGAAGCATTCAAGCTTGCAACCACGCGCCTCTCGCAACCGCCTCTGCATGCCACGGTATTGACATCGACACAGACCCAGCCCCTTTTTGCCCATTCCACCTCATTAATAGGATCTGGCTTCGGATGCCATGTGCTGACGCTGCTGTACGTCTTCAGCCGAGCCAGGAAGCTGTCCTGGGACCATGGTGAGAAGTGAGGAGGTGTCTTGGGCTCCACACCACTCTTTGGCCGTGGTCGGAGAGGAGTCTTGCGCGGCAGTGATACGATCGAAGAGGCATGAACGTCGGCGGTGTTGAGGGAGGTGGTGGACGTGCTCTGGCGCAGTCGCTTGCGCGCGCGTTCTCGTGCTTCGTCGAACGCCAATGCCGAAGCCGACGTGCGAGCGGTGTTGCTGATTATGGACGTCGAGTCGTGAGTCGTATTCGTCGAGCTACTAGTGAGAGCGTCCAGCGCCTTGTAAAATTTCCGTTTGGTGGTTGCAATCGCTTCAGGCATTGTGTCGAGCGTATAGTGTATCTGTGATGTTCGTTAAGATCGTAACTTGCCCGTGTTGTCGATACATAACTGCGACGCGGGTAGGCCACGGCATCACGTGACTGATAAAAAGGAACAAATAGACCGCAAACGGAAACGTGCAAACATGATCGACCAGATGAGACGTCGATACTGCTATCTATACATATAACGCTTCGCTTTCGTGGCTTACGCCGTCTATGCCAATAGCTCCATATACCTTGAGTGGCACGGCTATTTCAAAAGTGTCGGCCGGTAATCGCTCTTTGGCAATATACGTCGTGCCCCGTTCGTCGCTCCCAAGCTCTTCAAGTAAATTGCTATCTCCATCAGTGCCCTCGATGCCCAGACCCTGTATTTGTCGGTGCGTGGTAAATTCGACTTTCAGTCTCCAAGTGAGACTCACCCCAGTTGTTTCGAAGCTCGGGGCGGCACTAGATGGTATGGCGAGACTAAAGCTAACCTGCCTGGCAAATAGTGAGTTCTGCCTACACGTTGCGTACACCTTGCGAGTCACTCGGCCGATGGAGTTACTGCTGCGTAGAGCCAACGAGGCATCGATTTGCTCAGCTGACTCTAGCTCCACAAGCAGAGAATAGATGGGAGCCTGTGCTGTGGTGCTTGGGCCCGTACTGAAATTTGCGAAGTTGAAGGTTCCAATGACGGATTCGCCGAGTCGATATGCGGGTCGCAGCATAGTAAGCACGGCCACCGGTTGTCCTGATCGAGCGATATTGAAGCGATTGCTGCTTTGCGACCCCCCTTGCCGCGATGCACTCAATTCACTTCGATTCGAGCGTAGAATAGCGAAGTCGATGGCTTCCTTGATTTTGGTGGGGGCCAGATCGACAAGACTGTTTCGTCGAGACAGTGATGGTAACTGAGGAGATCTCGGAGAGGTAGGAGACAACAAGATACCGTTGGCATCGACTGGTGTATCGAGTAGTCTTTTCGTGTATCGTAAAAAATCCTCTAACCCTTGTTTGGGAGTCTTTTTGTGCTTGGGTTCTGTATCGGACAAGAATTTCGGCGTGCCATTGGAATCCGGCGAGTCGGAAGAGATACTCGTCGTGCGCGCAGCATCTTGTAATAGTACATAAGGAGACATGAGATCGTGACCAAGAGTGTCTCCCCGGGAGTCGTAGCTCCCTAGCACTCGGAAGGGAACATCAACGTGCTTTACAATCTGACCTCCCGGCCGCTGCACTCCAAGCGAGAGATGGTAAGTGACTTTCATCGCCCTTCCTTTGTGTGTGGGAGGTAAACCTCGAGGAAGGGAGAATCTGTAGCTATAGCTTTTGCTCTCTCCAGGCGCCAGCTTCAATTCCACGAAGAGTAGACTTTGAGGTGTCGATAAGAGTGGTATGGTTTTGGAGCCGGCCGTCGCCTTCATCTGCGCCATCGAACTCATCTCGTCGCCTCCCAGCAAGCCGCCGAGAGATTCACCAATGTTTCCCCAACTGAGTGCACCGAACAGGCCAGATGAACGCTTCGAGCGCTCAACCCCAACTACTCCCCCACCACCTTGCACACCCTTCCTTTTGACCTCCTCAAATGGCGCAGCATTGACAAGACTTCCATCAATTGTGAATTGGCCCACAGTCTGTGCGTACGCCATCATCAATGTCTCTGGCACAGCAGGTTTGTTTTGAGGAGACCTCGAATATTGTCGTGAGTGTGACCGTCCAGGGAGTAGTCGTGCAAACTGTTGTTGCAGGGGAAGCTCGGAAGCCAAGGTTTCGTCACTGTGATTGCTCATGGAATAGATTTCGCTGCTCGTCCGCGGAGTGCCATCCTGTGAAGTTTCTGACATGACCCGAGAGATGGGGTTCAGGCTGCCCATACCTCCAGACCAACTGTCCGGTGGCTGTGGCGAGCGCTGCCTCCTGCTAGAGTGCATCGTTGAGGGATTGCGCGTGAGCGTGGGTCGTGGTGTTGCTGACTCTTCTACTGGAGACGGCACTTGTGGCGAAGACTCTGGAGGAAACTTGAAACTGTTGAAAGCAGAAGCAACTTGTGTCTCTGCACTAGACTGTTTCCTTAGACTGGATTGTCTCCCCAGTTGTGGTGTGTTGCCAGCAGATGTCGTACCTGGACGTCTTCGGGCTGGACGGGTAGGTAACGGTCGCTCCGTTGTACTATTGTCGGCGGAAAGTGTGGTGGCCTCATACAAAGGTGAGGGCTGGCGCGGTGATAGCATGCCCAAGGCAGCTGGTGACTGTCCTCCTAGGGTCGATGTGTATTGCAGACTGGCACTACGCCCATGCCCCTTCATGGGTCTCTTGCCTGGCCCGTTGTGAAGACCAGATGCCCTGCCCTCGCTAATGGCCTCACTCCCGAGCGACATGATCGACAGGCTGCGCCCATGGCTCTTGTTTGGCCTCGAGGCGCTGACGGGAGTGTTGGCGGTCTGAGGAGTGGTGCCGAGGAGGCCAGTCCCATTTTCTAGTCTTGCGGATCCATTCGCTACGCTCAGAGACAGCGTCGGCCGGTGTCCTCTGCTACCATGCGTGCCCTTCGCGCTCGCTACCGATACTGACGGCGCTCTGGATAATGCCAATGGCGGTGCTTTCAACTGCGCAAGCGAGGAGCGCCGACTGTGCGCCCTCGAGACGCTGATAGATTGCCCTCTGCTATACGCGTCGCCGCTTCCCAGAGCATGCGGCCTCTCGGTCCCCGCAGGCCGTGCTATGTTCTTGAATGTGATGATGCATTCAACCTGCTCTCCTGCATATATGGCCGGCTCTTTCCATTGCACGTATGCGCGGATATTCGACGGCGCAGACGGCGTCGGTGGCATCGTGAACAATACTACTGCTCAACTTCCATAGCGATGACGATGTTGAAGCATTCTCTCCGCCTGTATGTGCCTCTTAGTGAAGCATGGCCAGGTGTTCGTGTAGATCGCTGGGCGCAAGGTGATTTAGCCCAATGATTCGGTCCACTTCCCTCAACGTGCGCGAACCTTCAAGGGATCCAAGTATGGCTTCCAATGGCGACGTGGTTATTACGGCATAAAGGTATGCTCAATTGCAGAAGCGAGGACTCGGACACTCGACCACAATATGTATGTAAGCACCTAGGAAAGATCTTAAAGATGCTCCGCTGAGAAATGGCGCTAGTGGCAGTCGCCAATATCAATGTCACATGCGTTACACTTTGGGAAGGGTAGCTACAGGTATCCATGAGACTTTTGTAACGTGCATTCTACTGGAAGGCCGACACTGTACACATGAACTGGATCATATACAGACGCAGTCATATTCATCTTTTATACCGCATTCGATAGCATCGGCGGGACCGCAACGTCTTCGGCCTTCACTCTAGCTAAGCCTTGCTTGCTATAAAAGTCCATAGGGTATACTGTCTCTTCCTTCTCACCCGTGATCTCGTTGACTTGTCCCTCCCATCCCTTTCGTTCTCCCAGAGTCACCAAAGCTTCATACGGTGTTAGCAGAGGTCGTGGGAAAGCATAGCCCCAATCAATACTGAGCCGAGGACAAGCCACCTGAACCCAACACTCTACATCCGGCATCATCGCAAGCTTGCCCGGAAAGATTTCGCTGAGAAGCAAGTTCACCCAGGTGATGCCCTTCTCGCGTAGATGATTCTCGATCAAAGTCATCGTGTGCGGATTGCCTTGTCGTCCCAGGCTGCCCAAGATCAAGCCCCACTTCTTCGCCTTCCGTGCTTGTGTAAGTGCTTTGGATCGATCTGCGAGTAGTGTATCGTGATCATACGTCTCGTGCGTCAACCGTCGCGAGTACGGATCGTATCTATATGCCGGCGTTGATGGGTTGTGAATCATCGCACTTTCCAGGTGAAAACGACCATCCCCCAGATACAGAATTAGGTCCACATTCTGCTCCTTCGTAAGACGTGGTGATGTGCAGCCCAGTATTTCGCCTTTGGAGAGAGGCATGATTTGAGGGACAATGAGATTGTAACCTGCCGATCGAAGCTGTTGCGAAGTGCCGTGAAGCGTAGCGTTGAATTGTATTGTCCCTACCATAGCAATTGTGCTGCCGGGCTTGAAGTTGCGCTCGATGGTAGCAAGCAAGTGCTCGACGTCTATCTGTATGTCCACGAAGACATATAAAGTCTGGATCTTCGTCACATTTACAGGGATCAGGCACGAATGGGCATAATGCACGAGGAGATCGCAGCCCAGAGCTCGTGCTGTGTAGTCGTCGATGCAGCAAGCGCCATATGTCACGTCGCCCATGATGAGCGTACTGACACCCGGGCAAAACTGTGTGAGGATGTCGGAAATGGTTGTGGCAAATAACAACAAGCCTTCGGGCATTTGCAGCGCAATCTGCTTCGCACCAGAAGTCCTGATGCGATGAATGGTCTTGTGAATCTCAAAATTGTAGTTTTTCGGTAATAGTGCAATTGCATCGTTGATAGCTGGGTCGTACAGGATCTCATCCGGCACGTTGTTCAGGGCACGGGCAGGCCGCCGTCGTGGAGCAACTACTTCTATCAGCTCGTGCTTTGTGCTACCCAAGGTCGCGTAGGATAAGGCGTACCCTGAACAGCACCCGTATCCTCAATCGCGCCACCGCCGGCCTCTGCTTTCGCAGCGGCTTTGGCATCTGCGGCTCGTCTGCCAATGAACCGCCTTTTGGGCTGTTTTGGCAGAGTTGCGGCGCCGTCGTGATTGTCGGCTGCAACAGGCAGATCAGGGCCAAGGTCTGCCAGCGCTCGGTCTTCCTCCATTCCGTCAGATGGTTGCAGGTCAGTGCGATGATTGGAGGACTGGAGTTCTTTTCTTGGTGCAGACAGGATGACTATACAGTTAATGTGCAGAAAACAAAACCAGGGTAGAACTCAGGTGGTCAGGTAAGCTCGCTTAAAATAAACCTGAAAAAGTGCTTATTTTGGTCGTGGCGTGGTGGTCCTGGAATGGCGCAACTCAGGCGCATATGTGCCTGATCCTCCAACGTAAAATATGGTCAGAAGCTCAGTGAAGCCAATGTAGGCCTCTTCGATGCCTGTTTCGGCGCAGCGGAGTGTGAATATCATGTATCAGGAGAGCATCAAGGTATTCTAGGTCAGGTACCTAGGTACCTAGGTAGGTATCGAGCAGTCCTACCTCCAGCCTACTGAAGTACGGGCACAGCCTACAGGTAAGCCCTAAGGGCCGGAGGCGGCGAGGCCGATATTGAAGTTGCGCCGCTGGCACCCCGGGCAGTGGGCACTTAGCAAGTTCTTATTCCACCTCCAGGGTGTGGTAGAAGAAGCTTAACGTTGTTCTAGAGGCCCAGTTGCCAGGGTCAAACTACTGTAGGTAGGTCTAGCTCAAGATTTAGAGGTACAGATGCCTGCCAGCAGCATTGATCGCGGAGCCGAAAAGAACCTGGAAGTACCTATAGGCAGGCAGCACGTCGTTCATATGAGCGTCTATACACACGGTACCTTACACCTACATGAAGTACATCCTACATTTACTTAGTAATTATCTAATATACCACACTTAATATATATTCGCCCCGATCCAGCGAGGATAAGTGGAGCCTCTCCACACCACCGCCACTGGACACTGGCTGGCTGGCTAGAACTGCCCTTCAACGCCCCTGATGGCGTACCTGTAGTCGGTTAGGCCGTACTCTCGCTACCTCCGTACCTACACGCGCAAAACATCCTTCTACCTACTTCCCGTCCTCCTTCCTCCTACTCACCCGACTCGTTTATGAGGCCAACTGTGTCTGCGCACCACTCCCACTGCTCGTTTGTCTGTTTTGTCTCTTCTGCACCACCTCCACGCCACATACGCATCGAACATTAGCACTGCCGTATCAGATTCAGGTCTCACTCTCACAGCACAACACACGCACGCACATACTCTCGTTCCGCCATCATCAGAAACAACACAGTCTCGCCGTCTGGTCTGTCCTGCACGCGCCTACATACACCTACCACCACACCCACACACTCATATCATCCACACCGAGCCGCAATTCCAACTCACCATTCGCTTGTCACCACATGCGGTCGACGTAGACCTCGCTCCTAGCCGCCTCACTCGCCCTCTCCGCCCTCTACTCCGCCCCGGCGTGGCCGTGTGCCCGGCCTACTGCTTGCCATGGACCGGCACAATCCCCCTCGCATTCAAGTGCATTCGAGCAACGATGCACTCCTCGACCTCGGACAGCCCGCTGGCGCAGCCTCACGACCTCAGCTGACTCCACGGCAGCCCTCTTCGCGATCGCTCACACAACCTGGCCGGCCAGGGACCACACAAACCCTACGCAATGCCGCCAGTGGCAACTCCCTGTACTCTTCAGCCGCGCCCGCGGAGTCGTCTGAGCTACTGCTGCCACCGCGCAAAACTCAGATGCGAAGGTTCCGAGATGAGGACAGTCCTATGCGTTCGCCCTCAGAAAACGGCTTCAATTCAAGGAGAACTTCTTGGTCGTCGGAAAGCGCAGGGAGCAGGGACAGCAGATATGGCGGGCCTTTCGTATCGCCGTTTGACGACTCAAGAGCACCGTCCAGAGCAGGAAGCGATGATGGAGTCACCACACAGACGGTCAGCGAAAAATTTAATATTCTGCCAGGAGCAGGTCTCCTGTTGTTTCCAGAAGATGTGGAGAAGGATGACTACTTGCACAACCCAGATCCGAACGACAAGGATGGCAGGCTAGTGTGCGCCGATTTGTTTAGCAAGAGAGGGTTCGTAAATGTCGGGGGCCTAGCGTTGATTACCATCGGAATTCTGATTCTGTTCATCGGCTATCCTATATTGTGAGTTGCTGCCTCGACTGTGGGAAAAACGACGACAGTCATAGCTAACATTGTGTGCAGAACTTTTGTTCAAAGCAAGATTGATCCAAGCAACGGCGCTTGCTCGAGAGACCCAGATTGTATCTCTGACCAGCGGCCTCTGCTATCGAATCTGCGCCAGAGTGTGATTGACCCGGACACTCCAGATTCCGTCAAAACGCGCAAGGGAGACAATGGCAAGCAACAAACACTCGTCTTCAGCGATGAGTTCAACAAGCCTGGCCGAACCTTTTACGACGAGGATGATCCCTATTTTCAAGCTATGGACTTCTGGTACGGAGTCACCATGGACCTGGAATGGTATGATCCGGATGCCGTCACGACGGAAGGCGGCACGCTGAATCTCAAGTTCGACGCCTTCCAAAACCACAATCTCAATTACAGATCTGGCATGATTCAGTCCTGGAATAAACTATGCTTCAAAGGCGGGTACCTGGAAGCATCCATATCGCTACCCGGCCGTGGTGACACGATTGGGTTTTGGCCAGGCTTCTGGTCTATGGGCAATCTTGGTCGACCTGGCTTTGCTGCAACGACTGACGGCATGTGGCCATACAGCTACCATGATAAGTGCGACGTCGGTATCACACCAAATCAGTCTGACCCGGATGGATTGAGTTATCTTCCCGGCATGAGGCTTCCAGCGTGTACTTGCAATGGTGAGGATCATCCTTCGCCTGGAATCAGCCGGAGTGCTCCAGAAATCGATGCCATTGAAGCCTCTGTCGAATACCTTCAGCCTCCGCTGGGTGCCGCCGTCGGCTCTGCATCTCAATCGTTTCAAGTCGCACCCTTTGATGTTTTCTGGCAGCCCCAAGCTGATTGGATGGAGATTTACGATTACTCTGTCACGGAAGCGAACGCATATCAGGGAGGTCAATTTCAAGAGGCCGTTTCTGCACTCTCTACTCTGAACAACGATTGGTATGACGGCAAAGCCTATCAAACCTACGCGTTCGAGTACGAACCTGGTGCAGGTGGTTACATTACGTGGTACATCGGTGATGAGCCGACTTGGAAGATGGAAGGCAATGCCATCGGGCCAAATGGCAACATTGGCCAGCGCGTGGTGCCACAGGAGCCCATGACTATCATTGCCAATTTCGGAATGAGTAACAGTTTCTCAGCCGTCAACCTCACAGGACTGGCCAAGTTGTTTCCTGCCACCATGAGGATTGACTACATACGGATTTATCAACAGGAAGGCGATGAATTGACGTGCGATCCGATCGGATACCCAACGACAGATTATATCAAGAACCACCCAGAACCTTACGCGAATATCAACTTGACGCACTGGTAAGATGATGGCTCGACGGAGACATCAGTACTACGTAGCTAACCATTTATAGGGAGCAAGCGGATTATTCCTTCCCCCAAAACTCGTTTATGCATGGTTGCTCGTCGGACAGCAAACCCAAAGGCAAGAAGTCAAAGAGGTCGTCAGGAACGCCTGCCGGCGAATGGTGGAGAAGCTGGTTCTGGAGCTAGACTACCATGACAGGATCGAAGCCGTTGCGACCATGCCTCTAAGCACTTGACGACTTTAGGCCGCTGGGCAACTTGATTCGCACGCATTGCATTTGCCGGAAGTACAGCAACGCATTCAATGCCAGTGGTCAACTAATATATTATGGATTCGAAGCATCAATAGCGAACGACATGTCTCTATGAGCACGGCCCGAGCAACGCCGTGCCCGACATGCGAGGAGGACCACACAATGACCCCAGCGGGTCCAATTGTATAATTTCGCATCGATCATGGCTTTCTCTGCGATGTCCTATAGATGTCACCACCATCACCACCACCACCACCACCACCACTACTACTACTATGTACGCACAGCCTGGACGTTTCGCGCATCGCATTGGAGTTTGTTTTAGGCACGGGAGGACATTGGATGAATTGGACAATGAAACCCGGGTACAAGGGAAAGAAGGCCCTTTGGAAGCAGAGCATTTCCACAGCGGGCTCAGATCGCGTGCGATTTTGGAAAGAAAAGAAGAAAGAAAAAGACATGTTGCCCAAGATTGGCGACATCCAACCAGATACTGTAGTTTTCATGATACGATGCGGCGTGATGGCTTCGCGATGGCTGTAGAGAAAAGAGAGATAGGAACAGGAAGAGAAAGATACAGAAAGAGAGATAGACGAGGAGTCAAAGAGTGAAATCAAGCACAGTCTCCATTGCCCATGGTTTGCAGAGCCAGCTGTCAATTTTCGGTCCTTAGCAATATGTATGGGGGGGTATACAAAGAACATTACCATCATTGCCCATGGAGGTCTCACATCAGCCTCTGCTCATTTCCCCTGATGGGCACTTTTCTCAATCTATGAGACATTTTTTAATCTACGGGACAGCTCTCCGGGCTCCCATTACGACAACCCCCAAGTTGTTCCCCTACTCGCAGTACCCGGACCTTCCACATTATGATTATTATTATGATTACGATTATCATCATCATCCTCCTCCTCCTCCACCAGCCTCAACGTCTCCTCGAGCACCAAAAAATCGCGTTCCAGCATCTCGGCCCAATTCTGCACATGGCCAATCTCATTGACACATTTGGTCGCCCGATCGAGTTGCCGTTGCCATTTCGCGCCCTCTTTAGCGAGAGCAGACGTCTGTTTCTGGAGCTCGGCTTCTTGCTTGGCAATGGCGGTGGCGTTGGCGTGTAAATCGGTGGCTCGCCGTTGGAATTTCGTGTCGTAGTGTGAGCCGGCGGATTCGAGGGATGCGAGGACTGCGGCGCGAGCTTCTGTTTGGGCTTGATGAGGACTTTCACGGCTGGAGGAGGGGACGGCTGTGGTTGAGGAGTTTGTGGTGGATGAGGGAGAGGGCATGGTCGAGGATGTCTTGTTGTTTTTGTTGTTCTTGTTATTGTTGTCTGTATAGGCTAGAAGGTGGATGTGAGAGGCAAAGCGAAAGAGGTTGGGAGATGCATCCTTCGTAAGTACACCTCATGTAGCAGTCCCGCGTGTTCGTGGCGTGGCGAAACTGCGGATGGTGCCTGCCTGCCTGGGATAGCTTCCCATCTGACAGCTGCAGTGCAGGCGGGAAGAGCGGTAAGAGGTAGGAGGTAGGTAGGTAGGTACCGAATACATGTAGGTAACTTCCAATAGGTGGTCGCAATGCATCGAGGAGGTCAAGGACGGACTGCAATTGCTTGGCTGCTGAGCTCTGACGTGTTCCCGTCTGCGCTATCTACATGTACTGTACATATCTCACGTACCTTATGTCGTGCGAGTGTGTGTCAGCAACACGGATACCGTCTACCTGTACATTACCTATTCGAGATCCTCCAATACCGTAATCGTCTGTCTACAGCTGGAGAGGGAACGGCAAACAGCAGTGAGGGAATTTGGTTGTCAGCAGATTTCTTCAGAGTCAGACCCGTAATATACTCTCACAGTGCCTAGGAGGTCAGGTAAGGTAGGTAGTAGTACTGTAGGAGGTAGAGGTACAAGGTACCTTAAGGTAAGGTAGGTATAGCAGCTTCTGCCTGGCCAGGCGCCAAGCCCACAGGCCCCACGCCCGTGCCATGCGGCCCGCTGAACGCTTCCATCTCCACCTCCCATCCCCATCCCCATCTCCATCTCCATCTCCATTCACCTCCTCGAATTTTCCAATCACACCCACCGCAGATGTCACCCCTCCATAGACATCTCCCACCTCAAGGCGATTGTCACTGCAGCACAGATATCGCTCTTCACAGACATTGGCTTTCTACGGATAACATCTCTCCTTCTGACATCGCAGTCTGTCGCAGCCGGGAGAGCTACGGCCATCGTCAGCTTGCACGTCCTCGCCATGCTGCGTGACCCGTTTCAACAGGATGAATCATCGCCACCACTGACTACTCGTCCTCCTCCTCTCCTCCCTGCCGTGTCCGAGGGCACCGGAGATGCCGCTTTCATGTTGGGCTTCGTGGACATCCCATGCATACTCGACGGTCAGGATCTCCCGCAGCCGGACGATCTATGTGCTGCCGTTGCCCGCAGCTGCATATTCTCTGTCTTTGATGTTCTTGCCAAGTGGCGGAAGTTCTTTGAGAATCAGACGGGTGGTGTGGTTTATGCTTCGTCAACAGGTAAGGCGCTTACTCTAGCTATGGCCATGGAGAGAGTAGATATTGTATCGCTCTTGGTAGGTCTCCGGGGCTTGGAGAATGGCGAGGTAAGAACGCCGCTGAGTGCTGGGCATATCTGCAATTTCGAAGCGTGACTTTGGAATGGCTGGGACGTTAATGCTCCGTTGTCACCTATTGGACCAACAGCTCTTGGGCACGTAGTTCACGACGAGACTCTGGTCAAGTGGTTCCTAGACTACGGTGCGGATCCAAACGGCGGCTACAAATATGAGACAGCGTTCTCCGATGCTGTTAGCTCGGGCTCGATCGAAGTTATTAAGATGTTCTTAGAACATGGCGCCGACGTTCACCGAGGTGATGTGATGTTCTTTGCTACTGGGCCAAAGAGAGCAGTAGAAGTCACGAGAGTGTTACTGTGCAAAGGCGCAGACCCGAATCGCCTCCGCTTTGATGGGCTAGAACCAGGATAGTCCATTTTTGGCCAAACCCCCCCCCCCCCCCCCCGGTTTAGGAACGCCTCTGCATACTGCTATTATAGCTACCTCCTAGCAGACTGGACCTTGTGCTTGCTCTCTTGAAAGGAGGCGCTGATGTGAATGTTAAGGATACACTTGGCAGAACACCGAGGATGCTGGCGGAACTAAGGCGTGAATCTGAGGTCCTTGTTTTGCTTTTTGCGTATACCTCCCAAGAGACCCTGCGATGCAGCGATGGGCGATCGCCTAACTCAGAATAATAGACGAAAACAGGGTCTGCTCTAGGGTAGTCAAACCTAGGTAATGCAAGGACTTCTCTCTGGACTTGTATTTCACTGAAAGGTAGGAGGTAAGTACCTAGGTACTTTTACAAAATCACATGCAGGTACATGTAGTGAGGGAGTTAGGTTCCAGTTCTATCGGAGCTGACCGCATATTACCTGGTATGCAGTAAATATGCACCAGCCTGGTATGCAGTAAATATGCACCAGGCAATGACGGTATACCCTCCTATTTCTCCACCGCTCGCACCGCCCCGCACCGCACTGCCCCGCCGCACCACACCACACCGCGCCTTGCCTGCCTCGGTGACCTGACTTCATCCGTCGCACTTCGCCGTCATCCAGAATCGGCGCGAATACTGCCCGCGTGCAACGATAAGCATTGCATCGATGCCTACCGATGTACCTCGTCTCCCAGGCTCGTGCCTCGATGGCGGTCCCGGTACAGTACTGCTTCTACTACTTTGCTACTGACTCCCTTTCCCCTCCGCTCTCCGACATAGATCTATTCTCGTACTGCCCGAAGCTTTTGCGACGGCTCACCTCATGAAGCGACACGCTCCCCACTGAGCGTCCACGTATCCGTATACACACGCACACCCACCCACCGCATCCACCGCACCCACCCACTTCTCGTCGAGGGCGGCCGTGAGAGAACGACGGTACATCATGGCCCCGGGTCGCCTTGATCCAGCGCCTGCGGTCGAGCCTGCCACCCGGCAAGCCCTCGCCTCGACCACAGAGCAATACCACGACACTGTCACCTTCTACTTGAACGGAACAAAGGTAGTGCTGGACGAGGCCGACCCCGAAGTAACCCTCCTAGAGTACCTTCGAGGCATTGGCTTGACCGGCACCAAGCTGGGCTGTGCCGAGGGTGGCTGTGGCGCCTGCACAGTGGTCGTGTCACAATGGAATCCTACAACGAAGAAGATCTACCACGCATCCGTCAATGCCTGTCTCGCGCCACTGGTCTCTGTGGATGGCAAGCATGTGATTACCGTGGAAGGCATAGGATCAGTGAAGAAACCACACCCTGCTCAAGAACGAATTGCCAAAGGCAATGGCAGCCAGTGCGGTTTCTGTACGCCTGGCATAGTCATGAGCTTGTATGCTCTGCTGCGTAATAACGATCAACCTTCAGAGGTCGAGGTCGAAGAAGCTTTCGATGGCAATTTGTGTCGGTGCACAGGCTATCGACCGATTCTCGATGCTGCCCAGACGTTTAGTGCAACAGGAGGCTGTGCGAAGGCGAAAGTCAATGGGGGCTCGGGCTGCTGTATGGACGAAAAGAGCAGCGAGAATGGCGCGGGTGGTTGTTGCAAGGGGCCATCCGGTCCGGCAGACGACCAACCCATCAAGCGATTCACACCTCCCGGCTTCATCGAGTACAATCCTCACACTGAGCTGATCTTCCCGCCAGCTTTGAAGAAGCACGAATATAAACCATTAGCATTTGGCAACAAACGAAAGCGATGGTTCCGACCGGTGACGTTGAATCAGCTTCTCGAGATCAAGAGCGTCTACCCTTCAGCTAAGATTATTGGTGGCAGCACAGAAACCCAGATCGAGGTCAAGTTCAAGGCCATGCAGTATACGGTCTCTGTCTTCGTCGGAGACATTCCAGAGCTGCGCCAATTCGAAATGAAAGACGACCACGTTGAAGTCGGGGGTAATATTACCCTAACGGACCTTGAAGAGCTCTCTCTAGAGGCCTCGAAGCATTATGGCCAGACGCGAGGTCAGCCTTTCGCGGCCATTCACAAGCAAATAAAATACTTCGCTGGCCGCCAGATCAGGAATGTCGGAACACCCGCGGGTAATCTTGCGACTGCTTCTCCCATCTCTGATTTGAACCCTGTTTTTCTGGGTACTAATTCGACGATTGTCGCCAAGTCACTTGACAAAACCGTCGAGATACCCATGTCAGATTTCTTCAAAGCGTATCGACAGACCGCACTGCCCCCAGATGCGATTATTGCTAGCATCAGGATACCAGTGTTCCAGGAAAAAGGGGAGTATATGCGGGCCTACAAGCAAGCCAAGCGAAAGGACGATGACATCGCGATTGTCAATGCAGCTTTACGCGTCCTTCTTGACGATTCCAACCACGTCAGGAACTCGAGCCTAGTGTACGGCGGAATGGCCCCCGTCACGATCGCTGCCAGAAATGCCATGACCTACTTGGAGGGCAAGAAGTTCACAGATCCCGCTACTCTAGAAGGCGTCATGAATGCACTAGAGCAAGACTTTGATCTGCGCTTCGGTGTGCCTGGAGGCATGGCTACCTACCGAAAATCCCTCGCACTCGGCTTCTTTTACAAATTCTATCATGAAGTACTGTCGGCGCTCAATCCAGAGGGCGTGGATATTGACCAAGATTGTATAGCGGAGATTGAGCGCGAGATATCTAAGGGCACAAAGGACCATACAGTAGGCAAAGCCTATGAGAAGAAGATTCTTGGGAAAGAAACGGAACACGTTGCCGCCATGAAACAGTCGACAGGTGAAGCTCAGTATACTGATGACATTCCAGTGCAAAAGGACGAGCTTTACGGCTGCCTTGTGCTTAGCACGAAAGCGCATGCGAAACTCGTTAGCGTCGATGCTTCTGCGGCGCTGGACCTTCCAGGCGTCGTGGACTACGTTGATCATCGAGATCTCCCGAACCCTGAAGCCAATTGGTGGGGAGCACCCAATTGCGATGAGACGTTCTTCGCGTTGGATGAGGTATTCACAGCAGGTCAGCCGATAGGTATGATCCTCGCGACATCGGCGAAGCTCGCGGAAGCAGGGATGCGAGCGGTTAAGGTCGAGTATGAGGATTTGCCTGCCATCTTCACAATGGAGGAAGCCATCGCGGCCAACAGCTTTTTCGACCACTATCACTTCATCAAGAATGGAGACGTGGACCAAGCTTTCGAAGAGTCCGATCACGTCTTCAGTGGGGTTGCTCGCATGGGGGGCCAAGAACATTTCTACTTGGAGACCAACGCATGTGTGGCCGTACCCAAGCCCGAAGACGGCGAGATGGAGATCTTCAGCTCGACCCAAAATCCCACAGAGACACAGGCATACGTTGCGCAAGTCACTGGCGTAGCTGCGAACAAGATTGTCTCTAGAGTCAAGCGTCTCGGTGGCGGCTTTGGCGGCAAAGAGACGCGATCTATACAGCTCGCAGGAATCTGTGCGACGGCAGCCAAAAAGGTTGGCAGGCCTGTACGTTGCATGTTGAACCGCGATGAAGACATTCAGACATCTGGACAAAGACACCCCTTCTTGTCTCACTGGAAGATTGGCGTCAGCAAAGATGGCAAGCTGCAAGCACTCGATGCTGACATCTACAATAATGGTGGTTGGTCACAAGATCTCAGTGCTGCCGTCGTTGATCGTGCTCTCAGCCACGTGGATGGCGTGTACAACTTTCCAAACGTTTTCGTACGTGGACGCATCTGCAAGACGAACACTGTTTCGAATTCTGCCTTTCGAGGTTTCGGTGGTCCACAGGGTATGTTTATCATCGAGACCGCCATGGAGGAAGTAGCAGATCGTCTCCAGATCCCAGTCGAGAGACTTCGAGAAATCAACATGTACAAGTCTGGCGAGAAGACACATTTCAATCAGGAGCTGAAAGATTGGTACGTGCCGCTCATGTGGAATCAAATACGAGAGGAATCGGACTGGGAGCGGCGAAAGAAAGAAGTGGCTGCTTTCAACGAGAAAAGTAAATGGAAGAAGCGTGGAATGGCTCTGATCCCGACCAAATTCGGCATCTCCTTCACAGCTTTGTTCCTCAACCAGGCTGGTGCTCTAGTACACATCTACCATGACGGAAGCGTTTTGGTAGCACATGGAGGCACAGAAATGGGTCAAGGTCTCCACACCAAAATGACTATGATTGCAGCTGAGGCTCTGAACGTGCCACAAGACAATGTCTTCATCTCGGAAACTGCCACAAACACTGTGGCAAACACATCCTCCACTGCCGCCTCAGCGTCGTCAGACCTCAACGGCTACGCCATCTGGAATGCTTGTGAACAGCTGAACGAACGCCTCGCCCCATACCGAGAGAAGTTCGGCACTGATGCCACCATGAAACAGCTGGCTCACGCCGCGTATTTCGATCGTGTCAACCTTTCTGCAAATGGGTTCTACAAGACGCCAGACATCGGCTACGTATGGGGACCCAACACCGGCCAAATGTTCTTCTACTTCACGCAAGGCATTGCAGCCGCTGAGGTCGAAGTCGACACATTGACAGGCGATTGGACGTGCAAGCGAGCCGACATCAAAATGGATGTGGGCCGGTCGATCAATCCCGCTATTGACTACGGACAAATCGAAGGTGCTTTTGTCCAAGGTATGGGACTCTTCACCATGGAAGAATCCTTGTGGCACCGTGGCAGTGGACAGATTTTCACTCGAGGACCCGGCGCCTACAAGATTCCTGGCTTCAGAGATGTCCCGCAAGACTTTCGAGTGAGCCTCTTGAAAGATGTGAATTGGGAGAATCTGAGAACTATTCAACGATCCCGAGGCGTGGGAGAACCACCGTTATTTATGGGTTCTGCCGTCTTCTTTGCCATCAGAGATGCGCTCAAGGCAGCTAGGAAGCAACATGGCTGCGAAGAGTTGCTGAGCCTGACCAGTCCGGCCAGTTGTGAGAGGATCCGTTTGTCAGCCGCCGATCCCATCCTGAAGAGATCAGAGGTAAAGCCACAGGAAGGCGAGAAGAGCTTCTTCATCAATATATAGACTGTGGTCCACGGTCAACATGTTGTTGGTCCCCAATCGTTTCATTGATTTTTTTTTACGACCATGAAGAAGCAAGAATGCCGAAATTTGACGACCGGGTTTCCGTCTCCCCGCTCTTTATTTTTCCAACCAACTACATTGAACCGAAAGTTTTGCGCCGCGAGGCTATTCGAGGTATCTAACTAAAGCAAAAACAGATCCATGGTCTCTTCTCAATACTTTTTATTTCTGCACAGTTCGTCAACAGCCCGATGCCCCCTCCTTTGCCAGCCAAACAGCGCCAAGTGCGTCCATTAAGGGGGTAGAAGGTTTCAAATAGCTTTGTGTCGTCGCTCGTCAACATCATGGCTCCATCGTTGCGCCCCCATGGGGTGCTCATATCACGCGTCTCATGCGTTTCAGATAAATTTGGGTATTTGTGTTCGTCTCTGCCCCATCATCGTTGGAAAAACTGTTTGAACTTGGCTGATGGCCCAACACTGGCGTTCGCAGGAGGCTCGATCTGCGTACTGCGCTCATAAAGTTCCTGTAGTAAAAGAGTCAACACACCTAGGCCCATAAACCGTTTTGTAGATTCTTCAGTAGCAACTCACATCTTCGTCTTTCAGAAGCTTGACATCGAGCAAGAGTTCCTTGACCTGCTGATTCCCTTGCAGCCCTCCCAAATTCTTATATGGCATGCCTTGGGCTCTTTGCAAGCCGACAATGACATCGCCCATGATTTCAAACTTCTTCCAGTTGATTCGCCCATCGTCACCGATGAATGTTCGATTACCTTCTTCAGCTGACGCTAGATCGCGTCGATGTAGAGGCAGGTAGGGTATACGCTCACCTGAGCTGTTCTCCCACGCCAGCCGATAGGCAAAATGTGATCGCGATGGAGCCATCAGTATCTCCAACTTCAGCCAGTCTTTGCCCACTCCTGGCTGCACCATTTCTCGTGTCGCCACTAGTCGGTGTACAGAGGTAGACTTCACGCCTGCTATCACAGCCCCAAGCGCGTTATAGTTGTTCAGCTCTCGCAGTTTCCGCGCTACACGCATGAACTTTTCAAGCATGAGCACACGGTGCTTGGGCTTGTCGCGTAATAGTACATAGTTTGCAACCCAGAAGGCGATTTGGTTGAAGTGCTGGATCATGCGTTCCACGTGGGCAAGATTCCGGCACAATTGTCTCTGCTCTTTCGAAAGCGACACATGCCGTACCAAGTCGCGTGGCCTAATTGACGAGAACATGATCCAGTCTATCCTGGTGAGCTCTCTCGCAATGAGTTCGTCGGGTTGATCCATGAGCGCTCGCCATTGTATCTTCGTCAAGGTATTTCGTTGAATGGGCTGCAGCTCTCGGGCATGTCGTTGTGCTTGCTCCACATAAGCGATCATCTGGTTCGAGATCTTCGGTCCCTTGTAAATGTCGGAGTCAACACTCGGAGTCGTGCCGCTGAGTTCGGTGTCGAAAGTAAAGGCGGGATCATCAATCAGAGTATCCGCAGAAGAAGCCAACGAGCTTTCGGACTGCTCGCCAGACGCTTCTCGGTCCTTATCGTTGTATGCCCATGAAGTGTCATCATCCTCGTGGACGGCCTCAAGGGCAATAGAGATCTCCTTCGCCGCTGTGGTGAATATCCGAGTGTCGGAGATTTTATGAGTGAAGGTCTGGAGTCGCTGTCGCGTTTTAGGAAAGGCAAAATCTCCAGGATATGCACTGACCCATTTCTCGACGACCGCGAGATAACGAAGTTGCGTCGTGGACTTCATCATCATCGGCGAACCGTTCTGCTCCAAGGTATCAAAACGCTGTACAATGGCCTCAAGCAGCTTCCCAGGGGCGGCAAAGTTGCGATATAAGGCTAAAAAGATGGACGCGAACTTGAGGTCGGCCTTGGATGTCGGCTGGTCCAGCAGCCTGTCTACTAGCTCGTCAAATGTAGCGCCATTCTCGGCGAGAGCTGATAGCGGAGAAGCGCCAGGCACCACGGATAGGGCATCTGTGCTAGCAGATGATCGCGTAGATGCTGCAGACGGCTCACTGCCCGATTCCTCGAGCAAAAACGAGCCGTGCATCTGGTCTTCGCTTCGTGGCACTCGTAAACGTTCGCCCGTTGAGTGCCCTGCGAAGCTAGGGTCTATGCGGGAGTGCCGTGGATCTTTGATCCCAGTATGCTCAGAGCTGGCTCTGGAGTGTCCAGCTAAAGATGAACGCGGCGAGGAGGGTATAGTAGTACTACTTTGTGCTCGACGGCGTAACGATGCGACTCTCGTGAGGCCGGAAGGATGTTCTGTTGGCCACATTAGCACCAGAATGTCGGCGCTCGAATATGCGTGTCGAGCATACCAGGAGAAAGTTTGACAATGGCATTCATGAGCATCAAAATGCCACGCTTGTATCCTTCTGGGTTGAGCTCTGAGACCTGCAAAGTAGCAATGTTCTTGTTGATGCGTTTCGCGTTCTGCTCCACAACACTCGGTTCCACCTTACGCTCCGCTGAGGGAACGTCACACTTTGTGGCTACAAGAACAATGGGCAAGGCGGACTTGGTAACCGCCTCTGTTGGTACCGGCCAGTCAGCATTGGTCTGTCCTTGTGTCGGTTTCACAGCACATGCAGGCTCGACTCACTGAGCATGTCACGAAGGTCTTTAATACTGCTTGGCTCCTTGCAACTGTATAGAGCCAAGGCGCCGTCGACCTTTGGCGTTATTCTATCCTCAATGCGGTCTGGCCAGTTGATCGTTCCATCGTTATGGGTGTCGATATCGTCGAGGTCCAGCTCCAGCAGGCGCAGGGTATATGAACAGCCTCCGAAGGGGAATCGTTTTTCAGCGGCACGCGAGCTGGGCAGGCGGTTGAGATCGAGGGCTGCCTTGATGAAAGTGGACTTGCCCACTGCTGCAGCAGAGACCACGGCGATGTTGACCTCAGGTAGTGGTTCCGAATGCTGCTGTGACAAGGTGCGTCGGTCAGCTACTCACTCTTGTACGACTCGTTTCCACGTCGGCGACACCCATCCATCAATGGCGATCAGCTGCAGCACTGGCGCGCTGTGCCACCAGAGTGTCCTGCGCACCACGTCGTTCGGCAGTAGCCAACGTACCTGGACAGAGTGATATGACCGACGAGAGCCAGTTACGCTCGCACCCTCATCCTCTTCATGTGGATCGTCGTCGTCGTCGGTGTCGTCGGACTCGTCGGCGTCGTCGGCGTCGGCGTCAGCGTCGTGGGAGTCGTCACTGTCGATGTCGCTGTCGTTGTGGTTGTCGCTGAGGGTCGCGAGAGGCACAGTGCGCGGTACGACTCGCTCGCTTGCGTGAGATGGCTCTAGCAGCAGAGCAGGGGTGGGATTAGTTCGACTCGCGCGGGTGTCTGCAGTGGAAGACGACGGCCTCCTCCTCAGGCCAGCACCACCAGCAGCACCAGCAGTGGCAGCAGCAGCAGCACCCCCACCACCACCCCCACCACCACCACCACCACCACCACCACCGCCGCCGCCGCCGTGGACGCCGGCCGCGTCGTCGCCGGCAGTTCTGTTGTGAGGAAGACTCCCGCGGGTGCCGTTCCTGAACCCCTGTGACGCGAGTCCCTTTTGTGCCTGTCGTTCGTATCGCTGCCCTACTTTCTGCTCCTGAGGCGACATCTCGCGCACACGCGCCGAGGAGATGCGGTATCTTATCAGCCGGCAGAGCTAGCGCAGCGCTGCAGTGTCACCGTGCCGCGGTGTACAGTGCGGCAGAATGGAATGGCAGTGGTGGTCAAGCCGACCGGTGGCAGCCCATACCGTAGTCCCGCTGCGGCGAGGACATGCACCGACCGAGTGGCTGCGATGGGCGAGCACAGGCTGGATGAAGGAGGAAAATGGGTCGGAGGGAGGAGAGATAGAGGGAGGGACGAATGAATGGATGAATGGATGGAGGGACCGCCGCGATGAGGGGCGGCTTCACTTCCCTCACAGCCGGCGTCCGTACGGTAGAAGCAGCTGGATAATGAGAGACTTGATGATGCTTTTCGGCGCTATAGGCAGAGCTCCTGCAACCAAGGTGATAACAATGCATGAAGGCAAGTCGTGGGAATACAGGCTATTACAGGGCGGCGTGGCAGGCTCTATCCTTGCAATAATACCCAAGGACCTAAGGTACAGGTACGGTACAGGTCAATGTGAGAACAACAAGAATGATGTCTCCACCTGTTCTAACTTCTCCATATCGCATTTTATCATTATCTGCATTTGCACCTTCTGGCTCGGTACTTACCTTTAGGAGACAAAAAGAAAAAAAAATCGATCCCTTCTTCAGGTCTGCACATCTTTGCCCGAGCTATTTACCAAGGAGGTAGTATACGACTCGCAATGCCGCTCATGATCCTCCATCCGACCCATGTACCAATGCCTAGCACGCCAATGCCTATCACAAAAGTCTTGAGGTTGCGGCTTTCCACGTGGGAGTAAGTGGCCTTCGCCTCCTCACACTCGCCCATCTCCGTAATCGTACTGTATTCCGGGACGTATTTCAACGAAAACTTGCTTTCTTCGCCCTGCAGACCATACTTGCTCTTCACAATAACTGCATAAAACACCTGCTTGAGTGTGGCAATCTTCCGCCGGTCGAGGTAGGGTATCATGCGATATGTGTAGCAGAATACCATAAAAAACAAACATTGTCCAGCCATCAATGCCCAATAGTATGGAGAGGGACGAGGTAGACCGAGAGCGTCGCAGAGGGCGTTGCCGTTCAGCCAGCGAGCTGATGCAACGAGGAAGTCCGCAGAAGCATACCCGGGTGGCTGCCCTTCCAAACTCTTGATAATGTTGTTGGCAAGAACCTTTGAAGTGTGCGTGGGGTGGATTTCGTTCAAAAGCAATGTTTCCATCAATCGCTTGGCCTGCCCGGGAGTTTGGAAATGGCTGTCCGGAGCACCTATTACATGGCCAATGTATCTCCAAAGCGCAATGTAGTCCTCGATCTCCTGACCACGAACGAAGATCCCCTGACGCGGCAAGCTCACCCACAGAAGCGCTGCTGAAAACGTCGCGAGCGTAGCCAGAACATCGAGGTCGTTTACCGGGACGCCCCAGTTCTCCATATCGAAATACTCCGGCTTCGATGCTCGGAGTTTCATGATACGCTGTCTAACAGCAGCATGGAGTAGTCTCACCCGAATGGTAGAAGCAAAGCCATCGCCTCCGGGCATCATGCTCTCCACTGACCTCGTACATTGCAGGATGTGCTGCGTCGTTTCAAACAGTCGCCCTCGAGCCACTTTCGTAGAGAACCCACCTGTTCGCGCCAACACTTCAACGACTCTTGCAGCTCCCATGCCTCCTAAGAGCGACTGATATGCCAGTCCAGTCAGACAAGCACCACCGTAGCGATAAAACACGTCCTGACCTCTCCGAATCTGCTCCCAATCAACCCATTCGGGCACCGTGTTGACATCACGCCAAAACTGTCCCAGAAGCTCGTCCGTGCTAGAGTGCTCTTGCAGGATAGCATACAGGTCCCTTTGGGGCAGCGTGAGCTTATGTTTACTATCGTCGCCCGCTCTCGGGCCATCAGAACCAGCTGCTGAGAATTGGCCATTATTTTTGGGTAGCTGGTTCGATGCGGGTGGCGAAATCTCGTTCAAGCGGTCGAGTACCTGTTCGGCTATCACATCGTACGAGAACTTGAGAGGTTGGCATTGTTCAGGCGTGAGATGCTGTTCATCGATTTCAAATCTGTAGCCCCAGGCACTACAACGTAGGTGAGTAAGTGTTTTTGCCACAGTCAAGATTTGACATGTGAAAGACGAACTCGCGGGTGTTAACTGTCCGAGCGCGGAACGGATTCGGCCATGCCATCGGGAAGAAACACAAAAACTCGATTATAAAAATTGAAACGCGAAGAAGATGTCAGAAGCAGAGTACAAGGGAAAGCGAAAGCAGTTTGTGTCCTCCGTGTAGGTACATGTGGTAGGTCATGTAGTAAATAAAGCCGCAGGCGCTTGTGATCGACACGACACCGACTGGCGACTGACGACATTGATTTTGACTCCGGTCAACGCTCCCTGCAGGTCCCGTCTGCATGTTCATAATGCATCGCGACTGCGAAGGAGCCTAGGGTATATCGCAGATAGATGGTAGTAAAATGCAATGCCAGGAGACCGCATCGGCCACAAACGTGTGTGATACTATACCTGGAGGTAAGGTAAAGTACGGTACAGAGTCCAGACTTGCGATCTGTGCCAAGAACGTAAAAGTACGGTACAACGTAGCCGGGAACACAAGGTATGAGCTGCGCTGCGCCGAAGCAATTCGCCTCAAGGCGAACTTCCAAAGGTGGTGGTTCAGCGTCTACCTTTTATTAGCTTCTATGCTACACTTTCCTTCGCTTGCCTTTGCCTTCATCATCGTCATCGGCTGCACGCTCGGTACCACGCCATTCCGAGATTTTCTGCTCTACTTCGTCAAACATTTCCTTCGTAGACAATGCCATGCCATCTTCGCCCGGGTTGAACATGTAGGCATTGGCAAACATGCGCATTAGCTCCTTCTCCAACTGCGCGCCATTGACAATAACCTTAGGCGGGATCGTGTCTACAGTCCGCTCGAGTTCTACAGTGCTAGAATTCGCACCGACCGCTTCTGACGGCGAATCTGTGCTTGATGCCGCCGCTTTGACGACATGGGCTCCAGCTGTGATCGCAGCCTTGATGGCCTTGAGATTCTGCGTTTGACGTACGATATCGCTGTAGCCCGGAGCATCTTTGTCTCGTACTGGCCCGGCGAAGTAAGTGGCGTGTTTGTGACTCTGAATATCGCTCATGATGGCAGACGACATCTTGTTGAAGTTGCGTGTAGCGATGACAGTATTGCTACGTGGTACAGGTGTTGAACTTTCAACGTCCTCTGTTCTGCCCGGGGACTCCTGTCTCTTGCGTTTGGCTCCTGGTTGATGCTGACTTTGCAAAGTGCCACGTCGCTTACGGGTGACCCTAGCAGATGCAGGAGTCGCGGAGAGAGCTGCTGCATCGTCAAAGGTATCTGCTGGTGTCAACGACTCCGTCTTTACACCGCTACGACTAGGTGGGCGATCATCAGAGCCTGGGTTGGCACCAGCTGCGGTGCTAACAGATTGACTTCGAGTGCGAGCACGATGCGAGTCGTCAGCAGTCGAGGATACCACACTATGACCTCCTGGACTTTTATCACGGTGATTGCCTTTGCGTCTCTGAGCCCTGATTTTGGGGGGCGGGTATGTTTGTACCGGTTCCTCCACAGAAGGCACCTCATGGCCACGGTGACTACGAACCAATCGAGCTGGAACTGTGCGTTCTTGCGTAGGGCTCAATGGCTCAATCGCAGGTCTGGGCTTCTCTGCTGATGGCATCAATGGTGACGGCTGATACTTTTCCTTCCAGAGTGGCTTCACCCTGCGCCTGGGTGGAGTGGCAAGCATACTTAGGACATCTTGCATCTTTCGACTTGGTTGTATCGCCAAGCGCGGAGCGGTTGCGGGAGTACCGTGCGATTGTGCAACATACGTGGAGGCGATCTGTGAATGTAGAACGGGCGGTTGATTGGACCTTAGCGGTTGATGATGCACCGGCCGAGACGGATCTTGGGGAGCGACTTGGAACGGCTGCATGAAACCGCCTGCGGGCATATGGCTCTGATGTGGTTGCATGAGAGTTGTGTGTTGCGTCTGGTGAGGATACGTCGGTGTTTGCGGATGCTGTGGCTGATACGGTTGTCTGCGATCCTGATATGGTGGCTGTTGCTGCGTCGGAGGCGGCTGATAGTAGCCACTGGCGTGCGGAGGCAGTTGAGAGCCTTGGTAAGGCCCAGCAGGTGATTTGGAAGAAGGGTGATGTTGATGCTGGTAGTGTTGTTGCTGCTGCATTGGAACGGCGTATTGATGCTGGCTGGGCGAGCCCGTGTGCATCACCGGCGACGGTGGCGGTAGAGACATACCTGGTGGAGGAGGCAATATAGGTCGAGGTGACGAGGATGGCCTAGAAAGAGATTGCTGTACCTGAGGGCTGCTCATCGAGCTTTGACGCGGATGTCCATGATGCGACCCATATGGAGAGCGGTGCCCACCTGGAGGTGTCTGACCAAAGTTGTGATTCGGAGCGTGTGTATGCGCAGGCACGGCCTGCATCTGCTGAGGTATGTGGCTTGAGATATTTGGCGGAATGCCAAAACGAGGTGACTGAGGCGCCATCTCTGACAATGGAGGCAGTTTTGTGTTCGAAGATGCTCTGGCATGGCCACCTGGACCGTCCTGTGGTTCCGGCCCATGGTTGATCACGGCATCAATTTTCGCCTGGGAATATCGCTTTGGTGGAGCTTGCGCGCTACCATCCGGCTGCTTTGGAAGGACCGGACTGGCATTTGCTGAGGGAGTCCGAGCACGGTCTGGCCAAGCCAGTACGGGCTGCGTGTGAGCAGTGGATGAAGGCTTGGGAGAGGCCTTCGGACTCTGGGCTTGGGCAGCTGCACGTTCTTGAACACGCCTCGCACTGTCTTCCCTCTGCAGTCGCTCATCCCAAAGCCCAGCTTCCACGTCCTCAATATACTGCTTTCCCTCTGCATATCTGCTTTCATAACCCTTGATCTTCAGTATGGCGTTGTCACGATATCTGGAATAGAGTCGGAATACCAACTGCGGGATCAGGTGCGAATGCTGCGCCGCTTCGTGGACAGTGGGCAGCACTGGGCTCGCCATCTTGCGCTTGCGGCTGCTCGGCGAAGCGTTGCCATTGGTAAGGTGTTTCTCAGCATTCTGCTGCTGTTCGAGGTCGTGTTTGACCTCTTCCTTCAGCAAACCCAGGTATAGCTCACGAAGCGCATCGGGACTCAAGCGACCAGCATCGAAGGCGGGATCATTGCGTATCAAGGGCACACTTTTCAATTGCTCCGAGATGCGATTAAAGCTGATGGTGTTAACACCTTCGTGGCGAAGAGCTTGAAAGAGAAGGAGCGACTCGAGGTGTGTGTAGGCGGTGATGGTCATGAAAGCGCCTTCTCGCACGTGAAGCGACGACCTCGCTGGTTCGATTGGGGCAAGATGCATGTGCCTGGCAACTCATCATAGTCGGCGGTCGATGTGCGCGGCGCGGCCAGCTCAGGGGGCGTGCATCTCCCGCGTGAATTTCGTGTACGAGGATGGAGTACAGTAGGTAGCTGTATGTACTGAGCGTGCCGCGTGGGGACGTGTGATGGCGGAACAGGTGGGTGGTAGGTCGTCGTGATGGTCTTTCCTGGCCCAAAATGCGACCGAAGCACAGATTATTAAGGCTAGGTATCATTATTAATTTATTAAGGTACTCTCCGTTCGATAAACTTACAAGGTTCAGAGTATCTTGCTGATTATCTTACAGGACTAAAGAGGCAACTTAGTGTAGTTTGCTCTATATTTACGCTGAAAGTAGTTATCGCCTATGTATCAGCTGTGAGGCATGCAGCATGCTCCGATCGATTCCTACCTCCTAGGACTAAGGAGGTACATACCCGAGCACAACACAGTACATTTAATTCTGGTCCTCTACCAGAAAAACCATCTACATGTCAGGTACTGTCCCTACTCCTTCTCTCGTTCAATGCGCGGTCTGCTTGCTGGCTTACGTTGCCTCCACCAATCAACCTCGGCTCCTTACATGACTCTACCATACATTCAAGGACTCAAGGCGCACGGCGGTCAGTGCCATTAGGCATTAGGGAGGACTACCTGACCTTACCTCCTTAAGGGCACTCCTGCCTCAGGCGCGACTCGTCAGTAGCGTACTGTACCTCCTAGCTGTACAGTACATGCACCTCCTTCTACAGCCCAGTACCTCCTAGCGACGCCCGTTATCTTTCCGTGCAGAAAGAGGCCCTTGCTTCCCCCGAGACCACTCCCTGAGGTTTACCTTACTGCAACAGGGTGACCGTCGCTGGCGGCTGCGCCTTTGGTGCGTAGATCGTTCGCTGCTGGAATTGACAATTAAACCTCAAGACCACGTCTCCCGCTTCTCCTCCTCGACCGCCTACCGTTACTGCCACTGTCACTGCTACTGCCACTGCCTCTGCCTCTGCCACTGCCGCTGCCTCTGCTCCTTCTCCTGCTGCCACTCATCCCCACCGAGCTGCTGCTCCCATTGTCCTTCGTCTGATACACGCCACGTGTGTCCCACCGGGCGGCCGGTCTGAGCTGCGACAGACCAAGCACTGCACATACCATTGCATACCATCCCGTACCACCGCGGACCATCGCGCAGTCGCTCGCTCAAACATGGCTGCAGAAGAGCCAATCAGGCCTCCTCCGAGAGCGCGACCCGAGTCGTAAGCCGCAACACCTGCGTGATGGACGACCACTTCGACCAGTGCTGACGTGGTCATAGCACCATTGCCCAGACCTTTGCGGCTGACCTGGACTCCATGTTCGGCTTGGGGGAGGTGGACGAGCTGTCCAAGACGATCGAGCAGAAGTATGCATGGCTGTCCGTGTCGGCGCAAAATACTGGGTGCTGACTGGGGTTGTAGAAAGTCGACAGTGACGACAGGACAGCAACAGCTGCAAGAGCTTGAAGCGCGGTTGCGCGAAACAGAACAACGCCTGGCAAAAGTGTCACGCCAGAGCTCACCCGCGCGACCTACTGATCCTGCGCTATCTAAGCCGCACTCCGAAGACATTCCAACCGCAGGTGCAGCGATTTCTAGTCCCCTCACGCAGAGACCCCTCTATCCCGATGACAGGCCTCCCACCGGTGATCGACCCCCTTCGAAGCGCGCAGACCCAAGTCCTCGGGTTTCCAGCCTTCAGACGCCGCAGCAATTCAATGGCAGCAATGAATACGTGATGGTGGACCGAAATGGAGGCCAGGCACAGAGGGGCTATGGCTAGACGGATATATAGCCAGGGAAGAACTGGGACACGAAGGGTTCGCAGCTCTGGAGACTGTAGTCAAGAACTGAAAGCTGGCTGCGAGACGGTAAAAGCCGTTCTATTCAGCTCCATGGCTTGGAGTTGCATTGTCACTTAGCTGCTGCGATTAGCATTGCAAGACAAAACGCTTTCTTGAGAGAACTCTGCTGCTTGCACGTCTTTTCGTAGAAACTGCGAGGTCATTGATGACATCCTTGCACGAGACTGCACGACATAGACGTCGAAATTGACGCTGATCTGTTGACGAATCACAGAGCGTTTTGTCGTCCTATAGTACATGGGCCAAGCCAAGTCAGGTACATGTAGGAAGGAAGGTGTAGCCCACTACCACATGTATCTTACCAGGGTAGCTTCGGCTACATGTACCTATACCGTCGGGTGGTAAGGTACCTAAGGTACGTACCTACCTGATCTACCTTACATATTTGATTCGTTCCATGGCTTGTGGGAGCAAGTCTGCTTGAGATACCTGGTCAGGTAGGAAGTGGGTGGGCACGAACTGACTGATACCTACCTACCTGTACCTTACTTGACAAGATATTTTTTGCCTTGGTCACTTTGCTTTTGCGTCGCTACCTCTGATATGGTAGGTAGGTACCTACCTACCTGGTACGCATTCCAATTCTCTTTTCAAGGTGGCGAATTTTTGACCTCCCGTCTGATGTTTTGGGCGTCCAATCATGCATGTCTGATCCACGATAGGAGAGTAGGAAGTAGGAGAGTAGGAAGTAGGAGAGTAGGAGAGGGAGAGAGGGAGAGAGAGAGAGAGAGAGAGAGAGAGAGGTCCGTCATGTTCCATATGATGGCATTCAACTATCTACACCCATCATATCCACATCGTACTCTTGACAATCCACTCCAGGCTGGACTCACGGAGGACAAAGGCTTGAACGCTACATTCCAATAAACATCAGATTCCTCCATCATTCCAAAGCTTTCAGATCCAACGGTATAGTGCTCCCTCGCCCAGCACGATACCGCTTGGGACCTCCCGAAAAGTCTCTCGGTTTCGGTAACTGCCCATCGTCCTGGAATTTGTATCTGCTATCTTGCACGACAAACCTCGCACCAGAGTTTCTTGCCCCGCTATCTGCTCGATTCCGGCTGCCATTTGTCAAAGTATAGCTTGATGAATCGGGAAAGGAACTCATGCGTCCAGGTGCATCAGATCCCAACGACACGCCGCCAGCGGACGGAATTCCGCCCGGTGTGCTTGCTTTCGGAGGTGGTGGTGCGGGCGCTGGAGGAGACGAGGTTCCTCGAGACATAGGAGGCGGTGGTGGTGGAGGAGGCGCAGGCGGTGCAGCCGTAGGGCTTCCCTGTCTGTTCATTCCAAACGCATTCATTGCAGCTTGCTGTGCTAAACCAATTTCTTTGTGTGCACCATTCGTTTGTGGAGGCATTGGAGGAGGCGCGGGAGGTGTCGCCCGAGAATAGTTGTATGGGTCGTACTCATTCTCGTCGTCTCGCACATTCGCTATTCGGGGTGCTGGTGCAGAAGGAGGCGGTGGCACTGGAGGCAATGTAGATGGAGATGGACTTTGCCTTGATAGAGGTGTCGGGAGCTTAGGGGCACTGCTGCCAGGCAGGGGTGGCGGTGGTGGCGGCGCTGCAGAAGGTACCGGACTCGATGAGGGCCGTGGAGGCTCATGTGTAGGCAGATTTAGCATAGATTTGGATGCGAACCCCGAAGGCTTTCGAGATGTTGGCGGGGGCATGGGCGGTTTCTTGCCTATCGGAGGCGGAGGTTTCGGTTTCGTGCGTATATCGCTGTCTAATGAATGTGTGCTTGTAGGTCTGAGATTGTTTTTTAGGGCTGACACTGAGGGAGGTAGGGGCGCGGATCCTGGAGGAAGCGGTGGAGGAGCCACGCCTGGCCTGGGAGGCGGTCGTCCGTTCGGTATCGACGGTGTGCTGGAGACTGGCGCAGAAGCCTTCCTCGCGGTCGTCTCCGGGTCGGAGTCGTACATATTCACTCCTCCGCCCGTCTTTCTCAGCTTTGGCATACCGCCCGCAAACAGTCCGCCCAATTGTGGTGCTGCCTCCACGCTTCCTCCTGATGACGCGTTCCCGGGCTGGTCACTGTTACTCCTAGCCCTGTTCCCCCCCGCTGTCGACGGCCGTAGACCCCCGGGCACGGGCGGTGCGCCTCCCACTGGTGGTCCTGCCGAGTCTTTGGGTTTATCAATGATGGGTGCTGATCGGTCGTTCACCACCCCCACTTTCTTGAGTTTCGCGCCTTTTGTGATGTCACCAAGTAAAGCACCCTACGTTGCGCACCATCAGCATACACTCTGCCAACTGGCACATTGCGATCGCGCACGTACTCGTCCTTTGACCTCTTTCGCAGCAGGTCTCGCGGGTAAGTTGCCGGGCGGCGGCGGAGGCGGAGGCGGAGCGCCTGAGCAGAGTTAGCTGATACTTTCACTGCAGCTGTATTCCAAGGTGAGTACATACCTCCAGCCATGCCAGGCATTGGCGGTGGAGGCGGCGGAGGTGCTGGCATCTTTGCTGCCTGTCTCTTGCTTGCTTGCTTGATGTGTAGTGTGCTCAGCCTTCTTCCTATACGCGCGGAATCGAGTAGACTATTGGTCGCATGGAAGGCCTAGATCTCGCAAGACTGCAGAGGTTGATTGAGACTTCGAGCAAGAGAAAGATGAGCAGGGTCGTGAAGATAGAGTACGTTGTAGAGCAAGAGAGAGAGACGAGAGAGACGAGAGATGCCTGTGCCTGACGTTGTCCATCCTTGGCGCGATGGACGGCCAGCCACGCACTCCACAAGGCTGAACTATCCCCGTTTGAGAAAAGTCGCACATCGCTCCAGCGCACCATTGACACCCGACCCCTCGCTCGCACATTGGGAACAGCACTGTCACATGACAACGACCAGCGATATGGAAAAGGCTGTATTCTGGTGATATATCTCGCATGAAGCGCTACATGGGATACAGCAGAGCTGTCCGCCTCTTTCATTCATCAGTACTCAAAGTCGTCATCTACGCTCGGGCCCTTGGTTTTCCCGACACTCTCCTGAGCTCTATACATCTCAGCAACTTGTTTGCTGCTCGTCGCTTCATCGGGCTTCTTGTCATCTCGAACTCGAATGAAACGCGGGAAGCGCAGTGAGACTCCCTTGTGAGTGCCGTCTCCTCCAAATTCGCTTGATGCGGCTCGATACCTGGGAGAAAGCGTGAGGTCTGCCGTTTTGACCTCCCATACATATTTGGGCTCGAACCAGACGTCAGGCTGATCATTTTTGCCCGTACTGTGGTCGAAGAATGGCTTAGCCCGATCGATAGCCAGAGGTGACAGGGTCTCGTATAGCTCGGCGAGGAGAACTTCACTGAAGCCGGTACCAATATTGCACACCGTCTCGTACTGCTCCTTCTGGTCGTTATAGCACGCGAGTTGGAAAGCGCCGTACCAATTGGTTCTCTTGCCCTTGCCGTAGTATGCTCCAATGACCACAAGGTCGAGGGAGTCGCCAGCACCGGCGAGGTAGTCCTTCTTCACTTTGAGCCAATTCTGAGATCGCCGTGATGGCTCGTAGTGTGACTCAACACCATCCAGCATTTTCACCATGAGCCCCTCACAGGATGCCTTGATGGAATCCTCGAGAAGTGTCTGTATCTCCTCGACCTCTTTCGAATTGCCGAACTTGGCGAAAGCGAACTCGCCCTCAATTTCCTCGAAAGCGCCATACATGGCTTCTCTTCGTTCGCGAAATGGCTTATTGACCATAGCGTCGCCATCGAGGTACAGAATGTCGAACGCGAACACGCAGACTTTGACTTTGATATCCTCGGTCTTGACATCTTTTTTCTTTCTCGTCATGAGTTGTTGGAATGGCAAGACGTGCTTCTTTTCGACATCCCAAGCCACAGTCTCGCAGTCAAGAACAAAAGACTTGGTGCCTTTCTTGACCCAATTCGGCAGCTTCTCCAGAATGTCCGGATACTTTTTGCTGAGGTCTTCGCTGTTACGAGAGAAGATATTGGCAATGCCTCGATCGCTCTTCCCAGCGGCAGGTGCGATCGTGGCGGCGAACTTTTCGTCGGTATCATGAGCGACGTAGTGTATCTGAGCACGCTCGCCATCGTATTTGTACTCGCATGTAAAGTCTTTGCCCTCGAAGCGATCGAGGACTTCTCCAATCGACTTGGTCGGCTTGGCCAGCATAGGCTTCAAAGGAACACCGGGCTTGAGTTTTACCGCATCTCGAAGCTCCCAGATGCCATGCTCGAGGAGCGCCGGAATGATGACTTCGTACGCGGGAAGCTCAGCATAGACGGCTTTGAATACTTCCTCGCCCTTCTTGAGTTGTTCTTCCGACGGCACTTTCTTTCCATCCTTAGAGACAGAGTGGGCAACCATAGCATGAGCAACTGCAACCTGCAAGTTCTTGTCCGCCAATCCGAGCCTCATTTTGCCTTCCAGGGCCCGAATGATGAATTTGCTTTCGCTCGGTCCACCTTTGTCCTTGTTGATGTCGATTGTCGCCCCCTTTGCCATGTTGATATCTGCCGAAGAAAGCAGTTTCTTGATACCATCCACTTTTCGACCCTGGGCACCTTGACCTTCGACAGTTGCAATTTTCATAAGGCCTTCGTGCACAGCGCGTACAGTAAGAGGCTTCGGCTTAAACATCATCGGCTGGCCACCTCTACTCTTTGCTGCAACAAGGCCGAGATCTCCGACTTTTTGTTGGTCTTCCTTGACAACCTTCAAGCTGCGGCCCGTGCTCTCGCCGATAGCTTTCATGATGAGAGACTCACCAATGCCCAATTCGATGCCCGCGTAATCAGCGGCTAGTTTTCCTACCATAAGCAGCACGACTGGTAGCAAATCGTCCGGTGTGAGACGGAGGACTTGTCGCAGGAACCTCGCACAGTGGGAAAGAATCTCGAGACGCTTGGTAGTCATCTCAATCATGGAGAATGTTGTGCAGAGAGCGGCATATGGTACAGGATCCCCAACTTTCCAGTCCGGATAGGGGTCTTTGCCGTCTGCCCTGAGTGTGCTTTGGACGACCTTCGCAGCCTTCGCAGGCTTCATGTCAGCCTCTTCTTCTTCTTCTCCTTCTTCTCCCTCCTCCTCCTCCTCCTCCTCCTCCTCTTCCTCCTCTTCCTCCTTCTCAGATGGCTCGGAGCGGTCTGGCGAAGTCGGTGTATTCGCTTGAGATGATTTGATCTCGTCATTGTCGAGGCTGGCAGGCTCTGCCTTGATGTGAGGAGTTGATTTTGGTGTCCTGAGCGGGGTTTCTTTCTTGATCGTTGTCTTCTTCGCAACGCCTTTCTTGTTTCCATTGACAGCAGGCTTCGAACGAGCTTTCTTGGTAGGAGGCTCATCCTCGTCTAAGTCATCGTCCATTTCAACATCTTCGCTGGCCCGGCGCTTCTTTGAGGTGGCAGACGTTGTCGACTCCTTCTCTGCAGATGCCTCGTCTCCTGCGTCGTCCTCGGCCCCCTGATTCACAGGCTCATCCTCTTTCATCTCCACATCCTCTTCTTTTTTGACCGCGCTATTTGGGCTGGCTGGAGGTGGTTCATGTGGTCCATCTGTGTTCTCCTGCTTGGGTGCAGCCTTGGTGGCGAAAGACAGCTTCGACTGCTGAGGAGCTGGTTTCTGACCATTCGGAGTGCCAAAGAATTTTCTGCATGACATTGTTTAGCAAAGTTGGACTGCGTAGCAAAGCGACGATACAGACCCGAGAGTGTGCTGGTTCATGACATACCCGAGCTTCGCCTGTTTTGGCGGCATGGCGATAATACGAAAGGTGCAGCGATGAGATGTGCGTGCTGCGCGTGTGAAGTGAGTGAATGGCCGCCAGCAGTGTTGCATGGGCGGCGGTGGTGTGGTCGGGTGGTGGACGCGTCTCAACACGTTCTTGTGAACAGGCAGACACGCGGGCTCGCGTCGCGTCGGGGTAATGCAATTCAATGCGGCGTTGGTGATGTCAGCATAGCATACGCTACTTAATATAAATGACCCACTCCCGACGATCACCATTGGCATCCCCATATGGTCCATGTATACATATTGTGAATGACCTCCGACATACAGGCACTTGTAGCCGTTTCTGCGTTCGTACAGCTCTCCAACGTCCTTCTAGCAACTTTTGAGCCCACGTCCTCGTCCCCGCTGTTTGCCACCGCCGCCGCCACCACCACCACCACCACCACCACCGACCATGTCCTCATCTCCGCCAGTGGCACCGCCACCCCGTCTCACGCCCCAATTCTGCTTCAATCAGACGGCACTGCGAGGTGAATAAATCCTCCTCTTCCCTTCCCTCGCCTACCTCCCTTGTGCACGTCCGTGGCGCTGTCACTGCCCATATCGAGACCGCAAAACTCACACCCCCGTGTATCCACGCAGATTTCTTACGCATATCTCGATCCGCCATCGACGACACCATCACCCAAAACCTCAACGCTTTGGTCACGCCGAGCGCAAACCCTTTTGATTCCTCATCGACGACGATGACGACGATGGGCCGGCATCAACGACCTATGGGCCGGCGAGCAATGATAGACTCGACCACATGTCAAACCTTTCAGGACCGGGTGCTTTTTCCGTACGTGGTGATACCCTTACAGCTCACAACTCGCTCGCCCCAAAGTTTTCTGCTCTGATGCTTTGGTTTTTCTATCTCTTCTTTTTTTTCTTCTAGTTCCTGGCAAAGTCGATCCGATGTGCTCAATTATTGTGCGGGCGTGGCAACTTCGCCTGATCCGGACGACCCCGACCACATGCTGAGAGAAACGGAAGATGCTCGGGCTCGCGAACGCATTGTCGATGAGAGACTGGACCCGTATAGTGCACGCTACTTTCCCCGGGACACAAGGACCGAGTCACTCGCTGGTCTGGTTCGCAACGAGAGAATGGTGGAAACGATCATCCGGAGCAGGACGTGGAATCTGGTTGGCGAGCGATGTGAAAACGAGACAGCTGATGCTGACAAGGCGCTGGATGACTGGAGAAGAAGAATGGGCACCTCACCCGACAAAAGTCCATGAATGATCTATCATAATGCCCCGATACCACCCAAAATTGTGCGATGCATCTTATAAAAAAGCACGCCGCCATCGTCCCACCGTTGCCGCACGGAGCCTGTCAAGGAAAAGCACAAATCAACCTCATAGTTTGACTCTCCGCCGAGTCCCCATCCGTCCACTTCACCTCCTCAAAGCCAGCATTTTTCAGACTCTTCTCCCAGAACTTCTCATCAGCCAACGCGTGTACTCTTCCATCATCAAATAGCCACCAACCTTCCAATAAGCCATACACGAGATCAAACCAATACAACGATCTGGTAAACTCCACCAAGCAAAATACCCCATCCTCCATCAACAAATCTTTGATGTTTGCACATGAACGGCTGGCATGTGGTGTAGCATGAATGCAGTTCGTTGCAATAACCACGTCGAATGTCCCCGAAAGAGATGGAGGACAGGGATTGTTGCAGTCCAGGGTGCCGAAATGCATGTTTGCTGCCACAGTCGACGGAAGACTGCGGAACTTGCGTTTCGCAGCCGAAACCAATGCACCTGAAATATCTGTAAAGTGATACTCAAAGTCGACATTCAAAGACTGGAGATGCTCTACAAGATAGAGTGCTGTTCCTCCGGTCCCAGCTCCGACTTCGAGGACTCGGAATGGTCGAGCTTTGCTCCCGCTCTCAGAGTCCGTGAAGGCCGAGACTTTTTTCTGTAGATAATCTCCGAGGAGGCGCGTGGTGGCCAGGCACATCGGAGCGCTCTCGTACACGTCTGAGAGGGTCTGTTTGGCTGTTGGATCCGCGAAAAGAAGACGAAGTGGGTCACAAGATCCTGTGAGGCAGGTAGCGAGACGGGAAGCTGTGACGTGCAAAAGCTTGGTCTCTGAGGCGTGTTGGGGATGGCGGTCGAGCATTGCGGCGTAGAGTTCTGCGGACGGTCTGCCTGAGAGAGGTGTTGATGTTCGGAAATGGCTGTTGTTTCGAGTTTCGAGCAGTCGAGCATCCGCGAGGATCACATGCATACGTTCCAGCAAGTGTTGGTGCTTAGATTCGACCTTCATGGTCGAAAGTCTTTCCCCAGCAGAAAGGTCCCGCAGGTTGCAGCCAAGCTGTTCGAATGCCTCAATAACATATGCAACCACAAGCTCGCTCTGATCGGGATACACTTTGGACCAGAAGCCTACGAAACCAGTGTCGTTGGCATAGTAATCGAACGATAGCTTCACACTTTCGAATGCTCGAGATGCAGTGACCACATCTGGCTTGGCCAACTCGATGGTGGACAGCATGTGGACCGAATCTGACCTGTTCCAAGGGCTCGCTTGACACTGCGAGGGCTGTGGTCGACTTGTTGTCGTGGGACCTGGCAACATCACATGGCCCGTCACGAGTCTCAACAGATCAGCGAAGGTAGATCGGTCGTCCAGCTCTTCCATATCAATTTCCACGGAAAATTGTCGTTTCACATCGCTCGCAATCTCAATAGCAACCAGGGAGTCGAGACCAAGGTCCGCGAGGTTTTCTTCGCCGCTTAGCTGCATGTTATCAAGTTCCAAATGTTCACAGATGAGTAAGGAAAGTCTCCGTGATACGTCAATTGTCGGCGGGGGTGACTCAGATGCTGGACTGGTAGGCTGGTATGCTGAAGCCCAGGATCCGGATACTGTCATCGTGACTGGTGATGCAGAGGAGCTGCCACACTGAGTTCCCTGATCAGATTCCAAGTGCACGTCATGGCTGCGTCCACAGCCACGGGACGTCAGGTACTTTGATAGTGCCTCGACATCTATGAGCTCCATCAGCTCGTCAAGAGGCAAGTCGATTCTGAAGGTACTCGAAAGTTCACCGATGACCTCCATAATCATAAGGGAGTCGAGTCCAAGGCTTTCAAACTTGGAGTCTCCATGGACTGTGGCAGGATTGATCTCTGCGATGTCTTCAAGGATGCGGACTATCTCAGCTTGAACGACACTCTTGGGATCTGGGCTAGATCGATGATGGGGCACAGCCAATTCCCTGACTGTACACTTGGCTTCGTCTGGTGCTGACTTGGCGGGCTGCAAGTTCATGGGAGTCGTTGCAATAACTTGCTGCCTGCGTGAAGTCGGTTCCTCGTTGGTGACCGGAGAGGGAAACTTTGTGGTTGCCGCTGGATCCTCGATGACTACAAACACTGCGCCTAGAATGTAAAGTACCATTCTCCCAGTGGCAGCTTCATAGACAAAAATGTCGCTCGCAACGCTTCCAGTACTAGGCGTAGCGTATGCCAGCACATCATATACAGCCTCCGAAAATCCCTCTTCACGAAGCGGCCGATAGCTGGGGCCTGTTCTCACGACATCTATACTGGCCAATTTCGAGATAGAGCCTGCCGGAGAGTCACACATGAAGTTCGCATAAATGCCTGCAACTTGCGTAAAGTAGTTGCAGAATGCGGTGTTGATTATACTGGCATCGTGCAGATGGTTTCCGAGTGCCTTTGGCAGCACAACCTTGGCTGCAATCTGGTTGCCCCTCGTGGCCAAGCTGCGCACTCCCCGATAACTTTCGGCATAATCCACTAGTGACGACAGTAGTTTGTAAACCATCGTTCCCTGGAGAGACTCGATGGGATCTGAGCGAATCGCGGCAATGTTGCTTCTGCTAGCGAGCATCTCGAAACGCGTAAAATCTTTTTCCAACTCTTGGTTTTGCTTTTGCAGGCTTACAGTCCCCGATGCATGGTGGAGTGTCTTGTGGTTGGCATGCATAGAGAATATGGTGAATTTCCACGATGTTCCCATTGCCTCTAGCAGGAGTTTGACGCTGCCTTCGACATTGAGCCTCATAGAAGTTCCGATCCTCAGACCAGTGACCTCGGGCAAAACGCTGTCGAGGCCGTTGTGCCCGGTAAGCAGAGCGGCTCTCGCAGCAATGTCAATGTAGATCGAAGGCGGGCAAGAAGACGTTCCCAACACATTGTGTCCTTTGGCTATGCTCTGGTATTCTTGACTCGATGGGTTGATAATGAAATGGTGGCCCTGCATGTCTGACCTTTCTAGGCTAATGAGTGTGGCCGGTAATGCAGGCGGCAGCATCGGCTCACACGACTGTGTGTTGGGCGTCTCAGGTCTGTGCACGACAAGATCCAGCCAGTGTCTGTGCTTATCAAACGCATACGGCGGCAGCCTCAGCACCTCGTAATCGGCTTGCTGGCTGTGGTGGAAATTCCAGTATTGTAACCTATGTCCACGGTTCCACAAGTTGATCGTGACATCCGTCAACTGCTCCAACGATGTGGTCTTGTTCAGGGCTGTAGGTACAAATTTGCTCCCATCTGTAGCTCCTACAATGCGCGCTGTCAGCCCAATGACAGTGGAGTTTGACCCTGCTTCCAGCCATGTACAGGGTCCCAGTCTATCGTGGACGCGCTGCACCGCCTGTTTGAAGTAGACAGGGTCTCTAGTGTGGGCCGCGATGAGCTTCGCAGTAGGTCGCTCCCAAGCACTGTTGGGAGAACAGCTCTCCAAATGAATCTCCGGTGGATGGATCTCAAGTGATTCTGCAAGTCGCTCAAGGTGGGGAAATAGAGCATCGGTGAAGCGCGAGTGGAAGCCGTATTGCAGAGCAAGCTGCTTGTGGCGAACAGCACGCTTACTTGCCTCTTCGATTAGTACTGCCGCTGATGCTCGATCACTGACTACAACGTGACACTTGGGTCCGTTGTAGCAGGCGACCTCATACTGAAGATTAGGGTCCCGCTCTTGGAGTGCTGTGATGATCTCGTGTGTGGTGCTTTCAGCAGCATCGAGTACGACCATGGAGCCAGGCTCGGCGCCCCAGTACTTCAGCATCAGTGCAGCTCTACCCGCAATGAACTTGAGACCGTCTCGTAGTGATAGAACCCCAGAGACGCTCAGCGCTGTGATTTGACCAAGACTATGCCCCACGAGTGCGTCAATCTTGAGACCAGAGTCTATCCAGGATTGCGCACAAGCATACTGCATCGCGAAGAGTATCGAGTTGTGTGCAATCACGTTTGTGACCGGTTCCGTCTGAAAGATGTACGGGTAGATGCCTGGGTAGCCCATTTCGCAAAGCAACTCATGGCAGCGGTCTAAATGGGACCGTAGCAGTGCAGATACTTGCCACACACGGCGGTCCAGAGCAATAGCATCCGCACCCTGTCCTCCAAAGCATAATACCAGAGGCGGCTCTTTGGGCGTCTCGATGACACTGTGGATGTCCATACACCGTTTCCTGAGATGGGACTGCAGCTGTCCTATATCTGTCGGTGTCGCTGCGAATGTAACCATATGGGAGAGTTGCTGGTCTTCATGTCTCGACAGGCTGTAGGCCAGACTCGGCAGGAGATGTGAGTGTTCAATCAGGGTGTGAGAAGCGAGCCAACGAGAGATGAAGCGGTCCAAGGACTTGCAAGAGGCAATCATGCTGCTAGGAGAAGCGGCACAGAGTCTAATGGGATATTTGGAACAGATCGCTGATTTCTCAGGCAGAAGACGTTGCGGTTGGCGAGGCGCTTCGGCGAGCATCAAAGTAGCGTTACTTCCAGCAGCGCCGTAATTGTTAATACAGGCAGTCAGTCGATGGCCGTCAAGCTTCTGCAGCGATGTCGGTATGCACATGCGATGTGGCGCGAGTGGTGGGATTCTTGGATTAAGCCTTGTGAACGATGCTTGCGGAGTAACAGCTCGATGCTCCATCTGTAGCACAGCTTTGATGAGTGATGCAACGCCGGAAGCGCCTTCCAGATGCCCGACTGCGCCCTTCACAGAGGACACGAAAAGAGTAGAGGTCCGTTCATCGACACTGCCAAACACATCGCGTATACTCTCCATCTCGATCGGATCACCCACCGGCGTGCCTGTGCCATGTGCTGCATAGTGTTAGCATTATGACTGCGACAAGCCGAGTTCCACTAACCTTCCACAAAATCGACTGTCTTAGGATCTATAGCCGCTTGTTGGGCTGCTTTGCGATAAAGTGCAGCTTGTGAGGCTGCGTGTGGCACGGTAATTGGCACACAATTGCTATTCTGGTTGACGGCCGAGCCAACGATCACGCCACGTATGAAGTCTCCGTCTGCTATAGCATCATCAAGCCTTTTGAGGACAACAACTCCAATGCCTTCCCCACGACAATAACCATCTGCACTTACGTCAAAGGGCTTTGTGGCGCCAGTCGGGCTAAGGAAATGGGCTGCTGCAAGATTTTCGTATAGATATGGACTACTGAGTAGTGTGGCTCCGCCCGCGATAGCTTGCGAGCATTCTCCAGTCTGCAAGGCTTTACATGCAGTGTGTATCGCAACAGCCGACGAAGAGCAAGCTGTGTCGAACGTCAACGAGGGGCCAGACCACCCGAAGTAGTGAGAAATTTTGCCACTCAGAAATGCTCGCAAGGTGCCTACAGTCGAGTAAGCAGTGGGCGGATGTGATGCCACATTGAAATCGTAGTCAGCTGAACACGCTCCTATATATGCTCCAATGTCTCGCGGTCGTGATGGATTAGCAAAGTAGCCGGAGTCTTGCAAAGCCTGATAAGTCACCTGGAGGAGGTGCCGCTGTTGCGGGTCTGTGGAGGCAGCTTCTCTTGCGGATTTCCTGAAAAATTTGTGATCCCAGCCAGCAATATCGTCGATGAAGTTTCCCATGAACTTCAAATCCTCCTTGGATCTGGACGACTCGCCAGGCTGGAAGCGCTCCGGTGGCATCTCTGACAGCATCGATCTGCCTGTTTTGAGCAGGTCCCAGAAATCATCCACGGACTCCGCGCCGGGAAAGTTGCAAGCCATCCCAGTCACTGCGATTGCACCTGCTGGATAGCAATCGGTTTCGGAGACTTCTGGAACCGCACCGAACTTGGGTTGCCCGACTCGCACATCGGAACTATTGGCAGACATCCTTTGAGTGGCGAATCGTTTCGCCACAGATGATGGGACTGCATCCAGACCCACTGCAAGAATACAAGAGCGTTCGCCTGTGGGTGACAAAGCAGTGGCAGCAGCGGATATGGTGAGATACCAATTGGCTCGTTCTTCTAGTATGCTGCGCAGAGCCACAATGGTGGCATTGTCGTCGTCTGGCAAGGTAGCTCCATCGGTGTTGGAACGCACCAAGCCAGTGTGGACAAAGGGGGGCTGTAAACGTCCCTCGCAAGCCTTCAATATCCGCTCTGGTATGCCTGTATGTACTTGGGTGTGGTATCGGCCTGGCAAGCCAGTGTCGCGGACCGAGATATTGGAGCGAGCTAGTTCCTGTCTCAAAGAGCAGGCTACCGAGACCGGACACGTGATGGTGGCATCTCGTTCATCTCGTATTACCGCGATGTATGTCTGGTTTAAGTAAGTAATGTACGCCTGGCGACAAAGAGGCCGATTATTTACGTACTTCCTGGTATGTTGCGAGAAGATCCTCAATGGTCTCTCGCGACGTTGTCGCTGGCCAACGTACTGCAAGTTTTGTGAAGCCGAATGAGCTGGCCTGGTCGAAGTCGATGTAGGCGCCGATGCAGAAAGCGAGTCTTACAGAGCTCGCAGCGTAGACGCCAATGTCCTCTTCGCTCTTCGCACTGGCAACTGCTAACGCACTGAGTAGACCTGCGCAGAAGCCTTGGACACCACCACCGTTAGTCACGCTTTCGAGAACAGCGGAGTGGGCAGCGCCTCCCTCGCGCAGCTTCAGGTACTCGAGATACTGGATGACGTGGGAGATGACAGCCATGGGCATCATGAGCGCGTTCCGCTCCTCTTCCAGCGAGAGGTGTTCACCGGTCTCCCGGGTGATCCAGTGCGCCAAGTTCGTTGCGGCAGCCTTTCCGGAAGATGCATGGAGAGCAGTATCGCTGCAGGTCAGTGAGTCCCATAGGAGAGGAAGTTCACGCAGAGCATCCGCAATCGGTTTCAGCGTCTGCGTCTCCTTTAGCGTGGTCTGTAGCCGCATCTGCCAGTCGTGCCCAGGCCACGGGCCCAGGGCTCCAAAAACCACAAGCGACGGTATGTCGTCCATAGTCAGTACCTTAAGTAGTCGTGCAGAAGGAACACCCACTGCAAGTGCAGGTGCGAGCAATGCTGTGCTGGGGACGATTGGGGGGCATTGGCACCGCAAATATATTATATTGCATCAAGATCTCCACGTCAGTCACGCATGGACACTCAGGAGACGAGGAGTGGCCATCGCCAGTACAAAGGCCATCAGTCTAAGATCAAGCCTACCTACCTGTACCTCAGAAGGATACCTGCAGATCTTGCAGGAACGGGGAGTACCGAGCGACCAATGGCACCGTCCCTGACCCGGCATGGACGAGTCTGGCCTGCCTCGTCGGTCGCTGAAGAGATCTGCGCCCTCGACCACGCAGCCCCGCCCTTGGGATGCTGACGCGCTGAGTGAACATGCCTGGTGTAGTCTGGCGAGTTGCCTAATCTGGCGTGGTCCAGGAGGATCCGCAGATAGACGCCCCAGCGTAGGGGCTCCTAGGAAGAGCTAGGGGAATTGCGTCGAGTGGCGGTGCGGCGCGCTTCTCTTTTGAAGGGTGGATGGCGTATTAGTCGGCGGCCGAGGGGAGGAGGAAGAGGAGGAGGATGAGGTGAGATGATGGACGGTGCTCGCTCGTCTTACGGACGGGAGGCTAGGTAGGTGCAGGTGACACCACAACAGGCCAGGCGCGCAGAAACGGCGAGAAGGGCCGGGCTCCTCGTCTTCGTGGAGACGCGTTCGGCGGTTTGTGTGAACTGCAACGTGCCTGCGTTACCTCGCAATGACACTGTAGGTACATATCTAGGTAGGTAAGGTACCTGAGGTGTGCGTGGGTCAAAACTTGAAGGTGGACAGAGCAGAGAGAAGAGAGGGAACTTAGGGAAGGAGCGAGCGAGCGAGCGTAGTTTTGGCCGTGGTCTTGGCAGTCACGGGCCCTGATAAGTACTGCCGGGAGCTATTGATAGTTATACCTCATACCTCCTACGGAGGTAGTTCGCTCGGTCTATACCTCCCTAGGTCAGGTACCTAGGTGTAGAACTACCTACCTCCTACACGTGTAGCCGCTTTCCCGTCCGTGTCATCTCACCTCACCTCACCTCACCTTCCGAAACTGCAGTGTCCCGCTTTTCTTAGACATCTACACACCACTTTCAACCCACAACCGCGCACACACGTGCCTTTCACTATTGCTATTCGCTACAGGCAGCTTCGCGCGCGCCCTCCGCGGGAGATGGTACTGCAGCCCTACCCGTAGACGCACGCGCGCGCATCTCGCAACTTTTTCCGGGCCTAGCCTATTCTGCGTCCATCGAGCGCAGACATTGTATCTGGAAGCTTTCCAGTTGTCGTTCAGGTCAGCAAGCACGTAGGAGGTACTGTAGAGTCACCTGCAACGCGAGCAGCGGAGAAGCTGTCTCCCTGGTGGCTCGACCCTGCATAAGCCGCCACCCGAGCTGGCCCTACCTCCTACCTCCAGGTAACTCAGAAGAGCAGGAACTGCCAAGCCAGGGTCCAGGTTCGTCGGGCAACCATAGGTACCTCAGGGAAGGTAGGCACATGTATTCCCCAACTTATATCACATGCAGGGCAGTTTTCAGGTTCTTAGCCGGGGATGGGGCAGAACATTGGCAAACATGGAGGGTGATCATAGTATTGCATTGGTCTTTCTAGCTATCGCAAGAATCTCTTCTTTCAAGGCTGTGCAGTCCATCGGCTTGATGGGCACTCGATGTCCCACATCCAACTCCAGCAGTCCCGTAGTCTTTGGGTCACAGTTTCTGTGTAACAAGCTTCTGTGGTACTGGAGCCCTGGATCCTGTAGTCCATGCACATGTAGTGTTGGGATATGCAGTCTCCTTCCGAGCGGAATAGGCGCCAACTTGTTGAATTGTGCTGTGCTCAACGCCGCCGCGTCCACCAATCCTGTGGGCATTTCTTCCTCGGTGTCGAGCCATACCAGCGGTGCTCGCCCCTGCAATAGGATTCCAAATCTGAACCGCGGCCATGATGAAGGCTTGCCGAGCACTTCCTGTTGATATTGTTGTGTGTAGAGTAGAGAGGCGGCGAGCTTGGCACCCTGGCTGAAGCCCATCAAGCCCACCCATTCCCCATCACCGCCTCGCATGTCGTCTTCAACCATTGCGGCTTCGATGGCATCGTGTATTCGTTGTGTGGCTTCGACGTGTCCTCGATAGCAGTCGTCGTCTCGCCATCGTAGCCAACCCTTGAAAGGACCCATGCCTTCGAACACTTTCACCACATCGGGGCCAGGGTGAGAGACATAAGGTGCCTCTACGAAGACGAAGCGGAAGTATGGTCGTAGTAGCCTGCGTACCACACGCGTTTGTGCTCGAAAGATGCGAGAATTCGTGCCACCGCCATGAAACATGAGGATGCGAGGCAGGTGTTGATCCGCTTCGTCTTCTGAGGTGTAGGTAGGTCGAAACATCGTCGTTGTGAATGGAATTTGTCTTCTTGGTGGTACACTTGGGTCTGTAGCTCGGCTCCGTCGACTGGCGGTGCTGATACTGTAGCAATGGCACTGGAGCCGGACTGTAACTGGTGGACACTGTTGTTGAACTGATTCTGGATGCTGTGATGGTCGCCGTGATGTCCATGACGAGTCTCTTCTTATACTTGGTAGCCATGAGGCTCCTCCATCAGTGTCCGAAGCGGGTTCCATAGTAGTGCAGTCCGGATCTCGAAGCAAGAGTGAGTCTACCTTAAGCCGGACTCCGGGTCTAATATCAAGCGTTACCAGTCCAGTGTCGCTCTAAGAACACGCCGCCATATCGGAAATTGAGCTTCAACAGTCTTAACTTGACGACTTGCGGAATGTGGTGTTCACAAGCAGTCGGGCAAACGGTGTCCGAGCGAGTGACTCCAGAAGCCGATACCTATGCCGCGCTGGCTGCATTAGAACTAGCTTCCAGCTAAGGAGTCCGCGTCCTAAGTTCCTAACTACATGTACCTGACCCAGGTAGCGACCCATGTCTGATCTCTTCATGCGTTGACAGCACTGCCCACAATACAAGTGAGACGACCACGTTTTGTCGTTATTGTTGTGATTGGTTTCGAATACTAGTCCTCCAGGACGTTGAGATGCTGCCTTCTGGGCCCTCGTCCGCAACGAACACTGTAGTAAGCCTCCCTTCGCTGCAGTGGAGTACTGGAACCCGCCACCAGGACCACAACAATACGTAACATTCGGCACAGATAGGGCATCAGTAACGATGCTACACTACCTCTACTGGAAGCTACGAAGGTGCAAGGCTTTAGTCATAATCGGAATGCGCGCAGATTTGCCCTCTCCTCGGCGCTAATAGCACAATACCTATACATACGTCAGCATGGTGCTGCACTCCGGAATAAGGGCGTGGGCTCACTTCACTAAGCGGTCGTGGACTGTAGGAAGCAGTGAAGTGGACAACCATGCACACTTTTAGCGGAGAACGTGAGAGCCGGGGCCCGCAGTGAAGGAAACAGTAAGGCTGATTATCTCAACGGGCTTAGACTCGCCGGGCTGGTGGATTAGGGGTTTCGACTTCACGGGCCGCGTACTAGCGTCTTCCCTGACTTTGTTTGACCAATCAAATATGGGACCAGTCAATCCCTCCTAGCTCCCACTACCTCCTACTCACTATTGAAAGAGGGGCCTGTGATTGGCCAAAGAAGCCATGTCGCGGCATGGCAGAAGCTTAATGCAGCCAGTGTTATCGGTGATGGAGTAGTACGAGCAGTTTGAGTACCACTGAGATAAAAGGCTGAAGTAGGGTTACTGAATCAGGCAGATCGACTGACGAATAGACGCTCAAACCCGGAGGGCTGGGAGGACAACGGTCTGAGGTTGTCAGGTTAAGCATTTTGGGATATTTTCGGCATCGAGAGGTCTCTTTGAGCCTCATATCAATATGGAGTCACAAGGACCGCTTGAAGCAGTGATTGTACCATATGAGCCCTGTGAACTGTAGCTAACTACACTTCTGCCTTGATGCGCCGTCATCGAGATCTCGTGTGCGATCCAGAGGTAGTTCAGCAGTTCGATAGAGTTTGTCGAAGTGCTTTCAAAAGCGAGGATGACCAGGGGCTTCCGGCGTCGTCGAGTCCCAATGAAAGTGGTCAGCGGAAAGGTTAGAGATTTCACGCGTGAGTGATCCCGAGGCAAGACTAGCGGCTTCAGCAGGTTGATCAGTATACTAGTAAATGGAGCAGGAAGCACTTCACCCTGCAAAGTTGATGTGGCGCTTGCAATCTTCAGGCAATCATGAGTGCCGACGGGCAAATCTGCACATCCGGCTACAGAACTAGCGTTATCGTGTCGTATTGTACGTAGCCGAACATGCTCTCACGCCAAGCTGCTGGCCTGAAGAACCGACGTTTGGCGACAATCGCCGTGCAGGACTCGCTTCTGCAAGGCTGACGTTGTGACACACAGTATCTAGGGCCTGACGGCCTTGCGATCGCTCGATCCACGACGGATCGATTGATCGCAACTACATGTACATACCTCCTACATGTATATCATGGAAGAGCGGCCAACCAAGAAAAGGGCTACCTGATAGGAGGTAGGAGGTAGCTCCAAACAGCCAGGAAAGCCATATCGTCCGTGCGTCAGGTATGAAGTGGGTACCTAGGAGCCTAGGAGGTACCTCCTAGCGTAAAGTACAATTGACATGTACACAGTACATTATATGCAGGTTCGGTACCTCCTACTTGGTAGTTTATTGGGATCCACTAGCATGTGACCGGACCCTGCCCGCTCTTCCAAAGACCCTACCTCCGTACCTCCGTTTCTAGGTGTCGTGCCTCAGGCGCCGAGAGGTCCACCCGGAGATACCTCCGCGGTGGGACAACAGTCACTCATTACGCGACAGACGGACGTGGGACGCGACGGTGACGTCCGGGGGAGGGATGGAGCATGGGTGAGTGAAACAAGCTATAATGCAGTAGTACTACCACCACCGCAAAGAAGTACCAGGTGATATTACCTACATGTAGGTATGTACCTGACCTTATAGTACCTCCTGAGACAAAAAAGAGGACCTGACAGTTCGGAATGCTCGGGGGTTATGCCTGGGGCCGAAGTTCGGTCGAGTACGTGGAGTCGAGTCTTACCTTAAGTCTGCGAATGTGTGGGATCAATGGGTCGGGCAGGTAGGTACCAAGGTATTGCAATATTCGAGCACTGCGACGTCGACGTGAGCAACAGAGATGCAGTCGCCCTCGCTGCTATGCCTGCGCGTGATGCGCGCCATGGCCGTGCAAGAGTCCCTGCCGTGTCTCCGGTCACAGGCACTGGCACGGTCTCGGTCACGGTCACGGCGATGCTACGCCTCGATGCCCCCATCACCACCATCACCACCTCCTCCTCCGCCACGACCGTACCAGACCGCACCCCCACTGGCCGCGCGCATAGCGGCCGACGCGCAGCCCGGCTTCCGCAAGCGATCCAAGTCAGACGACGATGAGGAACACATCCCGCGCCCCCTCACGCGCCCCATCGGCATGCCCAATCCTCCTCAGCCCGGCCAGAACATGGGCTTGGACCACCGCACCTTGCGCGAGCGACGAGACGACTTTGTCGACTTCACCAAGCACATGGAGCGACGTGCGGCAATGACGAAACAAATCAGCAAACCCTACTTCCGAGACTGGAGCAATCTACGCTTCCATCGAGGCAAGATCTTCAAGTCCAATGAACGACTCTTTCGCGCCGATGTAAGCTTGTGGTTTCCCAACTTCTTCGGAAAGACGCTACGGAAGGATGCAGCGCGCCTGTTAGACCAGGCAGGAGGCCGCCGCAATGATGGATACCAGGGGCTGGGTCGAGACACCTGCGAGCTGATGGAGGGCAAAGTCAGTGTGGTGTCCATTGTGTCGGGAACCTGGGCTCAGGAGCAAGTCGATACCTTTGTGCATGAGAAGCATAATCCTGAGCTACACCAGGTGCTGCGGGAGAACAGAGACGTGGCACAGAGGGTGTGGATCAACCTTGAAGACAATACCCTACGGTGGTGGGTGCTGCAGGCGTTCCGCGCTAATTTGAGGAGTCAGTTGTCACAGGACGAGCAAGAGAGGTACTTCATGGTGCGGCGAGGCGTGGACGATGTCATGAAAGAGTCCATTGGTCTGCTCAACGAAAAGGTCGGCTATGTATATCTCGTTGATGCCGATTGTAAGATTCGCTGGGCGGGAAGCGCAGATGCCGAGTCGGTGGAACGAGAGAGCATGATCAAAGGCTTGCGAAAGCTCATACAGGAGGCCAGGACGCCACGTGGGAAAAGAACAGACTCAGTGCTGCAGCTCGAGGATGCAGCTGCTGACAGTTTAGAGGTATAGACCTCGCGGCAGCAGAGGTGCCGCGAATATTTGTGCTATTTTGCTCCTTTTAGTCTCGCTGACCTGCCCGGCACCCGTTCGGTGACACCCTGCTTCAGGTCCTGTAAATCGTTCCGCACGTCGCGCAAATGTCCATGAAATCTTGCGTGGCCTCAGAGTTGAGCAGCGCGGTGTAGGACACCAAAAAGCTCCAGAGATCGCGTCCGGTACGCTGCTTGCTATGAGGAGCGCCAGTATGACGGGCCATGCTCCGGACTTCACCTAGCAGTGATGGATCTGAGTCAGCGACTGTCTCGTCGAGGGTCACAATCAAGGTGTGCTTACATCTACATGGCTCGTTGTACGGGCCTCTCATCACTGCGAATCCTACCACGGAGACCTTCTCGATGTACTTCGGGTACTTGATGGCGAGGAAGCCGCATGGATCATCACCGCGGAGGGTGAAGCGAACTTCAACGGGCTCCTTGCGCCATGCAAGACCTGATCACAACACCCGCAGGTCAGCATGTCTGTTGTCTAGGTCCGTCCTCGAGTACGCATCATAGCAAATTGCGTGCTCGCTCGGGCCGAGACATCGTGATGAAAGGGTGGCGATTGCTTGACTTACGGATGGTGCGGAAGATTTCGACTTGTAAAAATTTGGGCCAGAGCTTGCCGACCTGAAGGAAGAAGTGATCAACGGCGTTGGCATGAAGAGCACTGTCGACGAAGCAAAAAGTGTTTTCCAGATAGTAGATCTGCGATGCCTCCTGGCGGATGCTTTTGCTTGCTTGAAGCAGAGCTGGCGGCGCGGTGCCCAAATTGTGAATCAAACTATGGAGAAAAACATATCAGTCCAGGATGCAAGGCAGCGCGAAACTTTGGCGGAACATACTCGCGATCATACACTTTGTCGGGAAATGGTAGCGTCGACCTCCTGGTTCGAAACGATATACCCGTTACCAGCTTAGGCTTCGGCTTGGGCTTGTCAAGGTCGTACAGGCGGACAATTGAGATTGACTTGTCCTTGGTGAGCGACATGCGGTAGATTGTGTTTCTAATCTCTCCAGAGAGATCGTGAAAGCCGGTGAGATGGCCAGTTGACTCGTTGACCGGCGACGGCGTTGCGTGCGAGCTGGACGGCATCACCTGGGGATCCGGCTTCATCGTGGTCATTGCTGTGGTGTTGGACGGCCTTGGTACGGTGGCGCTCAATCGTGCCCAGTGTCCTTGTAAGTAAGATAGAAAGGCCGAAAAGCAGAAACTGATGTGAGCAATAAATACAGTGCGTGAGGAACTTTGGCTGTGTGTGACAATAGGAGGCAGACCCCTGCAAACGCGTCCTGCACTGAGATAGCTTTCCATTGTCGACTCTGCTTCACTCACTGCCCTTGTGGCTGCGCGGATGACTCCAGATTGTGGGATCCCGCCAGTTGGCCAACATGGCGACTGGTATAGTTCTCACCGCCACTTCGCTCAGCAGTAGGTAGCGCAGCAGGTCCCCCTTATCCAGGGAATTGCAACGAACCTCTGCGGGTTCCGTAGACCGCCGTGTGCTTTTCCACGACCGGTTCTCACGCGTCGAACGAGCAATCCACTTATCGCGTGAAGCCACAATCTCCACAGGCCACGCGAATTGAGTGAATGGGCTCATAACGCTGGTCAAGCTGATCGATAGCGACTGCGGGAGCCTTCAATAGATGATCGCTATTCCGCGAGTGGCCGAAGCGGTGTGCCCTGAGTGCTTCACTCATCGCTCGTAGAAATTGGCATTGGAATAGCTGTTCCAGCTTCACTTGATTTTGGCGCGAATCCGTGCCGACGGCCACGCGACACCACCAGCCGCTGATTGAGCTCAACGACTTCGATTCTGACATTCGAACGGTCGGACCAGGCCACTGTACGCGAAGAAGCGCGAGTGAACAGTCGGACGGTCTCATGCCACAAAATGGGTGCATGAACCTGATCGTCTCGTGGGGCGACTGATGCAGCGCAGATGAACATGGTATGACTCGATCCCACATGTACTCTAGAAGCATGACGGCCATGCGGTGGACATCTCAGTTGAGTAGCGAGCCAATAGCCAAGGGCAGGCGGCCGACATGAAGGACCTCAGTCCGTAAACTGCAAATCAGTATCGACACACATCCGAGGGCAAGCGCTACCACACCCATCAGGACGTCGCATACTGCCTTCGCTCCACGCTGCCAGCAAGATACCTGCAGAACAACTGCCAGATCCTCCGTCGAATCGGCTTGCGAGCGAACAATGATTCGAGCCTGTTTGGCGCAACTAGTAATGCATGGCAATAAGGTGGAGCTGCCGCAAGAGGAGGCCGATATGAAGTAGATTGCGTCCAGGGAGATAGCCATGTGCACCCGACATCATGACTGTCCACGATGAACCACACCTAGGCGCTGATCACGGAGGCTACAAGTCTTCTTGAAACTACTCGGAGCATATATTATCGATGTGCTCATTTTCCTATTACTAAGTGGTCAGTTAAATAGGCGAACATCCTTTTTTTAAAAGATAGGCCTACGACTCGACTCGACCTCGAAATCGAGTTTAACCTAAGCAGCGTCTTGTAGAAATAGCAAAGATTCGCAGCATCGATTGATACAGCTTCTAGCTGTCCTCCCGGTATAGAAAGAGTGCTGCCGGCATATCTCGCTTTGCACACGTTCCACGGCATGCGAATTCGCGCTAAACGGCGTATGTCGTACTCGCAGGTTTCCGGTTGTTCTAGAGACCCTGCCGTATCGTTTGTAGTATATGTTGTTTAATAGATTAACTCGTGTCGTATACCTGTATATAGGAGGCAAATATCTGTAGGTACCTTACAGAGCAATATAGTTGAATAGCTGAATAGGAGCATTTGTACTCTGTAGCAACCTGCGGACACCTTAGGTGTTATAGGTTACCCAAACAGGTAAGCCGGCAATATGCTATAGGTACAGTTAGGTTAGCAATATACTGTAGCAGGTTAGCAGGTTTAAGAACATATAGTAGGTAGAGAGAGAGCTACTGAAGCGTTCAATAGATCAAAGAGAATACCGTAGAAGCTTCAGACGCGTTCAAAACGTGGAAAGGTGCTCTACTTTTTATTCTGCCCCGTCTGAGGAGGATTCCCGCGGATTCCTCCAGGGGCTGCATGTTTGCTTCTGATTTATGTGTGCATGCGCAGACTTCTCCTATTTGCTACATGTTCTTACTATTTGGCACAGTTTGCCTTGGACATTTCAAAGTCACAGATCCAGCTGACCGCAGCGCATGGATGTGACGGGTGCAAGTCTCGTAGGATGGCTGACCTATCGAGTCACGCAACAGTAGCAATTCGCTACAAGCGCAATCTGGAGGGCGTCAGAAAACAAGTCGGTATCTGCGCCGAGCTGGGACTTCCTAGGGGCGGGTATCACGACAATGCTGATCAGCATCATGATGTCCAGGTCAGCCACACCACTTGTGATACTGCCGGTGTTAGATGGACTCTGGAGAGGGACACCACATTGTGGATGTCTGCCGTCGTGGGATCGCCAGGACACCAACATGAAGGAGTATCACGCAGGTTGTTCCGTCTTCTTAAAGGAAAGCCTCGAACATGGTTGTTGGCCATTGACCTAGAACAGCCCAAACCACTTCTTCTGTACGGGCTGCTGCTTCCCTTCAAAGTCCACATATGTCTCTTTACTCTCGCCAGCCTGACCCACCACTGTGTTTTTAGATTCTTCGCCCAGATTGGTATTTGCTCCCAAACCCTGTTGACCAGCGAGCCGCACATTGTCCTCTCGAAGTGCAGGTCCCATGCTCTCGTCATCACCCTTTGCACTCCATCCTCCGAACAGTCCACCCTCTGCCTGATCCAAGCCATGTGCTTTGCGATATTCTGACCGTTTTCTCACATCATCAACTTTTTGCCTGCGCTTCTCGGCTGTCTGAGCCGTCACAAATGCCACATGTAAATTGTATGTCTCTAGCCAGCGGCTAATATAGGCAATTGGGTGCGAGAAGAACATGCTCCGAGGAGGCAGCATATCATAATACGGAGTATTGTGGAGGAAGTCGCTGATCCAAACGCCAATAACGAGGGATACAAGAATGCCCTGTGCTACATTAGTCGTATCTGTGGAAGTGTGCAAGGCGAGTCGCGTACCAATGAGATCCACAGATGAATTACGCGATTCGTCAAGAACCAATGCATGAATGTCCCTTCGGGCGGCATCATGTGTGGATAGCGCCTCGTCCTCTGCGTCGGCGTCAAATCGGGTCCATATGTATATCTTGTCTTGCTTCGCAGCCTTGCGGGATGCGATGGCGGCCGGAACTTGTCTGGCTTCTCCAAGACCCGCGGTTTGGGAGGCGTGGGCTTGTCCGTCGAGGCATGTCGCACTGCTGGAAGGATCCGCAGATGCTGCAGTTGACGGGAATGGAGGGAGAAGCCGGCGCGAGGCACAGCGAGACGCAGAGATGCCATGGCGGCGGAGACGGGGACGGGGACGGGGACGGCGAGGGCGACGACGATGTGATGGCGGTGCACAATATACAACCCTCGACCTTTGATCCTCCGTCCTCCGATGGGGAAGGAAGAAGGGATAATTATTGGCTTCGGGTTCGTTCCTGCCTCAGCGCGACTTCCCCACACGCTTTGCATTTGATTGGTAGAAGCGACCTGCCCTGCCTGGCAGGAGCTCTCCAAATCAAAACACCCACCGCTCCTCTCCTTCCACTGTCGTTCGTCCGACTCCACCACCACCACCACCACCACAACAACAACATCGCTCGAGACTTCGTGTCTGATCTTCCCGCCGCAAACAACACCCTTCCCCAAACCAACACTTAATACAACACCGCCAAAATTCCAGGCATGCGTGAGATCGTAAGTCCGCACCACACCGCCCCTAATGCCACCGCCGCGCGGGGCACGCGTGTGCGGCCAGATGCCACGGCGACGGCATTGTCCATTTAGACTGCAGGCTGACAGCAATGTGGTGACAGGTCCACCTCCAAACCGGCCAGTGTGTACGTATACGCGCCAATTCGACACGACCCGAGTGGAAATTGACATCGCAAAGGGCAATCAAATAGGTGCTGCCTTCTGGCAGACCATCTCTGGCGAGCATGGCCTCGACGGCTCCGGCGTGTACGTGAAGGACACAGCAATGTAGACATGGGGGCACAACTGACGCGGCGCAGGTACAATGGCACGTCTGATTTGCAGCTTGAGCGCATGAACGTGTACTTCAACGAGGTATGAGTTGCTCCCTGCTGCGTCAGGCACAATAGCGTGCCCAAAGCTAATGTGACATGCATAGGCGTCTGGCAACAAGTACGTTCCTCGTGCTGTCCTCGTCGATCTGGAGCCGGGTACCATGGACGCTGTCCGTGCTGGCCCATTCGGTCAGCTCTTCCGTCCAGACAACTTTGTCTTCGGCCAGTCCGGTGCTGGCAACAACTGGGCAAAGGGTCACTACACTGAAGGTGCCGAGCTCGTCGACCAAGTTCTTGACGTTGTCCGCCGCGAGGCTGAGGGCTGTGACTGCCTCCAGGGTTTCCAGATCACCCACTCCCTCGGTGGTGGTACCGGTGCCGGTATGGGTACGCTTCTCATCAGCAAGATCCGCGAAGAGTTCCCGGACCGCATGATGGCCACTTTCTCTGTCATGCCATCGCCAAAGGTCTCCGACACCGTCGTCGAGCCATACAACGCCACACTCTCCGTCCACCAGCTGGTCGAGAACTCTGACGAGACATTCTGTATCGACAACGAGGCGCTGTACGACATCTGCATGCGCACCCTCAAGCTCAACAACCCTTCATACGGCGACCTGAACCACCTTGTCTCCGCTGTCATGTCCGGTGTGACTACTTGTCTGCGTTTCCCAGGTCAGCTCAACAGCGATCTTCGCAAGCTTGCCGTCAACATGGTGCCGTTCCCACGTCTCCACTTCTTCATGGTTGGTTTCGCACCACTCACCAGCCGTGGCGCGCACTCGTTCCGCGCTGTTACCGTGCCAGAGCTCACCCAGCAAATCTTCGACCCCAAGAACATGATGGCTGCCAGCGACTTCCGCAACGGCCGCTACCTCACCTGCTCTGCCATTTACCGTGGTAAGGTTTCCATGAAGGAAGTCGAGGACCAGATCCGCAACGTGCAGAACAAGAACACTGCGTACTTTGTTGAGTGGATTCCAAACAACGTCCAGACCGCCCTCTGCTCCATCCCACCACGTGGTCTCAAGATGTCCTCCACCTTCGTCGGAAACAGCACCTCGATTCAGGAGCTCTTCAAGCGTGTCGGCGACCAGTTCACTGCCATGTTCAGGCGCAAGGCCTTCTTGCATTGGTACACTGGTGAGGGTATGGACGAGATGGAGTTCACCGAGGCTGAGTCCAACATGAACGACTTGGTTTCCGAGTACCAGCAGTACCAGGAGGCCTCTGTTTCCGAGGGCGAGGATGACTACGAGGAGGAGGTTCCACTGGAAGGCGAGGAGTAGGATCGTTCGCGTGAAAAGTCCGGGCCGTCCTCGAAGCGTAGTCCAATACGCCATGATTCAATTGTTGACAGGAACTAGTTGAAGACGAGGTATGGCAGCGGAGTATGATGAATGAAGCGTTGGCTTGCGAGTGGTTGGCTCTGTTGACAACCACCCCGCGATTGAAATCCGATATTTTCTCCACTTTGAGGTTTCTCCTTCCAATTTTCAACATTGTCAATGCTCTGTGGGTATTGGTTTGCATGGGACATCCTATCGTGTCGCCCACTTTCATTCGCCTCAGACTCAATAGAGCCGGGCATGAAGTACTCTTTTCTTCCTGGAATCTGGGCTGTTGGGGGCCATCCGTCGTAGTGTCCAGACGTCGTCAGGAGATTTCCAGACCTTCTAAGACATACCACAGGCACACAACCAGCAGATTCAACACAGAGAATGTCTCGATGTGCAATTGAGCTGTAGAGGGCATTACTCCCGAGATCGTGATATACGTTCTCTCGTCTTTGATGATATGAAATACCTTGTAGTTTTATGAAAAGATGACTTGCAAGTATCAGATGGTGGCTGGCACTGTGGCAGGCTCAACAAAAAAGATCATTCCCCTATCGGCATTGATGAAATATCTCTCGATGCCCACCTCAACGTTGATGATGTGGTTCTTTTGTTTTCCCCCCATCCTTGATAGCTGCACCTAGCTAGGTACCTGGTAATTTCTTTATCAAATTTCTCATTACTTCTTCTCCGGTTCGCCCTTTTGCGCCTTGTTCTTGTTGTCGCCGGTATCTTTGTAGTCACCGCCCTGGGCTTCATATCTGCGTGCCATTTCACCTGCTTTCCATGCTGACCATTTGCCCGCTCCGCCGCCTAGGTAGAAGAAGAAGAAGACGTTAATAGGTTAATAGGTGGTCGGGCAGGTGGTCGGGCAGGCAGGTAGGCATGCTGGAAGGGGGGATGGAGGATTATAGTCCTATTGAGAGTAGGGTTTTGTTTGTTGATTGATAGACGAATGGATAGGTAGATAGATGGATACTTTACCTTTCTCTTCGGCCTTGACTTCTTCCTTGACTTTCTCTCTCAGCTCGGGATCTGTGGGCTCTCCTTTGCTTGAAGGCATTTTGTTGGGCTTGTAGGAGGAGGTGTGGTATGGTTTGGAGTCGCGCAAGCTAGATGAGTGATATGCACTACGACTGGGAGGTACAGGTAAGGTAGGTAGGTATAGAATAGATTTTGGCTTCGAGATTCTTATTAATGTCATGTACATCTCAGGTACACGGGTGTACAAGTACATGTATATTCGGAACTGCATGTATTGCTTCTGCGAGACTGCCTACATGTACCTGACGTCTCCATGAAGTCATGATGTCAAGACAATGGACATTGATGAGAGCTTTAGGCTGGCTTTATGGAACTGAACTTACCTTATGCAGGTACAGGAACCTTATTGACTCCTGGTTCCGCAGTCGTCCATGTTTATATGTACAATTATAGTGCAATATACAAGTATTTATACATTGGAGTCTTGGTCGTTTCTCGTCGTTCATAAACACACCTCATGTTTGAGTCGCAGAATCGGCCGTGTATGTGAACCTCGTCGGTCGGTGGCAGCCTCTACTTCTTCCCACGCGCGGATTTCCGCACTCCGGGCACGACTGGCTTCATAGCTTTCTTGATCGTGGTCTTTGTTTTCGCTGTTGAATTATTGCGAGACGACTGTCGCTCGGCCGGTAGCTCAGGCTTTTTTGGTTGTTTGGGTGTACCCCTCGCCTTTTTTGCCTTCGGTGATTTCTCTTCTGCTTCACCAGATAGATCTGCTGCGCTGACATTCTCCTCGTCGATCACTTCAGCTTTTGTCCTAGCCTTGTTGGCTCGCGGTGCTTTTGTCTTTATCGGTTCAGCATCTCCATTGGCTTCAGACTTTATCCTTTTGCCACGCTGCTTCTTCACTGGAACAACTTCTTCCTCGTCAACCCCTTGTTCATCCCCCTCCTCCTCTTCTTCTTCCTCAGCCTTCCGCTTCCGGGCCTTCGTGGGGTTTCTTCCCGCCTTCACGTTTTCCTCCGAAGACTTCACGTCGCCTGCTACTGCTGCAGTCTTTTTCTGAATGCTGGGTACAAAGGCAGATGTTCGTCCACCTACAGTGATATGCTCAATCTTCTCGCCACTCGGCAACTTGTTGACGTCTCCCTTCTTGCCTTTATCCCAGCGATAGCGCATGAGCCATGTTTCTGGGAATTGCGAGCTGTCTGCCAGCGTCTCGCATGCTATCGTGGTGACATCCATCAATGCCGCGTGAAGCTGCTGAATCTGCTGCTGGTCGAAGGTATTGCTGTATTGCTCGGGATGTAGCTTCGCCTGAAAGAGGATCTCATCGGCGACCCAGTTCCCGATTCCACTCAAATTGCTTTGATTCAGCAGGAGTGCTTTGACCGGCACAGTTTTCTTGTTTAACAGCTTCGAGAGCCATTCCACCGTCACGATGTCCTTGTCGATGAATGGATCGGGTCCGTTCTCTTTCAACGGACTGTGATTCCGTATGTCATCCGCCTCGCAATCAACCAAGGAGATCCTTCCGAGACGTCTAGCATCGACAAACGCAAGCTCGACGGCCTCTCGATCTCCTTCGGCATCGCACTTGATCAACCACTTTGTCCACTTCGGCTCGGGTGGCCATGCTTCAGGCATCTTGTCATCCTCCTTCGCTCTCTTGTAGTAGGCGGTCTCTTCGACGGAGCATTTGATCCATCCCGTCATGCCCAGATGCATGACGGAATGAGGTGGCTTGTCGAGCGTGATGTAGAAGTATTTTCCTTGCTGCCCTGCACCTACGACCTTCCTACCCTTCAAGTGTTTTGAGAATGCATTGGCATCGGTGCCACCCTTCTTGCCATATACTATTGCGTCTTCGAAGGCCTGGCATGTTGCGATTGTTCTGTTGACAAGGTGCTTGCGTAGATAATGCACCATACGCGCAACCTCCCCGATCTGGCACTGTCAGTCAGCACCAACAAGAGCCGACTGCTCGAGTGGATGGAGCCTCACCTCGGGCATTGTGAGCCACCAGCTCCAAGGTCTCCTGTCAGGCTGAGGAAAGTAAGTTGAGGGTGGGATGTATGTTGTGAGAGTGGTGCTGCAAGTCGATAATCTTGGAAGGTGTTGTATACCGTCTGTTACAGTTAATAGACGCGTCGATCGAGTCGCGAAGCAAGCTCAAGCCAACACATGTCAACCTCCATCAACTGCACCGTGCGCCTCCACCCTCACCATCACCCAGAGGAACCCGTAAATTTGTTCATGTGGCGTATGAGAAGTTCTTTTAGTCCGCATCGGCCAATATGGCATTACATGGCCAACACGCCTCGCCGTGGTCGCCGCCGCCGCTTCGGGCAGCTCAATCCGGTTGGGAGGGCGCAAATATGATAAGCTAAGTTTCTGTCGTCGTCGTCCATGATCCATTTTCTCTTCATTTGTTGCGGTATCGTTATTCGCTTGTCCAGAGCTATCTGCTACACGATGATCACAAGCAACGCCCTGCTTGCTGCTCTTGTCGGCTGTACTGCATGGGTTGCAGCCCATGCCGGACACGACCATGGGGAGAAATACCAGCAGAAGAAGTTTGTTGGCGAGACCAAGGAAGATCGTGAGTAGATCTACGGGCCCGACTGCCCTCATCCGGGAGCGACCATTTGAGAGTACTGACCTCGAGTCTCCCACCAGTGGATGCAAAATGGGGCAGTGATGTGAGAAGAAGCACGCCTCGTCGTGGGAGTTACATATTGATCTGATGCAGTGGGGCTTCTCTGGTATCAACACATTCGCCCATTTGCCTCACACAAGGTGTTTGCAAAACCCGGATGAAGAGTATGACATTGCTGTCTTGGGTGCGCCCTTCGATACTGCAGTTTCATATCGCCCAGGAGCCCGTTTTGGCCCACGAGCAATCCGAGCAGCATCACAGCGTCAAACTGCTTTCCGTGGCTACAATCCTCGAGCTAGCATAAATCCCTACCAGAGTTGGGCTAAGATGTAAGAGACTAGCAATATTGCAAGAGGCTCTCGCGTTTGGTGCTCATTCTGTTCAGCATCGATTGTGGTGATATACCTATCTCACCCTTCGACAATGCGCTCGCCTTGCGTCAAATGACAGAGGCTTTCACGAATCTAGCCCACAGCACAGCTCCGAAGCACAATGCTGAATCTCGACATACATATCGCAATATCCCGAAACTGCTTACATTGGGTGGGGACCATTCGATTGCTTTGCCCACACTTCGAGCTCTCAACCAGGTATATGGGCCTGTGGCGGTTGTCCATTTTGACGCCCATCTCGATACGTATGCACACTCACGAGGCGGGCTTAAAACCCGTAGTTGACTGAACTTGCGCTATAGGTGGCATCCCGCTAAATACCCCTCAGCCTGGATTGATCCAAACAATCCGAACGAGCAGTCATTCTTTACGCATGGCACCATGTTCTGGGTGGCTCACAACGGTCGGTAAATTGACGCCTCCCAATTCCCAGTGCTGACTGTTGAAAATAGAAAGTTTGATTGCCAAGAACAAGTCCGTTCATGCTGGCCTCCGTACTCGCTTGTCAGGCATTGAAGACAATGAAGACGACGATACTCAGGGCTGGTCGCGCATTGCCTGTGATGACATTGATGATCTCGGTGCCAAAGGCGTGGCAAAGAAGATCGTTGAGCATGTTGGCTCCGGCACTCCCGTATATCTCTCTATCGACATTGATGTGATTGACCCGGGACTGGCTCCAGGCACTGGGACACCTGAGCCAGGTGGATGGACCACCCGAGAACTGATCCGTGTACTGCGAGGGATTGAGGGTCTGAACGTGGTACGGACTGACATGTCACAGTCCGAATATGTCTGAGCTGATCGCTGATATTGCATAGGTTGGAGCTGACATTGTGGAAGTCGCCCCTGCGTACGATGGCACCGGCGAGACGACGGCACTCGCAGCTGCTCAAGTCGCATTTGAGGTCTTAAGCAGCATGATCAAGCGCGGTCTGATGGACGAAGGAGTGCATGATGAGCTCTGATGGGGGCCACCTGAGGGACCATATGTACCTTAGGTAGTCTGTGATAGTTTCTGCTCGGGACACCTATGCTCGGTAGTCTCCGGACGCTTGTAAGCATTCTCTCAGATTCCTGATATGTGCGCGTGTGTCATCACTGGAAGTACATTGCGGAGGTGTATGTACGGTATGATACATGTACCTAAGGTACATGTAGGTAGGTACCTACCTACATAGTACATACCTTATACTTATAGTTGTATGCCCCTGCAGGCTTGGCGGATGCAGCAGCTGACGCCGTCCGACTCCCGAGACACTCGAGCTCTCGTTCGTCTCCCGCGACAGCTGCTGCTCGTGCACTAAACCGAACATACCTACATTTGACCGACGTCCCCAAATCTTCCCACAAACCAACCGCACTCGGCACACCCACCGCACTGAACAGTCGCCGTCGACACGAGCGCCCTCTGTCACAGGCGACGACTAGCGATCCATTGCACGCGACGGACGCATCGAGAGGACATCCCATCCACATCCATCCATGCATGGCCCAGCGTCAGATCCCATCCACCATGCATAGCGCCTTCGCGCACCAGCAGAACGCCTATGGAGGACAGCCGGAGTGGCAGCATCCCAACCAGGCACAGCAACACCATTACGCGGCGCAGACTCAAGCTGCCGCTGCCGCTGCCAATGCCGCTGCGCAGCAGCACTATGGACGGACAATGAGCGCAGCAGGCCAGAACAATGGCGGCGGCAACAACAACTCAGGCAACACCGGTATGAACGGCGGCTCGGGACTCGGAGGCGGCAATGGAATGGGAGGAGGAGCTAGTGCAGATCATGGAGGTGGCAGCATCATGGGCCCAGGCGAGAACATCAGCGACGACAACCGCAGAGTCTTGGAGTGGATCTCGCAAGTTCTGCGACCCGAGACACGCGAGGCGGCTTTGCTGGAACTGAGTAAGAAGAGAGAGCAGGTGCCAGAGTTGGCGCTTATTCTGTGGCACTCTTTTGGTGAGTGAGCAAGCGGGAACACGACGCAGACTGGCCAGAGGTGCAACCGCTAACTGACACCGACTAGGCGTCATGACCTCACTTCTACAAGAGATCATATCGGTGTACCCGTTGCTGAACCCTAGTCAGCTGACCGCCGCTGCATCCAACAGAGTGTGCAATGCACTCGCTCTTTTGCAATGCGTAGCGAGCCACGGAGAGACCCGAGGGCTGTTCTTAAATGGCAAGTATATGGCCGCACTAACAACTACGATATGACCTGCGCTAATCATGATCTAGCTCACATACCGCTCTTTTTGTATCCATTCCTGAACACGACCTCCAAATCCCGGCCATTTGAGTACCTGCGGCTTACATCTTTAGGAGTCATCGGGGCACTCGTCAAGAACGACAGTTCGGAAGTCATCAACTTTCTTCTTACGACAGAGATCATCCCATTGTGCCTTCGTATCATGGAGACTGGGTCAGAACTCAGCAAGACAGTTGCCATCTTCATCGTCCAGAAGATACTGCTCGACGACATGGGCTTGCAGTACATCTGCCAAACATACGAGCGATTCTATGCTGTGGGTACCGTTCTTAGCAACATGGTGACGCAGCTGGTAGATCAGCAAACAGTGCGCCTTCTCAAGCACGTTGTGAGATGTTTTCTGCGGTAAGCTACTGTTTTTGTATCTCGGGGCAATGCAAATGTACTGATCAGGTTTGCCAGGCTTTCCGACAATGCTCGTGCACGCGAGGCTCTTCGCCAGTGCCTACCTGAGCCCTTACGCGACGCCACATTCTCGCCTGTATTGCGAGACGATGCTGCAACAAAGCGCTGCCTTGCACAGCTCCTGTTGGCGCTGTCTGACCAGGCCGAGGCTTCTGTGACCGGCGCTTATGGACACGGCCAACATGGTTTGCTTGCATAGTAAGCAAGCATCGCATCATGTTGGCCACTTAATGCTCGGACAGGGTGTTTCCGGCACATTTCTTATTGGGTCTATCCAGCCTTGTCACTGGCCCCATGGATTCGACGAATATACTCTGTTGTGAACAGAAGACATTTAATCGCTGCAGCCTGGTTGTCGCAATCCAGCTGGCCTCCGCGTAGCGCATGGAACCTTCCGAACAACTTCACAGAGCGAGATACTATCCTAGGATGACCCTTCATTCATGTTTGAGATGCGATCACGGGTGGGCGTTCAGTCAGGAGAACCTTACGGGACCGAGTGTGAGAATGCTCTTCTTTACGGGCAAGCGAGGCTTCTTATACCCCATACGCAGCAGCTGACGAAGAGCTCGTCTGCCAGCTCGAAGCGTAGCTTCATCTTCGTGACTTTTTTCTTCTATTTCGGTCAGGGACAGGGAACAGAGCAGAGCTGGAGCATAGCATGGACAAAAGCGGCGTTTACGAGAGAGAGAGAGAGAGAGCGAGATGTAGAATTACAGCCGGGAACACAAAAGGGGACGTACTGCTACTTCAGTGGCTGGAGAGGGCTCATGAACGTACGCGTGTAGATATGACGGGGTGGATTGCCCTTCTTTTTTTCCTTTTGCTTTTGACGTGCTATGACGGAAGCGAATCGGCGCGAGTCAACATCGAGATAGATATGCAACGAAAAATGTATCATTGTAACTGAAAAAAATAAGGATTTTGTAACATTGGGTATGATTTCCTTTCTTCGTCTGTATAGTATAGCTCTTTTCTTTTCTCGTGATTACGACGTGCCCGGCCAAGGTCAGAGGTGCAAGCGGCATGGCCATTTCTCTGACCGAACGTGTGGCTTGTAAGCGGACTCAATCAATTTGTGTTTTTGTTGCGACGAAGACATGGCGCGTGTGGTTGGTACATGTAGTACCTGTTCTCCCCGAGTCACTTCCAGGCTTGAACCTCCTTGTATTCGCGTTTACTGGGTATCTTTGGTATGTCTACATTTCTCGGCTTGGTTGAGAAGCACAGGGACAACACTATAGTGCTGCCTTTGCTTCCCTCTTCAATTCATCGGCAACTTCTTTCAGGTCTCTCTTCATCATCTGACCTGTACTGCCATCTCCACCTTCAGTGGGTTTATTCTGCGCAGCTGCATTCTGATACCTCAATGCCAGTGCAGAGGCTCCGCCGGCTATGATACCTCCGACGTGGCCGGCGTGATCAATAGTCGTCTTCGCCGCCTTGATCGCGGCAGTGACCTCCATCACGCCAATGAAAGCTAGATACATCCAGGCGTAGACTGGTACAGTGTACCCAAATACCGTGATCGATCCTGTTGGTCTCAATGTGCATGCTGCGGCGGTCACTCCCAATACGGAACCAGAAGATCCGAACACATAGACCATCCACTGTTTTCGCAGAACATTGTACAAAAGTGCAGAATACGATCCTGTCACGCCAGATGCAAGATAAATGGCGAGGAAAGTTCCTCGTCCTACATCCTCGTGGAGGAAGACACCGAAAAGCCAGAGCGTGAGGAGATTGCTGGCAAGATGAACGACTTTGTCGTGTCGGAACATGCATCCTATGATAGAGAAGGCGTAGGGGTACGCGGGGACGCAAGCCCCGTATTTTGAGTAACTTCTGTACAGTTGCGGAATCCGGCCCAGGCAGAAGGTAGCGACCAAGAGTCCTGTGATTGCCCAGAGAGTTGCGATTGCTGGAGGAGTCTCCGGCCAGAGCCGTGCAGAAGTCGGTGGTGGCGTATAATTCTGGTGCAGGAACCAGCACCCGACGAGGACTGACAGAAAGACCAAGAATGCAGGTCCGAGCCGAGCGAGTGTGCTAATTTGGGGAGTCGCGTTGTCCTTGATGATCATGGCCTGGTCCTCGTAGTATTTGATCCATTGCGCCTTCTCGCGTGGTTTGTCGAGGAAAGCCTGCGACGGTGGAGGACGAATCGTGATGCCAAAAGGCCCTTTGTAGGGGGCTTGGGTAGTGAGGTTCAGATTCGAGACGTCTCGTTGCACACCACCAGCCAGCTCGAGAGGGCCACGAGCGGATGCCAATGCATTTGCTGTGGCTTTCTCATTGGCTGCTTCTCGCTCTCGCTTGAACTTTTCATGTGCAGCCTTATTGGCTTTCACATTAGCCTGGAGCACACTCTCGCCGGACCTTGACCTGCCAGCTTCGGTCCCTTGGTCAGACATTTCAAGCTCCTCCTCGTATTCTTCCTTAGCCAGATCCTCAGATGTAGGCTTGTACAAGCCAAGTTTGACAGCGCGTGCTGCGAGCTCGTCCCGCAACCTCTGCTCCTCTTCCTGCGCCCACTGACTGCCGTTGTCTGCCTCGTCCACATTTGGCAATTGAGAGCGTAAAAACTCCAGTCCTAGAAGAGCCTGCTCTCGCGTCACTCCACTCTCTGATGGGAAGTCCAAGCCCACATCGATCAGAGCGCCCGACATTCTCCTCCAATGCATGACGCTGAGGATGTAGTTGCCGGTATCAACATCCACGTCTCGTCCATTGAATATGGCATTGATCTCTGACTGACTTCGCTCTCCACCGGGAAGCGGCATCCCTCCTTCGGGGTCGTAGTCCCGCCATGTCAACGGCTCTCTTTCCACCCCTTCCGTATGGGATGCTGTGGTTGGCGCAGGCTCCAACTTGGCATCCGAAGTCGCAGCAGCGGCCTTTACTGTATCAGCTTTTGTCTGTCGCGGAGGAGCGGCGGCTAGCCTCAAATTTGCAACTTTCTTCCGCGATGTCTGACCGTTTGGACGAGCTGCGAGACACGATGGCGTAGAGAAGGCGGCCGTTGCAGGTCTCGACAGGGCGGTTAGGTCGCGTCTCTTGTCGTATCGATATCGTCGTGTATTCGAAAGGGCCTCAATCGACCACTGCGCAAATGTCCTCGTTGACTGCGACTTTGCATATCCATTGAACAGCTGCAGAAGCGGACTGGCCCTCCCTTGGGAATGTTGTCGCCGCGGAAGGGAACAGGCAATCGATGTCCATACTTTCATATTGCTCATGGTGATCGATGCCCTCCTTACCCTGCCATGCCGTGCTCTGTACCAGACCTTCCCGTCAGCATGTACACATGTATACAGGACGCGACTACACAGTGTACACTCCCGTCGATGATGTTGATGATGATGGGTGGACTTTTCCGCCGATGATGATGATGCGGAGTCGGGAGTGCCGTTGATCACATGCAAATCGCGTCGGATCTACACGTAACGCAATAATGCCTACCTCTTACCGACAGCCATCTTTCCTGCACATGTACATTACACCAACACATGCCTCGCCCTCTGCCACCTTGGCTGGAACTTATTCCGTCGGCAGCCTCTGATCACAACAATAACACTGCCGATCGCACAACGACCGAGGCCGCAGAACCCTCACAGACGGCTAACTTGCTCCCTTTCGATACCATGTCGTCCGCCAGCACCCCCATATCTCCACAAATGTTTGCCATCGCCATCAAGGATCTTCCTGTTGATACACTCTATGCCAAGGCAGCAGAACTGCTCAACAGCATGGAGCACTTGCGCCAGTCCAATGCACAAATGAAGGATTTTGCTGATGAAGGCGATGAGGTGTGCAAGGAGGCCATTGCGGAGAATGATGTCGTGATTGAGAGAATCGGGGAGAGAATCCAACTGTGTAAGGCTGAAGTTGAGGGGAGAGGGATGCGATGGACGGGACATGTCGAAGCCCAAGGAGAAGACGGTCAGGAATCGAAGACGAATGGGGTTGTGGCGAACGGCGATGCCGAGCATGAGGCCGGTTCAGCAGCGCCGGCACCTAGTGGAAGGCTTACCGACGAGGAGTTGCGGAGGCAGCTCGAAGCGCAAATGGATGATGACGAGGAGGACGGGGTCCATCTGTGATGCACCAGCGCGAGCCCTTGGTATGAAGAGAAGAAAATATTGAGAAAGGTTGAAGGCACGAGCAATCCGAGAGATGCTCAAGACTACAGAACATGCCGCCAGGGTCAACTTTCGTGCAGAAAGTGTACCCTCTCACGATGCCATGCCGTAATACAGCGTTTGCTGCAAGCTGCAGCCCTCGATATTGATGCGAGAGGCTGGAGTTCACATCAGGAAACTGCTGGCTCGACAATGCCAATCACAGTGGTTTCCCACTTGATCAGACGAGGCGACCACAAGATCGGATTACCGATGTTACGGCAAGCGCTCGGATCGCATGTTGAATGAAGAATTTTCAAGGCTCTCCATGGAGATGAGCGAAGGGAGCAGGATTCTCGTGCTCCAGATAGCCCGAATAGGTGCACCTGTGCGGCGTAGAGAAATGCCCCGAGAGCTGCAACACCCCTTCGACCAGACTGAGTTAGCCGGAAAGCACATCGAGCATGTCGCCAACGACTGAAAAGCGAACAGGCGAGTGACCAGGTGCAGATGGACTGCTCGCAATAGCATAGCAAATGATGGAGCAGAACGGATGGTCCTCCCCTATCTCACCTCTATGTATACAACACCCATAACAAGTGGAGGTGTCAGCGGAGAGAATGCCAAGCCATCTGCACTCATCTTGCTCGCTTCTCACCCTCTCTCACCCTCTATACCTCACCGTCCTGGAACTTTTATTACATGTACCTGTGCACATTCGGATTGCGTCGCTGTCCTCGTGTAGATAACCTCCTTGATTCGCACTGTGATCGTCACTTCTGTTGACCACTCGTGCAGTCATGTAACGGGTGTCCGAACAGAGCTCCGCTGCTCTGTCTGCCGCCACCCAAAAGCCGACGTTTATCGCTGCTGGCTTTCACATGAAGTATCTTATGCTTTCGTTTCACCGACTCCTCTTTCTAACAGCAGATTATTTACCCTCTTCCGCGCTGCAGCGACCAATCTCCACACTCCATGGAACCCTACAGAGCACCTGCACCACCAACAGCCAACAATCCGTGGATCTACGTCGGACCCGCCTCTTCCATCCTCGACATCTCATCCACCCCAGACAGCAAAACCACCAAACTGTCCACCACCAAACCCGCCTCGGATTCCTCCACCGACATCTTCGCCTCGCCCGAAATCACGACACCGTGCAAAATCCTCCAATTGGCCTCCTCTCCGGGCTCTGCAGAAGCTCAAGAGCTCACACCCGACGCCGCACAAAACACGATTGGATTTCAGCCTCAAATTTTAGTCTTTCGATATCGCGGAAAGTTGCATGCGATTGATCATTCGTGTCCACATCGCAATTTTCCCTTGAGTCGCGGCAGTGTCTACGATATTGAAGATTTTGGCGTCGTGCTGAGTTCGGGCATCGAGTGTCCCAAGCATGGTTGGAGTTTTGATTTACACACGGGGAAGAGTGATCGGGGTGGGTATCAGTTGAAGATTTGGGAGGTGGAGACGAGGAGTGGAGAGAATGGATTTGGGGAGGTGGAAGAGGAGGTATGGGTCAGGAGGAAGGAGAAAAAGAGGATTGGATGAGTACCTACATTTAGGTACCGTAGTGTGGAATAGCTGGAGGACATGCACTATTGCTCTTACCAGAAACGGGCTGCTAAAGAGGACTAACACTCAGGCGTGGTGATATACAGCGGTCAAGTATGGATGGTGCAGTTCTGTTACTGGGATCTACGCCAGCCTTGGCTGCTCTTCACTTCCTTAGTTTGGGGGTGTTGAGGTACTCGTTACATTCACAAGTGAACCCACGGGGATGGACATGACTTCAGTAGAAGATCCATCCGGATTCAGACGGCTTCGGCTTAACGCCAGGTCTACCATCCCCGTGTGAAGGAACGAGGCCCACGAATTCCATGCGGACGTCTCCAAGTAAGCGCCTGCCATGCGCAAGAAAGAGCTGATGTAAGAAGTGAACAGTATTCTGTGGACTACTGAGGTTCAATCAAGGCCGGCGTCTTCAAGGTCAGATGCTCTGCTTGAATGATGAGTTGTATACTCGTGATGTAGTGACAACCATCGATTCTATCTTTCTATGCTTTGCCTCCTCTCTCGTCCTCAAAGCCAATCTGGTCGGGAGCTTCAGGAAAGTCCTTTTTCGCTTTCGCTTTGGCTCCACCATCCTTTTGTTGTGTAGCTGTTCCTCCCGTGTCGCTTGCACGTGCACTGGCAATATGTCAGTGATACTCACAGCTTGCTATGGCAGATGGAACCACTTGTAGCTTCATGCCAGCGTTACTCACCTTCTTCCGGCCTTTGAGTTTTCGGACTGCACATTTGGATCGGGCCCTTTCTCCAGTACATGCTTCTTATCATGCTTCTCGCTTCCCATGTCGGACTTGGGGTTGTCTGTCATTTTTGTCGCTCGTACGGCCGTCGTTGAGCTAAAAGGTCGTGCAATTTGGGCTGTTCTTGGTGCAGTGCTCGATCGTAGAGCACATGCCCTGCTGGCGGTGCGGAGGTAGGTGATTGCAGACATGATCGCTGGTCACTTTCAGTAGCGGGATGTTTGGTGGATGGATGATGGATCAGGAGTGTAGGTGTAGGTGTAGGTTGTTGCGGGCGGATGGTTGACAAACAATGGGCAGCTTAGCACTGCTTGAGGTAGTACTACCTACCTTCTACTGAGGAAGCTACACATGATAGGCCGGCTATCCCTCCGTTCCAGTTTCCTCTCGGTTCGTGCTTGAGAGGAGCGCGTAGTGATGAGCTCATCCGAGTCGCGATGGAGCCGAAAACAGATCTGCCCAAACGATTGACTTTCTTGGCGATCGATTGCACCTGCCACTCGAGTGACCCACGCGACAAAGAGCATCCGTCAGTTGCAACCTCCACCAACATCATCATTGGAGACGCTGCTGCAATACGATGACAACTACTGTTGAGGACCCCGAGTTCCCGTGCTCCTTGTATGCCACACCGCTCCAGCACGAGCATCGAGCATCCGGCTGAGACGCGGACAGGACGGTGCATATCCCATTTCCCAGCAATCGCCTGGCCGCCGCTGCGCTTCGAACCCTCTCTGTCGACCAAGAGTTGTCGCCGTTAGTCAAGAGGCATTTCAGCCTGGTAGCGCCCGTTTCGCATATCGACAGCGAGCCCCAAAAGGCGCCCTTCGAGGTTTCGCTATGGGACACTCCACCCGTGCAGTCCGCAGAGGCTCCGTCGACGATAGTCAGGCCTGCAGGCGGCGAGCCAGATGATGAGAAGACAGTCCTGAAGACGGAGTACAAAGCGACCACGAATCGAATGCTGCGCGTGTCTGTGAACGGCTTCTTCGAATCTTTGGGTACTGTTGTGCAAACCATGGAAGAGCTTGACCTGGATGTTGTACATGCGAAGGGTTTGGAGAGCTTAGAAGGTGCTCAAGGAGTCGAGCAAGGCATGACGGGCAGCACTGGGTGAATGTGCAGCTACGCGCTTTGCGTTGAGATTGCCAGGCGCGGTCATTTTTGAAGATAAGAAAGCCTTGCACGTTATGCTGGTCCTATCAACAGACCCTATATTCCACTGCAGAACCATCATAGCCTCCGGTGTTCTGTGGTATGATGGCTTGTCAATCATTTCTGCCCGCCTGTGTTGCACTGAGCTCGACAGGTGAAGTTCCAACACGGGATTGCATCCAGTATAAGTCCTGCTGAACCGCACTCTGTAAGCTATCATAAAGCACCATCACCTCGCATTGGTCATATATCGAGCTTTATTTCTCCCGGCCATCAGTTGCTCCTCTTCCAGAATTCATTGCAAAGCGAGCACTTCGCCTAGCTTTTTCGGCTAGATACGCACCACATCGGCAACCCCACGTCCCGCTTAGGCTGATCCTGGAGGTGAGTCCAATGATATATGTCTATGAGACTTATCCACTCCCTTTAGCTCTGGAAACACTTCACAATAATAACCAACTCGGTAAAAAGGATGCAATCCCACTATATGCTTGTCCTGGCCCTGCCCCTCGTACTCGCTACTTTTGATGCCAGAGAAGCCACCATTTCATCCACACACCATGCTTTGTTCACAGGTCTGGCGACATGTCGAGAAGTGGTGTCCTCGTTTCTCTCGCGCATTGAAGCCTTCAACAACGAAACGAACGCCATCATCTCTCTCAATCCTAGAGCGCTCGAGATCGCGGACGAGTATGATGGCGAAATCCAGCGGAACCATGGTTCATACGGCTCGCTCTTTTGTGTTCCGACACTTTTGAAGGACAATTACGATACAGCTGATATGCGCACCACAGGGGGGAGTGTGGCGCTCCGTGAGTCTCAACCAACGCTGGATGCACCCGCTGTGAAGGTCCTGAAAGACTCCGGCGCCATCATCATTGGCAAGGCTAATCTGCACGAACTTGCTCTCGAGGGACTCAGTGTATCATCGTTGGGCGGCCAAACCATGAATCCATATGACAGGACGCGAACCCCGGGTGGCAGCTCTGGCGGCACGGGCGCAGCTATTGCTGCAAGTTTTGCCGTCTGGGGAACAGGCACCGATACTGTCAATAGCCTGCGCAGCCCCGCGAGTGCTAATGGGTTATTCAGCTGCAGACCTACCAGGGGACTCATCTCAAGAAGCGGCGTGATCCCAATTAGCTATACTCAAGACGTGCTTGGGCCGATTGGTCGATGCGTCAAAGATATTGCTGTCGCGCTGACAGTCATGGCTGGTACACCATACGACCCATCTGACAATGCCACCGCTCTTGTGCCAAGTGGGATTAGGGGTAGCGATTTCAGCCAAGGATTGACCCAGGGCTCACTGGAAGGGCTTCGTTTTGGTCTGCTAGAGGGCTTCTTCAACCGTACTGTTTCTGATGAGACGGATCCTGTCAACCAAGCCATGGCGAACATGACAGCCAAATTACAAGCAGCAGGGGCTACCATTATTCCCATCACAGATGAAATGTACAACGCAACCGCAATCGCCAGTTTGGACACTCAACGCTACGAGTTCCGCGAGTCTCTGGATGCCTATCTCCAGCGGCCTTCCCTCTCCGGTTCTCATCCTACCACTACAAACGAGCTCTACACTTCCGATGGATACCTGGTCATACCCGCACAATACGAATATGTCAATACCGCCTTACTCAGCTCCACAGCCAACACGACGACAACAACGACGACGACATCCACAACCAAGCCATCGTACGCAACCATCATGTCCCGAATCCACAATCTGACCCTCGCACTCCACGCCACATTAGTGGAAAATCGCCTCGACGCACTCCTCTATCCCGAACAGAAGAATTTGGTCGTGAAAATCGGCTCGCCGTCACAAAGTGGTAGAAACGGTATTCTTGCTGCACTCACCGGTACGCCCGTCGTCACTGTTCCTGTGGGATTCAGTGCAGCGACCGAGGACGCGCCTGAGGGAGTACCGATTGGGATGGAAATTCTAGGCTCAGCTGTATGTGTAACCTACCTCCTTGAACCCTTGGCCCGTGATATGTGAGAGAGACATTATTGGGAGACAGTTTTTGCTAACTTACTTCGTGAATTTTAAAATTCTTCTCACAGTGGACAGAAGGGAAATTATTACAAATTGCATCTCACATTGAGAGGTTGGGAAGAGTGAGGAGAAGTCCCCGATGGGCTTTGGAGAGCGTGGAAGTGAAGGAATATCTTCAGGACGTACCCGTCATTGTACCTGATGCAGGGAATGTGAATCTCCAGGCGTATCCGCTGGGGACTTTACATGTATAATGTATAATACCGATATTGGAGGATGGAGACTTGCATACATACTTTAGCTAAGGTATGTGTAGACAGACTTCTGTTGTACCTACATGAGGCTGCTGTGCAAGTTGTATATAGACATCCGGGGGATGTTCTGTCTTCTAGTGAAAACCACTTGACTATTTAGTAATCTCACACGGACCTCTTGCTGACAGCCTAGCAGACAACGTACGTACCTTACATATATATAACGTACATCGGGTTCAAGTCTTTTCTGTCTATTCGTTATACCCAACCGCTTTCAACCCCAAGTTCTTTCTATAATACAACCCTCTCTACCTACCTTATGTATAGTAGCTAGCTAGCCAAGCCTACGCTACTCCTCGAGTGAATATCTACCTAGTAGTAAGGTAGTACCTGTAGTTTTACAAATCTCAATCAAGGACTAACTAGGTCGAATTGATAACAACCGTCGGACGATACCAAATAAATAGCCTCGACTTGTAATAAGGGAAGAAAGTATAATGTGAGCTTTGGGAGAAGTCTTGCTTCAAGTCACTACGCTATTAGTTCAAAAAGTCGAGTGGAATGAATAAATGAATGGATGAGGATAGTAAGCTCCTGTGGCAGCTTCTTCTACCAAAAGCAATTCTCCATTGCCACCTAGTCTGTCTGTCTGGCTTTCTGTCTGGCTTCCTGATAATCAATCCCGATCAAGACCAACATCACAAAGCAAATATCCGCTTAACCAAGACCTCACCAAAATGTTGTCCCTGCTGCTCCACAGTCTGTGGCGTGCCCGTACAAATCCTGATTCGATTTCCCCCTCTCAACGAAAGCCAATTTCCCGAGTCGCCCGGCCGTTCGCCCTCGTCGCCTTCCGGGCGCTTTTTCCTGGTCCGGCGATCCACGACACACATGCCTCGTGTCCATTGACCAGAAGTCTCGACGCGGAGATCCTCGTCTTGTTTCAGGTGCCATTGTGAAGAAGCGTGATCCGCCGCCATGCAATACCAGATACATAAAGGGTCATGGAGTTGTAGACCGACGGCATCGCCCACAACATCTTGTTGTAGGGATTCGACTTTGTCAAAGGTTGAATGCAAAAATGCGGACACCCAGTGCGCGAGAGGGGAGCCGGATTGGATGAGAGGTTCACTCAATGTGCGAAAGAGACCGCGGGTGATTTCGTGGCGGTTGGTGATGTCGAGTGGGAATAACGATACGGTGAGCTGGCGGGACAGGTGCTCGGGATAGTCTGCGAGGTAGGGAGGGGCTTGATCTGTGTGCGACGGTGCTACAGGGGTAGGTGGAGTGGGCGGCATGGTCGTCTTTGGGGTGGGCGACGTCAGAGCGTATACACGAGCCGCAGCGACGGAGTCGGCGAACGTATTGAACTCGGCGACGGGTGTCATGTTGCCAATTTCTGTGACATTGCCGCCCATGACAACAATCTCTTTTGCTTTGAGAAATGTCTCGGGATCCAGGGCGGCGGCATGTGCCAAATTGGTCAGAGGACCGACAGCTACAATCGTAATGGTGTCTGCTTCATTCTCTCGAAGTAAGCGAAGCATCTCGTCGACTGCCGAGGCTTTCGAGGCCGTAAACATGGCATGTTCACTGCGGAGCTCAGTTGCAATTTCCTTGTCTGCATCGGCACTGGAGCTTGATGCTTTCTCGAACAAGCTCTTCCAGGTTTCGTCGGGTGTCATATGTGGATGCTGGTGCCTCGTTAGCAGCTGATCACCGTCATGATATTAGGAAATTCCTACTGTGCCGTGAATGCCCCCGAGCCCATCTCTACCGTCTAGCCTCTAGGTCAACAATGTTCTACGGTGGCGAACCAAAGTCGTACATACGGAAGAAGTCGGCCATGAGCATTTGATCGGTCAATGGGTGTTCGCTACCGACAGCAACGATGGGTTTTGTCTTGCGAAGAGCATCGAAACCTAACGGTTTCCCTTGAGCCTGCCGCCACTCAATCTCTTTCTCGATATGGAAGAACATCGAGACGACATTCCTCAGGCAGTTTTGGACATCGATGTTGCCATACGTTACCGATAGCAGCAGCACCTCGAGCTCTTCTGGTAGAGCAGAAAGAGCCAAGAGCATGGCCAGTACATCGTCGACGCCCTATGGTATCGTTTAGTCGCTTTCGACCATGAAAATCTCAAGTGCCTCCATACCGGGTCTGTGTCGATGATGATCTTTCGTGCCATGGTAAAGGACAATATTCTCAGCAGGTCTCAGCCGCAAACAGAGTCTGGAGTGGCAGAAGACTGAGTATATGTTGACAAGTAAGCCCCAAGGCAAATGTCTCGTCTCGCAGATGGCCGACGAGTCTCGTTGGATGTTTGGAAGCAGATACGGTAAGCCTCAGGCCAAAATGCGGCTCTGCGGAAGGGCACCCGCTCGAGAGATCAAAACTTCATCTTCCGCTTCGCTTTTGCCTTTTTTCTTTTCTTTTTCCTTTCTTCTTTACAATGTTATCACAGGCCATCAATAGAGTCTCGGTACGAACGTTCAGTGTTTGTGCAGGTCCCACGAGGCCTCTTTGCGTGCTCCGGTGACCTCAGATTGAATTGCATTTGTTTGGAAACCCTTGTGATCCAACTCGAGGATAACAAGATTTTCTCCATCTGCTACATACACACACACAATATACACACATATGGCGACAGAACCAAGTCTTCTGATACACACACAGCGGCAGCTAGGGCAGCTTGATGGCTGAGAAACTACTTGCCACCTTGCAATCGCTGCTTCATCTTCAGCCTGAGCAGGCTGGCTTTGGGGCAGGACACGGTGCTCGCGTCGTCGCCCTCCTTCTGGTAGAATTGGTTGCAGCACTCATACAGGGCATCGATCTGGCTCTTCCGGTCAGCCCATGTCTTCGTCCCAGCGTGGTCCATGAGATGCATACCTGTCGCTGGCACTTGGCCTCATCGTAGTTGTTCTTCTGTATGCATGCTGGGGGCAACGTTAGATGCAAATTCACTCACTGCAACCCACACACAGAGGATCGGTCTGACCTTGAATTGCACAGGCTTGAGGATGGCAGGGAGGGTCTGCCTTCAGTCCTTCTTCGGGTGTCGTAGGCTTCAGACATGCGTCAGCTGCTGGAAGGGTGAAGGTGGGAGAGATGGTGAAGTATGTGTACCATAGTTGTACCTTGTAGCGCTGGGTAATTCACGTATTCTGCTTCTTGTAACCTGATACTGTGATACGCACCGGGGGCATGTCACCTCTTGGCGGCGACACTCCCCCCACTATTTTAGAGCGTTGCTGTGGAAGCCGAATAGATCGACGGAGCCTCGAACTTTCCACGACCAAGTCAGATCTTTGCATAAGGTACCTCTTTGCATACCATACCTACTACTTGACTACTAGTTGCGTTTGCTACTGGAGAACAGAAGGAGAAGAAGCCGCCGGAACACACACACACAAAAGGTGAGATGAGAATGTTGCTGCTGCTGCTGCTGCTGCTCCTGACTTGACACTACTTCACTACTACAGTAGAGCACCTGCCTACTGTGATTGCCCCACGCGCCCCATCGCGACTGCCTCTCTGCCACTGCATCATTTCTACTTCTGTCGCTTTGCGCCACGCCTCGCCTTTCCTCTCTTCCTATCCCCCAACACCAACTGACAACAACTCCCTCCTAGCTCGCCACAACGAGCTGAACGACAGCACGTGCGTCTACACGCCTTGGAGCCATCGCGAAACCCATATAATACCCCGCGCCCTCCGCTCCCACTTCGTCCGACACCGCGCAGTGTCGACCGTTCCATCCACCATGACCGAAAACAACGGCACCCCTCCGGCAGATCAGCCCGATGCGCAGCAACCTCCCAGCGAACACCTGAACATCAAGGTGACGGATGGAAGCAACGAAGTGTTCTTCAAGATCAAGAGATCGACACAGCTCAAGAAGCTCATGGACGCCTTCTGCGACAGACAGGGCAAGACTCCGCAGAGTGTGCGCTTCCTGTTTGACGGCCAGCGCGTGAACGCAACGGACACTCCAGAGATTGTGAGTACTGTGAATGGATTGTGCGCATGCGATAGAGAGTCACGGCAGCTTTCTCCCTATTTCATCGCGAAATACTTTCTTTACAAAGAGCTAACCGATATACCGTTCGCAGCTCGATATGATTGACGGCGATGCACTCGAGGTTCACCAGGAACAGATTGGCGGATGCTAGTTACCAGCAAAGTCGATTACAAGCCGAGTCTTTAGTACTTCGACCTACATAAGCTACTACCGCTAAGGCTAGCCTTCGATATATCGAGGCGTCAAGTGAAGAGGGTCTCGTAGGGCAGCGTATGTACCTTGGGCAGAGCAGGCTAGAGGAGCATATACGACATTGCGGAGCAGCCCAAGTCACGAGAGAAAAGGCGAGCTGCGAGAGAAAGGGAAAGGGCACTGAAGCAACCGTGAGCTTTCAGACGACGCTCGAACCGGATCAACAGGCGCGGCGTCCTGGCGTTTTGCGCCTATGGTAGCCACGGCTTCATGGCTTTGCTTTGAGCATACAGGGTTAGCTCGATGGGCCGAATTTCATCATCACGTTTCAGACCACTTCGATTGCCCCCTCGCGTCTGTCGCCCTCACGTTTTGTTGTGTGCCGTCATGTGAGAACTGATTGCTGAGAAGCAGAATTTGATATTCATGGGTATCAGAATGATGTGTTGTAGAAAGCTCCCTCGAGTCTTCCTCTTCCTCTCCCTCTTCCTCTTCCTCCTCCTCCTCCTCCTCCTCCTCCGCCACCTCCTTCTCCTCTCTGCTACATGTCCTCTTCCCCTCCAGCTCCAGCTCCAGCTCCATCAACACTCCATCACAATACAACACAAACATCCACGCCTCTTCTGCACTTCTTCTTCTCCTTCTCCTTCTCCTTCTTCTACTCTTCTCCGTTCAACAACAGATAAATCAAAATGGTGCATCCTGTGGCTTCTGCGGCGTCTTAGGCGTAATCGCAGCGAGCGTGGTATGAATCAAGTGCTGAATATCCTCCATGCCATTGGTCTCGAGCGAATGCATCAATTCCTGCTGCTGCATCTGCGTGAGACCTTCTCCAAAGACTCCCGTGTCCAGATCCCAGTACTGTGAGACGTATTGCTGTTGCTGTTGATCTGGTAATATCTCCCCGCCATGATTCACATCGTGGTCAAAGCCACCCGAGGGAAAGGGATATGTCGGATGCGTAGGATCAAATGCGTCATGGGCGTAGGGGCTGATGTTCGGATGGGCGGCCATTGCTGGCGCGTACATCATCGATTGCTGCTGAGGAGCCGTCCAACCCGGGACTGTGAGATTGGGCGTGAATTCGGGTAGACTGTGGAACGGAGTGTTGTGGTAGTAGTGCTGAGAGCCGTAATCGAGGGAGCTGATGGTAGTCACCGAGTCGGAGCTCTGTGCATGGTGTGTGTTGGTGTTGGAGAGCTGCCTCGATGGCCTCGGTGCGTCGCTGAAGCTCGATTCGCCGTGATATAATGGGACTGGTGGAGCTTCTTCGATGCTTGCTTGTGGTGCCTGCTGATGGATGAAGCCAAATGGTGCCTGTTGTTCCTCAGGAGGAGTCGCTACAGATGGGGCGCTCGCACTCGTTGCTCGAGACCGATTGTCTGCCAGCATCGATCCCGGTGAAGCCTGATCAGAAGGCGTACTGGCCGAGATGGGTATATCACCCGGCTTGTCATATATTCGCATAATGGCGAAGATGAGATTTTGATACAGCTGCACCGCGGAAGCGACCCCAGGCCAGCGCTCGGAGGCCTGTTCAATGGCTTCCATTGCTACGTTGAGATGACCTTCTACAGTCTCGCGGCTATACTTGCGTCGCACCTCTACATAGCTCAAGGTCCATAGCATCGTATTGATGGCCATGAAGAGCGATTGCGTGAAGATCCAGGTGAGATCGATGTTCTTTTTCGCAATCTGTTGCCGCTGCATGTACACGTTGTACTCACAAGCCTCGTAGCACTTCAGCGCGGCTGCCAGTGACGGTCGCGGCACTTGAGGCGATGGTCGATACAGGAACACCACCATCGTGTTGTATCGTCCAATGAACCAGATCTTGTCCAGGCCTGCCCCTTCGTCCTGCGAGGGCGCTGCATCTCTCCACGCTGCCAGCTTTGCGTCCATGCGTATGAACCACGGATCACTGTCGCTCTTCGGCTCCGCTCTCTTCTTCTGGTAGAGCTTTCTCCGGATTTCCAACTGTAACAGCCGCATCTTGAAGAAGTGTATCGCCACCCATTTCTTGAGCGTCGGTCGCTGTGCTGCGGGACTGACGCCTTCGGGAGTAATGTATTGGTCATCGCAAGTCTCGAACCAGCCCACATCAATGTGGTCTTGGCCCGTGGCGAGCATGCCAGGCCTGCCAATCGAATGCGCCAATCCCCAGTCCATGACCATGATGCACCAGAATAATCTGCGCCTGAGGTCAATCTCGAGAAAGTTAGATGTGCCGTCTCGCTGGCCCCGCGTGATGGTCTTTTCTTCATGCAGGCCCAGTGCCTGCACTAGGCGTACCGCTATGCCCACCACATAGTAGATCGCCGTCCGTGTGGGAGTCAACAGGGAGTACTCTGCCATGAGCGCAAAACACTGGAGCGTTTTCAAATTCATTGGCCGCACCGCTGCCTCCATGTACTGGAGTGCTGCCAAGTAGTAGCTGTCTGCCAGTCCAGCATATTGCGTGTCCATTTTCTGCAGACTGATGGCGATGACCATGCGACACACAAAATGCTGATATGGAGTGGCCCGATGCGGCTGCGTGTACGCTGTATCAAAGTCGTTGTCGAGGCTGGGTTCGTGCAGCGCGGGATACATTGGCTGCACCTTCAACTTATACAATTGCAGCAACAAATCTCCAAGTGATCGATTAGGCAGTTCTGATGCCGCCACATCGCTGATCAAGGGATATATCTTCGAGGTCGGTTTGGCCTGTTCCTGCGCGTAAAGTTCCTTGATCTGCCGTGCTCGTTGATCAGGCACAATCTCCGTGATGCTCTTGGCATCTGTAAACTGCTTTGCGAGCTGCATCACGAGGCGTGTGATGGCTATGCCGCTCGAGGGTCCGAGATACTTGGACTCCTTCTCGTCGTGCATCCTGACATTCGCCGCTCGCATCAGCGCCTCGGGATCCTCGTGGCCATCCTCGTTCTCCACCTTGTCGAGCTCCTCCTCCAGCTCCCGACACCTGTGCTGGAGCCAGACCACGTAGTTGCGATTTACATTGTGCCCTCTATTCGAGTCATAGTACTCACAAATGGAGTTCGTGCGTTCGCAGGGTGTGCATCGTGGGAGTCCCGGGTCGCATCGTGTTTTGCGCTTCATTCACACGTCAACGCCCATCTCATCCACGTTGACCAAGAGCTCTCGCCCTGGTTCACTTATGATTTACCTGTCTACAGCGCGTACAAGCAGTCAAGGTGTGAGCTACCTGGCCTGCAGAAGAACCTTCTTCGGCGCCGTCTTTCCTTGGTGCTGCTGCTGCTGCTGCTGCCGCCGCCTTTTTCCTCCCGCCACCACTCGTGTTCAGCGGCGGGATTGAATGTACTTCCGCCATCCTGTTTGTAGGAGGAGGGCCTCACGGACGTGTGCTCACGCGCGCAAACGTGCCATGGAGATGGGGTATGCGCCTCGCTTGCCTGAGCCACGTCTACAGTACTACGCTGGGTTGCCGATGGGAAGTGATGGGGAGGGATTCACGATGTATGGAGGGTAGTGCGAGTGGGTGTAATGCTCAGTGGTGGAAGGAGGATACAGGTAGGTACATCTGGTGTTGGCATGAGGACGGTAGAATGGTGGTGATCGAGGCTCAAGGGGCGGGCAGAACCTAGACAACGTGAAGACATTGCTTGGACGGGCGGGCAGGCATAGACTCTCGAGGCACGTACATGACTACATGTCGGTAGGTGATATAATAAAAATAATCGTGCCATCGCGTTTCGTCAGGTCCGATCTACGGTCGCACGGTCGTACTTATCTTGACCTTCCCTTGGCTTGAGCCTTGAGAAACAAGGACCCCACCATGCACATCAGCCGGAACCTGGAAAGGCCTCCTCTCGCAGTTATTGGCTCGTCTGCTAATTTCAAGTTTTCAACCTGCCACCGCTGTCGCTGCCGGCTAAGGTATGCCAATATGCTATGGGTAGTGAGGTAACTTAACTTGCTGCTGGACTCTTTGCAATGGCGCTGCCAAGAATGAGATATCCGTAGGGCAGAAGGAAGGCCAAAGGGAGGAGGCAGAAGGACCCGCGTCAATGCAAACGGTACTCGTGTTGTAAAGACTCAGGTACCGCCAAGGCGTGGGCGTTGGTAGAGTGAGGTTCCGCAACCTGTTGTGGAGGGAGAATCGTTCGTTCTATTGCCGAGTCTGCGTCTTTCACACGCCACGGCAAAGTCTAAGAAGGCTGAGAGAGAGCAGAAGGATAAGCCCAGCAGCCGTCCCTGGCAATGGTTGCATGTGCCATGTGTGAAAGCCTCTCCGATACCTTACCTTCTCTGACCGCCCGCTCGTCATGCTTCGATTGCATGCTGTCCCGTTGCTGGTCTCGTGTAATTCTACGAGTGGGCAAGGTAACAAGGTTCCTGAGCACCGACGTGTGTGGGTTGGTATATGAACGCCAGCCATACTGAGCCGTAGACGGACGGACATACGTGTCGCATTCCATAACGTCTGAGGTGGCTGGCTTGCCGCCCACTTGCCTTCTATACAGCAGTGTCCACTGAGGTACAGCCTCACAGGTACTGTGCCGTGCCTACCTCCTACCTGACCTACCTCCTACGCCATAGCCGGACGGGAGTGGAAGAAGTTAAGAACAGCTGGAGGATCAGCCCGAGGGCGCGGCTTCACGTTCGCACATCTTCCCTCCCACGTTGTCGGGCCAGCCCCAGCCAGGAGGTGGAACACGAAGAAAGCAGCAAACCTGTTGCCGGGATCGCGTGGTGTCGGACGGCGCTTTCTGACGTGAAAGTGCTGCTGCTGGCTAATGCCCGTTTGAGTGGTTTGACGTGGTGTGACCCGGGACGCAGCAGTGCTACAAAGAGGTATGTTCTCAGTCTGCTCGCCTATTCATGGCGCTGCCTGGACTGCAGTGGCATGATTTGGAGGGCAGAGCGGTATGGGCTGCATCGCTTCCAGCATCCTTGGAGCCCAAATGTCCTCTAGGGCGCATCCCCGTTGAGCGTCGGTTCGAGACATTGTTATTATTATCATGATGATTAGTGCAAAAGCTGACAAGATGGCGCCAGACGAGTTTGATGCCAAGGACCTGATGCCTTTCGAAACACCCATATTGAAGGTGTCGCGGTATGAGCCTCTCGGCCTCAAGAGAGCCCCACCGACCTCGCTAATGCGCCCGCGTACTTGTCTAGGCCAGTCGCAGCGTGCTCGCGATGCCGAAACGCGAAGATCAAGTGCGATGGCAAATTGCCAGCATGTTCCTCGTGCGAGAAGAATGGAAGAGCTGCCGAATGCACGAGTACTAACGACCAATTTGCGCGAGGCAAGGAACGCAGTTATGTGTCCACGCTGGAGACTCGCATCGAAAAGCTCAAGGAGAAATTGGAAGAAGCCCGCGCCCGAAAGCCTTCAGTGGTCGATATGCACGAGGATGAGTTCGCCGCACGGCGACAATCATACCAAGTACCAGAACCGCCGACACCGAACACTCCCAATCAGACCAAGGCCATGAGGCGCAAAGAAGCCGCTACTATCGACGACTTGGTATCGGATTTTGGCTATCTGTCTGTCAACGCCACTGCGCGAGACTTCTACGGCTTTACTAGTGCCATGTCCTATGCGAGGTTGATCTTGTGGGCTAGCAGCAAAGAGCCACTCCCCAAGTCTCTGGCTCAGGAGCTGCCAGCTCGGCATCAGGCTACCGTTCTCATTCAGCACTATCTCAACAACATCTTCGTCCTTCTGCCATTGTTTGACGAGGCAAGCTTTTGGGGCTCCGTGGACAATGTGTATTCCCGCAACCAGCATCAAGCCACGCCGCACGACCACTTCATGGTTCGAGCCGTGCTGGCTATCTCCAGTGCTTCCATGTCACAACAGCGTGGCGATCAACGCTACATAGAGTCTATAGGTCACATCTGCGCTACCCTGACTCACTCTGAAGACGTACTTCGTCCAGGAGAAATCGCGAGCATACAGGCTCTGGTTCTTCTCACGGAATTCGCGATGCTCGATCCTCACCACTTCGATTCTTGGCAACTCATCGGTGCGGCTTCCCGAGCCATGGTTGATCTCGGCCTGCATCAGGATCCTCCCAAGGGAACGGCCATGCCCAGGGCTAAGCTAGAATTGAGACGTCGAGTCTACCATTGCATCTATGCTCTGGATCGCTCTACATCGCTCGTACAGACGCGTGCATTCTCCTTCTCGGATGATAGTGCTAGAGTCAAGATATCATTCTCGAAGCCTTCGAATACGGCGTCAAATTCGCCTCGTCCCAATACTTCGCAAGGCCTATGGCTCCAAACGTATGAATACGTCGCAGACCTAATCAAGCTTCGCCAGATACAGTCGCAGTGGTACAGCGATTTGTTCCAATCAGGCCGATCCCGCTGGGAGGAACCATATCACTACATCTGGGACACCTGCGACTCCATGCGCAAATGGTTCGACGGTTTGCCATCTTCAATGTCGGCTGATATGCGGGCTTTCTTTGAGCTGGACTTGCTATACTCTTATGTTTATGTTCTGTCGCCTTCGCCAAGAGTTCCCGTGGTGCACCCTTTCGCGCAGAAGCTCGTCTTCGAGTACTGCACTCGGTATGCCGATCTAATGCTCCGGTTGCTCAGCGATCCGGCATATACTGCACCTCTGACGTTCTACGACGCTATGCGAGCCTATATGACTGGACGACAGTTTCTTGATGCACTGCAACATAACACGGACGGTCTCCTGGCGGGTCATATACCAGCACATCCAGAAGTAAAGCCCTCGGCTGCCGCGCCGCCACCGATGCCCGTCGTGGCACTGCCACCGGGCGACACAGCACTCAGATTCAATATTGTTCGAAGTATTTCCTGCATCAAGCAGATAACAGAATGCCTGTCACGATTCGGAATCCGCTGGGGCTATATGAGGTAAGCGTGCTGTGGCATATATATATGGTCGAGCATACTACTGACATGCTCAAGCTGGAACCAACGCTATCAAGCAGAAACTTCTGCCATGCTTGAAGAGCTCAACTCGAGGCTACGCGAAATAGATGGACCGGCACGGAGGCAGAGCACGTGGCAGCATCCTGGATCGTCATCCTCGTTTTCAAGCAGCACGCGTGGTAGCCTGTCCTATGGATCATCGCCGCTGGCCCCCGGAGAGGTTGCGTATCAAACCACCCCTGCTACCATGCAACATACGTCCAGTGCGGCGAACGCTCATCCGGTGCATCACGTTAGTCCGCCTCTTCAGCAATATCTCCAGCAACCTCCCGTGTATCAGATCACTCGGCCATTGATCTCTGGACAAGGAGTTCCTTCCGCCCAACAGCAGCAGCAACAGCAACAGCAAACTTATTTCCAGCCAGCCTACGACTTCAGTTCAGTGCCAATGCCAGCGCAACCTCAACAGTCTGCGGCCTACCAAGCTCATCTTCAACCAGCTTCGCAGTTTGCGCATTGGGCCTTTGGACCCGGGGGAAATCCAGACACTCTAGACGAAGAAAATGCGGTACCGCCCACGTCTACCAATGCGTGGAATATTGACACACATGATTGACATATGCTGATGTTCTTCAGTCAGCATCTACGGACAAAGTCATATCCGGAGCTGCAGCACTGGGAGATATCAGCAACACGCGCCTTCCTCGTACGAAGCTGTCCCCCATGGCCACTCCGTCCGGCTAGCAACCAGGGACATGCGCTCGCGGTAGCTCACGTGTGGGACGTCGTGCAACATTCAGCATACCGCAATCAACGAAGATGCCAGAACGGGACGACAGAGCTGCGTCCACTGCACGTGTCAGCAGCAGCATGCCGCATACGACGATGCTGGACACGGCTACCAGTATGGCGGCGTTGCCCGCACATCTGCCTCATGCGACATCATCATCATCACATGGGCTTCCCATGGCGCCCAGGCAGAAAGGCAAAGAGAGGCAGTCGTGCGAGATGTTCTCGTCGGGAGAGCCATCGTCGCCCGGTTCATTGTACGACGCTTTTGTGGCCGAGGTTCCCAGCAACGAGAGCGAGGTTACGCCTGCAACGGAGCGCAACAGTGGCTCTATCATGCACAAGGAGGAGATGGATAAGATGATGGGCACATTTGCCGTGTCGGATGATCTCTGAGGCCACAGTCATTTTTGCATATGCCGCTCATTCATGATGACAGGATTGGCATGCTACATACTTAGCTGATATGTGTGTAGAGACGTGTTGGATGGAACAGAATCGTTACCTAGGTACCTCCTTATGCAAGAGTAAGGTAGGTAGGTACATGTAAGGTATCTAATCTAGATGGTTCAGGAAAAGACTACAGCACTCATAATACGCACACAGACCAAAGACGGAAGGTGGGAACATGTAGGTAAGCTGGAAGGAAACCTGGAAGAGAGAGATCCGACGGATGTACAGCTGGACGCTCACGCGCTAGCTTTACTGCCCTCCACAACAGCAGGAACGTCGGTCTGAAGCTGCGAGGCAGCCGCGACTGGTTGCTGCTGCTGCAGGAACGGCCGGAAACCAGGATATCCTTCTCTGACGCACTTTTCCAGTTCTTTGAGATATCCTGACATGCCACCAAAAAAGAACCTCAACGTCTTCTTCTTACCAGGTATATTCGTTCCGAATATCCAACTCCCGTCTGCCTCCCAGAAGAGAGTTCCTACGGCGAGCTTGGCGCAGAGCTGTGACCATGCTTGCTCGCCTTCAGGCAAGACTTCGACCAGGCGAGTTCCGGCCTGTTCGGCACGTTCGATCGTGTCCGCGACAAAGTCGACTTGCGCTTCGATGCCTGTAGCGATATGATCAGTATAGGGACGGATGGGCGAACAGCTCTCATGCATGGTCCTTCTTACCAGGAGGCTGATTGGTGAAAGGTCCCTTGGCTCCGTTGACCATGAACAGATTGGGATGGTTCGGAACGAAAATTCCTACGAGTTCGTTCGTCAGTGGACAAGCTGGCGTCATGGCTCGTTGTATGCCTCATGGTCGAGGCTGGGCCTGTGAGACTTCTTACCTAGAGCACTGGTGGGCCCTTCCTTCCACTCGTCCTGTAGAGTGACGCCGTCCCGTCCACGAATTGCCAGTCTCGTGTAATTGCCTTCCACGGAATCGAAGCCCGTCGCCAAGATCAGCATATCCAGTTCGTGGAGCTTTCCGTCTGCAGTCCTCACGCCCTTGGCTTCGATCTCTTGGATGGGCGTCTCTCCCAGGTGCACGATGTCGACATGGTCTCTATTGAACTGCTCAAAGTACTTCTGGCCAGTCTTCGCGTTGCCGTCGCATATCGGCCTCTTGGCGAACATTTCGTACGGCTTCAGTTTCCTGGCTTTCTCGGGGTCTTTCACTATTTGATCAATTTTCCGCCTCATGAAATCGCAGGCGCCTTCATTGGCCTCTCGGTTTGTCGCGATGTCGTTGAATCCGCCAAACATCTGTCGGACACATCAGCAGGTACGCAATCACATACATGGCCGGGTCGTCACTGACAAAATGGAAGCCATTGCCTTTGTCCCACAGCTCTTGGAAAATCTTCTCACGCTCCTCAGGCGAGACGGAGTGATAGGGTCTGGTACTCTCTACGAAGCCGAATCCCGTGTGAGAATTGCGGACCAGATGCCAAATGGCGTCGTAATTATCATTAATCGTTTTGCGCTCCTCGGGTGTCACTTTGACGTCTCCCGATGGAACACTATACTGCGGATGTCGCTGGAAAGATACTAAAGACTTGACCTGACTTGCGATTTCCGTGATCAGCTGGACGCCAGTCGATCCGGATCCTATGACACCGACACGCTTGCCTGCGAAGGAACAGTCCTTGGGCCAGCGGGCAGTGTGATGAAGCTCGCCGGCGAACGAGTGCAGACCGGGGATGTCTGGAAAGTTCTGCTTGGAGAGAATGCCCAGGCAGGTCACGAAATACTTGGCGGTGATCTCACCACTGCTCGTGCTGAGGGACCACGATTGGGAAGCATCATCCCAGCTGGCAGCAGTCAGTTCGGTGTGAAAGCGCATATGTTGCTTCAGATTGTATCGATCGGCGACGTGGTTGAGATAGGCGAGCACTTCGGGCTGCTTCACGTAGCGTTCCGGCCATGGATACTCGGACAGATCTTGTTTGTCCCACGAGTAGCGGTAGACCACACTCTCAGTATCCGACATGGCACCTGGGTAGAGATTCCAGTCTGGCTCAACAGTCAGCATGCATGCAGACATCGATAAGGTGCACTGGAGAGCCAGTGTCGGGCAGAGATGTATTACACCAGGTGCCGCCCACTCCTCCGGCCTGATCAATGACCAGACATGACAGTCCCAGCTTGCGCAGGCGATAGAGTTGGTAGATTCCTCCAAAGCCCGCGCCCACGATGACGGCGTCAAACTTCTCTGGTGCCGCCATGATTGCTACAGGTACGGGAGGATGTGGTGTGGGCGACAATGAGAGGGAGGTTATTGATACAGTGAGTGTTCTTGATGGGGGGGTTTTGGTGGTGGCACACGCATGTCACATGGACGAGGTGGTGGTGGCTTCAAGTACTGTGACATGTCTCGTCCTGTCGGGGTGACAGCCTCGGGCGTAGGCGGGGAGGATAGTGGCACGGAGAGGGGACAGCAGTTGATGGCAGTGGGCGGCAGTGGAGGTTCAGTGGAGGAAGTGCAGGGGAGGAAGGGCATTTAGTGAGGGGCTCCAGCGTGGAGGTGACGGGGTGGAGGATCAGGAGTGCAGGAGTGGAGGGAGCAGTGGAGGTGGGAAGGGGGAAGAAGGGGGACGGATTGGAGGGTTGGAGGTGCGGGAGGGCGGGTAGTGTGGTACACGCTGACCATGCTGACACTGGGCGCTCACATCCATCCAGCTCCCGATACAAGATGGCAAGTGCAAATGCAAGTGCCGCCGTCGCCGTTGCCGTTTGGAGCGGGGGTGGGATGGGTCTTGGGTGGCACCTGCCTGCATTGATTGATTGTTGATGATGGCTGAGGTCGCACACGTCGTCCCTTCTTCTGCCGGTTGCCGGAATCCGGAGAGTGGGATCTCTCCCTCTCTCCTCCGCCGAGTCGCTCTCATTCAGGTTGACATTAACCATAACGGACCATTGCGTGGCCACCACGTGGATATAGCTTTGACGCGTGGCCGCTCTGTGGATATCCATCTTGATGCGCATGGCCATCACGTGAGATCGCGTTCCCTCACGCCCCCCCTGTGAACACCTCAGTCTACAGACCACAAAGCCAGAAATATCTTGCTTGGCAGCCCATTCGTGGGAGTCTGGCCCTCTGTTTCGAAATGTTGGTACAGGTAGTGATGATCGTGTCGATGATACCTAGTCGGTACAGTACCTAAGGTAGTTAGAGTACTGTCTGCGTCTTTCTCCCGTCTCCAATATCAGGTACCTGTGCCTGTCAATACCTACAGGTAGGTAGGTAGGAGGTACCTTGAATACCTTACTTAGTAAGCCCATATTAATTGCAAAAACATTGATTTATTACCAGGTACACCAGATGGTCGTGTACGAGCGCTCTGCGATAGATGTTTCGTCGACGAACAATGCAGCTACAGCGACAAAAGTCCCAATTTTCCGGCAATGTTCGTAGGATCTGTAGGTCAGGTAGGTAGGTAGGTAGTTTTACGTTGGGGCAGGGTAACAGGGAACCGGTTGACTCTTGACAAAAGGCACTACTCGTGTTGTAAAAGACTACCGCCAAGGCGATAGAAGTCTGTAACTCTGTATACAGCGGGGCTACCCGGACAGCTAATTTGTCGTGCACGGAGCGCAAACAATCAGGTACCTCCAACCTCCGACAGGAGTCTCATGTAGGGAGTACTAGGAGGTAGGTACCTTAAGGCTTAAGGTTAGGAGGTAGCCTGTCTGTCTGTATGCACTTTCCAAAGCTAATAAAATCATCTACATAGTGCGCGAGCAATTCCGAGACCGTTCTCTGCTACAGACAGTATCGACACTCGACCGGCCGCTGGAGGTATGATAGTGGTATCAGGTATGGGAATGAAATGACATCCCCGGACTTTCTGTCAAGATCTGAGTAGTATACCGTATACGGCTATCGGACCGTCGGTAGATGAAGCAATAGCGATCGACACGGCTGATTCCGACAGAATGGACGACCGAAAATACGGGACCTTCATGTCATTATTGATATCATCATCTTCATCATCATCATCATCTTCGTCACCTTCATCATCTTCATCTCCATCACCATCATCATCATCATCGTTATCAGCCTCGACATGGTCCAGATGCTGCGCTCGCCATTACCGTAAGTGGCAATCCCGAAAGATGGCTGTGAGTCGTACGCGTGTCACATGCCAGACAATCGGCAGCTTGCGGATATCATGACAGACCGCAGTTCGTATACCACTGTGCCTCCTCCGATCATTCTAATCATAAAACATGACTTCTTGTCCCGCACCACTCCCGTCGAAATGAGAAGTGGTGATTGCCCCTTCGGACGATGCCTTGGAGATTAGTCTCCAGGGGGCCAGGTTCGTCCTCTACGGTATACCATGCCTACGACCAGGAACACGGTCAAGGATGCGTTCGTGGAGGCCTCATCCAGCACCACGGAGCACGGAACACACGTATGATTTGTCGCCAACCATAATAATAATCAAAATCATAGTACTCACGTACTAAGTACTAAGTTGTGGTAGCGCACTGCAGCGATGTGGTCTGCTGTTGACCTGGTAAAGGCTGGTATATGGATGGGGCGGAGTAGATATACACACCTGTTGCACTCCTCCTCTTCCTCCCTCCTCTCCCTTCTGGTTGTCTGCTTTTGGTCGACTTTGCGGTCGGCATCTTCGTACACTCTCGTTAATATCGCTGTCCGCTTTCGGCAAAGATGCCTTCCACTCGCTCACTAACCTTCGTCTTCGTTGCCATTTCAGCCGTCTTTGCGCAGCAACAAACGGAATACGATTACATTGTTTGTGGAGGTGGCACCGCTGGACTGGCAATAGCCAACAGATTGTCCGCAGCGCAAAATACCGTTCTCGTTGTGGAGGCAGGAATCAACGGCACTACTCAGACCTGGCCATACCGGAGCACGCCTCAGGAAGATGTCAATGGCAGAATATTAGATTTGCCAGCCGGCAAGGCGGTCGGCGGCACCACCCAGATCAATGGTAAGTCGATGGCGAGCCATGTCTTGGTCTAGGGAATCATCACTGACCATCAGTCGACTGCAGGAATGGTGTACTCCCGTCCCGACTCCGAGTCCATCGATGATTGGGGAGACGTGAACAACGCGGATTGGTCCTGGGACACCCTCCTCCCCTTCTACAAGTCTTCTGAGGCCCTGCGCTTTCCTGCCAAGGACCTTGCGAGGGCAGGCTATACGCCCGACCCCGAATACCACGGCACCAACGGTCCGCTCAACATCTCGTACCCCGCAGAAGGAACTCCAGCATATTTCGATATTCTCAAGAAATCTGCCGCTGTCTATAACATTGGTGCCAAAAAAGACTTCAATGGTGGCAAAGCCGAGGGACTGTCCACGTATCCAGCGGCCTTCACCATCGCCAACCGACGTGAGCAGACTCGTGAATCTGCGCGTGAGGCCTACTATCTTCCGATTGTCGGCCGCGCGGAGCTCGAGCTGATCGATGAGAGCGAGTGTCTGCGGGTCATCTTTGATGATCCGGCCGACCTGCACGCCCCCTACAATGCCACAGGCGTCGAAATCACGAACGCCAACGCCACCACGACGATAAAGGCCAGGAAAGAGGTGATTTTGTCTGCGGGAGTCTATCGCTCGCCTGGTATTCTGGAGTACTCTGGCATTGGAAACAAAGACATCCTCGCCAAGTACAACATCGAGAGCAAGATTGATCTGCCCGGAGTGGGCGAGAATCTGCAAGATCAGATGCAAGGGAACATTTTTTACCTCCGCGTGAACAACACCAACATCACCTTCCCGGATCCGAGCCAAGGAATCACGACCAATTACCTGATTCACGCCACGTACGAGCAGATTTTTGGCGCCGACGCAGCCGACTACCAGAATCGTACCAGTCGCTCGCTGAACGAGTCCGCCAGCCTGATCTCGCAGAGAATCAATGGCGCTCTCTCTCCCGAACAGATCATGAACTCTCTGCAGGTGCAATACGACATTGTCTTTGACACGCAAGTTCCCGCCGTCGAGATCTTCTCCGGCCAGTCGCTCAACACCACGCACCTTAATCTCGAATTCTGGCCTCTGATTCCATTCAGTCGAGGGAATGTGCATATTTCCGGGGGGAACGCGGACCGTGCGTCCGACGAGCCCACGATCAACGTGAATTGGGGACTGCTGGATTCCGACTGGGAAATGTTCATTGCCTCGGCGCGTTTCGTGAGGAACTTGTTTAAGACTCCCGCGCTCGCCGCCGAAGTCACGACGGAGACGCAACCCACCTTCGACACGGTCCCCATGGATGCGAGTGACGCTGAATGGAAGACCTACTGGCAAGACAACTTCCGTGCTGGCTGGCATGGCGTTGGCACTTCGGCCATGTTGCCTCGGGAATGGGGTGGTGTGGTAGACGGTGATTTGAAGGTGTACGACACGACGAATGTGAGGGTGGTCGACGCTTCGGTCATTCCTTTCCTGATGGGAGGACACCCGACGTCGACGGTGTACGCTTTGGCGGAACGAGCGGCGTCTCTCATTATTGATGGTAAGAAGGGATAGACGGTAATGTTTCTGTCTTAGCAGCCTCGAACAAGGGCAATATTGTAGTTTCTGTAATGTTCATCCTATTGTGTCAGTGCTCTCGTCCATGTGGCATATATCTCCCATTTCTAACTAGTACTGGAGTGTGTGAGGCCCTGTCCGTTGTGTGTGTACGAGACAAGGGAGAGGCAATATCGGTCGTTGCTCGGCCGAGAATGACCGAGCGTCCGTCCACCAGGGATCAATCACCAAAACATGTATCTCACCTCGTCTGACTGTTGACATTCCTGTTGAACACCGAATTCACGTGCGAAACTGTTCATAATGCGAGTCACACACAAGTACCATTCGCGCGTGTGATTTCCGTTGTCTCTCACATATCCCCTCCTCTGCACATACGCACACACACACGCACGACCCGAGAAATCACGGTATCACGTTACTTCAAGCTTCAGATGGACCGCGGAATCATGGAACTTCTTCCCCTGGACGCAAGAATATATGGAACTCTCACTGCTCTTTTCATTGCCGGCTTCGCCTTTATTTTGCTACGAAAAGATCCAGAGCAAGCAGTCGACTTTTCCGTACCGGTGCCCGAGCCCTGTTTGCCCGGTTGGCGCGGAAAGGGGCTCGAGGATCCATCTATCAAGGTGCCGGGCTCGACTGCAATACAATGCTACGCACCGGCTACAGGGCAATATCTGGGTCTCATCAATCCTTCTTCTCCCGATCGAATCGACCGCATTGTGTCTCGAGCAGCCCAGGCACAAACGTCGTGGAGTCAGACCACTTTTGCTCAGCGGCGGCAAGTCTTGAAGACTCTCCTGAAGTTCTTACTGGATAATCAGGAGCCTATCATTCGCGCTGCATGTCTGGATAGTGGCAAAACTCGCGTCGACGCGTTGTTTGGCGAAGTGCTCGTCACTGCGGAAAAGCTCAAATGGACGATTGATCATGGAGAGAAGACGCTCCGGCCAGACCGCCGACCGACGAATTTTCTCATGTTTTACAAGAAGAACGAAATTCGCTACGAGCCTTTGGGTGTGGTTGCGGCTTGCGTCAGCTGGAAGTCAGTATCATCCTACATGTTCATCATCATCATACACCCCTCTCGTGACTGATAGAGTCGACAGTTACCCTTTCCATAACCTGCTTGGCCCGATCATTAGCGCGCTGTTTGCAGGCAACGCGATCGTCGTCAAGGGCAGCGAGCAGACTGCGTGGTCGTCCCGATACTTTATCGACATTGTTCGAGGTGCGCTTGCAGCCTGTGGTCATGATCCCGACGTCGCACACGCCATCTCCTGCTGGCCACAGACTGCCGACTACTTCACCTCGCATCGTGGAATCGCTCACCTCACCTTCATTGGCAGTAGACCTATCGCACACCAAGTCGCGAAGAGCGCATCCAAGACCTTGATTCCGCTGTGCATCGAACTGGGCGGCAAAGACCCCGCAATCATTCTCGATCATCCGGATGGACAGACCATGTCGAGCGGAGAGATTGCCAGAATCGCAAGCATCCTCATGCGTGGAGTCTTTCAGTCCGGAGGACAGAATTGCGTGGGCATCGAACGTATCATCGCCATGCCGGGGGCGTATGCGACACTCGTCACTCTGCTCGAGCCACGTATCCGCGCATTGCGAGTGGGGAGCGACCTCGACACCAATCGCAGCAGCGAAGCAGATCAAAACGAAGCCATCGACGTCGGCGCAACCATTTCGCCCGCATCCTTTGATCGCCTCGAGCAACTCATCACGGAAGCCCGAGCGCAGGGTGCACGACTCCTGGTAGGCGGCCACCGACACCACTGCGAACAATTCCCCCACGGCCATTATTTCTCTCCCACCCTACTCGTGGACGTCACGCCCTCGATGCGCATCGCGCAAGAAGAGCTGTTTGGTCCCGTGTGTGTTTTGATGCGAGCCACAGACGTGACGGATGCGGTCGAGATTGCCAATAGTACCGAATATGGTCTCGGCGCCAGTGTCTTTGGACCGACGTCCTCGTCTGCAGCACGGGGCAATCTCGCATATGCGGCGAATGCGATTCGAGCGGGTATGGTGGCCGTGAATGATTTTGCAGCGTACGTATTTCTCTTTTTCTTTCTCATTCTCTTTCACCCTTCTTGATAGTGATGATGACTCCCCAAATCCACTTCTCCACCGATGTAAAAAGAGAAAAAAAGATACTAACTCTACAAAAAAATTACATCTATATAGCTACTACGTCGTCCAACTCCCCTTTGGCGGCACACGAGGATCCGGCTACGGCAAATTCGCAGGCATCGAAGGCCTCCGCAGTGTCTGCAATGCCAAATCCGTCTGTGTGGACAAATGGCCCTCACTCGTCACGACAGCGATTCCGGCCAATTTGGATTATCCGATGCGGAAAAATGCTTGGCATGTGTCTCGTGGGGTGGTCGAGGTGGGATATGGAGAGAGTTGGGGGAGGAGATGGATGGGGGTGAGGAAGTTGGTGGGGTTTTAAAAAGGGGATAGATGGTGGATGGTGGATGGGGAGGAGGAGGAGGAGGAGGAGGAGGAGGAGGAGGAGGAGGAGGAGGATGGGTTTGTTGTTTTTAATATTCGGGATAAAAAGAAAATAAGATTATAGATTGTTGGAAGTCTAGGTAGGTGGGTGTAGTAGTAGGTACATACAGGTACAGGATTGTTTTTCATTACATGGACCCCAAGTCCAAGTCCCTTTCTTCCTCTTTATCACATGCCAAAACCAACCCAAACTAACAAGAAACAAAAAGAAAGAACGAGGGTGTGAGGGTGAAGGATGAAGGTCAGCTTACATACATACATACATACATACATACATACATACATACATTAGGTAGGTATATGTAAGCTACCTAAGCTAGCTTTCTAGCTTCGACCAGTAGTATGATAAGGTACATAAGGTACAGATAGTCATTTACCTTGCCTAGGTATGTTGCATTGTATCCCCTAGTTATGATCATGTATTTATTCTTCGTTAGTAGTGTATTGCTCCCCCTCCCCCTAATATAAACTGCTTTGCTTTATCGATCGATTGAAAGAGATCAGAGGAGGACAGGATAACACAGGACAGGACAGGACAGGCTTGCGTAGCTGGTAGCTGACATGAATGATTAGTATGCATATGCCAAGGATAAGGTGAGGTATGTAAGTATACGCCGTGCAGCTACATACATACCTGAGCTGACATAGCTTTGCCAGTCGTGGTTACATGTAGCTAGGCAAGCTACCAACTACTTGCAGTAAGTAACTAGGCACTTCAAAACTACCCTACCTTGCCTTACCTACCGCGATTGTAAGTGTGACGTTGATATATGTATATCCACTCGCGCGGTAGCTAGCTAGTATTTCGACAATAAGTATGTCTGTCTGTCTTTTGTATATATCTACCCTCTGCTTGATATATCCAGCCTCCAGGGATTGCAGATGATTTTTCGTCAATGTCGATTATCGATCAGCTGTTCCAATACAGGTAGATATCAAGGGAGCTGCACCCAATCGGTGTAGGTATGGTATGGTAGGAGGTAAGGTAAGGTAGCTGTTGGTTTGGCCTTGGCTTCCCCGCTTGTCTACCTATATTCACTTTACCTACCTAGGTATTATACATGCATCCGAGCCAGCGCATACATACATGTACACGTGCAAGGGGAGCTTCTTCGGTAGTAGTAGAAGTAGTAGAAGAAGGGAGGAGACATATATCTAGTCTCATCTTGCTCTTGAAATTTCTCTCTCTTCTATCAAGACACCGACTATCAACAACCACAATCACAACCAACTTCAACCCAACTCAGACCCAACTTCAACCAACAACCAAGAACTTCATCATCTTCATCATGGGTGGCTGTGACTGCACCTCAAGCTGTGGATGCGCTTCGAGCGAAAGCTGCACCTGCGTAAGTTCTTTTTTTTTTTTCCCTATACCATCAACAGTACCTCTCTAGCTACTCGAGATTCATAATGATGATGATGATGCTAATTACTTTGCCCCTATGCAGAAGAAGTAGACGGCTCGAGATATCTTACTACACAAACTACCAGCAGCTGGTCTGGGGAGATGGAGATGGATGCTGTGATGGAGAGAGGAGAGGAGAGGAAGTGGAGAGGAGGATGAGGAGGAGGTGGTGGTGGTGGTAATGGAGGAGAGGAAGGAGACTGACTACAGTCCGATGCTGGAAAACGCTCGTTTGGAAGTGAAGTGGTTTGCAACGCAAATGAGTTTTGATATTCAACTCTTACATTACTTTTCTGGGACATGTTTCTGTTCTTGTTGTTGATGATGATGATATTCTCCCCGTTGTGCTCATATCCTCATATGTTGGTGTCATGTGCGAAGATTGTCAGATGATGAGGAAAACTGCCTCATTCCCCCACGGATCCACGGGCCGGGACGGGCCGTTGCTGACTCTCCACGACCCCGCGATGATGATAATGACGATGATGTCAGATGGGACATGCCTTGGAATACTCTCGTATTAGCTACATGTACCTACCTCGTGTAATCATTTGATCAGGAGACACACACATCATACACACACATACAGTCAGCATCTACCGACCTACATTACCTACACTCTCAACCAACAAAACAAGAAAAAGAAGAGAAGAACTCAAAGGAACCACGCAACAACAACAAGTACGGGATATTCAAGGGCGAGACTGCACTACCTACCTGTACCTACCTGTACCTACCACAGACCACAGCCCAATCAATCAACCCAAGATGCCTGTGATACCAGGAGACAACGACCAAGGCAAGCAAGCAAAGAAACTTCCTCTCTTCTCAGAGAATATATAACTAACATATTAATGGTGAATGGAAATAGAGATCAAAGAAAAGCTCGCTCAAGGCAAGGTCGAAGCGGAAGCACTGAAGAAGAAGGAAAAGAAGAGTGAGGAGGGTGGTGTAGCTACACTCGAGGATCATCTTGCCAATCCGGGTCCGGTATGACTTACCTACCTTACCTTACCTTGTCTATGGTGTTTTGTTTTTTTTGTTTCTGGGAGCGAGGAATGTACATGTACGTGCTGACATGATGGATACAGGTCATTGCGGAGAACTTGGGTGAACCGGCTTCCAAGGAGGAATTGAAGAAGCGCATGGAAGAGCTGAATCAGAAGAAGTGATTTTGTTTTTTTATTTTTTGTGTGTATGGTGGAGTGATGCGCTAGACTGTAACAATTGAAGCTGTGATTGGAATCACGGAGGAATCTCCTTGCCTGCCCAATCCCAACATTTCCCTCGATCCTCCACCTTCCGACTGTTAATCACCTCGAGTAACTTCTCCGCCGCAAACTCGGGACTGAATAACTTCTCCTCCTTGACCGTCTCCCAAAACTCTCGACTCAATCCCGTCTTGACCGTTCCCGGATGTAAACTGATACTCATCGCATTCTCGCCCGCACTGGGTCGTAAATAATTGTCAAACGACTTGGTCACCTGATTCACTGCTGCTTTGGACGCCCGATAACTATACCATCCACCCAACTTGTTATCCGTAATCGACCCGACTCGCGCAGACATGTTGGCCCAGACGGCCGCGTGCGGGGGTAAGCCGGCGACGCTCGAGAGCTTTGTGGATTTTTTCGGCAGGAATGGGGAAAAGTGTTTGAGAAGGAGCATCGGTCCGAGGGTGTTGGTACGAAACGTCAGAAGCGCATCGTCGTGGTTGATTTGCGAAGGGGATTTCTCGGGAAAGAGGATTCCTGGGATGGCGAGGGAGAGGTGGAGGTAGTTTTCGCTGGGAGGGAGGATTTGGGAGAGTTGTTTGGCGGCTTGTGCGACGATGTTTTCATCTAAGATAGATGTCACTGTTAGAGACTTGGTCGCATAGTGCATTTATCAGGTAGGTAGGTATATATATTGCTTCCAGAAAGAGCTCACTCACCAAGAACATCCAATTTCAGCACGTGTAATCGGTCTTCTTGCACGTCTTTCAACCCCGACAACACCTTCTCTTTCGTTTCGTCAATGTCCTTTCGCGCGGTGGCGATGATGGGAACATCGTGTGGTGTCGTCTGCAGCAATCTCCGCACAAGCTCAAATCCGATGCCTCGTGAGGATGGGCTGACGAGGGCAAAGGGCTTCATTATTGTCGTCGTCGTCGTCGTGGTGTTGTGGGTAGTGTTGCACAAGATACAACCAGATGGATGGTGAGGGAGGTCATGGTGGTGGTACAGGGTGTGCGACACGAACAATGCTGTGAGGCGCACGCATCGTCATTGTCTTCGATATGTCAAAGACTTGGAGATCGGATCGAGATGCAATGGAAGAATGGTGGGTCGGGGCGGGGCGGGGCGGGCGGGGCCGCCGGAAGCAAGATCTTCCACTTCTTCTTCTTCTTCTTCTTCTTCCATCATGAGCCAAGCCTCGCTTGCTCCAGTATCACGTGATATCTGCCCAGGCTCAGGGGATGCTTGTCTTTCCCCGCAGGATCTTGTTTGATCTTGAAGACATGAACTTTGCCCTGACCAGGGAATACCTCCTAATACAAGGTGAACACTTTACACCAGTGACTAGACTGTGATGACTCCCTTTTTCCCTTTTCTCCCGCTTTCATTCACCCGCTGCTCCCACTCCCGTACCTCCACTGCATCCGGCACTTCTGGACATGAATCGGCCAAACTGGTATCCGGATATTGTAGGAGGTAGGAGGTAGCTCGATTCACCAACCAGTCAATAAGCGAGCTAGAGTGGCTTGAACCCAATTGACCAGCCTTGCATCATTGTGCTACACGCATACGAGGCCATCGGTGACACTGGAGGCTTGGCTTGGTAGGAGGTACCGCATCGCATACAGCAGGATGAAGCTGTGGGCCTGGGTGTGGCAACACGACATAGACTGGATTGCGGAGAGACTGGAGAGAGTAGTTCCTACGGAGGTATGTACGGGGAAAACAAGGGCGAGGAGGAGGGAGCGACTTCATTTGGTTACAAAAGTCTGAAAGTCAATGCTACCTCCTACATACTTGATCCCAGCAAAGTGATTTCCGATGCTCTGTTTGTGGAGCAAACGGCATCGTAATCGATGAATAATCACCGTCAGACGGCTCTAGCCTCTGATGAATTGTGATGATTTCCCCGTCGTCGTGCACAATTCGCTTTATTGGACGCCGAGCAAGTGGATGACACGCGGGGACGAGTGTCTCGGTGGCGGCAAGCGAGTGCGAGACTGTGAGTACCTCCCTATGCGAGCCACTTCGACTTCTTCCAAACCGTTCTAGGAGGTAGCTTCAGCCCTTTTTCGGCAAAGCATGTCATTAACGTTTGTTCCTGTGCGGGGATATGAGGTCTCTGCACAGTAATAACTCGCTTTCACAACTGAATATGCCTGAATATGCATGCCTTGCCATGCCATACCACCCTGCCGAACCACGTGTCCTGGTTGCAGGTACAGCGTGGTATCTGGCGGTGATGAGGTAGCAGTTGCGGTAGCGCCAGTAGCTGTTCCAGACGCCTTTCTCTTTTTTCCCTTTTACGACCATAAGGTATCATCTTCCGGCGACTTCCCCTTCTATCCCGTCTGCTCCATGCCCATGGTCGAACCCTCTTCTTTCTGGACATTGAATACTTCTTCGCCTCTTCTCACAGGATCGGGCATTGTTGTGGGCATTGGCTTCTTCTTCTTCTTCTTCTTCTTCATCATCTTCTCCTCGACATGATGCTGCCTCAGGTCGTACTGCTGGCAGCAGCAGTACCGGCTGTATTTGCACAGTTGCAGCCGTTTGCCAATAATACTCAAGAGAATCTCGATTTCGCTCAGAGCCCGCCCAAGTACCCATCGCCAGTCAGTTTACCGAGGAGGAATTTCCAGCAAATGACGCGTGCGGAACGCGTCCATAGCGGGCGACTTTACTAATATATGTTGATCGCAGTGGGGTGAGGGTCTATCGGACTGGAAGGACGCATACGAGAAGGCAGCCGCATTCGTCTCGCAGTTGTCATTGCTCGAGAAGGTCAACCTCACGACTGGAGTCGGATGGGAAGGAGAAAAGTGCGTCGGCAACACTGGATCGATCCCTAGACTCGGCTTCAAATCGCTCTGTCTTCAGGACTCTCCCCTCGGCGTGCGATTCGCAGACTTTGTCAGCGCTTTTCCTTCCGGTCAAACCATCGCAGCCACATGGAGCCGCGACCTGTACTACCGGCGTGGCTATGCCATGGCAAGCGAGCACAAAGGCAAGGGAGTTGATGTGCAGCTGGGCCCAGCCATCGGTCCTCTGGGCAGAAACGCAGCGGGAGGTCGTATCTGGGAAGGCTTCTCGCCAGATCCGTCCTTGTCCGGAATCGCCGTCTATGAGACGGTCAAAGGTATCCAAGATGCCGGCGTGATTGCGTGCACGAAGCACTATATTGCCAACGAGCAGGAGGTGAGTCCGGCAACAACAACAACAACAACAACAACAACAACAACAACAACAACATTTTGAAGACATATTCTTCCTGGTGCTGACGTTCGACCTATTGCGTATAGCACTTTCGCCAAGGAGGTACACCCGCGAATCTGACTGCGTCCCTCAGCTCCAACATCGACGACGTGACGATGCATGAGTTGTACCTGTGGCCCTTTGCGGAGGCTGTCCGTGCCGGAACGGGATCGATCATGTGCTCGTACAATCAAGTCAACAACTCCTATGCCTGCCAGAACAGCTACCTCAACAATTATCTCCTCAAAGGAGAACTCGGCTTCCAGGGCTTCATCGTCTCGGACTGGGGCGCTCAGCATGCGGGTGTGAGCAGTGCCCTGGCCGGCTTAGATATGACCATGCCGGGCGATGTGGCATTCGACAGTGCAACCAGTTATTGGGGTCCCAACTTGACCATCGCGATCCTCAATGGCACTGTCCCACAATGGAGACTGGACGATGCCGCGATTCGAATCGTCGCTGCGTGGTATTACGTGGATCGCCCGGGAAACCAGGTGGAGGATGCTCCCAACTTCTCGTCGTGGACTGCAGACACCTATGGCTTCAAGCATGCGTATGCGCAGCAAGATTACACGCACGTCAATGATCATGTTGATGTTCGAGGGGAGCACGCCGCAGACATTCGCGAGTTCGCAGCGAAAGCCACAGTACTGCTGAAGAACAAGGGCGCCTTGCCACTCACGGGCAAGGAAAAGCTGACTGCTGTCTTTGGCTCCGATGCAGGCGAGAATCAATATGGACCCAATGGCTGTGCCGATCGAGGTTGGTTTCTTTGCTCGGGACGATGTCTATAGTAAGATGAACTAACATGCGCGCTAGGCTGTGACAACGGAACCCTTGCGATGGCATGGGGCTCAGGCACTGCCGAATTCCCCTACCTGGTAACGCCTCTGGAGGCCATCAAGGCGGAAGTGCGTAGCTGCGGAGGCTCTATTGAAAGTGTCATCGATGATTACGCTTACAAGCAAATCGACGCCTTGTCTCGAAGAGTGTCGGACGTCAGCGGCGTCTGCCTGGTATTCGCGAATGCAGACGCTGGAGAAGGCTATATCACCGTCGACGGCAATGAAGGTGACAGGAACAACCTCACTCTGTGGCACAACGGTGACGACCTCATCCGGAATGTCACGAGCTACTGCAACAATACTGTTGTCGTGCTTCACACCGTGGGAGAGGTCACTGTGACTCCCTGGTACGACCACGAAAATGTCACTGCCATCATATGGGCGGGTCTTCCTGGGCAAGAAAGTGGCAACGCCATTACTGATGTCCTCTACGGAAAGGTGAATCCCGGCGGTAAGACTCCTTTTAGCTGGGCGAGACAACCGGAAGATTACGGCACCGAGGTCCTCTTCGACCTCAACAATGGTGTCAATGGACCCCAGGATTCATTTGAAGAGGGCATCTTCATCGACTACCGGGCTCTCGACAAGTACAACCGGACGCCCATTTTCGAATTCGGCTACGGACTCTCCTACACCACCTTCACTTTCTCCAATCTGAACATCCAAAAGCATCAAGTCGCGGCGTACAGTCCGACGACGGGCAATTCTCCCGCAGCGCCCACCTATGGCTCCATGTCGACCAATCCAGACGACTACGTTCGCCCCGCCAATCTTTCGGGCGTTTACGCCTACATCTACCCCTACATCAACTCGACCGACCTCGCCTCCTCCAGCGGCGATCCCGACTTTGGCGTCAACTACACCTGGCCTGCAGGCTCATACGACTCCGCCCCCCAGCCCTACCTCCCCGCAGGTGGCGCTCCTGGCGGCAACCCCCAACTCTGGGACGTACTCTTCACCGTGACCGCCACCGTCACCAACACCGGCTCCGTCGCCGGAGACGAGGTCGCGCAGCTGTACGTGTCTCTCGGCGGTCCCAACGATGCCAAAGTGCAATTGCGAAATTTTGACCGTCTGTCAATTTCGCCGGGACAGTCGGCCACGTTCACCGCGGATATCACGAGAAAGGATTTGAGTAATTGGGATTCTGGGGCGCAGAATTGGGTCATTTCGAATTATACCAAGATGGTATATGTTGGTAATTCCAGTCGGAAATTGCCACTGAGTGGTGTATTGAGCTTGTAGGATTGTTTTTAGGGTAATAAGTAGTAGTACTACTACTGGTTGCTGGTTCCGGAATAGTGACACAGCTCGTTGGGGACTGACTTTCCTCTAGTCGTGAGGAGACTGACGGACTGTTATCAGTATATCTTAACTGCAATTGTAAATACTTTTGAAAAAGCGTATTCAGAAATTCTTGTTTCATAAGATTATTATCATCTTCTACAGACTGAAGACGAGGCATCTAGAGTTGCAATTTCGAAGCAATCGTACTCGCCAACTTTACAAATGCCTGCGCCTGAGGCGAGTCTGGACTCGAAGCCATGGTCGGTTTACCCACATCGGCACTCGAGCAAATGTCTGGATGTAAAGGGACATCACCTAGGAAGGGGATTCCTAATTCTTCGCATTTGTTCTTGGCGCCTATTCGCAATGTCAGAAAGAAGAAATGAAGGAGAGGAAAGGGGAAGATAAAAAAAAGAGGAAGAGAAAAGAGAGAGAGGAGAGAACATACCATCCCGACCAAAAATCTCCGCCACATGTCCACAATTCGCACACACAAACGTACTCATATTCTGCACCAGCCCCAAAATCGGCACTCCCACCTTCTCCAACATGGCCACTCCGCGCACGGCATCCCGCAAAGCCAAATCCTGCGGAGTAGAAACAATCACGGCGCCAGCGAGGGGTACGCTCTGCGTCAATGTCAATTGCACATCTCCCGTGCCCGGAGGTAAATCTATCACGAGCACGTCGAGGGCCGGCCAGGAGACTTCGAAGAGGAGTTGTGTGAGAGCTTTTTGGAGCATGAGACCGCGCCACGCGAGCGGTTGGGCTGCGGGGACGAGGAAGCCCATGGACATGGCGTGGATGCCGTAGGCGGTCAGTGGGATGAGGCGGGAGTTGCCGTCGAGATGGGGTTCGTAGGATTCGAGGTTCAAGAGGGTGGGGAGGCTGGGGCCGTAGATGTCTGTGTCGAGGATGCCGATGTGGAGGGGTCTTTGTTGGACTTGTGTTCCTTGTTGTGATGATTGTTGTCGTGCGAGTGCGAGTGCCAAATTTACTGCTATGGTGCTTTTTCCTACGCCGCCTTTGGCGCTGCTGACGGCTATTACTTTGGCGACGTTGGGAATGGGTCTTTTTTCGGGAAGACCTTGTGGAGGAGGATACGGTTAGTGATGTGTGCAGATGGATTTTCATGGGATTGAAGAAAGAAAAAAAAAATCGTACCTCGTTTCATGCGAGCAGCAAGATTGGGAGGTGTCCCGGATTTGGGAAGTCCCTGTTGGAGTTGTCAAGATGGACAGGTTAGAACGCTGATGATGATGCTGATGGAGGAGAAGGAGGCGGTTCTCCTTACCAGTGGATTTTCATGGCCGGAATTGGCTCGGAGGGTGGTTGAGACGGAGTAGCATCTTGTTGTGATTGTGATGGCCTCGAAGCATTTCTGGCGTAACATGGGCGGTAGCGTGAGGAGTCTCTGTAGAAATGGCGACGGCATTGTTGTTGATCTGTTGTGGTCGGGGATATGCTCGGTAAGTTCGAGGAAGTCTACGCTTTCAGTACTAGAACTTATGCCAAGGCCTTCGGTCCGAAAAGGACCGAGCAATTCACGGTATAACTATTGTTCCGCCCATCCTCCTACCTCCTAACTCCTATATTCAAGGTACCTATGTATTACTACGCCGATGTTTCTGGTGAGTAATGAGGTACATATTCTGCAATAAGTCCAATCTTCAGGAAAGCAGTATAGGAGGCTTCGTCTCTGAAAGCAATCTGTTAACAGTTCATTGTATAGGGGAAAGTCTTGGCAGAGTCGGACTTCAGACATCACGCGACGCAGACCTACAGTCCTACACTTACTCTATCATCAACATACCATCAAAATTATTACCCTTGTCCGACATGGTCTACATTGGTCAATGGTTTGAATGTCTTGCTATACGGAGAGCTGACTTCTGAACAAGTTCTCAGCTGCTGTTGACGCGTCGCGCATATCTCTAGCGAAAACACAAGGAAAGTAAAAGGACACAAAATACCTATTATCACCGCCTGGAACCAATTATTACCATCACCGCCTGAGATCAATACTTATTGTCACCGACTGGAGTTGCCATAAGCCCACCAAAGTCATCTCAAAGATTCCTAGTCCACGAAGAAGCGCTCGGACATTCGATTGTTGCCATTCGCACCCTACCAGACCGAGCCGAAAAAGCTGTGCACTCTTGCCTAGGAGAGAAAAGAAAATCAGCGCGGTACCCTGAATGCGCTGTGGTTTAACATACAGCTTCGCCGTCTTCCGCGGCAACGATCTACTGGGCGGGGGCGGGGGCAATGCCGCAGGATTCGCATCCACAAGAGCCTGGTAACTCGCTCCCATACGCCGGGCATACACCCCGACGTCGAGGCCTCTCTTCTGTGCGATGATCTCTCCATTGATAATGCATCGGTCGCAGAGAGCTCGTGGAACATCATACGAATCCCACACTACGCTTTTGCATGGTTGCTTGTCCGCACGATTGCATTTATGCATTACTGCTGCGGCCAGGGCTGTGCCATGTGCCTGGTATGGTCAACTTCTGCATCGAAAGTCTTATGTGGGGTTTACTTACAGCGTGGCCACAGGTAGGATGTCGTGGGGCTCTGCGGCTGCACATTCTGAAAGACCTGATCTTGATCGGTGTGTATTCTGAATTCGTTAATGGTTTTGCTGACCCAGGACTAGCTTGACAACTCACGAAAGTCCTGGCGTGCCAGTCATGCTAAATACCAGATCCACTTGATCATCTTCACTTGATCTGCGCTGCCAACGACGTCACATTCAATGGGATTTGACACCTGCACATCCGACGCTTTGGTCTTGCAGCAGCAGTGTCTGCGACTTCCACGTGGTGAAGCGAACGACTGCCCCGCGAGGCAGACGTATCCTCACCACGAAGGTGAAGCAGAGAAGGGCACATATATCCACTTCCACGTGGCAAAGCGACCGATCGTGGCAGAACACGGCGGATGAACCTGGGGAGTAAAGATCGAATGTGTCTGCGCAATGCGGTTGGCGGTGTCCATGTGCTATATTAGCCAGGAAAGCAATCACCCATACCACCCATCAATGACGCCTGTGACGTATGAACCACCTTGACCATGTCTGTCGCGCACTGTTGGATGTATGCCGGTCTAGACGCTTTCTTCACATTGTGCGAAATCTAGCGACAGAGGTGTAACAACAGGGCAAGATCTACCAAGTAGAGCGGCCAGACTTCTCGAGGACCCCTCGCTGCAGAGAATTATCATAATTATTCTTTCTTTCTTAACCCCTCCACTCACGTCATGTCAACGACGGGAATCTCGTTGGTGTCACGCTCGAGTGGTTGCACAACCGAGATCCCCCTCGTGGCGTGTATGTGTGCGCGTGTACACACATACGTAGGAGAGAGAGAGATATACACAATCCCCATCGCCAACTCCCCCCTCCCCGAAAATTACTCTCTTTCCCAGTCAATGAATAGGTGGTTACACAACTGTGGCCGTGGCTTTTTTTTGTGAGGTCCAGACCCCCGCCACTACTATACTACTACTTCATGGACCAGTGAAATGATGTGCTTTTTCCGAACAACCGACTCTCATTATCAAATGTCAGGCAGGACAAGCTCGTTTGACATTATTACTCAAATTCAACTATTTGACCTTGCGGGCCCGCACACACTAGATCGTGTGCTCACGGTATGTTATACTAAAAGTGCGCCTTGTGTGTGTGTGGGGGGGGGGGGGGGCACTCACCACTTCCGTCATTTTGACAAATATTGACTGGCACAAGTGAATTGCATCTAGTCCATGGACGACTAGTTTACATGTATTTTTGAACTGAATTGAAAAAAGAAAAAAGACAAGTCACAAGGCAGAATCAGATTGACATATCTCTTGGCTGATGGAAGGGAAATTGCTTGGCGCCAAGCATATCTCGGAAGGATCCGCGTCCGCGATGTCAGCGCCATACACCGCGATGTGCCTAATTGCCTATGCAAAAACCACCGCACTGAAGAAACGGGGATGAAAATACTGCAGAAAATGCAAGGTGCCAATTGGCCTCGAACATGTGTATTCAAGCAGTTGGATGAGGCGCTCAAAAAGGGACACTGCGCTTCTGATGCGTTGCATTGCTGGTAAGCAAGGCGGGCTCAAAACAAGGCATGTTCGAAGTCGGATGTCAGATCGAATTCTTCATGTAGCTTGGTGGGCTCCGGCCATTGGGGAGCAATGACAATAAAACAAAGGGGGTCACAGAGCCTTCTGGGCCGGAAAGATAGACTTCCCTGGAGCTAACGTCGAAAGAACAAGAGTTCGACGAACGCGCCATAAGCGTGGCGAAGAGTGGCACATGCTGTTGTGTAGACACTGGTGCTCTTGGCCCTCAGCACACCAGGAGGTGACCGTGTGGTCCGCCGGGACTGGCGAAGATACAGTCAGGTCCAAACGGTAGGATTGGGACTATGGCTCGCTGTTGGAGAGTCATCGAAAATTCTGGTTGTTTTGTTGAAATTCGGACTGCTTGCACTGACCTGGTAGCAAACAAGGACGAGAGAATTATAAGACCGCAGTCCAGAGATGAAATCACAACGAGTCAATCATGCCCAACAAGCTTGGAGACATGGCAGACACCCGATCTGCGAACGAGAAGCCCTTGCACCCGCCACCAGTCAAGCCGATGATCATTGGCGTCTTCGGTGTCACAGGTAGCGGCAAAACAACACTTATGCACAATTTAGAGGCAAGTATGAACCTATCGAAGATCGCGTTCTTTGAAGGCTCCGAGGTCGTTGCCCGGCACGCAGGCGGTCTCCAGACGTTCAAGAGCAGCAACGAGGGTGAAAAGCTTGCGATACGTGAAGCCGCCATCATCTCCATCCAGCAAGACTGCATTGACACCAAGAGACTCGGAATCGTCACTGGACACTTCAGTTTCTGGCGGGAGGAGGCAGACGCTGACCTTGAAGAAGTCATTACTAATGCTGATTTGAATGTTTACACGCACGTTCTGTATCTTGACCCTCCAGCGGACGTTATCGAGAAACGCGTCGAAAACGACACTAATCGCCCTGAGCGCAGGAGGTTGTCAGCAGCTCAGATTCGTCGCTGGCAGGATTCCGAGAAGAAAAAGTTGCGAAAGCTCTGTTACAAGAATGGGATTGTGTTCTCGCTCATACAGGAAACCTGTGCGGCGTCGTATCTCGTCAAAAGGTTCTATGTGCACAATGAGGAGTACGATAAAATAATGGCCATCGGACGTGTGATTGAAGCGATGAGCAGTCTTGTTGGTCTCAAGCGAACCAAGCCAGATGCTATGCTCGTCATCGACGGCGACAAGACTCTGGCCGCGGAAGATACTGGCGAGCTTTTCTGGAAGCAAGCTATGAGCGACCAGCCAGATCCTCTACAAGCTCTATTCCGGACAGCAGGGTACTCTCACACCTCTTTCCATCAAGCTATTTTGCTGTACCGCGATGTGGGTGACGAAGAATACTTCGATGCTATATGCAGCACCGTGGCGTCTCAGGTGACAGTGCGTCCCGAGTTCATCAACCTGCTTCAGATGGTCGCCAAGGCACCGCATATCGGCGCGATCGTCGTGACCTGCGGACTGCGGCTAATTTGGCAGAAAGTGCTCACGAACCTAGGGCTATCTGAAATAGTCAGAGTCGTCGGTAGTGGGCCAGAGTTGTCCGACTGTATCGTGACGCCCAGGATCAAGGCCGATGTCGTGAAGCACTTGCAGGAATCTCACAACATGTACGTTTGGGTATTCGGTGACAGTCCCCTTGACCTGCCTATGCTCAAGCAAGCCGATCAGGCTCTGGTGGTCGTGGGAGAGCAACAAAAGCGAAGCAAAAGCATGGAGGTCGAGCTCAAGCATGCCATCGATGACGGTGATCTGCGTGCTCGTCAGATACTCTTTCCTGGCAACGCCTCTCCATTGCTGGATACCTCCAAGCTACCAATCGTCCAGCTGGTGGACCTGGGCTTCATGCAAGCTCTGAAATGCGGCATTCAAACCAAAGATGCCACTACGCGCACCGCGGCCAAACTATTAATGACGCCGACTCGAGATGCGACAGTGAGCGGTCCCGCCCTGCGCAAAGCCCATCGAAAGGTCGGATGGTACCTCGCCACAGAGTTTCTATCCGACCTACTCGGCGTCCAAGAGATCCAGATCCGCCACGTCCAAGGCGGGTCCACCAACGGCTATTGCCTCGTCGACGAGAGTAGCACAACCATCATCGCAGTCATGCGCGGCGGTGAACCCATGGCATTCGGCGTCAGCGATGCCTTCCCACAATCTGCCTTCCTGCACGCCCACAAGCCCGAGGATATTGAGCTTCAGCAGCTGAAGCGGCAGTCTACCGTAATCCTGGTCGATTCCGTGGTGAACAATGGCGAGACCATGGCCGACTTTGTGCAACACCTTCGCAAATTGAGGCCGACCATTCGTATCGTAGTCGTTACTGGGGTTGTGCAGGCTGATGGGCTGCGTCCGGGAGCATTGCTGGAATGGGCCTTGGTTGGATATAGCAGTATCGATCTGGTTACACTGCGGATTAGTCAGAACAAGTATACTGGGCGAGGAGGAACAGATACCGGGGCGCGGTTATTCAATACGACTCGCTTGGAAGAATGAACGGGTCCCCACGTCCCTTGGCTAGTGAGTCCAAGGGCGGGTATGCCAGTGTCGTATAGGACAGAAGCTTGTGCAGTTTGGGGAAATGGTCACTACCTGTATGGAGGACGTTCTCGATATTTCACGTCGTGTGCTGGTGCTGGGTGCATAAGTCAGGCAGGTAGCTGCGGGTAGGCCCGGGGCGTTGCAGTAACCGGCAACCGGGATAGAACTGGCTTCATAGGTACGGAGGTAATAAGCCATCACTTATGACAGCCAGGTTCAGAGATCCCTACTTATCGGGATGCTGCCCCACGTGTGTAGAGAGCGTGCCAAGGGGGATAAAGACAGAGGTAAGGTACCTTAGCTGTAAAGAGTAAGTGTAAGCCTGTAAGGGTCTTTTGCGTACCTGGTATTGACCACTCTAGAATCTAAATCAGAAACTGCCAAAGGTACCTAATCTACAACACCTTGCCCTTTAGGCAATAAAGTAAAGTCAAGGAACAATGCGCGGCACGCAGGCTATTTGTTGATCAATCATCTTCGCCATGGATCTCTCGTGGACCGTGTTCGATACATGATAGTGTACCTTACCTAGGTACCTGATGTACCTATTCACCATCTCGCCAGCAAAGCATTACCTACATGTACCTACATGTACCTACTGACCGTATCAGCGTATCTCGTGTTGCTGACAGAGCAATCATCCGCTGCGCCCTGTCACCTCACCCTTCCCGGGCCGTACCTTAGTGTCTTTCTTCACAAACATGTGTACATATTCAGGTGTGTGCCGCAGGCGGCGTAGGCTGCAGTAATACGTAGCGTAAAAGACAGGGGCTTTGACTAAATCGGTGTACACTTCGATAAGGTACAGGTATTCATGCATATCGATACAAGTGCATTGTAGCATGTCTGGCTCCATAGCCCTTGACATAGGTACGGACATTCTCCCTCTCTCCCTCTTCTTCTTCTCTTATCCGCAGGGGCAGCCATGAAATACACGACAGCTCGCACAGGACCCGGACTTGTGGTCTGGACCCACCGTGCAACAATGGCGGTTGGTACCACCACAATCCCACCCGTTGACGAAGTGTCCTCGTTCGTCATAGTAAACCTGTAACAAGACGTGTTAGTTCGTAGACTTCCCACTCGGATTTTGCATGATATACCAGCCAGCCAAGGTAATCGCAGTAGTATCTGGAAACCTTTAATTAGTAGGTAGCGTACATTTTCAGACGTAAGGACTTTTTACCCAATTTTGAGCTCTTCTTTTGGTGGTGCCTTTCCGTTGGCCAGTGCATTTCGCTGTTCAAGTGGATGTTGTGCTTGCACACCAGATAATTCTGCTCCTAAGCAAAGCAGGAAGAAGAGTCCGTACACGCCTCGATGCATCGTTGGAGAATTGTAGTGTACGACTGCGGTGCTAGGCCCCGAGTGTTGAGAAGTGTAGGAGGTTCTTCTTGAGAGTATGTTCGACGATGCAATACCTCGAGGTGCTGGAGATTCTTATACTCGAGACTGGCTGGATAATCTGCCCTGATAGGAACGCGAACGAATACGGACGAGAGCGGTGCGATGTTGCACCCCGCATACTTAGCTATGATCCATGAGATAGATGTGTGGTATACGAGAGAGGTGTCTACACAGCCCGACAGGTCATGTTACAGGTGTGTCCTGCAGACCTGCGAAACGAGAACAAGTCAGAACTATCCGTAGGTAGTGCTCGGAATAAGAATTCCAGCCTGTTCTTTGGTACCAGGTACCTCACCTTTAGGCAAAGGACGCGAGGCCTATGCACACATCCTTCACTTTGCACATTTGCATGTACGATATATCCCTCCCTCTGCACACCTCATTGTACCGACTTCCGAGCATGTTTCAAAATTCAGGCTTTCAGGCTTTCAGCGTGGCATTTCGGCACTTGAAGCTCACTTTTAAGTTCTAGGTATGGCAAGGGGGGGGGGGGAGGGGGTGGTCTATTATCACTAGTTTTTATCGGAAAACGGGAACCACACGGGGATCACGGGCATTTCCGTTGAACGCCCTGTAGTCACGTGACTAACGTCACCACGAACTTCCAAAGTTCCAAGTTGGGATTTGGGATCATTCATCGCAGGATCAGTAGTGTCGCCACATGCGACTCTACCTACTACCATGAGCCCCGCCCACCACAAGGAACATACATGCACTCCACTTCATTCAGTGCGTGGTCACCGGTCTCGCTGACAATCCCAGATACGTTCATAGCCACTACCTAGACGAGCACGTCACATGCCACCACGCCGCTTCAAGTTCCATTGCCTTCTCCGCCACCCATCCTCCCCTCGGCTTCCATCCTTCTACGCTCCTTTTGCTGCTTCTCGTATACCCCATCTCCTACGTGATCGCCTTCACACACTACTGCCCTGATCAACTGACTGCTATAGCGACGCTACCACGCAGTTGACTGAATATGGCCGCCGCAGAGTACTTTGGAACCCAGTCCCATCCTCCGGGTCCGCAGCCGGGCCCGTCATCTTACAACGGCAACTCGAACGCCCACAATCCTCCATATCCACTGTCAGATGCGCCGCCTCCATACAGCGCGTTCGGTGACCCAAGGCGTCATTCTCAACCGCCACCACTCGATCGCCCGGTAGCCCTACCTGACAGCGCCATTTATCGCCCTGCGCCGGCGCCAGTAAATAATGGATACCCTCCCGAAAAGAGCTCGAGACCACAGAATCAGATGGGTGATTACAACCGACACCAGCCCCAACAACAGCAATACGGAGGCTATCAGCAGCCGCAACAGCCCAATTACCCTCAGCAGCAGCAGCAGCCTCATCTAGGCAGCTATTACCCACCCCAAGATGGCTCCGCATACTATAGAGACGATCAAAAGCCTCCCACAACGCCTTCGTACAACCCTTCACACTCGCCATATCGTGAAAGCAAACGCGACCGCAGTCGCAGCAGGAGTCGAAGTAGAGGAGACAGGTATAGACAACACCATCATCACCACCACCACCATAACGACAGACCACAGCTGCCGAAGAAGAAGTCATCAGGAGCATCCACATTTCTCGGAGCAGGTAAGTCATGTTAAATGCTCTCAATCAACAGCGCATCCCAACAATGCTCTCAAATTGACGTGTCGCAAAAGGCGGTGGCGCGATAATCGGCGACGCGATTTTCCCTGGTCTAGGCACCCTGGGAGGCGCCCTGTTAGGCGGTATAGGAGGCCACGAGTATGGCAAGAAGAAAAGAGCATCGAGCAATCCCACAAGCGGTGGCGGAAGAAGACATCGGTCCTATAGTAATGATGACTTTGATTATGGATCTCATGAATATCGGAGAGATGATGATTATCATAATAATCGACGGGGAAGGAAGTAAATGATAGTGGAGACGGTAAGTCACGCTTTACGACAGACAAGATACAGCAACAACAGCGACAACATCAAAGCAACGCTGGTCGTTGAGGGGAGGCTTCGGGATTAATATTACTAGCGAATACCCAGAGGGAGGAAATCTGCAATTTTAGGGGGTTTCTTTCAAAGAGAGTTCTTTTAGTCTTTAAGTTCCGATAGCAGCTACAATCCTTGGAAGTGAAGTCCAGTATCCGAGGGTCACACACGCGTCTCTAGGACTCTATGTTATGGGTAGATGTCTACAGAGCTGCTATATAGGTATGTAGGTAGACTGATTTCTACGTATTGAATATTCCATTCAATTTCTACTGTTCACAGTCGTCCAATACACGTATTACCCTATACCGTCTGACTACAGTCAAGAGTCCGAACTTTTCTGCCTGCCTGTATCGATGAATAAGTAGCTCGAAAGCTTACCCGAGGCAGGTTGCAGTAAAATACGATACGGAACAACATATTAAACGACGCAGCATACCTTATTATCTCGTACAAACTTCAGCGCGAATCTATACGTCGAGTGAACTGTATGCCGACCTGCTGCAGGTTGGCGGAACGCCTATTGAAAAGGCCCCTAAGTTGAAGAAAATGGACATGGTGATAAAAAAGAGCGGCGTTGGCTTCGAGGCGAGGGCGGGAAGAGCAGCCTTGGCGTTACTTCCAAAAAGTTTCGAGACTTCAACTTTTTCGACGCCGCATCTCTCCTCCCCTCTCACTCACCATCACTCGCCACCACTTGACTTCTTCCTCCTCCTTCGCCTTTTCGCAGCAGCTGCCGGCATGGGATCGGGTAAAAAGGAAGCCGCCCGCAAGGTGCGGCAGGGCAAAACGGGCGATGGCATGGGCAACGTCAAGACGAAGGGCGAGAACTTCTACCGAAGCGCGAAAAAAGTCAAGACGCTCAACATGTTCAAGGAGGGCAGAGCCACGCGCAATGCCAAGGGAGAAATCACACAAACCGCATCATTTCAGAGCTGGGACAAGCCAAGCGCGCGCGTCGAGCCGAACAGAAAATGGTTTACAAACACTCGGGTCATCTCGCAAGACGCCCTTGACAAGTTCCGCGGGGCTGTGGAGGCGCAGAGCAAAGACCCATATAGCTATCTTCTCAAGCAGAACAAGCTTCCTATGAGCCTGATCACCGACAACAAAGACAAGGAGCGGAAAGACGGCCTGATACAGCACAAGGCCAAGATCCGGATTGAGAGCGAAAAGTTTGGAGACACATTTGGACCCAAAGCGCAACGGAAACGACCGCGACTGGCAGTGTCGAATATTGAGGATCTCGCCAATGCTTCCGGCAAGGATTACAGCACATATGAGGAACGGTTGGAGGAGGCGCGATTACTGTCTGGCGCAGGCGACATCCAGCCAGACACAGGCTTCACTGGCGACGAGGACTACAAGAATGGCGAACTTACCACGGCACGAGAGCCCGTCTTCTCAAAAGGGCAAAGCAAACGAATATGGAATGAATTGTACAAAGTCATTGACAGCTCCGACGTGATCATACATGTCATCGACTGTCGAGATCCCGAAGGAACGCGGTGTCGTAGCGTGGAGAAGTACATGCGGGAAGAGGCACCTCACAAGCACCTGGTGTTTTTGCTGAACAAGTGCGATCTAGTGCCAACGAGCGTTGCGGTATGTGTTACACCTTTCTCTTGTCATCGCTTTGCCACCTATCTACCCGCCATTGCTCAAGTCAAGGTCTGCATCCGCCACACCCGGCAATCTTATGAAGCAGACCTGTTACAGCGATGGCAGATCGAACCCCAGCTCCACCCGATCCTCTGTCGTTTTGGCATGATCATCTCGGAGTATTTGTGTCTTGTTTGAGTAGCGATCCGGATAGCTTCATGCTTCACACCCGTGATGGACAGCTTAGTAACGGGATATACATTTATGATTCTTCATTGTGTTCGCACACGTCTGGAGTAACCTGTCAGCATATGTATTGACATTATTTTCCAGGCAAAATGGGTCAAGATTCTCTCTCGAGAATACCCTACTCTTGCCTTCCATGCCAGCATGACCAACTCATTCGGCAAAGGCTCCCTCATCTCCCTTCTCCGCCAGTTCTCGTCTCTCCACAGCTCGAGAAAACAGATATCAGTCGGTTTCATCGGTTACCCCAATACAGGAAAATCTTCCATCATCAACACACTCCGCAAGAAGAAAGTATGCACAACAGCACCCATACCCGGAGAGACAAAGGTATGGCAATACATCACTTTGATGAAACGCATCTACCTCATCGACTGTCCTGGCATCGTTCCACCAAGTATCACAGACACGCCCGAAGACATCCTCCTTCGAGGTGTGGTCAGAGTGGAGAATGTGGAGAATCCAGCACAATATATGCCTGCTGTCCTTGCAAAATGCAAACGCCATCACCTCGAACGGACATACCAAATCAGTAAATGGAACGATGATGATGGACTGAAACCATTCGAAGACAAAGATGAAAAGGAACGCTTGACGGAATCAATCAATTTCTTGGAAATGTTAGCCAGGAAAGGCGGGCGACTGCTCAAAGGTGGTGAGGCGGACATGGATGGTGTGGCGAAAATGGTATTGAACGATTTCTTGAGGGGGAAGATTCCTTGGTTTTCTGCTCCGCCTAAGCAGGCAGGAGAGGAACTGTTGGAATCCACCAAAGAAGGGAGTAGAGATGAAAAGTTAGGGCTGACGCACAAGAGAAAGAGGGACCTGCAGGACGACGGCTCGGTCGCAACCAGTGCTGCTGAGGGAAAAGAAGAAGAAGAAGAGGAAGAAGAAGGCGAGGACGACGATGATGTCGACGATACCTTCACGGGCTTCGACGAAGACGGGGAGGAAGATGAAAGTGGTATACCCATTGCTTCTGGCCAAGGTGATAGCGCAGACGATGACAGTGCAGAGGAGGAAGATGAAGCAGATGCTTCCCCGTGACGATCATGATACCCCCCCCAAATAATGCGAACTGTCCAACGGCCTTATTCTGTCTGGTTGACGGGTTTCAAACTACAAAATCTCTCCCTTGTCGTTTCTTGATTTTCTCCCATCAATTCCCACTTCATGGTGGTGTTTTATGTTCTTATTATTAATATTCTCATCGGTTCATCCGTGCCGCCCAGCCATTCATACTTCTCCTGACCCCCAAAGTCTTCTGTCGCCGCGGTTGCACCTCTTGTTGCATAGACGTGGAATGAAACGTGCTCGCTGGACGGAATCCCGATGCATTAACAGCAACAGAATTATTATCATTATCTGTCGCGCTTTTTTCGTCCTGTGGCAGAGACTCTTCTTCTTTTTCACCTTCTTCTTCAAGAGGCTTTGCAGGCGAACTAGATAGGAACAAGTATTTCTTCTGCCCCTGACGATTATGGTCGTCGTCGTCGTCATCGTCATCATGATTTTCGCGGTCCTCTGGTGTACATATCCCAACTGCTCTGGATCGCAGTGATGATGTTGGGTAGGAAGGTCTGGTGTACATGGGAGTGGAAAGTGGTCGGTGGGTGGAAAGACCGTGGCTTTGTCGAGCAGTTAGGAAGCTCACTGCAGAAGAAGAAGATGATGATGAAAAAGACGACGAGGCAGTGTTGCTGCTGCTGGTAGTCCCGCGACATTCTGCCAGATTGGAGAGTTCGCGCAAAGGCTGAGATCTACCATTTTTCGACTCGCTCGACTTTTGCCTCTTGAGTCCTCCGTTTTGTTGGAAGAAACTTGAGATATTGCCCTGACCTTCAATCTGTCGTTTACGTCCTTTTGGTGCTGTCTCGCTTGGATTCTGTTGTTTCTTTTGCTCCTGGTTTTCGATTCGCTTGTCGAGTTTGCGCATTTGAGCTGCTTCCATCAACTCCTCGTACCGATCAGATACGCTGACAAAGCCGGGCTGCACTGGCATGGTTGCTGAGTCAGTAGAGAAGCCTTGCTGGACCGACGTAACGGTGTGCATTCGTGCACTGGTAAAGCCTGCTGTAGAAGAAGTCCCTAGTTTCGTTGCCTTGGCGAGTTCCTCGAAAGGTTCATCGCCATTGAGTGGCCAGTAGTTGTCTTCGTCGCGCTCTAACGTTTTCCTTGCTGCATTTAGCGTCGCTTCGCTGGGACAGGCCTTTGCGAGTGTTGTCGACAAGCTTATCAAGTCTGATGCTGGCAGACTTGGGCCGTGCTCTTCGAAGAAACCACTCACTCCAGAGTGCGTTAAGAAAGGGGACATGGTGGTCGTTTCTCTTTGAGTGTTCTTGATTGGACAGCTCAAGTACAGCAGAGCCTGTGCCCGCGTCATGCCAACATACAGCAGTCGCCGCTCCTCGTCGTTGTCGTCAGCACGAGAGTGTGGGATCGAGCCGTTATAGCACGCAGGGATGAATACTACAGGCCACTCCAGACCCTTCGCGGCGTGAATGGTCGATATCGTGATTTGCTGAGCTTTCTCGCCTTCATCATCGGCTTTCTTCTCTGCAGAAGCAGTCAAGGCAATGTTGGCAAGAAAAATGGAGAGAATGTCCTGGTCTGTAGCCTGTCGCTGTTCTATGTCATCAAGCACGGGCAGGCTGTCAAGTTCAACGAGCTGTGCGAGTGTCTCTGGTCTGGACATCTCTGCGGCTTGTGCCATTAGCTCTTCAACATTCGTCCAGCGCGCTTCAAAGCTGTCTTCGGCCGAAAACTTCTCCCTCAGGTATGACTGCAGTTTGATTTTGTGGGAGATCAGCGTAATCAGATCGACAACAGATGGTGTCTCAGCCGCCTCCCCGGCCCACGAGTCCACCTTCTTCTGGCCACACAATATGACATCAACGAATGAAGTTAGGCCCTTCACCGTCTTGTCCATGAGCTTCGTATCTGACTTACGTCGTCCTTGTGCTACTGCCAAGACCAGGGCCCACAAGGACAACCCTTTCACCTGCGCTTCTTGCCTGAGTTTCTGGATCGTGGTGTCTCCAATATGTCTCGAGGGTACATTGAGAACCCGTTCTAACGCTTCGCTGTTGTCGGGTTGATGTATCACGCGGAGATAGTCTACGATGAGCTTCACTTCCATACGATCGTAGAATCGCAGTCCGCCAACCATGCGATAAGCCAGTCCCGCGCTACCTAAAGCTGACTCAATGGCCCGTGAGAGTGCCGCAGAACGGAGTAATATTGCGTAGTCACTCAAGTCCACCATATTTCCAGCGAGGCAGCGGGTACGCCTGATCTCCGACACAAGCCACTCTGCCTCTGCATAAGCCGAGGACAGCTTTCGTAGCACTGGTCGAAGGCCAAAGGTATGTGTGGCCTGCAGCTTCTTCGGCGGTCGACTCTCATCTTGCTCTATGATGTTCTGAGCAGCGTGCAAAATGGCGCCGGATGATCTGTAGTTCTGTTCGAGGTTGATGGTAAGCGTATCTGGCCATTGCTGCCTCATTCGAATCAGATTCTTCGCCTCGGCGGCTCGAAAGCCATAGATGCTCTGATCAGGATCGCCCACAATCGTGATGACGTTGTGCTTTTGTGCAAAGAGTGTCATCAGATCGTATTGGATGTTGTTCGTGTCTTGGAACTCATCAATCAGGACCGCCTGCACGTTGGCAACGCATTGCGGGTGGCTTTTCAGCAAGAAGGAGCATCGCAGCAGAATATCATCGTAGTCGAGTAAGTTGAGACGGGCCAGCTCGGCCTCGTACTCTTCGAATAGTCTTGTGAATTCTTGCTGGTCCACACTCTTCGGCGCCTTCTCTGCCGCCCCTTTGACCTTTCGAGCCGAGATCCGGCCAAGAGCGGGCCCCGGTTCGATGGATATCTTCAAATTCTTGATGAGTCGCTTCAAGATGGCCTTGGTATCAGACGTGTCGGCAATGCCAAAGTCCTTGGACAGGCCAATGTGCTCTCCGTATGCCCGGAGATATCTCAACGCCACCGAATGAAAAGTGCCCAATTTGAGGTGTCTCGACAGCTGGCCTCCCACGAAGCTTGTGATTCTCTCCTTCATCTCGCTCGCCGCCTTCACGGTGAAGGTGCAGACGATGATGTTCCATGGCTCCAGCCGTCGATGCGCGATGAAGTGCGCGACGCGTGCGGTCAGTGTTTTCGTCTTGCCAGATCCCGGAGGCGCCAGAACCTGCAGGACCGCCGACTCGGAGGCGACGGCATTTCTCTGCGCAGGATTGAGGCCTCTCAGGATATCGTCCATGACCATGCGCGATGCATTTGAGCGTGATATCAAATTTGCTGTTTGTTTCGCGAGGCAACACGCGCGCGTGGGTAAGCGGTCACGAGCTCACCGCGCAATCACGTGCGATAAGGCCACGATAGCAGCCGGGACAACCAGAATCAAGTTAGCGTGTACATCCGGTCTGAACACGTTTAGACGACATCCAACTCCAACGTCGTAGCAAGACTCCATCATTTCCAAAACATACAACCACTTGACCGCCAAGATGAAATTCGCTTCGACACTCGCTACCCTCACTGTGCTGGCCGCCGGCGTGACAGCCTTGGACAAGCCCCTGGACATCAAAAAGACGCACACCGTCGAATGCACGACGAAGACGAAAGTCGGTAAGTGCTGCATGATCACATCTCGCGAAGCCTCTCCGGAAGTGGCACTGACGATATATCCAGGCGACAAAGTCGAGATGCACTACCGCGGCACGCTCGAGAAAGACGGCTCTGAGTTCGACGCATCCTACAACCGCGGCACCCCACTTCCTTTCACGCTGGGCAAGGGACAGGTCATCAAGGGTTGGGATGAAGGACTACTGGATATGTGCGTTGGCGATAAGAGGACGCTGACAATTCAGCCGGTGTATGGTTATGGAGACAACGCTATGGGCCCAATTCCTGCCAAATCTGTATTGATCTTCGAGACGGAGTTGGTGTCGAGTAAGTTCCCCCCCCCCCCCCCGACTTCTTGTTGATATTGCAATACTAACTTTTCGTGTGTAGTCAACGGCAAAGGAGCAGAAACCGCCAACGCAGAGCTTTAAGCGTAATTCGAATCTAATGCGCGTGACTTGTACGATTAGTAGTGAAAACGAATCGAAGCACGCACCGAGAGCCAGTCCTGCAAACTCATTCGTTCGTACTACGACAGTCTGTTGCCTGCCCTTGCCTTGCTTTCATATCTTCAGACAGATTGGAACATGCACTTGGCAACATGAGCTCGCCTCAATGCCTAGAGCCAATATGCTTCTCTTGCGAATGGTATAGGAACTCGGGTTTCGCACGGCTCTTCGCGGTCTACTATGAACTAATCTGAGAAGGTCAACGTGGATGCATTTCCGAATCACCACCATATGTCCATGTAAAGAAGATTGTCACCTTCTTGACACGAGTAGATCTGCTCAACCGAGTGCTGGTTGTCGCCAGGAGGTATGATCATTCCCAAGATCGCGCCAAACCCCTGTCATGTGAACAACTCGTACCGTTTCGTGCCACTGCTCTTATCATCAACAACCTCGTCCTCTTCCACGTCCTCGTCCTCCGTCGTGGAAATGTCGCGTGGACAAGCTTCACTTTTGAAAAGCAAAAAAGAACTATACCCAAAGCATACCTACCTTACCTACGAGCCACCATTCAGGACGACATCAAAGTCCTCCACCCCAACCAACTCATAGCTTACCTGATCTAAAGTATCCATGCGCCTCGTAACACTGGACACCACCACCTTCCATCCGAACAGGTATCCAACCCGTCCGTCCTTCGCCCGTGATATTTTCCCTTTTTTTCCATTTTTCTTACTAACAGTAGAAAGTAAAAAAAAAGTCCATGCTCGCAATTTTACAAAAGCCGCGGAGAAACAAAATAATAATAAGAAAATGCCTCCCCCGAAAAGAGAAAGAAAGAAAAAAAAGGTTCACAAGGCTGGTTATAAATCGCCTTTTTTTCGGGATTGTTGTCGGGATGTATATACGATACGAAGAAATACCTACCTGACCAGGACCTGACTTACGGTAGGTAGGTACTAGGCTACCTAGTACCTGTGCCTGTGCCTGTACCTCGTGAAGAAGAAGGAAGAAGAAGAAGAAGAAGAAGAAAAAGGGAAAGAAAGAACGAAGAGGCTTCCTTGCAAGGCACGACAAGGTTTGTTTTGGGGGAAGGGGAGGGCATTCCATCAAAATTTTTTTCTTCTTCACAGACAGGTTTCCAGACTTCAGCCTGTTTTCACTAGTTTTCCCAGTGCACGTAGCTTTTCTTGGGGGGGCCGGGCCCGGGGCCGGGGTCAAGGGCAAGGGCAAAAACCAAAACCCACTTCATCTGATGTGTTGTGACTGGAAGGGTGGTGCTTTGGTTTGTTGCCATGTAGTGGTAGTGGTCATAAGGTACAGTACATGTACTGTAGCCAAGGTACATAATTGTCTGGTGCCAGAGGAAAACGGCCCGCTCGGCGCCCGTGTGACTACCTACCTTAGATGACTACCTTACCTATAAGAGGTAGGTATCCAAAATGAGCCGGCCTCGGCATCGGAATAGTTTGTCGTTGGTATTGGCCCGTTGTTGAGCGCACCACCACCACCACCACACCTCACCTCCCCACCCAGCCATCCACTCATCCACCCATCTGTCCTCACAATCGAAAAGAGAAATCCTCCCGCAGAACCAACGAGAGATGGGGGGTGGGGGGTTCGTTTGAAAGCGCAGTATCAAGCGGGCGGGCCAACAAGTAGTTCGTTTGTTTGGGTCCGACCTGCATGTCCATAAACAACGTGAATACCAGGTAGGTATACTTAAAATAAAAAATACAAAAGTGGTGGTGCCGTGGTGCAGCTTTTCTGCGGTACTACAGTCATGTACATTCTCAGGTGGGTACATATGTACTTTAGCTTAGGGCTGTGCTATGTACGTACTGTACCTAGGTACGCTTCTATCTATATTCGACAGGGCATAGTACGCAATCTGCAGACTGCAGACGACGTACCTGAGTCCGTTCGTTACACATGCCACGTTTTTTCTGTTTCTTTTTTGTGAAACGTGACGTATACCTACATAGGTACGGTACATGTATGTATCTACCTGGTAATCAGCTAGGTACCTAGGGAGCGGCACAGTTTCAGTTCCACGTTGTGCGACGATCGCAACCACGAGGGCATATTCTTCTGGATGGTACGGTACCTAAGGTCATGTAGGTAGGGGTGGGTGGGCTGCCGCGCTACTTGCTGGTCGTCGTCGCACGTATAGGAAAAAGAACAAAAGGACATTAGGAGCCGGGCTGTGAAAATTGCTGGCTCTTCGGAGGTTGTGGCACAGATGAGGAAGACGCACCACGTTACGCGAAGCATGTACCATACCGTCGACCTGTGAGAGATCAGGTATTCCCTGGACAGCAGCGTGATCATGGCGAGGATCTCGATGCGGCTCTATTTCGTGCATCAGGCTCTTAGCGTGAAGCGGAGTACCACGATCTGTGTGCCTTTTGGTCGTAGCTTCGCAACTAGTCGCCTTCCACAGCCGTTCCATGGCATATTCGCGGACTGTTTCATTTACTTTTACGGAAAAAAAAAACAAGATGTGCAGAGCAACACCACCTCGCCAAGACCATTGGAAAAGCCGTAGCGAGCATCGCGAGAGTCCGCGAGATCTGAACCTTTTGTAGATCTGATCTTTTGGGCTCATACCTATCTAGATGTAGGCTGACGGCCACGCTCTCGATCGGCTGATGGGATTGACCTAAAGACGATTGTAACGAACTTCCGGTTAAATGCAGTGCCCTTCGACGACGCAAGCGCGTGCGCTAAGTCCGGTACAATCGGGCTACATGGCGAAATGCTGCTTGAAGTGGTGAAGACTCTAAGAGACTGTTAGTAGGTAGTCTAGAGTGTGCAGCCGGTTGTGTTCGCTTCATTCTAGACGAAAGACTTGGTGAAGATGGGTATCGCTCGAGGTATAGCTCATACGCTTGCATGGCCAGCACGAATTCCGGCCAGGATGCCACGCAGCATTTTTTGCACGACCGAAGTGTGAGACCGCTTGCTGTATGAGGAAAGTGCACACTGCGAAAAACGTCCTACTGGGCCCAGCGGATTCACACTTCGACGCGTGAAAATACTGTCGCGCAGAAAGGCCAGCAGGAATTTTCGGCCACTACTGCTCTCCGATCCATCTGGCTTGAAACCAGGACAATTTGGTGGTGAGTGGCAGACAGGCAGGCATTGGTATGGCTGGAGTGAACTTGGGAAGATCGTGTTCTCTTTCTTTCACGCGTTCGGGTGGGGCGTTCCTTCTGCGACAGTGTTTCGTGGCCAGTAACGCGTGTTCTTCGGGTTTCGATATGACTTCGGCCTCCTCATCAGGCAACTTGGCAAGCAGATGCAGTTTCACTCGGTGAACAATGCAGACACCACCTGCTCGGGCTGGGCGGCTGTTTGCGAAAGCGACGGCTCGAAAGTGTTCCACCCGTCAGTCACCTCCTATGGATGCGCGAGCCCGATACCTATTGAGCGGACGATGCATGCGGATAGGAAAAATGCGAAACTTTGCAGCGGCGAGGCATGAATGTACATGTGTTGTTATTGGCGCATAGGAGGTACCTCCTCCCCGTAGGCGGTCAATCTCGATGCGCTCGTCGGCGTAAACTAACAATAATGAGGCACCCGCAAATATCGGAATGTCTCATTTGATGCCGGACGATCCTCTAACCTGAAGAAGTTGATCTCTCTTAGACACGCCGATCGTTAGTTGCACAGCAACCTTGTTCGGCGAGCGATGACTGATGAGAGCCAAGATGATTGGCAGTGCATACCTAGCACGCGAAAGAAGCCCGCAACTTTGGAAGCGAGCCAGGACTACGCCGTACCGTACTCCGTCTGCACTCTGCAGCACACTCCGGCGGGAAGAGGTTTGAAAGACAGCAGGCTGCCCGCGTGACAATCTCCGCGGTACATGTAGGTAGTTCTAGAGAAGGATGAGAACAATGGCACTTTTTGCCCTTGCCGAGCCAAGCCAGCCGCATTGTGATGCCGGTTGGGTAATCATGATCGCTGTCAGCGCTGATGATCTTGGCAAGATCTGGTCACGCACAGTGATCGACACGGCTGCGGCTGCCATGTGCGTGCGGAAAAGGTGGGTGGGTCTGAGCAGGCCGGAGAAAGTGCAGTGTAGTGCAGTTGAGTGCAGTGAGTGCAGTGAGTGCAGTGCAGACTGCAGAGGAAGTATGGAAGCAGAGCCCGCCATGAATCCTTTTTAATCAGGAGGATCCATACCGAGCCTCGTGATGGTCGGATGTCTAGTATGAAAGGGGCACCACACGCCGAACAGCATCGCATCGCTTCGCCAGTGACTTGTCGACTCTCCTGCGGCACTTGTTCGTGCCATGTGTGCTGTGCTGCTGCCCGGAAATAGGCGCGTTTTGATGGAGCAGAGGCGCCGAGGTGTGCCGCCCCCCTCTACCTCCTCCTACCTCCTAGCGCTGAGTGTTATCTCAGCTCGGTGCCGAGTGCTGTCAGGGTCAGCCTGAACAACTCAACAGGCCGCCACCGTATTGCGTATTGCGTATTGGTAGGAGAGGGCACTCCTATTATTATTCATGAGGTTAAAGATCAATGCCAAATGGGCAGCTGCGCGACAAGGTTTCGGGTGCTGACGATCTACACCACGCGGCGCGAGCGTCCCTCTCGTGTTCGAAGCAGGTGCTGGTACTGGTACTGGTGCCGCTGTGCGTAAGGTGTCGGCAGGAGTGGACCAGGCCGCTCTTGGCAGGGATGGTATCCCGCAATCACCGCACTTCAACACCTCCCTAACCCCTAACCTAACCTCTACAAAGACATTGTACCTCCTACCTCATGTAGTGATTCTAGTGAATTTGCCTTGTCGGGTGACGGGTGCGCGGCAGCAGCAGGCAGGTCAGGTAGGCCGCCAGTAGCATCATCAGCATCATCATGACCATCATCTGCACTCACGCCGCATGCGCTCGTCTGTGCTGCGGCGGAGGAGGTGGAGGTCAATCACCGTTCTGCGGCCGCTTTCTCCCTGCGTTGCTTCGGCCGATAGGCGGAAGTGAAAGTCGCAGTGGTTCCCAGAGCTCGCTTAGCTTTTTTGGTTGATCTGTCGATCGCGTCGCTTGCCAGATGCCTAGGAGGTACGGTGGGCGCCATGAGGGTACAACAAGACATGTACCTTACCGCTCCGTTTCCACAGGCCAGATTGCCCAGTGGGTGGGTCACCACTCTGAGTCTGCAACTGGCTATCCTATCCCCCTTCCCGGCCCTGCTCTGCCCGGCCCTGCCATCAACGTGTCGTCGAGGGGCCGTCGCAGCCACCAGATGCAGAAAGCGCGTCTCCTGTCCCCGCACATCCTGCTGCCCACTCCCAACGACTGTGCGGTAGCGCACATGCAATTCCTTTGGAAAAAAGGGTCACGCCGTTGCACGGTCGCACTGTCGCATGGTACGGCAGGAGAAATGACGAGCCGCGCTGCTGCAGCAATCGTCGTGTACAGGGTCGCACCTGGAAGATGCCACTCTGCCATCCTCGCAGCACACGCGGCGATCTGTAAAACGGTGGCCGGGGTTCAAAGTCAACCTCGGGCGTGTCCAATCAATCATGTGGGCGACGACATCCTTCAAATGGATGTTCCGTGCCGCTTGCTGCCAGGATCCTGCCATCCTGGCAGCGCAGCGCATTACGATGATGGGTGATGATTCCACTCTTGTGTTGTGACTCGTGGGAGGAGGGAATCGATGATACCTGAAGGTACGAGTTAGGTACCTTAGTATGGATGGATACCGGAATGGAGTGAGGTGAGGTTAGGTCAGGTAGTCAGTCGTGATGAGACTCTTCACATGGAGAGCAGCAGCGAGCAGCGGGCTTGCGCGCAGTGCCCGGGTCCCGTCATTCATGCTTTACTGTACCTCAGGTATGTACCCACCTTGCAGACGAGAGCCGCGAGGGTGACGATGAGACGATGAGACGGTGATAGACTCACGATCCACCGCCTCCACCTCCATGTACGGTGATAATGTACCCATACCCATACCCACCACCCACTCGTCACTGGCACCAGTGACGGCCTGTGAGAGCGGATATCCAGAACCTTGTCAGCTGCACAACAATGCACTTGTTGTCTCTTGTCTGTTCGCGCGCACTAGACCTTAGCGGGCCACGACTGGCACTCGCTACTGTATACGAATCTTCCGCGCCCGAAAGAGACTCCATCAACGCGACCCGACCGCCCTGGGCCTGGCTGTTTCGGCTGCGACTTTCGACTCTCTTCACTGGCAACACCGCTGTGACCGCTGTCATCATCGCCCGCACCCTCGCTGCCACTGCTAGGCTCTGCTCTACCTCCTAGGCTCCTAGCTTGCAGAGTGGTGCTGGGTGCTCATCGCGCATGGAGCGGCATCACCAAACTCTCCGATACCTACCTGTACCCTTACCATACGCCCGCCCCTTCTAGGCTCCGAGGCTGCATGTTGCCAACCACAGACACTTCACAGCTCCATGCAGTGTCTTCGTCTGGAACAGGCCGCCGCCGCCGTCGCCGTCGTCGTCGTCCTCGCCGTCAACTCGAGGTCCCCGGCTGCCTTGGACATCCATCAGCATGACCTCTTGCTGTAGGAGGCTGTACTCAGTATACTGTATGATTGATTACTGTTCTTATTAATCAGCGTTACGAGCAGCCGCCGCCGTTCGGAGTGGCACGCCGCGCGCTCGCTTCATCGCCAGACTGTGCCTTACTTCCAGCAGTTCTGTCGATCCTCATACCTCCCAAGCAACTTGTCCTACAGTAGTGCTGCACCCACTTCGGCCGTCTTCTGGAGGTGCCGCGAAGGGTGATGCTCCCGAGCCCGATAGATTAACAGCCAGGATTGATTCGCTGGTCCGTCGTTAGCCTCGCACAAGGCACGTTGCCCACAGTAGTTTCTGCGGAACCTTCTACGCCGCATGTGCAAGCGCTTGTCACCTCACTGCCGCCGCCGCTGACCGGGGTCTGCCCCAAACCCAGCGCTGTAGCGACACTACGACGACGACTGCTGCTGCCACTCCCACTACTACTCCCACTACCACTACTACTACTAGAGGACTGTCCCACAGCAGCCGCCCTCCTCTAACGTTGCCCGTCCCGGTCGAGTCAATTTACGCCATCACTAAGCTTCTGTGCCTCCAATTTGAACCCTCGCCGCCGTAGCGTCGTGCTGGTGAGACTCCGACTACTACACACTCCTCTTGTGGGCGAGCGATATCTAGGCCGTCGTGCCGGTCTCTATTCATCACTGTGCCTGATTTGCCACTGGACGGAGGGCCACAACCACACAACACACCTGACCCTATCACTTCTTCTTGCCTGCCTTCTCCTACACCAGAACCCCACTCTCACACACACCCTTTCTGCCACGAGAACGAGGAAACGTCGTTGGAATGGCCACTGTCGGCATGATGGCTTACCCAATTCCCAACGGATACCAGGGTTATCCGCAACACTACGCCATGTATTCGACTCGCGCACCCCAACCTCAGGTCGAGATGGGGCATGCGATCAATGTTCACCCGTACGCATACACAGCTGTGCCACAGCCACAGCAACAGCAGCAGCAACAACATCAACAACAACAACAACATCAACAACAACATCAGCAGCAGCAGCAACAACACCACCAGCACCACCATCAGCATCAACATCAGCACCAGCACCACCAGCAACAACAACAACAACAACAGCCGCATCAGCAACTGCAGATGCAACCGCAAACGCATCCGTACAACCATGTGCAACCACGATCCCCTCAACCTTCTGGCTCGCCCACATCAGACGACGGCTTCAAGCCTTCTTTGCCGTCAATTTCGAATCTGCTCAGCTTCGCAGATCGACCTGCAACGGATCGCAGTATGTGTGCACCGCCCGCAGAACCTCGTGTGTGTTGCCACTGACAGACGTGTAGCAGCACAGAGTCCTCAGGCATCATCTACACAACAACAACGGGATCCGGCAGAGTCGCAGCCAGCGTCACCACGATCGACGCATTCCGCGGTGGTACAGAGTGTGCCAGCTGGTGTATTTCCGGCCGCCGAAGCAACTTCCAGCCCACGCGATGCGATTCCGCCTCAACCAGTAATGCGCACCGAATCAGTCGTAGATTCAACCAACAGTCCCTCTGCCATGTCCACCATGTCGGGCTCGCCGTACTTTGTCGGCAACACCATCAGCACCGTGGACTCTACCGATCAACGCAATGCACATCTGCACGAGATTAAGCGGAGCTCTGTGCCCTCACAGCCTCATGGGTCACCCTACGCCAACAGTCGCTACACGTCATCTCCATATGCCGACTCATCAAGTACGATGCCGGCGCCCACGTACTACTCACCACAGCCGGGAACGTATTCGATTCCACAGGGACTGTACCAGCAGCGGCCCCTGCCCTCCAACTTCCCTCCCGCTCCACCGGAAGCACAAGTGCAGTCGTCGATCGCCCTTCCGACGAGTAATCCATGGGAGCACCATCACTACATCAGTCCCTCATCGTCGGCTACATTTCCGCAGTCGCAGGATCGCTACATCTGCACCACGTGCAACAAAGCCTTCAGCAGGCCGTCGAGTCTGAAGATCCACAGTCACAGCCACACAGGCGAGAAGCCGTTCCGATGTCCTCACAATGGCTGCGGGAAGGCCTTTTCAGTACGAAGTAACATGAAACGACACGAGCGCGGCTGTCACAGTGGCATGACCGGTCACGTCGCACACGCCCACATGATTTGACGTCGAGCAATATTGACTTTGAGGCTGCATATTTGACATGCATGTCAGAAGCGTGGAGTTCCTGGCGTTTTGCCCTCTCACAGGTAGAGGTGATTGGTGGCACTGGCCATTCACATTGATTGTACAGCGGGAAGGGACCAGGTTGCCCCTGGTCCATGATTTTCTGGAACAGACGGCCGAAGATTTGACTACTGTCAACATGGAAGCAGTCCATTAACCACAATGTGTACTACTAGTATTATATTACTACCTACTGGTCCTACTCACCCTCTGCCCCCCTCCCCACCCTCAGCCAAGCCTGACCAACTGGGGGACTAGATAGACGGCGCGGAAGGCCAAATGAAATTAGAGAACTTTTTAGTTCTACACGCCCGTCACCGCTTTTACTCCCAGACCAGATCTGGTTCTTTTTCGGCACATTTGGGCCCCACCCAGGCTGTGAACTATATGAACTTATGATTTCATGAAGGAGGAGGAGGAGGAGGAGGAGGAGGAGCAACAGCAGAGAAAACCCCGATCTGGTAGTCCGCTCACCGTGTGGTCTCGAACGCGGAACGGTGCGATGCGATACGTGAACCAGTGAGGATGACCATGTACTTTGGGGGGGGTGGAGTGAGCACGTCACTGCACGCGCACGCACGCACGTAGTGCATTCGATATGTGTAAGGTAAGGTCTGTAGTCACTTTATAGTGCGTACAAGGTGTCTCCCAAGCCCCATGCAGCATTGGATGCTGTGCTGTTCATCCTTGTGAGAGTCTTTTTTTTTTTCATGTTTTTCCTATCCTAGGAGGTAGGGTTTTAACTTTTTGGGATAGCTGGTACGGGCGGTAAGGACTTGACTATGTACCTGACTCAGTGATTCTCTCTGTAGTATGAGTATCACAACGACACGACGACACCTAGTATAGGTCAGGTAGATATTCAATATACTATAGGCATATACATACATATACGTAAGGAGGGTATGTATGTTGCTTACTGTACATTTGTATATAGGATCGGCAATTCGGCATACATGTACCTTGAACGATTATTAATAAGCACCTAAAGACTACCTATATAGAGAGAACCTAGAAGGGAAAACAATCATTATTATCGTTATCATTAATACCTTTCATTATCCATCATCGGGATTCGGCGCCAGAAAGAGACATACTAGGTAGGTAGCTATACAATCTGTTGTTTGACATGAATTTTTTTCCTGTTTTCTCCCCTTCTAGCGGCCTTCTAAAATCCTTCGATTGTTTCTCGCATATTCGGCAACTAAACATTCGCTGGTCGCAAAGGAAAAAGCCGCAAATGGATGAATCGATGGACGCCCCCGGTGATCGTCGGCCCTTCTTCGCCGAAACATTCCTTTCCCTCTAACTATCTAAAGGTAAAAGGTGTAAGGGGTAAGGTGGTATACTGTAGTCTCTTTTTTTTCCTACCTTATGTGTATGTTTTTTTCGTTAGTGATGACCGTTTCCGGGCAGCGCGGGTCCATATATAGAACGAAAGGGCAAACGAAACGATCTCTGCTGACGACGGATGCATGCCAAGGTCTGCCGGACTGTTGCCGAGCCCAGACTAACAAGGGATTGTAGTTTACTAGTCTACTTACTACATACACTACCTCCCTTACGACATTACGATTACTACTCCTACTCCTTGATGATGATGATGATGATGATGAACTTGTTGGACCGGCATCAGATTCGTGCGTGTTTCTGGGGTTTGGGTAGGGAATCTTGGAGCATGGAATTTAGCGATGAACCAGCCCAGCTGCGAACGGCATAACCTCACTTGTAACATCCAATACCTGGTTGAGTTGCTTCGCTTTGCCAGGCCGTGATAGCCGGGCTGGACTGGATTCCATTTCAATGCTCTCTAGAGACTGGGCGACCACCTACGCCTGCTTCTGCCTGCGTTGATATTCCCAGACAAGAAAAGATACCCATCTCATCGTTTGTCGTGGACTACTACTACTTAGCAGCAACTCCTCCCCCGAACATCGCTCCCAAATGGCTACTCGGAACTTGGGTGGGTCGAGCGAAACGATTCACCGAGCGATTGACTTGCATTTGCAGCAGTAGTAGTGAAACCCACCCCCCTCCCAAGTACGCTCGTATCGTCGAGCATTGGGTTGAACCACCGGCAAAGCTAGGGAGCAAGGCCCGTGGTGATCACCCGCTGGATCGACCTTGGGGGGGAAGGGGTAGACGATATGGGATGGGGATAATGTGTGAGTCGCCTAGTGTTCCTGGTCGCGTGACTAACAAACAGACCAGGTGTGCTCTGGGCGGGCGGCTGGCCTTCGGGCCAATTGGTGCTTGGTATGGCCCTTTCCACGAGAAAAATGTCTCAGATGTCAGCAAACGTTTTTTTGTTGTTTTGTTCTTGTTGGGAGAGAGAGACAGAGGGCATGTCTCGCTTGTATGGGTGGTGGCTATTGTCGGTCTATGGGAAAAGCTGACTCCGGAAGCAGCCATTGCTGACAGCAGAGCCCTGGTCGTTCGCTGAATGGAGGGAGATTATCAAGGAAGAATCAACAACAACAACAACCTCAGCCTCAAGAACAACATATTTGGAGACTTCAGAATACGCGGCGGTGTAGAGATGTGGGTTTCTTCTTTCTCTCAGAAAAGAAACTCCACTTTTCACGTGCAGTCCAGCTCGATATCCGCTTCAAAGTGTGATCGCCATGAGCAGCTGCTGGTGATGGCTGCATCGACCAAGCATAACCAAAGCCTGTCAAAATCCAGCGGGAACGAACGGCGGGGAGAACGGAAACAGCAAGACAGCACGCGACTTTGACAAGGTATGAAGCAACGGCTCACACACTCGCAGAAGAGTAGTTTGGTGCAAAGAGAGCCGGTCGGTCCACCAGAAGCTCGCTAGAAACGCGTGAAATGATGACCTGCATGCATGCATCAGGAACGAGACGATGATCTCGACCGCTGTTGGACGGGTGGAACAGAGAAAAAAAAGTCGCTTCGGCTTGGGGGATATGGCGCGCTCTTGGTGAGACAAGCACCAACGCAGTCCCCCCTTCACCCCCTTCCCCCTGGTGGCACGTTTGGTCCGCCCGCCCGCGCGCGAGCGAGCGAGCGATCGGCTCTTGACGGGAATAGAGCATCGTCCAACCCGTCAGTGAGTCAGGCCGGCTGGCCTGTTGTTGGCGACCTGCCCGCTCCGCTACTACAGTACATGTACGTGCCTGCTTGTACAGTATGACCGACAGACATGGTTTCTTGATGAACCAAAAAGAACCAACACTTGGATCCAGAACATTGATGTTGACATCACTTAGGTACCTACTAGCCGCTCCTCTCTCTTTCAAAGCATTGTAACACATGCATTATCATGCATCATGCAGGAGAACGAGACGTGTGCGAGGAGGTCCGGGGCCTCCCTCTATCGTGTGAATGATGGGTCTGTCTTCAGGACGATCATCAGGAGGGGTGAGCGCTCATCACACAAATCATGTTCGAAATGCCCGAGCTTGCGTAATATGCTGTCCGTTGTCTGGACCATCCTTCTCTCGTTCGACTAGCCTGTTCTAGAGCTAGGAGGAGGGCATGAGAGCCATGAGGGCCTCTCTCTCAAAGTGCGCCAAGAACCTGTATGTAGTAGTAGAACCCGGACTACATCTTTTTGAGGATGATAGTTTCCTTCGGTTCTTTCTTGTTGATTCATATTATTCATTCGTTCACTTTGTTTTTCCTATTTTTCAAGTATAGACCTCCGATAACATCCCCGCGCCAGCCTTTGTGTATGGAGTCTTTTTCGGAAAGACTAAGTGATGTAGTTGATCGAGCTCGTCGTCGTGAGGGTTTCGCCGGATCGATTCCCCTTCTTTTTGTGCTGTGATATTCAGACACAACACGAAAATGTGCTTACTGCCAATTGACCGAAGAGACTTTTCAACGAATGACGACCACATAAAGGATGGTGGATGTGAGGTCGCTATAGTCTCTATCTGAAACACCCGACAGCTCACAATCATGCATATCGCCAACTCAAACATGAGCCAGGCGGCCTGCTGGGCACCGAGTGAATATGAATGAGCAGAATAGGGTGTAGCTCGTATGTCTAGTCGTCTCGACTACTTGCAAAGCATTGATTGATTGCATCCCAATTGGGACGACCGAATACTAGTCTTCACGGATCATTCCGTGAACCAGGCTCGAATGAACGCGCAATGGACGTAGGTCGCACGAGAAAAGTCCGCCTGAAATCGGGCATGGTGAATCACCGTGAATGAATGAACGGATTAATGGACCGAGAGCCCAATCAATCCCACAGGCTTCTTTCGTGCAAGCGTCGTACGCGGCGGCATGTGAATGCATTGCATACGACCACCCAGGAACCGGCGCGCCCGGGTCGGCGCTGTCACACGCTCTGTCCAGCAGCTTCCTGATGATGTGGTGGCGGAGAATCGCAGCACAAGAATGTCCGGACAGGCAGGCATGCCTAACGGCGACGACTATTGAAATGTGTCGTGCAGGCAGGGGGCCGGTCCATACAAGGCGCGTCCCGGAGGTTTGCGCGGCCGAAGTTCTTCTGCTGGCTGTGAATCCACACTGGGGGCGCGTCGTAGAAACCATGTTGGCTGTTTTCTCGTGCCAGGGCTCCATAGACTCAGACTCGCCGCTGACGAGTGACTGCGAGTGGATAGCTAGGCTCGAGTGCTCGTCATCGCTGGCATTGGCAACCTGGGCCAGGATCTAGAGGATGCTTGTGCAGCATACTAGTTTGGCGCTCGCTTCTTTGGTGATTTCTGGTTCCTTGCACTCAAGGCCGGCTCTGGAGCATAATATGTCTGTCAGAGGGCTACCGATGTTGAATTGCAAAGCCAGAGCGACTGCTGCTGCGAAGATCACCCTGCAGGACTTGGAATGTCTGTCCGTCTATGGTTTCGCTTGCGTGGTTATTGCCTCTTGTGTTTGTCACGACATTCTATTTCTACTTCCTCATACATGATACCACACTTCACACTTACCTCGTCTCTTCCATATTGTCCAGCGCTCCTTGAATCCGGATATCGCCAAGTGGAATCGGTCGGCGAATGAGCACCACGCCGTGCCGCTGAGATTTCAGAACATTTGAGTTTCGCAACTTTGCTATTCCTCCTCACCCGACTCGCGAGAAGAAACCTCGTGTTCGTTTTCGAGGTCTCTCTGTGGAGACTGCTGGGGGGTTCTAGCATCTTGTATGAGTAATTGCGCACCACGGGAATCGTTGAAGGGTCCGATATGCTCGGATGGGGTTGACAGTGTACACGATGGTATTCGTGTCTACCTTTGCTGTGGAAAAGCAGCATCAGTCTGGGCATTTGAAGCCTCACGCATCGTCGGAGCTTATGCTTGTTTTACTTCCAGGTAGCTCGTGGGGCAGCAGCACAAAGAGCCTCATCATTCGCCAGAGAGGCAGTGTGCCTGAGGTATCAGCGTTTCAGACTGATACCTTGGTAGGCATGAATGGCTGTTTAGTCTGTGATAATGCTCGGTGCTTTCCTGCAGGGTAACAATACGAGCCCGCGTCGTAAGCATCCAAGCACCTGACGACCTGTCCTACGACTTCATCGAACTGTGGTGAAGCCTTCAGGGCAAGCATGCCCAAAACGATGCAGTGACGCGATGACCCCTGGCACTATGACTTGGTTTTGAATGAACGATACAGGACAAAAGGGACTCAGTATGCATATATACAGCGCATGTGGTTCTACAGAGCTGTGACTTCAACCATCTATAGAACGGAGAGATTGCCGAACTTGTCCTGCAGGGAGCTGTCAGAAAAGACTGTGGGTGCTGCTGACATAAATGAGGACTTGCCTGGTATCCTGGTACTTGCCAGCGGCCCTTCGACACGAGCTGCTCAACACGCTGGTCGATGTCTGGGCGAGCGGCAACGACATCGTCCTGTGTGAAGCTTTAGCACAGGTATCATAGTCACGTGACTGGGAATTTGCGGTTTCGCGCTTAATCTTGCGTCCGATACATACCACGGTGAGGTCTTCGAATGGCCGCGCAGACTCGATGTTCTTCAAAGTCTTCTCCAAGTCCTGCAGTTCTGCATCCACCTTGCCCTTGGTCTCCTCAGCACTCTTCACAGCCTGTGCCTCAAAAGCCTCGATAGCCTTAATCTGTCTCTGCACATCGTACTTCTTTGGCTGGAAGGAAGTGAATTGTTTCTCAATGTCGGCGACAACATCCTGGTTCTTCAAGAGCGAGCGGTAGTGCTGGAAGTCGACGGTTTGTGCCTGCTCGGACAGGACTCGGACCTTGCGGCGGGCGGCATCGTTACGCTGCTTGAAGCTGGCGAGGGCGTTGGCGGTGCTTCCCTTGAGCCCGAGTTTGGTGCCCAAGTTGGCCCAGTCGATCTTGGTAGCAGCAGATCGCTGTGACCGTCTGTTAGTACATCTGTCGCAGAAACTTGCTTCGGAACGGAGTCGAAGGGGACGTGTGCGGCACCACCGGCGCGCCATCTCTGCAGTCTGGACGACTATCTGTCTACCTTCCAGGGCCTTCCAGGGATATCACATACCGTAGCCGCCATTGTGAATGTGTCTGGGGTGGGAAGTTGTCGATGTAGTGTTGGCTGTGGTGCAGTGGTGCAGTGCCAGTGCCAGTTCGAGGTTGCGGTCCTTCGGAGGATCCCTAATTTATCCGAGAGCCTAAATATCTTGGCATATATGGTCAGGTATGAGCAATATCGCCTTACAACCGTAATCTGCCTGTGGATGTGTACACTCGACTCAATGCATATAATTCCACGTTCTTCGCGAGATCACTAGCATGCCAATGATGCCGCATAGATTTCACTGACATGGGGAGTATGTTGCCTGAAGTTCACGCAGCATCCTCCCCACTGTCAGCCAAATGCGCCACCTTGCAACCAAAAGCAGACCAAAACAGTCATTGCAATATAGCACATAATGGCCATTAGCCATCTTAGCTAGATATACGGTATTCTTTCAATGTGAGGAATGAAATGCGGGAGGGCAGACCAGATGCACTTTCATGCAAAGGCGCATCGTATTATCGATGCCGCTTTGGAGCGGCTAGGATGCTAGGTATAACTCTTCCTTGCGTCGCTCTAGTCGTCTGAGGCCAGAGGCCATGTTCAGCCTTCCGTGCTAGAATCGACTATATGCTCAGAGCCATAATACTGTTCACAATGTCGTTGTCATTTTCCTTGAGCGCCTTGACAGCCTTCTTCCGGCTAACGCTGGCCTGGGCCATGACAAGCTCAATATCCTTGGCCTCGAGACCAGTGTCGTCCACCTCCTCGCCATCATCCTCTTCCTCCTCGGCGGCCTTGCTCTCGGCGCCGCCATCGATGGCCTTGCCCTTGTCGCCGTGGTCGTGGCCCTCGTGGCCGGCCTCGTTAGCGGCCTGGCTAGACAGCTGCTGGGCAGCTTGAGCCTGAGCTTGAGAGTTGAGGTCCTCAATCTTGGCCTCACCAAAGATGCTATTACGATCGATCAGCCATTGCATCCCATGTCCATGTGTAGTGCTGCTCTTACATCCAAGTGTTGCTCGACGGGGACTTGTAGACGTCCGGGTTGCTGATGACGAAGAGGATGTTCTTTGGTCGGCGAAGGGTGACACGGGTGATGCCCTCAACGTGCTTCAGGCCAAGCTTTGCAATAGCCTTGCGCGCCTTCTTCTCGTTTCTGCTGTGGACAGCAACGGAGGCGCCTGCTGGGATGTTGGCCTCGCCTGCCTCGTCATCGGAGTCGGAAGACTCGTCCTCAACCTCCTGGACGGCCTTCTCTGGCTCATCGGTAATCTCTTCGACACGTGGGTTGGCCATGATGAATTGTCGAAAGGCGGGAGTGTGAAGCTACAGCTTGTCAGCCATTGCGAATTGTTTAGCGCATTCACCGCAGTAATTTGGTGGAAGTAAAGCGCAGCACTTCTCTGTGTATACTTACGCAAACGGTTTCGGGGCTGTGTCGAGGAAAGAGGTTTGTGAGTTAAGCAGCAGTGTGCAGCGAATACTTTGACGATGAAGTTGAGAGATTATTGCCAAGGCCACCGAAACCACGCCCACTTTGGTCGGATAAATACATATGACTTCATGTAAATACATAAAATTCACTCGAATTGCATTGAAGGTGATAGAAACAAAGTGGCAGTGAGACAGATATTGAGAATTTCACGTTACGACATTTAAGAACCCACTGAGGGCCATGCTCGAATCGCTATCAAAAGCCTGAAGATAGCCTTTTTCTTCCACCATGCGCCCGCCGTTCGCCCAGGTGGTACAAGTCAGCCCATCCTGTTCCGAGTGAAATGCATACGCTGCCGTACAAGTGCTGCCATGATGCATGAGGGTATGGAGCATCATGTCGCCATTTATGCCTTGGCAGTAGCAAGAGCCTTGCGAGTCTCGAAGCGGGCCTGGATGTTCTATTAGTCTTTGCTCTTCTGTTTTGTCCCCATATTCACGTGTATATGCCAACAGCGAGACCGTTCCGCGAAAGTTATCCGATCCACGTACCTGCTTCCTCAGGCGCATCACCTTGAAGCGCTCAAAGTCGCTCAATCCCTTTCTCCGGGTAGCCTTCTCGATCTTCTTTGCGTATGGACTCTCGGTCCACTTCTTGTCCACACCAAATTCCTCCCATTTCTTTGAGAGAGCAGTGACACCAGCTCCAAGAGGAAGCTTAGGAATGACGAGTCCAGTGAGGGAGAGTGAGTTAAGGGCAGCGGCGTGACGTGGGACTGTAAGCTCAGAGACCTTCGATGGGCCATCCACAAGGACCTGTAAACTGTGAGCTTGAATGTCCTTTCTTCTCTACCATCTCTCGCAGCCTCGCGTGCTCAAACGGGTGGCACGTACGCGCTTGTGGTCGATGATCTGAACAATGGCGGCGATTCTGCCAGCATATGGGCCGCTGCCGAAGTGAACGACTCGGCCAACCTCGACCTGTCGCCAGGATGGTGCTACGACGGATGAATCGCCCATTGTTTCGGTGGTCGTTGGGTGTTGTCGGGATCGTGGTGAAGTGGTCACTGTCAAGGCTTGCGATGGCTGATGTTCTTCCGCCCACACAATCTGAAATGACTGCCAAGAGAAAAAGTGCGGCTAATTTTCGCCGACGACCGAGCCTTCTTCCTCAAGAACTTTCTTTCTCTTCACCTTCGAACTTTTCTCTCTAACAACATGCAACATCATCAGCGACATCACCACATCTCAGGGCATCGAGGGGTCATGTAAGTATACTCGTGTACTGCTCACCTTCATCCTCGAAGATGACATAATTTGCGACTGATGGCGGCGCCTGAGACCTCGCCGGGTACTCTTAAGGGTGTCGTCAATTTGATTTTCAATTCTTACATATACTGAGCTCGAAACGACCTTCCTCTGCATCGACTGCCGCAAGAAAGCTATGAAACCCGTGCTGACATGTCATCTGACGCGCAGTTTCTGTGTTAGTAGGAAGTACGGCAATCGCACCATGGCCGGTCAAGAGCTACATGAGTGACCATAGGTACGTGGTCGACCTCCCTTCTACTTCTTCCAATGATTACAACACAAGCAATAGATAGTAATTGAGCCTTTATGGCGCTGATCACTTTTTACACCAAGATCACTGAGGGAAACCGCCACTATCTACACATACTAAAGATGAGGTTGACGTTCGTTGCTGACCGGTATTTGAACATAGTTTGTACCTTCCCAGCATGTGAATATATCTCGCTTCCACCGCTGCATGCACGATTGACAGATAACCGTATTGCCCTCTTCACCAAATGGCCGGCTTAGACGACCTCACGCCACTGCGAATACGTGGCAAACGCCGTGGTACCCCTGCTGAGAAGTGGAAGACAGGCCGCCGTCGCAAACCAGAGTTACAGAAACGACCATGTTCATTCGAGCATGGCACCAATTCGGCAGGAACACCGTCTGTGAGGCCGCGCAAACAGCGACCTGTGCAGCAGGTCTCACCACTAGAAGATTTGCCTGCAGAGATCTTGCAAGCCATATTCGATTATGCAGGCAACATCGACTTGCCCGTTGTGTCTCGACCGCTCGCTGCGAAGCTCTCGAACAGTCAACACCTCCAGACTGAGCTTACCAATCGCCTCCTCGCGCCTGTCCTAAATGTGGCCACTGACACCTCCAGTGCGAAGGATCGCAGAGCTGCGACAAGACTGCTGAACTCGCGGTTCATGACCTGGCAGTTCTTCAAATCGTGGCTAAGTCGTTTTTCAGCTGCTAGTGCTCCGAACCGTGCTCCAGAAGATACAGAAGAGTCTAGTTGGGCGTTCGTATGGTCGTCGCTGCATCCCTCGCGTGCTTTGCTGCCGCCGAAGAAGCTTCTTCTACCGCCATTTTCGGAAGACAAAGTATCATTCTTGTCTACGCTGTTGAATGGCACAACCGAGATCGCCGACCTTGACCCATCCTACGGTGAATTGGCATTTGACTGCCTCGTTGCTGCTATACATGCAGGCAACACTGACGTCGTGGACTTGTTACTCAAGGCAGGGCTGAAGAGTAGCACAGAGCTCTTGCGTATTGCTGTTGCAGATGCTGGCTGCAATCAAGACATTGTCCAGATGCTGGTCTCTGCCGGTACTGCTTCTCGGCCTCGTGCCACTGCGTCAAAGAGTGCTATTGACTTGCTGGATCAAGATCTCTGGAGTTGGGCAGAGCAAGCTCGTCAGCAAGGTAATGTTCGTGGCCCGTGGCTCATCTCCTACCTTCAAGACCTGCAGCGCGAGCACATTGCGAGACGCTAGCTGTGTCATTGAAGAGCACCATCGCCCTCTGCGCATGCAGAACCTTCAGTATCGCAGCTCTAGGCACGAGTTCGAGTGATGGAGATGATTCCTAGAGGGGCATCTCCGATGCTTGGACCGACCTCTATCTACCACGTAGAGACTACGTTGTATATGCATCTTGTCAAACTCACCGCTATTATTGTGTCATACTTGTTCTGCTGTCGCCATTCTTCACGCCAGTCTTCTCTCGTCAGCATTTGTTCAACCGTAAATCTAAACTGACGCAACTCGTTTCAAGCCCCCAGATCTACATCGGCGCACTACACCCAAAATTCACCGGCGCGGCTGTGGCTGTCCTTGCCGCAAGCTCTAGAACCGTATCTGGGCTTGCGACAGTAAGAACTCAATCGTGCGGCGTACACTAGTATACGAGCGATCTTATTACACAGGCGATCTCTCTCCTCTCCTCTCCTTTCCGATGTGCTGCATAAAAAACAGTTGGGGTGAAAAGAGGTTCAAACTTGCACTTCTGCAAGACTCTTGGTATTTCCCCTTTGTTCGGTATTCTCGCCCAGCCTTGGCTGGATCATGGATGGGCTCCACGGGACAGCGGCTACATGTGGGATGTACCTATACTATACTGTAGTGGAGGGTACGGGTTGTAAATGTCGCAAGGGTCCGGTACCATGATGGCGGACTGCCATGTTTCTTGGCATACATACATAGGTGACATCATCTGATAACAGCTTCACATTTTTGCAGATTGGAAAATGTCTCGTACCTGGTACATATCGAGTAAATGTACACGTAAGTTCGAGATACGACGATTGAGACAGCCATTCAGACGAGAGAGCTGAGAAAAGGTACGCGTGCTATGGATCACCTCGTCCGCACTATATATTCACCCAAGCCTTTTTGTCCTCCCTGAACAGGGGGAGTTTATGTTGGTTTTCGGCAATACCTAGTCGACGATATCGCGAGTCGCACCGGTCTTGAATGATACATTGTAGCTTCGCAATGAGCCTGACCCCGGCACATAGGTGTTCTGAATGGAACGTGGGGACACTCTCAGATGACAAGACATTGTGGAGTCGCTCGATTCCAGTAGTGCAGCTGTGGAGTAAATACGCGTTCGCTCCAGATAATGAGATGAAATGTGAGCTGACTGGACAACTGGAGGGCCTAGCGGCGTAGGTTGGTGTTTGAAGCCCATGGCGAGACAGTTGCCAAGCTGAGGTTCCTCCGAGGCGATAGCTGTAGTCGCAGCAGCAGCGACACGAGTCTTTTGGTAAGCCGAGAAGTATGAGCCTAAGCGCAGGTGATATCGCTGGAGGCGAAGCCGTTGCAGGTGGTCTTGAAGATTTTCATGAGCGCTGCAGTACGTGCTTGGATGGTTGCCGACCACGACGTCCGCGCAGTTGCAGTTTCGATCGCAATGCCTGCCCAAACAGGACTGAAGTGCATATCTTCAGGTAGCATTCGGGAACCCAGATCGTGGCATTGAGGCGAGTGCTAGCGGCAATTCCAATGAAGACACCGCATTTTATTCTCAATCGCCCTAAAAGAGTTTGAGACTTAGCAGAGGTCTTCAACATCTTGGTGTGACAATGCTTACCCATAACACACGACTCGCTGGCGTGACGCAACCTAAAGAGGGTGAAATTAAGTCAGCGTCTGTCTCAGTTGCGATATGGCTCTTGTTCGGTGACTTCCTACCTTCTACTTTCTTCTCGCCCGCCTCCAGAGAGACTGTTTTGTCAACCATACCTCTATTGAAAAACAGACTGAGTACCAGTGCGCCTTTCAGACCGGCTGCCACAACAAGAACGGCACTAGGACTCGATCTCGCCAATACTGCAGCACCAATGAAGCAGCCTATGAACATTGAGCTTAGAAAGGCCAGTCGCCGATTTCGTTTCGTGTTGTGCAGATGGAAGATGCGGGGATCTGTGCAAAGCTGAATCAGAGCCCCTGTGATCATAGTGGTATTCAGCTCCGGCATGTTGGTATTCAAAGCGTTGGCGATCTGGCCGGATTCAGCGAACGCTAGACATGCGAGTATTCCAAGTGCTAAGGGACCGGTTAGCCTCCCTCGAGAAGAATACCAAATATGTACCTACCACCTGGGCCCGTTCTTTCCCTGGAACACTACGAGATCGTTAGCCCACCACTCATGCCCACATTGTAGTTGCTCTCGTCATGTATGTCATGTGTGTCTTGTGACGGCTGGGACCGAAGGGACTTACCCAATACCTAGATGGTGATTAGCACAAGTCAGCGACTGCCCGAGGTACGAGGTGGCTTCTGTTCAGTGGTGTCTTACCTGAGGGCAGCAGCAGCCAAGACCAAGAATGCCTGAAAGGTGTTGGATGCAAGGAGCCAGATTCGCCGCCTTTGGCGAGAGATGTGCCCGATATGCCCAAAAAAGATAGCACCACAGACGAAAACACCCATCGAAACTGCTACATTTTCTTCCACACCTGCGGGCAGAGCTTGTACGCGTAGACCATGCAGGGCGAGAAACAATGCTGAAGTTCACAAGAGATGTAAGCATGACGATTAGTTGGCTTCCACAAGAGCGATGTGTCCACGTACTATTGCCGGTTTGTTTCGAAGCGAATACTGTATATGTTGTGTAGGTCATAGCGTCGAGCACTCCAGTGACGATCGTCATGAGCAGCAGTTGTGACTCAAGATACTTGTCACCAGCAACCTCCTGCATGAAATAAGTCTGCCAAGCTCGTGCTGTCGGTAGCCGAAATGCTGAAAGAGGGTATCTAAGCAGCCAACCACTTTGCGATCCCGGGAGTTGGGCCTTGGGATCCGGTGAGAAACCTGATGAGTTGCCGGATGAGGGAGGTTGATATTGCTGCAATTGGAGTCAACAGTGTTCATCGGGCGGCCGGGAGCGAAGGATTGGGACTTACTACATGTACTTCGTGGCGATGAGTTGGTGGCTGGATGGTTGCGAGATCATTGAGCTGATCATCTGCAGAGTTGCCGGACCAGCGCCGGTCTTCCTCTTTACTACGTATGCTTAAGCTACGTAGGCTTCGGTCTTGATGTTGTGTCGGCACATTCTCCAGGGCCTGGGCCAACTCGGGTGCAGTCACGGATCGAGCATTTCCAGGTCGGGTGCCGCCTGGTGAGGGCACAGTGGTAGACATGGCGCACTCCGCTCCCAGGGACGATGACGGCGGCGGCGGCGGCGACGGAGTCAGCAGGCAAGACGAGATCGTCGTGCGGCAGAGGAACAGCGCTCTAGGCTGATCAGGCTGACAATGCGGATGGCACTGCTGAGCAAAGAGCAGACAGACGGGCCTTTGAGTACTACAGGACGGCAGGCCAGCTCAGCGGGCCTCCAGTGCCTCTATGTATGTCCTTCATATCTCAGACACCGGGGCAATCGAGACAGTCTCCCGACGCCGTAGTGTGGCACCTCGTACTGAGGTGAACACTATTGCATTCCAGTGCATGCTCGTAGATAGGCTTTTTATGGAGCCTGAGATAGCTCCTAGTTCTCCTCCACGGAGCTGCACTACCCTACTAGAGGGCACGGCGCTGGGTTTCAGTGGAAGTATCAAACGCGTAGGCCAACCGCAGGCACATGCCCATCCCCATTCCCATCCCGTTGCGCGCACGCCTGGCCCACTGGCGTGCATTGGTGATGTTGTCTGGCTCAACTCTCTACCCACCAGCGGCAGGCCCGATAACAGTGCCAAGTCTCATCGGACATGTTGGGTGTTCATCGACATATTGCCAGCCTGCCAGGAAGTGCCAGGAGGTGCCAGCCTGCCAGGAGAGGCTTGAAAGCTTAAGCAGAATGCCTGCTAACTCTGCTGAAGAGGGCGCCAAGGCGGACGCAGCCACATGCCAAGCAACGCGGCTCGGGCGATCGCAGGCAAGACGTCACTCCGACTGCCGTTGTTAGGTTCCAGTTGCTTCTTCCTTGTCCAACTTGTCCTCCAATCTCTTGCCAGGCCCTGCGTTGCCAAGTATCGCACGCAGCCGCAGCGCAACGCTCTACCACCGACCACCACCACGCGTGGAGAGCACAATCAATCGACTCGGCGCATTTGTCGTCTGGTCGACAAACTTCCGTCCCGTCGAACGATCGCCCGCCGGAAACTGTAGCCTGCCCGCCTTCCTGCCTGCAGCGGGCTCACCCCCTCTCCCCCCCTTCTTCCCGGGTCCAGAACAACAGAACGCCGCCCGCTTCTCGAGCTCACCCTCACCCTCCACGCTTAAACCGCTTTTGCACTGGCCCAGTGAGGCAGCAAGGAGCTCATGCCCGTAGCTTCGAGTCTGCTGCTCTGGATGAATAAAGCTGGTGAATCTCGTACGATCTCGAGCGACGCGTTACCAGTCGCACAGCCAAGACACAATCAACGAGCATACGCAACGTCGTGCTCGGAACAGTCCCTCCTAGCCTTGCAAGACAAGAGCACACTCGTTCACCTTCGAACCCGACAACCGAAAATCCGAAGTGGGTCTCAGCGGTCCTGGCTGTTAACGTCGCGGAACTGTGAGTGAAGAAGCAACGGAGCATCGTTGCCAGTTGGAGTGTTGGACTGCATGCGAATGATTGCGGCCGCTTACACAACGTGGGCAAGAGGGTACACCAGTGTGAGACCGAGGATGTTCCAAGATAACTCATGCGCCAAGACTCGGAAGCCTAGCATAAGCCTCGTCTGCATACACGGTGGTGAAGATAAATTGCCTTACTCATATGCTCCAAATGCTTGCATTGCACCGACTGTCACCTTCTTCTGCGCTCGGTGAGCAGAGCGCGGACACTCGTTGGGCATACGGCCGATATATCTGCCGGGGTTGATTTGGCTATTTGCCGGATGTCCACGTTTGAGACGGTGACCGCCAAGCAGTAGAGCCCTACGAGGCTGTCTAGGGGTCCACAAGACACAGGTTCCGAAACTATGCAGCTCTGCGATCCTTACGCTCTTACAAGCCGATATCTAGGCTGTATCAGTTCTTCGGCTCGCTATACGTTTCGTCCAGGCTGCTGATGCGTAGGAAGGAAACTCATAACATCCGCTATCGCGTAGCGAGTACGACGAATAGAGCATTGTGGAGTACCACGGGGGAGGTTACAATACCGAGGGCGAGGTGGATTCCTCTAATAATGAGGTGGTATCCCCCACGACGTGGTCACAATTGGCCGCGCTGGTACTCCAAAGCTGCGGATACCTCATCACTGCGATCACTACTGGAATGGGCAGTCTGCATGGGAACGAGCCTTGGCTCACGAAGCAGTGCTACAGTACCAAAGCTGGAGCCAGGAGACTGATGATCAGTGCCTATCGTATCCAGTGCTAGCCTCGCTGAGCAGAGCTGCTGGTAGGAAAAGTGGTACATATGATGTGCCTGATCTACGTCCTGGATTCTGGATGTCTCCACACACCGCGAGTCCGCGAAGTGAAGTATGTCAAGTTCTCACGCTGTCGGAGTCTGCTTCGTACCCGGCAAATATCGTCAATACACACCATATCCACCGCCGTTCGAAATTACTCGAATAGGTGCGGTAAGATGCGTTCACGGACCACGTGTTCCTGATTGTACGGTACGTGAATAGCTCTGCCCTAAGTCCTTCTTTATACGAGCAAGTTCGGCCGGCAATACGGACGGTTCGACTAAGCCAGGCGGCCTCCCTGCTCCATCATGGCCAAGACTTACGATCCGATGCGTCGGCTAGGAGGTACAATTACTCCGATTTGAAAATTCTGTGAGTTCAAGCATGGGTGGCGCCAGATGCATTATAATGCAGCGTGTGAAGCACAAAGGATGTTGAGGGCTCACCAATCAGGAGTGCATGTGAAAATTCTTATGTGGGGCGAAGGCGTGATTTTTCTGTGTCATTAGCCACAGCAATGGCGGACGCTGTATACAGTACGTTGTACAGGTCGTCATATTCATGCGGGGAATGAGGGTGAGCCATTGATCAACTGCGTCTTCGCGCATTGGAGTATACTCCACTGGTTGATATATTTCGATGCGTTTTCATGATGCTGTGTCATATAATGAGGTGGTATGGACAGCAGATCAGGGCAAAACCCCCTCGCCGATGGTTGCCATATACATACCTATGCATCGATTGCCAGGCACTCTTCAGAGCGCCAAGCCGAATTAGCGACCCGTCCACCCAGCATCTCATATCGAGAGCAACTGGAAAGCAAGCAAGCCTGCCAAGCGAAGCTCTTACATCGTCTTGACACGCATCGCAGTATACAATCAGCCCGAGTATCCTGGCAGTCTTCAAGGGTCATAGCACATCGTGGACCTCAAAAGACAGCGGCCCGCTTTTACAGCTTCTCCGCGATGCACGAAGGCGTGGTACGCGGAGGTGTAACCCTGCGAGTAGAACGACGACGTAGCATATTCCGACTGCGCGAGGCACCTCGTCGTTAGAAGTGGCGAGCATATATCGAATTCATAAACTAACGAATGGAGGCCTGTAGGGCGGCGAGTAGGGGTTCAAGTCGTCAATTCGCTATAACACTTTCGACGTTGACGATAGATGAAGCCCTCGCGATAGCCGTGGCTACAGGAGCTATGCATAGGTATGCCATACTCTACGAGAGCAAGTCAGATTTCCAACCAGCTGCGGTCTCGCTTCAGAGTCATGTACACCTACCTACACGGGCAAATTCCATCTTATCTTATCCTATCTTATCGTGTCAGCCTGGGGCGTCCACTTCCGTGCCTTAGCTAGGGGAAGTCATCCGATACTCTGTAGTGGTGGGGGACCGGGACGTAGGAGTTACCCCAAGTTTCTCGCGCACCAGCTCGTCTCTCCGAGCGGGAGGCTCGTAATACCGCTATGCCTCTCTAGCTTACTCCGTCATCGTGGGAAGGTGCACAGTGTGATTTGTCATGTGTCTGTATGGTATTGGATCAAATAGAGTGCAATCTCTGCATCGAGAGGAGGTGACTGTATGTGACAAGTCACGATCGAGATGCCATTTATTTTGCTCAATTCTGGGCTTGGGAATGGGCTCGTGATTCGTAGTTCTAGTACGTAGCTCAGGTAGTCCTCCCTAATTGTATGTCACTGAGAACGGGTACATCAGTGTTACCTGTACCTAGGTATGCTACCTGTACCTGACCTGGGTGACAAACTAAGGTACAGGTAGGTACATGTACATCGCAGAAGATGGAATCCAAACACCCCGCTTAGTAATTATAAACACTATCAAATCCCAATGTTTTAACTTTTAAGTCTTTAACCAACTTCTACAGTGTATCTCTCTATAGCAACACACTGCAGGACCCTAATGAAGAGTAGGATCAAATGATTTTTTGAGATCTATACATTCTGCCAAAAGAATAGACTCACCAACACACCTAGTTACCCGAAAGTGAAGAGATAAATTGTGAGGTCTTTGGATGAGGGATTGCTGACTAAGGTGTTTGCCCATTGTCACCCAGGAGCTGACCCATCCTGCAAAACTGCAACTGCGCCCGGGAGAGCCAGCACACGTGCACGCCTGATGATGGCAGGATAGGTACCTGTAGATGTTGCAAGTACGAACAAAAGTCATGGCACACAGTAATGCCGTTTGGCCAGCCTTGCGGACCACAAGAACTAGGTAGTGTGATGGTGAGAGCTGCGTGCTGAGGTGAGAAGCTGTAAGCTGATCCAGCTGTGAGCAGCGTCAGGGCCACCTCGTACAGACGGACTTCACACATTGCCCATAATAGTGCTTAGTACCTATGCTCGGCGGCAGCGTGAGAAGTGCAAAGCCCACCCACATTGCTACTGTCATACCCTTTGGTGCTGCTGGTCCTAAGTACTATCCCGTCGGCGAATACCTGACCTTACCTGAACCAGACTGCTTGTAGGAGGTAGAACCTGGAGTGAGAGAGAGAGCTTGGCGCTAACCTGGAAGTCAACAACGCTCACCGCGCTGAACAGCCACCGCGAACTTGACGCGCAGACGTTGCGATCTACGCACCGAGAACCACTGCTGTATCACCAGCGCATTGCAGATTGTGCATCTGAAGCAGTGTCTGGCCGAGGCATCCAGTACCATCACCACCGCCGCCGCTTCCACCACCACTACCACCATCCCCCCCTCCCTCTCTTCCACCTTCAGCGCTCCCACGGTGGCTTCCGACGACGACTCCATTCACACCACCCCTTCCCTCCGCGGCCTCGCGCCTCTCTCCAAAGTCGACGTCGACTCGTGTTTCCATCTCGAAGCAGCAGCGGCGGCGGCGGCAGCAGTAGCAGAAGTAGAAGTAGAAGCGCAGGAGCGGCCACAGGAGCAGCAGCATCAGCAGGAGCGCGACCGCGACCTCGAGCCATCCTCGACTTCGGCCGCCGAGAGTCCTCCTCCGTTTTCTTCACACGGCTTCCCAGCGCAATACTTCCCAGACCCGTCGCCTGAACACCCGTATCCCCTCACCACCGCGTGTGCGACCGCGCCCCTTACTGCCACTGCGCCCGCCGGTCCCGCGCCGCCATTCCCGTTCCCAGAAACAGAGCAGCAGCACGCGGCGCCCTCTACTGTCGTTGCAGACACCAAGGCTGCGCTCCCACGAGATACCAAGAGCGGAACATCGAGTAAGGATCTAGACGACGGAGAACCGCCGCCGCCATACACTGAAGGCTCCAGTCCACTCGAAGGCTTCACATACGTCATGGCAGCAGCAGGAGGTGCCGCGAGCATCCTCACGCAAGTGCAGCAGGCCGGACCGGCACCCATAAACACTTCGCTCGGAGGAGGTCTGTACTGCTGTGAGGAGATCGGATGTCCGTTGTGCTGAAGCTGACATGCCCATAGCAGGCTCGGAAGAGAACATCACTCTTGAACTCCGGTTGGTCTCTATGCAGGAGCGCGCATACAATTCAAGTCTGACATGATGGCAGCGGCACCCGATTTACCTTGTCTAGAGACGAGCTTCTGACCCTACCAGAATTCGTGCTTCTTTCCCTTTTCCCGAACGGCCTGCTCCCCGATGGCCACATGAACAGCTACCAAGACGGCGACGTCTATCCAGTTGATGTAAGGCACGCCCGCCAGAAGCCGCTTACGCAGGCAAAGGCTCAACCCCCGACAACGCTGGACGACATCCAGAGTGTCATGTCCAACACAGACGTATATTTATCTGACATTATTTATCATTCACAGTATGACCCCATTTCCTTGCAATACATGCTCGAGTTCTTCCGAAATGTTGCACAAACCATTCCGCAAGCATCAGAAGAGGCTCAAGGCCAGTCGAGCGATCCACTGGCCCCAAACACCATGCCAATCGAGCCGATGTCGGGCAATGCCCGAGACATGCTGCAAGATCGCGCTGGTATCATCGTCCTTCGGGAAGATCTCGACTTTTACGCGATCCCGCCACGCAAGGATGTCGAACAAATGGAAATGATCAACATCAAGCGTGCCGCAAGCCGAGCGCTGCTCAAGCAAGACGGCATCTTCTCTGGCCTGCGAAAGAGTGAGGAGCCTGGTACCACAGAGCAACATCTCATCGAGATGCTTACAGCGGGGTAAGACAATAGATCATGCTCTAAGACTGAAGTTGTCTGAGTGCTGACTTGGTTGCAGCGGTTTCAACCACGACGATATATGGGGGCATCGTGCAGCCGAACCACAAAAGGCAGTCATATGCTCCATCGCGCTAGCACGCCTGCGAACAGACATCAACAAGGGTGATACTGCTGGAGTTGCCAACGCTGTTGGAATGGCGCAGAAACTACTCCTCTTTTGGAGGAAGCCAGCACGTAGATGCTGGTGGGAGGGCGTCGAGCTCGATGACGTTGAAGGAGTTCCCGGCAAGCTGAAGGTGTGGATTAGAAGAGTGTGGACCCTAGAAATGGTAGGTTGCCTCCTTCGTAATCGTTGTGAGTCGCCTTCCGCTGACTTCGATGTGAACAGAGTGTTATAGGGTTGCGCTAAAGTTCCTGGGGTCTACATTTGACCTGTGATCTGCCACTCTACCCAATGACCCAGCAGCGCACCCGGCAAGCAGTCTGCTTGCACATCCTGATACCCCAGGCGGCGTTTCTAGGACGTCAGCCTTTCATTCTCTTCATGTTGGATCACGAAAGCATTACGAGCGGGCGCAATAGAAAGCATTGCGTTGGTGGAACAGTCCTTGAAGCTCATTGTATGGTAGGTCTAGAAAAGCTGAAGGGAGGCGAAAAACCTGTGGACAGACGAAATTGGTTTTGTTAATATATACATGTAGCATTCAAGACTGGCCGAGGCATAAAAAACTTGGTGCTATTACACCACATTAATGCGTCCATAGACACTTTCCAGGAATGCATATATGGGTATCGGACAAGATGCCGTTTATATGCGTAAGAACACCAATTCACTTCTCTTGATTTTCTATCCAGCCCTGCCCCCTTACACTACTTGCCCCCCACCCCCCTGTCATCGAGTCTGCAGGAGACTCGAACCAATTCACGGTCTTGTTGCTGTTGTTACTTGGAGAGAGAGAGAGAGAGAGAGAGAGTAGAGCAGAGGCAAACAGAAAATACAGAAAAGAAAGGTTTTTTTTTTCTCTTCTTACTTCCTGACCCACTACCGTTTACTCCACTACCATCACTTACGACCTAAACACCTGACGACTTTACCCTCTCACACGAGTCTTTTTTTCTTTTTTCTCTTTCTATCTTGTGCTGCTGCTATTGCTATTGCTATTGCTGCTAAGAACTATGGTTCTCTTTTGACGAGTACCACAGGACCCGTGTACACGTGGCGGCCGTATGAGATGTAATACACCACCGAGATGATGATCATGCTGCAGAACATGGTAGAACTCCAATTCATGGATTCTGCTGTTACGGGTTGGGCGAGGGGGAAGAAGCTGGGAAGAGAAGCAAAAAGAAAAGTCAGCCGGATTGGAATCTTCATGTATATATACTTGTAGGGGGAAGGAGGGGGCAGGGGCGGAGGGGGATTCGTGTGTTCTTCTCACGTACCTGAAACACCACAATGGGACCACAAAGCACAGCGCGGCGATGTTGACGGGTAAACCAAATTTCCCCAAAGACCATCTTCGGGGAGGGAGGGGTGCGCCGTAGAGTCTTCTCCATACGAGACAGGCGATGGTGACGAAGTAGCTGCTGAGGACGGAGACTCCTCCGAGACTGTTGATGGCGTTCAAGGCAGTGGAAGAGCCGAGATTGATGCAGGCGAGGAGAGAGGTTGTGATGAAGGAGATGAGGACCGAGCGGAGAGGAATGTTCCAGCCTGGTGCGACGTGGGATATCCAGGTCGAGCCGGGGACGCCGTTGTCTCGTGCGAAAGACCTGTGATGGTTGAAGACGTTGAGAGGTTAGCGAGGACTCACTCTTATGTGCAGGTGAAGTAGAACAGTGGCCTGTCTACAAGCTCCGCACACCCTAGCTTGCGCATGAGCTAGCGTGAGTTCATGAGCTCAGGGCACGCCTGGGAGATTGGGGGGGTTTTTTTCTTTTCTTCTACTAACCATAGTTGGCGGGAGGCCGTAGCTACTTCGCTGATGCAGCACGAAGTCAGGCAAACGATGACGATCGCTACCATGATGTTCGTTGCCGCGAGACTTCCTGTACCATTGTAGAAGACTTGAATGAAAGGCTGTCCCGTGGCAGTTTCGAGTAATTTGGAGGGGTCGCCGGCGACGAAGCAGAGAGTCACAGCCATGAGGAAGCCCAGTACTGCGTTCGGTCCCACTGTCCATATGATGGCTCGAGGCATGGCGATGGATGCGTCGAGAAGTTCCTCACTCATGTGGACGCTACAATCGTAGCCGATTAATGCTGTGAGAGGGGTAGTCAAGCCAATCATGGTGGCGATCCCCTGGCTCGGCCAGCCGCCGTTGTTCGTAAACGAGAGCAGAACGTCGGGATGAGCTCGTGGGCTCAACACCCATAGCGGAATGAAGACTGCGAAGAAGCCCGCGATGTGGAGCATCAGTATGACACCTTCGACAAGGGGCAGTCGTACAGCGAGGATCGTGTTGAAAATGACGGCAAAGGTCACGATCGCAATGGTCAGGAGCGTGGCATGCCATCGATCGAATTCGTAGTCCGGATAGTTGAGTGCAATGAGTCCTTGGATGATGCCTCCCACCATGAATGCGACACTCGCGAGGAAGACTTGCCAGCCGGTACAGCACAGCCAGCCGGTCATGTAGCTCAGAATCTTCTGATATTTGGGAGGCGCAAACTCAGAGCTGTACCTCTGATCAGCGGATACTCGACAGAAACTTTCTGCATCATGTTGTGCATGTGTATATCTTACACCCAATGGTATTGACCTGGGAGACAAAGTGGCAAAAGGTCAGCAGGTATGTTTTGGATGTGAGGAAACCTTTTTTTTCAAGCGATAATTGTAGGAACACGCTTACCTCCTGCCGTCGGACACATGCTGACCATTTCAGCCAAGCTGGCGTACACCAACAACATGCCCACTGCCACAGCTATGAAGCCCCAGAAGAGTGTTCCGTAGCCACCGTCTATCAAGACGAAGACGAAGACGGGTAAGATGACTTCCCACGAACAGATGACGGTCGATCCAAAGCCCAGCATCGTCACAAACCTGAAGTTGCGCCTCAAGACCTGCTTTTTGCCCAGAACAATCATGTCGCGTTGGTCCGAGGGCGTTCCCATGTATTTCGGCGCCACTGAGGGCACCGAAGTGGTCTGCTTGTTGTCGGCGAGAGCCTCTTCCATGGTCAATTCCACCTCCACGCCCGTGGTGGTCTCGCGGCTCTTGTCCATGATGGGCAGTGAACCGTTCTTGTTGTTCCTCCGACAATCAGCAAGCAGTTGGTGAAGTAGCGACTAGCGCATGACAAGAAAGGTACATGTAGAAGTGAAGTGAATGAAGGGTTGAGGGAGGCGATGTGAGCCGCGGGCGCGGGATGTCATCTGATTGACAGGCTAGGTAGGTAAGGTAGGTGAATGGATCATGGTGCTACGGTCGTAGTCGTACTGACGGGACTGCTGTCCAGATGCCGACGGGAGCTGGTGGAGCCCGAGAGGACAGCCCTGCTGCTGCTGGCTGCTGGCTGCTGGCGCCCTGGAAGTCTGGAAGTCTGGAAGGCTGGAACATCCATCTTACCTGATAATAATTCTGATTGTTGCATGGCGATGCGCATGGGGAATGGTGATGTCCTGGCGCTGCTACTGCCACGCAGCGACGGGGGTTTCCTGGATGTTCGGGAGCCGCTACCGAGGCGAGGCACAGTGCAGCGACAATGCTGCTACCGAGCCTGGCGAAAGTACAGAGTTCATCACACTGTCACTATGAATCTGTGATATGAGTTACATGTACCTGTACCTCTGTATTGGATATGCCTGTCATAATGTCATTACCAGACTCTTGATTCCTGCCACTGGAACTGGGAACCCGTGACCCGGTACAGTACAGTACAGGCTGAGACTGAGGCTGGTCTGTCCTCCGCTTCGCCTCGTGCAAGCGAATGATATTCCCATTCCAGGGTCTCCAGGGTCTACATAGGAGGTACACGAGAAGTCGAGCATCCATGAATTCCATCACATACTGTGCCGCGCTAAAAACTGCTTGGAGGCTAGCGTTTGAAAGCCTATTTTTTTACCTCCTAGTCTATAGCCTATCGTACGCGAAAAACTTTGTTTCGACTCCCCAACTCCCTTTCCCTCTTCTCCCCCCATTCCCGGTCCCGTCCCTTTATTGCTCGATCATCCTCATCTACTGCATTGCATTTCCGTCGTGTCCTGCAACTGTGCCTGCTCGAGCATTGCCGCCAATCGGCACTCTCCAGCTCGAGCATGCTAACATCATTATCATCACCATCGCTAGCAGGGACAAGACTTCTGCGTACCTGCAGTGGGTGCTTCAATGAAGAATTGACCGGACCGCTGGATGAGAATGGCGCCGCCCGTGGTGATGATATGTAGATACATCATACATGTAAGGAATACAGGCAAGGTAGATAAGATGAGCTGCTCGCACTCTGACACTTGCCAAGAACCATGCTTCCATCCCACGTGTACGCGATATCGACCTTCGGTCCTTCGCATGGTCGCATCCATGGAGCCATTGACGATAACTTTAGCCGTGGCTTGCTCAGGACTTCAGGTGCAGCTTCTACTTCCAGATAAAAGCATGTCGTGCCGGGTCTCGAAACCGTGAATGTCTCCGTTAGATCCACGGCAGGCCGATCGTCCCTGAGCCACGAGGTGGCGAGCATACCGGACTTCTTCTGGATGGCGGTCACAGCGACAGGCATCTTGTGTCGCAACCTCCCAGGTCCAGGGACGTTCAGAGCTCTTCATCATGCTTTCAAACGGTCACGCACACGCGTGTGCGCGCGCGCAAGTCAGGTAAGCTTAGTGTTAAGAACCTTCACGACCCGCATAGCGTGAGCGTGCGCTATTCGTCTCTGAGCGCGCTTCAGCGTCTCTCCCTCTCTCTTCCCTCACATATATACGCCGCCGACACATATCTCTCTGTGTGCATGGGACAATCTGCACCCTCCGTAGTGCCAGAGGGCTACTACCCACCCTTTGCCGTCATTACTGATGAAGACAAGGGAGGATGGATCATCATTGCGACGGCACTGGGCATGGCCATGGCACTGCTCTCGACTGGTCTCCGTGTCTATGTGAAAATCATGTCGAGGCACCAAGGTGGACTGGATGACTTGTGCTTAGCGGCCGGCACGGTCTTCGCCTTTGCGCAGCAAGGCGTCGTGTTGGGAGCATGTAGTCACGGCTTGGGGAGGACCGTGGACTTGCTTTCCTCTACTGAGCTTCGAAATGTCGAGAAGGTGGGTGATACGCGGCGGGGCTGCGGATACCGGCTGACCGTGAGCAGTCCTTCTACGCCAGCCAGCTACTCACCATTCTGGCTTTGGGTCTTTGCAAGTCGTCCATTGCATACTTCATCATGCGCTTGACGCCTCAGACTTCCGTCCGGACGGTGCTCTACGTGTTCCTGATCTGCACCGCTCTCTGGATCATCGCCTCCATCTTCACCCTGGCGTTGCAGTGCGACTTGCATGTCCCATGGTCTCTCTCATCAGGCGCCTGTGAAGGGGTGTACAGACGACTTCTTGCTGTTGGCATACTGGACATTGTGCTAGAAGTTGCTCTGTTCGCATGCGCTGTCCTGCTGGTGTCACGACTCCAGACCAAGTTCCTCAAGAAGTTCATGGTCATCATCGCGTTTGGTCTGCGGCTGCCAATCATCGTCGTCATCATCGTCCGCTTGACGACGTTCGACGCAGACTCGATCACCGACTTTTCGCGAACCGCATCACTGTATGTGGTCTGGACGGTAACACAGATCAACTTCTCCCTCGTATCCACCACCTTGCCGATCCTCAAACCGTTCATCAGAGACCTCAACACGTTCTACGGTGCCCTGCAACCTAACGAGTACTCGCGCGGCAGTTCCTACGCGACCTCGTACGCGCTGTCGCAATTGAAGAGCAAACGATCAGACGGTACACAGGGCCGAAGTAAGAAAACATCGGCCTCCGATGCGCACGACTCCGTCGACCTTGGCACCGGACTGCATCAGGGGTCAGAGCCGGCTATAACGACGAAGATCCACGCAATGAGTACCCCATCGAGGTCTGATACGACACGCAGTCAAAACAGCATAGCAGCGGAGGAAGCTCAGACGATGTTCATTCATGTAGACACCCAGTGGGAAGTCTCGGTTGCACGGGAATCCACCTCTGTTCGTCCTTATCCATAGCGGTACATATCATCATCATGCGGAATTGCTACAACAGTGGTCAGATTCATCGTCAACCGGCAACTCTGTTGTTTTCTGGCTATACACCTTGTATACCTCCGTCACACTTGAAAAATCCAAAAACCACATTGCCAATGGTCTGGAAGTCATGGGCTGCGTGTGAAGCAACTCACGAGGTGATGGCGATGAACTTTTAGTTCGATTCTTTCGCTATGGTATACAACATAAGGTAGTCAGGCGTTGTCCATGCAATCCCTACTGTAAAGGGACGCTCTTGTGGTCTTTGGCGTTCGAATGGACATGATGTGTTATGGAAGGCATTTCTGAGACCAACGCCAGCTACATATATGTAGTGGATACATCCGATCATTGTCTTCCAATATATTGTCCTTCCATTTCATCCTGCACGCCTGTGATGAGTAGTAGTATCCTGAGACTATGCTCAGGATCTCATGCTGAGCAGTAGGTTGTTGACAAAGGAAGCCGGAATCAAAGGAGGAGGGATTTCTGTCGTTTGAGCATCATAACGAGGCAGGCAGGGCTGGGCTGGACTAGCTATTTCATCTCGACCTTTGAGAGATCGGAAAGAGAGCTGAAAAGGTGAATTCAGCCAGGTGTTGATGTTCACACATTGAAGTACATCCCGAGGCTGCGAGTGATGAAGGATGTGCGAATATGTTGATGACATTGTTGGTGACAATCCGAATAGTGGAGTCGGGTCGGGAGAGGAAGTGGAAGTGGTGGAGAAGGAATTGACGGTAACGTGACATTTGCCAAGATTTCACCAAACGATTCGGGCTTAGCGTTGGTTCTGGCACACATCGCAAAAGCTGCAACTCAGAATCTCTCTCTTTCGAACTTCAGGTCCGCTGTGACAAGAAATTCGACAACACCTCACCATCCACCATGTCGCACCGAAAGTTCGAAGCGCCTCGTCATGGCTCGCTGGCTTTCTTGCCACGCAAGCGCGCTGCCCGCCACAGAGGAAAGGTCAAGAGGTACACAATGATACTGCATTCTTATTTGCGGCGGCCAGCATGATGTGAAGAAATTGAGCATTGGCTGACGAGAATGGTTCACAAACAGCTTCCCTAAGGACGACCCCAAGCAGAAGTGCCACTTGACCGCCACCATGGGCTACAAGGCCGGCATGACCACCATTGTCCGCGACCTCGACCGTCCTGGCGCGAAGTTGCACAAGAAGGAGATCGTCGAGGCATGCACTGTCATCGAAACTCCTCCGGTACGAGTGTCGGCGCCAATACCATTCATGGCATGCGCTTACCCGTACACTACAGATAATCGTCGTTGGTTTGGTGGGATACATCGAGACTCCTCGCGGCCTCCGCTCGTTGACTACTGTCTGGGCTGAGCACCTGTCGGACGAGGTCAAGCGCCGCTTCTACAAGAACTGGTACAAGAGCAAGAAGAAGGCCTTCACCAAGTACGCCAAGAAGCACGCCGAGGAGAGCGGCAAGAGCATCACCCGCGACCTCGAGCGCATCAAGAAGTACTGCACCGTCGTGCGTGTACTCGCCCACACCCAGATTTCCAAGACCCCTCTCAAGCAGAAGAAGGCCCACCTGATGGAGATCCAGGTCAACGGTGGCTCCATCGCTGACAAGGTCGAATTCGGCCACGGCCTCTTCGAGAAGCCTGTGGAGATTGACTCCGTCTTTGAGCAGGACGAGATGATCGACTGCATCGCCGTCACCAAGGGTCACGGATACCAGGGTGTCACCAGCCGTTGGGGCACCAAGAAGCTGCCGCGTAAGACACACAAGGGTCTCCGCAAGGTCGCTTGTATCGGTGCATGGCATCCTTCCCACGTGCAATGGACTGTTGCCCGTGCTGGTCAAATGGGTTACCACCACCGTACCTCTGTCAACCACAAGGTGTACCGCATTGGCAAGGGCTCCGACGATGGCAACGCCACTACCGACTTTGACCACAGCAAGAAGCAGATTACACCGTACGTTACTCCTCCCTCTTCACCCTTTGATCCATGGATGTCCGCACTAACACAAACTCTAGTATGGGTGGCTTCGTTCGCTACGGTGAGGTCAAGAACGACTTCGTACTCCTCAAGGGCTCTGTTCCTGGTGTCAAGAAGCGAGTCATGACCCTCCGCAAGTCCATGTTCATCCACACCTCCCGCCGTGCACTCGAGAAGGTCGAGCTCAAATGGATCGATACCTCGTCCAAGTTCGGTCACGGTGCTTACCAGACACCTTCCGAGAAGAAGCAATTTATCGGTACACTCAAGAAGGACTTGACTGCTGCCGCATAATCGTCTGTTAGCGTCACGAAAAAAGGCTGGTATTGGCGTTCTTACGGTCCTGTCAGAGTTCGGCGAAGGCTCACAGGACTGTATCGGCTTGCAGGGTAGTTTGTTCAAATGATACCAAAACAACGTTCTGCCTGTCGCTCACATTTTCCTTTTTGTTTCCCTGACTCGTATCTAAATGTATGTATTCCTCAGTAGTCGCTCTCAGCGGTCAGACGCACGTGGAAGACCTGAGGCGTGGGCATAGACACCTCGCCATCGGCAACTCCCGTCACTTTGAGTGAATTGAGTACATTAGTATGCCGAATTGGCAAAACAACAATCTATTGCGCAAAGCAGCAACACAATGGGTTCACCGGTCAGCTGCATGGCACAGTGAATGACAATCCCTAATTGAAGTGACACAAAGGTAAGTAGGTGCCGTATCTTCCTCTTCTTCCTCTTCTCAAATTCCAATGCCAGCAGCCACATCAAACTTCCAGCCCTCACCACTGCTATATGTGTCACACACACATACACACCTACCAAAGGTACCTAGACTTCCAATCAATCAAGAAATCACCTAATTACCGACACGATTCAGAGAGTACAAAACGACAAACCCGCACATTCCGACACGCCAAAAAACTTCAGCCCCCATCAACCTCCACCTCCACCTCCACCTCCAACTTCACCTCCACCCGCACAGAATCAATCACCATGTCGGCCACTCCGAAGCTCGATTCTTGCCTAGAGTCTATGAAAGGCTACCTCATCCGCTACATGACCGTCCATCGCCCCGGCCCGCTTCCTGAATACCTCGTCATTTGCGCCGGACACCCTTGTCGGAAAGTGATGGTCAGTATTGTCAGTAAAGAGCAATTCGAGCATCTGAATCGCGAAAACGATCAAGTTATGGTGGATGATGAATATGAGGTGGAATTGTACTGGACTGCGAGGAGGAAGAGGGAGGAAGAGGAGAGAATTTCACTGCTGAAGAAGGGGAAGGAGAAGGAGAAGGAGAAGAAGGGAGATGAGGAGGTGAGGGAGCGGGAAAAGAGGATGACGAAGCGGATTCTTGACTTTGATATTCTTGGTCGACCGAGGCCAAAGCAGACTTTGAATTTCAATGGGGTTGATTATGAAATCATACTGAAGGATAGTCCGGTGGGCGCGGAGTGTTGGTGTGACGAGGAACAATTCTGCGGATTGTTCAAGGCGCAAGGTACCCAAATCTTGATGAAGGAGGATGGGACTTTTTTCACGGAGGAAAAAGCCGTTGCGAAGGAGGATGTATTGTTCTTTGATCTGATCGCTGTTGCGAATGAGAAGGCGGCTGCGGACGCTCTGCGGGAGGAGGAGGAAAAGCGTAAAGAGGTACATGGAGTGTTTTCGGACCTTTCGTCACCGTTCGTACTAACTTTCTCAATGCAGACGAGAAAAGCGAAGAGAGATCGACAGAGGGCCGCGAAGAAGGCCGCGGAGGAGGCTGCGCGTGAGGCCAAGGAGCGTCGAGATAGTATGACGCCTTAGACATCTGGTATCAATATTGAGGCCTTGAACTTCTCTCGTATCGTGGTCCCAGGCCACGTCGCCCCATACACAATCAGCACCCAAGCGAGCAGATGCTCTGAAAAGGGGACGGTACAATCCTATGATTTTCTTCTCGAGCACCACGGTTTCAACAGGCAATCCGCAATGAATGAGTGATGGAGACCATGTGTCTCGCATACTCCCTCTCCAGTCGTGAGTCGTACGCAATGACAGTTGAGATACAAGTGGTGTGGCAAGAGAAGGTGTTTTCGATGTGGAGATGAATAATCATCCGTCGGCTTTCTCCTTTCCTGGATTTTGTTCGTCTGCCACGCTATGTGTGAGACATTCGGCAGAAGGCGGGAGGTGCTTCGCTGTAGCAAGCCATGGATTCATGGTTCCTCTCCATCGTTGACCAACATCGTCTACATACAGCCGGGGGCTGGCAGAGGATTGGCAGAAGCATCGAGACGCGCTTTTACGCTTCTCTGCCTCCCTCGACCACGAAGTATTTCCCAAGCTTTTTGCTCGCACTACCAAGCACATCCCACTTCGCTTCTGTGACAGCCTCCCTCCTTCTTCGCACCCTCTGATGATGTTTGCCTCTGATCTCCTCCTTTTCAAGAGCAGGTCTTAGTGCCTCCAGCCCCAATTCTGCCTCTTTCTGCCCCTGAACTGTCTCGTCCCTCAGACTCCTCAATGGTTCTACCCCTGTGGCATCCACATTCTGCACATCTCTTGCAAAGTGCAACTGTGAAGAGAGTGTAGAGAGCATTTTCCGTTCTTCTGCTTCATCCTTCGGTAGAGGGAGAGCGGAGAGCCGTAAAAGGTGATGGAGCTGTCTGGAGGTGACTTGCGCCGAGGAGCTACTGTTGGTGGGAAGCAGGGAGGATACAGACCATGTTGGCGTTGCGAGGAGCTGTTCAATGTCAAGCACGGGCTTGTGACTGTACGATCGGACAGTACTACCAGCCCCTAGTGTGGCGATACGCAGGCAGCTCCTGGACGCTTGCATGTTGACGCTGAACACTCACGTACCGATGCTGCTAGGAGTGTTCAGGCTGTGTTGACGATACAGTAGGTAATGTACATACATAGAAACATCAGTATGAGATGATGAAGTTACGTAGGTGAGGCAAGGTAGGGGCTCGCGTGGCTTGGCGTTGACGATCGAGCTCTCACCTCAAGCTTCTGGCGATGGCTTCCAGGTTGACCTCCTCTCACAAACCACCCACAGACCACCCGGTATTGCGACAACAGCCCAGCGCCTGTCCAAACTACACCGCGTGCGCCCAATTGCCCCGCGCGCCTTTGCCTCCCACCGCCACACCACGCTCGCCCACTCGTCAATACTCCTCGCCTACTACTAATAGGTCACCACCCATTGTACTCCGCCGCTTCATCGTTCGCAGCCATGGCCAAGGGCGAGGACCTCGATCCTCGCATGATGCGGGTGACGCCGCGCGTGCGATACAACACCATCGGTGGCATCAATGGCCCGCTGGTCATGCTGGAGAATGTACGAACCTGATAACCTGTCCAGAAGAGCAGCATATTAAAGAGCGAGCACTAAGCGTTGGCAATACAGGTCAAATTTCCACGATACAATGAGATTGTCTCTTTGACTCTTCCAGATGGTACGGAGAGGTCAGGGCAGGTGCTCGAAGCAAAGGGTATGTCTCGATCTGGCAGACGAAGGATATATACGTGGTCGCATCAGAAGCTGATATCTGGTCTGCAGGCAACCGTGCTGTTGTTCAGGTCTTCGAGGGCACATCAGGCATCGACGTCAAGAAGGTGCGCAGCGAGCAGATAGAGAAGGAAATGGCCGCAATGGCAAGACTAACATGGCCCAGACGAAAGTCGAGTTCACAGGTCACAGCTTGAAGCTCGGAGTATCAGAGGATATGTTGGGTCGCGTCTTTGATGGATCCGGACGAGCAATTGACAAGGGGCCAAAGGTCCTGGCTGAGGATTACCTGGACATCAATGGGTCTCCTATCAACCCATTCTCTCGGGTCTACCCCGAGGAAATGATCTCCACGGGTATCTCTGCCATTGACACCATGAACTCGGTCGCCCGTGGCCAGAAGATCCCCATCTTCTCTGCATCTGGTCTTCCTCACAACGAAATTGCCGCACAAATCTGTAGGCAGGCAGGCCTGGTCAACCAAGGAAAGCCCACCAAGGGTGTTCACGACGACCACGATGACAACTTCTCGATTGTTTTCGGTGCCATGGGTGTCAACTTGGAGACTGCGCGATTCTTCACCAAGGATTTCGAAGAAAACGGCAGTATGGAGCGTGTCACACTTTTCCTCAACTTGGCCAACGACCCCACGATTGAGCGCATCATCACTCCTCGTCTCGCACTTACTACCGCAGAGTACTACGCCTATCAATTGGAGAAGCACGTTCTGGTCATCCTGACAGATCTGACCTCGTACTGCGATGCTCTTCGTGAAGTTTCTGCAGCACGAGAGGAAGTCCCGGGTCGTCGTGGTTACCCAGGTTATATGTACACTGATTTGTCCACCATTTACGAACGTGCTGGCCGTGTCGCTGGCCGAAACGGTTCCATCACTCAGATTCCAATCTTGACAATGCCTAACGACGGTAAGCACGCCCGGAAAACCACACACTACTCTGCACGCAGCTAACGGGTACATTCACAGATATCACACATCCCATTCCCGACTTGACCGGTTACATCACGGAAGGCCAAATCTTCGTTGATCGTCAACTGGACAACAAGGGTGTCTACCCTCCCATCAATGTCCTTCCCTCTCTGTCCCGTCTGATGAAATCCGCCATTGGTGAAGGCCACACTCGCAAGGACCACTCGGACGTTTCCAACCAGCTCTACGCCAAGTATGCCATTGGTCGTGACGCGGCATCCATGAAAGCCGTCGTTGGTGAGGAGGCTCTTTCCAACGAAGACAAGCTATCGCTGGAATTCCTGGAGAAGTTTGAGAAGACGTACATTTCGCAGGGCATGTACGAGAAGCGATCGATCTTTGATGGTCTCGATAAGGCGTGGGAGTTGTTGAGAATCTACCCCAAGGAGTTGTTGAACCGAATTCCGAAGAAAGTGTTGGATGAATACTATCAGAGGTCGAGCAAGAAGGAAGGTAGCAAGGATACGAGAGATAATGGGGAGGAGAATGGTGGCGAGTCTGGCCAACAGCAAAATGGTGGAAATGATAATTTGATTGATGCATAAGGTATGTAGTCAGTCAGATACCTCACTATGGCGAGAGAGTGTGAGCTGCAGTGCACAGGATGAAAACGTTTTTGTATCTATCTACTACCAGGCAGAACGAGGAAGCGAGCAGGCATGCACATACCTAATCATCGTTTTGCCACCAAGCAGCAACTGCGAAAGCAGACGACCTTCTCCCGCATCCACCCACACAGGTAGAGTACAGATGAAAGCGTGATATGCCCGTGCAATAGGAGAGCAATTGCTCGGAGGTGATGCAGAACATGCGTATCCTGTAACAACACAACGAAGGTCAGCTTGGAGTCCACGTCCACAAAAGAGCAAAGTATCATGTGTAGAGTGATTTGTGCTGGTTGGTTGGGGTCAGACATCCAAGGAAGATTGCGCCCTCATTTACCCCCGAAATAGGTTCTTGGTGGGGGATAGAGTGAAAACTGCGAATGTGGTATGTGTTTCATCATCCGGCTGATGGTGGAGGAGGTGGTAGGGGATGTGATGGAACTGACGTTGAGGATTGTTTTTTTTTTCTTTCATGGCGGTCGACCGACTCACACAACGGCGGCGGTGCAGGCGCGTTGTTGAGGGAGAAGGGTTTCTGGAGACACTCTCAAATTAGCAGCTGCGAACAGATGTTTGTGGATGGCTTGAATGCGAGGAGTGTGTTGATATGTCAGACAAGAGTTACTGGCAAGTATACATCCAGCCGGCGAAGGCGGACGAGAAGTCAAGATTTCTTCAAGGGCGACTCAGTTGGGAAAAGAAGACATGAATTTCGGTTGTCATCTTTCAAATATGGTGGATTGTGATGGTGGGGAGAGGCGAAGGAGAGATACGTACGGCATGAGAAGGTGTTGATGGGCGTTGTATGTTGTGGTGGATGGTGTGGTATTGATGGTGAAGCAGTGAAAATAAATTTGGGTGAGCAAAATAAAGACGGGTTCGGGCACTGACGGGCCGCAGATAGGGCGCTCCATCGCATAAAGTCGTGGCACGGCAGGAGACCGACTCACCGACCGAGAAAGCTGGGACGACCCACGATGAGAGTGGAGTGGAGGTTGGAGTCGCCCGTTCGAGGATCAAGACTGATGAAGCCGTCGGTGGTGGATGGGGCCAGAGTGGACACGAGCAGGTGGCTGGCTGGCTCTGTGATGCCATATCGATTACCCCATGTACAGCATACCAATCCATGCTTCGATATAGACTATGGTACACGAAGAACAGTCCCATCCAAGGTGTAGAGGCCTGGGGCATCGCTGACTGTCTTTTTCCTGAGGTGTCGTCGGTGTGGTCGAGATAAGGCAGCAGAAAGCGCGGCAGTGTGTCACTACTAGATCGGACAGTGAATGGCCTACCTACCTAGGCCACGACCTCCCCGTCTCCCGCGCCCGCTTGTCTTGTCTGCTCTGGCTCGCTCGCTCGCCGACTGTGCAGCGTCCGTGTTGTACTCTCTGGATACTACCTGACCACCTGCTACCTACTCCTCTGCTCCTCTCCTCTCCTCTCCTCTGTCTCCCTACCTATCCCCAGCCGCAACCACCATGCGCCGCATACGCTGATCCCCGATACGACACGACACCACTGTTGCCTGTCCCCCCGAACCGAGCGGGCGCAGTCAGGAACGTCCCATCCACACACCCCCCCAGCCCTACACAGTGCCACTTATTAACCTACTCGGACGGACTGATCGACGGCTTGCCGTCACTTCGACCTGTCGGTACTCTGAACACCGGGTCTCCCGCATCTCGTCGCGGCCGCACACGACCCAGATCGCGTACATCTGCGACTGCGACGCTCCTGTTGGCCCTATACCGCCGCCGACACCACCCTGTTACACGCCGTGCCGAGCAGTACCTGCCGCGCCGCCGGTCTTGCTTTCGGCTGACCCGCTTGTTTTTCGTCGCATTGTATACCTACATCCGCGTGTCGCGACACCTGCCTACACGCTGGACTCGCGCCTCCCTACACACCGCGCCGAATCACCCTATGCATTGCTGTTACGGCCTGGAGACTGCTGCTCGACCGCTCTCAGGCCGGCGGCACAGACTCGCGACTTCGTTGAGCCGGACCGCAGCACATACCGCGCTACACGCGCTCTGGTCGCCCACGCGTAAGACAGTATCAAGTGCGCCAATATGATGGCCGCATACCAACCGACGCCTGGAGGCGTACATCCAGGCTTACAGCACGGTCACCCAGGAATGGGACCCAATCCCGGGCAACATATGGGGCAGCCAATGCAGATGCATCCAGGTGTGTCTGGCGCGCCACACCAAGGAGCCATGATGGGGATGCAGCCTGGCGCCAACGGTATGGGTCCTGGGGGAATGGGTGGACAACATCCAGGTGCTGGAATGGCTATGGCCGCGCACATGGGCGGTCAGAGCATGGCTGGCGGAATGCCGAATGCACAAGCTCTGAGCCAGATGACACCCCAACAACAGCTGGCCCACCACCACCAACAGCAACAACAGTTCGCAGCGAGTAAGTCGGCGCGCATCGCCCCGAGCACGAAGCTCGGAAGAGGGACAAGAGAATGCGATATGCAGTGAAGACTAACAAGTTCTCATAGTGGCTGGACAGAATCCCCAATTTGCCATGCAGCAGCACCAAATGCGCCTGCGGCAGCAGGCACTGATGCAGCAAGCGCAAGCGAGCGGCATGATGAACGTGAATCAACCGGGCATGCAGATGAACCCACAACTGGCGCAACTCCAGCAGCAACAAGCGGCTCAGCAAGCGGCGCAAGCAGCTGGTCAACCAGTCCAGCTCACTCCCAACCTTCAGCAGCAGCAGATGCAGATGATGCAACAGCAGGCTATCCAACGACAACAAGCTGCTCAGCAGCAGCAGCAACAACACCAACAGACACAACTAGCTCAGCAGATGGCCATGCAACATGCGAACTCGCAGCAGAGCAACCCAGGCCAAGCTGCTCCTCCCAACCCCCAAAACCAGGCTGCTAACGCTGCTGCACAACAAATGCGGCCGCAATCCCGAGTAGCAAACCCTAACGAGCAAACTCCCAATAGCCAACAACAGCATTCGCAGCAAAGCCCGGCCCAGCAAGCTCAGGCGCAAGCTCAGCAGACTCCTCAGCAAGGCCAGGCTGCAAATCCACAGCAACAAGCGCCGCAACAGCAACAAATGACGCAGGCACAAAGGCACGCATCCATGGCGTTATTTCAGAGGCAGCAGGCGATGCAAGCAGCGCAAGCGAACAGATTGGCCCAGCAACAACAGCAAGCAAATGCGCAGGGTGGTATGTTCATCCTCAAGCTGATGAACTTCAACGACCACCTCAGCAACTTCTCCCTGGACAACGACAACCCTGCGGCCAACGGGAAGGACATCACGCACTGGCATAACTTCGTTGAGAAGCATTTCGCCGCGGATGGACGACTGATTCACAGCTTTCCCAATACTGATCACAACGGCAATCCAAACAGGAAATCGTATGAGGTTCTGCGGCCGAATGTTGCACGCTACTTCTATACATATTTCGACTCCGGCGCTAGTTCGCTCCGCCTGCATACAGAACATGCTCGAGAGGCCCCACATCCCACTACTGGTGGACAACAAGTCACGTGTCAGAAAGCCATTTTCTCGATCGCTTATCCGAACGGGGCCCGTCTCGAGATGACGGGCTCACTCCAAGTGCTGTTCTCTGCTGGCAGCGATACCATCGAGTGCCTGTCTTTCCAGACGACGAGCACAGAAGAAACTTTATCAAGGGGCCAGATCGAGAGGGTCTTGGCTGACTTCTCTCCCACCATGTCTCATAAGGCATCTCCAAAACTGGCGAAGAACAAACTTCCCAAGGCGCAGCAGAAGCTACAAGAAGCAGAAAATCGAATCACGATAGATCACTTCCCCAAGACACCCAAGGGGACGATGGGATTCACATCCAAAGTACAGCATTTCCTAGAGGTGAGCGCAGAGCAATGGCCCGGCCATACCGAAGCATCAATCTAACAGTTTAATAGATTGGTGAAACTATGAACATCATGTCAGACTTGATGCATGCAGCACAAGAGAAGAAATTGCGGCCTGAGCAGGCACTCGAAGCTCTTGTAGGAGAGTGGGAGCAAGGCGGGAATCCGCAAATCCACTTCCCACCGAACGGCGCAGCTCAAGGGTCAAGAACACCCAGTATGGCGAACATGCAAATGGGCCCAAACGGACAATTCTCTTCGCCGAGCATGTCTCACATGAGCCTTCCCATTAACGGCTCCCCTCACATTGGCCATCACGGCAATCTCGCGCCGGGCATGAACATGGCTAATTCGCATACTCCTTCACCGCATCAATTGCATATGGCCGCCCCGCCTATGATGCCGCAGCACAGTGCGCAGGGCACGAGTAGCAGCATAGCCAGTGAGAACACGAGCCCAAACCTCAACAACAACAATAAGCGAAGAAGGAGTACAGTGAAAATGGAAGGCGACGACCACGATTCGGCTAGAGTGAAACCCAGCCCACGCCTTGGGAAAAAGGCCAAGCCATAGAACTACTCGCATTTCCAGCGGCAAGAGAGCCAGAATCGCCCGGTCACTACCTACACTCGCGATCCCTGGGATCGTTACAGTCCATTCCGAAGTCAGCACCACCAGAGGCAGGTGCATGGAGTGATCTTCAGGGACGCCTAATTCAGGGACATAGAATGAGCACAGTGCGCTCATGACTTGTTCTTTCCCCTGGCAGGGCTCCATCGCCAGACAAAGAAGCGCACAGCCTGCATGCGACCACTGTCTCGACAATGCAGATATGAGCGACACCTTCGGTTACCCTGGCGGATGGACGTGGCAAAGCAACATCACTGGGAATTGGTCACGACGAATTGAAACGGCGTTGGTAAGAAGGCGGAGTAGGAGTACGGAAGCAAGAAGGAGCCTTCCGATTCCTCAACCCAAGGAGGCAAGGAGGCAACATTGTTCTGATGTGACTGGATATATGCGAAGAAGGTGACTTTTACGACTACCCTTATAGCGCGGCGTTGTCCATTGTACTGTTTTGAAGATCCATCGTACTGTTTTTGAGAAAAAGAAAGAGAGAGAAGAGAATAGCGAAGCGAGGAGTCAGAAAGAGAGCGAGAGAAGAGAGACAAACTCGAGAAGATCTGTCCCCAGGATAATGCGTGCGGCTTGCTCTTTTCATCAGTCGGCGCTGAACTCATGCATGTGAGCGTGGTTTGAGATGATGTGAAAGCCTTGTTTTTGTTTTCTTTTTGGAAAAAAATTGCATGTTTGAATGAATGATATAGTAGGTGTATGGGAATGAGGGAGGACAGGTAGTGGGGTATGTAAGCATTTGTACGATATAGCAGAATCGCAATTTCATATTTGTTATCTGGGCCAGAGCCAGTGTCGATTGCTTTTCTTTTCTTTTTTTTTCTCGTTAAGGTAGAATTGACAATGGTGAGTACGAGACACCGACAGGTGTGTGATACATTGTATGTTCTCACACATTATACTCACTAGGTAGTTCAGCATTGGAGAGCTTAGAGCTTAGAGCTTAGAGCTTCACGATTCATTTTGGATCCACTATACACACCCTGTGCTATCGCGCACAGGGTATGTTTTCTCTGACAGTTGCTGAGAGGGACCCTCAAAGCGTTCCACGCGACCCTCTATAGCTTGCTTCACGGCTCTGTCTCCCTGTGATACATGTTGCTGCTAGGTATCATTAGTTGAAGCTTCAACGGACATCAGATCTAGCAGAGCAATGAGCGGGTTTTCGTGGTCATTGAGATATTCTGTAGCTCTCCGACAGCTGTTTGGAGCTCTCCATCTCCGATACTCGCTCGATCGAGTAGTCCACGAATCAGGAATTTTACTTGCGCGTGATGCTTTTCAAACCTTGGTCGCATTCGCCAACCGCAGGTTGCTCTGCCTGAACACTTGCAGTGCCCTCGGTATCTCAAAAGTCCTTGCGAGTGTCATAGTCCTCACGACAGTACTTGGCATTATCATCTACGAATACCCTCCGGTCAAGCCGCCTACAATCTTCAGGCCACCTGGGTCACCCGAATATGCGACGGCATGTCTGAGCGGATGCCAAGCAGCCCATGTCACAGCATTGGTCGTCTCTAATTTGACGACCTCCTCTCCTGTTTCCACATGCCAGATGCTGAGACCCTTCTCGTTGTCCTTCAGAGGATCGAGGCCACCCCCAGCAGTCAGGTAGGCGCCATCGTAACTAAAACTCAAGTCTCTCACAGCTCCCGCGGCTTCCATGAGGGTGTGATCGACGAGCCAAGTATTGGTGTTCCAGAGGGTGATAAGGCCATCTGTGCCGCCCACTGCAATGTGGTTACCCGTTGGGCTTTGCTGGACCGAGTAAGTCGAGCCGCTGTGAGCAACTAGATGATGAATGGGCTGCATAGACGGGTAAGAGAGGACTTTGACGGGACCTTCCGTCGTTGCTGCGAGAATGTGGGAGCCAGAGTTTGTGAAAGCCATCTGATAGAAGGCGCCCTTGTCTTTGGTGGGAGAGCGATCGGTGGGAGTTGCATCGTATCCAGGGAGGTTGCTCGTGGAAGGGGCATTGGCGTTGGGCTCGAGGATCATGGGCGTGTCTGCTTTGCGCACATCCAGCGCAGTGATGACATCGTTTCTCGTGCCCACTAACAATTCTGTGCCGCTGGGGTGCCAAGTGAGGAATAAGGTCTGCTCGCCAGTCTTGTATTCTCCGCTCTTTCCTTGCGCATATCCCTTTGCACCATAGCCGCTGCCACCTCCGCCTCCGCCTCCGCCGCCTCCTCCCGCCAGATTTGTTGATCCACCCGGTAGCCTGACGTCCCAGAATTTGACAAAACCGTCTTGGCCTGTGCTCGCCAGCAGACTTTCCATGCGCGGACTGAAGGCCAGCTTCTCAATAGTGTTACCGTGTGCGCCGGGCTTCGGGCCATCCTGCAATGCGGTTGTCGCTCTCACGTCTGCTCGGTCGGGATTCCACACGCGGATGTTGTTGTGCACATTGTGAGCGACCATGCTGCCGGTGGGAGACCACGAGATGGAGCGGATGTTGGGGGCCATGGTGCTATTCGGCGGCGGCGGTCGTCCCGTCTCATTGAGCACGATGGGCTTCGCCTTCTTGTAGTCGAAGTGGGAAGCGACGACATCTTTGCGCAGGTTGCGCCGTGCGGGTGGAGGTGCCATTGAGGAGAGGGAATGGAAGCTGAGGGGGAAGGACGGCTGAGAGGGAGGTGAGGTTCATCTAAAGTCGATCAATAAGGTACATGTATACTGGAGAATTGCCCCAGCCGACCCATACCGTGCAGGTGGTGGGAAGTGGAGTAAGGGCAGTAACGTGATAAAGGTATCCAGATTCCAAGGAAAGGTACAACGTTGTAGCTCCAGATTCTAGAATAAGGTAGACTAGCGCCAAGGACGATCGGCAGACGGCACATCCATGCCTTCGTTACGGTAGCCAATCGCAAGTCCGCTCGCGCACCCTCACACGTGGAAACCGCAGCTGTGGTAGGAACGGGAAACGTTCCTTCCTGTGCCGCAGAAGCTTCACAGAAGGAGAAGGAGTTCTCGACTCCGGTGCGTGTTGGTATGCTCGCTCCTGTCGTAGTTGTACTCTTCTTCAGCAGTACCACCAGGTAAAAAGAGCCCTGTAGCTGCACCGCCTCGCCCCCCCAGAACACAACAGGACAGCATCCCATCGCTATACTACACCATCTGTCTGCATTCCCACCACTTGCCGTGGCCCGGAGTCCTCTTGCACCGCCACACGCAGCCAGCCAGCACACGCGACCGAGCGATGACGGCGGCAGGCAGATCACCGGCTTCTTGATCGAGACTCTCCATCATGCCCATGTCGAATAACATCAACAACCACAACAGTGGCGGACGCAGCAGTCCGGCCCCGTCGCGCGCTCCCCACCCTCACCACCACCCCTCGTTCCACCACCACCCATATCACCACACGCGCTACACCAGCGACCCCAGCATCGCGCGCCTGTCCGAGAGGACCATTATGGAGCAGCCCGAGGACACAACACGGCCGGTCTTGGATACCTTCGACTCGTCGGGCACCAACTCTAGTGGCAACGATGTCGACGACTACGCCCCTGCCCAGGAAAGCTACAGCGATAGCGATGCTATGTCGTCCTCTCGCCACTTCACGCCCGGCGGCAGCAGTGTGACATATGCCCAGGACGAAGTGACGCCCTTGACCAACGTCTCGACCTATGGCTGGAGTCAACCGGGCTCGAATACCGTGTCGCGAACGAGCACGCGAGGCACCAGTGGGTCCTCTGCGGCACCGCCAGTCACTCCAGGATATGAGGGCTTGCCACCCAACACAACGGCGGCCGTGAGTGCCTCGAGGAGGCCTGCGAACACGAGGAAAGAGAGCAGCAACATATACGCGCCCAATCGAGGGCCTGCAAACTCCATGCGCTACGCTCTGAACACCAATACACGCCCTCGTAACGGATCCACGCATCGACGCAGAAGGAACCCCAACGACGAATATCGGGCGCAGGAAAAGGCGTATGTGCAGAGGATACGACAGGATGCGCCGGACAACGACTTCTACACCGAGCCAAGGACGCCCAGTCTAGACTACAGCTCCGGCAGCGAGTCGGACGAGGCAAGCCCTACCAATGCTAACCACATTGACTACGATCCCGCCGAGGTCGACACGTTGTTGTACTACGGAAATGAGGACCTCGAGCCGTCCGTGGAAGAGCTTAACATCCCTGCAAATCGAGAACGGCTGGAATGGCACGCCATGTTGGCCAATGTGCTCACAGGAGATGTTGTGAAGCAAGAGAAGAAGCGTCTGATTGGTGGTCCTGAACAGCAGGGCGAAAACACATTGAAGACAGAGGTCTGGTTGGGGGTGCGAGCAAAGACATGCGGTCGATCAGTCGCTGCGCAGAGGCGGCTAGTCGAAGACGGCAGATCCAAGGTCAAGCAAACGATAGAATCGATCGTGGCCTTTGAGATCAAGGGCGAAGCAGAAGTTGGCCAATCTCCTATGCAGCAAGTGCAGGATGTTGTCAAAAAGATTGAGAAGATCGAAGGACTCTATCCGACTCGGCAAGCCTTTGAGGCAGCACACCCCCGAGCTGCGTCCGCTGCATATCGAGACACATGTGATGCTGTTATTGCTTGGAACAACACGACGGAGCTCATCAACACCGAGCTGGGTATCCTACAAAGGTGGGTCGGTAATATGGAGCTTGACTTCACAACTGCTCGCGAACGGCCGGAAGGGGAACAGCATAACGAGCTGTTTGACGATAGTTCTTTCATTGATCGCATTCTCAAGGAAGACGGATTGAAATCTTTACAGGGAGACAAGAACCTTCTCAACGGCGTCAACACAGTCATTCATAAGGCCAAAGCTACGTTGATAGCCAACGCCGAAGCCTTTTCAGACCGCCATCTTCCTCCCTACATTGAGGAATTACTCACGCTCATCAACTTCCCTAGTCGACTCATTCAGGAGATTATCCGCATGCGACTCTCTTATGCTAAGAAGATGAAAGACCCAGCACAGCAAGGTGTAATGACTGCTGAGCAAATGATCCTGCAGTTCCAGATCCTTCTTTCACTGGCAGTCAGGATCAAGGAGGCATACCTCGCGATTGCTCAACCGGAATCAGGCTGGGATTTGCCTCCATGCATTGATGATGCTTTCGATTCGGTCGTTCTCGAAGCCCTGAAATTCTACTTCAGAATGCTCAACTGGAAGCTGATGGCAAACAAGAACACGTTCAAAGAAGCTGAGATTCTCGAACAGGAGTGGGACTTTTCTAACGAACTCGGTCGTCACCTTGATGGTGGTGATGTGGAAGTCGCGGAGCAATTCTCCAGCTTGACTTCCAAGTCGATGGGCCGCTTAGCCACCCACTTTGAAAAGGAACTGCAAAGGCCCGCGGACGAGGTCGCCGGAACTACAGAGATGGACAAGCGGTACAAGGCCATTCTCGACTCTGTTCGTGTGAGACAGCGAAAGATCTTTCGATTCGGCAGGATTCTCAGTCAACGTTTCGAGAATGCCACCGAGTACAACATCAACATTGAGAACGAACTCTACGAAGACTTTCTCCTGGCGCTAAGGCTATCTGGCCACTTCTTGGTGGAAACAAATGCCGACGGCCCCCTTGCCGTGGCACCTGGAGAGACAGACAAGACTGGCGGCAAGGTGTACATACTCGCTAGTCCAGTGCTAAGAGACCGACCCAAGGACATCCAAAGCATGCTTGGTACCTGCTATCATGCTGAAGACAGCCCCGAAGACCCTAGCAACCCCTATGTCCTCATTTTACGACCTGAGCTACCTCTGCTTTGGGAGGGTGACCGGATGGATACCTTTCAATCCGGCAAGGAGATCTTAAAAGTGCCCCAGACTCTCGACCTCAAGACTGGCCGTCTCCGATTAGTCGCCGACGGGAGTCTGCAGCGCCTCCAAAATGCCAATATGGCATTCGCCGATGCAACGGGCAACTTCGAGCTGACCGTCCTCGTTGAACAGCGTGCAAATTTACCGCGTGTCAACCAGGAGCTGGCAAAGATTCGGAAGACGGCGCACAAACTTTCCAATACGATCATGGACTCTGTTGCAATCGTCCGTTCACAGACTGAAGCTGCGGGCAGGAAGGGAGAGAGCCAGGAACTCATCCAGAACTGCTTTGCGTTCGCCACTGAGTTTGGTCAACGCTCAGCCATACATATGGACGCACAACGGCGTGCAGTTAACCAGCACAAGCTGACTAAGCTCGCACTTGACTGGGTGTCATTTGTGTGCGATGACTGTGTAGCATCTGACCGCAAGACCTTCCGATGGGCCGTAGTGGCACTGGAGTTTGCCATGGTCATGACAAGAGGCCAAAATATCCTGTCCATAACTGACGACGAGTATGCGCGGCTCCGAGCAAAGGTGGCAGGGTGCATGAGTTTGCTCATCTCCCACTTCGATATCATGGGTGCCCGAGGCACGGTTGCCGCGCAAGCGGAAAAACAAAAAGCAGATGCAATGATTGGTAAGCTTCGCCTCGACATTGGAAGACTCAAGGATGATGAAGAGTCTTCACGCGTAGTACGTGCACAGTGGCTGGATGAACTTGAAAAGCTCGATCAACTCCGTGAAGACCGCAGAGCAGAACGACAGGCTTTGGGACGGGTGCTCGAAGACTCTAATGACGCCGATCGAGCTCTCACCCACCTCTCCGCTTCCGCTGGCAACGTGCACCTCCGATGGCAACAAGGCCAATTCGTGGGTGGCGGCACTTTTGGCAGTGTCTATGCTGCCATCAATCTCGACAGCGGTCATCTCATGGCTGTCAAGGAAATCCGTTTGCAAGACCCCAAACTGATCCCCACGATCGTGTCGCAAATTCGAGATGAAATGGGCGTTCTCCAGGTTCTGGACCACCCTAACGTTGTTCAGTATTTTGGTATCGAACCTCACCGAGACAAGGTATACATCTTCATGGAATACTGTTCGGGCGGGTCACTCGCAGGACTTCTCGAGCACGGTCGTATTGAGGATGAGACAGTCGTGCAAGTCTATGCTCTGCAAATGTTGGAAGGTCTTGGCTACCTCCATGATGCCAACGTGGTGCATCGCGACATCAAGCCCGAAAACATTCTCCTGGACCACAACGGTGTAATCAAGTTCGTCGATTTCGGTGCCGCCAAGGTCATCGCTAAACAAGGCAAAACGGTCGTTGCCGACGGTCCTTCCGGTAACGGTCGCCAACGCTCTGTCCAAGGTACTCCTATGTACATGTCCCCGGAAGTCATCAAAGGCGGCAAACACGGTGGTCGGCTGGGTGCCGCAGATATCTGGTCTCTGGGTTGTGTCATTAGTGAAATGGCAACGGGCTGCAGACCCTGGGCCAATATGGACAACGATTTCGCAATCATGTACAACATCGCCAACGGGAATTCGCCCATGACTCCCAACGCGGAACAGATGTCGGAGGTAGGCTTGGACTTTTTGAAGAGGTGTTTTGAGAGAGATCCGGCGAGAAGAGCGTCTGCGGCGGAGTTGTTACAGCATGAATGGATCCAAGCTATCAGGGTGCAACTGAGCCTGGAACAACCTGCCACTCCCCAAACTCCGTCTGTGATGAGCGAGAACTCATATGGTGGGGGCTCGATGACGCCGAGTAGCTCAGGCAGCTCGAGACAGTTCTAGATGGGCCGTCGCGCAGCGAGCGATGACAGGGACAATGAAAAAGGTGGTACTGGGTCATGCCCGAGCGATGCTTCGGGCGCGCAGCGACCGACGAGGAGTGAAGCTGATAATGGTCGGCTGAAAAGATATATCAGCCGTAACAGAAGTCAAAGTCCGAAGAGAAGAGTGTCCTTTTACAGCAACGCCACTCTCGAACGCCAAGATGAGGAGGCTGAGAAGAGCGCTCCAGGTGCAGAGTCGCAGATTTCGACTCGGAAGACATTGGCGAGGATGAAAACAGCATCCATGCCATTGCAGCAGCTTACTGTTGGGGAGTCTTGTGTATGGGACTCCAAAATAACACCACCTACACCACCGGAGGAAAAGGAAGAATCTACAGCGAGCATATGAGGATGAGCGAGCCCCTTTGTTTGTGCTCGTTTTGCTCCTAAGATACGACCGGATCATCATAATGGTCATTCACATTCACGGCGGGCGTACTTTGTGGAGGCTGAGGCTGATGGACGGTGTTCGGCCCTCAAAAATCTTTATCATTACACCGATTGACAGACGATACGTGTGCATATCACAGACCTATTTTTAGATAACCTTCATGTCTGCTTCTTCTTCTTCTTCTCCTTTATCTTCATCTTCATCTTTATATTCTTCTTCTTCTTCTTCATCTTCTTGGGACATGAATAAACATGTGAACAATTAAACAAACACATTGATTACATATAAATTTACATCGATCCATTCTACATCTCGTGATCTGTCTCTGTCTGTCTGCACTATCCCCCCCCCCCCCCGCGCATGATATTCCAAATGTACCTATGTCAATAACTTGCACAAATTCTTTCTCGGTCCATTGTTCTCTCTAGTACTACAGTAATAGTAGTACTCCTAGTAGTAGACAGAGATCTAGCTGTTGTAGCTTCCAGGCATGCTGTTGTTCCTCTCTCTGCTGTTGCTGTTGCTGTTGCTGTTGCTGTTGCTGTTGCTGTTGCTGTTGCTGTTGCTGTTGCTGTTGCTGTTATTACTATTGTTACCTCCTCCACTTTCATTCGAGCGGTCACCACTTTGCTTGTTGCTTGAGGAGTTTTCGTTGGAGGAGTTGTTGTTCGACGACGAGTTGTTGTTGTTGGAGGAGTTGTTGTTGGACGAATTGTTGCTGGAAGAGTCGTTGCCGGAAGAGTTGTTGTTGCTGTTCGACGACGAGTTGTTGCCACCAGATGACCTCCTCGAAGAATCATTGTCGCCACGATCCTGCCCAGATGACGAGTTATTATTGTTGTTGTTGCTGTTGTTCTTGCTGGAGGAGTCACCCTCATTCTTGTTCGAGTCAGAGGATGAGTTGTTTGAGGAGTTACTGTCGTTGTTGCTGCTGTTGTTGTTTGATGAAGAGCCTTGATTGTTGGAAGAAGAATTTTGGCCGCTCGATGAACCACTGTCGTTATTCTTCTTCGATCCCCCGCCCAGCCAGGAGCTTATGCCGCTAAACGTGCTGCTACTTTCCTCCTTGTTTGAGCTTTCGTTCGAAGAGCTCTGGTTCCCTGAAGATGAAGAGGAGTTGTTGTTGTTGGTATTGTTGTTGCTGTCACCTTTGTTGCTGCTACTGTTGTTCGACGTGTTGTTGTTCTGGCCACTGGCTTGACTGTCGCTCGACGAACTGTTGTTTCCTGACTGAGACGAAGTATTATTGGATTGAGACTGGTTATTGCCGCCTCCAGAGGTGCTGTTGTTGCCACCTGAGCTGCTACTGTTTGATCCACCTGTAGAGCTGTTGTTGGACGATGCACCATGGTCATTGTTGTTGCTGTTGTTGCTGCTGCTGTTATTGCTGCTGATGTTGCTGATGTTACTGTTGTTGTTGTTACTGCCGTTGCTGCTGCTGTTGTTGCTGTTGCTATTGTTGTTGCTGTTGCTATTGTTGTTGCTGCTGCCGCTGCCGCCGCTGTTGGTGTTGCTGTTGTTGCCGCTGCTGTTGTTATTGCTGCTGCTGCTGTTGCTGTTGCTGCTGATGTTGCTGATATTGCTGCTGTTGTTATTGTCTCCTGACGAAGTCGTCTTCGAGCCCCGTCGATCATTGTTGCTGTTGCTGTTGCTGCCAGACGAGTTCGTCCTCGAAGAGCCTTGCTGCTGATTGCCACTTTGTCCCTGTTGTTTGGACTGCCCCGAGCCTCGGCGATCGTTGTTGTGCTGGTTCGAACCGCCTGAAGGAAATGTCAATACTCAGTGCCTAACTCCATTCGCTCCACGGCCAGACTCACCCCCTTGACTGTTAGATCCTTGCTGCCCCTGTGAGCCTTGCTGGCCTCCTCTCTGAGCGCTAGCACCACCGACTTGGTTCCTTCTGTTCCACGTCCGATCGATGACCTGCACACAGTGAGTGAGTGCTTGTCCTCAACGTGGAAAGTAAAGAGGCCTTACCTGCAACGTCCTCTGCGCAGTTGGTACCACCGAAATGTTGGTAATGCTCACACGCTCATGCTGATTGAGCATGAAAGCCGCAGAGTCAGCGACATCGTCCGCCAGCAGAGGCTCCATTCCTTCCATGAATTCATCGTACTGCTTCTTGTCAAAGCCGACTCTTTGCTGATGGAAGTGCGTTGCCACAATGCCCGGACGTAGAGCCAAGACTTTGATATTCGTCTCGCTGAGCTCCACTCTCAGACTGTCCGTAAATGCTTCCTGCGCAGCTTTGCTCGCATGATAGACCGCCTCACCTGGGAAAGGAGGAACTGCAATCACACCGCATTAGTGTCTGTTGACAAGTCACTTCCCAGTATTGCCCCACCACCACATTCTGTCCGAGCGTTGTGCTTCTTCTAGGCCTCATCCTGGCACTACCTAGGTACTCACCTTCGAGCCCCGTCACAGACGTGACATTCAAAATGATGCCCCTCTTCCTATTCTTCATACCGCCCACGTTGAGGGCCGCATACGCCGCAAACATGTAGCCATCGATGTTCGTGCGCGACATCTGCACAATGTCCTCGACCTTGAGGTCGGGAAACCGATTGGGAGCACCAAGTGCAAGCCCGGCATTGTTGACCAGTATGTCAATGTCACCAATCTCTTTGACAGCTTTGCGTACTGCATCTTCAACTTGATCATAGCGTGAGATGTCGGCTGTGCAATACACGAGTCTGCCCGAATCCACCTGCAGCTCTCGTGCGAGCTCTGAAAGTAGGAAAAGATGTCAGCAACTGTCCCCGTCAAAAGGCATAATGGATGATGATGTTTGGTGTGCCGAGGGGGATCAGGTATGCTATCGTTCTCCTCCTACCTTGCAACTTCTTCTCATTTCTGGCAAGAAGAATCAAATTAGCCTTCTGTTTTGCAAGGCGTCTGGCAATGGCAGCTCCAATTCCTGTTTGCAAAAGTGTAAGCTGTTTGTTTGTCGAGGACTCATGCCTGGAGCTCCTCGCGATTGAGTTCCCATACCCATGGATGCGCCTGTGATGAGGACATTTTGACCTTTCAGAGACATTGTGACGAATTCCCGACGACAGGAAGATTGGTGATGCTTTGTTTGGTGGAAATCCACGTCTGGCAATCGAGACCAACAAACACGGTGTTTGTTGCTATACCAGGTAGTTCTAGTCTGACTAAGGTACGAACAAACGACGTGCTCCGATCGTGGTCAACAAGACTCCGCTGGAGCTCATTGAGCAGTCGTGCGGATCCGTCGTCATAGTCTCTACTGTAGAACTACACATTTCCGCATTGAGAGAGTCGAGTCAGCCCCCAGTGGCTTTGAGTCAGTGTTAGCAGCAGCCAAGCCAGACGCTTGGTGCGGGTGGCTGTGGTTGGCATCAAGAAGCGCATGTTGGCGTCTATTGTTGGGCGCCTTCTCCTGCAGGTCCTGACACATCCAGCCTCGCGAAGGGGGGGACGCTCACAGCGGTTCGTGTCCGGGAGAGTATATCCCAGAATTATCGAACCGGGAGGTACACCTGGACTCCTGGAGAGATCGAGAACTCAAGTGACAACTACATTTGTGATGGCCGAACTCGAACAGAGAGGCTCGATCAGGATGGTCAAGAATGTGGAACAGCATACCATATCGGCCTTGACTCGTGCCCATTGATTCGACGTACATATAGGAGATATTGTGAACTAAGCATTCCGCTGTCACCACGCCGGGCATCATGCTGCCTCTAGGAGGTATCGATGTTCCATAGTGCACGTTTTGACATGTCGATCTTCTGCCCTGGACTGTTGTTTCGTTGTCCGCTTCGGGTACTGTGCCAATCGCAAAGCATGTAAATTGATGATTACACTTGATTATGACAAAGCCGCCTACGGAAATCCAGTTCGTGATGCATAATGGGACGTCCTGCGACTATAGAACTGCTGAGTGAACCATCCCTGCAGATGATGGAAACTCCAAGACTGTGCCAGATGTGCCGAAACGAAGAAAGGCAATTGACGTGGGAGAGAGCAATCTAGATGCTCAATCGCACTTTCCATTCCGCCTGCGAAATCAATGGTTTGAAGACCATCATTGTAACGACTTTGAAAGCAAATGATTGTTCTTGGCTATGTTTCAACTCATCATCAGCCTTACCTCCTACCATACCACGTCACACAGATCTCCGTGGCCGGCGTCAGTCCGGGCCGAGAACGACCTGACCAACTGCTCGGTTCATGCGGAAAAGGTCGTGGCTCAGCTGCGATTCTCGTGCGGATGATGCTGTAGCCTGAATCCCGCCAGCAACCCTCTGAAAACTCATCGCCGGAAGGACAGGCGGTACCACCTATACCTTCTCACGTTCTCCGGCTGAGGGTGCGCTTCCCGAAGGACTGCTCCCGAAGGGACTGCCTGCATCGGAAGTACAGTAGCGTATCGGCGGAGAGGTGGCCGACAAATTTTCAGGTCCTTATGTGCATTCGGACACGTTCGCCTTCATGCAGTGAAAATTGGTGACTGTGACGGGGTCTTAGCCGCGAGGAAGTCCTACACCAAGCAGGAAACAGGTCCTGAGGGTGGCACCCATGTAAACGAAGCCCAAGTTGCCCGCCCACATGGCATTCCACGTCCAGAAGCTGTAGTAGAGCTCCACACCGGCTGCTTTGCATGCATAGATGTGACCGAAGTCAGCGATGAGTAATCCCAGGAGAAGAGTCGACCAGACTCTACGATCTCTTGTCGCTCTCAGCACCAGGGCTTCGTTGAGAGTGAATGCAAAGTACAAGTTAGCTAGTTGGGAGAGAACCTTCCAACAAATCAGCATGATCTTCCATGGAGCAGAGCATGTGTGGCATGATTCTGCATAGCATGAACTTACAATACTTTCACGAGTGGAGACGCCGAGACCTGACGGTATGGTGTCATCGAGATACTTCTGCTGCTGGAAATGGGCAAAGTAGGCGCCCACCAGGGTCGATATAGGCTCAATCCAGAGAAAGAAGAGTGTATAGGGTAGCGGAAGCGGCTGGACCGATGGGTTTCGTGGCGTCATGCTGAGGACCAGACCTGACAGACCTGAAGTACCTGGATAGGTAGGTAGTAGTAGGAGGTAGTGTAGTGACCGTGACCGTGACCGTGACCGGTTCCAGAGCTGTGAGCTGAGCAGCTCACGGTAGCACACGGCACTATGCAGAGGCTGCAATAAGGACGAAGTAGGAGTGCTGTCGTCGCGCTACGGTGGTACTACTGTAAGTGCTGCCTCCGGTGATGATTATTGATGATGATGACGACGGAGAGTGGCTACCTGGGCAAGGGCAGCGCAGCCTCGTGGAACTCTCGGAAAAATCGGCGGGTCTGCAAACAGGTTGGTGGTGGCAACGAGTCAAGGAAGATGAGCCGACGGACGGACGGACGGACGGAGGGGTGGTCGGTCGGTCGGTCGAAGACAAGAGAGAGAGTGTGTGTTCTAGGAAGTAATTGTGTGACAATTCAGGAGCGTGTGATGGGAGATTTGATAGACGATTAGGTGTTGTTGTGATGCCTATAGGAGGTAGAAGTCAGGTACATTGTAGTTTGTTTACTGTGTTGTGTTAAGACTACAGTCTACACTCCACAGGCACTGTAAAACACTGTAATAGCAATAGTCGGAACTGGGTACCCATAAGAGTAATCATGACACTGTATCGAGAAGCCGTACCGAGATCCGGCAAATCACCGCTTTCCGTGGTCCCGTGGAATGGTGGTGCGGGTACCTCCTAGGATGGGATGGGCTGGGTCCGCTGGGATGGGCTGGGCTGGGCTGGGCTAGGGCTGTTTCTGGCTGCTTTTTCGCTGTGTTTGTGCCTTCTACAGTAGAACTCTAGGAGGTACCTCCACTGGCTCCAGAGAAGTGTATGTGCCCGACCAACCTACGACATACCATCGCCTCTGCCTGCCACTGTCGTCCGATTCGTTTCACGGGCAAACTCTTTATGGAATCCCTCGACGTCGGCGCGCTTACAGGCTACAGCAACCACCGACGCACACGTCCAGTCCAGCCTACCTAATTTCAGTAACCGATCGTCTCGAAACCAGAGAGAGCCGAACAGAGTGCGAGTGGCCGCCGATCCCTCGGTGTTGGTGTGATCGTGGTTGGGGACTTTGGGTCATCATTAGGTATCAAGGGGTCCCCATTACCTCCTAGACCCAAATCAAGCCATCCAGCACGTTCCCAGCACGCAGAGAGCAGCGCCTGAACGCACCGCACCGCACCGCACCGCAACGCAGCCACGGATCCAGCGAGAGCGAGAAGGGAATTGGAAGCAGAATAGTCTGGTCCTGGTTCCTTGGCCCCGGCCCTGGCCCTTCTGCTAGTAGGTACTGCTACTACTACTGCTACCAGCCTACCACTGCTGCTGCTGCTGTGTCCTGACTGTGTCCTCTGTCTGTCTTCCCGAGGTGGCGGTGTTGTGTCCGCTGCATACGCATTACACGTATAAACATCAGTAGCCCTGCTGCTCACCCGCCCTCACCGACCTTGCCTTGCTGCTCCTCCGCGCGCGCTATTCTTATTCTTGTTCTTGTTGCTGGCAGCCGGAAGTCCCACCGTCGCGCGTTTCTGTCGTGCGTCCTTGACTTGATCCTACTCCTGGTCCCGCCGCACTTAATCACAACGCTCCTTACAACGTCCGCACTCCGCACGCTGGACGTCCATATACACGACTCCGACCACGACGTTGCCGCCGTCGCCGCCCGTACATCCGCCGCCGCCGTCGCCGTCGCCGTCGCCGCCTCCTCCTCCTCTCCTCTCACCTGTTACCACTCCCGGTGCGAGGACACGCAGCCGCCCTCTGCACCTGCCAGTAGCGTTAGCATTGGTCTGAGAACCAACACTGCGCTGTCTGTCTGTCGACTGGACGACGTAGCGGACCTGCATCGGTCGGAACGGGCATCATCAACAACGCATACATCCCATCACACCCAGCCCAGTACACATTCACTACCATCCGCCCGACCAACTCCTCGCTCTCCCCTCCCCTCGCGCTGCACACCAGCTGTGGCCGCCACGATGCAGGACGGCACATCGTCCCCTACGCCCTCCTCCCTCCTCCCTGGATACACTCCTCATCGACCGCAGATGCCCACGGAGCGTCCCCATACTATGCACGCTTCGCCTGCTTTCAGCTTCGTCGCCGAACAGAATGATCAGGAGTACGACTCGGTGTCCGATCACGGAGAATCCACGCCGCGTGCGTCCGCTGTTGAGCCCATATGCTCCAGGGGTGCTGATGTACAACGAAGACGAATGTCCCGCGACGACACTGCCAATGATATGCACATGTTCGCTGGGTCAGGCGATGTGCACGCTGTCGCTGCCGATAGCGAGGCCGGTGCGGTCGACACCTTTGGATTGTTATGGGGGGAGATACCACCCCATCTGACTGAAGATGAATACCGCATTGAGCATGCTCGTCTGCAGCAGCTGCAGCAGCAGCAAAGAGCCAGAAAAGGGCCATCATCAGGCGTGATCACGGACGCAGAGCACGCCGAGTCGTCCAAGTCGTCATCATCCATTGGCAGGCGCTTCTCCAAGTACTCCAAGGACCGCGTGAACAACCTGCGTGAGAGCATGCACCGGTATGCACTGCCCGTGTCAGTTGGACGTGCCAGGAGATCAAGCACACCCAACCCCATTGACTGCCAGGACGTGGCATGTCTGAACTCTGCCATGCAGTTATCCAAACAACCCACGTCTCCCTCCAAACGCAGCGCGCGACACGACATTGACAGACCGCGCAAGTACAGAAACAACCTTTTTCCCACCGGAGACCGCAAAGACACCCCTGCTCCTACCACACTTGGGCAAGGTCTGCCCGTTCGACCTGCCACAAGCAGTCGCTACGTTCCTGCCATTAGCTCTGCCCCTGGAGGTGACGCTGCCCGAAAGGCTGCTGCTATGCACAATAACACACTACCAACACCCTCTACCATATCGGACTGGGTCATCCCGGAGCAGGACTCGGACCACCGCAGACATCGTTTAGGCTCTATGAGCAGCGCAGCCGACAGTGGGGCAGACTTATCAACTTACAGCGGTTCTGATCTGGGCTCAACCCGCGACGTAGACGGGGATGTCACCATGATGGAATACGCCGACCCTCCTACTCGAGACTTCACCAAGTTATTCCCTGTCGAGCTTTCTTACACCATATTTGAGTACTTGAGCCACAAGGATCTTCTGCAAGCGGAGCAAGTCTGTCACAAGTGGAAGAAGCTAGGCGAGCACGCATCTGTCTGGCGTACCATCTTTCATCGCCGATACCAGCGACAAGTCTTCACCAACCCTGCGCCTGTCCAAGTCGGAGGCAACGGCATAGGACTCCCGAATTTGAAATTCCCTAAGCAAGAATGGCGCAAGATGTACAAGGCTCGCGTCGAGCTCGAGAGGAACTGGAGACAAGGTGCAGGCAATGCAGGTAAAGCAGTATACTTGTCTGGTCATACCGACAGCGTTTATTGTCTCCAGTTTGACGAAGAGAAGATTATTACAGGCTCGCGCGACCGCACCATCCGAGTTTGGGACATCAACACCTATCAATGCCTGAAAGTTATTGGTGGCCCGAACGTGAGGCCGGTAGCGGGCCCCAAGGTGCTTCGTACTGTTGACTACCCGCATTTTCATATGGCGACCGCCAGTGTGAATGGGACTGCTTACGGGGACAACATTTATCACCAGCCAAATCAATATCACGACGCCAGCATTCTGTGCCTCCAATACGACGAGAAGATTCTCGTGACTGGCTCGTCCGATTCAGATTTGATTGTATGGAACATCCACGACTATTCTTTCAACAGACGACTGAGCAAGCACACCGGTGGTGTCTTGGATGTTGCTCTTGACGCCAAACACATCATCTCTTGCAGCAAGGACTCGAAAATCATCGTCTGGGACCGGGAAACATACGAGGCAAAGGGCGAGCTTACTGGTCATAGAGGCCCAGTCAATGCTGTACAGCTTCGAGGCCACCTGCTTGTCAGTGCCAGTGGCGATGGTATCGCTCGTCTGTGGGATATCAACCAAATGAAGCTTATCAAAGAGTTCAGTCCTAAGGAGCGAGGTCTTGCTGCAGTGGAGTTCAGTGAAGATATGAAGCATGTCCTGGCCGGTGGTAACGATAACATTACCTACAAGTTCGAGACCGAGACTGGTCGCGAGGTCATGCAATACACTGGCCATACACAACTCGTCCGGTCACTGTGGCTGGATAGCGCCAATGAGAGGGTGGTCTCTGGCAGCTACGATCTCGATCTCCGCGTATACGACTTCAACACTGGCGCAGAGCTTTGGCGCGGCGAAGAATGGACAACAAGCTGGATGCTAGCAGCGAAGTCGGACTATCGTCGAATCGTGGCTACCAGTCAGGATGGTCGGATATTGATTGTTGATTTTGGCATACTCAAGGGTGCGCCATGCTATCAATCTCGTGACGGTCAGCCTATTGAGAACATCGATCTTCTTCGCGGTATCGAACGTACCAGCCAGATTAAGTTTCGCGATCCATTTGCACAGCGCAGAGACACTGTCATCCGCAGGTCTTAGCAGGCGCGGGTACTGATGATCTGACAGTTGCCATGGATCAGCTAAATCTTCAACCTCTTCGACTCTGGCGGTAGAGAAATGCGTCATTGAGGAAGATCAAGCACTGCGGCTTCCTGTTCCGCATGCAGCCTTTAGGCACGCTGCGCGAAGATGGTGAGCATCCTGTGCCATGTCCAGGCTGGTGCGAATTACGGAAGCATATTGTGGAGCAGAAGGCTCAAACGAAGGGTGTCACTGCGACGAGGTGTCGTGTTCGAAATACTCACAAATCAATCGTCTCGTGTGCGGTTGTCCGGTGGCTTATGTCTTGTGTGGCTGCAACACACAACCTGCAGTAGAAAGCGAGGAAACTTGGTCAATCTTCTTTCTTTTGGATACAAGCGGATGGGAAGCGTGTCAACTATCATTCATTTTCTGATTGGATAAATAGCTGTCCTTGAGCGAAGGCAGACTTGTTAGCACTCGTTTTGAATCGTATGATGAGATATTCTCCGTCAAACTTGTTCCAGTTTACTTCTTCTGTAAGCATTATTCTGTGCTGTGCATGCTTGGCGTCGAAAAAGCCGTGTGATGCTCGTTCACTCTACGTAAGTACCATGCCTCGGCATCTCGACTTCTGCGCAAGCCGGCTCCATGTCGAATGGGTTCATCAAGGCACCTGACGATAGGTGGTGCTAAGCAGGTACTATGTAGGTAGCTAGGTACCAGGTATCTATCGATCTGAATATGACTTGCCCGTCACTCAAGACGGAATCTTTCCTTTTCTGGAGTGAACTTTGGATGGATCGCTTTGAATGGATGCAAGGCACATGCCGCAAGCAAGCAGAGCAGCGTTCTCAAGAAGAGACGTCGTGTCGTAGCAGGTGTGTGACTCGAAGGAGCATTCTGAAGGTAAGGTAGGTACCTGTACTTTTCCCACTTGCTGTCCAGAGGGGAGGCCCTTCTTTCCCACTCGTTTCGTGGCTTGATTTTCCCTTGTTTTGATTTGGTTTTCCTTCTTTACCAAACAATTCGACACCCTTGGACTGATAGAAGAACTATAAGCTTTGATTTGTGGAGGTGGAGGAAGTCGCACGTTTGCACCACCACCGACCGAGTGATCTTGTTCGTCACCGTTCGTGGTGTCTGCGAGAAGCGTGTGTTCTCGGAAGCTGTCGTGTGATATGATATGTAATGTGGAGGCCCCTCCAGTGTTGCTCCCCCCTCCCCCAATCCGCATGGCCATCCCATAGTAGCCTGCAAGAGATCCATACTCCCTTCGTCCACGACCACCTTTTGTCGTCCGTCCGCTTTGGATTCACATGTCTGATGAATGACCCCGTCCGTCTGTGTCTCTCCCTGGTTTTTTCACTTATCCTTCCCATCTCCCAAGGTCAAAATACCCTTCAACTCCTTCTTCACAACCTCTGCCCCGTCCTTAACGACCTCTATCGGAATCGCCAAATCTGGTGCAGAAACGTTCCCGCCGCTGCCGCCTCCACTACCGCCGATATCTCCCATGTTCTGCATAATCATCCTCATTGCCTCATCGTAGGTGGCCGCGTCCCCGCTCCGGAACAAGCGCTCGACGTAATCTCGCACGTTTTGCGTCCAGCCGGCTGCTTCGAGGCGGTCTTGGAATGCGCTTTGGATTCTTTTGATTCCTCCGTTTTGGAGGAGTGCCAGGTTGATGCTGTCTTGGACGCTGGGAGTGTAGGCGCTGGTTGTGCCGTTGACGGAAACTTTGCGATCTGCCATTGTGCGCTGGTTGTGGATGGCGGCACGCACTGAGGCTGTGGGAGGAAGGGCTGGGTGACGTGCTTGGAGTCTCGGCCTCGGTAGCGTAAGGTATAGTGCGGATTGTTTGTTGCTGCTCGAGAAGAATGAGGTCGTGAGACACGACGAGGATTAGAGCTGCAACGATCAATGGCTGAGGTGAGGTGCGCACGTTAGTTCTACTAGCGTGGCTCAAGCGTCATTTTCACATGACACTAAACCAAGCCAACCTGAAAGGCCAGCACACTTGGAGAACAACAAACACGTCACTATTTGTTACAGGTACCTGTACCCATTGACTGTATCACAATTACTGCCTTGGTTTTAAGCGTCCATCGAGGTGATATCGACCAGGCAAGAACCGGGCCACCAGCCCTGCGCTAAGTGCGTATCGCTCAACTCACGACAGCATCTCCACTACATGTACCTGTAATTTCAGCACACACATAGTGTGATCCATATGTCTATCCTACTGGACCTTTCCCACCAAGCAGTCAAGCAAACAAGCAAACAAGGCGAACCATTCAGCGGTATTGGATTTTGTTGCGTCCATTATGGCTGCGGAATCACTGAGCGACGCCAGGGCAAGTCTAACTTGCTACATTGCCTACGAGGTAGCCATGAGTCGGTAGTGGAATGACACTCGAAAGAACAATGGTCTTTGCATGCTGGCAGACGCTTGGGTATGATCAATGGCATCTACCAGATGGAAAGAGGATACGTCCTTTGAGCACGCCTTTCGGGCGCCGAGTAGTGGTGGCGAAGAGGCAAGTCAATGATAGCGCATTGAGAGATGCTGAAGTCTGATGTGCTGATTGTCGTGTATTCGACTCATATGTCCTCCATACACCTTCAGCGGACATGCTGGGATGTGATAGAAGAAGTAAGGGACCTGACAATTCCATTTCCGTCTTCTTGTTTCCTACTCTGGCGTGCGTGCGAGGACGATCCATGGAACGGATGGGGAGAACGTGGAGGTGAGGAGCGCACCGTTCTTGCCTCTTCAATTTGCTGCAGATATTGGATGCGAGGACGGGGAAACAGCGAAGTGGAACCTCCCGGTAGGTAAGGTGCGACTCATATACCAGGCAATTGCCGCAGCTTCACCAAATTCACCAACTTCACCAATCACCAACTCAGCTCGGCGTCACCTAGCCTTCACTTGGGTACCTTAGGCACAAGTCACTTCTTGCTGCTTTCCAAGATATTAAAACCTTCGAAGGAACACCACGTCCATCTGCCTCCGAACTTTGCACTCTTTTCAGGCAGTCCACTGCAGACACGATGGCGTACAACCCCTATCCCTCCGGCAGCGCCAACGCCATAGCCTCACCCGCACAGTGAGCCACTTCCGTAATGCCCGCGACTGTGGACTGCGCTGACCGTACTCAGCATCAAATGCAAGGATTGCAACATCAAGAAGCCCAAGTCTGCCTTCTCCAAGAAGCAGCTCGCAGATCTTGCCACGCACATGCAGCGCAAGCCATTCTTCAAGCCTGAGATCCAGGGCCACGTCATCTGTATCGGCTGCTCTCCCAAGCAAGTCGTCGAGCTGCACTGTCTTATCTGCGACCTTGACAAGGGACTTGACAGATTCTCGAAAGCTCAACGCAAGACTCCAGACACCGCGGTATGTCGCTGTTTCCTTGCTGAGATCTGGACACTTCGGTTCCTACGGGCATAATATGGGAAGACAATGACTGATGATGGAGTAGATTTGCTGGTCTTGTGCCCAGGAGAGAGACAACTACGAGCCTGGCGAGCAGGACGGTGACCGAAGCAGCGGCGGCAGCGACTTTGACGAGAGTGATGCCAGCGACGATGTGGGTCCCATCTCGAAAGACATGTGTTCAATGATACGCGCGCTGACATCGTGAAGACTTACAGCGTTGCAGACACTGTCAGCAATTCAGTGCGCAGCACCCTTCCAGCCACTCTCTCCTCGCGCGGCGGCGTCTCGCTTCCCAGCACCAGCAATGCCCCGACTAGTCGCGGTGGTGGTTGGGGTTCAAGTTCGAGCGCTGCAAGCACTACTACTACGTCCACCGCTGCAGGTGGTGCTTTCCAGAGCGTCACTAGTCGCTCGAACATGACAGCTTCCTCTACCGTCTTTCAAGCTTCCAAGTACAAACCGAGCGCCGCCTCGACGCCAGTCAAAACTGGTGGAGCCGCGTTTGCGAAAGTCAAGGCAGTACGTCCCAACGAAGCATATTGGCGCGAAATCCTTGGGCTAACAATGATGTACAGAAACCCCGCACCGTCCGCTACGATGTGAACAACGAAGACCGCCAGCATCACAGCGGCGGCGAGGACGACGACGTCAATCTTACGGACAGCGAGTAAGCGCTAAGCAGCCGACCTCCGCCACGAGCAGGCGATACGGTGCTTCAAAGTCCGATCGCAAAGTCGGTCACTTGCGGGCCCTGGGAGAGGACAGGCCTTGGTAGGCATAGGTCTGCGAAAGGGCATAGCAGTCGCTAGCGCATTGATCCGCTAGTTCTACTCAGAACATAAGCTTGAAGGCCTAGCTTCATGTGGTTCTGTACATTAGGACAATGAATTAGGTAGCTACGAAATGACTATCTTACGAATGCTGCAGATGAAGCAAACAAGCGAGCACTGGGTGAAGGTTGGGCAAGGAAGTCGAGCTCAAATGCTCGAACATGCCTGGCACGTATGTCGAAGAGAAAAGGGCACCACAGAACTCCGGTCCTATTCCAATTCCCGTTTCGAAGCAAATACCAATCCAACTTCAATGTGCCGTGCCCAACCCTCTATTCCCATCCATAGCTCCAAAAGAAAAAATAATGACAAGTGGCCAAGAGCGGCGTGTGATGGCAGTCTATGTGCAATTTAAGTGCAATCTGAGTGCAGTCTGTAGTAATTGAGAGTACGAGAAATTTTGGTGTGAAAGACGGGGGCATCCAGTCCCGTGTTGTGGTGCAATGAGTGTGGTGTGGTCGGGTGTTCCAGTGGTGTATGTAGTAAGGTAGATTTGATGTGGTATCAGTAGTCGTCGTCGTCGGCGTCGTCGTCGTCGTCTTCATCCGGAATACCGGTCAAACTCTGCAAGCTACTCCATAGCTCCTGCCATGCGGATTTATGTTGAGGTACGCTGAGTAAAGTTGGTTGTTCCAGGATGGTCTCGTCGTCTTCTTCGACATCTTGATAGAGATCTTGATCGTCGTCGTCGATCGAGGCTGAAGATATCGTCGCGAGGGCAGAGTCGTGCTGGGCACCATCCTCCTCCTGTCCTTCTTCTCCTTCTTCCTCCTGTTCTTCTTCCTCCTCTTCCTCTTCCTCCTCTTCCTCCTCCTCTTCTTCGAGTTCCTCTTCGTCCTCCTCTTCCTCCTCTTCCTCCTCTTCTTCGAGTTCCTCGAGCTTGGCGACATCGTCCTCCTCATCATACTCCTGATCATCTCCTTCCGTAGGTATAGTTTCAAAATGAATACGGTCCTCCCCAAGGGTGGGGTGTGTTAGTAAGTGTGTCTGGGTGCCTCGATCTGCACACGGCGGTTGGAAGAATGTGCTTGCATCGTTCTTCCGTGGGGTCGTGGTTTCAGAGTCGGGCCAGCCTGTCGATCCAGCCAAGGTCACAGGCTCTGCTATCTGTTCCACTTTCCCCTCAGCAGATGAACACGGCGTGACACTCTGGCTGCTGTCTGTGCGCTTGATGGTAAGACTTGTGATCCGGCCACGACATTCTCGGATAGTCTCCAATTGCCAATCGGCCTCATCCTCGATTTGAGTTTCAGCAGACTTTGCCAAGGTTTTGCCCTTGGAAATTGGTGAGGTTGGTATGCCGTACTTGCTTCTTCGCCGTTTGAAGCGAGCTTCAACATCTTGCCAGTCCGAGTCGGTCCGCCAGCGGTCCATCTCAGATAAGATAGCGTTCTTCTTACTACACGTCGGGCCTGTGGCATGGCCACCATCATAACGGAGATCATCAACATCGACCTCCAATGATTTCATCTGCAGCTTGAGAAACAGCAGTTCGCTATATTCGAAGCCAAGATCCTGGCGCAAACCTTCGTTCTCCGATCGAAGCTGTTCGATTTCCTCTTCCTTCTCCTCCATAGCAGTATAGTGTCGTTCGTGCAATTCCGCGAACTCTGACTGCCGCTGCCGTAGCTCGGACTGGACTGTGTTCAATTTCTCGAGCAAGTCCTGCATCTGGCTCATGTACCACGTGCGTTCAGCCTGATACTGCTTCAGAGCCGAACTATCTTCGTCGAATATCCTGCTGCTCTCTACACTGCTGTCCAGGCTAGCGTATGACTGAGACGAAGAGCCACGACTGTGTTGCGGGGTCTGCGCAGCAGCTTTCCCCTTTTCCTTCTCCTCCGCCATGAGAACACGCGCATTGTCCATATCAATAGGCTGTTGCGTCTGGGAGTGCAAAGTATCCAGCTCGAGGTCAATCTCGGCCAACTTGCGGCCGACGATCTTGATGGCTTCGCGACCCTTCTCGGACTGATCCCGCATGAGTTGCGACTGCAGCTTATTCATCTTAACAAGCAATGCCTTGGTTTCGGTCGAGGGCGCATGGGGATTGATATTGAGAGATGAGCGCGCATCGTCGGAGAAGTAGTCGGAAAAAGGAGAGTTCTGCAGCGAAGAGTTGCGCCGCGACGTTTTTGCAGGCGTGAGCGGAGCCCCGGTGGTGCGCGCCATGTTCGTGAGGCCCTTGCTGTTACTGCTGCCGTAGCTCGAGAAGCGCGACAACGGGCTCCGACTGTATTCACTTGGTGGGGAGCTCGAGTAGCTCCCGCTCACGCTGTTGTTCAGCGCCCGTCGGTTCGCGCGCTGCTCGGTGCTCAGCACGGGAGCGCGCGGGGTGTACGAAGTCTTGACACGCGCATGAGTGCGCTTGGGTTTCTCCGAGAGGTGGTATCGAGAAGAGGGGCCAAAGGGAAAATGCCATGATGGCAACGAGGCAACAGCTGCTGCTGAAGAAGAAGCGGGAGAAGAAACAGAAGATAGAGAAGAAGAATGGGCAGAGGGCGAGGAGGCTGGGGGGTGAGGTGAAGACATCGGCGCGGACATGACGGCTCTCGTCAAAGAGATCACAATCCAACGCGCGCGCTTGCAGCCTCGACAGATCCTCCTCTACACCTCGAAGCCGGAGCAAAGCGAGAGTGATGATGTTGGAGTGTCGATCGGAAGATTGAGTTTGAGCGCGCGAACTGAAAACGTGGTGGGCGCGCAGCGGCCGGCAGCAGTGCGGCGGCGGGGGTTCCCGCGCTCACATGCATGTACCTGGTATCCGTGCATGGCAAGAATTCCATGTCGCAACTATGTGTGTGCTGTCATGTCATACACATCCACATCACCATTCGAAGCAAAGGTCCGGCGTCACCTACCTCGATGAGCCAGTTTGTGTTCCTGACGTCGCCTAGGCCGGTACCTTAACACAAAAATGGCGTCCACAGTAAGTGACTCCACTCTGCTCTTCTGCTTGTCACTCACGATACTGACACAGCTGCAGATAGCTGTACAGCCATCGCTCGCCGAAGTCCAGCGAATCGTCGACGGCAGCAAAAGCTTTGCCAATGCGCCCAACCTCATCCCAATATGTTGCTCGATCCCCTCGGAGTTCTTGACGCCTTCCTCAATCTACCTCAAGGTCGCGGCAAGGTAGGGCGATCCCATTGTTGCTGCTTTGATCCCACCAGACCGAATCACTATGCTGATCAGCTTGCAGTTCTCGATCAAAGCTATCCTTTCTCTTCGAATCCGCCGCCACTTCTGAGACTATCGGTCGCTACAGCTTCGTCGGCGCAGATCCTCGCAAAACCATCGTGTCCGGTCCAAATCATGGCCTCGAAGCCGACCCTCTGCCCCAGCTGGACCAAGAGCTCGCACAGTATCGGGTTGCTCACATTCCATCGTTGCGGCTGCCGCCCTTGACTGGTGGAGCCATTGGATATGTGGGCTATGATTGCGTAAAGTACTTCGAGCCAAAGACCAAACGTCCTATGAAGGATGTGCTGGGCGTGCCGGAAAGTCTGTTCATGCTGTACGACACCGTAGTAGCGATGGACCATTTCTTCCAGAAGGTTGTGGTAATTAGCTACCTACACGTGCCCTCTCCGGATGCTCCGTCGGGCGCCCTGGAAAATGCATACGAGAAATCCAAAGCGAGCATAGCACAGTTGGTGCATACGTTGAAGAGCAAGGATCTGCCTCTGCCACCACAAGGTCCAATTGATCTGGAGCAAGAGTACAAGAGCAACATCGGTCGGGAGGGCTACGAGGCCCACGTCACAAGACTGAAGGAACATATCGTCAAGGGCGACATTATACAAGCAGTGCCTTCTCAGCGCATCGCACGCCCAACCAGCCTGCACCCATTCAACATCTACCGTCATTTGCGGACTGTCAATCCATCGCCATACCTTTTCTACTTGGATTGCGAAGACTTCCAGATCATCGGTGCAAGCCCAGAGGTATTGGTCAAGGAAGAAAATGGCCGCATCATCACGCATCCGATCGCTGGCACTATCAAGCGAGGAACAACTCCCGCGGAGGATCAGGTACTGGCAGAAACACTACACGCCAGCGTGAAAGACAGAGCAGAGCACGTCATGCTGGTTGACCTCGCACGAAACGATGTCAATCGAGTCTGCGATCCACTGTCAACCAGAGTGGACAAGCTGATGGTTGTCCAGAGGTTCAGTCACGTCCAACATCTAGTTTCGGAAGTTTCAGGCATCCTGAGGCCAGGCAAGACCCGCTTTGATGCGTTCCGGTCCATCTTTCCGGCTGGGACAGTCTCAGGCGCACCCAAAGTAAAAGCAATGGAATTGATTGCCGAACTGGAAGGTGAGAAGCGAGGCGTCTATGCCGGTGCGGTCGGTTGGTTTGGCTACAATAACATCGATGCCGCTACTGGCGAGGAACGAGAGGGCGCGATGGACACTTGCATTGCACTGCGGACCATGATGACCAAGGACGGGGTGGCATACCTACAGGCTGGTGGTGGAATCGTCTTCGATAGCGATGAGGGCGATGAGTACGAGGAGACCATCAATAAGCTTGCAGCAAACATGAGATGTATCGAGCAGGCCGAGCGACTGCACTATGAAGAGCAGCGGGGTGAGACTCAGCCGATAGCCGATGGTGGGCCCGTTGGAGGAACAGCTGCGAAAGTCGAACTTGCCGGTTGAAAGGTCAGGTATGTAAATGGAAGCGGTCAAGGAAAAGTAAGGTATGTAGGTACATGTAGCAGCTGCCCCCCAATCTAGATGAACTCGTCGGCTCGTCTGCGAGTCAGCGGGCGGCAGGTGTAGGCCTGAGTACCTCCCGACTTGTACTTACTTATTGATGAGAAATTTCACCGACTACCTGTAAAATCAATACCGTAGGTAGGTACCTAATGGATGTGCCTACTACATACCCGACCTAGGGACCTGGTAGGTACATGTAAGCCCTCGGCTGCCGTCGTCAGAGTAGCGTGAGGACGGTTAAAGTAAGGTAGGGGCAGCAGGCCATGTAGGCAAGTGGTACTGTGGTAGGAGGTAGGAGGTAGCAATATACCCGAGCTCTCACCGTGTGGGGTGGCTGTGGAGGAGGGACGAGGACAAGGGCCCCTGCCGAACGTCACAACAACACGTCCATGTAGCAACCATGCCACCAGCGCCAGGTACTGTCAGGTATCCTACACCTGACGGTATTGACAGGATCCGGCGTGTGCCAAGGAACAGCCAGAGATGCCGCGGAGCATCAACCATACCGTAACAAGGTGCACATGGACATGCAAAGACAAATGCGCAGAGAATTGATTACCTTAGCCAGCCACTTCACCGTTCTTTGGATCAATGGCACCTGCAGCTAGAACAGTTCTAAGTGCGGGCCGGACAGAGCGTTGGGAGCTCCATATCTCGTACTGAAGGTACATCTAGCTGCTACCGGTACACGCCACTCCTCCATTCTTTACATTTTCAGGCTCGGGAAAGAGACACACGCAGAGAGAGAAAGAGCGAGAGTGAGAGAGTGAGAGCATCTTGAGTCTTGCCGTGCATCTTGGGCTTGCTTATCTTACATCTTGTCGAGCAGGTCGACGCTCTTGTCAGCCAAACATCCTCCGCTCCATCACCAACCATCATCAACATCCTCTCAACGTCGCTCCAGTCATCTTCTTGTACACTGCATCCTGCATAGATTCGTATCAGTATCGGACCACAGTCCTACCTCCTACCTCCACTACTCACTTCTTTTCACGTCCACCGTCTCGCTCGCACACGCCGTCTGCTTCGACACCCACTCGAGTACTTCACGACCGTTGCACACACCCTCCCTCCCTCAACACAGCTACAGCGCCCGCCGCTCTTCGTCCGGAGTGCCGGCCACTCTTAGTGCCACACAGCAAGCATGGTCTACATCGACAATCAGCATGTCGAAAGCGCTGAAGAGACGCGGCTGAAGGAAGATAGAAATCGCGAGAAGTACTGGAAGAAATGGGGTCCATACACTGCCGAACGTCAATGGGCCACTGTACGAGAGGACTACTCGTGCGTACCATCGATGGGCCTCTGAAGCAGCGCCATATGCTGACCAATATGACAGCTCCAATGGCGATGCATGGAGCTCCTTCACCTACGACATGGCTCGCTCGCGAGCCTTTCGATGGGGTGAAGACGGTATTGCTGGCGTGTCAGACACTCACGGCCGCCTCAACTTTGCCTTCGCTTTTTGGAACGGGAAGGAGTGCGTATTATTCCACTTCAGCGCTCTTGACGGGTTTGCTAACTTTTGATCAGCGGTCATCTCAAGGAACGCCTCTTTGGTCTCTCCAATCCTCAAGGTGTACACGGCGAGAGCATCAAGGAGTGCCACTTTCACCTCGACAACACGCCAACCCACTCGTATATGAAGTTTCTCTACAAGATGCCGATCAACGAGTTTCCCTACAAAGACTTGATCAAAACAAACGCGGCACGGAACAAGACGGAAAGAGAGTACAACCTGGTCGACACTGGCATTTTTAAAGACAACAAGTACTGGGACATCTTCATCGAGACTGCAAAGGAGAGTGATGACCCTGATGAGCTGCTGTTTCGTGTCACTGCGTACAATCGCAGTTCTGAGCCGGCGAAGCTGCACATTCTACCTCATGCTTGGTTCCGCAACACTTGGGCGTGGGGTTATGATGACACAAAGCCTAGCATCGAGCAGGTTGACACCTTGACTACTCATATCAAGCACAAGGAGCTGGGCGAGCGTTACTTCCAGTGCTCTCCTTCGCCCAACGCCTGTGGCAACGAGACTGATATTGAGCCCGAGTTCCTCTTTACCGACAATGATACCAACTTCGTGGAACTTTGGGGATCGAAGAAGAACAAGACTCCATATGTCAAGGACGCTTTCCACAAGCGCGTAGTCCATGGCGACAAGAAGGCTGTCAACCCTCAGAAGATTGGTACCAAGAGCGCTGCTTGGTACGCATTCGACCAGGGCCAGGGCGTGCTGCCAGGCGAGTGTGCTGTCGTTCGCCTTCGTGTGACGAAGAAAGCCACCGATGGCTACTTGGACGAAGAGCGCTTCGACGATGTTATGGACAAACGACTCGCCGAGGCCGACGAGTTCTACTACAAGCTCAACCCCATGCCGATGTCCGACGATCTACGGAACATTCAGCGCCAGGCTCTTTCTGGTATGATGTGGTGTAAGCAATTCTACCACTTTATTTGGGATCAGTGGGCAAACGGCGATCCGGCGATGCCTCCTCCGCCGCCGGAACGGAAATCTGTTCGAAATGCCCAGTGGAAGCACATGCACTTGGACGACATCTTGTCCATGCCCGACTCCTGGGAATATCCGTTTTTCGCCGCCTGGGATACTGCCTTCCACTGCATACCCTTAGCCATGATCGACCCTGAGTTTGCCAAGAAGCAGCTCGACCTCTTCACCCGAGAGTGGTACATGCATCCCAACGGACAGCTTCCAGCCTATGAATGGAATTTTGGCGACGTCAACCCACCAGTGCACGCTTGGGCTGTCTTCCGCACATTCAAGATCGAGCGCAAGATGTATGGACGCGAGGACCTGGACTTCTTGGAGCGCGTCTTTCAGAAGCTGCTCCTGAACTTCACGTGGTGGTGCAATCGCAAGGACTTTGATGGAAAGAATGTTTTCGAGGGTGGCTTCTTGGGTCTCGACAATATTGGTCTGTTCAACAGATCTGATCCCTTGCCTACAGGTGGCAAGCTTGAGCAAGCCGATGCCACTGGCTGGATGGGCTTCTACTGCCTATGCATGCTCAATATTGCCCTTGAGCTCGCCAAACACCGCCGCATCTACGAAGACATTGCGTCCAAGTTCTTTGAGCATTTCATCCTCATCTCGGATGCAATGCAGTATCGTGTCGGTGCAGAGTCCAAATCTCTCTGGAACGATGAGGACGGCTTCTACTACGATGCGATATCATGGGGCGGGCCTTGGTCACATCAGATGCCGGTCCGATCACTGGTTGGACTCATTCCGATGTACGCCACTCTTACCCTGGAGCCCGAAGTCATCAACCGCTTTCCTCAATTCAAGAAGCGGCTTGACTGGTTCGTCAAGAACAAGCACGATGTCATCTCGCGCAACATTGCAAGCATGACGCGCCGTGGAAAAGACGAGCGCCTGCTTCTCTCCTTCGTCAATGAGGACCGCCTCCGAAGCATCCTCAAATACATGCTCGACCCGGCAGAGTTTTTGAGTCCTTTCGGCATTCGCTCACTGTCGAAATACCACAAGGACCACCCAGTCTCGATGGATGTCAACGGACAAACATACTCAGTCAGCTACATCCCAGGTGATTCCGACAGCGGGCTCTTCGGAGGCAACAGCAACTGGCGTGGGCCTTGCTGGCTTGCAGTCAATTTCCTGCTTATTGAGTCGCTGTTGCGCTTCTACATGTTCTATGGCAGCACTTTCAAAGTTGAGTGCCCCACTGGCTCTGGAGACTTCATGCATCTTGGCCATGTGGCCGAAGAGCTTCAGCACCGACTCCAGCACTTAATGTCCGCCGATTCCAAGGGAGCCCGAGCCATTCATGACGGTAACGAGATGCTTAACAATGATCCTCACTGGAAAGATTATCTGTGGTTCTACGAATACTTTGATGGTGACTCTGGACGCGGTCTAGGCGCCACACATCAGACCGGATGGACTGGACTCATGGCCAAGATCATCCAGGACACTGGGTAAGTTTACCTGCTTTGCCGAAATCGTCTATGCATTACTAACCAGCATTAGTACCAATTGTCGTCTTCCCCAGACTCCGCGTACGCCTAGTAGTGCGGCTGCGCATTACTTTGATGACACGTTCAGTCGCCAGCGTCGGGCTTCGCTTGGTCAGAATGGGCGGAAGAGTCCTAGACTTGCTCGTTCGCTCACCCGAACTCGCTCCATTGGTGCTAGAAGTGACTGGAGCGGCACGCATGGCGAGACCGAGCCCGAACTCGCTGGAGAGGAAGCTGATGAAGCGTTTGCTAATGGCAAGCCTGACCGCACTTGGAGCATCTACCAGGAGGACGCCAATGGCAGCACGAAGAAGCCCGAGGAGGATCCCGATGACCCCATCAACAGATATGTCCAAGACCAGCTGCAACGCATCAAGAGCAACGAGAGCCATGAACACGCCGACGAGCTGGCTTCGTTGAATGACGGCGCGAACGATGAGCTATGAGTCGTCGTCGCTGATTATCGGAAAGTTTTGAAGGACGTCAACTTCCTTTACCTAGGCTCCTGTGACGACGAGACGGACATGACGGCCTATACATCATGATGTGACGACGGAGCTGGCGAGTTGCTCCCTAGAATCTAGACTCTAGACCTAGATGGTGCCACTATCAGTGTCTCATGACAAGTTGACAGTGCAGCCTTTTTGTTGATTGCGCTTCTCGTCCCGTGCCCTTTGACCACTCATCTGTGCCTTGCCTACCTCCTAGCAGAGCAGAAGAAGCGGAACACCCAAAGTGATCGCCAAGCCTATAGATGTTCCGCTTCTTCTGCTACCCAGGAGCCTTGGCCTGTTTCACACAAATGTACTTTGACGCTGCATTTACTTTCAGCGTACATGCCGTGTGCATGCACGTACATGTAGGCGAGGGGTCATGACGAAACACTTTCATCACGGGCGCCACTTTCCTTCCACATCCTACTAGGAGGTACATGTAGGTACCGTACCCGTACTACCTTACCTCCTACCAGGTGTACCTATACCTTACCTTATACATGTACCCGTTCACAAGGTACCATTTCCTAGTCTTTGAATCGAGAAAAAGTTCTTATTGAGCACTCAAGTCCAGTCCAGTCAATTCACGCCACGTCACGTCAAAATGGTGACGATTAATTGTGCATATAGCGAAGCCATCAATCCATCATCTGGAGTCACGCCCATTCTCTCGCGCAGGTGAGTCAAATTTTCATTGTATATATATATATATATATTACCTCTTCAAAAATGCTCTCCCCTCTATTCAATTTAAAAAAAAATCAATTTAAAAAGTTCAGTTCAACTCAATTCTAACCCTTTGTTTTTTCTTTCTTCAACAGTCAAGTCTGGAAAGGCCTACAGATTAAAATCCGAGAAGCGCAAAGATTTGTGCCGGTGATTGAGAGGTGTGAAGTCCTTGAGGAGGAGGAGAAGAAGAACAACGGGGAGGAGGAAGAGGAGGAAAAATGGGGTCAAGTTACGAGGAAAGTGTGGTTTAAATCGTCTGATGGAAAGAGTGTGAAAGAGGTGTGTAAGAGCTATTGGCCTGTCAAGGTGGATTTTCATCAACCTGATGGAGCGGTGATTACGAATACGATTTCGGATGGGGAGGCGGAAGGGTCTATGTTGATGAGTATGTGTTTGATCTTTTTTTGCTGCTGTGGATGAAAGTTGTTTTTGAGTGACTGACTGGTTTTACTTTCAGCGTATACGTTTGAGTGGAGGCATCCTGATGTTGCAGAAGGGTCGGAGGAGCATATGAAGTTGATGGAAGAACACAGAAAGGGTGCGAAGATGGCTGTGTCGAAGTCGTTGGAGGCTATGAGAAAAATGGCGCTTGATGGCGAGCTCGATTGAGAGCCAAGGTAGGTAGGTAGGGACTTGCATGTTTCACAATGGAAGCGATGTAGCATGATCAGGGCAGGACAGTACGCAGTGAGACGCGCAGAAGTCATTGTATGTTCATTTCAGTCATGGTATTCAGCATTTCAGCTCTTATGTATCTTCAACCCGTGGCGACGTCGCAATCTGACCATAGCTCTGGCGCATTGCGCGAACCGACTACTCCGTCCTCTTCCACGGGCAACCCGATAATCGGCCAATACTACTCTTATCATCATCCTAGCCTTTCTAAATAGCATTGGCCGCCTTGAGGAGCTCCGGAAGCTGGCTCTTCTTGCCCTGAAGATCCGAGTTACCTCCAATATGCTTCTTGGCGATAAAGATGTTGGGAACGGAGCGCTGGTTGGTCATCTCCTCGAGGGCATCCTGAATAGCGGCGCCATCATCTGTGAAAAGGAAGGGTCGGTCAGTATTCCGTGGTGGAGGTATAGGGCACACATCGAAATGTTTGTCGAAACATACCGACTTGGTCCAGCTCGATGATGTATGGCTTTGCGCCCACCTCGCTCAGCAGAGACTTGGTCGCTTTGCAGTATGGGCAGTACGACTTGGAGAAGACTGCGACGGCATTGCTGTCGATGATCTCTTGCGCCTTCGCCTTGGCTGCCATGATGGTGTTGGGGCTGGCTGAACGGGCGCCGCTGAAGAAGGTGCGTATGAAGTTAATGGTGGCGGTGGTGGAGGGGGTGGTGTGGTGGTGGGTGTTCGTTGTTGGTTGAAGGTATGTATATGCTGTGTCGTCTCGGGCTGATGGAGTTGGGATGTGGTGGGGTTAGTAAGGTACCTTAGGTAAGGTAGGTAGTGAATGAGAATCTACAGGTAAGGTACCCTAGGAAGTACCGTAGGTACCTGTACATGGGAGTGATGACTCTGGTTGCTCGGTTGTCTTCGTAAGCGCAGGGACCGCTGCCGACAGGCCGATGGCGAATGCGGCGGACCTACCACCACCTACGTCACTCTCACTTGTCAGCAGTTTTGTGTCTTGGCATGTCGGGCATTCCGGCACGTGGCTTCCAGATTCCTTGGCGCGGACACGCCAAGAGATGCAGTGGGACAGCACGAAGAAGAAGGCGAAGATTTCGCCAAGCGGCTAGAACAACACAACGACGTCTGCAGGGCTGAACTGCGGCCACCGACGAATGATCGCCATTGTTCACATGCATTCTTGCTGAAGCCCCAAGAACGTTATCGCGAACTAATCCCCAGGCGGGGGAACGCCGGTCTTGGGACATGGGTTACGGTATTGGCATTGGCCGCCAGCATCATCACCACCTTGCAGCATTCACATTCCCATCCCATATCGCCCATTGTGTGGGCCAGAACCCCGCCCCCGTCCACAAACATGGCCTCTTCGCATAAGCAACGACGATGCGAGGACGACGACGACGATGACCACCTTCTTCTCCCGCACGCCGGAAAGTCTTGCTTCCATCATGGCCTGATCCCTCCCGCTCGTTGCCATCCTGATCCTGCTCTCCCGAGCGCCTGATGAGCTCGTGTCATCAACCACAGCACCCGCCAAGCCTTCTCCCGTCCGACTTCTTGGGTCCCAAGACCATCCTGTCTTGTCATCGGTCGACCTGCGGGCACGAAGGTTTCTGTGCTTGATCGGAGCCGACTGGGGACTACATTCGCGGCTATACATATACCTTCATGTCGCGCCAGCCTGATGCAGAATCTCCACCATTCTTGATTCCTTTGTCATACTCGCTTCCCCTCGCTAAGCGGCTACGACTTATTCATACATCCCAATACGCACTACATTCCTGACCGTGGTGAATATCATCTACCGGTTCAAGCCTGCATGAACAAACCACAACATGGGGAAATCACAGAATCCACTGGAGGGCCATGTCTCCGGACAATCCAACAAGCCCTTGAGTCAACCTGCACACTCCCTCAAATGGAAGGAGGTGGCTGAAGAGCTCAAGGCCGATGTCGATGATGGTCTTACGGGGAGCGAAGCCAGCTCCCGACTGGAAGAATATGGCAAGAACGAGTTAGGAGAAGGTGAAGGAGTGAATCCAGGCAAGATTCTCGTGCGCCAAGGTAAGAAGTCTGATGAAGCAGCACAAGATTTACTTGCATATGCTGACGTTGATCCTAGTGGCTAATGCGATGACTCTCGTCCTGATCATTGCCATGGCGGTTTCGTTTGCAATCCAATCGTACATCGAAGGTGGCGTGATTGCTGGAGTCATCTTCATCAACATTGCAGTCGGCTTCACTCAGGAGTTCCAGGCCGAAAAGACCATGGATTCGTTGCGCTCTCTGAGTTCTCCTACAGCCCAAGCTGTTCGGGACGGCGCATCAAAGAGCCTACCAACCATTGAGATTGTGCCTGGTGACCTGGTAGAATTAAAGACTGGCGACACCATTCCAGCGGACATTCGACTGATCGAAGCTGTCAACTTTGAGACTGACGAGGCCCTTCTCACCGGCGAGTCCCTGCCTGTACGCAAGGCCCACAACGACGTGTTTGACGCAGAAACCGGCCCTGGCGATCGACTTAACGTTGCTTATAGCTCTTCCACTGTGACCAAGGGTCGTGCCACTGGTATTGTCTTCGCTACTGGCATGCACACGGAAATTGGTTCTATTGCTGCTGCGCTTCGCAAGAAGGACAGCAGGAGGCGACCGGTCAAGCGCAACGAAGATGGCACTACCAAGACGTATCGCTACGTACAAGCTGCGATCCTGACCTGCACCGATGCCGTTGGCCACTTCTTGGGCGTCAACGTGGGCACACCCCTACAAAAGAAGCTCTCGAGACTTGCAGTCCTGCTGTTCCTCATCGCCGTTCTCTGTGCCATCATCGTGCTGGGAGCCAACTCGTTCCGCAATCAGCGGGAAATTATCATTTACGCCGTGGCTACCGGTCTATCCATGATTCCTGCCTCGCTGGTCGTCGTGCTCACCATCACGATGGCAGCGGGCACCAAACGCATGGTCGAGCGAAACGTCATTGTGCGAAATCTGAGGTCGCTCGAGGCTCTCGGAGCCGTCACTGACATCTGCTCTGACAAAACTGGAACACTGACGCAGGGAAAGATGGTAGCCAAGAAGGCATGGATCCCAGCGACCGGCACGTACACTATCGACCAATCTGAAGAACCGTTCAACCCAACCAAAGGTGACATCTCTCACAATGAAAAAGAGCCGCACAAGGTGGCATACAACGACAAGGACAAGCGGACCAGTTACGCCGAACTCCTGCAGAACAACGACGCACTCAAAGACTATCTTCGGGCTGCTTCTTTGGCCAATTTGGCCACGGTACACCAGACGGACTCTGGGGAGTGGCACGCTCGTGGTGATCCGACCGAAATTGCCATTCAAGTCTTCGCATCTCGCTTTCAATGGAACCGCAGAGCATCCGTGTCGGGCGATAACCCTGCCATGAAGCTGCTTGTGGAATTCCCATTCGACTCCGACGTGAAGAAAATGAGTGTCATCTACAGAGACCTGCACAGCGACAAGATGTATGCATTCACCAAGGGTGCGGTGGAGCGTGTCATCGCCTCCTGTACATCTTACATTCCCGAAAACGACAAGCCCGCCGTCGAGATGACCGAAGCGTACCGAGAGCAGATTCTCGAGAACATGGAGGCTCTCGCGAAGCACGGTCTGCGTGTTCTCGCTCTTGCGAGCCGCGACTATACCGATCCTTATGAAGAAGGCAAGGAGATTGATCGTGCCACAGTGGAGAAAGACCTGATCTTCCGTGGCCTCATTGGCCTCTACGACCCACCACGTGCAGAGTCTGCACCGTCTGTGCGCCGCTGTCATGAAGCAGGTATTGAAGTACACATGCTCACAGGCGACCATCCGGGAACCGCTCGAGCCATTGCTGCGCAAGTCGGTATCTTACCCACGAAGATGAGGGAGCTCAGCAAAGATGTTGCCGATGCCATGGTCATGACTGCCTCTCAATTCGACGCGCTCTCCGACGATCAAATCGACGCACTTCCCGTCCTCCCGCTTGTCATCGCTCGATGTGCACCAAACACGAAAGTTCGCATGATCGAAGCCCTCCACCGTCGCAAGAAGTTCTGTGCCATGACCGGAGATGGAGTCAACGACAGTCCCTCTCTGAAGCGTGCAGATGTCGGTATCGCAATGGGTCAGGCGGGATCTGATGTCGCCAAAGACGCCTCCGATATCATCCTGACCGACGACAACTTCGCCAGTATCCTCGCCGCCGTCGAAGAGGGACGTCGCACATTCGACAATATCCAAAAGTTCGTCCTTCATCTCCTCGCCCAAAACGTTGCCCAGGCCATTGTCCTCCTCGTTGGTCTCGTCTTCAAGGACGCGGAAGATCTTTCCGTCTACCCGATTTCCCCCATCGAGATTCTCTGGATCATCATGGTCACGTCTGGAATTCCCGACATGGGATTGGGCTTCCAGGAAGCCGCCCCTGATGTTCTTCAGCGCCCTCCACAATCGTTGAAGCGAGGTATCTTCTCCTGGGAACTCATGATCGACATGGTGGTTCTCGGCATCTGGATTGCAGCTTTGACACTGGGCGCCTTCGTCCTGGTTCTCTATGGCTGGGGTTCTGGCACCATTGGAATTGGCTGCAACCAAGACATTGATGACGGTTGCGGTCTCATCTTCCGTGCTCGAGCGACAGCATTCGCCTGTTTGACGTGGTTCTCCCTCTTCTTGGCGTGGGAAGTCATTGACATGCGACGATCCTTCTTCCGAATGCAACCCAACTCGGACCGATACTTTACCCAATGGATGTTGGATGTGTGGAGGAACAAGTTCCTCTGCTGGGCCGTCGTCGCCGGTTTCGTGCTCATCTTCCCGCTGTTGTATATCCCCGGCCTCAACGACCAAGTATTCAGACATACGGGAATTAGCTGGGAGTGGGGCATTGTGTTTATTGCTTCAGGATTGTTCTTCCTCGGTGTGGAAGGCTGGAAGTGGGCGAAGCGAGTCTACTTCCGGAGACTGGCGAAAAAGAACGCCGTGGGAAATGTGGATTTGGAGACGAGGGTGTTTGAAAGATATCTTACTCAAAGCTCGAGTATCTCGGCGGAGAAGGAATTGGCGTAATAGCATGAAATGTCATGTAATATGAAGTAATGAAAATGAATGAATTTTTCCGTTGCTGAATTCAACAGAGTTACCATTACCTATCTCATTTTTCCTTGGTGCCTACACACCAAATCCCCACTAAACCGCCCACTCCCCTCCTCTTCCTCTTCCTCCTCCTCCTCCTCCTCACCATCATGCCGACACTACGACAATAACCATAACCATAATAACAATAATACACGTATGCATTGATGAACTAATACATACGAATGGATGAGTTGATGAGAATTGTGGTGCTATTATAGGTGTTATGACAAAAATTTCTGCGATGGAAATACTTCGCCGTATCCGATTCCGACTTGCTAAAAACTACCTAACCTCAACTGGTAAGGTACCTACTCGAGTCTCGGGCAAGTCGAATGGAATGGGGGAAGGAGGAGTGGGAGTGGGAGTGGGAGGAAGGAAGGAAGGAAGGAAAATGAGGGAAGGAGGGAAGGAAGGAAGGAAGGAGGGAAGGAAGGAAGGAGGGAAGGAGGGAAGGAGGGAAGGAGGGAAGGAGGGAAGGAGGGAAGGAGGGAAGGAGGGAAGGAGGGAAGGAGGGAAGGAGGGAAGGAGGGAAGGAGGAAAGAAAGTCAAGGAAAGAGTCGCTGTGATGAACAAGTGCCCAGGTGGGTAAAGATGGATGGACATCGATAAACCGTTGATTAATTTATATTGTAACTTGGTGTAGGTGTAGGTGTAGGGGAGAAGAATGATATGTCGGAGTGTTTTGACGAGCTCTTTTCTTTTCTTTTTCCTTTTTTTCGGGGGGGGGGGGGCTCTTATAGAAGAAGGAAGGAAGACATTCTCCAATTAAAAAGATAAGAAAGGTAAAAAAGTAGAAAAGGAACAGACGGGCGAAACAAAAAGCAAACAGACGAAAAAGTAAGGTAAGATAAGTCAACGTACCCTCCATATCGTTTCCGACTAAAATCCGCACAAATCGAAATCTTGTCCACACAAATCGACGACGGAGTACATCTTGTCGGTGGTAGTGGCGGAAGTGGTGGTAATGGTAAAAAAGATTTTAATAATCCCGCTGGGTTGGCTACTGCTTCTGCTTCTGCTTCTGCTTCTGCTGTTGCTGTGGTGGTGATAACTGGTGACGCTGTCGTGGATATGGTTGTATAATTCAGATTCAGAGTCCTCGAATCCGTTATTGTGACGGCCAAGGATGACGAGAAAGGCAATTGACGTCGTGCGATAGCGGCTGGCGTGGCTTGTTGTTGTTGTTGTGGCTTCTTTCCGATAGCGGCATGTTGTTCTTCGGACTCGATTTTGGGGACAGCTGCGGCAGAGATGCCAGATACACAAAAGGTTGTTGCAAGGAGAAGAAAGATCTTCATGATGATGGACTGATCAGGCGTGAGAGGCGAGATGCGGGACGGTCCCTTGAGTTAGTAGTAGTGGGTAAAGACATTTCGAGAGAGGGAAAAAAGGAAAGGATAATTGTAAGTCAGATGTCCAGAGGGAGGACATGTATACTGAGAGCGAGCATAGTGAACGGTTTGGGCATGTGTGATGCGTTGGTGATTGCTTGATTGGAGTTGCGGTGCCCACGTTCATCGTTTATGGTGGTTACCGATCGACGATGGAAGATTGATGGAATGCGATAGGTATCGTGTTGGAATGGAGATCCCACCAGGTCTCAGTTGGAGAGCTGGACCCTGGAGACGGGTTCAGTGAACCTCCCATGAAAATGGTCATGAAGGAACGAGGTCCGACATCGATCGGCAAGAAAATAGCTTATATCGCTGGGAAAGAATGCTGGGTTGGGAAATCCCTCGCGTGTCGGATCTGCCGAACTCCCAATTCAAGCTTGGCATATATTATGTATCACTGGTGAGGTCAACTGCATTAAAACCCCCACCGAAGATGGTAGCCCGCATTACCTCAACGCTCCTGGTCGATATTGGACTACGCAAGGGCACACGTCGTGCACCACCGGAGGTACTTGTGTATCATGTAATCGAGGCGAATTCGCGTTTGGCTTCCTTCAATAGTTCTGGCTGAGTCAGAACATCAATAGCTGTGGCTGCCAGGCCCTTGGCCACGCGCAGAGCACATCGATGAGCATCTTCCGTTCGTGCAGCTTTCTCAAAGTCAGGCGTATGTGGACCTCCGGATGCGCTCTTGATGCACATGTTGGGAGATATGCTCGGCATGGCGCGGCTGATGTCGCCCTGATCAGTTGATGCCATGGTCGCACTGGTTAGCACATCGAGATCGCCCGTGGGGATACTGCCCCCCAGCTGATTGAAAGCGTTCCGATAGCTTCGGCCCAGCGCCTTGTTGGGTCTACAAGCAGCACGAGATCATTGATCAGCGATAGTGTCTTGGGTCATTCATTTCACGTGGGGCGCACGTACACATGATCCAGATATTCACCTTTAGGAGTGATCTCCAATCTCGCGCCGGTTGCCGTCGCAGCCCCCTCGAAACAAGCCATGACGCGTTTCTTGAGGGCAACCAGGCGGTCGCGGCTGCTGGAGCGCACCACAAAAAGCCCTGAAGCGTATGCGTGTATGATGTTGGGTCTAACATATCGTGTCAATACGAGGTCATATGAGAGCCACGAACCGCAAACCTACCGCAGACCACCATTGATGATTTGACCCTGAATGATATCCCCGGGCTGCGTTTGCTGCCGTAGAGCAGAAGTGGCGGTGTATGCAATGATAAGAGCGTCCAACGCATTGATGCCGTCCCCTGTGAGAATGTTATAGCTGCTGGCGCTGTTGAGGAAGTGGGTCACTCACATGGGCTTGCCGCTGCATGTGCTTCTCTTCCAAAATATTCCACCTTGAAAGAAGAGTATGCAGCGGTTCGGACTCTGAGGTAGTGTGTAAGCAACATGAGAGAGATGGGCGCTAGAGATGGAAGCGGGCAGGCTGCACACCTACAGTGCACTGTCTGGTGAAATACCAGGATGAGAGATCAGAGAAATGTCCACGGCGTGGTCCGAGTATGCACCTGCTTTGAGCAGCTTGATCTTGCCGCCACCACCTTCCTACACTGCTTCATCAGCATGTAGCATAGACAGAAGGGCAATATACCAGGTTGCTTCCATTCCAACAAAGTCAGAGCAACTAGAGTAAGAAACCTTACCTCTGCAGGAGTTCCAAACAAGACCACTTTGCCTCCTATTGTCTGCTCCCTGACCAAATCTGCCGCCGCCAGAGCACCTCCGATGGAAGCGATAGCAATCAGATTGTGTCCGCAAGCGTGTCCGATACCTTTCAATGCATCATACTCTGCATTGAACGACACCACAGGCCCGGGCCGGCCACTATCGTACACAGCCACGAAAGCAGTCTCGATACCATATGCTGATCGCGTGACCTTCCAATCATCGTACTGAGCCATGAAATTCGTAATCACATCGTGTGCATAGGTCTCTTTATATGCGAGTTCCGGATGATCGTGGATTTTGAGGGATATGTCTCGTAGCACATCACTGAGGTGATCGATCCGGTCCGAGATGGTTGGCAGACGAGGATTCTTTGCTTGATGTTCGATCATGACGAGACCTTCTTCGAGGAGTTCGCTTTCATCAGATCGTGCTTCCGCCATGTTTTTGGGGTTTTCCAAGGTTCCGAAGATACCTACTTCAGAGCAGCAAACAAAAGACATCGATGGTCCTCCGTGTGAGGTGTGGTGGTTTATCGCAGGCCCACATCAGTCGCCATCTTGGCATTCGCCTCTTCGGCCAAGGCACCTCGCCTGGCTGTGATGCTTCGTATCTCACCTGGCGACGGCCATTGAATTTCCATTATTCGTCGAAGATTGGGGCTTTGTGCCCATCTGGTGGCGGCTGCTGCGACAACATCGTCGTCATAGATGAAGACGACTATCGCCTACAAATCCAGCTGGACTTCACTTGGTAAGTGCGTCGATGAGAAATTACAATGATGACTACCACCAAAGCGTCGTCTGCTCAAATCAGTATGCCATGCTCGCCGAAGAATGAATCCAATGGTACCAAAGGTACCTTAGGTATGTATACAAGGAGAGTTCGATGCAGTTGATTGCCATGGCCTGCCTAGTCTCGCGGACCAGGATGCCCTTGGCATATTATTGCCGCACCTCGTTTCTTCTTTCAATCTCGAAGAAAAGAGAACATTGCATAGGTACATACATACATGTTGGTAGCATTCGTGGTATATATACAGGCGCTCATGGGCAGATGGCCGTCTCAATATAGAAAAAAAGATACAAGTACATGGTGAAGAATATCTTAAGAGGCTACCTCATTGTAGCTGTGGCATGTTATAAGATGCACTACTAGGTAGGTAGTAACCTATCCACGGTGTCACTGCCCGATTTTGAACGGAAAATGGGCTAAGAAACTTGGTCGCTGAAGCACATTCTTCCGCAGAGCTCGCTGAAACGCTAACAAATTCAGACAAAAGACGTTGACCACCATTCGCTCTTTAAAAATAAGTGTCGATGACTACTGTCTTTGCGCTCCCGGCATAGGTATGAATGGGGCTCACGTCCATTCTGATATGTGAAAAACCCGGTATTCCCATCCCTTTCTTCCTGATGGGCCTCCTCCAAGCACCATCGTCTTCTGTAAGAGACAGGCCAAGAAGTGTTGAAAATGCGGCCCCACTCCCATCAGTCCTTGGCCGGGTATAATGTCCATGCAAAGAAATCGCCCGATACGGGCGTTTGGGGTATAAAGACGCAATATACATGAGAAACTTGCAGCCCGAGTGAGGGACGTGTTACATCATCACGCAACAGCAACCCTTTTTCGGCGCGAATTCTTCCTTCTCGCTGAGCTCTGGTACTCGTAGCGTCCCATCATGCCCAGGGCTCATGGGTTGTGAAGGCATTGGAGACGGCGCTGCGGAACGTTGTATAGTAGGTGTGGAGGGTATCGTAGGTGTGATCTTGTAGCCACCGCTTGTACCGGGACGGACACTGCCATTCTCGCTCTTCGACCTCAACGGCCACCCATGCTCTGTCGAATAGCTATTCGGCGAAAGTGATTTGGTAGGCGAAGGCAGGTTGGCCGGCACGTCGAGATTCTGACTCTGCAGAGTCAAGACAGGTGCCTTTCGTGAAAGATCCTCGTCGTTCAGGAGATTGAAGTCCCGATCGTAGACTGTTCCTGTCTTGCCTTCCTTCTCCCACTGCTCTTGCATCATACGTTTTGCGTGCGTGGGTATCATCTGCTGATCAGGAGGGAGACGAGGATCGGGCTTATACATGGTGGCTATCCACGGTGCTTCACCATCCGGCGAGAAACGTCCTGTGGAAGGACGAGACTTGTGCCCCGAACTGGACCCTGGTCTCCTAATCGCAGCAGCCGAAGGGGCCCGTTTCCCAGCCGATGAGCCTGGTCTGGCAGCGGAACTGCTAGGTATTGAAGACTTACGTCCAGTGGGAGTCTGCTTCGGCGCACGCGCTTTCTGGGGAGAGCCCTCGCCCGACGAGTGCTTGTTCGAGCTGCCCGGAGGCGATCTTCGTTTGCCATCTGGATCGGACTCCAGAAGCACTTGGCTACTGATGCTGGCACTACGAGCCTTTCTGGCATACTGAAGCTCGTCCCAACTGCTACTCACGCTCTGACTTCCAGCGCGACTGCGAGGTAGTGGCGAGTCTCGCTCCACCACATCGTGAGGGACAGGTACGGGACTAATTCGAGATACTGGTATTCGTGACGTGCCCGGGCGTGCCATGTGCTGCTGCTGCTGTGTTGATGTCTGCGAAAAGGGCTTTGTACTGCTTGGAAGCTCCGTCGATGCCTGGTTATTGGGTTGGCGCTCTGGATCCCTGCCGGAATCAAAATATGGTTCTGCCCGTTGGGGAGACCACTGTGGCCGCATGTCCTCGTGGGGTGACGCAAGTGGATGATCCATATTCATATCGTTTCGAGAGGGATATGCAGCCGTATACTCTTCGTCGTAGCCTACCCCGTTCAGCGGTCCATGGGCTGCCTTGCGAGAGCCCGAGCGGCTGACAGAACGGCTGGTCCTGCCACTTTCGCGGCCAGGACCCAAGCTCTGAGACCGGCGGGATGGGCGCAGGTAGATACCGGCCTCTTCCATCTCTTGTATCTCAATCTGCGCTAATTTGTCTCTGTGTACCCATAGCGAATTGTCCTCTTCTGGATATGCGCTGCCAGCTGTGCCCTTGGAAGTTGTTGCAGCGCTTTGTGGCAATCTCTTGTTTTCGCGGAGTGCGTCTCGTGAACGCTTCTTCACGGCCGTGCTGTTGCTCGCTCGCACCGATGTCCTACGCTGCTTGGTCGTCTCCGAGTCGCTGAGCAAGTCCCACGTACTGGAGCGTCGCTCGAGCGCTTTGCTGCCATTCTCGTCCCACTCATGGTCTGCACGCGGCGAGCCACGTGGGTTGTACGCCCTTGCATTGCCGTCGGTCTGTTCCAAAGGCACCGAGTAGGTCCAAGCCCCATTCACTGTCGCAGCCATGCTGACCGTCTGTTTGCTTGCTGGAGCGCGCGAGACACGAGCCAAAATCAGGCCGCAGACGACATCCCCTTACCGTGACTCCGGCTCGGCCGTGATGATGATATCGGGGGGTCGTAGATCTGCCGTACACACGCGTACACGTGTAGTGCGACTGCCCGGTGGCAGGACGGTAGTCGTCGTCGTCGTCGTCGTCGTCGTAGTAGTCAAGTGTGATCGTGGTATTCGGGGGCGAGGCGACGACGCTCGTAGGGTGCAAGGTGTGCGTGTGTCTCTCAATGTGCCAGTTCCCAGTTTCCAGTTCCAGATCCCCAATTCCAGATCCCGTCCCCCAGTACAGTAGTGCGGTTCGATGGGTAGTAAGATGGAGAATTAGCTCTCGGGATGATCACAAACGACAGTCAAAAATATAAAAACCAGATTTGACGTCGCACCCCCAACAAGAGGACGGAGTTACCCTTTAATCGCGAGCGTTACCTCCTAGGTACCTGTGGTCCTGTAGGAGGTAGGCGGGAGAGCACGAGCCCGACCCGTTTTTGACTGTTGACTGCAGGCCACACGCCACGCCTGTCCTGCGTGCGGGCGCTAGGTGGTACCTCCACGGTTTGACGGTGATGATCGAGGCCGGAACGAAGGTGAATAATTAAAATCCTCCAGCGAAAGTGTCTCCAAGGGGAGAGTGGCCAGGGGAGAGCAACTTGCATTGAGTCTAACGCGAAACTCTAATTAACGACGCCGGCTCCTGAACTCATATTGAATGATGATGATGCCGGGTCACGAGCAAGCCTCCCGATACTAATCATCATGATAATCATAGTAGGTAATCATAAATCATAAAAAATTAAAAATAAATCTTCTTCTGCGGGAGAAGCAGCGAATTCTGTCCATCTTTTTGGGATGAGTAGTTACAACCAACATGTACATCCTCCACTCAGTACATGTCATGTATGTACTTCCTCTCCTCCTCGTTGGTGGCGAGCAAGCAAGCAAGATGGAGCTAAGCTGCTAAGGTACCCGTACAGACGTACCTAACCCCTCGACCGGACGACGGACCACAACCCCAACACATCGGCCGGCACGTTTCATGCCAGGTACATGTACACACCAGCATCAGGTAGCGATAGCGCTTGTTATGCGCGACGAGACATTTTTTTTTTCCTTTTTCCATCTATTTATTTGTGAAAAAAGGAAGATGATATCAGGCAGAATAGAATCTCGTCGTCTCGTCGTCGTGCACAAGTCCAGTCGTAGGAGGTATCCACATGCACACTCACTACTTATGCACTATGCACGTGCACATGCACCTCCTAGAACACGGCGAAGACACACTCCCGGGGAGATCACTCCCTAGGTACATTACCTAATATAACAACAACTCCACTGGCCTGGAGTCTCTCACAATAGTCCTACTAATCACATTACAGCTTCTACAGTCAGGTAGCTTCTCTCCAACACCAGACCTGGAAGCTACATGTACATGTAGGCTTTTGTAATATAGGTAGGTACATAACATGTACAGCGAAAGCTGTCCTGGCTCACGTTGTCTAGACCTGGCCACGCACGAGCAGATCATCCTCCATCCGCACAGAGAAAAGAAAGTGGCTGTGGTAACACTTCGGAAGTCGTGAAACGTTCAACACAGCACCCAAGCACGGTCTGCTCGCGGAAATTGCCCAAGCAGAAAATCTTTTTTCTTCTACCTCCCGTCGATAACAAAATCTACCAACTGCTTCAGTGTTCACCGCTCCCATGTACTTACTCCATTCTCTCCCTCTCCCTCTCGCTCTCTCAAACCACATATTTTCAAAACTCCACTTCCATGATAATTGCGTCTCGTTCCAAGTCATTATCTCATAATAAAACCCATCTCATATGCGCGCCAACTGGACCGGCACAAGCACACCCATGCGTTAATGCAACCATGCCGGTGATGTTCGCATCGTCAAGTCTCCTTCCAAGCACAAAACTTATAGTATCATCATACGGTACTGCCGTATATGCCTGCCAGCAAATGCACACGCGCGTCCGGCATCAACAAACTACAGCCTATCGACCTCACTTGCGGCTTGCTCAAGGCATCGGAGCCTCCTTCCAACCGACTTGCTTTCTGTCTCCTTCCTCTGGCTGTTCCTAACGTCCAAAAGTCGAGCTACCAGCCAAGCCGGTATGCATGGCCATGTGGTTACGCTGATGGAATGTGCCAATTGGCTGGAATCCCCTATGGACATGTGATCAGTACCGATACGCGGCTTCTTCGAGCGCTCCCCATCACAAAACTTACTTGGCAAGATCGATTCCTTCATCTTCGTCGCCAGCCGACTGGTATGCATTGGCTGGCGGCAAGCTCGCGTACGGTGCTGTCTGTATGTTGTAAGCGCCGTTGGTGACCGGACGCACAGCTTCAAAGCTATTTGCGACAGCAGCCGTTGGTAGCTCATACTGTCTCGGAGCTGGATTTGCTGGCTGTAGTACCGTCGTGGGCGGAGTGTGCTGTTGCACGGCACTTGCGTGAGACACAACGCTGGGTGGAGTCTTTTCCGGTGCATGCTGAATATTGGTCTGCTCCTCGGTCGAAGTGCTGTGTTGGCTGAGCGATTTCATGGCAGCTGTGGCAGGACGGCTGAGGGTCGGACTGGCATCAAGCGCACGAGTCGAGTTGTGCGGTCTTGGAGGACTACTCGATCCGATGAGTGGACTGCCGCCACGCTTAAGCTCTGTGGACCCGGCTGCCTTTTCACCCACTTCTGGCTTCTCCACTGGTGACGTTCGCTCCTCGCTGCTCTCCTTACTTTGTTTGACAGTCTCCTTATGCAATGGGAAGGGAGTCTTCAATGGACTGATGTCAAATGGCTTGAATGGCGTGCTTCCCGCCAACCCCTCCATTTTCCAGAAAGGGGCCGGGCTGCTGAACTGTATAAAGTCACTGGGGCGCCTCAGTGTGCTCGGAGGTGCTAGACGCTGCGATGGGCGAAGAGGGAAGGGCGTGTCTAAGGGCCCAGTACGACCTTCGTCGTTGACATACAACGACGGTGGTGATCCAGCAGCATTGGCTAGCGCATTGAGACCAGTGCGTGGCGTCGACCGCTGAGGATAGTCGTATTCGGTCAATCCATTTGTCTCGATGCCAAGGCCGGCGCTGCTTTCGAGGTGACCATTAGCCGGCCGCCTAGGTCCACGATCGGGAGTGTACGCTTCTATTGCAGTGGAGTACGACGGCTGGTAGGAAGTCAATGGCGGAGTTGTATCATCATCCCTCTTGATTCCAGAACGCAACGCCGGACTGTTAGGTGAGCCCATTGTGCTTTGCGTGCCGGGTATCGGGGCCGGTCGTCTGCAGCCTTTCATACCTTGTTGCACGAAAGTGTCGAACTCGGTAGGCTCTATCATCCACTTCATTCCCTTACCAGGCTCGTCTGTGCGGCGAGCGATCTTCGTGAAAGCCTTGTTCAAGCTGAGGTTGTGACGAATGCTGTTCTGCCAGCCACCAGTGTTGAACCTGTAAAATGCATAGTTTGCCTGGATCCACTTGTAGATGTTGGACAGCGTCATCTGATGGTCCTGAGTGCTAAGAATTGCCATGCCAATGAGTTGAGCATACGAGTGAGGCGGCTTCAGATCTTTTGCTCCATCGGCTGCATAGTCGATGGTCTCGGTGGACTCCATCATAACGGCCCGAGCATAATTCGCGGCTGGCGACGACTTGGCATAAGGATGGCTTGCGCGCATCGGAGTGCCGGGGTTCGCCTGCAAAGCTGCGCTGTGCGAGTGGGGATGCATTCTTTGTTGTTGTGAACTGTGTTGCTGACCATTATAGTCCGACTGATACATGCCTGGATCTTGGAGATGACTGCGAGCAGTAGAGGATGGCTGCGGTTGGCTCAGACCGTTGCGCTGATCGTCCTCGCCGTCTTGACCATCGTCGGACGAAGATTGTACCTGCCTCAGGATGGATGCATCCCAGACCGGTCCATCATTCTCATGCGTGGCGGTCGTAATGAATGCCATTTGAGTGTTGGCGATCTCGAGAACGCTGCCGTTGCGAAGTACGGCTGTGGCACCCCTCCTATGGAGATTGTTGTCAACACGCACACCGTTCCTACCATTGACATGAAGAACCCAACGCTGTGACTCCGGTTCGTATGCTATTATGCAATGCAGTCTCGAAATCTGGCGATCGGGGCCAAGGTCAATATCAATCACAGTTCTCGCAGTGGGCGTCGTTGGTTGGCTCGGTGTGCCCTCTGACACGACAGCAGATAGCCTCTCGTGGGCCTCGGGTCTGCCAATGTTTACTTCCACCTTCCGGATGATGAAGACCCAATCCCTGCCAGCAATCTTGCCGTAGCCCGGCACATTCTCCTGACCTTCTAGAAGATCGTTGGCGAAGTCACTGACAGCCATCACCTGCTTGTCTGACACTCGCAGACTCTGGATGATTTCCTGCTCCGTGGGCGAGGATGGCTCGGTCTCATTGTCGCTAGCCTCCTGGGGCTCTGTGCCTTCTGTATCGTCGCGCTCAATTACGCGCGTATCTTTCGTCTTGCGGCGGGTATTGCGAGCCGCTGGCGCAGTGGCCTCGCTGCCTCGAGCTCGCTTCCTGGAACCACGCGTGGGCGTGGCTTGCGCTTCCGCGACTTCGACATCAGATGGCTCATGTGTCGGCTCCACTGCAGCAGGTGCCTTTCGTGCACGGCTCTTCCCTTTACGTCCTGAAGGCGGCATGATGGCAGTATCTCACGGTGTGCGTGTCGAATGGTGCGTCAGCGCAATCCCTCGCCAGATCCGCGTGTCCAGCGACAGCGGCGTCAGGTTATGTGCGCAAACCGAACCAGATCGAGTTGGCAAACGAAGTGACGAGCCACAGCTCGCTGGTCTCGTGCGCTCAAATCGCGAGCTCGCGATGTATCGTGATCGTTTGCCGCGTATGGCGAAATACTGGGCCGGGTAGGAGAAGGAGAGCGGGTCAAGTTCGCGTGTTGAGTCTGGCTCCTGCGACAACCATGCCGGTCTCCGTCCAGTCGTGATACGGGTCGTAGGGGTTGGTGAATCGGTGAGTGGGTGTGGGCGGTCGCGTGCGCGACGTGAGGTGTGTAGTGCGTGCGTGAGGTTTGCGTGCAAACTGGAACAGTTGGGGATGTTGGAGGTTACGTCGAGTGCGATTCGAGTACGCGACGTTGAAAAGCGCCAAGATGGAAGCCGCAAGCCTTCTTTCGTTCCACTTCGCTCCCACTTCGCTCCCAGCCTTCTTCTACCAGGGCAGGTACAGAATTTTCGCACTGGTGCTACCAATGGATGGACAAGACTCCAGGTGCCGGCTTGCCCACGCGCTCATACCGCGATATCATCCAATAATGATTTCGCGGTTCTGATGTGTTGATGTTCCTTCCCACCCGGACACCGTAGGAACGCGCCTGCCTGCACTCGATGACGTGTGTGTTTACTCTACTGTTTGCACTTGCAAACTTCCAATACGAGTACCTGTTACAGGTACCTCATACCAAAGCGCGGTTATGACACGTAATAATGTGGGCTATACCTTACGGTCCTTACCGCTGTAGCCAACATTGAATTTTCGCAATATATGCTATCCTTGACCGCGGGGAATTGGGAGTTGCCATTTATGGTACATGACCAGGTATCTGAGCCAGTAGGCTATCTAGGTACCAAGGCTTTCGGCGTCTCCTATGTATAGACGTTGCGACATTGCAACAATGGCTAGGAGGTAGTGAGCGATGGCGACAGGCAAACCATGGATGGCTATGAGATGTGCGATTACACGGCTTCCCATCAAGATCATTGTCACGCAATCGCAATTTCTTCATGCAGATTGTACTTCGCATATGTATATATGAGGTAGTCGTACACAGATATGTCTAAATGCTATGCTGATGCACGCCGAGAACGCCCGCCTACTGCACCAAAGCAGCTTGAAAAACGCCGTCGATAGTGTGCGCTCGATATTATTCATCATTAGGTACTCCACCAGTGCACCCACGCGCTATGCCGCAGTACCACCGTTCAACTGACGAAGAAGCAGTAGAAACGCTGCTAAAATGTCGTCTGCTGCTGTGTCGGACTCAAGAGTTCCTCGTGTTGGAAGTCTTTCTTGGTCTGCGCTTCGTCCACAGTCGGAGGCTTATCGAAACCCGGCTCTGAGAACAACGGTGACCCGCCATGCTGCTCGAGTGGAAATTCCCCTGGCATCGCTGCAGAGCTGGATGCAGTCGATACGATGGATTCATCATTGTCAGAGCTCTGACTTGTACTCGCGAGCGTTGAGGTCGTGGTGGTACCAGAATGTGTGGTGCTATTCGCTGTGTTTGTGAAAGAGCTCGAACTGTCCCGGTTTCCATCGAGGCAGTGACTGCTACCTCCCTTGCTCTGCAACGTAGGGTGTGCATTTTCCGTGGCACCTGTGACGTTCGCCTCTTGGACACCACTCTTCATTGACGTGTGATATCCTGGATCGTGTTCTGGAATCGATACCGCGGTCGGTGGCATCTTCCGGTTCGTAAGTTTCTTGTCTGGGAGTCTGAGGTCACCCGGTCCGATGAGCGAGCTGCGTCGAAGCTGTTCGAGTTGCGCGGACGGGTCCTTATCAAGAAAGTATTAATTAGCATACGCAAATGTGAGTACTGTGAACCTCGCAATGGTCTTGATCCGAGACGAAGCCGTGGTGGTGAACACCATCTCAAGTCGTGTCTTCGAAGCTTAGACCAGACTCAACGGTGATCGTCCAGTCAACACTGGAACAACACTGCGCAAAAACAGCGCACTGCTAAGAAAGGTACGGTATAACGAAACCACAATTGGGGCATCTTCTTACCCAGTCGGCTTGGTTCGGCACACCTTCGGCAGCAGGCAAATCGCTCGTACTGTCGCGCTCGTCGCCCCAATACGATCGCCGCTGGGGGGCAGGTGTAACGGGAAGAGACGGGCGTTCGATTGCAGATGGGAAATCCGTCAATATCAGAGATTCTCGACGTTCACGAGCATCCTCCACTTGTTGCACCAAATCCTCGGGATCCTTTTTCTCAGCGAGATTCTCCGACGCAGAATGTCCAGTTGACGACACCTTCTGTTGCACTACCTGCACATTGCCGCGATTCTTTTGAAATGAGGTCAATGCGCGAACGTAGTCGTTGATTCCATTGACGTCGTCCCAGGCATTCCTATTCTGAGCAAAAGCGGTCCAGGGATCGGTATCGTTGAGCTTAATCGTGGGAGTCGGTGGTTCCAACTTCGAATCAGATGTGACTTCCAGCTCATCAGCATAGGCAGCCTCGGAGTCTGCAGGCTTGTGCGGAGTAGTTGGCTCGTCGTCAATGAACTTCCGTGTCGGTTTCGTTTGGCGCTCCTCCCATGGAAAGATTGGTTTGGGCTTCTTTTCTGCTTCCTGTTTAGGTGGCGGGGGTACTTGGTAGTACATGTCCTTTGGCGGCTCCGGGTATGTCTGTGGTGGACGAAAGGGAGTCTTGTCCGAGCTGAACTGGTAAACTTGCACGGGAAAGTTGGCAGCTTCTGGTGCAGTTTCGAGAGGCGGGGCCCCTCGAGTAGCATCCCACTCCATATATGGAGCAGAAAAAATGCGTTGCTCGGCAGTAGGAGTGGGTTGCACGTTACCCTGATCAAGATTCTCGGAGGGCTCTCCTGGCTCTGTCATCGGCGGGGTCGCTGCGCGTGTCGGCTGATGTTCCTCTGCAGGATGGTGTGACTGCTGCTGAACATCAATTGGATGTACTGGATAGCCCGTAGCATAGTACGTCTGCGCTGCTGGCTTGTAGTCCTGCACGAGTTCCGTGATCGGATGTCGCTGCCCGCCGATGTACTGCCTGGTCTGCTCGTTGATGCTTAGCACTCAAGTCAATCGAACACGGCCGCTTCACTTACCGAGACCTGGAAATGTCGATCGTACACCGCCCACCATCTGCTGAGCATTTCTTGAAAGGCACCAGGCGCGCCATGCGCCTCTCTATCGCGCTGCCAGGGTTTCTCCTTGCCGATAAAATGCACCATGCTGATACCATTCTTCCAGTATCGATATGCCGGCTCGTATTGATAGTTGGCACTGGGTGTGGTGTTGTACTTGAAGCTCAGTCTCTTCCACGGACGATGCTCGTAGTACTGGTTGAGCAGACCTTGGTCTGCACCATCAAAGCTATCTCCAGCATTTGCCAGCCCTCGCAGAGCATAGTATTCACCCATGTCTGGCGTCAGAACCATGACGCCCGTGTTGAACGCATCTGGCCATCCCACGTCTGGTGCCGCAGCGAATGTCTCCGTGATGTCAAAGAGCTCTTCTGGCGCACGCAGAGCAACCACGTCCGCATCGATGTACACAATTTTGCGGAACTGCACCTGTCGCCATAGATGGATCTTCGTAAAGGTGTACAGCAGGTCGGGTCGGTTCATGAGATAGAGGTTGCCCGGACGGGGATTGCCAATGCGCTCGATTGGTATGACATAGTTGTAAAGAGACTATTGAACCAGTCAATAACGCTGAAGAGTCCCGAGGGCGGACGCCCCGTCTGGTCTGCAGCTGGATACCTGGAGTTCTTCAATCGTGCTGGCCTGTAGCGACTCTGCGAGTATGAGACAGGCCAGCTTCTTCGTCGTGCCGCAGTCTCTGAGAGAATGTGCGAGCACCGCCGCGCCTGCGAGAGTCTTGGGTCAGCATCTGGCCTTACCACTACTGACTGTCGTGATGCTGCCGTCGACGAGGGTCGCGTCGTGTCGTCGTAGGGGAAAGAGTTTCCACGGAGGCTTACCGGGTAAATACTCATCGTTCAGCACCAGCTGCGAGGTTGCTGTTAGCTACCTGAGGTTCTGCACAATATGATATACGTGCCGTCCGTCGTCGCTGCGTAACTCACCGTGCAATACACATCCTCCTGGCCGGCCATGACTGCTCCTGCTCCTGCTCCTGCGACCGCTCGAGCATTGGTGAAGGTCAATGAAAGCCGCTTTGTGAAAGGCTGGGATCTCGTATATAGTAGGTAAGGTATGGTGCATGTGCCGCACGCATGCACGCACGCACGCGCAGCTTCTCCAGCTTCTCCACTCTGGCCGGACGACCACGATACATACAATACCTAGTTGTAATCCAAATCGACGCCCGTTCACGCCGAGCCAGCCCATAGAGACCGGTGTTGAGATGTATCAGGCCCACCTCGACCAGCCGTTATTTTACAGCTGCACCGCTCGATAAGACGGGAACCACGCACGCCGCTATAGAACTAGTGTTCTATCAATGCGGTGGCAGGAACTGCAATATAGCCTGCTACGGTACATATATACAACAACAACACAACACCACCACCACCACCACCACCACCACCTGAACCAAGCTTCCATAGCTACAGGTACCTCCGGAGGTAGCTTGCACACAGCTTCTACCGAGACAGAGCTCAGAACCCTGAAATGGCACGTAAAATTACGTATCGACCAGGTTAGGTACCTCCGGTAGTAAGATGTACATGTGATATAGTTCTACCGTAGCCGACGGAAGTCTGAGTCTATTCTATTCCCCGCCTCTGTATTGACACAGCTTCCACAGCTTTCGCAGCTTTCATACACCGAATTGTTTCTAATGCAGCAATGCTTGCACTCGTGCAGATCAAAAGCTCGCGTGACAAAAAACATGGGCAAGATCTCGACCGCATGCCCCTTCGCCCCGCCTGGAATTCACCGCTGTGTCACATTGCGGATATCAGGGCATCTGCTGGGTACCATTCCAAGGATATAGGCGCCCGTGCTTCCATCGGGTCGGAAAGGGCATGTCTTTGGATCAGATTCCATACCAGGTACATTTCCACATCGATCGAAGTCTGAGGTCAGAAACCGTGCGGCAAGGCACTGTCACAACTTACAAGGGCAATTTTTCCAGGTTCTCATGGATAATTAACTACTACTGTAGTGCCAGCCATTTCTGTTTTGGCTGTATTCCTTTCAGCCAGTCTTGTCTTCGCAGTTTGCACTGTTGTGCCTTCATATTCCTTTCACAGCTATCACTCCTCTTGTCCCTCATTGTCTCATTTATCCTGCGGTTCCTCCACCAGACTGTCCGCCCCCGCTCTTGGTGGGACTTCCTCGTCCACTAGTCCTCTGCCTCTCGCTCCCACCCCCGGTCTGGTCTTCGCTACCCTGTGCTTTTCCCTTCTGCGCCTCTGTATTGGTGTGACTGATCTCGTGGTTCGCCGGACTCGCATTCAGAGGGCTATTCTTTTCCTGCACACAGAAACTCATACTATTAGCTTTGCAACAACATGCCAGTCTTCCTGGCCGGATTACCGCTCATGCGCTCAGAGCAGTAGTAGCAAAGAGGTTGGTGCTTTTTGACAGGATTGATTCGGGTTAACTCACACCCCCGCTCTCCTCTGCCGCACTCTGACTTTCACTCTCCGGGCTCGTTTTGCTCGGATCAAACGCCGCTGATTCTTGAGCAGCTTGATTATCTCCGCCGGATTTGCTGTACTCGTTCGATGTCGTGTCAATGCTATCTTTGTCTTGTCCAGCCTTCGACGCCAGGGATCGTAGTGGTGAGGTTTGGAATTGGCGTATCACAAGTTGTTGTCGCTGGGAGACGAAGCTCCGCCGGATGGTGCGTGGAAACATTGCAGTACCTGTAGTCGAGATTGTTGTTGGCGTGGTTGGTTGGTGCAAGAAGCCGAAGGATCGTAACAAGTAAGAAGTCGATCGTGGATGATCATTGCTCTCTGTGGAGCTTGAGGAACAGCATGTACGCTTCATTACATCATTTTCGTCACTTCCTTCTGAAATTGGTACATACATGTACCTTATATGGAGCAGCTGGGTCCGGGAGGATATGATTCGCTATTGACGCAGAACTGACAATAGTACCTAGGTAGGTAATCAACCTCTACATGTATGCTCTATAAGGTACCTACCTGTACTCACTAGCAACGCATCAGTCTAGTACACCTCCAAGATGTAACGGTGTTCCTCCTTGAGCTTCTCAATCTCCTTCGCACCGCTGACCTTCTTCTTGCCCTCGGCCTTCGCTTCCGTCTCCACAGCTTCCTCCAAAACATTCTGCACATCTGGCACTGGCCATGTAGGACCGCAAAGATAGAATGCACCTTCTTCTCGCAGATAAGCTCTGCGGATATCTCCCAGGGTCTGGCGCATACGATCCTGAATGTAGATCTTCTGTGGCTGATCACGAGAGAAAGCAGCTCCAAGCAAAGTGATGATCCCAGCGTCTTGGTATGCTTCCCATTCTTCGCCATACAGGTACTCTTCCCGCTTGTGACGAGAACCCATGTAGAGGAACACGTCACCGATTGGCATGCCTTGAGAGCGTTGCCAGGCCCGCTCTTGGACAAAGGCACGGAATGGCGCAAGACCAGTTCCCAGACCTGCCATGATGATGGGCTGAGTCGTCTTGGGCGGCAGTTTCATGACTGAGGGTTTGACGGATACGGTGACTGGAGCACCGACGGGCAGACTGTTGAGATAACGAGTCGCTTGTCCGAAACGATCGCGTCCCTTGGGGTCAACCCAATTGACTGTGACGATGAGCAAGCTCACGCTATTTGGTGTGACCTTCTGGGAAGATGCAATCGAGTATTCTCTTCGCTTCATTGGGCTGACGATGCGGGCGATGTCGTGGAAACCCGGGTGAGCGGACTTGAACTCAAGCAGAATATCTGCGTAGGTGACAGTGTCAACCTCGGCGCGGCGTTTGAGCTCGACGGTGGCCTCCTGGTTGCCCCCGGTGCCCAGCATCAACAGTTGAGTCTTCTCCGCCTCGTCATCTGCAAACTCGCTGAGCGCTTCATAGAAACGCTTTGGTGGACGACCGAAAATATCGACGTTTTGCAGCAATGCTTGGTAGACTGTACGATTCTCCAGCAGATTGGGGTCCTCACGAGAAGGAACCTCCACGATCTCGTCTGGGTTGAGACCGTACCACTTGATGAACTCGTCCACTTCCCGAGAATCATTCTCCGCATGGATGCCCAAGGCCTCGCCAATCTCGTACTTGACGCCACTGTTGCCAAGATCGAATTCGATGTGGAAGATGTTTCGATCGTAGGTCAATGGTGTCAGTCTCCGGTGTTCCTTGATGTGCACAATTGCCGTCTTAGCACTAACATCAGGACGAAGGGCGCTCTTGGTACCGTATGCCTCCTTGAACACCAAGCCCTTGGCCGCAATTCGCCAGTTCTTCAGCAGAGATGGTGGCTCTGCAGTTTCGCTTTCGTACGGTGCAAAGCTGTTGATGCTCAAATCCTCTGCCGGTGGCAAAGTCTCGTTGGCCTCGGGCTCGACAGTGAGCCAGCTTTCAGGAATTTCAACCTTCTTCAACGCTTGCTCCAGCTGTTCAACCAGTGCATAAAGGGCATCACCAGCGGCTTGCAGCTTCTTGACGCCAGCCTCGAACAAATCTGGTTTGGCAAGCTTGAGGAAGGCGAATTGCAGCAGGTAAGCCTCGAGTTCTGCGTTCTCCTCGACCTTGGGGCTGGCCGCCGGATCGAGCACCCAAAGTGAGCGCTTTCCGGTGGCAATTGCCTTGCGGACAGGAGCCTTGAGCTTCTTCTCGGCATCATCATCCTTCCATCCTGGTACCTTGAGAAGTACTGTGCCTTCAGGTTTCAAACTAGCAACCACAGAAAAGTCCTTTAGCAGCTGCTCGCTACCAATGACCACGACGTCAGCATTCTTGATGCTGTACGCAGTCTCGATGCTGCGGGATGAGGTGCGCAAGTCCGTTCTGAGTGCGCCACCCTGCACCAAATTGTCGTGACCAGAACGTACGGAAACATTGAGTGCGCTGTCATCCGCGAGAAGTTGACCAAGCATCACAGGGGCACTTGCACTATGGCTGGAGTCGACATCCCAGAAGGTATACTGCTTTGCATCCTTGTCGCCGAGTGTCAAGACAGAGCTTTGTGGCTCATCGTTTGAAACGGCTTGCTGCAAGAGAGTCTCAATCCTGGCAATCGTCCAGACTGTCTCGCGGGCATATTTGATATCGTAGACACTAGGAGATCTTCCAGAAGTCATGCTTTGAAAGTTGGTCGCAGCAAGTACATCAGCATACAAGTTGCTGGCCACACTCGCATCCAGTGCCGCAGCCTGATCATGAACCTGTCCTAGGACAGCGATGTGCTGGGTGCTGGCAGGCAAAGCAGCTAGGAACTCGTCTTCCACGAAAGGCCGGTAGACACGAACGTTGATCACACCGATCTTCACACCCTGCTCTGCAAGAGCCTCGGCGACCTGAGCGGCAATGCTAGCCTCGACAGTACCGAAGACAACAGTCACGCTGTCTGGCTGTGCATGGCCGTAATACTCGAATGCTTTGTACTCGGTGCCTAACTCCGCGTTGAACGCATTGAGGAGTTTCAACAACTTGCCCTCGTTTGTCAAACGCTTCGATTGCCTGTCTTCCTGCGTGCTCTGTAGAACACTGTCATAAGTGCGCTTCAAACTCGGCACGTTCAGCACATCAATCACTCGAGTCGTCTCACGGCCCACTGTGATACCGTCATAGGTGTGAATGGTCGGGAGGATCGATGCGAGGAGTGTGGATAGAAGTGACATGTGCTGAATTTCAAAGGCGCTCCTGCTAGCCACCAGGCCCAAGCCCAACTCTTCCGCCAGCGCGAGGGATGTAGCATAATCGGTGACGAGGCCCGCCTTCGTATCGGCAGCATAATCGACAGCGGCCACTTGAAGGGCAGTAGGATTGGCAACATCATACAGCAGGCTCAACTGGTCCAACTGTGGTCGGAATTGTTGCAAAGTGGCAGTGCTCGCAATGATCGACTGCGGCACATGTCTGCGGCTCAAGTCGAAGTCGGGACTGAACATGTATCCCAGCGCAATGCTGCCAGCTCCATTTCTAGTTTGTAGACACTGCACCGCCGTCACCGCACCGTGTGCATTCTTCTCGTGGCTGTCTCGCCACGCGCGTGCCGCCACATCGAGATCGAAGGAGTCGGGCGAGTAGCAGAAGAGGTGATCGGAGAGGGCGTACGCGACCTGCTGCACCAGTGTCTGCGCAGTCAAATACGTCGGACCAGACAGCGCTTCCAAGGCAATGTCTTGTCCGAACGGCAGCGCTGCGGACTTTCGCGAGAGGGTGTTGCTGGTGGTGGTCGTCGTCGTCGCACCGCCAGTGGTCTGAGGGAGTCCCATCGTGCCGACCAAGCGTTTCGGTCTGTCGTTCCGTGGGCGCCGAGGTGTGACCACAGATGTTCGAGATTCGTTCGTCTTCCTGCTTCTGTTCCTTACTCCTTCTTCTTCTTCTTCTTCACACTACTCGATATGAAGATGCAACGAGTGTCCGAAGTGTGCGCAAGAATAAAGAATTAGTTGAAGATTGTTGTCAACATAAATTTGTCAGCGCAATGGCGAAATGGAGAGCTAGAATGAGGTGGAACAAAAAAATTGGCTCCCGCCTTTGGTTGAGCACGCCATTTCACATGCACATGTCTCCATTTATGCTGAATCAGGGTCTTTATGCCCGTACTTCTCCACAACATGCATGGCACATCTTCAGGAGAAGCTTTCGTGAGTGAATCTCTCTGCAACCATGCACACGTGATAGCTGTAGTAGGAAGGTGAGAAGTGGATGCCTTCAATTGAGCTCAATACACAGCAATTAGACTAGGGTATAAAGGTAATGGTGATGGTATTCATCATCACCATAGAAGTCTCGGAGCTGCTACTCCGCTCGTCCGTCGGCGCCTCCTGGCGATCCCTCCTACCACTATCACACATCTCGCCATTCCGACAGACAATCGTCACGTCCGAAGCCGAGGCGACGTGACAGTCCTCATCAGATGAGATGAGGCTGCTAAAGAACGCACGGACATCGATCGCCGATAGACTAGTAGGCACATTTCGCTCAGTAACTTTTCGAACAATCTTACAGATTAAAAGGGTTACTTGTTGCCGTTATTTACCCTCGGGGAAATCCTCCAACGGACCTGATGTCGCAGACATTCCAGGTGCAGCTTTTACTGGCGCTTGCGCAGCAGCAGAAGTTTCTCCTGATGCAGGCACTTTCTTCTCGTCTGTCACCGCTGCCGCCGAGGTTTCCGTTGCGGGTGTTGGAGCTGGCTCCACAGTCTCCGTTGCTGTTGTTGCTGCAGTTGCTGCAGGAACAGCTGGCGGAGCATTCTCAATTGTCACTGCAGGAGTTGGCGGTGGAGCTGTCTCTTTCTCGACAACCTTCTCCTCTGCTGGTGGCAATGAGCTTTCCTTCACTGGCCCATTAGTCGTCTCTGCAACTGGCGGTGCTTCTGCCGTGGTTTCCGTCTTTGGCGGAGGAGCAGGAGGGGTGTCCAGGGCTGATACAGGCGCTGATGGTGCTGGTGTATCCGTGGCAGGAGAAACGCCAGAAGTCTCTGTGGACGGCGCTTTCGGCAAAGCTGCTTCTTCGCTGGGCGCAGGTGCTGTTGTGCTCGGGACCGCTGCAGTATCTGGCGCGCTTGACGGCTCAGAGGGCAGCTGTTTGTTCGTATCTGGTGCTGCAGTTGAGGCAGAAGGCGCACTCTGTTCTACCGCTGGCTTCGAGGCTGGTTGGTCGGGGGCAGCGGCTTCGGGCTTCGTGGCTTCGGACTTCGTGGCTTCGGGCTTCGTGGCTTCAGGCTTCGTGGCTTCAGGCTTCGTAGCTTCGGGCTTCGTGGCCTCGGGGACGGCGGTCGGAGTGGTAGATGGCTTCGCAGGTGGTTCGGCGGCGCTTTCTTGCTTGTTCTTCTTCCCTCGCTTGAGCATGCCCTTGAACAAGCCCTTCAGCCTCTCTACCGCATCGGGAGCTGTTCGGCACGCAGCTTGTCAGTAGCTGGTCGCGACGCGTGGGACCACGCGATCCTCCACTTACGAACGCCTGGCATGATGATGGTGGTGGTGGTAGTGGTGGTGATGGGCGAGCAGGAGGTTTACCGCTCTCAGTGAAATAGAGAGGACGCGACAAACGTGGCAAGCTACGGGTCAGCAGCAGCAGTCAGCAAGCAGACAGCGCAGCAGTCATTCAGGTAGGTCAAAGTAGAACTATGAGTAAGGTATGGGGGAGAAGAGCAAGCCTTTTGGCAGGCAATCCTTTCCCTCGTGGCGTCAGACTGTCAGTGCTCTCGCCAGTTGTTGACACCCACCGTGCTTGCCGAAATGAAGCAGAGATCGACCAGAGTGGCAGAGAGTGGCAGAAAGGAAGGGGTGTGGCACCTGCGCGGCTTGGTTAATGAGATACGCTGGTGACCCTGGGCCCTGGCTGGCCACTCCTGGACTCCTGGAGTCCTTGTCCCGTTGGAACTACCTCCTAGGCGAACGAGGAGAACTCGAGGTCGGAGATGCGTTTAGTGGGGTGATACTGTATGGCGTGGCAGTCCAAGACACGGAGCGCTTGCGTGCGTGTCTGTGTTACAGAGTGTGCTACTGTACCTCCTATAGACCTTACCTCCAGGTATGCGTGGGTGAAGCTGTCGTGTCGCGTGCGGTTTGCTGAAGAGCGGTGGTAGTTCTACCTTCGCACTAGCTCTACAGTAGTAACGCACACGGTCGTTTCAGATCCGAGTGCTCTGGAGGCTCTGACTGGAAATAGATGTGGACTTTGCTACTCATCACATATTATAATCGTTCTAAAAGGCACGGTAGCCATTAGAACTCCCTACCTCCTACGCGACCTACTAGGCTACTAGTAGCGACCCGACGCGCGCGCTTCCCGGGTGAGGGTCACCAGCACATGTCACGTGACTGAGGCAGGTGTCGGAGTCTAGTGGGAGGTACCGTACCTTACTGGTCGGTGACTGCAGGTGGTTAGTCTGCTTACATAACATTGCGGGGCAAAACGTGCTTTCTACCTGTCGTTCAAGTTGCGCTGCCTCTGCTCGTACAAGAGTACTGTACCTACCTAAAGCGACCGTATCGTCCACCTACTCCACCCGCTGCTTCATACTACTGCTACTCTAACCACAACTACGACTGCGACTGGATCTCCCACAACCAATCCTCCACCACCACTACCACCACTACCACCACTACCACCACCACCACCCACTCTTCACCACCGCGAACACCACCACCACGGCCGACCTCGACCCCATCTCGCGAGCGACACGCGTTGCTGCTCAACTGACCACTGCCCGAGAGCTTCTCTGGGACCCGACATATACAGGCAAGGAGGCGCCCAAGACCCGACTGCACCCGACCCACGTCGGCACCCTCAACGTCGACAACCGCACCGACAGTAACATCTCGGTGCGGTCTCTAGGCGGTAGCCACAAGGTTGAGCCGATGGACAAGCGCCATCCCTCCAGCTTTCAACAGCTGGAAAAGCTCGGTGAAGGCACTTATGCTACGGTGCGTGTAGCTCCTCCGCGCCCGCGCGCGCTGCAAGGAAGCCCTAGGGTAGACGCTGACGAGGTCGCAGGTCTTCAAAGGCCGCAATGGGCAGACGGGCCAGTTCGTGGCTCTGAAAGAAATCCATCTGGACAGCGAGGAGGGGACACCTAGCACCGCAATCCGCGAAATCTCGTTGATGAAAGAGCTCAAGCACGAGAATATTGTCAGCTTGTACGATGTTATCCACACCGAAAACAAGCTCATGCTGGTATTCGAGTACATGGACAAAGATTTGAAAAAGTACATGGACAGCTATCAAAATCCCGCCGGCGGCACCCGAGGTGCACTCGATGCGGGCACGGTAAAGAGCTTCATGTGGCAACTGCTACGAGGTATTGCCTTTTGCCACGAAAACCGTGTCCTGCACCGCGATCTCAAGCCCCAGAACCTCTTGATCAACGCACAGGGACAACTGAAACTGGGAGACTTTGGACTTGCACGTGCATTTGGCATTCCTGTCAATACCTTCTCCAACGAAGTGGTAACGCTGTGGTACCGTGCTCCCGATGTGTTATTGGGCAGTCGCACGTACAATACCAGCATCGACATCTGGAGTGCTGGTTGTATCATGGCAGAAATGTTCACTGGGCGACCGCTGTTCCCTGGCACCACAAACGAAGACCAGCTACTCAAGATCTTCCGGCTCATGGGCACCCCATCCGAGCGCAGCTGGCCCGGTATCAGTAGTTTTGCCGAGTACAAGCAAACATGGCCCGTCTATGCTACGCAAGAGCTCCGCGCCATTCTGCCCCAAATTGATACGCAAGGTCTGCACCTGTTGAGTCAACTGTTACAGCTTCAGCCCGAAAGGCGTTGGTCTGCGGAACAGGCCTTGGCTCATCCCTGGTTCACCGAGCTCAATGCACGTAGTCAGGCAGCTGCATCCGGAGCTTTCACGAATCCGGTACCTGGAATGGCGGTAGGACAGCAGCGTGCTTACTGATCCACATTATGTGTTGATTGCACTTGGCCCTCGGGTGGCTTGACCACTTGCGAGGCCGTGTCTGTGATCGATGCAGTTCATGCGCGAAGGCGAAAACCCATGGTTCACCTTCGCGTCTAGCCAACGAGGAGCAGGTGGAGCACTTTACGTGTTGTATGACTGTCGAGAAGTCTAGAATGCAACCTGCTGATCAGGGATGATCTTACCTCACGGCGATCGACATCATGCTTGCTTATGGCTATATCTCAGAGGAGGTACTCGAGCGTGCCCGAGAGAGGCACAGCAACGTTGTGGGCGGCTGAAGCCGGCCATGAGAACGAGATTGATCTGAAGCCTGAGTTTAAGCTTCTGGGTTAGCGGCTGGTCTCAAAAGGCTTGTTAGAAGCTTTGCAACGCTTGCTACTTCCTTCGAGTCACTGCTGGGACGCTTGTGGAAGACCGATCAATAACATGATTTGAGTCCATCAACTGTGTCTGAGGGAGAAGATGCAGAGACTCGAGGCTTCCCTGAGCCGTTGCAGCTCAGATATAGGCAGATTCCAAAGCGCCGCTCCCCAAATCCACGAGCCTGCATCTCTCTCTCTCTCTCTCCACTCGTGGCACGTTCCCAGCCATCTGCATCTCCCTCTCCGTATAAAGACTACCCTGGGTATCGATCACGTAGTTCTTGGAAGTCTTACAACACATAATTCTCCGCATGCAAATAAACCTCCACCACCTCTCCCTTGAAAACTTTACTCTGCAACCCCGCCACCGTCTTACTCACATCCATTCTCATCCCCGCCGGCCCACACACAAACACACACGCCTTGCTTCCCGCCGCATTCCATTCTTTGCTCATTTCTTGGAGCATATACGAGAGTTCTGGTCGGCCCCATTCGATGCTCCAGCCTGCTGCTGCTGTTGAGGCTGAGGTTGATTGGAGACGGGGTTTGATGGTTGCGGGTAGGAAGGCGAATCTCTGTTTGGAGGGTTTGGTGTGTTAGAGCAGATGAGATGATGATGACGGGTGAGGGGGAAGGGGGAGGGGAGGGGGAAAGGGAAAATTTACCATGAGATTTTTTTGAAAATCAGTTGGAGTAGAAGGAAAGCCGAAATCGAAATCTTGCAGTGCTGCAGCTGCTGTTGCTGCCGGGGGAACTTTGGTCTGGATTTGCGACTGCTGTTGCTCCTGCAGTGGTGGCGATGGTATTGCCATCTTCTCCGCAGAAGTAGTATCCAATGAAGAAAGCTGTTGTTTCCACTTCCTCTTTTCATGCGGGTAAGTAGTAGTAGCAGTAGCAGTAGAATGCGGTGTATCTCCTTCTGCATATGCGCACGAAGAAAAATCTGGAGCATGAAGTTGCAAACCAGAACGATGTGAAGGATGTGGAGGAGGAGGAGGAGGGATCCTCTGTGATAGAGGGCTTCGCATTGGCTTCAGATGAGCCTCAGGAAGAGGTCGTAAGCGATCTGTACTCTCCTCTCGAAGCTCTTTTTCGTGTGCCAAATCTCCATATGCTTCGGCTTCGGCTTCGGCTTCGGTTTCGAGTGATAATGCCGAGTGTCGTTGAGTGTTTGAAGCTGTGGAATAGCGGCGGTTGGGGTTTGAGTTGAGGGAATGTTTGCTTTTGTTGTTGCTTGCGATTTTGTGAAAGATGTCTGAGACTTTGTTGTCGTGAAAGAGCGAACTCACAGGTCCGGGTCTAGGTCTACCACCAGGCAGATGTGCTGCGCTGACGAAGTTTCCGGTTTGTTGTTGTTGACGCTTCGCGCCTGTAATATAGAATTGACAACTCACGGTATCAGGAGGTGCGAATTCGCGACAGATACGAAGTTCTTCTTTGAACCATTCCATCGTCTCGGGACGCTTCATCGCCCAGAGGAGGTGTATCGATCTCGTGACCGCCTTGCCGTCTCGCATGCGTTTGATGAGATCGAGGAGCTGAGAGACGATGGCCGTGATGCCCGTTCCTCCTGCGATGAGGACTACGTGCTCGAATGAGTCCAGTCGGCGACGCATACCACCGTATGGCCCGTCGATGAAGGCGCGATACGTCCACCATGGTCCATGATCCAATGCACTGTCCAGAACCTTTTTGGTAAAACCGCCGAAAGGTCGGAAGACGACCACCATGTCTCTGTATTGTTCTCCGTACTCGGAAGGGTAGTCGTCACTACAGAGCGAGGCGATGGTGAAGGGGTGATTCTCGAAAAGAGAAACACCAGGCATGCGGAGGTAGATGTACTGGCCGGGCTTCCAACGAACTCGAGTTGGTATTGTGACCTTGACTGCATTGTCTTCCAATACGGTCACCGCAGCCTCCTCGCCTATGCCCCAAGAGATCTGGAATGGATTGGTCCAGTTGAGATACAGAAGCCTAAAAATATAGGATGCGAGCCATATCGCAGTGGTCGCCCACAGATAGTGCCAAGAGGTCAAGTAATTATGACAATGCCAGAAGAGGAGTCCTAGCAGTGCAATGGAGACGGGAACATGCACGACGACAAAGAGCTCGTAGAATTTGCGTCTAAGGGGTCCAAGCGAGTGCACGCAGAGAAAGATTGCGGGCACGAGAGCAGCAATTCCTGTGAGCTGCAAGTCAGATTTTTGTCACTATCATTCATTGGTGGATGCTTGCATACCTGTGCCATAGATGTACACGCCAGACTGTTGAGCTTGCAGCAGACGATGAAACTCTTGCATGCCTCCGTCGTCCCAGACTGGAGTGACATAGAAAGGCACTGTGTGTATAATGCTCAGGATGAGAAAGATGTAAGCCAGCCAGCGATGCAACACATTCAATCTCTCGTGGCCGATTCCAGTGAGTAGCGAGATGAGGTTGGCTTTCATGCTCAATCCAACAATCCAGGGCATCAAAGCTACGGCAATCATCCCAGATCGGATCGCAAGCGGTGGAGACCCGAATTGTATTGATTGCCAGTATAGTGGCTGTGGTATAAACGTATAAAGCAGCGTGAACGCGAGCGCGGCAAGGGCAATGAGGCATACTCCAACCGAGGGAAAGACGATTGGTCTGAGCTGCTTATGCACTCGCAGACTCGGTATGGGTCGATAGAGAACGTAGCGAAAGGCCGCCAATGTGTTTTTGAGAATCCACGGCATAGAGGGCTGCTCGACTTCTGGCAATGGCGCTTTTGGAACCGGCTGTTCTAGTGAAAAGAACTTGCGTGTCGATCGATCTGTCGCCAGAGCGGATAGCTCATAGTCGGTGGCTGGGGACGCACTCATGGCGAGGTTTTCAATGGATTCCTTGTGTGCAGCTATTCGCACCTTGTCGCCAAAGAAGTGGTACCACCGTATTATTGCCGTTGCTACCAAGAGAATGATGCTGAACCATACCCAGCCTAAAGCGTACTTGCCAGAATCTTCCCTAGACACCATCACACATCTGTCAGCAAACACAGCTGAGCCAGAACCTCGATTCCTGACTGTCCAGACTTACCATGGATCTCGCGTATGAGCTTCAATTAAGCCTGCTGGACTGGTGCTGTTGCAGCAAGGTATAGACACACGTTTTTGCATTGAGGGCGCATCGGCCGAGACATCGCTGGGGGTATATGATGCCCCATCATGGAGGAATTCCAGAGCGAGACCTACACGCCTGGTGAGGATTTCTGCAACACCGGCCATGTTCAGTCGTGAAGCAGGTGCTTCAATCCACGAGCTATAGAACCAGTATCGTCAAACGCACCACGGAGGAGTCTGTTGCCGTTAGGTCCCACCAGCTTAGGGCGTCACTATGATCCCAGAGCAGGTTCCGATCTGTAGTAAGTGGTGCAACAAACTCCAAGTTGGGCGCTCGCGACTCGCGAGTCACAACGGGTATATCCAGCTCCACGGTTGCAGTCTAGTCGCATCAGATTCTGTGTCCACATGTATTCACTTCATCTCGATCATCGTCACCGATTGCCGTGCGCAGACGAAAACATCAGGTGGCAGTCCAGAGTGGTCGACTGAACAAACGCGGGTGAAGAAGCCAAACCGATTCTTGATAAACTTGGTGGAAGAGGAAATGTACATCACCCCAACTAGATAGTGCGATGCGATGTGCAAGAACCTGCATGCACTATCACCTGCCGAGGAAGCCATGCACACCAGTGATGGGTGATCATCACAATCTTTGTGCACATCGCATACTTCTAGAAACCGACAAAGTCAAAGTGCCGTGATAGAGCTTCTGGAGCTTTACTTGATGAGACTACGAAGTGGTCAATACGCCTGATGTCAGCAATCAGCATTAAATTGGTTGGCTGTGCGGAATAGGGGATATTCCCTCGTGTCAGTGGCGAGGGCTGCGGAGGTAACTACTTCAGCATCGCTGCAGTGTGCAACGCCGCATCTGTTCTGGACCCGGTTATCGTCTGTGGCTCTTGATGATAGTTCTACTGCGGCGGTGTTATCAGTATAATGCGAACAGGAGATCGGCTGAGCACTCGTGACTGGCGCTGCCTATTGAGGCGATGCGTTCGCATATTTGCCTGAATCTGCCTCTTCAATTCGCCCGAGCTCTACTGAACATTATCGAGACTCCACCACCTCGACAGCGAATGAGTTCGGTTGATGGATCCAAGAAACAACAAGGTGAATGGGAGGTGCAGGTGGACGACTCTAAGAGGATGTCTAGCCGCCGACGCTATGGTGAGGTCGAATTCTGGCTGCTCATTGGCCACGGACATCCCGGTCAGATCGACTTTCCATGTGCACGTGCAAGCAATTCGTAGCGAGCAAAGCCTGTGATTCGCGAATTGCATTGGGGTGATATGAATGGACAATATCAATGCCTTTCTGTTCGTGCTAGGCGAATCATGTCTGTCGGTCGGGACCTAGCATCCTGTCAACGTCGTCCTCAATCAACCCAGCAGAGCCACGGAGATCAATCTCATTGCAAGTTTGATCTTACGACAAAATCATCTGTATTTTGCGCTGTCGCTGCGAAAATGGCTATGATCCATAGCTGCACGCTTGACATTGTGGGACCCAAGCTGGATGTTGCCCGAGTTCTCGACTTGAGGCACGTTCAAATTGGTGCTAAAGGCTGGTCGCAGCTACCATAGCATCGCTCTCTCTCCTAGTGATTCCGCCACGTGTTCGCCACATCAGGAAGGCTTGACAGGAGGATTGGGGTTTTATATGTCCAGGTCTAATTTCCGCAGCTGTATGACGGGTTTCGACCTGTTCGTGTGTTCCACTGGTACGTGACATGATCGTGATGGGGACAGCATTCACACTCCTCATCGTGCAAAGCATGTATTCTTACTTGAATTTGCTGGCCGGTATCTTGCTCGAGCAGGTTGTGCTCAGTCTCCATCGTCGTCGACTTCCTCGAGCTGCACCACACGTTTCGTACTCGATGGCTCTTGTTCCTGTCGAGGATCCAGACCTTTCATCTCCTCCTCGAAGCGCTTCAACTGCAGCTCCATGTCCACATCAGTGGTGCCTGGCGGCGCTTCTGCCTCCTCTACCTCGATTTCCATCCTGGCGGCCTCCTCTCCCGCCTCCTCGGCAGCTTTCTGCGCAGCATAGTATCCAGCCTTTTCCAGCTTGTCTATCTCCTCTGGCTCCAACAAGCGTCCCTGCCCTTTAACTTGCTTTTGCTTCTGCCTGACTGCAGCAGGCACAAATTTGGTGGCTTCCTTCTTCAGATCTCGGAGCTGAGGCGCGCTGCTGTATACAAGCTGTGGAGGCGGAGGTGCTACGGCAGGCTTCGTGGGTAGAGCGTGAGGCATGCGCTGACCGTCGGGTCCGATTTGAGGGTCGTGAAACTTCTGTCGAGGCATGGGCGGAGGCGTATCGCGAGGCATGGGTATGTTGCGGACTTCCGGATCTGTGTCGCTGCCACTGTCACTGTGTGGGCCGTCTACGTCTCGTCTCCGCTTGCCGAGGTGCTGCCTGCGATCGCGTTGCTCTTGTCGCGCATCACCTCTGTCGCCTCTATCAGTTCTCTCTGTACGACGCTCGTGGCTCGGGAATTTGGGAGCTGCATCTCCCAGAGCCTCTCTGGCGCGCTTGATGCCTCTGATGTCGCGCTCGAGTTGCGCAAGAGTCTCCTTGTCCTTCGGCCGCAGCTGGTTCCTGCTCTCCAATTCCTTCAACTCATCAATCTGCTTCTGCAGGCGTTCCGGGTTGCGGCGCGCGAGTTTCTCATTGCGCTGCTCTTGGACATTCTTCTTCGATTTGGCAATCTCTTTGCGTTTGTCCGCCTTGCGCTGGGCAGCGACGGGGTTGGCCGACTTCTCCTTGGGCATGACTGATCCGGCCGATGAGTGATTGATCCAGTGGGGGAATATCACGAATCAACTTGAAGCAGTTGCAAGTGGAAGAAGGGAAGAAGTGATAGAATGCCTGAGCTATATAACGGCGCTAGTCCGTATTCCACCACGTTTTCATGTGACATTGGAACTTCCACGACCTCCATCTTGTCGACCTCACACTGCCATCAATGTCTAAACGCTCTCATACCGAAATGGCCAGCGCAACAGCTCCGGGCGTTTCATCGCCTTTTATACCAATGTTCGAGCAGTTCCGAGCAGAGCTTGACGAACATCACGATCGCCGCGAAAGAATCAACAAAGCATCTCGCGACATCACCGCAGCATCCAAGAAGATCATCTTCACGCTACAACGGTGAGCGCACTTTTTGCCTATTGTTTGACTCGGCTTTTTGAGCTCACTGTTGTCCTCAGGGTCCGCACATTAAATGCACCTTTACCGCCACCAGTCATCACAGGCAACGAACCTTACCGCAAGAATATCCAAACGCAGTTCACCAGCGTGTGCAATGATCTGTAGGGCGCTGACAGCATCAATTACTAGCAAGAAGCTGAGCTAACCTTGCGTTCTTGCTGACCTGCAGACAAGGGCTCAATGCTCATCGCTATTCTCGACAGATCACTGGCGGTAATCAAGAATGGATGGAAGCTGTATCTTTCGAACATTACCTGACCACAGCAACCCTCATCACATACGAAAGTGCTGCTAGGAAGCTCTCTGAACTGACTGCTCCGTCCATGAACCTGAGTGTAGAAGATTACCTCCTCGGCATCTTTGACATGACAGGTGAATTGATGAAGTTTGCAATCACGACCATGGCGATGAATGGCGAGATGCCCACCATCGATTCTGCGCAAGGTCAGGAGCAGAGAAGTATCTTGAATGATATGCGGTATTTGCGAGCTGCGCTTGAGAAGTTAGACGTGAGTCGTTGGTCATCGGGAAAGGAAGTCGACAAGAAAATGGACGTTATGAAGGCGAGTGTGGAGAAAGTGGAACGAGCGTTGTGAGTGACTGATGATGGATTGCTTTCTGTAGCATGTGTAGCATGAAGGTTACTGATCAAGTCTCAGGTACGGACTGGTTGTACGTGGCGCCGAACGACCTAATGGTGGCTGGTTGCCGGATACAGATGGTGGTGCTGGAAGGGCGATTGACGTCGAAGGGTGAATGCAGAGAAGCAGATGTGATGACAGACACCACTTGGACTTGGACCTGCTATCATGGAGCGAGTGTAGGCGATTACCCCAGTGCTCGAGATGGATGAGCAGTAGATCATGAGAGATACTCGTCAGAGATGACTGTAAGTGAATGTTCGTCGAACCGCTTGAACAGTGCAGTTGTACGGGTCGGCTGCTCAGGTTACACACTGCGGGCTTCAAGAGAGTATTCTGTAGCCACGGATCGAACGAGGCACGAGAGGAGTTCATAACTGGCCAGCATGACTCACCAAATAGTGGCCTATACACATTCGTTCGATTCTTCGAAATACACAGGCTGGAGTCGGTGTCAGATATCAGGATTATGCTCGACAGGAAAATGACAGGGACGGTTCACCAGACTTCCAGGTTTGCTTTCCAGGATCCAGCAGCATCAGCAGGTGTCTCTGCGTTACCAGGACTTTGACACGTGGCGACTATGGATGCATGGAAGACATACGTCCACGTTGTTGTAATACACAGTACGACCAGAGGACAAGGACAGCACAACATACATTGTCATGTAGTCAAGGAATGGTCAAGAGAAACGACCACGACGAGGCACAAACCACTGCGGGCCCTGCGTCATATCTCCAGACGGGCATGCATTGTTGCTCATGTTGTGGCATCTTTTTCGACAACAACACATTTTGCACAAGTCTGCCGAATATCACCGGACGTGGCTATATACACCTATCTGGCGATCCCATCAGACTAACTCTTCCGTATGCTGAATATACAGCCAAAGCCGTGGTTGTTGTCGGTTACCGGGTTGGCGGATTTCGATCTGGTCGATGGTGTATAGAGACTTGCATTAATGCACACTTATGCAGTCATGCACGCCCCTCATCCACATTGGTGAGTAGTGTGGGCAGTGGATTGTCCTAAACTGGTATAGTGTCTTCTGAACTGAGGACATCTCTCGTTCCTCAACGTGATTTGCACGTGCAGGTCAATGTCTACCATGATTATACCTCCTATAGCAACTCGAGCAGGAGGTAGGAGGCACGGACTAGAACTACCTCCTACATGTAAGTGAAGTATACCTCACTTACCCCTTATTTCCAGGACAGTTTGATATGCCAAGCATACTGCATTTCCCCATCCAGGCTCAACACTCGATTATTCCAGCAACGATCTGCCTGCGAACGCCACTGCAGGAGCTGAAGATGCAGTTCGGCCTGCACATCGTGGGGCATCTGCAACAAGCACAGATACCAATAGAACTAGGAGGTAAGACACCTCCGATACGCATAATCTGACGCTGCTGACTGGCTGACTGGCTTGGTCCGATGCAGTCTCAGATGCAACTACACACACTGTCTTCATCTGGCACGATCGTCGGATGTCTCCCGCTTCCACGGCTTCACGACACTCGTGAAGAGCACGACAGCCTCGCACCGGAGGATGTGATTGTGTGCGCAATGCTGGCGCTAATGCATCCTCGTGGTAATGCAAGAAGCTATCATATTTCCTTGCCACCGTAGGCAGGTAAATAGGTAGGGACCGAGCTCATTCAGGCTTCACCATCACTCTTTGCGACCTCCAGAGCGACCTGGTATATCGATATCGACATTGTCCTAACGAGCAGGGACATTGCTCGCGTGCTACCACAACAATGCCGGGCAAGATCACGACACTCATCGGCACCATCAGGCGAAAGCCTGCCACTGCACCAGATGGCAGGTCAGATAGAGAGCTCAACGGCACGACCGAGAAGACTTCCATCATACAGGATCTCAAGCACATGAACATGAAGACTGCTTCCACACTCGGCCAAGGTCTTACCAGTCTGGCTTCAGGAGAACCTCTGGACGACAAAGAGCTGATGTTGGAAAATGGAGTCGCCATGTTGCAGGGTCTGCCACTCAACAGTGGCCTCTCGGCAGCAACAAGTAATGCCTTTATCAAGATGTAATGTCACACACGTCCATGCTGGCTCGATGGACCAGTACTGATAATAATCAGGCTATGGCACGACCTTCCTCACCCAGCTACTACTGTAGCAGGACCGACAGCTCGCTATCGACGACACGATGGAGGTATTGGAAATGATCTTGCGAACGTTGACACGTTGTGGACCACTGCTGATTCCCATGTTCCGACTGATAGGCAACAATAATCCTTGGAACCCCGAAATGGGTAAAGCAGGCACGCCGTATTCTCGTACAGTACCTCCCCTTCGACCCAAAGGCCCCAACCTTCCTGACCCCGAGCTGGTCTTCGAACAACTCCTCAAACGCCCAGACAACGAATTCCGCGAACACCCGTCCGGTCTCAACAGACTCTTCTTCTCATTTGCCACGATTGTGATCCACGAGTGCTTTCAAACCCGCCGAGGCACAGATCAATGGATCAACGAAACTTCGAGTTATGTGGATTTGTCGACGCTCTACGGGAATACCGAAGTGGAGCAGAAGAGAGTTCGAACGTACAACAATGGACTGATCTACAAGGACTCTTATGCTTCTGAAAGAATTGCTATGATGCCTCCTGGAGTGGTCACGCTCCTGGTCATGTTCTCTCGCAATCATAATGTCATCGCCAAGAATTTGTTGTCCATCAATGAAGAGGGAAGATATGGCGAGTGGGACAAGTTGAAGACTGAGGGTAATGAGCCTGGGTGCCAGAAGTGGTATGTAAGGGCTTATTGGGATAGAAGACATGCAAGAGCTTGATCACTGACGGATCCTGTCATCAACAACAGGCAAGACGAGGACATTTTCCAGGTTGCCCGAAACATCAATGTGGGCTTCTTCGCCACTGTCGTGCTCAAGGATTACGTCGCAGCCATTCTCAACACCCCACGAGCCAACTCAACCTGGTCTCTCGACCTCGGCGGTGAGATCAAGGCGGGAGGCAATCGTGTCGAACGAGGGACCGGAAACGTCGTCTCTGTCGAATTTGCAGTTTTGTATCACTGGCACGCAGCACTCTCTGCCGCAGATGCCAAATGGATGGAGGATATCATCAGGAAGAACATCCCCGAGCTGGGCGACTTGACGGAGTTGAACGAGAAGCATTTCATGAAAGTGATGATGGCCGAAGGACACAAATTGAAGAACACCCCACCTCCGAAATGGACATTCGGAGGGATCGAAAGGAATCCTGACGGCAGCTTCAACGATGCCGACCTGGCCAAGATTCTGCTAGATTGTGTCGAAGAGCCCGCTCACGCGTTTGGAGCCCACGGTACGCCTGCTAGTCTGAAGATTGTCGATGTAATGGGCCAGTTGCAAGCGAGAAACTGCTTCAATGTGTGCACGATGAACGAATTTCGCCGATATTTGAACTTGAAGCCGTATGCGAGCTTCAAGGACTGGAACCCCGATCCCAAGACTGCGAGATCAGCGGAGCTGTTGTATGGCCATATTGACAACTTGGAGCTGTATCCGGGATTAATGGCCGAGTGCACCAAGCCTGCCATGCCTGGCAGTGGTGTCTGCCCGGGCCAAACGACCGGACGTGGCATCTTGAACGATGCTGTCGCGCTGGTCCGTGGAGACCGATACCTTTCGTACGACTTGAACAGCTCCACTTTGACGAATTGGGGCTTGGGAAAGATTGGTGTTGTCGCACCAGGTAAGATGAATTGTGTCTCCCAGGCTATTCATATATTTTGTAGCACAATGTTGACCTCGATATCCTCTTCTAGGTTCCTACGGAGGCATGTTACCCAAGATCCTCTTCACTGGTCTTCCGGACAGCTTCACTGGTACTTCTGCATACGCTCTGCTCCCCTTCTACACTCCCAAAGCCGTGAAGAAGATCCTCGAAGGCAATGGTGTGGTCCAGCAATACGACCTCAAGCGTCCTGCAGGAAAGCCCATGGTCGCTGTTCACACCCAGGAAGCTTGCAAGAAGGTTTTTGAAGACCGAGCAACCTTCCGCACCATGTACCAGGCTGCCGTCACGAACTGCACCGATGGCCACGAGTTTATGCTTGGTTGGGATGAACAGAAGAAACACGACGCTCGATCTAATGTAAGACACGGCCACTTTTTCCAGAAACGAAGGAGGAGAAAATCATGAATTGGTACTGATCGCCTTGCTCGCTTGTCTTCTTCTTCTTCTTCATTTAGGTCCTCCACAAAATCTTCTTCGAAGAAGGATTCGAGAAAAACGTCGGAAAATTCTTCCGCGCCAACGTCGCCGCCCTCATCAAGAAAAACTCCCTCACCTACTCCGGCTCCCGTCGCTCCATTGACATTGTCCGCGACGTGACCAACGTGACACCCATCCTCTGGTTGGCCGAAAGGTTTGCCATTCCTCTCAAAAGCGACGAGCATCCCAAAGGGTTGATTTCCCGGCCGCAGCTATTTGATATGTGGCTAGTCCTGTTCATCTACCAGAGTTTTAACATTTTGCCTCGCAACGAGTGGGAACTGCGAGAGGGAGCGATGAAGGCTGCACCGATTCTGAGGGAGATTCTGACGGCGCATTTGAAGACTCAACAAGGAATGAAGGAACATATTGTCGATTGGTTGGCCAAGGGGAGTGCTTACGAGGTGAGTAATTCTTTTTTTTTCTCTTCTCCTCTCCTTTGAACAGAATATCCCTCTCCCCCCCACCGTATGATCGTGAACCATAGCTAACCCCTTTCCCTCCACGCCAGGTCGGTCCCGACGCCGACAGAATCTACAAAGCCCTCCTCCACACCAACCTCCCCCTGGGCGACCTCGTAGGCGACATCATCGGAATTTCCTCCCCCGTAGCAGGAAATCTCACTCAACAAGCCTCCCTCCTCATCGACCTCTTCCTCCTTCCGCAATACGCCACTTACAAATCCCGCATCATCCACCTCGCCCACCAACCCGATGACGACGACGCCTCGAATCGCGAACTTCAAGGTTTCGTCTTTGAGGGGATGCGCCACGCCGGTGTCGTGCCTGGTGTGCCGCGCGTGGCGACTCGGGATACCGTGATTGATGATGGGGAGGAGGAGGAGGAGAGAGGTGGCGGCGCGCAGAAGAAGCAGAAGAAGATTCTGGAGGGCCAAATGGTATTTGTTGCCACGTCAAAAGCGGCCATGGATCCCAAAGCATTTCCTGAACCGGAAAAATTGGATCCGTATAGGCCTTTGAGTAGTTATATTTTATTGGGGCATGTAAGTTTTTCCCTCTCTTCTTTATCCCTTCAAAGAAAAAATTTGGTAATTTTCTCACGCGATTATCTTTTTGTATAGGGCCTTCATTTCTGCTTTGGAGCTCGACTCGTCGCACCTGCTCTCGTGGCAACTTTGAAACAAGTTTTCAAATTGAAAAATCTTCGACGCGCAGCGGGGCGTAGTGGGGAGTTGCATGGAGTGGAACATGAGATTTCGGGGACGGGAGTGATGATGAAGTCGTATTTGGATCATGCTTCAAAGGTATGTTTTTTTCTTTCTTTCTTTCCTTCTTCTTTTTTTTTTTTTGCGGAGAAACTGTTGGTGGGGTTTGGTCGGTGGTGGGGGGCCGATGAACTTACATACTCATAATATGTGAAATGTGATGATGCTAATATTTGACGGGGTCGGTGACGCTATCGAATAGGAGAGTCCGATTCCTACTACGTTGACGCTGGAGTATGATGAGTAAGGAGGTAGAGAAGGAGAGAGGGATGAGATGATGATTCATAATGGCCATGTCGTAGGGGGAACTCAATGAGGAGAGGATAATGGTGATAATCAATGATGAGATGACAGCCAAGAGGGTAAGTTGATAAATGATGAGAAACGATCAAACTTGCATTTGGGGGTATCTTAAATCATCAGTTCCAGTGATTTCTTCGGCCTGATTCACGGCCATCCATAACTCCCACTCTTCCAGTTTAAATGCATGTAAATGACTGACTGACTGACTGACTGAGTCCATATTCCTTCCCCATCCTTCACTCAACAAAATCTTTCATCCTTGTCCTCGACAACGGCACTCATATTGGCCGTCGCACGCTCTATCATCTAGTCGATTCCTTCGTAGCTGCTCATCATCATCATCCACATATCACGCCCTCACTTCAATCAAATCATTGATCATTTGCAAAAACCGTTGACGATACTCTCCACTATCAGTCGTAATACTCATATGCCCCTGTCGATCCACCGTATTGTATACACTAATGAGGGCAGTCATCACTCGAGCGTAGACTTTGTGTTTACTCCAGAAGAAATCTAGGACGCTCGCTCGATATTTCCATTTTCCGTCTGCGGATGTGATGGAGGTGCGCCAACTGGGTGGTGCAATCACGGGAGGTTTGCCTCTCGGTGGCAAGTTTCCTTCTTCTTCTCCTTCTCCTTCATTCGTGGAGGCGGGTTTCGCAGCATCATTATCAGAAGAGGAAGAAGGGTCAGCGGGAATGGGTATTCGGACGAGCATCAGCGAGTAATCGACAGTATTGCAATTGGCGAGTAATCTGGTATCTTTTTGGAGTTGTGCTTTGAGATCTTCAGCTTGATCGAGAGTCAGAATGAGCTTGTCGGGGAAGTTGTCGGCCAACTTGGTCTTGGTGGCCTCGCTCGACAGTGCTCCATGAGCAATGTCTCGTTCGGGATAAAAGTAGGACATGGGTTTCAGGTCATAGTCTTCCCAGTCATCTCGTTTTCCGTGGAGTAAATTCTCCATGACGATGTGATGTGTGGGTGTAATATTCAACAAGGTGCCGATACTGCATTGATAGCATGCGAGAAACGCGGTGATTCGCGTCAGGAGACTATTGGGGTTGTGATACATGTACTCGGCATAGGGTTGCAACAGATCGTTCTTGAAGAAGGAGGACTCAAAACGGCGAGGAATGGACTTGATGATGTACTCTTCATCGTGTGTGGTGAAGAAGGTGGAGCCGGAGAGGCCCATATGTCCTTTGATGGCTTTGAGCAACCTCTTGTGCTCATCGTTGGCGCCAAAGCTGGCCTTGAATTCGCTCTCATCGAGGTGCCAGGCGCCGTGGCGTAGCGCTTGGAATAGTTGTTGGTTGACACACTGCAATTCGAGGCAGTACAGGCAGAAGTAGTTGGGGATGCGAGTGAAGATGCCAGGGCCCTTTTCTGAGCTGTAGATGATGGAGTGTGTAATGCAGCTCGCCGTCACCTGTTCTCGACGTGTCATATCGATGTGATGTGATGGGGTGTGAATAGTGTCGGCGCGAGGTAGAAGTGAAAGGAGAGAGGGAAAGAAGAGAAAAGGAGAGAAAAGAAGAGGAAGAGGAAGAGGAAGAGGAAGAGGAAGAGGTGAAGACGACAAATTCGGCGCCGGTGACCGAGACAGAGTAGTGCAAGACTAGCTAAGGTACATGATGTATACCTGAGGTGCTTGGAGGTGGTGGTGCTTGCGTCGCTGAAAGCTGCCTTGGGTCGCCTTTCAACTTCAAAATAACAATCATGGACATCTTCTACTTGCATTTCCCGTGGTCTATACCATAAAACGAATTCTCTCCTTGCACACATATCATGTCGGGCTATCACGGTACACTCCCTCCCTCCCTTCCTCCCTCCACCCACCCACCACCATTCACCCTCCCATACCTTACACACACACAAGACGCAACTGACCAGTGCACGCCATTCTTCTCACCCACCTCCAGTCGAGCACGGAATCAAGGATGAAGCGCCCCCTTCTGCCCCGAGGCGACGACGTCCCGATCTGTCGACCTTCTTCAGCACCCTCGACGTCGTCGACACGTCCGGCGCACGCGCTCCCTCCAACGCCCACGCAGTTCCTCATCCCAGCGACATCGCCGCTGCCTACCGCACCCTCGCCAATGCCTTTGAGATGATGCGTGGCGCCTCCTCCACCCCCGGCGATGGTTCGAGTGATCTCATGGCCACCCTCGTCGAATCGCTCCTGCAAGGCGCCGAACACCCACCGACGAAAGTCGAAGGTGTCTCCGACGAGTTCCTTGCACAGCTCGAACGGGTGGACAAGAAGGAGCTGCTCGCACTCAACAAGAAGAGACAGGAAGAAGTGTCGTGTCCAATTTGCTCGAATCCATTCTTGGAGGACTCGCATCCGCTGGTGGTCCGGCTGCCGTGTCATGATGATCATCTGTTTGATCTGGAGTGCATCACGCCGTGGTTAAAATTGAACCCCACCTGTCCTTTGGATCGCAAGGACTTGTTGCAGAAGAAGGTGGTTGTGCCGACGAAAGTGGAGGATGACGAGGAGGAGTACGATGATATGTATTCGTGAAAGGGAGAAGAACGAGGCAGAGACATTGTGGGATGCGATTCTACCTACTTCTCCATGTCGTTGGCAAACATGAGCGCCGACGACCAGTGCGACGTTAGAGACTTGATGGCTGCAGCATACCACAAGTAATGCTGAGCTCATCGCAGACGCCCTTCCCCCAAAAGGCATTAGACTTAGTCCATCTTGCTGATGGATGATCACGGAGTATGCTAACGATGCAGGACGCAACCGAACATGGTATCGCCATGACTGTAGACTTGAACATGCAGATGCCTTTACTGTTGCTCATAAAAAATCTTCTCTGCCACTTATCTGACAATATTTGATATTCGGCATATACAAGCCTGCTCCCAATTCGCCTGCGCAATCCACTTTCTCGCCAGGGGTATATATTTCGCGCTTCTCTGATATGACATTGTATATTCCAACAACCAAAAGACTCAACATGATCCCACCTAAATCCAAATATTCTCTCACATGATTCCATCCCACATATTCTCTCACATAACCACACAAATCTTGATTCCACAAATCTTGATTCCCATATCCTGCTGCTGTTGCGGCTCCTGATATCCCATTTGCTGCTGAGGTTGTTGTTGTCCCGGATAGCCCTGTTGTCCTCCACCATATTGCATCTGCTGCTGCCCTTGCTGATATCCATACGTGGGAGGTTTCCCCATGGGATACGCCGTCTGATAATGCGGCTGGCCATAATTCTGATGTTGCGGTTGATGATGCGAATCATAATCATATCCCTGATCCAAACCACCACCATGCCCTCCGCTTCCTGCACCGCCATTCCCACCACCGGGTTGCAATTCAATAAAAATCCTCCCCGCATTCGCTTCGGTATGAAAGCGCAAACCCAATTCCCGACAAACTTGTTCCACTCGCGGTTTAATCTTCTGCACATGTCCCGGAGAATGATTCCCCTTTCCCACAATCACATGTAAATGCGTCTGATTCGTCTGCGTGGCATAACGAATTCTCTGTTCCAAAATCTCCTCGGCCTCTTCCACAAATTGCCCATGCAAATCAATCGTATCCGCGGCAACTTTTCCCACAGAATTATTTTCGCGAAAGATAAATTCCGATGCTTGGTGATTGTAGGCGTCGGCTTGCGCGGCGTGTTGTTTGGATTTTTCCGAGGCCGAATGCGCGAGACTGCCGTCGCCGCGGGAGTAGGCTTGGCGGGCTTCGGCGGCGAAGTGTTGGTGTTGGCTTTGTTCTTGGCGGGCGAGGGAGCGGAGGCGGTCGTATTCTTGTTCGGAGGAGGAGGAGGTTGGGCCGTTGTGGTTGAAGGGGGAGCTGCCGAGGTGTTGGGGGTTGTAGGTGGACATGTTGGATGGATAGGGGTGAGAATGGGTATATAGGTATATATGTTGTTTTTTTTTTCAAATGTGGTGAGGATATATGTGTTTAAGAGAAAAGAATGGAGAGGAGGGAATGGTATAGGTATACACTCTACATGTATGTACAAAAGTGTTTTCAAGTGGTATACTACCAACCTCTTCTGCTGGACATGTTCAAGGGTCTGCAATCAAAAGTGGCTGGGACTGGCAAAAAGTTGGTTTACACGCCCAAAAGTCAATCCCCGCCAAGCCAATCGCATCCTTTCACATGCCAAACCCGTGACTTTTTGTTTTCCTTTTCACTTCACCTTCAACACCATCCCGAGTGAATCTTCTCTAGCACGCATTGAAAAACCGTCAGAACTCCTTTCGGAACGATATCCATCATCTGGAAGACTGCTCCTTTATACTCTCTCTGCTCATCGAACATACTCCATGTCCGCTCACTGGCATGAGACATCAACCCGAGAAAAAGTGAACACAGCTCTGAATTTGAAGAAGCTGGACATTGCAGCTGCTGAAGATCTTCTGTATGGTATCTCAAATACTGCCACGTGGTACTGGACATGCCATGTCATCATGGTAAGCCCTACTGCAAGTTAGGTATATTGAACATAGCCCGAAAGACTTGGCAGGATTCTAGTCAAACCGCTACGCAAGACGAACGTATACCTATGTACCGTACCTACAATACCTGTAGTTCCCGAGCTGAAGAAGACAGGTCGCAATAGTCTTTTCGTGGACAAAGACTACCCTACTCAATTCAAAAACTATCCTCTCTATGACCTCGCCTCTATCCATCGCCTAATTATAAGAAAACAAAACCTATACATACATTGTAAAAGAAACACCGTCTACAGGCTACATATAATCCATATTACACCTATCTCTAAAACGCCTAGAAAACGTCTAGAAGTTTAGAACAATCTCTAGTTAAAGCAAATCAACTACTCGTATGTAAAAAGTGAGCACTAGTCTTTCGGCAGAAATTCGCCCAAACAAAAAGAGAATCCTCGACTACCTAGTAGGGCGCGATCGGAAGAAGGTAAGGTAAGACATTGTGGTTCTACTCTTCTAACTGCCTACTAGTATAGAAAAAAGGGCGTATATACTGTAGGATAGGATAGGATACTGTATATACCGTACAATGCTAGATACTACATACTACTAAAATATCGAAATATCGAAATTCTAGAGGACGATTTCTGATTACAAAAATTTCTATTGGAGCAATAGAAGTAGAAATGGAAGTAGAAGTAGAGGAAGGGCGGGGGCGTATAGAGTGTAAGGTAGTTGAACAGTTGAACAGTTGAAAAGATGGTCGTCAAAACACCGCCCAAATTACCTTACTTTTTGTACAAGTCCTACAAGATGTTTCTCGATTTTTTTCCTTTTCCTTCTTTTTATCTCTTTTCTTTTTTTTAAGGGGGAGGAGAACCGAGAGGGGAAGAATGTCTCTTTAACCCAGTTGGGTAGACCATGCCGATATCTTCTAAGGAGGAGGAGAGAAGAATTCGACTGCTACATGTACTACACTCGGATATGTATGTGTTTTATCGATAACAGTAGCAGCACAAGAAGAAGAAGAAGAAGTGGTGTCCTACGGATCTCATCGGAGGAAATAGACAAGAAACTAATGTACCTTGAATAGTAGTTCGTCTTTTACCAAGCAATGGACTAGACTATTACATGTACCTACCTACTAGTCTAGCCAGCCAGCCAGCTGTACATGTGGTAGGAGTAGTAGTAGGTAAGGTAGTAGTGAAGGAAGATACCTACGACAAGACCGGTATTTGACGGAACACTGGTTTTTCTTTAAACGAGAGACAATGTTCCATCTGAGCTTCTTTTCTTCGCTTAGAAAAAAAGGTGGTGATGATTTGATACCTTACCTTAGTTATATATATATAACAGAAGCTACTCGACGCAGAATTCCTGGGTAAGCTGAGTCTACTTTTTTCTTTTGGATCCTATTGATCTGTTCATCGATTCATCTCCTCCAGAAGAGAAAGCAAGAACAGAAGCTTGCCCAAGAAAAGGAAAAGAAAAGAAAGCCAAAATGAAGACTTCCATCTTCACCACCCTCCTCCTTTCCGCAATGTTGCCATCGACCGTATTCGGATACTGGGTAAGTTCTTGTTTCTTCTTCTTTTTTCGTTCGCATCTCTCCCCTCCCCTCCCCTCCCCCTCCCCTCCCTCCCCACCTCTGTGTGTAAAGTCCACTAACATCCTCTCTCTCTCCCAAAACAGAACTGCATCATCACCAAAGAAGACAACTACTACGGAGACTCGGGAGCCTGTGTTCCCAACGGAGCAGATGCGGGGAAAAAATGGAAAAAATGCTTGAGCGTTCGTTTTATCCATCCCATCCACCCTTTTCTTGTGAGTGAATGAGTGAGTGTATGTATACTAACCTACCTGCGAAGAGACAGTCTTGCAAGACGCAAGGAAATGGTTGTTCGCCTATTCCCGGTAGAGACGGAGGAGAGGGAGCCTTGGCGGATTGTTCTGCTTGGTAAGCCCTGAGAGAAGAGGGGAGGAGAGGAGAGGAGAGGAGAGAAGAGAGGAGAGGGCAGGCCAAGGCGGCGGATTCGGAGTGGCGCACAATGGATAGATGTAGATAGCCGACATGTCAGTATCGACAAGAGTGAGGTTCCACTGGAATTCACTCGTACAAGTCTAGAGAACAAGTTAGAGAGAGGTACATCTCAGGAAGGAAGGTACTCTTGTTTCAAGAGGAAAGAGCCAAGGATTGTTCCTGCCAAGACTCTTCCAGCATTCGACACTGAGCCCGGGCCCTACCTCCTAGGGGTAAAGGTCAGCCTGGTCAGGTATTGCTGCCGTCTCCCGTCTCAGTGATCAGACTCTCCTAGGTAGATAGACGTTAGCACATGTAGTGACAGGCTCACGCAGAATGAGAATGCACAGAAGTCAAAAGAATCAAAACTTTTGCTCAGAGGAGTCTCAGAGTAACTTTTGCCTGATTCTATTTTCCGCTGGCCTCGTTCGCAGCATGCTTTTGAACGAACGCATCTCATGGAATCTGCAGGCTGTGAAGATTCTTTCATCGCTCGTGCAACTACTCTTCTCCATCAGGTGCTTTCTTGTACTTCATTGTGGACTTTCCTTTCAGACATGGCTCAGAATTCCATGTCAAAAGTGGCGGTCTGGTGTGTTGTCGTCTTCGCTCTAAACACCCATGCGTTGCACCACGATATGGCAAGATCGGACGTAATGATCCCTTGCTGCAAGCACCGCTTCTGACGCCTCCCTCCAGATATGGGTTTGGGGACTCGACACACGTGCGAGCGCGTGCAAGTGGCCACGCAAGCGCCGCCTCGAATCAGCCACTTCATTCTCGAGCACCAAGCGTTGCCAGTCCCAGATTAGCATGGCGGGTATTGCCGCCATCTGGCTCGCTCGGAGGGAATAAAGCTGGGGAGTGAGTTGGTTCAGCGTGCGGGTCTCGTTATCCATTTCCTCCAGGATCGGCTGCTTCAGCTGTCCGAGCTTACGGCTATATTCGTCTTGAATTTCCCAGAGACGAGATGTAAATCGCGTCCCTACTGCAGCAAGCATGGCATCCGTCTCCTCGGCGAGACTCATGGGGGCAGGCGGGACGCGGAACAGCACGCTGCGGTCCATGGGGCAGGTGTTGTTGTTTGCGAGCCACGTCAAGATGCATTCCTTGCAATAGACATGGTTACATGGAAGCTTGACGGCATGCTGGAGGGGTCCGTAGCAGATGGCGCACTCTTCGTCCGGCGCAACCCATAAGGGAGACGACGGGTCGGCGAGAAAGGAGCACGGAGACAAGCTGGTGGCGAGGAATTCCTCTCGACTCGGCAATAGTGCTGTCGAAGGGGCCGCCGTGGTAGCGTTGGCAGTTGCTGGCGGGCCCCGGTGGCTGGCTCTGATCCAGACGAAGAGCGGGTCTACTTTCAGTCAGTACTAGGACCATAATGGGTGCCGTCACAGGCTGTGCTGATAACTAACCGAAGAGCTCGTCTTCTTCAGGCGGGCGGTCCATCTGTGCGATGTCGTCGACTGATGTGTCGATGAGTGCACTGGTGGAAAAGGAAGAGAAGGGGAGGAGGAGGAGGAAGAAGAAGAAGAAGAAGGGGAAAAACCTGGAAGAAGGTCGCGGAGTGTGAACGCCGACTTCAGGTGAGAGTTGATATCTGTGTGCGAACCTACACACACCAACGACAACACACCATTACCTATTTTTTCTTTGCATGTCTCCGACTGTACTATCATATGTTGAGAAGGGGTTGGATAGCCTACTGATGTCCTACTCTGGCGGTGTTCAGAGAGCACGGGAAGGGCCAGTAGAGGAATGTCCCAGGAATGACAGCAGAGTGAATGAGATGGTCATCATCCCGCTCGCTTCTCGTCCTGTTCCTGTAGTCGTGTCTTCTTCCAGCATGTCTGGCCCATTCTTCCTGCAGCAACAGATGAGAGGGTGGGGGGAGAGAGAAGACGAGGAGAGAGCCTCTGAGAGAGGACAGGAGAAGACAGGACAGGACAGGACAGGCCTGGGAGCAGGCGTCTCGAACGATTCCCTTTTCCAGGTAGTCCCATTCTATTTTCAGAGGATCCCCGGACTCTCTCGTCTCTAGTTCTATTTCTGATGCTAGCGGCGACACTAGAATCATGAACTAATGCAGGACTCCAAGGCAACACATGTGATCCAGATGGGGGGGATGCTGACAAAGTTGTCGAAATGCATCGACGTCCATGGAGCTCTCAGCTCTCTCTCGTGTAGCTCTCGCGTCGCATTTATCCCCCATCCACCACCTACCTTACTATCCCCCCAGCATACCGTACTTTTCTCCTAGTCTGCCTCTTCGGGATAACTTGGTTAAACTACAACAGAACCGACCTGACCTGACCTGACCTCGGACAGCTCCTGGTTCGGCGCTCATGCAGGGGTCCTCCAATCTGGTCAGCAAGCAACACTCTCTGCCGACATCCGGACCCTTCTTTACCTTATACCATTGAGACCCTTCTCTCCTCCTCCTCCTCCTCCCCCTCCTCTTCTTCATTCTTATCTTCCTCCTCCTCCTTCCTCCTCCCTCCCATTGACAGGCCGGCCACTCTCCCCACCGAGATGCCCTCGACGCGCCAATTCCGCTCCATTGGCCTGCTCACGGTCCTTGCCTTTTGCATCATCTACTACATCTACAATGGCGCCTCGGACACGCATGAATCCGAATTCTATCAACGAACGAAGGCTGCCCTAGAGCGGAAAAAGACATCCCACGACCGAGACCAAATATTCGCCGAAGAAAAGGACAGACTCGGCCGAGTAGAACGGTTACGGAAAGAGCATGATGCGGCCGTGGAGAAAGAAGGAGCTACCAAAGTCTCCACCAGCCACAGCGAGGCCGCCGTGACGCAAGTAGTGGGCGGGGAAGAGAGAATCAAAGGGCAAAAGCCGTTGAAAGTGCCCGATACAGAGAAGGACGGAAAGGTGGTGCACGGCGCTCCCGAGAAGGATTCGGACGATGGCGTCGCGAAGATTGGCAATGTGCGGCAACAGCAGCAGTCGCTGCACAAGGAGGGCGGTGCGGTGACGGAAGGGGAGGACGACGACGAAGACGCAGCCGCCAAGAGGAAGAAGAAACAGGAAGAGGCGGAGGTGGAAGCGGAATTGACTGATATTTTGAAAAAGGGACCGATAATAGTCTTTTCCAAGAGCTATTGTCCCTATTCGAAGAAGGCAAAGGTATGTGGGATGGAATGCCGGATGAATGTTTGCATGCTGACGCTTGCTTTTTTCTCTCTCTTTCTCTTACAGCACGTCCTCCTCGATCTGTACTCCATCACCCCTGCGCCTTATGTGGTAGAACTGGACACACATCCTCTCGGACCCGGTCTACAAAGCCATCTGTACAAGTCTACGGGACGAAGAACGGTGCCGAATGTGTTGATCAATGGCCGATCGATCGGCGGAGGCGACGACATTGTGGGCCTGCACGAAAGTGGGAAACTGATCGACACCATTACGAGCATGGGCGGTAAACGAATCATGAGTGCGAGTAAAAAGGAACCGCACGCGAAACGGTTCAAATCATAGCGCACTTTGTTTGCTCTCATGTAAAGAAAAAAAGGGAAAAGGCAAGCATTGGAATGGGGGAAAGGAAGAAAGAAAGTGATACCCTTGGAAGAGAAATGAACATTCATGCTACTACCTTACCTTGACTTTTTGTGTTCATGTGCACCCTTCTTCTTTTCCCCCAAGAAGATCATCAGCAATTCAATAACAGTAACGACTCCTCGTCACCACTGCCAGGTGCAGCGAGCGAACCACTCAAACGAACAACATTTCCGCAGCAGCCCTCCCATTCCCCGCTACAGCCAATACAATCACCATGGCCAATGCCAAATCGGGAACGCTCTTCCCATCCTCTCGACTCTTGTCGTGACTTTGCGCTTCTACAATCACTGACCATTCCCCTTTCTCCTCTCCACCTCCTACCTCTACAGTGGCACATTGCAATCCATCGACAAAGACTTCCAAGGATGTGAGACTTGCTCCTCCTCCTGGCTGTTGTTCTGAGTCTTCGCTGCTGCTGGATTGGACGGAGCCAGTGATTTCAATCCAGAAAGAGGAAGAGGATGGAGATGATTCTTTTTCTTCTTTGTTTTCGGGAATGACTCGCTTGGCGTGGGAGATGGTTAGGACGGGCGCTTTCTTTCCTTTCTCGACAACTTTGTCACCTCCACGAGAAATAATCACATCAGTGGGTAAATCTGGAGTTCGACCTGGTTTGATTCTTCCTCCAGAAGAAGAAGATGCTTGTTTCGCTTCAAAAGCAGTGGCATATGACATAATTTTATTATCCTCATATGCCTTAGTGGCAAACGTGAGATTCACTGGCATGTTGATGTCCGACATGTTTCCCATGGGGACGTTGATGGTCGGGATGCCGAATTGTCGAATCGCGCAGTTGCCGTTGCTGTAGAGGACTCCGTTGCGCCTGGAGAGGGAGTGTCAGTTGGATTTAATATTTTCATTCATTGTCATTCGTTATCGGGGCAGTTCAAGAAAGTGACCAACTCACCATGCATCTCGTGCAGACTCTTCATTCTTATCCGCATCGGCTTTACCGACGTCGCCTTGACAGGGCCACACCACGGCATCGAGCCCTCGAGCGTCCATCCAGGCTTCGAAATCCGTCTTGCGACGCTCTTCCAACGCTTGGAGTTTGGGTCCGATGCCGGGGATGGAGAAAGTCGCCACGCGGCCCTTCTTGACGGCGTCGACGAGATTCGCACATTTGACGAGCGGGTCGTCTGGGCCGTAACGATCGGGCAGAGCGCCGGGAGGAGGCGGGAAAATCATGGCGGGGTCGACGTCGGCGAGCGTGGTGACGCTGGAGGTATCGTTGTTGGAGCGGAGGAAGTCGTCCCATGTGTAGGCCATGAGTTGGACCATGTCAATGTCGTTTTTGTGTACGGGTGTGAAGTATGGGGTGGAGGGCTTGGAGCCGGCTGCTGTACTCTCGAGATTGGTCACGATGGGAAAGTCGGTTTCGATCACGGTCGCACCACACGCTTCGAGTGTCTTGCGGGCTTGGTCCCAGAGCGCGCGGACGGAGGGTCGGATATGGACCGGGAGAGCGGCGGGGTCATGTTCACCAATGTACATTTTGGGCACTCCGATGACTTTCCCTTGCAATGAATTGGTGTCCACCAGAGACTGGTATGTCGCAGGTCGGATTGCTTCCGGGTCGGGGAGCGGGACGAATGGTTGTTCGCGCCAGAAATCGCAGTGCGTCTGTTCGTCTTTGGCAACGATGACATCAAGGAGAGAGAACATGTCTCGCATGCTTCTCGTATGAGGCACGACAGTATCGCAGTTGGGGAAGAGGGGCCAGTTGCCACGGATACTGATGAGACCCCGCGAGGGCGAGTATGCCACGAGACCATTGTTCGAAGCTGGCGATCGACCTGAAGAGATGGTCTCTTCACCCATGCCGAAAAGACCAAAACTCGCAGCTGTTGCTGTGGCACTGCCGTTGCTGGAGCCAGAGGCAAACGCTGCAGTCAAATAGTCTTCATTGTAAGGGCTCTCCGCTCTCCCATACACGCCACGCTGCATGCCTCCTGCGGCCATTGGAGGCATGTTGGTCCGCGCCAGGATGATGCCGCCTCCAGCTTTGATTCTTCCCACAACGAACGAGTCCTCAGTAGCGATCAGGTTTTCGAATGCTGGCGAGCCCGAAGCTACCGTCATGCCTTTGATCTTGTAGCTGTCCTTGATGGTGCATGGAATGCCATCCAGGTCGCTCCGTGGTGGCTGCCCCGCTGCACGGAGATCATCAGAGGCCTGAGCGTCCGCAAAGACATTCTTATTGATGATGGGGGAGGAGTTGAGGTAGATGCTCCGACGATCATACCGGGCCAAACGAAGGAGATGTTTAGCGGTGAGTTCGACCGATGAGATCTGGCCCGATGAGAGCGCGGCTTGCAGATCGCCAATACTGGCTTCGACAATGCTCATGATGGAGGTGCTGTAGCTGTGCTATATGAGGTAGATATGGTGAAGGTTTCGTCGTGACTCTTTCACAAGAAGTAGGTAGGTAGGAGGACTGTCTGCGATATTTGAGCATGGCGCTTACCTTGGGAGAGCTTCCAAGCCTCTCCATGTTCTCCATGGATGTACATATGTCGGGGCAGCTTCAATCACATCAATGGAGTAATATCACTCGATGGCAGACAACTTTGGGGAACAAATTGCAGAGTACGGTGAAGACAGGCATGGTTGTTCTGGTGGCGTGTCTAGTGACGGGCCTTGCAGCTCTACCTGGTCGGCGATAGGGAGGACGATGAGCCAATAGCCGCATCGCAATGGTGGACGTTGGAAGTATACACATGCGTGTCATATGTGCTCGAGGTCATGCCGGCGGCGATGGCCCCGGGGCGACTGGCCTATCTATCTTGTGTATGCCAAGTCGCAACCAGGGACGACGATGAGCTGGGCTGGCTGGAGCTTGGGATACGCAACCGAGGATGATGGCGTGTATGGTGCATGGTCTGGTGGATGTGGGAATGACAGCGGGAGGAGGAGGTGGTGGAGGCGGAGAAGGATGATGAGGTGGTGGTGGTGGTGGTGGTGGTGGTGGTGATGGTGATGGCGGTGGTGGCGGAGGTGGAGGGAGGCTCATCTCCCAGATGAAGTCTAGTGCTGGGTGTAGACTGTTAGGTAGGTACATAGAGTATGATGCCGATATCGGCGTGTTGGCATTGGCAGGTGAATAACAATAATTTTCCCGAGCTCCAGATTCAGAAGGTGCCTGTGAGTTCTCCATACTACTAGCAATACTAATAGTCAGGTACATGTCATGGCTGCTGCAAGGACTCTGCGTATAGGTGGGCATCTCCATGCATTTCTTGTGCATACCATACATATTGTTGTTCACACCAACAACTGACACACACACCCTCTCACAGGCCTCATTCCCGGCGACGGCATTGGCCGCGAGGTCATTCCAGCTGGTCGCCGTCTACTCGAAGCTCTGCCATCCTCACTCGGCCTCAAATTCTCCTTTGTCGACTTGGATGCCGGCTTCGACACCTTCAAGCGGACCGGCGTTGCGCTGCCCGACCAGACTGTCGAGACGCTGAAGAAGGAGTGCGATGGCGCCCTGTTCGGTGCCGTGAGGTAATACCATCTGCCTCCCATCTCCATATATCGCAGCTGCTATGCTATGCGATGCTACGCTACGCTATTGCTGACCGCCCTCCGCTCCGCCGCCAGCTCTCCCACCACGCCCACCAAAGGCTACTCCTCTCCCATCGTCGCTCTCCGCAAGCGACTCGACCTGTACGCCAACGTCCGCCCCGTCAAGTCCGTGACCCCCACCGCCGCCTTCCCCGACCCCATCGATCTCGTCATCGTCCGCGAGAACACCGAAGATCTGTATGTCAAGGAAGAGAAGACGTATGATACCCCCAATGGCAAGGTCGCCGAGGCCATCAAACGCATCTCCGAGCATGCCTCATCGAGGATCGCTACCATGGCGGGAGAGATTGCCCTGCGTCGTCAAATTCTACGCTCCAAGACGGCCTCGGGGGCTAACCAGAAGAGCATGGTGACCATTACGCACAAGTCCAACGTGCTATCACAGACCGACGGACTGTTTCGCAGCACCGCGCGCAAAGCATTGGAGCAGGACAAATTCGTGTCGGGGAATGTGGCCATTGACGAGCAGATTGTGGACTCCATGGTCTACAAGCTCTTCCGCGAGCCTTCCACCTACGATGTCATTGTGGCACCCAACCTCTACGGCGACATCCTCTCTGACGGCGCCGCCGCCCTTGTCGGGTCGCTAGGACTCGTGCCTTCCGCAAACGTGGGAGATGGGTTTGCCATTGGCGAGCCGTGCCACGGATCTGCCCCAGATATTCAAGGCAAAGGCATCGCAAACCCGATTGCTACCCTCCGAAGTGTGGCGCTGATGCTGGAGTTTTTGAACGAGGAAGAGGCCGCTGCGAAGATCTACCAGGCCGTCGATGGGAACCTTGCCGATGGCAAACTACTCAGTCCGGATATGGGAGGAAGTGCGAAGACGGAAGAGGTGCTGAATGACATTTTGAGGCGGCTATAGATGTTGTTGATGCAGTATGAACATCAGTTGTGTGCAACAGAACAAAATCGAAAAAAGTGCGACACGGCCCCCTCTTCCCATTGACCATCGCCTTGCCACTGACTGATGTAGCATTGGATGCCCCTTGAGGCAATGGAAACGCGCGGTGGAGAAATGGTGATTCGCGATGATCACTACCTACATTCACATTATCGCAAGACTATCGCAGCTCCCAAGAGCATAAAATGGACAAATGCAAGTCACTCTCGCGAACTCAGTCGGGAATCTAGCAACTACAGCAACATCACACACATAAGTCCTCGAGTGTTTGAGGCTGAGAGTGTTCTTCTCGTTCAAGATTATGAAAACCCAGGCAAGAGGGGGAGTTGGCGGCATCAAGCGAATCGCAGGTTCTGGCTTAGTCAGATTCCAACGCCGCCTGCATTGAGGAGCGTACGATCTTGCCGAATCCGCGAAATGACATATGTTGGAGAATTAATACAGCAATGAGAACATTGCTCACGCAGGCTATGATCCGCAACATTGAAGCAGATGGCACACGATCTGGTCATCTCCATCTGCGAAACAACATACGATGCGGAGACGACCATGTAATTCCCTTGCAGTTCGTCTACGACGCGGCAGACTGTCGAACCTTCTACAAGATTGATTCGATGCTGTCCCGGAACGAAGCCCGAAAAGCCGCCTGCTCTGCCCATTGGGGCCAGTAGTGGTGTTTGCATCCCTGAAAGCACTGGACATCGATCGAGCGTTCTGGGTAGCACTTTCTATGCTTCACCTACCTAAGCGATGAACTCATTTGGGTAAGGAATGAGACTTCTGAGTAGGTGACCTTCAAGCTTGTTGAAAAAATAATGTGGCAAAGTGGAACATCACGGAGATTGCGTGATCCTCGTAGAGGCAGAATCGAGGAGAGCTCAGAGCATTCCATATACCCAAGGTGACGTTGCTATTACGCTCCTGTGTCTTGGAAGCATTTGCGGAAGCGAGCTCCCCCAATTTTCTGGTCTTGGCCACTCTCTCGAGATAGGAGGTAGGACGGCCTGGCAAATGAGGAGATTTTCAGATCGCCCTTGAACATTCCCGTTCGTGACGTATCGGAGCCTTTGCCAGAACAGTGGACACTGGGAGTCTGGGAATATGGAATGAAATAGGAGACCTGGCGAGCCGATGTTTTGCCATGACTCTGGAGAAGCAAGGCCGGGGAGGGGACACCTCGTGCGCATCGGAGGCTACCGAGCGTGGTAAGTCTGTCATGCTTATACTGTAGCGTTAGGATCTCCCCGTTTTTAGCGATCGATCCTACCAATGACCATCTTCGACACTCGCAAGCTAGTCGACGCCATAATGTCGGCCGCTCGCTTTTCCATCGCATACAAACTAGCATTTCCAGCTGTTCGACTCGTATCGTACAGGGAAAACAAAAACGACCACAGCGCCTGATATTACCACCGCTCTGTTTCGAACCTCGTTCTGGGGATCCAAACGACTTCATCGATCCACCATCATCATGCGGCTGTTTCGCGCAGCATTCACAGGCATCATCGCCACCCTGGCGGCGACTCCCACTTTGACGAAAGCATGCACCAACTGCACCAACGAATCCACTGAGCCCATCGAACCCGCTCCCGCACCATGGACACTCAAAGGAGACATTTACGGGATTTTCCTCCTACCCGGCCTCGGCCTGCCTCTCCTCGGTGCCTCACCTGAAGATCTCCCCGTCAAAGCCTTCCCGCCGCTGGAACGGAAATATCAAGCTTCGATCGCGGGAGAATACGTGGGCAAGATTGGCATGATTCAGGTGTTACGGTATACGGAAAGTCCTGTCGGTCCGTACGATGAACTGCTCATCATTCCGGGGTTTTTTGAGTATGAGAATGAGGGGGAGAAGGAGGAAGGGGTGAGAGTGAGTAGGATCTATGTCAGTCAAAAGTATACGTGCTGGAACGGGCGTGTTAGTAAGTTTTCCCTCTTTTTTCTCCCCTCTGGTGTTCCTTCCTTTTCCGGAAAAAGAATTTATTCACAAACTCTGCGATATTCACGGAGGGAAGAAAACAAAAACAAAATTCTGACCAAGTGAACTTCTTTTTCAAAAAGACTGGAACATCCCCAAACATCTCGCCCGCTTCGACTGGACCTACGAAGCAGATGGCTCCACAACCGTCAAAGTCTATCCCTTTGACACCACCATCCCCAACTCCGAAGCCGAAGCCTTTGCGTCAGAAAAACCTTTTTTCCAGATGACTTTCGCCCCTCTCCTCCCGGAAAACCTCCTCAACGACACCCTCTCCAGCGTCACCTCCCTCCTCTCCTCTGGCGGCAGCTCCAGCAGCACCAACGGCATCCTTCCCTCCCTCCTCACCACCCTCACCAGCAACGGCCTCAACCTCAACCCTTCCATCCCCTTCACAACAGACCTCTACTCTCTTCTCGGAATCGACGCAACCCTCAAACAACCCCCTGTGCCTTATGGCAACGACGCCTTCAGTGCTTTGGGATTTGGAGGTCCGACGTGGAAATCTGTCGTTCCAGGACAATTTACCACGCAGGCGAATTTGGGAACGGTGGATTTGGATCAGTCGGGGACTGATGGCGAGGGAAGTCCTGGAGAGGTGAATGCCGTCGGGGATGAGTGGTATGAGAATTTTTGGCCCGGATTACCGAGGGTGAATGTTGGGATTAGGTATGTTTTTCCTTTTTCTTTCGGTTTCTTTGTGACTCCCCCCCCCCGGCGCCCCCTTTTTTTCCGAAGAATATAACGATGCTGATTACTACTAGGATGAAAGATGCTACGATTACGTTCAGCGAGGGGACCGACATGCCCAACGTGGTTGCATGAATGGAGGTTGCAAGGCAGAGCAAAAGACAAGAAAAGAGATGGAACATGAGATTTTAATTCAGACAAGACACGACGTAGAATTTAATTACTCGGCTGGTTTAGTTTTCCAACCGTCTAGTACAACTTATCGAGCTTGTTGAAGAATTTGCCGAATTTGCCTTCCATCTTCCCAACGCCTTCTTGCAATCTGCTATTCTTGCTTTGTATAGTACCATCCTGACTGGTTTGAGCCCTCTGCATCTTCGGAGGCCCGGTGTGCGCTGAAAATTCGGCCTCTGTAGGCCGGTAGGCTTGTGAATGCAAATCACCGGTATACGCGCCATATTGATTGTGCTGTCCAGCTGCCACTTGTTGAGCGGCAGAGTATGAAAAGTCGCTGTAGCCGCCGATTGGGGCCTGCTGTTGCAGTTGCACTGGAGCTGCCGGGGGAGGTGGCATCCCTGGAGATTGAATGGGTGTATGAGTGGCGTATGCGGGAGGTGCGGAAGGTGTGGGTGGTTGCTGGCTGAAAGCGGGAGATGCCTGAGGATAGTTGGCATATTGTGACGCGGGGTTGTAGGTAGTGGCATGGTGGGTGCCGGGTGGTCCAAATGAGGACTGTCGGAAGGAGGCTTGATGGGGCGGTGGTGAAGCAGGTCCAATCGTGCTAGCTGCCATTGGTCCAAATGACGGGGCACGCGCTTGCACAGGGGGTGATTGTGATGGTGGAGGTGGAACACTGCCTAGATGAGGTGGTGGCTGCTGGACTTCTGGCGCGGGTGCACCGGATGGCGGACCTGGGAAACTAGTTTGCAGCTGCTGGGGAGGGCCAGCAAAGTATGCTGCGTGCGGAGTCGTTTGAGCAGAGCCATGATATATGCCTGAAGTGGCAGCGTACTGAGTCTGCGGAGGCAGATGGTCGTAGCTTGCCGCTGCTTGCAGGCCCGTTCCAGATGATCCATCGTCGGGAGGCGGAGGCGTCTTTTCGCGATATGTGACGGGTTCAGGTGGTGCGGGGGCAGCAGGATTGTAAGCAGCGGGCGCTGTCTGGGGCGAGGCCACACTAGACTGAGGCGTTGGCGGGCCTGGCGTTGAGTGCGCAGATAGCACGCTTGTGGTCCGGGGTGGGAAATTGCTGACTATGGCGGTTCTCTCCAGCTGCTGCACAACAGGACTCATCGAGTCTCGATGCTCGGGCAGAGTCTGAGTGGCCGGGGCATTTTTGATGAGCAAACGATCGGGAGGCATAAGAGTTTTGAGATGATTGAGAAAGGTTGCGGCGTCTTTCTCTGTCCACAAGTATACATCCAAGGTATGAATCTTGTACAGATATTTCTGCTCGTTCTTGAGATCATAGTTGGGGAGATGCCAAGTCTGGTGGTCTTGCACCGCCTGTGCGTCCAGCACGAACGACAGCAATGCCGGCTGTAAGTGATTATATCTCAGCTCAGCGGCGGCGTTCAGATAGCCATGGAACGCGTCCTGGTCGGCAGTGCCGGCGTGATTGGCAATTTCTAGTTTGGCGTGGGAGCCGGACGTGTTGTTGCAGTAGAGATAGACATAGCTGCCTTTGGCGAATCGATGGTGTGCAGGCTTTGCCGACGGGTCGTTGAAGTGATAGTGGACGTCCGCGAAGCTAGCACACTACAGTCAGAAGAGAAGCAAAGCAGCTCCTGGCTGACACTCGTCGTCGTCGTCGTCGCCGCTGGTCCCACCAACTCTTACTCACAGTGTCGTAAGAAGCTGATCTCCTGGAGCAGCGGGCATTCTGTCTTGGACAATGCTACTGTACTGTTTCCCGTGATGCTTCTCTTCTATTCTGTGCTGCTCTGCTCTGCTCTACTACTGTACTGCTCTGTATGCATTCACCGTCGCAGTAGCAGCCTCTCCCCGTGATCCCTTCCTACAGCAGGTCGACGAGAGCGAGGTATGCTCGTCCGGCGTCGGTCAAGGCGATGAAGTCGTGGATGGATGGCGGCGGTGTTGCAAGTGAAGAGATCAGGACTGGAGGCTGCCATGGTTGCGTCCTGTTGCCTATGCGAGGCAGTGCTGCCGTCCGTTTCGTGGAGGAACAGTGCCGTGATATTATTGGTGTTGTAAGCGCTGCGCTCAGCGCTGATCGGCACATGCTCGCCAAGCCTTGCTCGCCCGCATGGCATTCCCGACACTAGTGCTCAGAAAGTAACATCGACACGCGCATGAGAATAAAGTGATACGGGAGTGAGAGAGCATCATCACCATCAACATCACCATCGCCATCACCAGGAAGTCCGTTGCGGTATCAAAGGGACGCGAGGGAACGGGAAGGGAAGGGAAGGGAAAGAGAAAGAGAAGAAAAAGACAGAGACCATGTCTCTGGTGCAGCTCTCACACATCTGCTCACACCTGCAAAACGCCTCCCTCGCACGCCTGGGCCTGACTTCGATCCCATACACGAAGCTACACCTCTCCTTAGCCCTGCTCCTCCAGAAACAAGGCTTCATCTCGCAGCTCAAGCTCGGGGGGCCATCGCCGCCTGCTTCGGTATTCGGCCAAGGCCCGCGAGACAACCACCACCTCACCAACTACCCCCATGGCGCTGCCGGGAGAGATCGATATAGCCCCGAGGCCGCCCTGGCTTTGGTCGTGAGAAAGCGCCTGACATCACCGCAGTTGCAATCTCTGGGATTCCCCCCGGAAGCCATCGAATTCGCACAACGGCATGGGAGAAGGACGCTGGAGGATCTGGAACGTCTAGGATGGGCTAGGCAGATACCGCGCTTCCTCAGCGACCTACGAGCGCAGGTCGATGCCTTGGTGGAAGAGCGAGACGAAGAGTTCCGGCGGCAAAGCTATGAGAGTGACCGACTCCACAGCACCGCAGAGGCCAACAGGAGGATCGCGCAGTTGGAAGAGAAGCTGGGTGATACGCCAGAGCGACGGCGAGAAATTGCGATGAGAGACGTGCTTGCTGGTCGGTCCCCGGCAGAACTGGAAATTTATCGAAAATACGGCAACGTTCCATTGCACGAGCTGGAAACCACGCGCTTCGATCTGGACACGCTCACCTCGCTTGCGGGAAAGAACTCATACATGACCGAGCGTGAGATCAATCTCAACGGAATCACCATCGAGGCCATGGGCTTGCCGGTATCGAAGCAGTCCGTCACACTACCCGTCGAAGACTTTCAAGATCCATCTCTCATGGAGACGGAGGGACTCGTGACGCAAGAGAACCGCGCGTCCAGAAGATTATGGCTGGGTCTGAAGTACTACGAGAGTAAACCGGTCATCACCAAAGCACAAATGATATCGAAGCCGACGAAACGAGTCTGGCTGGATAGCAGGGATCTCGGGAGGATTGTGCGGGGACACCAGGCCGGCGAGGTGAAGCCATTGACCAGAGTGGGCGAAATCATGGCTGTCAGTACCGACCGAGGGCTGATGGAGGCGAGAGAGTGCGTGGAGAGGAAGATTGGAGGGCAACCCTTGTGCAGGGTGTGGTGATACGACTATATGTACTATGGGAGAAACTGTCAGAGAAGGGCAGCAAAGCCTCCTCCTCCTCCTCCTCCTCATATCAACATCTACAGATGTATACTATTGTACAGCCAGCGCAGCACAAATGCGACTGTAGAATACTACCCAGTTATACTTTTCTCTTTCTCATCTGATCAATATTTGCCCCCGTACCTGTCCGAACCAAGTGAATGGATTTCCCCGGATGATCTATTTCCCCGATCCGAAAGTGGAGACACAACGCGACTCGTCACTCCCGCTTTGCTACATCTATATCAATGATACATAATGATTATTCTAAATTATAATGAAACCCAGCACCAATCATTACAATAGCTTCGATTGTGGTACAGAAGAGTCAACATTGCAGAAGCGGCGCTGAAGAAATAGTCAAACTCAAACCAGCAAAAATGGCCAACGAATCAAGAATCTACCGCACCGCTCTCGAGATGGCCATCATCTCGATGGTCATATATATCCTTGTCGGAGCTCCTGGATTATCATCATCATCTTCTTCTCCTTCTTCTTCTTCTTCTTCTTCTTCTTCCTCACACGACAATTCCAATTCCGATTCGGCAACTTCTGGTCTTTTCTCCAATTCCGACAAAAAAGTCAAGATCGAACATCTCGTCTACCCATCCAAGAATTTGACCTGTCCCAAACACGACTACACCACCCACATCTTCTCCACGAGTCCATTAGTCATCTACATTGAAGACTTTCTCAGCGCAGAAGAAGTCGAACATTTGATTGCATTGAGGTAGGTATGATTATGATCTCATCCATCCCCAACTTCTCACATGTTAAACACGTCTGATATTTATCGATTCCATCCCACACCACAGCACAAACAACTGGACCCCCTCAACAATCTTCAACGCAGGCCTCGAAACCACCGACCCCAAAATTCGCAAATCCGAAAAAGCCTCCATCCCGCGCTCCCGCCTCGTGCAATGTATCGAACAACGTGCTCTAGCCTTCCAAGGCTGGCCTCGAGATACCTTCATCGAAAGACTGTGGACGCAAAGATATAATGTTTCGGGTCATTATCGTTTACATTATGATTGGGCTTCATCGTCGAAGCATTCGAGGCGCGTGAGTAGTTTTATGGTGTATCTTTCTTCTGGGGAGGGGTTGAGAGGGGGTGGGACGAGATTTCCGAGGTTGAGTGGGCCGAGTGGAAAGGGGAATGGTGGAGAGATGTGGTGTGAATTTGTTGAGTGTTATGATGATGATGATGATCATCATCATCAGAATGAGGGAAAAGGTCAAAAGGAAGATGGTGGTGGAGTCACGTTCAAACCGAGAAAAGGAAGTGCAGTATTTTGGATGAATTTCGACGAGCAAGGACGAGGTTACAAAGAGACGATTCATGCGGGAATGCCGGTTCTCGAAGGTCAGAAGATTGGTTTGAATATTTGGACTTGGTATCAAGCCGGTCATAGAGCACCAGAGTCGGCGGGAGATGAGGAAGTGGGGAGTGGGACATGAATGGGGGCGAGGGGAAAGAATAAGAAGAGTGAAAGAGGGAGGAAGGGAGAGCGAGCCAGGTCTGTCCTTGGTAGCGCCTGATATACACACAGTACCTACCTCCCGTGTGGTCCAATGACCCGATGAAAATTTCTTACCACTTTCATGATCCAAACAAACAGAGAGCCCATTTTCATCACAAACGAGGAATCGAGCGCGCTTCTCTGCTGAAAAGCAACTTTCCCACGACTTCGCTATCCAAAGAGATAAAGAGGATCAAAATTCCCCTCCTGTCAAGTCCTCCCAAATCTCCATGCTGACATCTTCTCTCAGCTTCTGGGCACTTTTCCCTCCCATGCCCATCCGATGCCCCTTGATCACCTTGGGAGCCTTCTTCATGACACCCATCGGCTTACTCGGAGATCTGTTGCCGGCATTCCAGCTACTTTCCAAAACGACTCTCTTCTTGGGACTAGCTTTCTGACTGCCAGATGTTTTGACAGGGCTTCTTTTCTTCGGAGATGACTTCTCCTTCTTCTTTTTCTCCTTCTTCCCAGGACTTTCGTCTATCAGACTTGCCGCAACCTGCGTACTAAAGTCGAACTCGTGCGAATTGTCCGCTCCAACAGGCAAGTCCATCATCCAACCTCTTTTATCCATAATCGTGGTCATTTGATCCAATAATTCATTATGCTTCAAGGTTCGTCTACTTCCAAGAACCACAAGCTTGCTCCTGGCACGTGTGAGAGCCACGTTGACTCGCCTCCAATCTCTGAGCAAGTCGCCCACAATTCCATTTTCGTTGGAGCGAACCATGCTGAGAATAACGACTTCCTTGTCTCGGCCTTGGAAACGGTCTGCAGAGTCAATCTCGACAGCAGCAGGAATACCTGCGCGACGGAAGAGCTGGCGCATTAGGGCGAGTTGGGAGCGGTAGAGCGTGATGACGCCTATCTCTGGGGCGGGTACGCCGAGAGCGATGAAGCCAAGTACGAGTTGTGCTGACAAGGTGGCTTCTAGCAGGTTCGTAATCTTCCCGCCCCCCGAAAGAGTCTCGAGTGCGCTCTTGCTGAGCGGGTCCGTGTTCGCAAAGACGACTTTGTTCTCTGCATTGGTGGCACGAGACAGCCAGCATGCACCGTTAATGGCCGAGCACGCTGAACGTTGCGTATGATATGTTTCAAGCCCCATAGTGTTTGTCAAATGCAGCGTCCGTTGAGCCACAGATTCAGTGCCACAGCGCAGCTTGCCGTGGTATATTAGCTCATTCGACAGCGACATGATCTCTTCGCACATGCGATACTGTCTACCTAGCTCGGCGACGGCAGCAGGATGACCTTCGCTTAGTTGACGGAAAAGCGATACGTCCAGTCCTCCCTCAAGTGCCCTCCTATTCTGCACGAGAGGCGGAAGTTGAAAGTGATCGCCCACCAGCACGAACTTCCTGGCATGAAGAAGAGGCCCAAGGATAGTAGGCAACGTGATTTGTGAAGCTTCGTCGACAATGCACACGTCGAATGATCGTCGGTGGAATATTGCATGGTTGGTGCCCATACAAGTTGTTGCAACAATCTTGGTTGCCATATAGGCTGCGTCGACTTCTTCAATGGACTTTCGAGGCGTGGCAGCTAGCTGGCAGAACTCCTGAACCTGTGCATTGATCTTTGCTGGGATACCAAGACGCAAAATTGAGTCTGGTGGCGCAACGTCTTTGATCTTCAGGAGAATGTTGTCCACAGCAGTGTGTGTGTAGGAGGTGAGCAGAATGGACTTGTCTTCTGCAAGGAGTGCGCGGATGATATGGGCAATTGTGGTGGTCTTTCCAGTTCCTGGCATTCCCAGGATAAGCGCATAGTCATCAGCGGCCAGTACCCGAGAGACTGCTGATTGCTGATCTTCGTTCATCTGGCCTAGCTGAGTAGTTGTGTACTGCCCATGCATTGCAGGAGTAGGCGTAAACCCGGGTGCAGCATTGAAGACGATTTGGCCCCGAAGCTTGTTCACTATCGGACTGCTGTCCATGAGCGCAACCAGATTATTACGCACCAGCGCCAAACCGTTGCTGAACTCGTCCTTGTCAATCCGGTAGAGGATCGGCTGACCCTGGAGACTGTTGTCGTTGGCCAAACCGCCGACAGTCATGGTGCCTTGAAAAGCCTGGTTGTCTTTCTCATTGAAGCCCGCCAGCCGCTGTCGAGCTTCGCCAAGCTTTCGATCGACAGCAACAGTGATGTCCGATCTGCTGATGCCAACGAGATAACCATTTGCAAGTGCCCATTGACCTTGTTCTGATGAAACAACAACTGGTTCACCCAGTGTCAGCTGACTGCCTTGCATGAAAGAGGCCCCAGGCGACGCTTGTGCCCGTGCGAAAGTATAAGTGAAGCGGTTGATCTTGCCTCCGCTGCCCTCTACGCCATCGAATTGACTACCAGTGCTCGTTGCCGTCATGTCCTTCACAAGGTGGAGACGACCAAAGCACCGGCCGGCGGCCTCTCGGTCCACGGATGACATGGTCCAAAGCTCTTTTCTGAAGCGTGCTTGGTCTGCCTCCTCAAACGTCAATAGCCTGTCCCATTTCGCGAACCATTTCCTCGTCGCAATGCCAATAGCAGCATCTCTACCATCCAGCAATAGATGGCCCATAGCTTCTTTCCAAGTCGAGCTGTGGTTCTTCTTGTTGTCATCAATCATGCCGGCAGAATCTGCATTGCCGCCCTCGACTAGAGCGTGATAGTTGAAACAACTCTGCTGCGCATAACACCTCCCGCACTTGTACGGATTCCGGAGCATCGAAGGTAGACCCGAATCCGTGTTCTGCTGAGAGGGAAGTGGAGCGCCATCTTCAATTGCGTCTTCATTATCCAAGGGATTCCTAGCACGGAAGATGTATGCTGCAAGGCGATTGCGCTGCTGAATCATTTGCCTGATCTCGTTGAGAGGCGGTGCGATTCGAGACATGGCCGAGCTTTCCAGATAGTAGAGGATACCAGCCTCCACACTAATATCGTATCGATCGGACATCAGCAGAGTGTAGAGCGCCGTCTGTGCCCGATGTGCTGCGCTATGGGTGGTCCGACCGGTCTTCACCTCAAAGGGTACTATGAGATTTCGGAGATCAGGAGCACCCGGTCTGCTCGCGGTGGTGACCTGAACAGTGGCGTCGACGTTGCCCTTCAATCCATACTGTGGGGACCATACGTGCTCCTCAATCGCGATCAGCTTGCTAATGCTCATGAGAGTTTTCTCGCCGTGTTTGTCATCGACCTGAGCCGCAGCACTCGGTTCAGGTTGTACGAAGATCTTGGCCCAAGCTGTGATCTCACCCATTTTGGCCTTGACTTCCTCTACCGCAAGACTGGTGTCAGTCATGCCAAGCTCCCAGAGACCTTCAACATGGCCTTGAATCGTCCTTTCAACAAGGTCGGCCAAAAAGTTTTCACTCCATTGATTCGCCGAGAGAGCCTGCTGAAAGATTTCGTGGAGAATACTGCCATACACCATGGCCTTGCTTCCTTCACTTGTCGCTTTGATACGGTCCTGCAGAACTGCTTTACGGATACAATCAAAGGAGTCTGCGATCGTGGTTGCTGAAAGCATGTGATCTGGATGTATGATGAGCAGAGGGCTGTGCTCGTCATCAGAAATGACGATCTGTCCGGGTGGCGATTTGTACTGCGAGGCAAAAGGCTGTCTTCTGGCCTGGGCCACATGCACAATGGATTCTGGCGATACAGGTGTCGTGGTCCACGAGCCACGAAGAGTGATGACTGCTGGTTTCCGTTCACTTTCGTCCTCGGCAAGAACTATGATCTCCTCACATTGACGACCTTTGTCATTGGTGTATTCGTCACGTACGACTTTTTTAACGAAGAATCGTCGTAGTCTCGGTGCATATGGGTCGGGCAGGCTGTTGGCGCTTGCTCCGGTTTGAGATACTGGCGGACTGCGGCCAAGACCTTTTCGAGGACTGTGCTTTCGTGATGGAGTCTACGGAACGCATAAGCTATGTACCCCTACTCGTGATCACTTGTATCGATGACTGACCTGCATCGCCTGCGTTGCGCTGAATTCCGCTTGTGCGAACGAATCTTCGTCAATGCCATCGCCACCAAATTCGTCATCGTCCTCGATGATTATCGGCTTAGCAGGCTGTGCAGTAATCCTTGGAGCATCTATGGGCATGGATCGTGAAGTTGGTGGTTTGGGGAGGGGAGGCATATCGTACAGTGATTGCTGGGGCAGTTTCGGGGCTGGCTGAGAACACAGCTCATCAAGGTCGTCCACGGTCAGGTCAAAATCTTCGTCTCCGAATTCATCGGCTTCCACAATGGGTGCTACAGGTGGCTTGGCGACTTGTGGCACCTGGGGTTGACTTGGTTGCCGCACTATGGATGGTCGCTTATACGCAGGCAAGGGTGCTTTGCTCTGCAACGAGTATGTGGGTGATGCCCCTGGATTGAGTGGATCACCTACCTGTTTGGAAGTGTCGAAGCGAATGCCGCCAGACAAGGTCGGGCGGATGGTATGAGTTGGCGGTCGCGGTTGTGGAAGAGCTGGCATTCGCGCTCGAAGGGGACTTGTGGTCTGCGGTTTGGTGACACTGGCAGTCGTCTCTGGCAGCGGACTCGAGCTCGATGGAAGGTCCATGGCCGTCGTCGCGATCGGCGTCTCTTTCCGAGCCTGCTCGAGTCTTTGCGAAGCCAAGGATTCTTGTAGCTTCTGTACCATGGTTGCGACTTTGCTTCTGCCGCCAGATTCAACGGGTGTCTGATCCTGCCATACGCTGCTTGTTGTCGGCCTATCCCCGCCCGTCCGCTGACGCTTGGACTTGCTGGTTGGCCAGTCGTTGCCCGTGCTGGCCCATCGTCGCAAGCCCCCACCTTTGACTGGTGTCTCGAGAGGCCGTGGCGAACCTTGGAAGATCAGGTTACTGATCTCAGGCAGCTTCGGAAGATCGCCGCTCTGCTTGCTGCTGGCATACCGCTGCCACAGGTCTATGGACGGATCTGCAGCCGGGGTGCGGGCTACTGACTGCGGACCTTTTTGCGTAGAGCCACCGTTTGGCTGCGACGAAGAGGCTGGACCGATTGGCGAAGAGCTCTTGGCTCGTTTCCTTTTGCGTCGATTGGGTTTCAGTAGCTCTGAGGAGCCATTCGGTATCCAGCCGATCTGTTCTTGCGGCGAGCGCACCGCTTCTTCCACTTCCTTGACCTCGTCGCAGTCACCTATCAGGTCCTCCAATGGCAATCGCGCGCCGGGTGTGCAAGGAAAGGCATTTTGAGAAGATTCACCGCTCGTCACTGCCGACACTCCGCCGCCGCCGCTGGCGCTGCCTTTCCTCTCTTTCCCCGTGTCCTCCTTCTTTTGCGCCGAGTCCTCTGCGAAGGAAAATGCCTGTAATTTACTTTTCGCCTGCGAGTTGGCCGGAATGGGTGGTTTGGCTATGGGAATATTCGTCGGTGCATCAGCGAGGGGCGCTCTGTTTGCGGAGGATTTGTTCCAATGTCTGGGGCGCTGTGATCATGATCAGTGTCGTCGTAAGCAACGAAAGTGAATGTTTCCAGGAGCGTACTTTGTTGCCGTGATCCTTCTCGAAGAAGCCTTTGGTGCGAGTGGCCATGACGCCCGTCGTCTATGATAAATATATATCGTGATCCTCGTAGCACATTGCTCCAAAACGTCTCACAATCCAAAGAAATGGCGAAGATGGTGTGTGGTGTGGGTATGTCGTTTGTTGACACGAGCCGGAACAGTCGCGTCCAAAGAGTGAGGTAAACGACGCGATCTCGCGATCCGCCAAGAGTCTCCACTTTTACTTCACCTCACTTCTGCCTCTTCCAATCCTCTTTAAGGCACGCAACAATAGCCTTGTACATGCAGCACGCCCTTGACCGCGTTCACTGAAATCAAGTCTTGAGCCACCAAGCCAGTATCATGTCCTCGAAATGGCTGCCATCGTAGCAACAGAAGAGTGTATATATACCTAGCACGAGATTTCAGTCTCTAAATAATCCCATCGGGAGAATCAACATATTCTTCTCCAGATTACGGACTCATCCTCGACTTTACTGCTATACAGGGCAGATAAGAAAAGAAAAACATAGGGTACTTACCTACTCACTCACTCCACTCTTGGATCTGCTCAATAAATCCAAGAAAAAAAAAGATGACGAAAAAAGACACCTATTTCTCCTCCCGGAAATAGAAGAAAAGAGACAGACACCCATACGTGTAATCAATCAATCATTCAATGAGTCAACTCATCAAACAATCATAGGTATATACGTAATTCCGCTTGGCTCGATTTTTCTCCTGGTCTCAATTTCGCTCCTGCTCTCGCTTTTCATCCTGGTCTCATTTTTCGTCCTAATCTCAATTTTGCTCCTGATCTTGCTTTTCCTCCTTGTGTCAATCATTTCCCGTTATTCCGTTCATTCCCTTCTATCTCCCTTCATTCCTCCTCCTCATCATTTCCCCTCCTTATCATCGTCACAATCCTCATACTCCTAATGAAATAGTGACCCTGCCCCATCGAAGTTGGCGGTAGTAGTGCCGACGATGACCAGGAGGAAGAGAGGAAGGCTTATTGGCCAACTCGTCGTGGTGGTGGTCGGAATTGTAGATCAGCAGTAGTCCTCGTGTTGGCAGAAGATGATGATCCATGGCGGTGGTGATCTGTATTGTAATCCAACGGCTCAGATTGGAAAGCGGTGCTGGTGATGAGGAGAGGAGTAGTAGCAGTAGGAGGAGTACTAGCGGGAGTAGGAGGAGGAGCTCCCGCAAAGTTTTTGGTGATTTGTTCTCCATACCGCAAAGCAAGCCGGCGTCGATGTACGAGAGGCTGTTGCACTGTTGTGGTCTGTGGAGGTTTCTTGTTGTTGAGGGTCCGAGGGCCGAACGCTTCACCGGTGCCGTGGTTGTAGCGAGAAGTGATGGAGGACCGCGAAGCACGGGGAGCAGCCTTTGCGCGCAGAGCCTCGAGTTCCTTCTCTATGTTGGCCTGACGTTCGACTAACTGGGCTTTGAGTTCGGCTTTGGTGGGTTTGGATGGTATCGCTGGGTGGATGAATGGCTGCGCAGATGCATTGAGGTCGCGTGCGCGTATTCGGAGTGGCACTATAGCGGGCTTAGGCGGCGGAGCTGGTTCGGGTGGATCAACTTGAGGGACAAGCAGTGGTGGGTGAGGTGTAGATAGCTAAAGGACTGGTCAGTTTGGTCCTTCTGGACTGCTTCAATCTTCTTCGAAATGACTCACCTGCGTTATGGATACCATGCTGCCCATGTAGCCAGCACAACGAGCACAACCTCCGGCAAGGCAGTTAACTTTGTAGATTCCGCGCGCACCACCCTCGCGACCGAAGATTTCTTCGTGGTCGTCCTCATGCACCACCTTCTTGCACGAATATCCAATCGGCGGACCACGATACCCTGAGGCCTGCTTGTCATCAGGCGTCGAGCCTGCCACCAGGTCTCCGAGTTGCCCAGACCGTGACACCATCGCCGGCCGAATGATAAAAGGAATGCGGTTGGGGCTGCTGAGGTCCGCCATGTTGCAGACGATTCGAGGTTGTGGTGCTTATACCGGATGTTTATGTAAAGAACGTGGGGAAACTTAGTGTTCCTGAGAGGAAATGTAGTCGTGATCGCAGAATTTATCCTGAAGGCTTCAGGTGGGTCCAACGATTGGATGTGAATGAAGAACGACTTGGAACAGTTCAATTGTCAAATGAGACCTGACTACATACAAAACCCGCGAGGCGCGTGCCATAGGCATGCGGAAGCCGTGTGCATTGTGAGGCCATAACAGGGTTCACAGTGAAAAGGCGCCGGGGCGGCAATGCAGTTAAGCTTTTTGTCACAGGTGAATTAACAATGCTCTTTCATTTTTCATTCAGCATCCTGTTGTACAGTATCATCAGTCTCATTACGCCGTGACAGTCTGATCGCATCTACATTACTATGCCTTGTACTCGAGCACTTTGCCGCTCTAACTTTGGAGCCGCCGCTAGTAGTGTTTGCTCTGCTCGTTGTGCTCCTCAGCCTCAGATTCTACAAAGCCGCCAAAGCCGCCCCAGCCATCGAAGTCTTCCGCCATCTTGACAGCAGCCTTGAGATAGAATTGATTGGCATCTCCCCATGTCTTGCTGCACTCGTGCATGCACCGAAGTGCTTTGACGAAGTGCGCATCCGTGTTATATTTGCCTCTCAAGGCTCTCTCGGTCACAAACTTCCAATCTCGGCCGTCGAGATCGACCAGCTTGATGGTGTCAATGTTGACTTTGGGCCGCAGCTGAGCAATATAAACAAGAAGCGTGAAGAGCCACCACTGGCGCACAAGCGGAATATGGTATTTATTGGGTAGAAGCGGGAGCAAAGTGCGGACAGCATGGCTGCTGGTCAGTAGATGTACACCAAAGAAGTCATAGCCTTTGGCGTTGCTCGGCTCATCTGCAGCTACTACAAGGGCCACGGCGAGCTTCTGTGACTGGGCGAATTGTGCTTTGGGGTCCTTGAGGTCCCACGAGTTCCAGTACTCCAAGGCTGCCGCTGCAAGCTGCTCGTTGCCCAAGATCTTGTCGATGTTGTCGCTGCCCTGGTGATCTGACAAATTGTCGAACTTGGGATCTTTTCGAACTCGTTCTAAGAGGTCAAAGAGCGAGTCTGTCGGGTTCGGCGCCGGTTTGGTGTACTTGGGATCGTCCAGGAAGACGTGCCATTCATTATAGAAGCATGCAGCAAGCCCGAGGGCCTCGATGGCCACAGTTCGCGATGACAGCTCATAGGCGTATCCGAGGTGGATCAGAGGGTGTGCGAGGCCCGAGATGAGGTTGTTGATCAGGGGTTCCTTGCCTGACAGCAGAAACTCATCCAACAGAGCACGCCAGTCGTAGCCGTGCAGCACGAGCTGGTCCTCGAAGAAGTCGATGTATGCCCGTTGATACCTGCGCTTCGTGCATCAGCCCATGCCGTCAGGAGTGTCTGCGCACCGCCCCGCCCGCCGAGGAAGCATACTCTCGTTTGCCGAGATAATCCCTCCAGTCACTCTTGTCGATCTCGCCGGGGCTGTCTTTCCATGACTCGAGGTGTTTGCCCTCCTCCTCGAAGACATGTGTTAGTTGATCGGCGTCTGCGCCCAGAATGTATGCGGAGCCCAGAATGTGAGGCGTGTGGTTATGGAAGCGCAGCTCGTTGTAGATGATGCTGTGGTTGATGTGGTTGGCCTTGATCAGGTGCTTGAGCGTTCGTGCTCGCTTCTCCGCCCGTTCTTCGACGTCGTGCACGTCGCCCGGGGGCAGGTTGATGCCACTGGAGAATGGAGAGGCCCATGACCACGACGGGAGCGATGGGAAGCGGATGGAGAGCATGCTGCTACGGTGATTGATATTACGGTTCTCGTGGATGCCTTGTATGTACAGACACTCCCATGAAGAAGTGTATAGCTGACATGGGCAGTAGGTAGTAGGTATTGTAGGCTATAGTAGTAGGTATGTACCTAGGAGCTGTGGGAGGTAGTGGGGAGGCAGACCGCAGAGTCCCGCTATCAATCACGTGTATGAAAGTGTCACGTGTAGACTCATGTCCCACGTGACTGTGGCTGGTCACATGTGCGGAATCTTATTCCGTGGGGTGACCCTGTGGTTTTGCCCTGCTTTGCCCTGATTTGCCCTGCTTTATTGACTTTCTTCACTTTCTTCTTTACGCAGGACCTCGGGTTCGCGAGAACTAGTCCTAGTCCAGTCAAAGCTTAAACGAACGATTCCCCCTTCTATGGACAAGACTCCCTGTCAGATATACTTCCACGAGGGATAAGGCCACGATTCAGTCCATTCTGGCTCATATCACCGTAGTCCCAAGGGAATGGACGAGGACAACCATGTGAAGTAAAGTACCGAGGCGTGCTGTAGAGGGCCTAGAGGCCATATAATTGCTTCGCTATTATTATCATTGACAACAATCAACAAGGCGTATGAAACAGCACTGCAGGGACCAGCGTAGGTCTAGACTATATAGCCGTCTAGGCACACTATTAGGAGGTATCCCCCGATCCATCCTACCTCCTACAACCGTGTCTAGTTAGTTGATTGTACCTCCTAGTCTCGCTCTGGAGTCTGGGGACCGCAAGCAACACTAGCACCAGCTGACAGGACGGCTTTTCTGAAACGTTATACGGGAACTGGGACACACACACCTGCTATGCTTGGCCGTCTGCCACCCTCATAGCGCCGCGCTCTCGCTCGAAGTGCAGACTGGCCGTCAACTAATACCTACCTCCTAATAACTAACTCCACATCATGATCTGGTTTCACAGTGCGCTGACTGCGCTCAGCTGTCTAGCAGTTGTGAATGCACAGAACGCAGCCAACGACAATGGCGTACCCACAGTAGAAGAGATTGCAAAGATCATCAACCAGACGGGATTGGTACCTGCAGACGTCGCCGGGATTGCGGCCACGTTCCTAGCCGGTATCGCGAATTCCACGAGAATACAACTCGACTCGGCGCTGGCGGATAATCCCGTTGCAGAGAAAAGAGACAACCCCGAGCTGTACTACGCATATGGCAGATCGCCTCCCGTGTACCCTTCGCGTACGTATTGATGTCTCTCTCTCTCTCTCTCTCTCTCTCTCTACCTACCTACTTACCTATATGCTTCCACCATTTTTTTGCTTTGATGAGAAAAGGACCTGACCTCAAATGTGACTCACTCAGCTCAGGGCCAAGGCGATGGAAATTGGACCGATGCATATCAGAAAGCGCGTACCCTCGTTTCCCAATTGTCTAATGAGGAGAAGAACAACATCACGAACCCCAGTGGTCCATCCCATACGCACGGCTGCACCGGCTTCACTGGCACCGTCGAGCGCCTTGGCTTTCCAGGTATCTGCTTGAACGATGGTCCGTCTGGTTTTCGTGGTGCGGATAATGGAAGTTCGACCGGTTTCCCAGCACAAATACAAATCGGTGCGAGCTGGAGCCGTGATCTTGCCTATCAACGTGGCAAGCAGATGGGGATCGAGTTCAAAGCAAAGGGAGTCAACGTGGCACTGGCCCCCGTTGTTGGTCCGTTGGGTAGGGTGGTATTGGGAGGGCGCAATTGGGTGGGTCATCATCATCATCATCATCATCATCATCATCATGCTTTCTGTGTACACGCCGGAGATTCTGTGCTTCTGACATTGCACAGGAAGGCTATACGAACGATCCATACCTTGCAGGACAGCTTGTCGACCCCAACGTGAGAGGCTTGCAAGAGAATGTCATGGCTTGCGCCAAACATTTTATTGGCAATGAGCAAGGTCAGTACACACACCCACTGATCGTCATGCTCTTCATGTCCACAGACCGCTGACTCATTGCGCGCAGAAACGAATCGCAATCCTTTGGCGCAAGGTTTTCTGGCGCCGCTCGGCTACAATTACAATGCTTCTGTCTCCTCGAACATTGATGACCGGCCCATGCATGAGCTCTATCTGTGGCCCTTCGCGGACGCAGTTCACGCCGGTGTAGGTAGTGTGATGTGCAGCTACCAGAACATCAATGGCTCCTATGGCTGTCAAAACAGCAAGACTTTAAATGGCCTGCTCAAGACCGAGCTCGGTTTCCGCGGCTTTGTGTTGAGTGATTGGTACGCACAACACACTGGCATCGCATCTGCCAATGCGGGAATGGACATGGTTATGCCCGTTGATTTCTACTGGGCCAATAACACTCTTGCCAATGCGGTCAAAAACGGAACCATGAACTCGACGAGACTCGATGACATGGCCACTAGAATCCTGGCTTCTTGGTATCGTTTCGCCGATTTCAAGGAGCCTGGAGCTGAGCAGTATGAGAATACTACTGTGAGCACAGCCGAGTCGACACAAGTGGCCTTCCAAGCTGCAGTCGAAGGACATGTTCTGGTGAAGAACTCCAACAACGCGTTGCCCCTCCGCAAACCAAAGGCTTTGAACATCTTTGGATGGGATGCAATTGGTGGCCTCAACACTTCTGCAGCAAGTGTTCCTTTGTACGCCATCTCTCAGCAAAACGCACAGAGTTACACCAACGGCGACGTGTACGACTACATCCAATACCTCCAATTCCAGGCCTCTGTCATTCCAGCGGGGACCACTCTTCCCGAAGTGGCCTTCAACGGCACCTTGATCACAGGCGGAGGCTCCGGAGGCATTCACCCGGTGTTTAGCATCGCGCCCTACGATGCTCTTCTGGCCCAGTCGCTGTCAGACGACACCACTCTGCACACCGATTTCACGGACAATCAGAATCCGACAGTACAAGACCCTGATGCTCCTTGCCTGGTGTTCATCAACGCATGGGCCTCGGAATCCGCAGACCGAAGCACCCTCGCCGACGAGTACTCTGACACCTTGGTCACGAACGTCGCGAACCAATGTCGCAACACCATTGTCGTGATCCACAATGCCGGCACGCGCCTCGTTGACCGTTGGATCGACCACGAAAACGTCACGGCCGCCATGTTTGCCCACGTGCCGGGACAAGCATCTGGCCAAGCCCTGGCCGAGGTTCTCTATGGACGACAATCTCCGAGTGGACGCCTCCCATATACAGTGGCGCACGCTGAATCCGACTATGGATCCGTCCTGAAACCCACCTTGCCCACGAACGAGGACCCGCAGTACAGCCAGAGTGACTTTGAAGAGGGAATCTTCATCGACTACCGCCGCTTCATTCAGCAAAAAATCACTCCGCGCTATGCTTTTGGCTACGGTTTGACGTACACGACATTCGAATACTCCAACCTCCAAATCTCTCTCGACAGTGCTGCAGACAAGAGCTTGACACCTCCGGACGCCACGACACCAGAAAGTGTCGCGGCAGAAGGCGGTCTCGAAAGTCTCTGGGACACCATCGCAACCATTTCCATCTCCGTGAAAAACACAGGCAAAATTGCAGCAGCAGAAGTCGCTCAGCTCTACATCGGAATTCCCAACAGTGGCACTGACAGACAACTCCGCGGTTTCGACAAAATGGTGATTCCGCCCGGAGAATCTGCAACATTTCAATTTCCTTTGCGAAGAAGAGATCTCTCGGTATGGAATGTCGATGCGCAAAGGTGGGAGTTGCAAACTGGAAGCTATCGGGTCCAGGTGGGTAAGAGTGTGCTGGATATCCAACTTGAAGGAAGTTTTGGCTTGGATGGGAAGGTGAATAATCACGTTCCGGTCAGTGATGGTGGTGGTGGAGGAGGAGGAGGAGCGCATACGGGAGAAGCTAGCGCTCTGTGGTCCTCTTCCACTGGCACAATGGCAATGGCAATGGTAATGATGATCGCTTCGATCTGTATTTCATTAGGTACTTAGACTAATTTGTAGTAGTCTAAATAGGGGAGAGAGAGGGAGGGAGGAGGGAAGCGAGAGCGAGAGCGAGAGATAGATACTGAGAATCCCCATCCAAATCATGCATCTTCTCGTCACTTCCGGGTTGCTTCCATCTTCATCTTCCACCGTCTTCATCCATCTTTTTCCATCCTGTTCCACTACCTCCGTCTTATCATCTCCGTCTTATCATCTTCGTCCATTATCATCTTCATCATCATCTTCATCATCATCGTCCACCATGTACCGATCTTCCTCCCGTTCTACGGTCCTCCATGGACATGATTCCCTTTTCCGCATCACATCAACCAATGAAATCTTAAGTAACCGACTAATGCGCATAAAGAAGCTGGATATACAGGCACATCCAGTCTGTTACTAATGAAGTAATAGCGAATCCAGATGATCGAGAAGACGACAATGACCACTTCGATTGTTATTTTGTTTGTGTACTTGGAACTAGAGAGAGAGAGACAAAAAACTCCACTACATGCTTCCCCTTCTTCTCACCTCCTCCTCCTCCCCCTTCTTCTCACCTCCTCCTCCTCCCCCCCTCCCACCAATCCCACCATCTTCCACCTTCACCATCCTTCGCGCGCATGACTCAGGTAATTGCTCTACAAGTCGGATCTCTGGACCCACCAGACAACAGGAATCTGCACATGCCCGGGGCCATTGCTGTCACACTGCACACCACCATCGGTTCCAACCAACATCGTGTAACCGCCTTGGGTACCGACCCACCTGTCGTGGGAGTAGTTTTTGATCGAATCGCCGACCAGGTCCTTGACATCTGCGTTGCCAACATAGGCAGTCAAGCCGCTGGGCGCACCATCACCGAGAGCGGCCGCGAAGGCGCCTTGGGGAGAAATTTTGTCAGTATACATTATTAAATTCTGTGGGGGCTATTATCTCTCTCCCTCCCCGCCCCCCTCGTGATCAGGTATCAAATACTTACAGGTTCCATGGGCGTAGAGAATCTGCGGGTCACTCTTGCCATGGGTAATAGGGTTTGAAAAATCCAATACCGCTTCTTGGTCAATAATCTTTTGGCAATCCGCAACGAGAGGGAGTTGCGAGGACGGGGTGGATTTGCCATAGTCGTCCCAAGACGTCAGGCCGCAATTGTTGGCTCCAGAGGCGTTTCCGGCGTGGTCGTCGACCTGCGCAAGTGAGGCCATCGATGGGTCCGATTTCTGGAGGAAACCAACTGCCTCGCTCAGGGCGGGCAGGAGGGTGATGAGGAGGGCGTTGTTGAGCTGCATTGTTGCTATTGGTGTTGTTGGGGTTTGGTGATGTGTAGGAGTCTTGTGTAGATGCTCTTGAGAGGGCTTTACCGTGAGTCGATCTGCTGGATGCGTTGGTGGATGTGAGGCTGGCTGGTGGGAGAGGAGAAGGTGGATGATACCTTTCATTTTATATCTTCTTTTCTTTTCCCTATGGGCTCGAGATTGCTAAGAATAGCGACCCTCGTTTGGACGGAACTTTGTTCCATGGCGAACCTGGCTGATGCTTCTTTGGTAAAGTTCGTGGTAGGCAGGGTAGACTCCCTCCTGTCCACTTGTCTCTCCATTGATGAATGCAACGTCTGTCCCTGTCAAACACGAAAATCTTAAATTCCGTTGCCAACACCATGGATACTGGTCCATACATGCAACTTTCTTTCGACCGATGAGTGGTGGTGATTGGGAGAGCACGACCCTGCTGTGTGGCAAATTATATGCCAGGCAAATTACCTTCTCTCCCAGAGCGTTCCCCAAACAAACGAACAGACAATCTCCTTGCGATACACAAGTGTCGCCTTGCTCTCCCAACTCTTGACAAGTCCGTGAAGAAAGTAAGCCCTACCAGTCCCGTCCGGTGTGAGATGAGAAGAGGAAGTCCGGGGACATCCTCTCACGAGTCGCAGTCCCTTAGTCACCGTCTGACTTACCTGACTTCCACTCTTCGTGTGCACAGACCAACTCATATAACCTGCCGACAGGATCCTTCCTGGTCTGACAGATGTGTAGAGAGTTTTTATTTTTTTCCTCTCCATTCTGCCAGACCTGGGACCTGGATGAATCCTGGTATAACACACCGGAGCAGAGCAGCGTGGCTTGTAGACAAACACGACCCGAAATGCGATCTCCCCTTCGGTGAGCTGTCTCGATTGTCTCGATTCTTTTTTTTTCCGTCTTGCTGGTGGGTTGAAGCATCTCACATCATCATTATCCTGCATTGAGGCGGTGGAAAATGCCTGTCCGCCCGGGGCTCTGGGGCTGAAACTAACTCATTGTTGTGCTCTGTATGTATGTGTGTGTGTGTCTCGAGGACCGTTTTTGCCATGCCCTACAGTAAATGAATACATCAGCATCTACCTGATTCCGGAGCAGCACCACCATCTCGAGCGGCAACTGTGACATCAGGGCAAGAAGGTTGTTAGGGCATACTACTGATGAAAGTACTACTACAGTACTTGCTCGAAACTTCGTTGTCGGGTCCAGCCCATTCTTGTTCCCGAAACAGATGTGAGATACCTTACATTGTACACAGCCCCGTGGCAGGGACTAGGGGGGGGGGTCCCGGTGCTTGTTTTCTTTGCCAATGAGGCTTGAGAAAAGACCAGACCAGCAGGCTCAGCAGCCAGCGGAAGATGTTGCACTCGCTCTACCGTTCCTGCTTACCATGCGGACCAGACCATAGCATAGCCGCTGCAGAGCGGATCTCGTGTGGGTGTGTGTGTAGGATGATGCAGTAGGTCATCATGCTGGAACAGAGTACATCGTCCCGCAGACCAATCCAGACCACAGTCATCCCTGGTTTTACCCAGTAGACATGAGGAGGACAGGTGGGTGCATACGGGATCGCATTCAGTGGTATACGAGATTTCGTACCTAGCCAGAAGACCTAGGGCTGGAAGAGAAGGAGAAGTAAGAAAAAAACAGAAGAAAGAAAACAAAAGAACAATCCAATCTGTGTTTCCAGTTTCTCTTTCCAAGATTGTTCTGCCAACTCCTCGTAACCACTTACAAAGCTAGGGGCTAGGGGCTAGGGGGGGGAGGGGCCCGGACTCCTCCCCCAGCGTGTTCCATGTTCCGCGCGAATACAGTATACCGTACGCTGAGAGAGTACGGTCAGAGTACCCTTCCGTTGACCTGGGAAGGGCTGGGAATCAATCATCGTGAATGTCACGTCAACGCCCTTGTGGATGGATGCAGCATGCAGACTGCAGGATCATGTCGCCGCCGGATGCGTGCGGCTATGTCTACTATATTTGTGAGCTGAGGTCCCTTTTGCAACAAGGGCTGGAGCGCGCTACGTGGAGCTTATAACTGGTTTTACCCCAGGGGAGGGGGGAGAGGGGGCGCAGGTCCGCAGAACACGAGTCGAAACTCGACAGGGGATGATGGTTTGGTGAAGGAAGATCTCTATCGATTCTGTCTGCAATGGGAGTGGAAGTATCTTCTGTGGCATCGTCGTTTTTCCCTTCTATCCTTTCCTCCCTCCATGCCTCCCTCTCTCCCTTCAACCTGCTGCTCATCATATTCCTCCTTGTTTTTCTCGCATCTGTTCTTGGACTTGCTCTCCTCCTGGAAAAAAAAATGGCAATATTATATTGCTATCATGCGATGTTGGTTGCCATGCCTGACACTTTACTGCCAATCTCGGTCCAGAAGTCCAGAAGCAGGCAGGAAAAGAAAAATTGAAAGTTGTCCGCCAAGAACATGATTTCCCACCGGAGATTTTGTTTGTTGTTGTACAACACATGTGGCATACCCAAGCGACGCGGCGACGACAAGAGGGCATTGATTCATCCAAAGGACACCGTGTTAACACATAAAACATACCAGCAGAAGACATCCTACTATTTACAGTGTACAGCTTACTACCAGCTTACTACCAGCTGCATATAGCTCGAGGAATAGCCAGCTTCTCATTTGGAGCAATAAGCCCAAAAGCGGCTGACATGAATAGGTAGGTAGGTAGGTACTATTACCTCCTACAGCTTGCGACAGTATTACTACCTTATACCTACCTACCTTTCCTACCGAGGTATTCATACTTTTTTTCTTTTCCTGCAGGGCAAACTGCCGCGCTGAAGCCAAAGTGTCCCTCCCTCCCCCCTTCCCATGGATGGGGCTGAATATACTCCGCCTGAGCTTAGCTGGAGATTGCCGAAAAGAAAAGAAAAAAATCTAAAAAAGATGTACCGTGGCCCGTCTCGAGAAGAGAATATACTTCTACCTCATGCCGGTGTAAGCAGAGCTGAAAAATCATACCAAAGGGCCAGCTGGTCTATTAGACACAGCCCTCCTTCTACCTCCCTCCCTCTGTACACAATACTACTACAACAGCAATAACAATAACAGAGTGCGACGGCGACCTTCCAAGCGGAATAATAACATATCGGCTAAGTAGGTAGGTAGATAGGTAGACAAGCAGTATAATGAAATGGTAATGTACCTACCTACACACTGAAATCCATCCAAAACGTTTCCTCTTTTTCTCCCCCCAAAAAATCCAATATTTTCCGTACCTGCCTGCCCCGGCGTGCAAGCAGCAAATTCACTTCTGACGTGCATTCACCGAAAATGGATAGGTAGGCAGGATTGCTTACTACTTTACATGTACCTTACATGTACCTGTTAGCCTGCCTGTATGTACTGTTGTAGGCTTGTACCTTTTAGTAAACTTTTTTTACCTTACCTTACCTTATGCTGGTAGTTTCATCGAGCCAGATCCGATTTGAGACCCGGGTTGGTGGGTAGCTGTGCTGAGCTTGTACAAGCCTGTGCTCAGCTGAGGAGGGCTTAGGAGGTGGCTGAGGCGGACAGGACAGGGTGGTTGGTTGCCACACCACAAGGAGAAAAAGGTAGAAGGATTGGAAGAAGAAAGGATGATGGTGAAAAGAGGGCAGATAGATCGATCTGTCTTAAAACTCTGCGGAGGCGGACGGCTACGGTTTGTAGGAGGTACAAGAGTGACATCCATTATACATAGCTGCCGCTGGTGCCGACTCCACAATGATCATCGTCTGGGATCTTTTTGGTCTGGTGAGATGGCGACGTGGCGAGTACATGTACCAGTTCTTTTCCTCTGGACGGAACTACCTCCTAACGATCTTTTTTGTATTTCATTGGTAGGTATTCATAGACAACACCAGGCTGGATGTTGCCGGCTCCAGGTCCAACATCTCGCACACGGTGGATGTGTCACGATGCACTACTACCTACCTTCCTACAGCTTCTCCAACAGCAGTCTCGCACCAGCATTGCCTGTACTTTCCACTTTTCTTCTCTTCTTGTTGTTTGACTCTCCGCCATTCACCTCTGCTTTGCCATTTCCACCCTCGGCCGCTTTCTTGATCTCCTTTTTGCCCTTGTCCAGCGCCTTCTTCACACTCTTCTTCGTGGATGCATCCACGTCCTCGGACTCGAGTAACGCCACAACTACAAATGAAGAGTCGCTAACTGCCCAATTGACGATGTTGTCCTTAATGACAGAGTACAGTGTCGCTCCAAATCCAAGTCGTGGCTCGGAGAGCGTCACAGACTTCGTCACAGGATCATAAGCACCACCGGTCACCAGAGACTTGAGCATACGACCTACTGCCGCGTCTTTGGCAATGTGCTTGCCTTCCAGAGGGTTGCCATCAGCCAAGGCAGCGACGACTGCTGCTGCTGCAGATCGATCAGAGGCATTGCAGGAGAGCAAAATCTCGGCAATGGCTTGTGTGCCAAATGAGGAGGTAATGAGAGTTGCTGCGCGTTCTCTGACGAGTTCCAGTAAAGGCTCGGATACCGTTTTGAGTAGTTCTTCACGTCGTTGATGGGGTGCCTTCTTGGACGTGGTTGCGCGAATGGCGTGAATCTCGTCAATAGCCTCTTTCTCTCCCGCTTGGCATAACCATCTTGCCGCACCAGCCAAAGGATACAGGATCGGCAGCCTGGCATTCAAGCTCACGAGCATGGACTCCAGTCGATCATGCTTCGACTTGGTATCATCATTCTTCAGTCCCAGAAGTTCAGTCAGGATGGTCTGCGATGTCAACTTGGTATCGTCCGTCACATCCAGACCGGCGACGAGGACCATTCGTGCGTACTGGTCGAATGCCATGGTCTCGATATGGTCTTTGAAGCACTTCAGTATCTGTTTTCGTGCTTTTGCCGAACCATGTGCGATAGCCAGACATACGAGTCTGGAGCCAGATTTGGTGAAAGCCAAGTTCCGGTACAGGTCTCCACCGCCATCATTCTCTTCTGAATCAATGTCGTTTCGTAAGATCTCAAGGAATTCGTTGCTATCTTCTGAGCCTGCAGGCAGTGCGAGGAAGTACTGCAGCATAGCATCGTGAAGCATCGTGAAGCCAGTCATCTTCTTCTGAATCAGGTTGTTGATGAGCTGTTTGAGATAGCCAAGGAATGGTTTGCGCTTCTCGGGACTTTCTTCTAAGATCTTCGCCAGGTCGCCGGTCACGTTGGAGGGTAATGGTTTGCTGGTGAATTGCTTGCCTTCGATGGCGTATTCTGCTCCATACCACTCGCGCAGCATCATGGCCTTTTGCTGGGGTGTCGCGACTTGGCGGTATATATCATCGACAATCCACGATGCCTCCGGATGGTTAATGAGTCTCTTGATATTGCCATAGAATTGTGGTATGATGAGGTCCTTGTCCTCGCGATCGCCCTGCACAACCATTTTCGCAACCAAGAACTTCCCATATCGCGACTCGACCAGGTCTTTCACGTCTTCTTGCAGCTCCTTTACGATGCCCTTCAGTTGAGCGGGTCGCGCGTACTTGATGGCGCACTGTATCACCCTCACAGAATCGTGCTTGAAGACGAAATCTCGCACACGGCCGTCGATGATGGAGAAGAGCTCGTCCAGCAGCTCGTTGCGTTCCTCTTTGGGGACATGTGACTTCCTGCGCAGCTTCTCCCACAGCTGCTTCGATCGATGTACGACGTCCGCATGGGGCTTTGCGGCCTTGCGCTCTTTGGCAAGTTGGCGCTGCTTTTGATGTGCTTCCGCTGATGATCCATCCAGCTTGAACTTGGCACCCGTGTTGCTCATGGGCTTAGCCTTGACCATGTTCCCACGCTCCGTGTTCATTCCGCTGGTGTCTACATCCATCTCCTCGCCCTCCCCGTCGTCGTCGCCATCGTGCGCGGCGGCTTCTTCGAGATGCGATCGTTTGGCCGGCTTGTCGTACTTGGTCGCTTTGGAGCTGCTGGTTTTCTGCTTCTTTTCACGCTGTGCCGCTGCCGAAGGCGCTTCTTTACGCTTGATTCCACCCATCTTGTTCGACATGCTATGGAGGTGTGGGCTGTGTTGGACGAAAAATGCCCATTTTTCGAACTTTTGAACTTTGAGCTTTTTCAGGGCACGGGCCGAGTATTTATCCGTACCATGAGTTTCCTGCTGATCACTCCCGACGGCACCGTTGGCTGACTCAGCGCTCGCAGGACACAGGTACCGGCGGGACCCTTATGATCGCCTCTGATCGCCTTTGAGATCGGCGTTTGGCGAGAAGCCAATCGACCCAATGATAATATGCGATGCATTATTATTATCATATAATGGACAATGCAGCGAATCACATGCGAGAGAATGCTCGTCTATTGCGTGCATGGCACCCCACCCGTCTCACATGCCAGACACCGATTCCTACCCAACCCTGAACAAACAGAAGCTGAAGTATCAGGAGAAGTACTTATGATTCTGTACGCACGCACGCACGCCCGGCATGTCTCTCAGGTTTCCTCTTTTTACCACTCACGAAGCCCGAACCTGCGATGGCGACTCCCCCGACCGTTGTAGCTCCTGGCGAGCCCTCGTCAAGGCCTAGGAGCCGAAGGGCCGTCGCTCTGGAACACCGGAGACAGAACATCATGACTTTACGATACCGCTCGTCAACTTCCAGCCTGCGGGACACGGCCGCGAAGCAGCCAGAGCCTTCATCTACAGGAGAGACTGCTGTACGAGCGGGGAAGAGCAAGGAACGGAATACCGCAGCCAGACACCACAAGATCGCCCGTGCTAGCTATCGACTGCAAGACGTCGACATCGACAACTGGCTCAAGGAATCCATGCCCATACCGCCGGATTGGGAGTACGAAGCGCTGCCGCCGCCGCCGCCTGGTTCTGCAGCTGCCATGTTTGGAGACGATGGAAGAAAACACCAGCAGGGTTATGCTTTCTATCATCATCCGCGTGAGGAAGTCGATCACATTGCGCCTTTGAACCCCAGACCGGGTGAGCTTCTTTCTCCACCGCCCCCAGCACCTTGCAATGTCTGGTGTATAGCCGAAGTCTTATTCTGACTTGATCCCAGCAGCAGCAGCAACGAAGCACCGGCGATCCATGTCTGTGGGACATGAGGATGATATTGCCAGACCTCGCACATTCGTACCAGCGGTCCCACAAATGCGAGTCTCCGACCACTATCATCACCACCAAGCGAACGACTCTGCGAGTTCGTCCAACTACTACTCGAGACCTCCCAGTGAGGTGGTCAACTGGCCGTTAGTGAGCACATAATAGTGGGGTCCAAGGCTGCATGTCACAATACATAATTGGGAAGGAGCATAATTGGAGTTTTCGGCCAAATGGAAGAGGGGGTGTAAAGTGTAAAGTGTAACATTATACGGCGTTACATTATTGGTATATGGCAACTTTTACCAGACTGAACAAGTGGTCAATCATTATTTTGGATTTGGGTGGGGGGCATTACAGGACTGATGCCAAACCCATCATTCATTCTCCTTTGCTGGCGAAGAAGAAGGAAACGACAACTCTCTCGAGATCACGAATAGGAGGATATGCTGGGGCCTTTTGAGTTGGCACGTCAAAGCAGCGAATGCGATTTTGCTTGCTCATTGAGCATTAATGGACAGCAATGAAAGAAGTCATGTAACATATGTAGTCTTCCTAATTATAAAAATAGTCAGTCACTCTTTACATTTCAACAACAAAGCCGTTGATGGTTAGAAGTGTAATACATATGTGCTGGTCTTTTTTTTTCTTTTCATCTCCATAAAAGATCGTGGTACCTTATGTATGCAGAATTATGGCCTGGATGGATTTATGTGTGAGCGGCATATTTCCGTGTACCTTCTATAGATCGAATAAACAGTGTGGTATCTCTTCTCTCATATGCAGTGCAGGTAGTTATGCTAGGATCGTATCATCATCATCTTCTTCATCATGCCATGCCATGCCATGCCATGCCATTCCATGTAAATGCATCGAATCTCTTACTCCCCATACTACGCTATGCAGCGCCAAAAAAAAACCACTCTCTCAAAAAAACAAAAAACAAAACACAAAATCAATGACGAATCCCACCCGTAGTTCCATCAACATTTCCAATCGACGACCGTCTAGCAGCAGTTTCGACTTCCACCACCGACAATCTCTTCTCGTCATAGTGGACCGTTTGAACGGCTCCACCGACAGCACCTCCTTCCATCGAAGTGGCCACGACGGGTTCACCTTTGAGGCGCAAAATGTGCATGCCGTGTCGGACCCAGTGGCTGGCGCAGTATCCGAGTACGACGACGAAGCCCACGAGGGGTACTACGTAGGAGATGCGAGTGGAGGCAGAATCGGCGATGGCGCCTTGGATTGGGGGGAACTAGAGGGAGAGAGAGAAGAGTAAGTATGTGAGTTTGACATGTTATGAAGAAGAAAATGGGCTTTTTCGTCTCGATCACTTACCACTGCTCCGCCACTCACGCCCATTACCAAGATACCTGCTCCACGGCGTGTGTTCTTTCCTAGATTGGCTGTTCCGAGAGTGAAGATGGCCTAAGAGGAGGAGTACACGATTAGCAAAGGCAAGACACGGGAGAGATGAGGTTTCTCGTTACCGGATAACATGGAGCCATGAAGAAGAAGATGGCAATCAAAGCGCCCACCGCTGCAGATCCACGTCCAGCAGAGACGTATGCGCTGAGAGCGATAGCACAGCACGAGTAAATGACCAGCAAGAAATTGGACTCGAAAATGACAGCCAAACCAGTGGCGATGAATCGGCCGACGGTGAAGGTAATGAGTGCATAAGACAACATGCGAGAGGCAGCCGAAGTGGAATATCCTCCGTTCTCGTTGGCGTAGTTGATGAAAAAGGTCGCGCAAGTGACCTGCGCACCGACATAGCAGAATTGAGCCACAAAGCCGAACATCATGTTGTATTCCTTGTACAGTGGTTTCTGGGCGACGAGGCCATCGTTGAATCCCAGTTCCGAGTCAGTGGCAACGATGCTGGCAGAGCGGAGAGCAGCCTCGGGAACTTCGGGGAGCTTGCTGAAGAAGAAGAGCACCGCAACGGCAACACCAGCGCACGAGACTGCGAGGTAGACGAACTGCACGTTGGTGAGAGAGTTGATATTGTCTCCGGAGAAGAAAGCCTTGGATGCGATGAGGGGACCAATGAATGACGCGATGCCGTTCCAAGATTGACAGAATTGAAGACGAGCCTATTGGAGAAAGTCAGCGGCTGCGAGGCGGCAACGACAATTGTACAATACACGGTGCTTACAGATGCGGAGGCTGGGTGACCAATAACCACTGCGTACGAGTTGGCAGCAGTCTCCAGAGTGGCAAGACCGCAGGCGATGACCAAAGTGCAGGCCAAGAAGCCTCCAAAGGCAGCAATAGTGTTGTCAGGCGAGGCATAGTGGGCAGTAGGCCAGAACATGATGGCGCCCAAGCTGTACAGGCCCAAGCCCATGAGGATAGTGGTTTTGTAGCCTTTGCGCTTCATGACCTCGGCGGCAATGGGTGAGAAGCAGAGGTAACCACCACCAAAGTACATGACTTGCAGACCAGTGGACTCGAGCCGAGTGATGTTCAAGACGGTCTGGAAATGCTTGTTGAGGACATCGAGAAGACCATACTACGCCAGGTCAGTACAAGGTATGTCCCAAATGAGAGGCATACGTTGTTTTTTTTCTTCTGGCTTGTACTCACCGAGAAACCCCACAGGAAGAACAGGGAGATGACCAGAGACAATGGATAGATGAGCTGTTTACCAGAGAGGGGGCCACCAGCAATCGTTGGGGCTCCCGTCGGCACACCACCGCCAGCCATTGTTGCGTGTTGGAGGCGCTTGTTGTTGATCGAAGCAGTGTCACCGGCGAGTAGTGAGTGTACGTTGCCACAGACCCGAGGTGCTGATGCTGCTGCTGCTGCTACTGTCAGGTAGGGATGAGAGACGGTGATGAGAGCGCTACCCTGGGAGCGTAGTTGGAGATATTATATATCTCCAGCACTTCAGTGACACTTGCCTTGGTTCGGTATCCCCAAGTTCGCGCCGTACTATAGAACTAGTTCTGGGCCTAGTGATGGCAGTCTGGAGTGCACACTATGGGGGAGTTGGGGACAAGGTTGCCGCTACTGCACACAAGCTCAGGCTGGGCAGACTACACACACAGGCACTGCATGTACAGATTCGCGGGACGCAGTCGAGACTTGAGAGCCACTGAAGGATGCATAGACTGCAATAATCGGCCCGTAAGTGAGTGTGTGCGGCAACATCTCTCTCTCTCTCTCTCCTTCGACGAGTATCCGACGGGCTCCAGATGTCAACAATCTCTATGACCTGTCTGTAGTGCGCAATTACCTGGCAATGAGATTGCAGGATCCACAGTGGAAGTGTTCGAGATGGAACAACCAGAGGCAGCGAGAGCCATGTCAACTTGATGCTCCTCCATGATTATTTCGAGGATCCCCGGTTGCCATTGACACGTGATGATGCTGATGATCGAGAATGGTTTTTCCAGCGGCGCACAACGTGCTGCCAAGAGTTGGCTGGTGGCGTGGTAGAGTGGTAGAGTACATGGTAGATGGGGGATGGGATGGGTTCCAACACGAGTCGAAGTTGGAATTGTGGCTGCTTTGCAGATCTTCCCCTCTCTCTCCTCCAGCGGCCTGCAGTCGCCGCCCATGGGGAATCAATCTTCTAGCGCGCTTCTAGCGTATCACTTCAATCGGGCCTACTCATCCAGATGGACGGACGAGCGCCGTGATTGGATCACGGAGAACTACACATGAGCAAGCCGTGCCGTGCTCATTTAACACCCGTCAAGCCACATGGACGGCATCACCACGCCCTCACCATCAACGGGTGCGCAACGGGACAAACTCACCTCACACCACATCTGCATTCGGAGCAGCCGCTCGCGTGCGGAGGGCCGTGCGTGAGAATCTGCGGCAGACGATGATGCCTCACCGCATTACGGAGACTGGGGACCAGACTTGATGGATGTGGACCAGGCGCTCAACGAAGAGCGGATGAGGAACAGCGCCGAGGCACTTCACAACGTGGACGGTAGTGCGCGGCACGGCGCGTGCGAAGAGACGGAGAGAGGCGCTGGGGACTCGGCGACCGCCCCCGTAGTGTAGCAGTACTCCCGTCAATGTATTCTGGATCAGCAGCACGTGGACCGATCCAGCGAGAGGTTGTCAATCATGGGCGACTCCGCGGGACCGACCCGGGTAAAGACAGGACCACAGTGCATGGCAGTCGGATCGGCACAGCCTGACATCACGATGCGCTGACCTCATGTGGACACACTTAGGAACACATACCTCCTATCAGTCAAGTCACACTGCGTGTGTGCGTGCATGCGAAGAGCAGACCATGTTATTTTCTTGCCCGTCCTTGCACAGTGATCACGGCTCCGTTGAGCTCATTCTTCCATCCTTGCTCCGTCAACATCTTCCTCACTGCAGGACCAAGCTTACTGCGTCCGCCTTCGCTATGCCGACCAAGACCTACCACGATCTTATATCCCGCCTGTCTCTGATTCGCCCCGATACGGCCATTCGCGCGGTTCTCTCCCAATCCCTCCCACCATTGCTCAACTCTTTCTCGTGCAATCCTGACCGCGTTAAGGACATCGATGCCGTGAAGGTCGACCTCGCTGGCACTGGACTGAGATGCGGCCATTTCATCCGCCGCTGCGGCTGAGGCTGCAGAAGACAAAGCGTAATAGTCGCGACTCACTTGGCCATAGTATCCTGCCACCCCGCCCATGAGTCGATCGGACTTGGCTTTGCGATGAGCAGCGTATGCCTGAGCTAGTGCAGCACTTCTAGCGGCTGCATAGTTCGACGCACGCTCTCTAGCATCCGAAACGTTTGAGCTGTAGGCGTGACCGGAGGCCGGTTTGTTTCTGCCAGCCACCGGACTGAACGCGTCCGCCTCTTCTATGTTGGGTCGAACATAAGTGGGTATAATCTCAATCCCACCTTCGATACTCGGGCGAGTCGTCAAGGCCTCCGCTAGTTCGCGCGCGGCCGCCGTGGAAGGGTAGGTCAAATTGATCAAGCTTGCCACATACTGCGAGTCTATGGATGGGAAATCCTGGCCAAGATCATGTGCTGTCACAGCCTTAATGGGGTCTTCGGCCAAGGCGATTGTGCCCTCGGAAATGTGATTCTTCAGGATACTGCCAATCGTCTTCGCACGAGACGCGCCACTATTGTAGTATATAGTCGCGACAGTCTTGGATGGCTCCCCAGTGCGGCTGGCGATAAATTCGATATCGCGACCCGCTCCTTGCCAGGCGTTGGCCACTGTAGGCTCAGACTCGACAGGACTAGTAGGAAGCGAGCTCGACCGCCCACTGTCATTCAGCTTTGCGCCCTTTTTCTTTCCTTTGCCTTTGCGCCCCCTTCGACTAGTGTTCTCTTCCGAAAATGCGTCTATGCTCTTCACCGCCAACTTTCCGTCGCCATCGCTATTCTCCGCCTCGTGCATATAGACCTGGCTTAGGAGCTCATCCATAGCCTTGTGCCAATTGCCCTTGCACTTGCGCAGAGTATGTTGCACGGTATATCGGCTGAGTTGTTGACCCATGATCTGTTCCAGGAGCGCGATCTTTGCATCCTCATTGAGATTCTCCAGCTCTTCAGCGATGTCGCCGTTCCCAGACGGAACCTCAGCAGAGGTGCTGTTCAAATTCAAAGACTGCCATTCCGCTGATAAATTCGTCAGGTCTGTTTCCCTGGATACTGTCGTGTTGGTCTCTTCTGGACAGGATTCTGGTCTGCTGCTGCTGCCATGTCGGACCTCGTTGTCGCGTCCACCGGTTCCAGAAGCATCAAATCCGGCATGTTCTTCCAATTCTGCCGACTCTTTCAACTGGTCCAGGGCCCCTCTTGCTTCTCGCAACTGATCTTCGTTCTCCAAATCGTAGTCGGACAAGATGGCGGATAACAGTGCAGGGTCGAGAGGTGGGCAATATACTGCCTCGAGTAGCGCCAAGGTGTCACCCATGTTCAAAATTCTGGTTCGTGGTCCAAAGTTGCAAATTTCGTATACAACGTCTCATGTTGTAGGTGCGGAGCAAGCCATCCGATGTATTGATGCTGATCTTGCTAGCAGAATGCTGCATAGATCGTGCGGATGTTGTAGGAGGTAGCTGTATGTTCAATGCTGTTGTTGATCTCAGGAAGAATGTGTGGCACTCTGTTGAGGTTTATGACGAGGATACCTTAGTCGCGTCTGTTGCGCGAGACTAGCCTTCTGCTGACTAAGTCCAGCTGCATTGCCCCTCAGTAAAGAACTCCACCCTTCACTCCATCTCAATCAGTCTGGACGAAGACATATAACAGAACATAATAGGGGACTAGAATACCTCAGATACGGTAATCTTCATTTCAGAATGGCCAACATATCTCCAACCAAGAGTATAGTCTACAAAACGGTAGATAAGCTGCAAATATCTCTAGACATCTACCTCCCTTCCAACGGAGCACAAAAAGTCCCCATATGCCTCTGGTACCATGGCGGCGGTCTTCTACAAGGTACAGTACTATCACACCCAATGTCTCCTCCTTCAATACCGTCGTCACCACGCACTCACACATATTTATATATATTTACACAAATCACACCAGGCCATCGTAATCAAGCCCCTCCCTGGCTCCGCAAAGCAGTAAACACCCACTCCATCGCATTCATCTCCGCAGACTATCGCTTCGCCCCTCAAATCGGCATCACCGAAGCTCTCCAAGACGTCGCCGACAGCATCCACTTCTGTCGTGAATCCCTCACCTCCCACTTATTACCCGAAGAAAAGAACGCCATCGATCCCTCCCGTCTCGCAGTCTCTGGCAGTTCCGCAGGCGGATATCTCGCCCTCTTGGCAGGTCTATACATAAATCCCAAACCACAAGTCATTCTCCCCATCTACCCCATCACCGATCCCCTGGGGACATTTTTCACGAATCCGCAACCTCCTGCCATGGGAAGACCGTTGGGTTCGAAAGAAGAAATTCGCGAATTTCTCGATCCACACGCGGATGTTGTGGCGAATAATGAGGCGGATTCGAAGCGGATGGCCATGTATCTTTGGATGCAACATGATGCGAATTTGGCAAAGTTGTGGAAAATTGATGACTCTGACCCCGCCCGAGCGAAGAAGTGGAGGTTGCCGAGAAATGTGTTTGAATGTCGACTTCCTCCGGCGTATATCATGCACGGCGATGCAGATACTGGGGTGGGTGTGGAGCAGGCGGATGAGATGGTGGGTGCCATGGTGGGATGTGGGTTGGAAGTGGTGTATGAACGACCTCATGGGAAAGAGCACTTTTTCGATGCGGGAGAAGTTTATGAAAATGATAGATTTTGGGCATTTGCCTTGAAACATTTGAAGTAAACCAGCGCAAAGAAAAATATGGCCATTCTGATGTACCAGGAATGCTTTTCTAATCACTGTATCTGTAGGCATCGTGGCTGTCTGTGGTGCCGTATGCTAGCCCGTCAACTCAATTTCCCACTCGAATCAGCAGATCCATGCGAGGGAATCTACTTCTTACTCCCCAGCACACTCTGCACAGCTTCAATGACCTTCGCGTGCACATCCTTGGGTGCAGCCACGACGCCCTTGTTCTGTAGCAAAGTCCTTCCATGGCTAAAGTCCAATCGATTACCTTCCACATCCGTAACTTCACCTCCAGCTTCCCTCACAATCAAATCACCAGCAGCGTGGTCCCAGATCTTCTCGACATAATCCTTCCGGACTGGTAGCCTGAGATACAAATCTCCCGCTCCCCTCGCAATACTCCCGTACTTGGCCTGACTATCCATTCTCACACTGGGCTTGGTAATGCCCAATTTGTTGGCAATCTGCACCGAATCGCTCTGATTGCTATGGCCCGCCTCGACACTCTCACAAAACGTCGCATCAGCAATATTCGAAATCGGCTTCATCTGAATCTTCGAAGCGTGCGCCAATCCCGCCTTTCCCAAAGCTCTACTCTCCGCTCCTCGACCCTGCACAGCCGAGAACAGCACGCCAAATTTTCCTTCCTCGTCACTCGCATCTGCACCAATGTTCTCTTTCAGCGGTTCGGAGTCCGAAACGGGAAGATTGGGACAACCGAGGACACCGACTTTGACGTCTCCGTCGACCATCAGACCCAAACACACTGCATATTGCCCTCCTCGAAGAAAGCCTTTGGTGCCGTCGATGGGATCGATCGCCCAGATGCGACCGGAGTTACCGCCTTTGCTGTCTCCTTTGTCGATGATGTCGAGCATTGCTTCTGCAGATTTGATCGGTCCGCCGAGTGACGCTTCCGAGGTCGGATCGGAAAGAGAGGTGTTGGAGACGAGGTCCCAGACTGTTTTGCGAATTGTTTCATTCTCTCGCAGGTCTTTCGCCTCTTCTTCGGCGACAATCTCGTCGTTGGGAAAATTGTGTTGCAGGGCACTGATGATCAGGGCTTGTGCGCCAAAGTCTCCAATGGTGACAGGCGAGGCATCGGATTTGTTGAGAGTGCCTTTGGCATTCTGGTGAAAGACGGCTTTGGTGAGAATGGAAGCTCGTTGCACGGCGAGAAGGGCAATGTTGAGTTCGTGGGAGTATTCGGCCGAAGTCGACATGTTGAAACTGTGCTGCTTTTGGCGGGTGGGGAGGGGTAGTATGTGGGATGAAAGCAGGCGGAGACGAGGGAAGACAGACGGGAGGAAGCTGGTCGCCAGAATGAAGAGTGATATGAGCAAGATGGTAGTGCTAAGAGTTGTTGTTGTAGCTCGTACCATTACAGCAGCTGTTGGTGGAGTGACGCGACATTTTCTACAAACATTACGTCGGTCCTGAAAATCAACTAATGCATGTGAAGTCACCATGCTTGGCACAAATTGAAACGAACAAGGTATACTGCATAGTGGGTATACAGTAATCGAAAGAGCATAAGCTATTCTGATATCTGTTTGAGGATTACTGCTATGGTCATGTGAACACTCTGATCCGTCCCTTCGCCATGCTGGCGGCAAAGACGAGGATTGCATTGGGATCTGCTTCTCCTCAGCTCTTGCAATTGCAAGTGATGCCTCGACTGGTGGCAATACGTTGAAATCACGCGTGCTGCGTGGAGTACTTCCGGGAAGCAGCAACAAGGGACGCGCCATGAGCGTCGGCTCTAGATGTCAGAGTGTAGTCCAGGCGTGGTCGAGGCACGGCAGCATAGCTCAAGCAGTTTGTCGTAGCTGGTTGTCGGCAACCACCTGTGTCAACTGCACGGCCCAAGCCGATTCTAATTCCTCTCTTGTACAGTGCAGAATCGCATCGTACGACCATTTGCTGGCCTAGTCCGCAGAGGGAACGTTCTCATCGCGGAATCTCTGCAACGACCTTTGGCGAGATTTCTCGTCGTCGTCTTCGGTATAATAGCTTCATAGTGGTAAGACAATGCAGCAAGCCTTTCGCTTCTGTGCACAGATCTTGCTCTCCCATGACCATACTACCACCGCTGTCCATAGCCTCCGCCGCCACCTCCCCTGCCACGGCCTCTACCGCCGCCATAACCACCTCTACCGCCGCCTCCTCCATAGCCACCCGGGCCGTAATTGTTCCTGGAGCCATAGCCGTCGTCGTAACCGCCTCTGTCGTCCATGGGCTCTTGCCTAATTGGTGGCTGCCGTCCTTTCAACTCCTTGGACAGTCGGTCACTTTCCGATCGCATCTTCGCATAGCCCAAATGCATCTTTCCAAAGAAGTGATCCGCCAGCCGGCGATCGTTGTCCAGTCGAGAAAGGTACGCGCCGCACACATCACACACCTGGAGCTTCTGGTGTCCACTCGGTCCTTGGGTTTCTGACAAGGCTTTCATGTCGCGTTCCTGATTCTCCTTCTCCACCTTTTGCAGCTTCAACTCGTGAAACTGCTGCACTGCCAGATTCACGCTGCCTTCCTCGGCCAGTATTTGAATTTCCACAATGCTCGCCTCGATAGTCCGCGTCAAATCGCCAATCCTCTTCAGCATGGCCGTCGTCTGTCGGATCTCGTCGGGGGTCTTTTCCAATCTACGCTGCGCAGAGTCGATACGCCGGTCGCACTCGCTGACGTACGAGTTAATGTCACGCTGATAATCGAATTCGAAGCCCCACTCGCGCTTTTGCGCGTCCGAGGCAGACTGAAACTCCTCGCGCAAGTTGGGTAGATGGGTCTTGGAGCATGGACCAATATCCTGCTTCGTATTGGTGAAGAGGTCGTGGGGACAGGCGCCGCAGAGGTATGAGCGGCAGACCTTGGGGTCGGTGATGGTGAGGGCGGGCTGCTTGACCATGCCTGGAGCCTGCATCATGGAATCGCCCATGAGCTGCTCCAGCAGCTTTCTCTGTTCGGCCGCCATGGTGATATGCCCGTTTGGAGAACGACGAGACGGCGGTGGTGTTGTGGTAGTGGTGGTGGAGGTGGTGGAGGTGGTGGTGGAGGTGGTGGTTTGCAGCCAGAAGTTCGACGAACTAATAAGGTACATCATATGCAGGTCCCCGTGGCTAGCCTGCTACCTAAATTAGGGTCTATAGCTGTTCACAACTTCACATGGAAATGTGCCAGGTCGGGATGACCACCACCCACTGTACCTGTCGTCCACGATGAAGTCGCTGCTACTGGCGCTGCTGGCTCTCCCGACGAGCCTGCTCACCGCCGTGTATGCAGCCTCGGGCGAGGAGCATGCGGCCTCATCGTCGTCGCTGTCGTCGTCGGCGGTCGAATACTCGGAGCATCTCCACCTGAAGCCGCTCCCAGGCGGCGCTCTCTACGCTGGCTTCAACTTCACCGCCTCGACGCCGCTGGCCGACTACGATCACCAGCACTTCCGCTTCTTCCCCCGCTCGCTGGCGCAGATCCTGCAATACACTCACACTCCCGAGCTGCACCTCCGCTTTGCGCTGGGACGATGGGATGAAGAGAGCTGGGGCAGCCGCCCGCGCAACGGACGGCGAGAGGGCGGCACGGGCGTCGAGCTGTGGGCGTGGATCGAAGGTCGCTCCCAAGTAGAGGCCGAGGAGCGGTGGAGTGGCCTGGTCAACAGCTTGAGTGGCCTCTTCTGTGCCAGTCTCAACTTCATCGACCAGACCAAAACTATATCGCCTCTTCTGACCTTCCAGCCGGAGGCGTCCCCACGCGCAAGCAACGCCACTTTGCATCTCATGCACGGCGTGCTGCCTCATGAGGTGGTGTGCACGGAGAACTTGACGCCGTTCCTCAAACTGCTACCATGCAAAGGCAAGGCTGGGGTGTCTAGTCTCCTGGACGGACATAAAGTCTTTGATGCCAACTGGCAGACTATGGCTATTGATGTCCGACCGCGTTGTGATTCTACGGGACATTGTTCTCTCGAGATTGATCAAACTGTGGATATGGTCTTGGACATTGAGCGGAGCATGCGACCACAGGACAATCCGATCCCGAGGCCACCACACATTGACCAGATTGTTTGTGATGATACCAAATCCTACAATGGGCACGATACTTGTTATCCAAAACGACTTGAAGGCGACAGGGAGTGGTCATTGAGCCGTGTCTTTGGGAGGCCATTGCAGGGAAGCTGCCCCCTGGGAGCTGCTAAGAATGCTGCGGTTGTATCACTGGATGTACCAGCCTCGAGTCTCGTTGATGTCAAGTCTAGTACCAGCTCGCATGAAGACTCTCAGCACAACTCAAGCTGGAGAAAGTACGTTCTCAAGGCAGATGAGGAGTTTGATCTGATTTTACCTCAACATGATGCCCAGCAGCTCGATCCAGAAGAGTTACAGCTGCTGCGTGCGAGCAGACAAATCACTGGGTACGGCCAAGAACGGGGAGGTATGCACACGGTGATTGTCAACCCACACGCCACCGCACAGCGGATTGTCTATCTGGAAAGCCTACCGTGGTATTTGAGACCCTATATGCACACGTTGAAAATCACAGGCGCCACCACAGAAAAGATGTACTACACTCCCGCCATCGATCGGCGCAAAGGCACACATCTCGAGCTTCTCTTAAACGTTCCCGCCTTCTCCACTGTGGAACTCACATACGACTTCGAAAAGGCCATTCTCCGGTACACCGAGTACCCTCCGGACGCCAACCGCGGCTTCGACGTGGCACCTGCCATCATCCGAGTCCTCCCCGAATCCGAAGGTGGCGAAAACAGCTACTTGCGAACCACCTCACTTCTCCTTCCTTTACCCACGCCCGATTTCAGCATGCCATACAACGTCATCATCCTGACCTCGACCGTCATCGCACTCGGATTTGGAAGCATTTTCAATCTCCTCACTCGAAGATTTGTCTTGCTCGAAGAGGTTCCCAAAGCGCCTTTGGCCATCTTGATTGGTCATGTTCGTGAACGGATCGCTGCCCTTTGTGGCCACCAGCAGCAGATGGCGAAAACAAGGGGGGTGGTGGGGGAAAATGGAAATGTGGTGCCGACGACGGGTGGTGGGAAATGGGCATCTGCGGCGGCGGCGACGAAGACGACGGGATCTGCTGCGTTTGACCATGATCTTGGGACCATGTATTCCCGCAAGACGGGGACGAGACTGGTCAAGAATGCGAATGGTCGGATTGTCGAAGCAGATAGATGATGAGATGGTGCGCAACGAACGCATCCCAACTACGAGGAACAAGCAAATACAGTCTCTCAAGTGACACAGCTCCACACTCTCCTGTGCAGCGAAGCTCATTCATTGCAGGTTTCCATTCAGCCCATCTATCTATATTCTTCTGCTCAGGTCATCCTCACCAGGGTAATCCACTTCTACGTTCTCGCCGCTCCCCAGGCATGTCCCATTCTCATAAAAAAGAAAAGTCGCCCTCATCAAGGAAACTCACTGGTCTCGGCACTTTCCCAGCATCTCCTGGGCAAATCCATCCCGCCCCTCATGGACCGTGATTCTCTCCGCAGCCTTGACCAAATCGTACACTATCCCATCATTCACCACACTATCCATCTGGTATTCTTCGTGCTCTCGTACGAAATGTCTGATCCACTTCGCAGCCGTCCACAGAGACCCGTTCGCCCTTCCTCTGATCAGAGCCAAATATTGCGCCAATTCGCATCTGGTCTCCACATCCACATTGATGCTGTCGAGGTACGACTCGACCAGAGGAATGAGGCCCGGAAACCCTCTGCCGCCACTTCCAGTGTCCTTTCCATTAATGATCTCATCAACCGTCATGAGTTCATATTCGTCTTCTACGGGACCAGGACTCGGTGGTCTACTAGCCTGCGGAGTGTTCGTCCCAGAAGGCGGTGCGGAGCTGCCGTTGGGTCTCGGCATGCGTTTCGGTAAAGGGTCTTTGCGGAAGTAGAATTTGTCATTCAGCACCGCATCACGACGATGCGCTGTCTCCATGTTTTCTGTTGTCTTGGGTATGGGTAGGTAGAAGTTGAGATCGAAACTGAGAATGGCTCGTGTGATGAGGACCACGAAAACCGAGAAAGCTGCGTTTTCATAGTCTGTGATTTGTATTTCCATGGGTCGAACCTCCACTCGCCAGCCAATATCGCTTCCTGGAGGCGGGGGCTTGAATCGCATGTGTTGCCAGTTGGTACTTTGAAGGTTCTCAAAGTGGTCCGTTTTGTCGAGGTCGAGCTCCTGAAGATCCTCATTGAAGACAACAATGGGGTCGCGGATGAAGAGGTGCGCAAAATGCGTTGCGAGGAGATCGTCCATGCCCCCTTCCACCAGTCGCTCTTGTAACTTGTCGTCCACGATCAGGTTGGGATCTAGGTACTCCGGTCGCAAACGTGGGTCCTGCGCGATGTAGGTACTGTTACTGGCGTAGCGGGATTTGGGAATCCTCCATCGATCATTCTTGAGCGGTCGCTCACCCAGCTCCTCCGCGGTCCGATCGTCGACAGCTCCGCCAATCTGGTTCCATCGTACATCAGTATCGGCGAGGAATCCTTTGTATATCGGGGTTGCGGCAGTCAGTGCGAGCAAGATGGGTCCTAGTGGCGACAGCTGGTCGTACATTATACGACCTTCCGTGACGTTCTTGGCTTGAAATGTGATTTGGAGACAGCACGAACCCATGCCGAATGCCATGGCGTCCATGTAGATGTGGTCGTCCTTGGCGGCGCCATTACGGACGTCGTCATCCTCGGGCCAGTCATGGAGGTCGTACTTGACGGTGGGATCTTTCCAAGGTCGAGCAGTCTTCTCGTCGTGAAAGACGGGAACGTTGAGCTCTACTTTGCGCCCGCGCCGCTGCCGTATGTTCGCCGCCAAGGTCGGAAATCTGATATGAGGATTCGCAATCTCATCCGGCACGAATTGTGAACGCAACTTGGGTCCCGATGGAGGGTAGTAAGGCGTGATGGATTTCCGATCTCCCAACAGTGGAAAGGTGGTCAATGTGATGGGATATTCGTGGTCGTAGATGTGGTCTTTGGCAATCTTTCGTCTCCACTTCATGTCCGTTTCCACATCCAGCAAGTCTTTCAAGCTGATACTCCATGGCTTTCCCGGCGTGGCTTCCAGCATAAATCTACCAAATTCTGGGTGAAAGGTCGGCGCTGGCCACGGACTCCTAGATCATCACATCAGCACAGATGTTTCCCACGACCAGGACAGGACAAATGGCAACGCACTTCACGACACCTTGCGCAATGTCAGGGACACCACCACCCTGCTTGAGCAGTTCTTCATCCTTGGCCAAGGCTTCCAGGATCTCGGCCTGTCGCAGGGAGAGCTTGACTTCTTTCTTCTCGTCATCGAAAGAGACGACCAAGTACTCAATCTTTGCCTCGTTAGCTGCGTCGCTCTACCCGACCCAGCGCTTCTTACCATACCTCATCTCCCCACAACAACTTGTCCCGCTCCTTGCCCTTCGATCGGTTCCATATGGCCAGCAATTGCTGCAACCGTGTCAGTCCCACACATGACCCATTGCCCACACACGCATGGTGTGCCCAATCAGATAGATACCTCTATTCCCCATTCTCGCACATGTCCGGCGACCTTCTTCGCCTCTGGCCACTCCAGAGGGGTACCCACTGCACTGCGTTCACAATCAACATTTTGAATTGGTGTGTGCGACAGGCGCATGCAGGGCAAGTGTGTCTGCGTACAGTAGCCCCATGGTGAAAGACTCAGGGTAGATATGCCGTCCGTCTTTCGGCCGAAACCTTTCCAGCAGAACCTGTGTAGTCACCAGATCCTGATTTCTGCAACAGCCACTCCTGGTCAAGCGTGTGTTGTGCTACCACCGCAGCTGCATATGCACACTCGACAATTTTCGGTTGCACGAACAAGACCCGTACGCTTGCGTGCTCTCGCTATCTGTGAGACGGCGGATGGTGGTTCTGTTGGTGACGTTGGCGTGCCTCCTTGCAACTTATGTCTGACGAGACATGGCTCTCACACTCGCTTCGATCGGCTTCTCATTCGACGAGGGTGGGTGTTTGGTGGAGACGGACGATAATGCAGGCCTGAGGGCAACGAGAGGCAGAGGACGTTTCGAGGTTGTTGTGTGTGTGTGTGCGGGGGGGGAGACCACGTGGGCTGTCGCAGAAGAAGAATGAGGCAGTGAGGTTGTGTGTTGTATGCGAGAGACACGAGCACTTGCTGTAGGTGAATGTGCCGTGCATCAATGGTAAAGAGTGGTGGCTGAACTACCCGTGGACATACAGTACAGGTCAGGTACCTGGGGCCCATAAGGTAAGTGCATACCTGAGTTTTTCATCAGGCGCATTTGTCAGCGGCGTCGGCGTCGGAGGCTTTGCATGCACCTAGAGTCCCTAGAATACCTAGAATACCTCAGGTATGTACCTGACTTGCTGACCTACCACCTTCATGTACCTAAGGTACAGTAGGTAAGGAGATATGTATGTGCCTGCTCACCAAAGCACGATTACTGACTTCACTTGCATTTCTCATCCGCCTTCACGTGCACTCCCCCGAGCGCCAAAGTAATCTTGGTCAGACATTGTCGTATTGTGGCATCGATTGCCAGTACACTATGTACAATCTCCATCGTAGCAGAACTCCTCCACTTCGGTGCCACGGGATCGTCACGGGCTACCTTTACATAACGTCTGCTCCCACCCACATACCTGAGGTACGGTATACATGTATAATCACACAATGTCCGTGGACATCGATTCGTGTCTGGTCCAAGACTGTTGGAGAGAACAATGGTAAGGTTGATGTCGACCCCAATTTCATGAGCCATTCATTCAACCCCTCGCCATCTCCGTCGTGTACATTTCTCCATCGCTGAGCATGACGCCAGATCATGTGCTTTTTCTTTCTCATAGCGTCTCATGACGCTTCCCATTTCCTTGCCATCGCAGCCATGCCAAAACTCCTCATAACCTGCCTCGAACGAGAGGACTTGAAACGCCGTCAAGTGGGTATCGCTGAATGGCAAAGCAGAAGCTGCAGCAGAATCACATTGCTCAAAGTGCGTCAGGTAACACGAGAGACGCTGATTGTGCATCGGCTCGCTGGAAACGAACAAAAAAAAAACAAAAAAACAAAAAAACATGCCACCTCCCGTGGTGTCTTGCTAAGGCAAATTTTCTTTTGGCCGTAAATTCGAACTACCAGTGTTGGCGTTCTTGTTGGTCCCATTGTTCTTGCGTGTGAGCTTGGCATAGTGCAGCCCGCAGGCATTGCACAGTGTTCGAGCACCATCTGGTCCACGTCTCCATTCTGGCGTTTCGGCTCGATTACAACTGTGGCAGCGTCCAGGGGGCGCGGCGCGGCCTCGACGCTTCTTCGTGTCGTTGCCTGCGAACCCGCCCACTTTGCCTTCGTCGGCTTCCTGTTGCTGGTGGATATCCGGTCCAGACTGGGAATGTTGGTCGTACAATTTGTGCTGTTGTCGTTGATCTGCAGCTTGTTGTTCATACACTGCTTGCTGTTGCAGGACAACGTCGCGGATTTTCATCAGAGAATCATGCGCCGCTCGGGATTTGTTGATCATATCATCGAGTTCGACCAGTCCGGGAAGGGTATTGAGCGAGGCCCCTGATCGCTGTGTGTGATGCATGCGATCACCGTAGCGACGGGAGAAGTCGCTCAAGATGCCACTGGTGGATGAAATCTGGACAGTTCAATCAGTAAAACACTCCGAGTCCACCATTCGAGCCAATCTCCACGTACCTCGTTCAACGATGCCTCGAGGTCGAAGTAATCCAAGTGTCGTTTCACGCTGTCACTGTGGTGAATTAGGCCACGATCGTCATAACGGGAGCTCTCCGACTTCCAACCAGGTTGCGAATTGTGGGGTGGACCATACGTTGTAGAGGGCTGATATATGGGCCCCGATGAGTTACCCGTAGGTGGAGTCGCATTAGCATAACGTGGCGGAAAAGGAGTATACCCATAGGGCAAGCTCGAAGGACGCCCTGTGGAGGTGGAAGAATTGGCCACATTCGCGGAATATTGCTGCTCGTAGGAGGGCGAGGCGTCTTCCGCGCGAGAGAAAGCCGCTGATGGGGGCAGCGGGCGAGACGACGCTGGTGGATTCTGCGAATGAGTTGACTTTGTCTCTGCCGGAAGAGCGTATGATGCAGGTGGAGGACGGGCTGAGTCCGGAGGGGGATAAGAAGACTGACGAGTGGGCTCCGGCCGGTACTGAGAATGATGCGAGTAGTTGTTGGCCGTTCCCGAATAGGTACTTGACGCGGCCATTGAAGGAGGCTCCATGGGGTATGTTCGCCGGGGTGGCGGGGATGGAGGAGCAGCAGTCTGTGACTGCGGAAGATGCGTCGTCTTCAAGGACAGCGGTGGTGGCGGCACGGTTGTGGAGGCAAATGAGGCTTGATTGTCCACTTTGCCCAATGCCTCCGATATGGATGGTAACGATTGCCTACATTTGGCACCCTCCCTGTCATGCTCGCTCGTCCGACGCGACCCTGGAGGTGTATGGACAGCAGGATGCCAACTGTTTGTCGGTGGAGCGCCGTGCGCATGACTGTACGGCGGTGGAGGTCCTTGCGGGTAGTGATAGGTCGGGCTCGCTCCAGCGGTGGCAGACAAAGTTTGCGGCGTGCCAGTGGTGCGTTGCTGGTGGTAGGCCTCCTCTTCGCGTTGAACTTTGTCCGCTTCGAGGTAGCTCAGAGCTGGAAGCTGAGGCCTGAGGGGCAGCGCGTGTACAGCTGACGCGCACTCGTTCTGAGGTACCCCGCGCGCGTCAGTTCTTGGCATGCACTCGAAAATAAAACACTGCACTCGTTTTCAAATCCACTAAGTTCTGTAAAATATCGACAAAGGTAAGTTTCTAACATTCCAATACTATTTCAGCACTGACATGGTAGTAGTACTACCACTACCACTACCACTACTACCACCACCACTACCACCACCACCACCACCACTACCACCACCACCACCACCACCACCACCACCACCACCACCACCACCACCACCACCACCACCACCACCACC